AGGTCTCGTCATGTGGAGGTAATAGCTGTGGCAGATCTCCAGAGAGAGGACGGCCGACGTCCACACCAGGCTGACAGCAGTGTGCTGAAGGCAGCCGTGCACGGAAGCTGCTGCTGCTGCTGGTCAGTCATTTCACGCCTGTCTGGGCCTCCTGGAGCGCGGAGTGGATGAAAAACTCTGGCGAGGGAGAACAGGCTTAGCGTGATGTGTTTTTAGTGTCCGATCAGCAAAGCTGTCAGGAGGACTCCTGTTTGTGACGCCTGAGCTCCTGCATGTCGTGTGATTAAACTCCAACGTTACAAGAGTTTGGAAGATCAGCAGAGAGATGCTGCCTCAACGTGTGAGAACTACCTGAACGAGCGTTTGTGTCGTTCATGAACGATTCGTTCAAAAGAACCGCTGACTGAACTGAATCACTCTCAGACCTGATTCGTTCTTTTCTCAGTTCAGTTGAGTTCAGCTGTGAGCCGAGTCGGGAGTGGAGCTGCCGCCTTTGACTCTTTGGCAAACGACACACAACCAGTCAGCGAGTGGGCGGAGTCTCGTGATTCACTCACAGCCAATGAACAACATGTATCAGTCAGTGAACAAAACAAACGACTTCCAAATGACTTGAGCAGCGGTTGGTTGACTGAGGCCAAGATAAAACAGGTCATTATGGCGCCTTTACATTAAAACACGTGTTTAAACTTCCTGTCAGAAGATTTAATTTCAGACGATTTAAAGAAATACGATATTTGATATCTTTAAAAGTAGTGATGCACGATATGAAAAATTTCAACCGATACCGATAACCGATAATTTTCTTCTTCTCACGGCCGATACCGATACCGATAACCGATAAATTCATATTTTTACATTTATTATAATCTTCATATAATCTGCAGTTTGTGCAGGATGCAGCGATTGAAAACTGATGTTTTTGTTGCTCTGGCCTATCTAGAACAACAAACTAAAGTTTTTGGCTCTTCAAATGTGGTCATTTGCTATAAATAACAATAACAGAGCAAAAAGCAGAACTTCATTTGATCCCCTGAACTGTTCAACAGAACTGTAAACTGTAAAGGAGCTATTATGAGACGTTAGGCTTAGCATGCTGACCGGACTAACATCTGACGTCCATATGTCTGTGGTAAAACTCACGTGTAGTCCGTTCTTGTCGATCAGGTTGTGAATGTATGTGGCGACAATATCATAGAGTGCAGGAAGAGACACATCCGAGAAGAAGCGGCGGCTTGGGAGAGTGTAACGTGGCTCCAAGTGTGCTATGAACTTACGAAAACCCGGGTTCTCAACGACGGAAAAAGGCTGGTCGTCGACCACTATGAACTCCATCACTTTGTCGTTAATGGCTTTAGCCTTTTCGCTGTCTCTTGAGAAGCTTTTGCAGTTTTTAAACGCCTGCTGAATGGGGACATCGATCCTCCGTAGTGTTGTTGTCTTAGCTTTAGTACCGCTAGCAGCTTCAGCGGCTGTCTCATATTCTTTTACTACCGCTTCGCCGCGATGGCGACTTTTCAGATGAGCTATCAGATTCGTTGTGTAAATACTTGACGTCTTCTTTCCTCCTCTTGGAATCCTCGCTGAACAGGTTTTGCATATAGCAGCTGTTGTCATCTTCTGCCACTGAGAGAAACGACCATGCTGGTGAAGACATTTTATTATCTGTCAGGCAGTGACGGGGTCAGGCTTGGGACCTGCGAGTAAGGCGCGATAGACGACGTGACCAGCGCGTCTCGGACGGGCGGCTACTCCGCCTGCAAACGTTACTCGTAATTTCATTAATATATCGGATCTTTCTATCGGAAAAATGCACCTATCGGACCGATAAAAAATGACGTAATTTTCCCCCATATCGGCCGATATTTTATCGGTCCGATAAATATCGTGCATCCCTATTTAAAAGTCTCTGAATCCTCGCTACAGCTGACATCTTTATTTATTTTTAATCTCGCCACTTTTCCGATATATAAAAGAACGACGACTCGCGCTCGTTTAGCGGCGTGCTGCTCGCTGCTGTGTTGTTTCCGCCGACAGACGGCGACACACAGAGAGGTGAGTTTTTCACGGCAGGGGAGTGATTCTTCCTTCAGGACTTGGCGAATGAATGACATCAGTCACCCAGTTTACGACGCCATGACTTCAGCAGCGGGGGAGGGGAGGGGCTAATGAACGAACTCGCTGCTGTGACAGGGTTAAAATGCCGACAAAAGTATGTTTGGCCAGTAGGTGGCAGTAGTGCAGGACTGCGTTTGCCTTACTGGGGGTGTCAAACCTCCGTCTGCAGGACTCCCATGGTCGTCGAGTGCTCAACCTTTTCCACGTCTGTAAGGTTGTAGAAGTGCGGCGTCAGGACTCAAGAACACGTCCGATTTTTATGTTATTCTTCGTTTACCTTAATCTGACTGAGTTTATCGGAGTCAGAGAAAAACTGTCGCTCATTAAAGCCATAATTGTCAGCTGCCTGTCGGACAGGAAGTGAACCACAGCGATGTCTGACCCTCGTCTCCCTCTCAGCCTCCGTCTAAACTTTATTTGTAGGTCAGGCCTTTTGATCGCTCCACGTGTGTCCCCCCCTGCGCGGCGCAGAACTGCTGCCGGGGCAGAAGTGGAACTGTTCGGAGGGGAGATCTCACAGCGGCGAGCTGTAATCAGCGTCCCCGCTGCCTGTCTGCGTCCTCCCCTGTGGATTTATCGGTCTGGAGGAGCCGAGGAACGCCAACATTACTCAGCAGCAGAGATGGAGTCCAGTCCAGAGAGCCAGAAATTCAATTCCAGCCATCAGAGCAAAAGCACAGCACACAGTCTCAGCGTGATAGCGGCTGATTTGCTGACCTGAGGTCTGCTCTGCTCTCTGACTGTGATATTTATCCCCCCCGTCTGTATCTGACTCATCTGAATGAAGAGGGAACGGTTAGTGGAATTGGGTTTGTTGAACCTGTGACAGATCTCCGCGGAGCTGCTCCTGGTCCTGACTCTGCTCTTTAACTGGGTCTGCTGATATAAAGGCGGGAGCTCCGCTGCTCTCTAATAACTCCCACTAAGTGTTTGTTTATGATAACCTGTCGGCTCCAGCGCTCGCCGTGTTACAGCGCCGCTTCTGCGTGTCGGGCCTCGACATGAATAACAATGTCAACACCAGGATGTGCTGCATTCACTCGTTTGTCACCGTGTCGACGGCGTTAATGTCTTTTCTGCAGACTTGAGGAAGACGTCTCCTCCGGCGGGGCGCACTTTAATGTGCTGGAGTGCAGCTGTCAGCGCGTCAGAAACAGGCGCGGCGTTCAGAAGAGAGGGGGACTGATTGTTCGGGAGCGCGATTACAGGCCAGAAGAGTGCGAGGACAAGAGGGGCGGGTACTGGAGGTGTCAGGGACATGTCCCCTGGGTGCCCCGCCTCCACTACACCCATGGGTACCACCATCATATCCTGTAACGACAACCAGCAGTCAGACCGCTTGTCGCTACCTGATCCGTCCCGTAAACCCAATTTGTACTGAGCATGTGCGAAACGTACGTCACCTCCTGTACTAGCCATCTTTGCGACAGCTCAGCAACTCTTCGCCCCTCACGGTTTGCGACAGCTTCGACATTTGTTCGACAGCTTCAGCGTCAGCGAGCTCGCCACAGACAGAAAGTCAAGTCAATGGCGCCCAGTTTCACGGTTAAAGGTTCCTCCTCCAGCTAAACATAGTTTTAAAAGGTTTGAATGACTGTGAATATTTCAGTGTTGGAATTGAAACGATGTATAAAAACATTCATCGTCCATACTGTGTCGGCTTCTTGTAAATAAATTTACTTTATAAAATAAATGAAATTAATCCCTCCTTGATACTTTGAAAATTCAGAGAACCATAATTTTGACCAGGTGGTGGCGCTCTCTGTGGCCCAAAAGGTCTCACCGTTCTGGGCAGGAGCTCTGCTGACATTAACTCCGGAGCCTCCAGCTCGCCTGTCACATCCTCAGCTGGTTTCTGAATCGATTGTTAGTTTAAATAGTTTTTTAAAGTGAAGTAAATTAAGAAGTAAAACAGTACAGATCGAGTAGGTAGCGACTCACTGACGTCCGAAATAATCGCATGAAAAAAAAGGCGAACAGCAGAGACAGACGCTTCTTTAAGTCAAAGTTAAAATCTCACTTTTACAGACTTGATTTTTTCTGATGTCGTCTTTAATATTTATCTAATTTCAGCTTTTCTGTCTTTTTTCTTTGTTAAAATTTTTTTCTTCATTAACCTTTTCGGCCTGTTATTGTTTTATCTCTCGCTCATTTCTGTTTCTCTATTTGATCATCACTATTATTTATAGTATTATTATTATTTTATTATCATTGTTGATTTTGTCTTTTATTTTTACTATCCTATTTTAATTACATTTCTTTTTCTTACCTATTTGATGTTTTTGTTTTGGTTTTTATGTTCCACGGTTCTTATTTTGTCTTAGTTTCTTAAGACATGAAAAAATCCTTTAATTCTGTTTTAACTGAGATTTTTGTTTTTATCTCTTTTTCCATTTGCTTTATGACTGTTTGTGAAAACACTTTTATAAACTTCTGTTTTTAAAAGTGCTTTCAAAATAAAGTGATTATTATTATTATTGATTATAATTACATCAGATATTGTATAACCTGTTAAAACCACGGCGGGGAGAAGAAGGACTGGAGTTTCATCTCTGAAAGTAAAAACGTCTCTGAAAGTGGACGACTGAGAGACGCTGCTTCATGTTCAGGTGGAGAGAAAAGGCCAGAGCTGCAGTTTACGGTCAGTAAATGTCACAGTGTGACCAAAACACAAAGTCCAACTGTCTCTGTGAGAGCCTGTGGACCTCTGAGACGGACTCCCTCTCCTCCAATCACAGAGACTCGTCCTGAAGATTACCCATAATTACCAGCAGGAAGCTCTGAAGCTTCTGCTTTTATCAGACCGGACAACATCTCAGAGGACAAACAGGACTGGACAGCAGCCCTGCCCTCAGTGCGGCTCTGAAGCTCCGCCCACTGAATCACAGAGTCATTTGTTTCTCCATTAGAGGTCCACAGGCAGCAGCGGCGGCGGCGGCGGCGGCGGCGGCGGCGCGGTGATTTTTCCTGATGAGCGATTCATCAGAGACGAGGGGCGTCTGCAGATGGAGATCTGACGGCTCGCTGATCGCACTCAGACGCAGAGCCAGGAAGGAAATGATGCAGGAGAACGCCCTGACAGCGCCCCCCTGAGGCTGACATGTAGTGGATGAAAACTCGACCTGAATGTTCAGCTGTTCTTTGACAAACAGATTAGGAACGATTCAAACTAACCAGAGGAACAATAACGATTAATACCGCTTTCAGACAGCAGAGGGCGCTCACTGTTGGATGTCATTACGGCAACTCCGTACTGGCACGCCTTCATGCACGCACATTCAAACCTCTACAGAAGATCCAGAACACAACAGCCTGGTTTTAGACCGACCAAAACCAGAACATGATCCCTCTCTCCGATAACCCTGACCTCGGCTCTGGTCAAATCTAAACTTCCTGTCAACAAAACCGCTCCGACCAGAACCTCCCTGAACTCCCTCACCTGGTCTACGACCTATTAATACAGGGCGCCAAAGAGCCGCCTAAGGCAAAATCAAAACGTGAAATTATCTATACTATTGCCAGACTCTTCTCCTCTGTCAGTATTTATCTACGTTTGTTGTTCTGTTGAGTTAAAATGTTTTTATATTTTTTCATCTTATTCAATGTGCTTTGTTATTTACTACTACAGCTCTCTTAGTACCTTTAAAAAAGTCACTTAAGGCAGAGGACAGGTCCTGTATATTTGCGTGACACGCTGCTGCTGCTGCTGATCCAAAGAAGAATCCACAGTTCAGCGAAGTTTTCGGAGCTTTAATATCAGAAAAACGCTTCTGCAGTCGCCACTGCACACATCAGATAGAATATGTGTTCACTCTGCGACGTGTATCGTTGCAAACAAAGAACATAAAGCGCAGTCAACAAAAATTACAGCGACCTTGGCTCACCTCTCCACCCCGGTGCAGGTAAGACCGCCCCTTATATAACCTACCGGCTCAAACACAGCGCCCATGTGACCCAAACCCAGCGAAACCAACGGCAACCAGACAAAAGTAACTGAACACAGGATAACCGATCAGCAAAGCGACATTAAAGCTCCTACATTTACTTCGTATGTTAATAAAATGTTGAACTAATCTCCAGTTTCTTTAGTTTTTTGTACAGCTGCTTTAAAACTGTCAGTTTGAAAAAAATCGTGATTATAACCGAGATCGGACGATATGACAAAATATATCGTGATCATTTTTTTTTGCCAATTTTTAAAAAACTGAGTCTGATCTGAGGAAGTTCGTGTTTCTTATTCACAGCGTTTCTTTGAGTCCAGACGCAGAGTTGCAGATTCATAATCCCAAAGAGCAGTCGGCACGTCTCATCAGAATCTGCAGGATTGTTTGTGTTCGGGTTCATCCTTCATCCACAGTGATGGACCAGCTGCTGGAGAAACGAACCCTAGAATCTGCTCCAAACCTGCTCTCTGTGAGTCTGACATTCGGCCTGACTTTGCTCGCGGCTCGTTTATAAATAAGTCATACGCCGGATTATCTCTTTAACCTTATCACCTAATATTTATTCTTCCTCAGACCGCCGAGCTTAACCGTGCACGCCGGCCCTGAGCGTGCTCGCTCAGCCTAAACTAAGGGGATTATCAAACGGGTGTCAGTGTTGACTGTCAGCCGGGAGGATCGAGGTCTCTGCGGCGGACGCAAACGGGATTTGTCCCTCATGCAGAACATCAGACGTTTCTTTTTAGGCCACGACAGCAGGGAGAGAATTAGAAAAATCCCCGTTTGGCCTCACCTCGGAGGCAGAGGGGCAGTTTGAAGCCATTAGTCCTGGGACACGAACACACGCTGAAAGCTTTCTGACAGCAGAGGAATCAAAACCAGGCTGAGCCACCTCTGAACGTCTCTCTCAGGGCGCCGTTACAAACACTCCACGTCAAACTGTACCTGCACATGACAGCCAAATCACAAATGACTGCAACCCAGGAACACATCCGCAGGAAGAGAGAGGCGACGCTTCCCTCTGAGTTTGATAAAAGTGATTCAGATCTAAACTTTCTCCGACAGAAAACTGCAGATTCTTCCTGCTGCAGCTTCACAAAGACGACAAGATTACAACAGAGCCCGACGTTAACGACACGCAGCTACGATTCGGCAAAGGTTCGAGTTTGATCTTTTTATTTCAGAATCTGTTGGAGGAAAACTGTGAAAACGAGCCAAAAAATATTCATTCAGTCGACTAAAAAACGATTTAGTGGATCCTTGATCATCGCTGAAGCTCCTGTGTTTCACCAGGTGTCACTTTAGAAGATCTTATTGATACCAATGATGTTATTGATTATGCTTTTCAACCTCACTATTGATCGTTTCCGGTTGTCACGTGTTTTGTTAGTATGGAAAAGTCTGTCCTCTGGTTGGACCTTTACCAGTCACCTGATCGCAGATACAGCTTCTGATTGGTTGACAGCAAACCACAGAAAAAGTGTTTCTCTAACGTAAATAAGATATCGTCAAGGATTACTTTTGTTTTCAGAAACTCACCGGTCTCACAGAGTGAGTGCATTTTACAGTAACCCTCAATCTCCACCTTCATCCTGATCGTCTCCTAAAAGGTCGTATCCTCCGATCGTAGCTGATCGTAACCATTCAAGTTAACGTGTCAATTTACACCGACTTCTTTCCGTTCCTCTGCGGATCGCCGGACTCCTCAGCTGATCTCAAGAGTTCTTTTTTTTCTGGACGCCGGAGCATGGCGGATAAATTCAGCACAGATTAACCCGTGCTGGAAAGGAAGTCGGGCACAGACACAAAATAAAACATCCACAGGGTTTCCGCTACATGCAACTGATCATGGCCGACGCCACGGCTTAATAAAAGCCTCCACACCTAAAAATAATAAGTTTTTATCTCACATAGTCCTAGCCTGGCTGGGCCATCCTGTTGCGTGAATCACTTGCTGAGCAGGACTTTGTTAAAGTGACTTTATTCTTGATCTGTGAAGAAGCTAAAGTAACTGAATAAACTCAGGAGGTTCTTTGAAGCAGGTCCGCCGGTTTGAGAAAAACAGGAGCTGTTATATTCGTGGATTTTCTTCCCGACTGTTTTCAACGTTTGTTTATTTTTCGGTCGTCATGTTTGTGTGATAAAAAAATATGAATGTCATTCAGTTTCATGAGTCCGGGACAAAGAAGTAATCAGATGTTCCTGAGGAGGACAGCAGCTCTCTGATTTCATCTCCAACGTCCGACATTTAATCAAGTCTGCAGCTCAAACGTCCTTTCAGGAACATGACGGCCAAACATCATTATCAGCAGAGCGGGCGTCAGTTACAGCTCCCTCTATTCTGTAAGAACATATCTACAATCACAGATCCAACGCCTGTTATTATAACGAAGGACTGAGCTCAGAATAACATGGAGGAAAGGACGGACTCATGAAGGGGGGGCTGCACACTGTGATGATGATCTACGGAGGCCCTGAGGGACATTATCACTAAAAACTGACCTGATGTTTATCCTGGAGGGAAATTAAGAATAAAACCACAAACATAATTTTACAGGTTTTAAATATCGTCACCCTGTTAAAATTATGGCCTGAGTTACTTTTTAAGAAAATTAGTTTTTGGACTAAATCAACTAATTTAGGTCAAAAACTCATTTTGACTTAGGCCATTATTTTAATAGGGTGACGATATCTGACAATAAAGTTCTTCTAATTCTTATTTATTTACCCCAAGTCAATTTATTAAAAAAAAATGTCATTAAATGCCCAAAAATAATAAATGCTTAAGTTTTTAATATCACATAAAAACTTTCATGAAATATAAAAATAATTGTAGAAAGAGAAAAATAAATTGCAAAAAGAATTTATAAAAAAACAAAAATAATGAGAATAATGAAAAAAAATTATAAAAATAAATTTAAAAAAGAAGAAAATTTAAAGAGATTTTATGACTGGTAAAATATTTTATACAAGATTTTAATTGAACTCAATAAATTTATGAAAGTCGAATAAAAGTTTCATGAGACATCCGAATTTAATTGGACTGGCCTGAGGTCTCGCTACAAACAAGCGTCTGCTGGAAGAGAGTAGGTGAGTTGTGTTTAGTCTCTTAGCTAAAGAAATGAGTCAAAGTTAAAAAGATGTTTGGTGTCTAGTACTATGTCTGTGACCCTATATGTCCTGTTGATGAAGTTAGGTGCTGTTCTGAGCATTATTTGTGGCTATAGAGTGGCGTTTTGGTTGTGGGCGTGGCTCTCTGTATTTCTATCCTGCGGTCGTTACTAAAGTTGGTATAAAACTAGAGAAGCAAGCGGTCGACAACATTCATCTCTGGAGGGGGGGTCTAACTCGGAGTTACGGTGGGTTTGAACCTAAATTAATTTTACGTTGGAATATCCCTTTAACTTATAGATTTGAGTCACAGAAACAGCTGATCAATAAGTCTCATGATAGAACAGCTGATAGTAAAGATCAAATCCAAGAACCACCTGAAGACCAGGACCAGCATCAGTCACTAACCCACAACTGAAGACAGAGACCTCCATCACTCATTCATTCAAACACCAGCTCCTCTGTCTCAGTCTGTCTCTGTCACTGCTAACATGCTAACATGCTAACAGCTGGGCTGCAGACCGGTTAACTTCAAAGCGCCGCCGTGAACACGTGAACAGATGCGCACGTGAGCAGAAGTCGTAGAGTTAAAGCTGCCGACAGGAGCTTTAATTCATTAATGAAGGTTTAACAGTCTGAGAGGAAAGACACGAGCCAATAACACACACACACACCTACCTACAACGTGAGAGTCCACTTCCTGTTGTTGTCGTACGTCACAAGTCGCCCCCTTGGTCCTAATGCCCGCCGGTTCTTCTTCTTCTTCTTTTTCTTCTGCTTCTTCTTCTTCTTCGTTTCTTTGTTTAATTGGCGGTTGGCAACCAACTTCAGGAGCATTACCGCCACCAACTGGATTGGAGTGTGTCTTAGGAAGCTCAAGCAGGAAAAAAAACAGATTTGTGGAATATCAGTCGTAGAACAGTCAAAAACAGTCAGAAAATTGTCCAAAAAACAGCCAGAAAATTGTTCAAAAATGGTCAAGAAAAAGGAAAAAAAAAACAGTCAGAAAATGGTCCAAAAAACATTTAGAAAAATATTTGAAAGGCCATTTAGGAAATGGTCAAAAAACTGTCACAAAAAGGTAAAAAAAAACAAAAAAAGACTTACAAAATGGTCAAAAAACATTTAGAAGATTGTTCAGTCATGGTCAAAAAAACAGTCACAAAAATGGTCCAAAAAACAGTCACAAAATAATTTGAAAAGGCCTTTAGGACATGGTCAAAAAAAGGTCAATAACAGTCAGAAATTGGTCATAAAACAGTCAAAAAGAAGTAACACAGTCAGAATATGGTTTAAAAATAGTAGATAATGGTGATAAAACAGCCAAAAAACAGTCAGAAATTGGTTTTAAAAATGGTTAAAAAAAAGGTCATAAAACAGTCAAAAAACTGTCACAAAAAGGTAAAAAAAAAACTGTCACAAAATGGTCAAAAAACATTTAAAAAATTGTTCAAAAACGGTCAAACAACAGTCAGAAAATTGTTTAAAAATTGTCAGAAAACAGTCAAAAATGACGTACAGAGATTACCTGAGAGGTCGAGTGTTTTTTAAAATCTTCAACAAAAGCAGAGAGGAGGTGAAGAGCACATGCACTTGGATTTTTGTGGTTTGTTTTAACGTCTATTTTGTATGAAGTTCACTATGAAGCTCCTGTTTTGATAAAGTGTGCAGTTTAATATTCTGCAGACAAACACAAACTGCCTCTGGTCGGGATTATCCTTCAGAAAAAAAGAAATAAAAGGAGGTTTAAAAGGCGACAAAGCTCTGTCAAATGGAAGCTGATGGAAAACTAAACCCAACAAAGTGAGGACTGGTTCGGATCAAACGCAGCGCCAGTACAAACAGTTTCTGACGGAGAGAAGAAGAGGAGCGGCGTTGGAGATGAAGAGGGAGTTTGGCGGTTTGAAGCAGGAATTCCTGTTGAAAAGGAGGCGTAGCTCTTTAATGATAAGGAGTCCAGTTTCTCCTGCAGGGCTTAATTAAAAAAGAGGGATGGAGAAACCGTTATCAGACCAAAACCACCGTTTCCAACACTCGGCAATAGTTGCTGAGGAACCACAAAAGAGGTGTTATTAAATATGACTAATGAGGACCAGGAAGAGGGGATCGAGGGAATCCTGAGTGTTTTAGACCCGGGACTGATTTTATCAACATATTTAGGAGTCTGTTAGAGTAAAACAGACAAAGACTGCTTCAACCTGCAGCTGCAGACAGACGACCATGACGGCAACCTGACCTCTCTGAGAGTCTGACAACATTACAGAGATCATCCTGCAGAGACCGGCCTTTTAAAACTAAGAGTATCCATCCGTCCTGATCCGGATACAAACTCACCAAACTCCATTGACAAAAATGTCTATTTTACAACACCAACCAGAGCGCAGCCCCTCACCCCCTGCTGCCTCAGTCACTGAACTGTTTGTGGTTATTTACTGAAGTAAGAGCCAACAAAGTTTACGGCTTACAAAAATAACACAGGATACGACAAAGTACAACACAATACTGAACCATCAACACAGTATGAAACAAAACAATACACTCAAAACAGTACGACACATTACAGTGGAATAAGATATCATGTTAGGATAGAGTGGATAAGATCTGACTGAACAGTAATAGTTTGTTATTCCACATATTCAACAGCAGAACTGATAAATAAAATGAATGTAATTTAAAAAAACATCTTAAAGGGATATTCCGGCATAAAACTAATTTAGGGTCAAACACACCGTAACACCGAGTTAGACCCCCCCCCCAGAGATGAATGTTGTCGACCGCTTGCTTCTCTAGTTATACCAACTTTAGTAACGACCACAGGATAGAAATACAGAGAGCCACGCCCCCAACCAAAACGCCACTCTATAGCCACAAATAATGCTCAGAACAGCACCTCACTTCATCAACAGGACATATAGGGTCACAGACATAGTACTAGACACCAAACATCTTTTTAACTTTGACTCATTTCTTTAGAGAAGAGACTAAACACAACTCACCTACTCTCTTCCAGCAGACGCTTGACCTCAGGCCAGTCCATTACAGACTACAGCGGGGTGCCGCAGCTCAAGGAAGAACATTTATGATCATTTCTTCATCATTTCCTTGAAGTAATAATCACCATATTAATCATTTTACAGACGGGGTAGTTCTTCTGTCTTTGCGTCTCGGTCTGATTGTATTTCCATGAAGAAACGATTGTCAAGCGGTCAGCAACATTCATCTCTGGGGGGGGGGGTTTAACTTGGCATTACAGTGTGTTTGACTCTAAATTAATTTTACGCCGGAATATCCCTTTAACAAACTGAGGGTCACACTTGTCCTTGAAGGTCACTTTTTGGTGGAGAGAGTTTGACTCTATGATCTTTAATATTTTCATATATGAAGCACATTTTAATCCTGGTGTCCATGATGACGTTGATGTTATAATATTTCGTGGATAATTCTGCGTTTTTATAGCGTCTCTAAAATCTGATTCTTCCTGTTCTCTGTTCTTTTTCTGTCCTGAGTGGAAACCTGAGATCATTCTCTGTATTTCCCTCTCAGCGTCTCTCTCCGAGGTCCCCCCTCTGGACTACAGTATAAGTTTCCTGTAATTTTAGAGTCCTTCAGGGATGCACTGCTGCAGAGTATGTGTGTTTACAGTACAACTGAGAGCAGGAGGAGGAGAGCCCTCCTGGCTATTGGCTGGCACTGACCCATGTGGGCGGCTCGGCCCACATAATGACATCTTTTGAGGTTTCCCGGCTCTAAACAGGAGGAGCACTATAGGTGCTGAGCCGGCAGTTGCTATGCAACAGTTCGTCGCCGGCAGCATCCAGGTTGGACCTGAGCGGAGAGCAGCAGTCAGGCGGAGGAGGAGAAGGAGGAGGAGGAGGAGGTTTGAATCTGAAATTGGTTCATCTGTGTGTCTGCAGTTTTCTGATGTCAGAGGATTTGATTATTAGACGGATTAATGAAGATTCTGCAGAAATTTAAGGAACAGAGCGATGAATCGAAGAGTAGAGGACGATAAACAAAAGACAGGACAGAGTTCATTCAGAGAGGCCACAAAACAAACTCAGCCCACAGTTCATCAGCTGATCTTAAAGGGATATTCCGGGGTAAAATCAATTTAGGGGGAAACACACCGTAACACCGAGTTAGACACCCCCTCCAGAGTGGTCACCATGTTAATCATTTTACAGAGGCGGTAGTTCTTCTGCCTTAGCGTCTTGCTATTATTGTATTTCCGTGAAGAAATAAATGTTCTTCCTTGAGCTGCGAAACTCCGCTGTTGTCCACTGTGTTTTGGTTGAGGTTTGTTTATGACTCCTCAGACCGCTGCGTATTTCTATCCTGCGGTCGTTACTAAAGTTGGTATAACTAGAGAAGCAAGCGGTCGACAACATTCATCTCTGGAGGGGGGGTCTAACTCGATGTTACGGTGGGTTTGACCATAAAATAATTCTGCACCGAAATATCCCTTTAAGATCAGCCAATACTGATTACCTTCAACTCCTCCAACAGACCGACTCAATTCAGAGGACCTGTTTACACCACAGTAGTCTGATAACTCTCCCTGCTGTGTCATATGTCCTGTCACCTGCTCCCTTCTGTACCTGAGGAGGTCTTTGCTGCTGCACCTCCTGCTTTTTTATTTATACACATGAACGGGAGGATAGGTGTGCTCTCCCCGCCTCATGCCTGGTATTATTTTTAATAATCAAAACAGTCATTTTACTTCATAAAACACGATCAGTTTGGACTTGATAACTCAGCCATCCTCTTTGTTGTTTCTGAAATCCATAACTCTGTTTACACGGCGTGCTGTTGCAGATCCAGTGTGGACTTTTTAAAACTGAAAAAATAACTTTTTTTTTTGTTGTTTTTCTGCCTGTTTGGAGGAGAAAACTGATGCAGCTCATTTGGGAGCGACTCTCTGAATCAGAAATCCACCTCACATCCTGCCTGAGTGTGTCCACCGCTGCCTCTCTGCAGGGTTTAATTAGAGCCGCCGAGCTGAGAGTGAATAATGCAGCACCTGAACGCACCTGAGCGCGCCGAGAACCAGCAGAACCACAACTGCAGAGAGGAAGAGAGAGCGCCACCTACAGAGAGAGTTTACACGGGTTTGTTTAAAGGAATAGTTCAGGTATTTTGGAGTAAGAGTCATTAACCCAAACACTGATGACCGTGTGAGTGCAAAAACAACAATATAATAGTATTTAATGAAGTATATTGTTATCATTATTATTTAGAAAATGTTTACTCTATGGAAAAGTATTAAAGCTGGATTAAAAGAGAAATAATGAGAATTAAAAGTTCACAATGATGAAAGTATAAAGATCATTTTTATAAGTACAAGTTTGTAAAATACCGAGTTTTATTTAGTCTGGTGAAATAAAACAGTAACTCTGAATTCAGAGTAAATGTTCCCACAGACTGCTTGTGTTTATTTTACACTCATGATTTTGTTTATTATGGAAAAATGAGTCTATCTGACATTTTTGGAGAAACACCAGGCGAGGACAGACTACAGTGAGTCATAGACTGGGCTCTTCTGCCCCCTAGTGGTCACCTCCTGTAGTAATTCAATAATAAATTCATCTTCAGGGTGAATAAGACAGTATTTATGACAAAGTAAGACGAAATGATTTATAAGCACATTAAAAACAAACCGTGGTAGACTTTGAAATCAATAAGAAGGATTTATTACAGATTTTTGTGATTTTTAAACAAAGTTTTCAACATTTTCACACAACAAATCAGATTTTCTTCGTTATAAAACAATATTTCAGTTTCAGATTGAAGAAAAGTTTCCTAAAAGCGTCAACCATCGATTAAAAAAAAAACAGTCGAACACGTGAACGCATCGTTTAGTTTCCGTGAAGACCGTAAACGCAGCAGGAGAGTCTTCCTTATCTCTGATTGGTCCGTTCTGCGCTGTTTTGACCACGTGATCACAAAGATGGCGGCCTGCGGGGAGAGTGAAGATGGTATGTGGAGTTTTCTTGTTTTTAATAATGTGAGCGGTTTAACTGAAGTATTTTAGTTTGTAGAGTTAAACTCCTGAAGTTAGATTAACAGAGAGTCTTTAACGGAAAATAAAGGATCATAAAGACTCGGCTAACTCTTTAAAAACGGACCAATCATACAGATGTTAGTCCGGATGTGTCTCTGCGGTGAAATTGGGATAAAAATCCAGATTTCAAGATTAAAAACTTCATATATAAAAACTTTTCACACATTTATATAATGTTAAAAACACAGACGAGCCGGCTCCTTAACTTTATGTACACCAGACCTCTGAAAACTTCTACATCTGAGTTAAAGGAAGAAAAAATGAGACAAATTCAAGGTTCAAATCGGAAATAAGTCACATTTAAGGTTTGAATATTTTACATTTGATACAAATGAGAAGTCATAAAGAAGTTAATCAAGGTTCTTGTTTCTCACTGAGTCTCATCAGGATCCAGTAGACCAGGTTCTGGGGTCTGACAGAGTCTTTGATTGAGGATTTCAGCTGCTCAACAGTTCAGGGTCTCCTTGGTCCTGTTTTTGGGGTCACGATGGTCCAAATGTTTTTAATGGGGGACAAGTCAGGACCGCATCAGTCCAGGACTCTTCTCCTACAGAGCCACGCTGTTGTCAGAATCTTCGGACCTGTTTGGTTTTTCCTGTCTGAACTTTATGGCATCAAGTTTGAAACAGTTAAATGAATCAAAAACCATCTTTCACTCTTTTAGATGTAAATAAAGTCTTGACATGATTCGCTAACCTTATTTATTGTGGTCGTTTGTTTCAGACAGTTTGCCCTAAAAGGGCTGGGTGATAAAACAATAATATTGAAAATTAATTTCCCTCAATATCGATATAAAACATTATCAATATGCTTTTTGATAGTCGTCATTCTGACATGCTTTGGTAAATTATACGAACAGCCAATGAAAAGGGGAGTTGGTCCTGGTCTGAACCAATCATGTTCTGAATTAGAACCAAGTATCAACCAACTGCAGCGTCGTAGCAGACAGCAGCTCCACCCAACCATAGCACTTTAACAGGTGAAGCTGACAGCACTGTTGGTGAGAAACAAAGAAAATGAGTGCTACCCCCGACAGAAATGACCATGAAGGCTCAACAGATGACCACATCAATGTCAACCACAACACTGGCGTTAGGAAAACGTCGGTGGTGTGGAGGTATTTTGGTTTTTGGAGGTCGGACATGAAGCAGAGTAATGTGGACTGTAAATTATGTCGAGTACATGTTCTCACAAAGTCGGGGGACCAGACGACCATTCAGTCGGCTTTCTCTAGAGCAGCGCCTTACGACAAAACGCCAAAGAGACACAAAGACCTCACAGATGCAGGAGATTATTGTGTTGGAAAAGAAATGAGACAAAAAAAAGCCGTTACATTTCATTTTTAATACCCTGATATTGATTGATATCAGCTGATAGGATAATAATATATCGTGATAAACTTTTTCCCATAATGCCCAGCCCTACTCTAAACAAACGAAAACAGACTGGAGTTCAGTGATTTGTACTTTCTTAACTTGCATTGATACTTTTCCAGGCATGTTTGGACAAAATAAGATTTTGGAAAATGAGGACCTGGTTCCTGATAGTTCCACCAGATCAAACCCAGAACTGAGGTCTTCTTGGTCATCCCCTGGTTGGCTTCATGAGCGTTTTAGAGTGATCCCGGGTTGTTTTTCCTCCCTCAGGTCAGGACAGTATCCTGGAGCCGCTGTGTTTCCCTGAACAGCCAGCAGAGGGCGGTGGATCTCCCAGTCTGCAGAGATCCAGCTCAGAGCTGCTGGTGTGTCTGTTCTGCCCGGAGTCGGTCCTCCTGCAGCAAAAGGACAGTCTCCTCAAACACCTGCTGCTGGAGCACAAACTGGTCATCGCCGATGTCAAGCTCATCGCAGATCTGCCAAAGTACGAACCCTCGTTTTATTTTCTTTTTACATGTCTGAGAGTTTTAAAGAAATCGAGTGAACGTCTGTCCTTCTGTCCTTCTGTCCTTCTGTCCTTCTGTCCTTCCTCAGCTACTTGTTGTACTGGAGAGGCAGATTCCTGGAACAGCCGATCACAGATTTCTGCAGCGTGATAAAGACGAACTCCACCGGCCCAGTCGGTGAGAAGATCATCAATCATAAGTGAGTTTATAAAACTATCGATCCTTCTGTAACCTGCTGTCCTGGTGTTCTCACAGAGAAGCAGGAGGACTACTTCCTTCTGTGTGACGTCCTTCCAGAAGACCGAATCCTCCGAGAGAGGCTGCAGCAGAAACGGCTGGTGAGGACGAACTCTCCGTCTAAAATCCTGATTATATGTCAGTCTGGGTTTCAGGTTCAGGTTTTCTCTGATGGTTCCGGTCCGTTGCAGGAGGAGGTTTTGGAGCAGCAGCAGAAGGAGAGAGACGACAGCAGCTTCCATCGACTCTGCATGTTCTGCAACGAGGACTTCAGTGGAAACAGGTGACTCACACACAGCAGGGAACCATGTCCATGAAGGGTCAGGCTAGTTCAGGTCCAGGTTTAAGCGTGGTCTTGTTTCCAGGTCGTCTCTGCTGAACCACATGGCTCGAGAACATTCCTTCAGCATCGGTCTGCCGGACAACATCGTCTACTGCAACGAGTTTCTGGACACTCTGCAGAACAAGCTGGATCGGTGAGACCCGACAGAGACCGGACTGACTCTCAGCTCATGTGGGTCTGGTCTGTGAAACTTTAACCCTTTATTCTCCTGCCAGTCTGCAGTGTCTGTACTGTGAGAAGACCTTCAGGGATAAAACCACGCTGAAGGACCACATGAGGAAGAAAGCTCACCGCCGCATCAACGCCAACAACCGAGAATACGACCGCTTCTACGTCATCAACTACCTGGTAAGACCTCGGCACACGGATACAGAGAACCGGTCCTTCCTGTTTTTCTGTTCGTCTTCTTCTCAGGGTGTCGGACTTGGTTTTCAGTTGTTAATGTCCCAGATTTCCTCTCTGCTAACTCATCAGCGTCTGTTTGGAGGGAGGCTGTAGAGATGATATAGTCTAGATTTAAACAGGGGTTTCCTAGATTGGACACGGTCATCTCTCCAGAATCGAATGTGGACGTCAAGCTGTTTCTTTTGTCGACTTGTTGAGCGACTCATCAAACTTAAAGACGAGCTGCCCAGCCTTGTTGAGTGTGTTGATGAGCTCCTGCTTTCAGTTTGGTGCTACGCTGAATCGTATAATGTCACCAGATTTGTCCTGCCACAAAGAAAAATCTTGGCTATGTCTGAATCGAAAAACACGGTCCTGGAAACGTCGGCGGAGTTTTCGTTACTATTCAGCGAGTCGTGTTTCTCAACACCTTCGCATGCAGCGTTGCCGTGCCGCCCAGCGCCACCCTGATGTCGGCAGAAAATGAGGAGGTAGAGTGAGTCGAGGCCGTTAGGTTCAGGTGCGGCTGCTGGTGGTAGTGTGACGGCACTAGGTTGTGGTGGCGCACAGAGAGCAGCAGTGCCTTAATTCCCATCGACACGATGTTGATCCTCTTCTTGCACATTCTTCAACACGCCTCCTCGGTATTCCCCTCCACTGGCCACACCCATTCTGTAAAGTCCGGCATGTCAAGCCAGGACTCCGCAAACTTTTACTTTCCCATGACCGCTCACTGAGCCTTCTCTCCAGAGAGCGTCATGTGACATAGGTGAGTTCGTCATTTGCACTGGGAGCGCTCTCGGAGACAGTTTACGAACACACCCACAGGAGCGTAGTTTCTTTATGTACCTGTTCATCTTAGCCTACATTCACACTTTGTTTTTTAAGGAAAAGAATAAATGTTTAGACGTTTACGATGTTTTTAGGACCCAAACTCTTGGACAGCGAATTCAGAAAAAAATACCTTCAAAATTTAAGACTTAGAGAAGTCGTGAGAAGACGATTTTAATACTTTGTAAGTCACCGCAGATACCCTGAGTGTGATGTCCTCTGTCCTGACAGGAGCTGGGGAAAACCTGGGAGGAGGTCCAGAGTGAGGACGACAGGGAGCTGGTGGAGGACGAGGACGAGTGAGTAACTTTGTCAGGACAGAGTAAACGAGCCCAGAGCAACATCCGTTTATCAGTGCTCGTCTGGCAGGATCTCATCCTGGTCTCTGTGTCGTCTGCAGCGATTGGTCGGACTGGCAGGCTCATCCCGTCTCTGCCGTGTGTTTGTTCTGCGATCATCAGTCAGAGACGATGGACCAGATCTACACTCACCTGAAGGTACAGCACCTGAAGGAACAGGGTTAGACCTGGACATGGAGGCTCTCCGCCCGGGTTCACGGTTCTGTCTGTTTTTGTGTTTCAGGACGGTCACGGGTTCGATCTCCATAAACTGAGGACGGAGCTCAGTGAGTGACGGCCTCAGGATTCCCTCCTTTCTGATTGGTTGTGACTCGGTCAGCTGATATTGTTGATATTTGTCCTTATTTTCAGATCTGAGGTTCTACCAGCAGGTCAAACTCGTCAACTTCATCCGGCGTCAGATCCACCAGAGTCGCTGTTACGGCTGTCAGGAGAAGTTCGACTCCAGAGACGACGTTCTGCGTCACATCGTGGCTGAAGGTCACGTGATGGCGCTGCCAGAAATGTCCACCTGGAACCAACCGCAGTGAGTCCAGGGACCAATTATCGTCCTTCATCTGACAAATCCTCCGAGTAACGACCTCGATCTCTCCTCAGGTATTACTTCCCCACGTACGAGAACGACGCCCTCCTGTGCACGCTGTCTGACAGCGACGAAGGCGAAAATGACGACACGAACCACGGCGAGGACGTCCCTGTCATCGCGGAGGACATCTCGAACCTCAGAGCGCTGAGACAGACGAGCGTCCTCAACCAGCTGCTGAAGAACCGAAGCTCCAGCAGCTGAGAGAGGAGACAGACTTTAGATCCTCTGAACCAGATGAGGCGAGAACTCTGAAAACCAGGAACCTGAGAGCACTTAAACCAGGCGAGCCGCACAAACATGAACTTTAGAGCAGCTGAGAGCAGAGACAGCTGCAGCGAACGTGTCCGTCAGACGGTTTATCACCGGTCAGGGAATAAAGATTCACCACAAACTTTTGTTTCTAGAGTATAAAGTTTGTTTCTTTGACCAAAAATGTTTCTTTATTTTATCCTGTTAAAGTAACAAACTCCGACGGTAACACTTCAAACTAACGACACAAAACAAAAGTTTGATTTCTGAAAAAGTAAATCTGGTGTTTTTTATTTAACTGGGTCCAAATACAGGGCTTGACATGAACTCTTTTCACATGTTCTCACAAGTTGAACAAGAAGCAGACAAACAACTTTAGGGGCACAATGAAAATTGATCAAATAAAACACCTGCCAACACTTTAATTTTTCTCAGGACTCTCCAGTATCTCAGACCTCTCCCCCTTCGCCCTCCTCCTGTATTGTCATTTCTCCCAGAATCTCCCGTAGTTTGATGGTCCACGTTCATTCATGAGTCGGATCACTACATTGGTCCAAAGTTTCCTGAAGATTGTCGTGTGTTTCTGCTGATCCTCACAGACTCTGGATTAATACTTTTACAGTTTGGGACGATTCAGGTCGGTTTCAGCTGTAAACTATATTTAAAGAGTGTTTGTTGTAAAATGAAGACTTTAGTGAAAGGAAAACAAACCTGAGATATAATATTTACATTGATCGTCTTTCACCGTCTCGGAGTGATGCGTTCAGGGCAGCCTCAGATAAAAGAGCGCTGTATTTCACACACAGATGTTCAGAGAGACTCAAACAGGAGGGAGAGCATGTAAACATATGAGGACGTTAACACTAATATTACTGGACTAAACAAGTTCAAGGCAGATCGTAGATATTATTTTTTTATGACCATTTGTTACTGTTAAAACAGAAAAGAGTGCAGCTTCACTTCGACTTATTTGGATGAGCAATCTAACTACAAATACTCTCATAATGAGCTCATATCCACAAGACAAGGGAACCTCCAAACTGCCGCAAATATCTCCCCGATTTTATAATCCAAATGTTGGCAGGTATGAAATGACGTTTGTCTTATTGATCGACCTTAGTACTATTTTTAGACATCAATTTTAGTTCTTTTGGTCACATGACAGTGAAGCTATTGAAGGAAAACAGCCTTTTCTGAGAACATCAACCGGTAATTTATTGACGGTCCCTTATTCAACACCGACGTTGACAGTGAGGGTGTCGAGTAGATTTAACCGCGCTGCTGTTGTTATTCCCGGTTATGGAGAGTGAGAAGACACCGGTAGATCCTCAGAGAATGTCCGTCAGATATCCAACCTGAAACTAACTTCACCGCCGTATTTACAGGAAAATATATCCAACCTGAAACTAACTTCACCGCCGTATTTACAGGAAAATATATCCAAACTAAAACTAACGTCACCGCCGTATTTACAGGAGAATATATCCAACCTAAAACTAACTTCACCGCCGTATTTACAGGAGAATATATCCAACCTGAAACTAACTTCACCGCCGTATTTACAGGAAAATATATCCAACCTAAAACTAACTTCACCGCCGTATTTACAGGAAAATATATCCAACCTGAAACTAACTTCACCGCTGTATTTACAGGAAAATATATCCAACCTGAAACTAACTTCACCGCCGTATTTACAGGAGAATATATCCAACCTGAAACTAACTTCACCGCCGTATTTACAGGAAAATATATCCAACCTGAAACTAACTTCACCGCCGTATTTACAGGAGAATATATCCAACCTGAAACTAACTTCACCGCCGTATTTACAGGAAAATATATCCAACCTGAAACTAACTTCACCGCTGTATTTACAGGAAAATATATCCAACCTGAAACTAACTTCACCGCCGTATTTACAGGAGAATATATCCAACCTGAAACTAACTTCACCGCCGTATTTACAGGAAAATATATCCAACCTGAAACTAACTTCACCGCTGTATTTACAGGAAAATATATCCAACCTGAAACTAACTTCACCGCCGTATTTACAGGAGAATATATCCAACCTGAAACTAACTTCACCGCCGTATTATAGGAAAATATCTCCAACCTGAAACTAACTTCACCGCCGTATTTACAGGAGAATATATCCAACCTGAAACTAACTTCACCGCCGTATTTACAGGAAAATATATCCAACCTGAAACTAACTTCACCGCTGTATTTACAGGAAAATATATCCAACCTGAAACTAACTTCACCGCCGTATTTACAGGAGAATATATCCAACCTGAAACTAACTTCACCGCCGTATTTACAGGAAAATATATCCAACCTGAAACTAACTTCACCGCCGTATTTACAGGAAAATATATCCAACCTAAAACTAACTTCACCGCCGTATTTACAGGAAAATATATCCAACCTAAAACTAACTTCAGAAATATACGGATAAAAAAAAGGCCCTGAGTCTGGAGGGTCTGGAAATCCTACAAAACCAAAGTGCCGAGTAATGACTTTGTAGAGCGTATAACTAGTTTGTGCGCTGGATCTCATTAAAGGGGCAAAAACTCCCACGACCTCCCTTTAAAAGGCCGAACTATCCCTTTAATAAACTCTGTTTACAGCTCCATGTTCTCCATCTTTAAACAGCAGTGTTACTAACAGCATGTGGAGACACTGATCATGTGTTGTCTGAGGGTGTGCACACTCTATTGTCTTAAGATAGCAGACACAGAAGAGGAATATTAAATCAGCTGTTATGGAAATATGGAGCGGATCGTGGAGTCGGAGGTGGTGCTGGCAGACAGAACCGTGTTTTAGTTCCAGGTCTCCTTTAAGGAACATCCATTCAGATTCAGAGAACTGCTCCCAGGTTTCACAGCGGACTTGCTCCACACTCCGTCTACTTGGCGGTCTTGTTTTTCGCCGGTACAACGTTCTGCGTCGCTTTTCCAAGTGAAACCTGCCGAATGGTGGAGCCGAACTGCAGCGTGCTCAGAGTCTCCGTCACGTCCTTGCTGTCTGGACTCACGTTCACGAACACGCAACACTGCAGAGACAGAGAAACCACAGAAGAAGAAGAAGAACCTGTTCACACTGATTCCTCTATCATGTTGTTAGAGCTGCAGCTTCTAACCCCCAATTTTCACCGCATCCAGAACGGCTCCGATCTGGAACAGCTGCGATTTACGACGTACGCCAATTCCTACCGGATCCATTTGTGAGGCGAATTTCGCGGAGGATTACAGACAGCAGGAATCGCGAGAACTCATAAGAACCCGCGGATTCACGTTCAATCACACAATAACGAGTTGTCTCTATAAAGACAGACACATAGACATATAAGCAGTAGATTGTGTCCTTCCAGAGGAGGAAATCTACTTCTAGACTTCTAGAATCAGCATCTCCTCATCCATGGTGTCATCGGGGTGAAATGACGTCTAAAAACCTTTCACTTGTTCGTCTCCGCCCGTTTGCATGGTGTGAAATACGATCCTCCTGAAACACGGAGTGTTTTATTTTGAAAAGAAGACGGATGTTTTATTTTGTGTCTGTGCCCGACTTCCTTTCCAGCACGGGTTAATCTGTGCTGAATTTATCCGCCATGCTCCGGCGTCCAGAAAAACTAGAACTCTTGTGATCAGCTGAGGAGTCCGGCGATCCGCAGAAGAAAGGAAAGAAGTCGGTGTAAATCGACACGTTAACTTGAATGGTTACGATCAGCTACGATCGGAGGATACGACCTTTTAGGAGATGTTTCAGGTGCGGTGGAAATTGGGGGTTAGACGCTCCGGCAGTCCGGACACCTTTACCTTTGCGTCTCCGCTGAGGCAGGGCTGCAGGAGGTGGGTCAGTTTGGAGTTCCTGAACGGGACGTGGAGAGCGTTACACTTCAGAGCGCTGAACACCTGGAGAAGAGAAAGCAGTGACCTTTGACCTGAGCGATCAAACCTCCAGGAGGACGGCACACGGCCTGTTAAATCTGAGTCAGGTTGACTCCGGACCCCCACCAGGTGGGTCCTCAGAGTCTCCTTACCTGTCCCAGCGCTGTCAGTGATTTGTTGATGGCGGCGGCCTCCACCAGCCTCTGACCCTCCGCCTCCGTCTTTGAGATCCTCTCAGATCCAGCGAGATCACACAAGGTCAGGGTTCCTCGAGACGTCAGCCCCGACACCTCGTCCGAGCCCTCCACCTCCAGCGCCACCACCAGGTGAGAGCGAGAGCTGGGGGGGAGAAGAGGCGTCACATCATACTCTGAACTTTGGCGTCCATATTCCCGAGTCAGAGTCAAAGCGTCACCTCTGAGTGTTCATCTTGGTCGAGGCGATCTTGCGGTTCTTCTCTCCCGTCTCCATGACGTTGAGGATGTCGGCCTCGGTCTGGACCTGGATCTGGGTCAGTCCTGGGACAGACACCGACTTCCCCTGGACTCGGATGTCCAGAGCGGCGCCCGGGTTTTTGGTCAGAAGGTCGTTCAGAGTCTCGTTATAAATCTCCAACATCGATATCTGGAAGTAGAAAAATTACCGTAAACCTTCTAGTAAGAGCTCCTCAGAGTTTTTTAATAATTAGGTGCAGGTCTCAGAGTCAGGCTGATAACTTTGATCACGTTCACACTGAACTCGGCGTCACAGGAAGTTTTTGAGTGTATTTAGGAGTCAAACCTTCAGAGTGTAGGAGACTTTGTCTTTCTCTGCACAGATGCGGAGAAGTTCCCGTATGGACCTGCGGACACAAACACACCGTCCTGTCAGTGTGTGTGTGTGTGTGTGTGTGTGTGTGTGTGTGTGTGTAACAGGAGACGGGATGAGGCTGTTGTTTGTGTCCTCTCTGACAGGACACTCGAGCTCTCCTGTAAACCGACTCTCATCACTTATTGATGAACCCATGTCAGCTGACACGTCACATAACGACACACAATTAGTCTCATTTGGCCCCTGACAGCAGGTCCTTGTTCCAGACTCGGGGGGGGGGGGGTGAATGACAGCAGAGGGATCTTAAACCTGACGGGTCGATAAAGAACGAGTGAACTCCACTGTCAAACCGACCCCTGTGTTTTCACACCTGCAGAGTAACGTTAAAGGGATATTCCGGCGTAAACGACACCCCCTCCAGAGATGAATGTTGTCGACCGCTTGCTTCTCTAGTTATACCAACTTTAGTAACGACCGCAGGATAGTAATACAGAGAGACACGCCCTCAACCGAAACGCCACTCTATAGACACAAATAATGCGCACAACCCACAGGACCCGGAACGGCTCCACTCCGCTCCGGCACGGCAGCCTGGTCGCAAGCATTGAAATCAATGTGTGTGATTTCACAGAATCCGTCTGGTGTCTGTCTCCACTGTGGATTGGCTCCGGCGGTCCGCAGGGCTTCTAATTCTGCCGGACGTTCTGAGCATTATTTGTGGCTATAGAGTGGCGTTTTGGTTGAGCGCGGTGTTACGGCGTGTTTGACCCTAACTTAAATTTACGCCGGCACATCCCTTTAACATTGTTAGAGCAGCTGAACCTGATGTTGACTCCGGGGTTTTCCTTGTTGCCCATCATGGTGAAGGTCTTTCCCGAGCCGGTCTGTCCGTAGGCCAGGATGCAGACGTTATATCCATCAACACACGAGGTTATGACGGGGAGGGTTCCTGCGAACACGTCGTCCTGCAGAGATCGAAGAAGAATCAGTGAGACCATCTCTGAAAAGACGGCGTCACCGCCTGTCATTAGATCAGGCTAAACTAATCAATTCACTCCAATCATTTTCTCATGGATACAGGGCTGCAGCTGTGGGACATCACAGAGCTCGTTAGGTTCTGCGGCTCGTTAAGGCTAACGGCTCGTTAAGGCCTTCCCTGACGGCACATTATCATTCCTCACGGTGATGTTTAAGAGGATGAAGGATGAGGATGAGGTGTTATTGAGCTCAGACACAGGCAGCAAATATTCCTCTAAAATGACTCCAAAGATCCAGGACTGTGTGGACCAAAACATGAAGATCATTAAGAAGAATATTGATCCTGAAGGTGCAGAAATTATGGGATGGTAAACATGTTTTCATCCTGAACTCAGCCGTGACATAAACAGTGATAACCCCGATCTGAAGGAACCAGGACCGGTCAATCAGGAGAGAAGGACCAGGAAACCGTCCTCACCTGAGAGCTGCTCTGAGAGAAGACTTTGTCAAACTGGAACCTCTTCTTACTTCCCTTCTGGACCACCACCACCTCCTGATCCTCGGTCTTCTCCACACAGGGGTTGGAGCTGGAGCTCTTCCTGCAGCGACAGAACACCCGGATGTTTCCCTGCAGCTCCAGCAGCTTGTTGTAGAGACTCTTCCTCTCCACCGCCTCCTTCCTGTAGAGAGATCTCAGCTCCTCCACCTCCCCGGCTGCCTCCAGCTCCCCCTGGGCCAGTTTCCCCACCGCGCCCTTCAGCTGCTCCAGCTGGTTCTTCATGTCGTTCAGCGTCTGGTGGACGGTGGATCGAAGCTGCTTGTTGGAGACGTTCAGCTCCCGGGTCAGGCGGCTCACCTGGCGGAGCAGGTCTGGCTCCACAGAGGACTTGGTGACGGTTTTGGTTGGTGGGACGGCAGGGGCACGGCGGTGCAGGAGGGATCGGATCTTCTCCCGAGCTTCCTGCTGGTCGGCCTCGAGCTCGGCTAACTTCTGGTTCAGGTGCTGGACGACCTCGCTGAGGTATCGCACCTCTCTGGCTAAGTAGCTGTTCCTCTGGAAGAGGTTGTCTGCGTCTTTCTCTTTGGTCTGAAGTTTCTGCTTTAGATCCTCGATGACCCGGTCTCTCTCCAGCAGGGCCCTGCAGGGTCAAAGAAAGATGGTTTTACATAACTGTGGACCTCTGTCAAAGTTTCCTGTCCTAGCTGAGACGAGAGAATCGGTGATCAGCTGAAGGAACTTTTCAAACTCTGACTAAATTCGATCCGACTTCTTGTTTGGTTCCAGGAAACAGCACAAAACGACCTCGGCTGCTCTTCAAGATTTTAGGGTTATAAAGACAATAAGCGGCTCGGTGAAGCTCACTGTGGACCCTGCAGGACTCCGACAAAGACTGGTGAGACGGTTCATCTCAACAAAGACCTGATGGACAGGACTCAGAGTGTGCTGGTTAGAGGCCGAACCTCCAGCTCTCAGGAGTTCCCCAAGTGTCGTTGTTTGGACCACTGAAGTTTATTCTCCTTGTAAATAATAGAGAAGTTCGTCTCTATGCAGACGACACTGAAACATACTCCTCTGTATCTGATTCTTCTCAGTTACAGCTCACTTCTTTAAACTGTTCAACAAGTTTTTTTTTTAACTTTTTTTTTTATGTATAAAAAAAAAGTTTTTAAGAACAAATCCAAGTCCTCAAACCCTGATCTTTTACCCCTCAGGACCCTCAGACCGAGTCTATACCAGACTAACACCCTCACTGTTCTGACTCGTAGACCTCCACGACTCGGTCTTGAGTCTCAGTTTTTTCCACCTTAGGCAGCTGGAAAAGGTGAAGACACTTCTTGGACAAAAGCACTTTGACACATTAATCCACGTCTTCATCACGTCTCGGCTGGATTACTGTAACGCACTTCATTATGGAGTCAGTCAGTCTTCGCTCGCACGTCTCCAGTTGGTCCAGAATGCGGCCGCTCGTCTTTTAACCCGATTGTGTAAGAGGGGAGAATCACTCCCGTTTTTAAATTCCTTTTAAGTTTCTTTTATTTGTTTTTAAAACCTTAAATGTTCTGGTCCAATCATACCTCTCTGAGCTGCTTCACCCCTACGCTCGCAGGTCAGCTGACCAGCTGCTCCTGCAGGTACCGAGGTCTTAGGGGAGGTTCAGAGGAGACCGAACTGTTTCTGTTGCTGCTCCTACGTTATGGAACAACTAACTTCTCCACATCAGACGATCTCCCTCACTGTCCATTTTTAAAACAGTGTTTGTTTTATTGCTTTTTATCATATTTTAAAAAACTATTTAAAGTTGTTTTATGTCTTTATGTTCTTCTGTGCAGCCCTTTGTTTCAGCTTTGGTCGTATTTAAAGTGCTCTATAAATAAAGTTGAGTTTGCTGCAGACCTGAAGGAGTTGAGATCTGCGTAGTTTTGGTCTCCACCTGGAGGGACCTGCAGGAGGATTTCCCCGAACATGGTGAGGTAGAGGGAGATGACCTCGTCGGGGTCGTAGTTACACTGTCTGAGGGCGGCGGTGATCTCCTTCTGGTCCACCAGGCCTGGCAGAGTGGACTAGAACCAGAAACCAGCAGTTTAGTCCTAGTCTTTAAGAGGGTACACAGAGTAACACCAGAGTCCTCCTCACCATGACTCGTTGGACCCGATCTTTGACGAACTCGACATTTATCTCCCACTGAAGCGGCAGCAGCAGCCAGAGACCCGAGTGAGGATCCCAGAACCGGCACACATTCACCCTCTCCTGGAAAAAAACCAACAACTGCAGAGTCAGCAAAAAGAAACAGACGACGACGATGATGATGATGATGATGATGATGAAGTTACTGTGAGGAAGCTGCTTCAGTCTGACCTCGAACATGTAGGTCATGACGGTCCCTTTGCCCTGGATGTAGATGCTGCCGGTCCGGTCATCCTCCCTGACGGCCGTCTGGCTGCTGGTCTGAGTCTGGAGCTGGGTGGAGGTCTGAGGGTGAAAACACAGACCTGTTTCCTGTGACCTTCAGGTGAGTTTGTGTTTTTAAAGTTCAGAAAAGAGAGAGAGAGTCAGACCTCAGTGTTGGGGCTGATGAAGTGTCCCTGACTGAACCACTCTTTAGGAAAAGGCTGCAGCTTCTGGAGGAAGAGGAGGAGCAACAACGAGGAGTTAAACCAGACCGCAAAGACCCAAAGTTCAGACAGAGAAACAGGAAAAAGTGGATTTTCAGCTCCTACGTGTGCCTCGTCCACATAAACTCTGTTCCCGTGATGGTTGAAGCAGCTGTACAGAGTCCCGTTGTTGTGGAGGAAACTCTCGAAATCCAAAGACAGCTCTTCGCTCTCTGAGACCGATTCCTTTGAAAAGATCGAGAGACGCAGAGAGAGACGGCGAGACCGAGTCAGGTGTTTAAACCGACTCCACAAACAAGACAAAAGATCAGGACTTTAATCTGTTTGGTTATTACTCTTTAACATTTATTTATCTGTTTGATTGTTCCTCTTTAACAACTTTTTCACTGTTTTGTTGTTCCTCTTTAACAACTTTTCTATCTGTTTGGTTATTACTCTTTAACTTTTTTTATCTGTTTGGTTATTACTCTTTAACTTTTTTTATCTGTTTGGTTATTACTCTTTTACATATATTTTATCAGTTTAGTTGTTTCTCTTTAACATATTTTTGTATCTGTTTGGTTGTTTATCTTTAACAACTTTTTCACTCTTTTGTTGTTCCTCTTTAACATTTTTTTTTTGTTTGTTTGGTTATCACTTTTTAACCTTTTTTTTTATTCGTTTTTTTTTTGTCCGATTGGTTGTTCCTCGTTAACAACTTTTTAACTGTTCTGTTGTTACCCTTTTAGCATTTTAAAAAAAAATCTATTTGGTTGTTCCTATTTAACATTTTTTTTAACACTTTTGTTCCTCTTTAACATTTTGTTATCCGTTTGGTTGTTCCTCTTTAACATTTTTTTACAGTGAAGTTGTTCCTCTCTAACATTTTTTTTTTACAGTTAAGTTGTTCCTCTCTAACATTTTTTTTTTTACAGTGAAGTTGTTCCTCTTTAACATTTTGTTATCCGTTTGGTTGTTCCTCTTTAACATTTTTTTTTTTACAGTGAAGTTGTTCCTCTCTAACATTTTTTTTTTACAGTTAAGTTGTTCCTCTTTAACATTTTGTTATCCGTTTGGTTGTTCCTCTTTAACAATGTACCGACATCAAGTCTTAAGAAGTTTTCAAACCTTCAACATTTCTGAATCTCCCTCAGACAAACAGTACAAACCGTCTTTAATGTAATGTTGTTTTGTCTAGTTATGTACAGCACTTTGTTCAGCTGTGGTTGTTTTAAAGTGCTGAACAAATAAAGTTGAGTTGAGTATTTTAATATAATTGATTATTGATTTTTATGATACATTGAAATTACAGACATGGTTAACTGCTGTTATTTTATGAGTCATGCGTTCGTATCATAACAGATCAATTATTTATGTTCTGGTTGAATATTTTAAAAAATGACTCACAGCAACAGGAGCAGGACTCAGGACAGTCCGAGTCGTTTCTTCTTTTACTTCTTCCTCCTTCCCCTCTTCTTCTTCTTCTTCTTCTTCTCTTTCTTTTTCTCTTTTTTCTTCCTCTTTCTTCTCCTCCTTCTGAGGGCTCATTTCTTCACTTTTCAGAGACTGGACTTCTAAAGTGTGACTCTCCGGCTTTGCTGCTTCCTCCTCAGCCTGAAAACACTCAATAAAACCACATCTTAGAGTTTTTTTCTCACCGTTTTATTCATTTATTTATTAAACTGTTCACCTTAAACGATAAACCACGACTTTATATCACTTTTAGCTACGATTGTTTCTCCTTTATCCCGATCTTCTCCATCCGTATGTCAGAAGTTTCTTATTTTTGTTCTGATGTATGGATTAAATCTTCAGGTATCTCACCTGCAGAGTGGTGTCGCTCCTCCCCGCAGGTGTGGAGGCTCTCATGGCTTCAGCCTCCCCGCCCTCCTGCCTCTCCAGCCGGGGTCCCTCGCTGACGGACGCTCCGCTGCCCATCCTCAGTTCTGCAGAGAGAGAGAGAGAGAGACTAACAGCTTCAAAGACCCGGGGCCGACGTCAGAGAGAGAGACAGGTGTAACCTGACACACCTGAGTGTGACTGAGAGGCTGAGCTGTGACACAGGAGCGTGTGAAGAATTTCAGGTCTGATATTCATGATTTTACCACAACTGTTTTTATTTTAATGATTTTAATGAATCTAGAAAACTTCATTATTTTTAGTGACAAAAGGAAAAAGTTGGTAGAAAGTAAAAATAACTTTTAATTAGTTATTAAAGGCCTGTCTCCTTTTTTTTCTTTCCTTTTTTTCTAACTTTGTGAAAAAGTTTTTAAAACTTTCAGACTTTATCTGAAATTCAGCTGCACAAAGTTTAAAACTGTTTTCTCTGTTTTCTCACCATGTTTAAAACAGAAATGATGATTATTCTGTGACTGAATTCACACGTGGAAGTAAGTTTTCATTTTTCCTAATGCACCTGAAGGCAGCTCACGTAGCTGTCGCAGGCCTCTGTTCCCTCCCTGTTTAGGAAACTTTTTAATGAAACTGTTTTCTTATAAAACTACAAAAATATAAGACAGCTGCCTCAGATCAGTCTTTGAGTAATTCTCCCTCCAATGATCAGTCAGCAGAGTTTAAACACAGCAGGTCCAAGCAGAGAGGTTAAAGGGGCCATGGCATGAAAAACTGACTTTGTTAACGGGAGGGGGGGTGCACATCAGGGATAGAAAACCGCTACAACCCCAACCCCCACCTCGAACAAATTCCATCCAGTCGTTTTTATTTATCTCCGTATTTAGGAACTGTGTGCTCAGAGCCGTTCTGAAAACTCCACTGACATGACGTCATGTCAGTGCTGGCGGGTTGATGGTACTGCCCACGGAGCCGCCCACTGCCCCCCATTATTTCCGGCCGCTCGCTCACGTAGCTCCGGTTAGAACCATGGCGGAAGTACGATCAGAAAAAGAGGCAGCGTTTGCTCTATTGTTGGCTGCACAAACGAGCACAAAAATCTTTTGAAAACTCCCTCATCGGAGAATTTGAGGAATCAATGGGTGGATTGTATTTATAATGGGAATGTAGCCGCGGCACCTCCAAAATATCTGCATACATTCGCACCATTTCACTTCGGACTGTTTTATCTACGAGGGACAGTTCAATGCTAGATGTCTGAAGATAAAGAATGGATCCGTACCAACTATCCGTGATCCTACTACAAACGTGGCATCTGTAAGTGTGAACGTTTTATTTTGACTTCCTGTTTAGCCTAAATTCCCCCGGTGCCTCAGCACGGCCAACTCCGGCGGCTGGGGACAAAATCCCCCTTCGGAGCAGCATGTAGCTTTAGCATTTAGCCGTGCGGCGACGCGCCTCTTTTGGCTCAAATTCGGGACGTCCCGGCTTAGCGTGACCCTCCTGGAGGCTTTGAATAATATATAGGACGTGTCGACTAGGTCGCTTCAAGTCGCGTTTGGTCTGAACGCGGTTAAGAGTTTCTTCCGGAGCCTCCCCCTCTGGGTCAGACTCTGGTTCTAACTGGTAGGGTTGTACGAGCGATCTTCTTGCAGCCATGACCGAGCCAGTGTAAACATTAGCACACGGCTATCGGAGCACAGCCACAGCCCCTTCCAGAGAGATGGGTGGAAAGTGGACGTGGTTTAGTTGCAGCTCATTTCATTAAAGAGTCATGGAGCCAAAACAGAGGATTTTGAGCGGAGCTGTTTTTAGCTGATAAAAAGAGCACTAAAATAATTGATCCAAATTGAAGACAAACAAACGAGGTTATGGATCATTTAGAGCCTCATCATAGTCACAATAGTTGATTTAAACATAAATCTAGACTTGTACAGTTGTCATTATAACAAAAAAAAAAAAACAAAAAACTGTAGATGGTACCAGGCTGAAGGCAAACATGTCTATCTCTGTTGAGACAGCCTCTAGTGGTCTCTAGTGGTCTCTAGTGGTCTCTGGTGGCATCCATCCATCTTTGCATCCATCCATCCATCCATCAGTTCCACTCAGAGGGAGGTCTGTTTTTGATAATCTAAAGATGAAAATGTGACTTTATCTTCAGGAGTCACTCGAAGACGTTTACAGGATCATCAGGTTTGAAGGTCAGAGATGGTCGGAGAGCGTCTGGTGATGATGTCATGGTTTGCTGGTTTTGGTCTGTACATCCGGTTTGTTTTATAAAAAAAAGAGAGAGAGAGAGAGAGAGACATCAGCAATCGTCCGTCTGCTCCTCTTCAGCTGAAGAAATCTTTAGAAATGGCCTCCACACAGTTTGTTACAGTAACAAAAACAAGCACTGGAGTCAGGGTCAAAACTAACTCAAAAGCTGTTGTGAGCGGTAGAGACGCGGCGAGAAGAAGAAGTAGCATCAGTAAGTTTACTTTCAAGCAGCCGAGAGTGGGAGCTGAGCATGAGTCTGAAATTTCTGTTAAATTAATAAAAATGAGAAGAAGTGAAACTTCCTCCAGCGTCTGCTTTTATACTCGGCTGTAACATTCGCCGCAAATAGAGTGGGCGTGTTTGGAGGGAGTTTCCTGTTCCGTGTTCAACTCATATTCAGAATGGTGATCGGGATGTTTGGATATCAGGTGATAATTTAAACCCAACGTGAAGAAACTCTTTGCAGATGCTCCCCCTCTTGAAATTTTAGCATTACAGGCTGCGCCAATTGCCTTTCGTAGTTTTTAGATACATAGAAATACATCCTTTTTGTTCGCTTCATCACAACATCTGTTTCAGTCACATTGTTTCGGTGAGAAAACTGTTTCAGCCCAAAACCGAAAATGCACTTTTTGGCCATTTTGGGTGGCCAAATTTTTGGTGCATCCCTGGAATATAGCGAGTAATATAGTTTCTAAATGTATTTATCCTCACTCGGTGTGTGAGCCCTGGACGTCTAGATGAACAAAAAGATGATATCCTGGCAGGAATGGAAGAAAGACTCACACTAAACTCTTCCTAAACAGCTTCCAGCCTCTTGTCTGTTTACAGTTTTTTTTTTTTTTACTGGCAATTAGCCATCTGCTGCCACCCAGTGACATACAAGAGTATGGCTCCTACACTCACTTTATTATAGCACAGACACTCGACAATGGCATATTATTAGCAAATTGGATAATTTCCCACGGCACACCTGACGATCTCTCACGGCATACTAATGTGCCACAGCACAGTACACTCAAACTGCTTCTCAAAACTGCACACTCATATCTAGTGTGTGAAACAGCATTGTTTTTCTTTCTTCTATGCACATTCCTTACAAACCTGTGTAAAGAGAGTGAGCCAAAATTCCTCCACAGCACTGTAAAAGACTCATTGCAAGTTATCACAAAAGCTTGATTGCAGTTGTTGCTGCGAAGGGTGGCACAACCAGTTATTAGGTTTAGGGGCAATCACTTTTGCACACAGGGTCATGTAGTTTTGGAATTTTTTTCTTCCTTAATTATAAAAAACTTCATTTAAAAATTGCATTTTGAGTTCACTTGTGTTGTCTTTGACAAATATTTAAATTTGTTTGATGATGTGAAACATTTCAGTGTGACAAACATGCAAAAAGATAAGAAATCATGAGAGGCAAACACTTTTTCACACCACTGTATATAGATATGAGGTGCAGAGGGACATGCAACAATGTGCAAGAACTGCAAGGGGGGTAAGAACATACATGCATATAATGTATAAATGTATTTATACTCAGCCCTGGACGTTTAGATGAACAAAAAGCTGATATCCTGGCAGGATTGGAAGAAAGACTCACACTAAACCCTTTCTAAACAGCTTCCAGCCTCTGTGTGTTTACAGTTTTTTTACAAGCATAATATATATATATATATGTATATATATATATATATATATATATATATATATATATATATATATATATATAAAACAAAAGAGATGAGCAACAGGGACACAGACAAAGATTTTGAGTTTTTTTTTATTCAAAACTTTATTAAGTTAGAAGTAATTAGTTCAACAGTAAATTAGACTAGATTAGATACAACTTTATTTATCCGTTTGAGAAGATTCCCTCAAGGACATTAAAAATCTGGTAACATCATATGTACAGAAAAGAAAAACAGAATGATCAAATATACAACATAGATATAAAGAATAAAGATATAGTAGAAACTTCAGATAATTCAAGTCTGTATCTATATAAAATTAGGATGTAAAGCTCTGGACATTTGCACATTACTGTTACAACAACAACTACTGCGAGTGCTAAATGAATCACTGAAATAAAAAGGGCCAAACTCAACAAAAGAAGAGTGAGGGACATGGCCAACCACACAATAGGCCATAGGACCAGTCACCACCCTTAACTAAAACAAAGACATTCTTCAGTTATCAACTTTCATTGGCAAGAAAGGCTTCCATGTGCATTTTATTGGTTCAAGTATCGGATTCTATTGGATATGAATGGATTGGATTGGTTGGGGTTGCCGAAGTTCACTGTGAGTTTGTCTATGCGGACAAACGACCGGTTATAGATCTGGTTCAATGGGGAAAGGTCTTGGAGTAAATTCAATTGGTCCGGGCTGCTGACGTTCACTGTGAGATTGTCTATGCGGACAAATGAAGTATTTAATGGAGGTGTTGCATAGGACCTGGGGTCAAACAATGGTCCTGTCTGACCAACAACGGGAAGGGAAGGACCACTGACATCAAACACAGGTGATATCCTTTGTTGCACCCCGGCCAGCTTCCTTCCCATTGTGGAAGGAACATTATCAGACAGAAACACATGGTGATCGTAAAGCTTTCTAACATATTTGTTGAAGTCTTCCTCACATTTTCCAGACTTCACAAATCTCCCTATAGTGCCGTAACTGGAAACTGTCATCATCCACTGGTTGATGTCCTCCAGAGTTATGCTGAGATCTTCCAGAGCATTCTTCACAGAGGAAGATACCTGATATTGGAATCTGAGAACCACGTGCTCCAGATCTTTAGCTCTCCGGGCGATTTCTTGAAAGAGTTCCCTTTTGACACAGATATTCGCAGCCTCTCTGTAGATGTCATTGAATAACGATTCAAGATTTGAGATAAGTCCGTTCACAGGCTGTAAAGACAGAAAGGTGGTTAGTTTATAAGGAAACTGAAGGAAGACACAGTTCTCCAGCCAAGTCCAAAAATGGAAGACTTCGTCTGCTTAGAAGAAACCTTTCCTTACCTGTAGGTCCATATTGATTTCTGAATGGAGAGGTGACACTTTTTATCCTTCAGCACTACAAGAGAAAAATCCTTGCTTTAAAAAAAAAGTTCTCTTATGGTGTGAGCTCAAAAAAGTTAAAAAACAAAACAAAAAAAAAACAACAAATATTTCATCAAATTAATTTTTTTCCAGACACCAATAAAGGAGTACAACCTCCTAAAGAGGATATCAAGTGATATGAGCAAAACACCTCACACAATCCATTAAGAGTGTTCGCCTTCAGGTATATGCAGAATATATGAAGTGTAAATGAAATACTTTGAAATATTTGAAGGTTTTTTTACCTGTTGATGTTGATGATGTGCAGCCTCCAAGTCCTGATGTGCAGGTGAGGAGAAAAACGAATGAACCTTGTTTTATCCTCGTTCATCCTGACTGGTTCCCCTCACGTCATGAACCTGAAACACACCCACACGTGTGCTATTGTTCCAGGAAGTCTTAATAAAAACTTATTTATCTCATCTGAACTCTTCCCCTCACGTGATGAACCTGAAACACACCTACACCTGTGATCATTAATGGAGCAAATTACTAATGGAACAAATTACTGCTGGGCAAGGGACTCATGTGTGACCGGGCCCTTTGTACCCAATAAAGCTCATGATAACATCGCTTTACAGCATATACAAGCCTGCAAAAGCAGGGCTTACCAGGTTACATTTTGTCATTTTAAAGTCAATCAAACAGAAATGAAGTCGTAGTCAAACCAAGAGAATAACAAAACAATAGACTACCTGGTCTCTGTGTGGTTTATCCCTTACTGCTTTTTGTGTCATTTGTCTTTGTATCTTTTGGCTTTTGCTGCCACTTCTGCTGCATTATTTCCTCTTGCTACTCTGCTGTGTTCTTTTTGATGTCCTCTACACTTTACTATGGCTACCTGTTGTGGCTCTAATAATGTGTCATAAAGGTCAACAGTTGGTTCAAACGTTCAGCAGGGGTACCAGATGAGATCACAAAACCTTTCTTTCTCCAATGGCACATGTCTACGTGTACAACAAAAGACCTTCTGAATCTTTCTGTCCTGCAGTGAAGAGAGAGAAGCTGTCCACCATCATTAGCCCTTTGGTCCATCAAGGTTCTTCAGAATGGTCTCCACCTTCCTCAGTGTAGATCTCTCCACCACATCCTCCACTGAGTCCAGCCTTTTTCACCAGTTTGTTCAGACGTCTTCATCTTTGTGTTTGATGTTTCCTCCCCAGCAGACTGCAGCGTAGAACAGAACACTGTAGATCTACACCACAGGCTGATAAAACATCTGCAGCATCTAACTACAGACGTCTTTTTGTAGATGAAGTCTATAGTCTTAGACCAAGTATTTATATGATGACACCACTTTGATGTCCACGCCACAGGTGTTCACTGGCTTCATTTTCTTTGTCTTTGAGGTGTCGAGTAGGAGGCAGTTTTTGTCAATCCAGTCACTCAAGGCTCTGATCAGAGCTCTGTATTCGGCTTCTTGTCCATTTCTGATAGATAGATAGTTGCAGTTTTATCTTTTGCTAGTTTACATGTGTCCGATTCTCCTGCTGGTTTTTGAGAGCTGGTGTCTCCTGGGAATGGAGCAGTTTGAAGCAGGCCATTCCTTATGATTACTAGAGGGCCCGTCATAGGAGGTGAGCTCTGGGTTGTTTGTGTTTTCTCAGACTGTGTTTGTGGCACCTGGGGCCTGTTCTACGAAGCAAGTTCAATTTAGCGAGGTAGCCTTGGAGCTTCCTCGCTCAACTTAGCGCGGTAGCCAGCGGTCTCGCTAAGCGGTTTTACGATGCTGGTTATCAACCTCATAAGTGGATCCAGCTTTGCTATGAGCGTGTGCACACATATAAGGCGGAGCTCGCCGCATCTGACCAATCGCAAACATGGACCAGTCTGGAGCGTCAGAGCAGGCTAGAGAGTGAAGGACTGTGGACTTTACAAACAAGGAACAGGAGACGATCATGAGAAAGTCTGAAGAATTCAAAGCTATCATAAACCTCAAAAGCAACACCGTCGCCGCTACAAAAGCACGGAAGGCAGAAAAGTAATCTTTGATGCCATTATCACCCTGAAATAGCACTGTTCAACATGCGCTTTTAACTAAGGTGACAGTCCCCGAATTGGATGATCTGTCCCCGGCTAAAGCTGTCCCCGAAAATGTCCCTGATTTAAGCGTTTCATGAATGAGAACGAAAATGTTGCATGTGGGCAAGAACAACGGTTATTACAGTAGGTAGGAAGCACAAGTAAGCAGTCCTGAACAACAGTATTTACGGGGGTTATTATAAGGGGCGTGCGCTGCTACTAAATAGTACTGAGATGTTGTCTGTGATCAGCCCATGTCCATTCATTCACAAGATGAATCATTCATGTGTTCATTCCTATCGTGTTTACATGTTTTGTGTGATATGTCGGCCATATGAACCCTTCATAAAGGTGGTCATCCGGAAAAGTAAGTGGGTCCTCGGTGCTCCTTGGACAATGCGAGCACTGAGGTCTATAGGATCCTCCAAGAACAGACAAGCCGTTTTTCGAGAGAGCTCATTGGTCAGTGGGCAGGGTTTTTATACTCTGAGTTCAATCTGGAACTTAACCTGCCCCGGAGCAGGTTAGCTGTTCAGGGTATGTTGCCATGGAGACTCACCTCGCTAAGAAGTGAACCCGCGGCCTTTATCATAACATGTGCCTCTGCATAAGGAGGAGGGGGAGCCATGAGTTTCGGTCAGGCACCATCTTATCTTTTCGTTTATGTTGCTGTGTCTGATAGCATAGAGGACAGTGATTGGACGGAGAACTTAATGTCTCCTGGAAAACATTGGCAGTTTGCCAAAGACCTTTCTGCCCTTTTTTACTGCCTTTTCTGCATTCCTCCTGCCCCTTGTAGCTTTGCTCTGGTCTGCTCTAGACTTCCTGTAGCTTGCTTCATGAACATATCAAAATCACCCGTTTTTGGTGGAGCACTTTCAAAACCTCCAAACATCCCTTTTTTCCTGCACTTGCTTCTTCCAATCTACAAATTTTCCTAATCCCTTCTTCTCCTCATCTTTTGGAACTTTCTTCTGTCATCTTGCTAGTGTTTCAGCTAACACAGTGTCATCAGAAGATGACATTTAACCAACAGTTGAAGCACCCTTAGGTCATCTAGCAGCTCCAAAATGAATATTGAATTAAATTGTCCTTTATTGTCACTGTAACCAGTACAAGGAAATAAAAAAAGTGCCAAAGTCAGTCCATCATTAAAAACAACTAAAGTAATAAATAGCAGTACTAAATAAATACATAAATACTCAGTCACACATAACCTTCCTTAAGGCATTGAGGGTAGTTATTGCTGTCGGGTAAAAACTGTTTTTAAGTCTGTTTGTTCTTGATTTGACAGCAGACCTAATTGATAGTCAAGTCAAGTCTTTGTACCTGCTCCCTCTGGGCTCAATTTAAAAAAAAAAAAACATGGCATTTCCATTTTTATGCCTCCCACAATGACTGCAGCCCTTTATGTGTAACGCTGTGCCAGTTTGTACGTTCTTTTTAAACGTGCTAAATACAGAGCACATCATACCAATGTTACAGACCCCAGAATAGGTCCAGCATACAGATAAGGATCCTGTGTAAAACAGGAGAAAAGATAAGACAGGCAGTGGTGCTTCTATTCAGTGCAGCTTCACTCCATTGACTTTATTTGCCACATACAAAAGAATACAGTTTCTTAAAATTTCAGTGCTCTCTTAACTGTTTTCAGAAGTTGCTTCATCCATGTGAAATCCAAAACATCACCCGTAATGAAACAAAACTTAGACCCGAGGTCAAAATGTTTTAAGCTTTAAAAGCAAAGTACCTGTCTAAACCAGTATAAATCTGATAACTCTACTTATTGACACACTTAAACAAACACATGTTGCTATTTAAATACCTACCGAAGGGCAGGAGCTGAAGACGGAAAACTGTCATCTATTAGTATACCTATAACATTCAAAACACAAAACGACTGTGATGGCTAAAACTTTAACCTGTATGACAAAGCATCACATCATAAACAGTATTTCAATACCAAATGAAATGTTCCATGTGTGCCATGCTGATCTACTAACCAGGTGTCTGTCAAATGAGCAAATGTATTTTGGTGCTACTCCATTTAAAGATTTAAAAACAAACAATACAATGTTTTTCTCTGCATTTTTCAGTTGCTGGAGGCGGGACAGGGAGGCCTGGTTAACGTCAACATAAAGTGTGTTACATTAGTCCAGTCTAGTCAAAATAAAAGCATGTGTCACTCTCTCAAAATCCTTAAAGATAAAAACGACTCAGTCTTAGGTGAAAGCCTCAAATGGTAAAAACAAGATCGAACAACAGAATTAATCTGTTTATCTAATTTGAAATCACTGTCCATTACGAGACCAAGATTTGTTACAGACTGTTAAGTAATGGCTTCAGTGAGCTTTTGTCATTTCTGTTCATGGGCAGATACATTTGGGAATCATCTGCATAAAGATGGAATGACACGCTATGTTATTTTTTTTATATCGAGCCCAGAGGGAGCAGGTACAAAGACTTGACCTGAATATCAGTTAGGTCTGCTACAATAGATAAACACCTCAAGGACAGCACCCACACGTCATATCACAAATCACTAAGTCCACGCAAACAGTGGTTGGCCTGTTTATGTTGGAGATAACTGAACAATGAGACTTGTTTTCGTGTAAGTTCAACCTCTGTACTGGGCAACCTCTGCCCCAAGAAGACGACTGTAAACTACACCCGGAAATGAGACACTTTTTACTTCCAGGTATGCAGAAAACCTTTTCTATCTGAAATTTTTACAAATTGGATGTACTAAATTTAGAATTGTCTGATTAAATGTCATCTCCTGATCTTTAAAATATTGTGATACAAACTGTAGTAAATTTTTGCTTTTTGAAATGAATGGTCACATGTAAAGTATAAAACACACAGGACCTGATCCACTAAAGGTTTGCGTTTACAAAAACGTGTGCGAACATGATAGCAGTGCAATGCTGATCTACTAATTAGGTGCACCGAAGATTGCATCTGCCAAATGGAATCATTTGGATTCAAACTCAGAAACTGATTGCGGTCGCTGTTTTGCATCTGTATTTAGCACGTTTAAAAAGAATGTACAAACTGGCACAGCGTTACCCACAAAGGGCTGCAGTCATAGTGGCGAGAAGGAGGCATAGGTGCAATGATAGATGATGGAGAGAGAGTCTTCTGTGCACGTGTCAACATATTTGGACAGTCAGAAATGAAATTAGTAGAGACATATTGTCTTTCCAGGACGCCCTCACCCTGGTGGTGATGAAATGCTTTGAAAAGCTGATCCAGGGTCACATCACATCACACCTGCCAAAAAGCCTGGACCCTCACCAGTTTGCATACAGGGCTAATAGATCCACAGAAGACGCCACAGCCACAGCCCTCCATGCTGCACTGTCCCACCTGGAGCAGAAGGGGAGCTACGTAAGGATGCTCTTTGTGGACTATAGCTCTGCTTTCAATACCATACTTCCTCACAAACTGTTAAACAAACTGGTCAATCTAGGCATTCCACACCCCACCTGCATGTGGATCAACAGCTTTCTCACCTGTTGCACCCAGAGGGTGAGAGTGGGCCATCGCCCACTCTCTGTCACTGTCAACACAGCCCAGAGGATAGTCGGTTGCCCCCTTCCCTCACTGGATGACCTTGACAGTGTTCTCTGTGAAAAAAAAGCTCAGAGCATTGTTAAAGACACTTTCCATCCTGGTCACTCCTTGTTTGAACTTCTGTCGTCACGCAGACGTTACAGGACAGTCAAATCAAGAACAAACAGACTTAAAAACAGTTTTTACCCGACAGCAATAACTACCCTCAATGCCTTAAGGAAGGTTATGTGTGACTGAGTATTTATGTATTTATTTAGTACTGCTATTTATTACTGTAGTTGTTTTTAATGATGGACTGACTTTGGCACTTTTTTTATTTCCTTGTACTGGTTACAGTGACAATAAAGGACAATTTAATTCAATATTCATTTTGGAGCTGCTAGATGACCTAAGGGTGCTTCAACTGTTGGTTAAATGTCATCTTCTGATGACACTGTGTTAGCTGAAACACTAGCAAGATGACAGAAGAAAGTTCCAAAAGATGAGGAGAAGAAGGGATTAGGAAAATTTGTAGATTGGAAGAAGCAAGTGCAGGAAAAAAGGGATGTTTGGAGGTTTTGAAAGTGCTCCACCAAAAACGGGTGATTTTGATATGTTCATGAAGCAAGCTACAGGAAGTCTAGAGCAGACCAGAGCAAAGCTACAAGGGGCAGGAGGAATGCAGAAAAGGCAGTAAAAAAGGGCAGAAAGGTCTTTGGCAAACTGCCAATGTTTTCCGGGAGACATTAAGTTCTCCGTCCAATCACTGTCCTCTATGCTATCAGACACAGCAACGTAAACGAAAAGATAAGATGGTGCCTGACCGAAACTCATGGCTCCCCCTCCTCCTTATGCAGAGGCACATGTTATGATAAAGGCCTTCCAACAGCAGGTGCCACAAACACAGTCAGAGAAAACACAAACAACCCAGAGCTCACCTCCTATGACGGGCCCTCTAGTAATCATAAGGAATGGCCTGCTTCAAACTGCTCCATTCCCAGGAGACACCAGCTCTCAAAAACCAGCAGGAGAATCGGACACATGTAAACTAGCAAAAGATAAAACTGCAACTATCTATCTATCAGAAATGGACAAGAAGCCGAATACAGAGCTCTGATAAGAGCCTTGAGTGACTGGATTGACAAAAACTGCCTCCTACTCGACACCTCAAAGACAAAGAAAATGAAGCCAGTGAACACCTGTGGCATGGACATCAAAGTGGTGTCATCATATAAATACTTGGTCTAAGACTATAGACTTCATCTACAAAAAGACGTCTGTAGTTAGATGCTGCAGATGTTTTATCAGTCTGTGGTGTAGATCTACAGTGTTCTGTTCTACGCTGCAGTCTGCTGGGGAGGAAACATCAAACACAAAGATGAAGACGTCTGAACAAACTGGTGAAAAAGGCTGGACTCAGTGGAGGATGTGGTGGAGAGATCTACACTGAGGAAGGTGGAGACCATTCTGAAGAACCTTGATGGACCAAAGGGCTAATGATGGTGGACAGCTTCTCTCTCTTCACTGCAGGACAGAAAGATTCAGAAGGTCTTTTGTTGTACACGTAGACATGTGCCATTGGAGAAAGAAAGGTTTTGTGATCTCATCTGGTACCCCTGCTGAACGTTTGAACCAACTGTTGACCTTTATGACACATTATTAGAGCCACAACAGGTAGCCATAGTAAAGTGTAGAGGACATCAAAAAGAACACAGCAGAGTAGCAAGAGGAAATAATGCAGCAGAAGTGGCAGCAAAAGCCAAAAGATACAAAGACAAATGACACAAAAAGCAGTAAGGGATAAACCACACAGAGACCAGGTAGTCTATTGTTTTGTTATTCTCTTGGTTTGACTACGACTTCATTTCTGTTTGATTGACTTTAAAATGACAAAATGTAACCTGGTAAGCCCTGCTTTTGCAGGCTTGTATATGCTGTAAAGCGATGTTATCATGAGCTTTATTGGGTACAAAGGGCCCGGTCACACATGAGTCCCTTGCCCAGCAGTAATTTGTTCCATTAGTAATTTGCTCCATTAATGATCACAGGTGTAGGTGTGTTTCAGGTTCATCACGTGAGGGGAAGAGTTCAGATGAGATAAATAAGTTTTTATTAAGACTTCCTGGAACAATAGCACACGTGTGGGTGTGTTTCAGGTTCATGACGTGAGGGGAACGAGTCAGGATGAACGAGGATCAAACAAGGTTCATTCGTTTTTCTCCTCACCTGCACATCAGGACTTGGAGGCTGCACATCATCAACATCAACAGGTAAAAAACCTTCAAATATTTCAAAGTATTTCATTTACACTTCATATATTCTGCATATACCTGAAGGCGAACACTCTTAATGGATTGTGTGAGGTGTTTTGCTCATATCACTTGATATCCTCTTTAGGAGGTTGTACTCCTTTATTGGTGTCTGGAAAAAAATTAATTTGATGAAAGCGTCTTTGAGTCTATGAAAAGCGCTTAACAAATAAAATGTATTATTATTATTATTATTATTAATAAATATTTGTTGTTGTTTTTTGTTTTGTTTTTTAACTTTTTTGAGCTCACACCATAAGAGAACTTTTTTTAAAAGCAAGGATTTTTCTCTTGTAGTGCTGAAGGATAAAAAGTGTCACCTCTCCATTCAGAAATCAATATGGACCTACAGGTAAGGAAAGGTTTCTTCTAAGCAGACGAAGTCTTCAATTTTTGGACTTGGCTGGAGAACTGTGTCTTCCTTCAGTTTCCTTATAAACTAACCACCTTTCTGTCTTTACAGCCTGTGGGTAGACTTATTCCAGGGCTTTTAACAGCTTTAAATTTCATCTATGACATGGCTACAAATATGAAGGCCAACAAAGAGCGCTTTCAAGAAATCGCCCGAAAAGTTGAATATCTGGAGGGCTTGGTTCTTAGATTCCAAGCTAACGGTCTTGATCGGAAATCACACTCTGTGAAGAATGCTCTGGAAGATCTCAGCAGAACTCTGGAGAACATCAAAAGGTGGATGATAAAATATTCCAATTACAGCGGTATAAAGAAATTAGTGAGGTCTGGAAAATATGAGGAAAAGATTGGCGGAATTGACAGACAACTGCAAGACCACTTTATGTTCCTATCAGGTGATGTTCTGGCCACACTGTCCGCAATGGGAAACGAGCTGGACAGGGTGCAACAAAGGATATCAACTCTGTTTGATGTCAGTGGTCCTTCCCTTCCCGTTGTTGTTGTTCAGACAGGACCATTGTTTGACCCCAGATCCTATGCAACACCTCCATTAAATAATTCAATTTTCCCCATACACGATGTCACACCGAACATCAGCGACCTGGACCAATTTAACCCATTCCACATCAGCAACCCGGACCAATTTAACCCATTCCACATCGGCGACCTGGACCAATTTAACCCATTCCACATCAGCAACCCGGACCAATTTAACCCATTCCACATCGGCGACCTGGACCAATTTAACCCATTCCACATCAGCAACCCGGACCAATTTAACCCATTCCACATCAGCAACCTGGACCAATTTAACCCATTCCAATACTTTTACCATTAAATGCACAGGGAAGCCTTTCTTTTTTTGTCACAACCCCATTGAACCAGATCTATAACCAGTCGTTTGTCCACATAGACAAACTCACAGTGAACTTCGGCAACCCCAACCAATCCAATACTTGAACCAATAAAATGCACATGGAAGCCTTTCTTGCCAATGAAAGTTGATAACTGAAGAATGTCTTTGTTTTAGTTAAGGGTGGTGACTGGTCCTATGGCCTATTGTGTGGTTGGCCATGTCCCTCACCCCTCTTTTGTTGAGTTTGGCCCTTTTTATTTCAGTGATTCATTTAGCACTCGCAGTAGTTGTTGTTGTAACAGTAATGTACAAATGTCCAGAGCTTTACATCCTAATTTTATATGTATACAGACTTGAATTATCTGAAGTTTCTACTATATCTTTATTCTTTATATCTATGTTGTATATTTGATCATTCTGTTTTTCTTTTCTGTACATATGATGTTACCAGATTTTTAATGTCCTTGAGGGAATCTTCTCAAACGGATAAATAAAGTTGTATCTAATCTAGTCTAATTTACTGTTGAACTAATTACTTCTAACTTAATAAAGTTTTGAATTTTTGTTTAAAAAATCCAAATCTTTGTCTGTGTCCCTGTTGCTCGTCTCTTTTGTTCGAGGCTTATTTTTGGTGATTTAAATTAACAGTTTAAGAGGCCATAACCTACCACCACATACAAAGAGGCAACTGCAACCTCCAATCCGGACGAACTAAGCCCATGCAGAAGTGCTAATAACTGCAGTTCCCTGAGTGTCCACTAGGGGCTAGCTGCAGAAGCACCAGAAACCACAGACACACTGATTCAAAAAAGTTAATTTCAGCCTGGTTCAGAAAACAGAGCTCCCACACCACCCGCTGTGTAAGACTGAATATTTTTGTAACACGGTTGTATCAAAGTTACTAACCAACGTCATTGACGGGCTGTTTGCTGTTTTGACCAATCCATCACTGATCAGAGTTCAATACTGATGTGTCAGTCAGTCTCTGGGTGAGGCTGTTGTAGCTAACCATGCTCTGAGACACTGACAGGACAAAGCTTCTGGTCACAGTTTGCAGAGACTGCACATGTCTGTTTTCATCAGGACATGGTGGAACAGCAAACACACAAAGCTTAATTAAAATAATGAACTGTTTTTATTTGAATGTTTTTAATGAATCTGAAAACTTCATTATTTTTAGTGACAAAAGGAAAAAGTTGGTAAAAAGTAAAAATAACTTTTAATTAGTTATTAAAGGTCTGTCTCCTTTTTTTCTAACTTTGTGAAAAAGTTTTTAAAACTTTCAGACTTTATCTGAAATTCAGCTGCACAAAGTTTAAAACTGTTTCTCTGTTTTCTCACCATGTTTAAAACAGAAATGATGATTATTCTGTGACTGAATTCACACGTGGAAGTAAGTTTTCATTTTTCCTAATGCACCTGAAGGCAGCTCACGTAGCTGTCCAGACCTCTGTTCCCTCCCTGTTAAGGAAACTTTTTAATGAAACTGTTTTCTTACAAAACTACAAAAATATAAGACAGCTGCCTCTGATCAGTCTTTGAGTAATTCTTCCTAAATCCACCAGAGGGCAGCATCCCTCCAATGATCAGTCAGCAGAGTTTAAACACAGCAGGTCCAAGCAGAGAGGTTGAAATAGGACAGATCCACGATCAGAGAGATCAGCTGTGGACTCACCTGTGTGAAATAAAGGTTGGAAAGGTTAATAAAACAACAGTTATATTAAAACATCTTCAGTTTTTCTGTTGCAGGTATAAAAATAAAAAGATCTCATGTTAAGTCGGTCATGTTTGAACACCGACTCCAGCATGTGTTACTGGAACAGGTTTGATTTTCTACGTTTTTCACTCCCAGAGCTCGCCCCCATCATGTCCTGATTTCTGACTTTCTTTTTTTATTTATTTATTTTTATGCAAGACAGACAACAAACAACAGCATTTGTGGTTTTGTGTGTGTGTATTATATATTTGAATAATAATGATAAAAAATATTACAATTGTCAGACAAGCATATAATGGAATGTTATAATGGAAATTATAATAGAATAATAATAATAATAATAATAATAATAAGAAGAAGAACATTCAATATTAAAAAAGATGATGAGTAACAATAATTATGTGGGTGGAAGGGAGGTCTTTAAATTTGGACTACCTCGGGTCCCTGTCCACTCGCACGAGACCAGCCTGCATCCCCCCAGGCCCCCAGACCCCGCATGCCCTGGACTGAATGAGGCACAACACCTTACCCTATGTCTAGATGTATATTTAGTCTTTATTATTTACTTAATATACTTTATAATTCTTATTTATTTTATCATTATTATTATTATTATTATTATTATATATTATTATTATTATTATATTGTTTTTTATTTCTCTCATATCTGTGCTTTCTAATGTTGTGCATTAAAACCGAGGGTAGGGGTTGTCATGAACTATAATTTGATGTGATTGAGACCCCTTTCCTCTTCCTAGACTAGTGTGATGTGCCATCTGAAGACAGTCCAGGGCGGAGAATTGGGGGAGGGGACAGGGGGGGAGGCTGGGAGGGCAAGGAGACTACAGGTCATGTCCTGATTTCTGACTTTGGAAATATGGACGATCTTAAGTGTACGCAGACGTCTGCTCACTTTTCCACTTTGGTATACAGTGGATTCATCGATTCTGTCTGTCTCTCTGCCTCAAAAATGCTTTTCATTTTTGCAAAAATAATTGCAGACACACTGTGCAACATTTCTGTTTCTGTTTGTTTTTTTTGTCTGATCACAGACCTGAAAAGATACAAGCTTGCTTCATAGATACAACTTTATTTATCATACATCACATCATATGTACAGAAAAGAAAAACAGAATGATCAAATATACAACATAGATATAAAGAATAAAGATGCAGTAGAAACTTCAGATAATTCAAGTCTGTATCTATATAAAATTAGGATGTAAAGCTCTGGACATTTGCACATTACTGTTACAACAACAACTACTGCGAGTGCTAAATGAATCACTGAAATAAAAAGGGCCAAACACAACAAAAGAAGAGTGAGGGACATGGCCAACCACACAATAGGCCATAGGACCAGTCACCACCCTTAACTAAAACAAAGACATTCTTCAGTTATCAACTTTCATTTCCAAGAAAGGTTTCTACGTGCATTTGATGGGAGAAAGTTTTGATTGATTACGTTTATCATGTACACGTTTCCTCTAACATACATGTTGCTAAACAAATGCTCAGGTGAAGGTGTGAAAGAGGGCCAGGGGTTAGAGTAGAAACCAAGCGAAGGTGGTGTCCTTCATTACACCATCTCATTCCCCAATGTGGACATAACATTACCGGAAAGGAACATAAAGCAATCGGAAAGCTTTCTTTCAAAATAGTTGATCCTGTCCGCATATTTTGCACACTTCAGAACTTTCTTCATCCTGCTGAATTTGGAATATTTCCTCATCCACCTTCTGGTGTTCTCCAGAGTTCTGCTGAGATCTTCCAGAGCATTCTTCACAGAGTGTGATTTCCGATCAAGACCGTTAGCTTGGATTTTGAGAACAAAGTCCTCCAGAAATGTAACTCTCTGGGCGAGTTCTTGAAAGCGTTCGTTGTTGGCCCTCATACTTATAGCCATGCCACGGAAGAAACTGTAAGACGATGAAAGCCCTGGGATAAGTTTAAACGCAGGCTGTTAAGACAGAGAGGTGGTTAGTTTATAAGGAAACTGAAGGAAGACACAGTTCTCCAGCCAAGTCCAAAAATTGAAGACTTCGTCTGCTTAGAAGAAACCTTTCCTTACCTGTAGGTCCATATTGATTTCTGAGTGGAGAGGTGACACTTTTTATCCTTCAGCACTACAAGAGAAAAATCCTTACTTTTAAAAAAAAGTTCTCTTATGGTGTGAGCTCAAAAAAGTTAAAAAACAAAAAAAAAAAAAAACAAATATTTCATCAAATTAATTTTTTTCCAGACACCAATAAAGGAGTACAACCTCCTAAAGAGGATATTAAGTGATATGAGCAAAACACCTCACACAATCCATTAAGAGTGTTCGCCTTCAGGTATATGCAGAATATATGAAGTGTAAATGAAATACTTTGAAATATTTGAAGGTTTTTTTACCTGTTGATGTTGATGATGTGCAGCCTCCAAGTCCTGATGTGCAAGTGAGGAGAAAAACGAATGAACCTTGTTTGATCCTCGTTCATCCTGACTCGTTCCCCTCGTGTCAGGAACCTGAAACATGTGCTATGGTCCAGGAAGTCTTAATAAAAACTGATTATTTATCTAATCTGAACTCGTTCCCCTCATGTCATGAACCTGAAACACACCTACACCCGTGCTATTGTTCCAGTAAGTCTTGTTAAAAACTTATTTATCTAATCTGAAATTAATTGTGTTTTATCCTCACTCGCTCAAGGGACTCACCCATGACCGAGCCTTGTACACCTAATAAAGCTCATGATAACATCGCTTTACAGCATATATATGCCTGCAACAGTGGGGCTTACCAGCGTACATTTTTTACACACGGTTACGTCATTTTAAAGTCAATCAAACAGAAATGAAGTCGTAGTCAAACCAAGAGAATAACAAAACGATTGACTACCTGGCCCCAAATAGTAAAACAACACAAATTCAGAGCAGTTCAGCACCGCAGATACCGACTAAACTGACTCAGGTTCATCCCCAGGAGGACGGACAAAATGTGTGTCAAGTTTTTGTAATTTGTCTTTTCCTTGCTCTCCTTCTTCTTTACATTGTATATACATTACATTGTATCCTGCTGTGGCTTTTGCTGCCGATGTTGGGAAATGCCCTTTCCGTATCACTGCAGATGATGAATGGCAGAACAGTTTCTGTGGTGTTGAGCTCTATTTCTAGTTCACTACAAATGGTACAGAAAGAAAGAACTTCATCCAAGATCTGCTCAGCTGTGTACACATCTCCAGCATGGAAGTTGGCTAAATCCTGGATTCTTTTATCTGCATCATCTGCAGGAAATTTTGGGGGTTCAGACTAGAGAAAAGTTTTGGCATTTAGAGAAAATCGAAGAACGTTGTCTACTGCCATCTAGGGATGTGCCGATATATGACTTAATCGCAATATGCGATATTAAACGGCCGCGATGATGAAATCGTAAGGTACTGTAATAATCGTTCCACAATTATAATTTAAAGAATGGAAATGGGAATGGAGCAGTTTGAAGCAGGCCATTCCTTATGATTACTAGAGGGCCCGTCATAGGAGGTGAGCTCTGGGTTGTTTGTGTTTTGTCAGACTGTGTTTGTGGCACCTGGTGTTGGAAGGCCTTTATCATAACATGTGCTTCTGCATAAGGAGGAGGGGGAGCCATGAGTTTCGGTCAGGCACCATCTTATCTTTTCGTTTACGTTGCTGTGTCTGATAGCATAGAGGACAGTGATTGGACGGAGAACTTAATGTCTCCCGGAAAACATTGGCAGTTTGCCAAAGACCTTTCTGCCCTTTTTTACTGCCTTTTCTGCATTCCTCCTGCCCCCTTGTAGCTTTGCTCTGGTCTGCTCTAGACTTCCTGTAGCTTGCTTCATGAACGTATTAAAATCACCCGTTTTTGGTGGAGCACTTTCAAAACCTCCAAACAACCCTTTTGCTGCACTTGCTTCTTCCAATCTACAAATCTTTCTAATCCCTTCTTCCTTTCATCTTTTGGACTTTTCCTCTGTCATCTTGCTAGTGTTTCAGCGAACGCCGACCCTTCAAGAGCAGATTTACAATCCTTCCACTCATCCACAAGTTTCTGCAAAATTGTAAAACTGTAAAAGTGCTGCTGCTGAGCTGAAGGCGCAAACAGCCCCCCTCTTTGTCACTGTTCCCTCTGAATCTGGTCCATGTGCCTTGGTTTTATGTAGCACTACAGAGGGGAACCCAACCTCTGTTGATCTCAATCTTAATACTGAAGAGCAGTACCCAATGGGTTCCTTCTTTTTCAGGGAGAGACCTCTCACACCTGAGCTGATCAGAGCACGGACAGAGCAGGGCCCATGTCAGCCAGGGCTAAAAGACAGCTACACCTTCCCATATGATGAGGATAAAAGACACTTCAGTCCTGTGTGCTATGAGCACTAAAGATCAGTCATGCACAATGGACAGTCAGTGGTTGATACAGTTTTTCCTGAATGTAATGGCCTCTTTTGCTTTTGTTGCTGGATGTTTGGGGCAAAAAATGAAAGCTCAGGGCAGCAGTGGGTGGATCCTAAACTCTGTGTCTCAAAGTTTCAAAAGGGGATCTAAAAAATCGATCAGCATGAGATGTCTGTTGCACATCGACAGGCAGAGAAAACGTTTTTTAAGACCAAGTTTCGGGTCAGCCAGGACAGCACAGTGATTGTGGAACTAATCACAGCTGAGAGGGAGCAGATCGAGAGAAACAGGAAGATTTTACAGAGACTGATCGACAGCACCGTGTTTTCAGCATGTCAGGGTTTGGCATTTCGGGGGGCACAGGGAATATGCGGGATTGAGTGCAACCTCCTCAAATGAAACCTCAAATGAAACCTCCTCAAACTAACAATATCTAAAAGCTGCACAAAGCTTGATCACCATGCTAAAAGTACTTTTGAAGTATAAAGGAAAAGTTGAAAGGGCTCAGGATAAATAGCCTGGAATACTTCACAGGGAAACCAGCAACAAAATTTCAGGGTGTCAACCCTAGGATCCAGGACATGCAGGTCTGTCCAAGTGATTCTCCCGTGAAGCTAAGATCATTCGTGTTCTGGATATAGGTGCAAATAGAAATGAAATGCGATGGAAAACTGAGCAAAAATAAGCTATTCTAGCCATTTTTCATATAAATATGGGACAACATACAAATGAAAAAACTCAAAAAAAAAAGCAGGAGGCGCATTTTTTGCTATTTCCAAGTTTTTGGTCTTTTATAATTTTTTTCTGGTCCAATTTGGGGGAAAATGATAGAACTCGGAGGGAGCTTTAAAATGACACCTGAATCAGCTCTCTGGGTGCCAAACTTCCAGAGATATAAACATTTTTGTAACGCATGTCATGCTAGTTAGCCAAAAATTCATTAGCCCCTATCTCACTAATTAGACGGCTTTGAACAAAAATATTTGAGCTCTGACAGTTTCTCCTGAAGGCCAATCACTCCACCAAATTTTATCAAAATCTGTGACGTGAGTGGAGATTCTCGGTTGAATTGACGTGGAATGACCCAAAGCAGCAACCTCCAGTCCGGGCAGACTAAGCCCATGCAGAAGTGCTAATAACTGCAGTTCCCTGAGTGTCCACTAGGGGCTAGCTGCAGAAGCACCAGAAACCACAGACACACTGATTCAAAAAAGTTAATTTCAGCCTGGTTCAGAAAACAGAGCTCCCACACCACCCGCTGTGTAAGACTGAATGTTTTTGTAACACGGTTGTATCAAAGTTACAAACCAACGTCATTGACGGGCTGTTTGCTGTTTTGACCAATCCACCACTGATCAGAGTTCAATACTGATGTGTCAGTCAGTCTCTGGGTGAGGCTGTTGTAGCTAACCATGCTCCGAGACACTGACAGGACAAAGCTTCTGGTCACAGTTTGCAGAGACTGCACATGTCTGTTTTCATCAGGACATGGTGGAACAGCAAACACACAAAGCTTAATTAAAATAATGAACTGTTTTTATTTGAATGTTTTTAATGAATCTAGAAAACTTCATTATTTTTAGTGACAAAAGGAAAAAGTTGGTAGAAAGTAAAAATAACTTTTAATTAGTTATTAAAGGTCTGTCTCCTTTTTTTCAAACTTTGTGAAAAAGTTTTTAAAACTTTCAGACTTTATCTGAAATTCAGCTGCACAAAGTTTAAAACTGTTTCTCTGTTTTCTCACCATGTTTAAAACAGAAATGATGATTATTCTGTGACCGAATTCACACGTGGAAGTAAGTTTTCATTTTTCCTAATGCACCTGAAGGCAGCTCACGTAGCTGTCCAGACCTCTGTTCCCTCCCTGTTAAGGAAACTTTTTAATAGCTGCCTCTGATCAGCATTTGTGTAATTCTTTCTAAATCCACCAGAGGGCAGCATCCCTCCAATGATCAGTCAGCAGAGTTTAAACACAGCAGGTCCAAGCAGAGAGGTTGAAATAGGACAGATCCACGATCAGAGAGATCAGCTGTGGACTCACCTGTGTGAAATAAAGGTTGGAAAAGTTAATAAAACAACAGTTATATTAAAACATCTTCAGTTTTTCTGTTGTAGGTATAAAAATAAAAAGATCTCATGTTGAGTCGGTCATGTTTGAACACCGACTCCAGCATGTGTTTCTGGAACAGGTTTGATTTTCTACGTTTTTCACACCCAGAGCTCGCCCCCATCATGTCCTGATTTCTGACTTTGGAAATACGGACGATCTTAAGTGTACGCAGACGTCTGCTCACTTTTCCACTTTGGTATACAGTGGATTCATCGATTCTGCCTGTGTCTCTCTGCCTCAAAAATGCTTTTCATTTTTGCAAAAATAATTGCAGACACAATGTGCAACATTTCTGTTTGTTTTTTTTTTTTTGTCAGATCACAGACGTGAAAAAACAAACAAAAAGATCAATCCTTTTCTGTATCACGCTGTAAACATGTTAATTCTAGCATGAGGCTCTATGGGGATTGAAGCACTTTTGGACACAGCCTCTAGTGGCCACTGGTGGAACTGTAGCATTTGGAGCTCTCTTCATTATTTAACACCTAAATAATAAAGAAAGCTGCCTGCTTGTTCTTCAGTGGAACCTAAAAAGACTTTTCAAAATGGTGATAATTAATATAAAGAAACTGGAAATGACTTTAGCTGTAAATTGTCAGAAGAGACGGAACCGGGGATATGAGTCAGTCTACCTGTAAGACAAACAAACAAGGTTATGGATCATTTAGAGCCTCATCATAGTCACAATAGTTGATTTATACATAAATCCAGACTTGTACAGTTGTCATAACAAAAAAAAACTGTTGATGGTACCAGGCTGAAGGCCGACGTGTTTATCCATGTTGAGACAACCTCTAGTGGTCTCTGGTGGAACTGCAGTTGTAGTTTTAACACGAAATGAAAACCAAAATTTTCATGTGTTACAGATTGAGAGTGTAATATCCTTTGTAGTCTGTAGGGGGTGCTCTCAGGAATCATCTTTATTGTATTTCAGGGTTTTTATAAATGCTCTTTTAAGTGTCCGTCTGACTCTGGCACAGATTGCAGCGCTCCCAGCATCCAAAGCTCTCGGTTTTTTCCTGAAGTTCAGAAGCCTGAGCAGCTGGTGAAACCCTGCAGATAGATCCGTCTGTGCCACGGAGCAGTAAAACTCCCTCTGATTGCCCCTTTTTAAACGGATGGACACATTTCTTCTCTTCCTGGAGGAGCTTTTGGCGTTTCTGGCAGAAGTTCTTCAGTGGAGTGGCGGGTGAACATCAGCAGGATTCATTCTGCCGCTCCACCGCCGGCCAGATTAGAAATGAGGAGCAATAAAAGGGGAAAGGAAGCCAGTTTCCCCCAGAGAACAATCTGGAAAATGACTCTCTATTCACACAGACAGGGAGAAGATTGACATCCTCTCACAGCCAATCAGCTTTTTGTTGCTTTTTGTAATCAGAAAGTCTCCGAACATCTGCTGCTCCTCTGTCCCACCGTCTCTCTGTCCGTCTGTTTCACTCTCTCAACGCCAAGTCTTGGATTAATCCAGATTTGGCAACCGTGACTCCTCAAACTCAACAATAGCTGCGCTTTTGTGTTTCTGTGAGTCTGTGCAGGCGGCGAATCTCTGCAGCTTCAGATTTAAACCTTTAAACTTATTATGACGACGTTTTATTTTTATCGGATTCATTTAAACCTTTAAACTTATTATGACGACGTTTTATTTTTATCGGATTCATGCGGCAAAGCTCCATGTGCTGAAGCGTTTTCCAACCACAAACTGGTTCAAAAGAGACTGAATCTGGTCTTTGGCAGTCTGGGAGTCTCAGCTTCACTGTAAATACTAGGTTAAAAACCAGGCTTATTCGTCTGTATTTGAGAAGGGTCTCAGTTTTACTGTAAATTGAGTTTCTTTATCTGTTTCTGTGAGGTCTCAGCTTCACTGTAAAGACGAGGTTACAAACAGGCTTCTCTGTCTGATCCCAGTCTTAGTTTTACTGCAAATAAAGTTTCTTAATCTGTCTCTGTGAAGTCTCAGTTTCATTGTTTGTAGTAAGTTACAAAAAGACCTGATAGTCTGTTATGTTAACCTCCGTTTCACTGTAAAGACGAAGTTACAAACAGACTTGATCAGTTATGTTAAGTCTCAGTTTCACTGTTAAGACTAAGTTACAAACAGTCCACTCCATCTGATCCCAGAGTTTTAGTTTTACTGTAACAGGTAAGTGATGAATGCGCTTATTCGACTGTTTTGGTCAGGTCTCAGTTTCCCTGTAATTATTAGTAACAAATAGGCCTAATCATCCATCAGTGTGGAGTCAGAGCTTCACTGTTAATAGTGAGTTAAAACGGCCTTTTTATCATGTTCTCAGTCTCTGTTTCACTGTATGAAGTGAGTTACAAGCTGGTTTATTTATCTGTTTATTAGGGGTCTCAGTTTCACAGTAAACAGAAAGTTGCTATCAGGCTTCTGCGTTTGTTTTTATTGTTTTACTGTAAGAAGTAAAAAGACAGTTTATTCATGAGTATTTGGGGAGTCTCAGTTTTAATGTAAGTAAGATATTAGCAGAGTGTTAAACTGTTTCTGGAAAATCACAGTTTCACAGTCCGTGACAAAGAAGCTGGTCTGACTGGTGTCTGGTGTGTCCTGGTTTAAAGTTCTGTGGTAAGTTACAAGAAGGCTTGCTCATTAGCTTCTGTCGGGTCTCAGTTTGACTGTAAATACTGAGTTACAGGCTGTTTCGTGGGTTTTTGAGGAGGGTCATTAAAACTAAGATACAAATAGGCTTATTCCTCTTTTTCTGGTAAGTCTCAGTTTCACTCTAAATAGTTGGTAGCTTGGTTATCTATATCTGTAGAGTCTCAGTTTTACTGTAACAGGTTATATTACTTCTTCTGTCAGCGGGATCAGGTGGCTCTAATAAAAGAAACTGGAGGGACTCCAGTGAGGGTAATCGTGTTTTTTTATCAGGGGCGTCTGCTGTCTTTGCAGGGATCATCCCACCGGCTCTTCCTGATTTCAAATGTCTCTCTCTCTCTCTCTCTTCCACTAAAAGGTCTCTCTGGATCTCTCTCTGATCCTTCTTAAGTCCGTCAGACACTTCAAACCAAACCCGTCTTCCTGTCCCAGTAAGTAGAACTGTTTGTGTTTCCTCTGTGTTTGAACTTCATCACAGAAAGTCCCCGTTTTTCTCATCACCGCCGGAAGGATTCACATCAGAGCCTGCTGAGTAGGAAAATACGTTTATTTACAGACAGATTGAACAGTAATCAGGTTTTGTTTGAGCGTGTAAACAGCCTGACAGACAGCTCCACCTGAACAAACACATCATGAGCGAATGATCAGAATCATCCAGGTTTCATCCCTGAAATCATAATCTGCTCCCGGCTCTCGCTGTCAGCGTGAATAATTAGAAAAACGGTTTGTTTCATCTTTGTTTTGACAGGAGTTCATATTTACACCGTTTGTTCTTCACCGAGGCTGTGGGAGGTGACGCTCGCACAGTTTGATAACTGCACCATGAAAACAGGGCAAATCTCAGTCCTCATAGTCTCAGTGTCCCAGACCCTCTCATGTCTCAGACCCTCTCATGTCCCAGACCCTCTCATGTCTCAGACCCTCTCATGTCCCAGACACTCTCATGTCTCAGACTCTCTCATGTCCCAGACCCTCTCATGTCCCAGACCCTCTCATGTCCCAGACCCTCTCATGTCTCAGACCCTCTCATGTCCCAGACCCTCTCATGTCTCAGACTCTCTCATGTCTCAGACCCTTTCATGTCCCAGACCCTCTCATGTCTCAGACCCTCTCATGTCTCAGACCCTCTCATGTCCCAGACCCTCTCATGTCTCAGACCCTCTCATGTCCCAGACCCTCTCATGTCTCAGACCCTCTCATGTCTCAGACCCTCTCATGTCCCAGACCCTCTCAGTGTCTCAGACCCTCTCATGTCCCAGACTCTCTCATGTCTCAGACTCTCTCATGTCCCAGACCCTCTCATGTCTCAGACCCTCTCATGTCTCAGACTCTCTCATGTCTCAGACCCTCTCATGTCCCAGACCCTCTCATGTCCCAGACTCTCTCATGTCTCAGACCCTCTCATGTCCCAGACCCTCTCATGTCCCAGACCCTCTCATGTCTCAGACCCTCTCATGTCCCAGACCCTCTCATGTCTCAGACCCTCTCATGTCCCAGACCCTCTCATGTCTCAGACCCTCTCATGTCCCAGACCCTCTCATGTCCCAGACCCTCTCATGTCTCAGACTCTCTCATGTCTCAGACCCTCTCATGTCCCAGACCCTCTCATCGCTGTGTTTGTTTTACTGTAATGTCACTCAGCTGAGGTCGTACCTGCACAGGAAACAGCGCCTGTCAGAAACCTGGATGTGATGAACACATGCAGCAGTACGCCGCTCTCTGTCAGAGTCCTTAAACTTCGGTTTCTCAGAGCGGAAAAACTTCATTTCATCTCTGAAATCAGGACATGCAAAAACATGAAAACAGGACCTGGTAAACTCAGACAAACCCAGACTCCCGGGACCACGTAAACACACACAACAATGCTAACAGGAAGTAGCAGGTTAACGGACAGTGAGCAGGCAGCTACGCTAATTAGAAACCCGACAAGTGGAGCTGTCTCGCTCAGGAAACTGTGACGTTTTAGAAAACTACAAACATCCAGATCCTGCTGATACCCGGTAAGATGGAGCAGGATTACGCCCCCCTTGTGGACTCCTTCTGTTTGAGTTTACTGGACTTGGATCCTCTTTGTTGCAGCAGGAGGGGAGGCGGTTTTAACGTTGACTTGTTTTCTGTGAATGTTTCTGTTGGTTCCTCCTCCATCTACTCAGTCCGTTTCCATGACACTAAAGAAAACCGAATTATCGCCTTATTCCGATTAAGACCGGACAACTGAAGGTCATGTAAACACCTTAGTCTGACTATAATCGGAGTTTGAGAACTCAGATTCAGACACCCAGATAATGAGATTGGAATCCGATTTTCTCTACCATGTAACCAGCGTAGTCGGAGAATGATGCCACGCCCCTGTAACCCCGGAACAAAACCCCCAGAGTAGAGGAGTAGCGTTGGTCTCATCTTTAGAAAAAGTAGCGCGTCCATCATGTCGGACAAAAACAACGCTGTACGATGCTTCATCTTCTTGTTTCTCCAAAATGCCCAGCAGCAGTTGTAGACACTTCTGACGTCTGACACCGACCTGCTGTTGTTGTTGACGGTTGTAACAGACCCATATCGCCCCCTAGTGTTGGGGAGGAGGACACGTTCACGTCAATAATTCAGTTTTCTCAGCTGCATGTAAACGAGGACGAGGAGAGAAGTCGGATTCAGAGAAAAAGACGAATTATGAGTTTAGTCGGATTAAACTGTGCGTCTGTGTCCGTCACTTTCAGGGTGGTCTTCGGTCACTCTGGTGAAGGTCTCAGCGACTCCAAGCTGCCAAGGAGGAAATTAAAATCTAAGTGTTTCCTCAGTTCACCGGGATCCTCTCGGCTCTGAGTCCACAGACCTCCTGCTCCTCCGGATTAGCTGGTTCTCCTTCTTTATTGGCTGAAATGTCCTCAAAGGAGCAGACATGAACATGAGTTAGCGTGTGGAGATCAGACCTCTTCACGGTCCCTGCTCACCCTGTCTAGATTCTGTTCTGCAGAACCACCTGCTCACTTTACATCATCCAAGACCTCAAACTCAGTCTCATGTGAACTTCAGGAATCTCATCTTTGAGCACCAAACAAAAAGCGTCACAGCAGGAGTCAAAAAGAGCCTGGAGGGGGTTCAGTGGGTCCTCCATCCAAAGAGAGCATCCATCCATCTTTACATCCATCTTTACATCCATCCATCTTTACATCCATCGGTTCCACTCAGAGGGAGGTCTGTTTTTGATAATCTAAAGATGAAAATGTGACTTTATCTTCAGGAGTCACTCGGAGACGTTTACAGGGTCACCAGGTTTGAAGGTCAGAGATGGTCGGAGAGCGTCTGGTGATGATGTCATGGTTTGCTGGTTTTGGTCTGTACATCCGGTTTGTTTTATAAAAAAGAGAGAGAGAGACATCAGAATTCGTCCGTCTGCTCCTCCTCAGCTGAAGAAGTCTTTAGAAATGGCCTCCACAAAGTTCGGCGCGGACATGAGGATGCCGATGGTGCAGAGGATGGTGAAGAGCGAAAACGCCACCAGACACAGCCGGTCGATCACCGCCGCGGCGAACTTCCACTCATTGCAAACCGTCTCATCCTCGTCCTGACCTCGGAAACGCCGGGCGATGTACCTCACCTCCTCCAGGATCATGTTTAGCTCCGCCTCAAGGGCCGAGCCTCCGATCAGCCCTCCCCCTCCTCTCGCTGAAGCTCCGCCCCCTCCGCGTAGCATGTCCTCATCCCCGCCCACGCCGCCTCCTATGAGGCGTGAGCAGAGGAGCTCAGGGTCGGCAGAGGAGGCGTAGTGCAGCCCCTCCATCCCTCTGAAGCCCACGTACAGCAGGTTGCCGTTGGTGACGGGCGTGTGATGTCGCAGCGACGCCTGGCTGACGCTCAGCTCCAGGCTGGACAAGCTGCCGCGCTGACGCTTGGAGGCGTTGTGACACGCCAGGCGGACCTTCGCCTCCCCGGGGCGCCGCATCCTCAGGAACCAGGCGCACCAGTTTAACAGAATCACACGAGTCTGAAGGAGGAAAGGAAGGAAGGAGAGGAGGAGAGGAAACGAGGAGACGAGAATGAAGGAGGAAAATAATGAAACAAAATAAGTGAAGAAAAGAAGGAGAAGAAAAAGAAGAATAATGTGAAAAAAACAGATGGAGAGAAAGAAGAAGAAAAAAGAAAGAAGGAAGAGAACAGAAACAGGACAAGAATTTAAGACAAGGAGGAAAGAGGGGAGGAAGAAGGAAGAAAGAAGAAGAAAGAAGAAAGAAGAGAAAGAGGGAAGAAAAAAGGAAAAAAGAAGAAAGAAAAAAGGAAATGAGAAGGAAGAAAAATGAGGGAAGAAAGAAGGAAGAAAATAGAATGAAGGAAAAAAAAAAGAAAGAAAGAAGGAAGGAAAATGAAAGGAAAAAAAGAAAGAAAAAAGAGAAAGTAAGACGGAAGAAAAGGAAGAGAAAAATAAAGAAGGAAGAAAGACGGAGGAAAAAAGGAAGAAAAAGGGAAGATAGCAGAAAAAAAGAGGAAAGGAGGAAGAAAGAGGGAAGAAAGAAGGATCAGGTGGCAGCATTAAAAAGAAGAAGAGACTACATCTATAAGTCGACTTACAGAAATATTTACATAAAGTCAATAAAAATTCATTTATTCAGAAACTGTTTATGCAGAACCAGATATACATGTTTACATTAGAGAGAAACGTGCGTGTGTGTGTGTGTGTGTGTGTGTGAATGTGTGCGTGTGTTTCCGCTGCAGCAGGAGCATCAGTGTGTAAATAGACCTTAAATAAAGTAGATGCTTGGCTCTCAAAGGTCAAAGTGTCTTTTCCTTTAAATTGTTGATAATTTATCAAACTCATGAACGACAGTCAAACCGGAGCTGCTGCAGCATCCAATCAGTGAGTCAGATTTGATTAGGGGCGTGTCTGTGCGTCATCAGGTTTCCCTCCTCTCTCCTAGATCCTCTCTCAGGAGAGAGAGTGCCTCTGGTGTTCACACGTCTGTTCACATCGCTCTCTCTCTCAGACGTCTGCAGCCTGCACTCTCTCTCTCTCCCTCTCTCTCTCCCTCCCCCCCCCCCTCTCTCTCTCTCTCTCTCTCTCTCTCTCTCTCTCTCTCCTGCTGCAGAGAGTCTAAATGAGACCGATCCGTCCTCTCAGCTTCACCTTCACAGCTCAACAGTCCTCCCTCGTCTTCATCAGATTCAGAGGGGCAGTCAGCTCCACACCCGTACCCTGACTCACACCTTCAGTACACACACACACACCTACACACACACACACCTACACACACACACACACACACACACACACACACTCAAACGGCTGAGGTAAGCGCTCTGCCCTTCAAACTCAACTATGATAAAATCTGCCTCCCCCCCACAGGAGAGCAGGAGTGTGTGACTAAAAACCAGATCAGGGAGCTCCAGGTCCCGCCCAGTCAGCCCTTCGATTAAAGGTCCTTACACACCGGGAACGACGCAAATATACGACGCAAAATTACAAAATATTCTGAGGCAAATTTTGACGCATTTATACGACGCAAAATTACACGTTTGGACCGCAGAGTCCCAAAGAGGAAGAGAAGAGGGGAAGGACTGACCCACTGAGGCATGTGTCCTCCATCCGGGTCGTGGTGATGATACTGCAGAACCAGAACTGTGGCGATGACGGACAGACCCACGATCACCATGGTGGTGGCAAAGTACTGAGCTGAAACACAGAGGTCAAAGGTTAAAGAGGGGAAGGAGGAGGAGGGGTTTATCAGAGCGACGAGGGTCCGAGTGAAGGTCTTACCTATGAGAGGGACGGAGTCAGAGGTGGCCGGCATGATCTCCGCCACGAGGAGCATGAAGACGGTCAGAGAGAGGAGCACGGTGATACCTGCAGAGACAGAGGAGAGTCCAGACCTTCAGAACAGAACCCAGGATCCCCCCCAACCTGGTGGTCTCTGCCACCAAAGAGGAACAGAGAGACAGAATACAACACTATAGGATGGGCTGTGACATGATCTGATGGAATATAACACAAAATGAGGAAATGAGAAATATGATACTGAACAATGAGACGGTATGAGATGAGATTTAACACAATATGATCAGATAAGAAAAAGAGGACACACAATCAGTTTGGAAACACACACAATATAATGTGATTTAAGATCGAAACAAAATGACACACAACCACAGAACATGATGGAACAAGATTCAAGTCACGAAAATACGTGATGATACGACATGTCATGGTAGAATATCTTATAATATGGAAGGTAATGATATGGTGGGACAGTCAAATATGACATGATATGTGTAGGATAGGATACACTTCAGCAGGATATGATAGACTATGATAGACTATGATATGATACGATACTTTATAATTCAATATAATATGATAGGTTTACCATTTAATATAAGGAATGATTCAATACGAAATGATACCAAAGCATAACATGGAATATGACAGGATACGATTTAAATTCAATAGGACACATGGGATTAGATTAGATTAGATGAGATTAGATTAGATTAGACTAGAGTGACTTTTTTGATCTTTTTGGGAAGGTTCCTTTAAAGGGAAATTTAAGATCTGGTTTAATACGATATGATAAGCTGATAAAATGATAAGGTTTGGTACAATACGGTATGATGGACTACGATATGATACGTTATAATTTAATATGATAGGTTTACCATTCAATACTATATGATTCAATTCAACATGATATGATACCAAAGCATAGGATCTGATTTAATTTAATAGGACAGGATTAGATTAGATTAGATTAGATCGACTTTGTGGATCTTTTAGGAAGGTTCCCTCAAAGAAATTAAAAATAATATTTAATACGATTTAATAAGAAAAAAAAAGATACGACAGGATACAGTTTGGTACAATGTGATACAATATTTAACAATAACATACAATACGGTTTAATAAGATATGATACATTTCAATAAAACATGATATGATACCAAACCATACTATAGGATACGATACAATACATACAATGAGATGTGATTACCTTATGTTATAATTTAATACAATATGATATCATACTAACCGTGTAAAACAATAAGATATGAAACATTAAGATTAAATATGATCTGATATGTGATGAGAAACAGTGTGATAAGGTACAATATGACATATGAAGGACATGATGAAGTTAGATATGGTTATCATAGGATATGATACAGTACAAATCTACACAGTCAGATGTGATATGATTCAATAAGTATTATTTTTTACAGTGATATTAATGATTTTAAATGACCAGATGAAACGATAGAACATCTCACATTTAGATTAAAGAACAGGATAAATATCATCTGTGAAAAGAGTCATAAAGGAGGGAAATAATAATACGTCCAGATGATATCGTACCGAACCGAACACATTGAACTGCGTCATCCCCGGTGAAAAAGGAACCCAAAATGATCGCAGAACCACACTAAACCACTTTAAGCAGACCTATCTGTTTATTTTCAGATTCTCAAACGTTCCCTCGGTTAAATCCAGCAGCTCTCGGTCCATCACGGTCCCCCGATGTTCTCTGGCAGCTCCGACTGAACAGCTGCTGAGCTCAGGTTCGAGGGAAATTGGACGAAGTTTCAATGAGATAAAAGGATGTTTACCCAGAAATGAGAGGATGAATTCCCCAGACTGAGCATGATCGGATGAATCTGTGCTGAGCTGCCAGTTCGAGCAGAAGTTGGAGAGGAGGAGATCTGACTGGCACCTGTGAAATCGAAACCTGAGGCCTATTTTTGAGCTTTTTGACCGACAAAGACACAAACAAGCTCTTCACTGATCTGCTTCGTAATCCTTCGGGGGAAATCTGACGATCAAAGCAGAAAAACTGCAAACCGATGATTTCAGATTCTCTCTAATATCTCTGAAATCTGAGCGTCTGTCTTCGTGGTGTCAGAGTGAAGTTCTCTCTCTGAAGAAGACCGACAGATTTCAGTTTGAGTCTCTTACACTGAAATAAAAAGATGAAGACAGCCGGGACTTTCTCCAGGAGCTGGGAACCACTTCAGGAACTTTTGAAGGCATTTGCAGAGCAGGAACCAGACAGGGGCGTGTCCAGACTTTCTCAGGTAGGGTGGCCGAAATGGGACTTTGTGTATTTAAGAAACATAATCATGAATTAAAGACATTTACTCACCTTTTGTTTGCCAAAAGTGTAAACACATTTTTGTTCAGAACAAACCAAGAAAAGATGAAATACTACGAGAACATTAAAGCCCCAACAGTTGGTTTCATGAGTCCCGCCTCTGATGAAGCGAAAACCCCAATCATAGTCTAGGATTTGGAGGTACCAGAGCACCAGCACCTTATAAGATCATAAGGAGGAACCAGCAAACGTCCTTAAAACCAGGGTCTACATGATCCCAGTCACTGCTGGGGGGCCAGTACTTGGAAAGTCCCGGACCTCCAGTCCTGTCAGCTTTTAAAAGGGGTAAGGTAAAAGCCAAGAGGACCGGAGCTGATGGTGTTCTTCTAGGAACGAAACGGTTCCTGTGGTCCTTTGTCTCCACAGTTCTACTGGGTCCTGAAGTCCTGGGTCAATAATGAGGCTCAGGTCAATGACATCCAGGGACGGTCTTTGAATTTATTCATCTGAACTCTTCTGCCGAACTTTAGTGAAATAAAGTCACAGATCACGTTGGCAGCAGGTCAGCTGAACTGATTATTGAACATCAGGTATAACTGAACGATTTGTTCTGATCCTGTAAAAAACAAGACAAACTTAAACGAGAGAACCTACGCACCACAAAGTTTGGAGGGATTTGTTGTGTCACCCGGGATTTCCATCGCATCCGGAACGGCTCCGATCCGGAAAGGCGGCAGTTTTCGCTGTACGCCAATTCCTACCGGATCCATTTGTGAGGCGAATTCCGTGGCAGATTACAGAGATCAGGAATCGCAAGAACTCACAAGAACCTGCAGATTCACGTTCAATCGTACGATAACGAGTCGTCTCTCTAAAGACAGACACATAGACATATAAGCAGTAGATCGTGTCCTTCCAGAGGAGGAAATCTACTTCTAGACTTCTAGAATCAGCATCTCCTCATCCATGGTGTCATCGGGGTGAAATGACGTCTAAAAACCACCGGCGTCCAGAAAAAATAGAACTCTTGTGATCAGCTGAGGAGTCCGGCGATCCGCAGAGGAACGGAGAGAAGTCGGTGTAAATTGACACGTTAACTTGAATGGTTACGATCAGCTACGGAGGATACGACCTTTTAGGAGACGATCAGGATGAAGGTGGAGATCGGGGTTAAGAGGTTGTAGTTTCTTACCCAGTGAAATCTTCTCTCCGGAGTCAGCGGGCAGCAGGAAGACCAGCAGAGCGAGGGTGGAGATGAGGACACAGGGGATGAGGAGGTTGAGTCCGTAGTAGAGCGTCCTCCTCCTCATCACCACGGTGAAGGTCACATCAGGGTACGGCTCCTTACAGCAGTCGTAGAAACGCTCGTTTCTGCGTCCAGGAACCTCTGCAAAGAAAACAAAATACAGCACAGATGTTAGTGTCTCTGATGCTGTCAGCTTTAGTTTCATAATCAAAACATTAATAATAAAGAGTTCCACCAAACGCCGCGTTTGCATCGAGGTCTTTGAATCTAAGACACAGTTTTCACAGGAGCTCAGAGTCCTCTGTAGCAATCAAGACAACCCTGGGTGTAAAACTCACACATTCCTCAAAGGGAAGTTTCCTTATCTGGTCCCAGGAAACAGGATATAAATCTTTCCAGACTTGTGTGCACTTTCAGGTTACCTAACTGACCCAAGACCGGAGGTTGACTTAACCTCTGACTCTTCACGATTGGTCGATTCGGAGAACAGAGACAGAGTTTTATTACCTTTCAAACTGACTCCATTTGCTGACCATCTAAATAAACATTAACCTCAACCTAGATCTCCCATTTGAGATTTAGCAGTCTTAAAGTGTGTGAACATACGGACCCCAGGATAAGGGGGGGACACTGACCTCCAGACCTCGGTCGTAAAACCCTGCTCGACCATACACTGATAAAGACTACATTCCTTTGGTGAAAGAATACAAATGACTGATCCTGACATCTTATGCATTCAGCAATGTACTAATCTGTCTAATCATGAAATTTGTGTTAAAATGAGATGTTTCCCGTTTTTCTATGTGCTCCAGAAGCCGAGTTATCGCTCTTTAGTTTCTTTAGACCAACAGCTTTTCAGACTGTTTCATGAACTTTTAAGAGTTAAATTTATTGATTGTGACTCATAACTTAGCTCTAATTAACAGAAATGGTTTAGAAATGTTTGTTCTATATTTTAATCGTTTATTTAGTATTTTTAACCATTAGGTGGTTATAATGTCATTGAATAACCTGAATGTGAGTATTTAGAATCCATCATTAATCATGATGACGTTCATTCACATGTATTTACTCTTTTGTTGTTCACAGTTTCCATGTGTTACTATCTGTTTCATTTCAGAGTAATTTAGCATGTTCAATGTGATACTTAAAACATAATGAGAATGTTTGATGTGATCCTACACTTCATTCATATGTGTTTAGTATCAAATTATTTATCATGAAACCAAGCATTCAATGATATTAATCATAGTGAGTGAGTATCAGATCTGACTCTTTTACCAGCCAAAAGAATAAGTTAGATCAAATAATCAGAGACCCGATGACCCCTCCTTTTTCTCCTCAGACACTCCCAGTGTGAGAAGATAAAACCAGTGGAGTGGGGTTGCTCACGTCTCTTATCTCTCTCTTATCCTCTTATCTCTCTTATGCTTCTCTCTCTTGTTCACTCTTATTCTCTCTTAGCTCTTATTCCTCTTATGCTTCTGCTCTTCTGCTGACTCTCTTGTCCCCGGCTCTTATGCCCCTTCTCTTCTGTCCACACCCTTCTGTGGTGCGTTTCTTTGCTTTCTCTTAGAACTTTTTCTTAGTCTTCTAAGTTTTACGCCACGTGTTGATTCACGTTGATTTTTCTTTAACATCGTCTTAGTTCAAGTTTTGAAACTTCAACTTTTTGTGCACATAGCAATTCAAGATTAAGCCTTTGATTGATTTTCTTTAATTTCGCGAAGCCATTTTTGAAAGTTTTCTCTGCTCTTCGAGCCTCGTTTTTCTGAGTTTTCTGCGTGATTTCAAAGTCACCTCCGAACGCAATCCAACAGGCCCAGGTCATCCTCTGTGCCAGAGTTTTTGAGTGAGACTAAAGAAGTACCCAAACGAGCATCCACAGGATCCACAGGCGCTGGTTTTTGCTTCGGGCCTGAGTGCTGCAACTCCTGGCTCATCCTTCGGCTGACTTCAGTCGTCTTCTGAGCTGAACCGCTCGAACCGCCAGTAGCCCGGACCTTCGGAACCTGCTCCATCTTCTCCAAGGACCAGTCTCACTTAAGTATGCAAACCTCCAGAGCTCTAAAGAGGGCTGATGCTGTCTCCTGCGTTCAACTCAGATATCCTCTTATTCTGGTAATCTTAGATTCCTCCAAATCCACATCCGAGTTTATCTCGACACTAAAGTTAGTGTAGGTTAATATGTTAGCGCATATTCACTCACTATCATTAACTTTAGTGCTCCTAGCCTGACTCAGAATCTTTATTTATTCACCTATTATTATTTTATCCTCATTATCTTATCATCATTTATTGCATGTGTGTTGTACCATCATTTATCCTGTAATAAACAGATCATTATTTTTCTAAGTTCCTGTCTGTTAGTGTTCTTCCAGAAGTGGAGTCCCTGAAATTAGAATTTCGACTTAAGATATGAGACTGATTAATTAAGACTGATTAATTAAGACTGATTAATTAAGACTGATTAATTAAAACTGACTTGATGTTTGATTTCTGAATTAAACTTTTGTTTTCTTTATTTTCCCACCATTAAGGGTGGGTGGTGCCCCTTTCAACGAGTGCATAAATGTCACAATTTGAGATTATTAATCTTCAGACATTTATTATAAATTCCAATCGCCAAGTATTATTTTGGTGCGGCCTTGTGAGGCTCATTTCAAATCGCTACATATATTTTGGTGCGACCGTATGAGGCTCATTTCAAATCACTACATATATTTTGGTGCCCCTGTGTGAGGCGTTTCAAACAAAACTTCTGGATACTAACAGACAACCTAAAACTTAGCCTTCCAAATTGATGCGAGAAACTTATTCCCAGGCTATTTTAGACTTAATCACAATCAATGCTATGCTTGCTGAAGTTGCTTGACTAAGTTCTGATGTTTTCCTGATCTATGCATAAAACCTTTATGCTCTGTGTTTCACACACTTTTGTACTACATGCCTGTAGTCTGTGTTTGAGCTGGACAGCGTGAAATGTTGTTCTGAGTAGCAGTGAGACTGACTCCTCTGCTCTGTCTAGACTGTCCAATATTTAAGTGCACGATTGTTGCGTCGCCGTACGCTTGTATTTAAGGCCTTTGGCTGAACCCAGTGTTCGCGATGCTCCGAGCTGTGGTTTCAAGCCCCTGAAGTCTCTGTAGTCTGCTGCGAGGTTCTAGTAACTATATGGGATTCAGATTTCCTCCTTTCCCCTGACAGATTAGCTACCTGTCACAGGAAACCACTGTAACAGTGGGAGGTTGTTGTTTGATTGAATTCAGACAAAATTTGTGTTCACAAATCGCCGCATTTGTGATTTTAAAGTCTGCAGTTGAATCTGCTGTTGAGGGATTTGTCACTTTGATTCTTGTCTCTATAGTCTGCTACGAAGTTCTAGTAACTATATGGGATTCAGATTTCCTCCTTTCCCCTGACAGATTAACTACCTGTCACAGGAAACCACTGTAACAGTGGGAGGTTGTTGTTCGATTGAATTAAGACAAAATTTGTGTTCACAAATCGCAGCATTTGTGATTTTAAGTTTGCAGTTGAATCTGCTGTTGAGGGATTTGTCACTTTGATTCTTGTTCCTGTAAATGATTTTATTGAACCAATCTGCCTGAGCAGATGGTGTAAGGTTCTATGTTTGAGGGTGCAGACACAGCCTGCTGTGAAATGTTAACCCTTTGTTGTCAGTGGAGAGACTGACCATTTGGCCTTAAGCAGATAAGGCCCTTCGAGGAGGCAGAGCCTAAAGGCCCCTTCCTTCATACTTCCCAACTCCTCACAGCCACAAGAGGCTAGTTGGATGACTGTTTCCTCTTCTCTTCTTCTTCTCCACTTGTGTTGAGCTTGTGCAGTTACCCCAACTCCATACTGCCCCACATGGTTGTTTTTGGTATTGAGCTAACACTGCTATTATCTGCCTGCAGTATCAGCCAGCTGTACTGCCTCTCTGTAGTCAGTGTGTAACACTCTACAGACATAACTCAAGTGATTGACTTGGTTGATGAAGTTTGATGTGCTTATTCTAAATCATTGATCATTGATTTTTGATTTTTATCTTTGTTATAAGAGCCTACATAATGTATTGATAAAGTAACTCCTTGAATCAATCACCTGATCTGTTGTTACTTATCACACCATTGAGCAGTTTTACTGTTCCCTATAATACATGAATGTATTAACCCTCCTCATAAGATTAATTAATTAATGAACAAATTAATTAATATTTGAAATCTATTTTACCATTTCAGATGAATTGGGTAGTTGAATCTTTGGCTTTATTGCGATTTGTGAATTAACTTCAGAGTTAATTCCTTAAATTGACAATTTCATTGGTTTCAGATTCATCCAACTGCATCAGGCAGTTTATTTAAGCTTTGCTGATCTCTGCAACACGGAGACAATTTGAACCCTTTATTCAATGGTTCTGTATCTGATGTTAAATTTAATTTAACATTATTTCACCTTGTTTTATTTCAATTTTCATTGAAATGAATTTAACTTTATGTTATTTTTCTCTCCATTAGAGATCTACTCAGATAGGCTCTTCCTCTTTATCAAGCACTGATAAATTAAGTCGATTAACTCACTTAATTTGATATTTTGCTTCTTCTTTTCATTTGAAGCCAACTCAAACTCATCAACCAACCACCTGCACCTCTTTACCTAAACCAAACATGCCTAACACAAAAGAGTCCAGCCAGGGAGACCCCCTGAGGGACATACACACAGTGTTAGCAAACTTAACTAGTCAGCTGATACCTCAGTACATGACTAAGATTCATAAGGCCAAACCCTCCAATCCGGAGGATGAAATGGCTGACTTACTGGAAACAGCCTTAACCACGACACTTCGTGACAAAGAGCTCACTAGATGCATGTCTGTCATGATGTCTTCTCAGATTGAGTATAAAGACTACTTGCTGGAATGCGCTTTAGCAAAGATAAAGGCGCAAAAAGATGAAAACAGCGCTCTGAAAAAGACGCTAGAGGAGACTAAGAAGTCTTTAAGTGTTTTAGAAAAACACAGTGCCAGATGTGAAGCGTCAAAGCTTCCCTCACTGATAAGTCATGAAGAAAATCTTGATCTCAAAGACAAGATTGAAAGACTTAATGAAAACCTTTACAAAAAGGAGAAAGAACTTGATGACACGAATAAGCAGCTTGCTAAGACCACAGAGGATCTGATACAGTCAGAATCCCTACTAGAGCAAGCAACAGAAGATGTAAAAGCTTTGAAAGCACTGGTCAAAGTGCGTGCTGAAGCTCTTGAAGTTAAGGAGAAGCAAACTTCTACCTTACAGCACCAGCTCCAGATAGCTCAAAGACAGTTAATTCTTTGTCAAGAACGGCAAGAAAAGACAGACAAAGAACTTGAAGATGCCCAAAGAGAGTTACAATGCTCCCTCCAGTCGGGTCGAGCCCAAAGAGAACGCATGGAGCAAACGTTTCTTGAAGAAATGATAGGTGATCAGCCTCCTGAGAGAGCGCCATCACTTCCTTCCAAACCAACTCTTAAGTATCTCTCTCAGCATCATGACAGGACCCTGCTTGACCCTGAGAGGTCATCCTTAAACCAAGAGTCCTACTCTCCTCCCCATGATGGCTTCTTACCATCTCCCTCAGACAGGGATCTTGACAAAATTGCTCGCAACATAGCACGCTTTGAACCTGAGCACCAAGCTGCTATTGACACCTGCACCTACTTGAAAGACATTGACTTTTACCTGAGGAAATTTCCAGGTGCAACCATTGAGGACAAAATCTACCTTATTAAGGCAACGTCAAGTCGAGAGGTTAGCAGTTTCCTTGAACGACAGCCTTATCATGTCAGAAATAATTATGACTTGCTCTGCCAAGCATTAATTGAAGAGTTTTCTGACTATTTGACCCAGACAGGCCTCTCTGCTGCTCTGTCTATTAAACAAGGGAGATCAGAACCTCCTCAACAGTATTACAACCGCTTACGCGAAGCTTACTTTGGTTTCCGAAATGAACCAGAAATGGAGGAGGACTTGAACTTCAAAACGCTGTTCGTCCAGAACCTCCACCCTACCACCAGTCATCACCTTGGCGTCTTAGCTTGTCCAAACACTTCGACTAGCCGACAGCTTCGTGAACTTGCTGTAAAAGGTTTTGCCAAACAACGACAAACTTTGGCTAAGAAAGCAGAGCCCGTTACTCTCTTGGCTATGGAGACAAAATCACTGCCCATGGAGCTGAACGAAGCTTCAGACTGTGTTTTTTTCAAGCTCCGATAAGCCTCCAAATGAGTGGTTAACCAGGCCTCCAAAACCTTTTCGACCTCAACAAACTCACAAAGGTCAAAGTTACACACCAAGGCCCAGGTCTGACCCAGACCAATGCCAGGTAAACTTTGAGACCAACTGTTGTTATTCAGACTCCCGTCACGGTGGGTTTTATCCCAGACAAAGGAAAAACCATCGACACCGCCAAAGGGGGGTGAATGACTGGCAGAATCAGAGTAAATCACACTCTCAGAAACGACGATCTTATTATCCACCTCAATCGGTTTCATCCACTTCGAAGGTGAATAAACATGACAACTCAGCTAACCACTGAGATTAACACTGCGGAGTCATGAAGGTGTGAGTCCTGCGAAAGCAGAAGTCACCTAGCCAAAGCTAAATGACTCCAATAAGATATCCAAATGCTGTGGTGATACATTGATGACTGCAATCCCAGTTGCTGCTTTCTTTGTTAGCATTTGTCTCTCCTCTGTCAATATGGTCAGCTTGTCAGCTGTCAAAGATCCCATGAACAGATTAAAACCTGAAATTTCTGTCCTTAAGACTCAGATTGACAAATTTCAGACTCAACAGCAGATAATTAGTCAAACCGATAAGAGCATCATCCCCAAGTTTAACAGACAAAGTTTAAGAGAAACTCTGTGCAGTAAACTTTTGATGTTTGTGATTCAGGTTGACTATGCTCATACACAGATGGTTAATATGTCTATAGCAGACATTTCTTTTCCACCTAAGTCTTAACCATTTTTGAAACTGAAATGGAACTTTCAGACTTCTCCAGCAAGCATGAAAAACAGCTATAGCTTTAGATCCAGTTAGCATTCAGACTAAAGAGTGCTTTTCTAAATCTCATTAATACTGAAAATTAGGAGATTTTCTTTCACATTAGTCTACCAATAGTTAACTGAGAAAATTCTAACACCTAGACGATTTTATTTGATAGCTTAATGCATGCTTGATGTTATCTTAAAGCAGATACTAGTGATTCACATAGTGATAATGAGACGCATCAGTCCTATTTGCATACACCTGCTGCTGCTGCTGCTTCTTCATGGTTGTCTACTCGTCGTCCCGATGCTCCATGGACAGGACCGCCGTGACGAAGGGGGGACTGTAGCAATCAAGACAACCCTGGGTGTAAAACTCACACATTCCTCAAAGGGAAGTTTCCTTATCTGGTCCCAGGAAACAGGATATAAATCTTTCCAGACTTGTGTGCACTTTCAGGTTACCTAACTGACCCAAGACCGGAGGTTGACTTAACCTCTGACTCTTCACGATTGGTCGATTCGGAGAACAGAGACAGAGTTTTATTACCTTTCAAACTGACTCCATTTGCTGACCATCTAAATAAACATTAACCTCAACCTAGATCTCCCATTTGAGATTTAGCAGTCTTAAAGTGTGTGAACATACGGACCCCAGGATAAGGGGGGACACTGACCTCCAGACCTCGGTCGTAAAACCCTGCTCGACCATACACTGATAAAGACTACATTCCTTTGGTGAAAGAATACAAATGACTGATCCTGACATCTTATGCATTCAGCAATGTACTAATCTGTCTAATCATGAAATTTGTGTTAAAATGAGATGTTTCCCGTTTTTCTATGTGCTCCAGAAGCCGAGTTATCGCTCTTTAGTTTCTTTAGACCAACAGCTTTTCAGACTGTTTCATGAACTTTTAAGAGTTAAATTTATTGATTGTGACTCATAACTTAGCTCTAATTAACAGAAATGGTTTAGAAATGTTTGTTCTATATTTTAATCGTTTATTTAGTATTTTTAACCATTAGGTGGTTATAATGTCATTGAATAACCTGAATGTGAGTATTTAGAATCCATCATTAATCATGATGACGTTCATTCACATGTATTTACTCTTTTGTTGTTCACAGTTTCCATGTGTTACTATCTGTTTCATTTCAGAGTAATTTAGCATGTTTAATGTGATACTTAAAACATAATGAGAATGTTTGATGTGATCCTACACTTCATTCATATGTGTTTAGTATCAAATTATTTATCATGAAACCAAGCATTCAATGATATTAATCATAGTGAGTGAGTATCAGATCTGACTCTTTTACCAGCCAAAAGAATAAGTTAGATCAAATAATCAGAGACCCGATGACCCCTCCTTTTTCTCCTCAGACACTCCCAGTGTGAGAAGATAAAACCAGTGGAGTGGGGTTGCTCACGTCTCTTATCTCTCTCTTATCCTCTTATCTCTCTTATGCTTCTCTCTCTTGTTCACTCTTATTCTCTCTTAGCTCTTATTCCTCTTATGCTTCTGCTCTTCTGCTGACTCTCTTGTCCCCGGCTCTTATGCCCCTTCTCTTCTGCCCACACCCTTCTGTGGTGCGTTTCTTTGTTTTCTCTTAGAACTTTTTCTTAGTCTTCTAAGTTTTACGCCACGTGTTGATTCACGTTGATTTTTCTTTAACATCGTCTTAGTTCAAGTTTTGAAACTTCAACTTTTTGTGCACATAGCAATTCAAGATTAAGCCTTTGATTGATTTTCTTTAATTTCGCGAAGCCATTTTTGAAAGTTTTCTCTGCTCTTCGAGCCTCGTTTTTCTGAGTTTTCTGCGTGATTTCAAAGTCACCTCCGAACGCAATCCAACAGGCCCAGGTCATCCTCTGTGCCAGAGTTTTTGAGTGAGACTAAAGAAGTACCCAAACGAGCATCCACAGGATCCACAGGCGCTGGTTTTTGCTTCGGGCCTGAGTGCTGCAACTCCTGGCTCATCCTTCGGCTGACTTCAGTCGTCTTCTGAGCTGAACCGCTCGAACCGCCAGTAGCCCGGACCTTCGGAACCTGCTCCATCTTCTCCAAGGACCAGTCTCACTTAAGTATGCAAACCTCCAGAGCTCTAAAGAGGGCTGATGCTGTCTCCTGCGTTCAACTCAGATATCCTCTTATTCTGGTAATCTTAGATTCCTCCAAATCCACATCCGAGTTTATCTCGACACTAAAGTTAGTGTAGGTTAATATGTTAGCGCATATTCACTCACTATCATTAACTTTAGTGCTCCTAGCCTGACTCAGAATCTTTATTTATTCACCTATTATTATTTTATCCTCATTATCTTATCATCATTTATTGCATGTGTGTTGTACCATCATTTATCCTGTAATAAACAGATCATTATTTTTCTAAGTTCCTGTCTGTTAGTGTTCTTCCAGAAGTGGAGTCCCTGAAATTAGAATTTCGACTTAAGATATGAGACTGATTAATTAAGACTGATTAATTAAGACTGATTAATTAAGACTGATTAATTAAAACTGACTTGATGTTTGATTTCTGAATTAAACTTTTGTTTTCTTTATTTTCCCACCATTAAGGGTGGGTGGTGCCCCTTTCAACGAGTGCATAAATGTCACAATTTGAGATTATTAATCTTCAGACATTTATTATAAATTCCAATCGCCAAGTATTATTTTGGTGCGGCCTTGTGAGGCTCATTTCAAATCGCTACATATATTTTGGCGCGACCGTATGAGGCTCATTTCAAATCACTACACCTCAGAACCAACAGCCCAGGCTCGGCCACTCTCATATCCCAGTTTCCTGTTCAGACCACGGTCCAAGTCTTTCCAGGCTAAAAATAGTCTTGAAATAATCCGGTTATGAGAATTACTGATGCACCTTGCTGACAGAGGTAACACTTGCATCAGCTGATAATTTAGCTCGCTTGTCACTCCGCCGTCTCTCCATCCATTCCTCGAATTACAGTCTCCTCTGTCAATGTCACATCAATAAGCAGATCATTCAGATATTAAAACTAACTTTCCTTTAATTATTACAAACAGAAGCAGCACCCTAAAAAGACGAGGACTTTATCCTCCTAATGTAGCGACCGTGGTTACCTCGGTGACAGAAGAGGTTGGCGATGAATCGTTACATTCTCGAACCTCGCCCCCTTGAAGTCGTTACATGTCCTCATTCCAAACTCTCCTCACAAGATGAAAACCATGAAGCAGCAGCAGATTCTGACTTATGTGAAAAGTTCATTAAACAAGGACTTAAATTAAAACGACAAAAATAACTTACTTCAAAATGTCCAACTGAAAAATCCAAATAAGTAAAGAGCATCAGAACGGACAGAATCCAGAACCAAGAGACACCAGAACCAAGGGACACCAGAACCAAGAGACACCAGAACCAAGAGACATCAGAACGGAAAGAATCCAGAACCAAGGGACACCAGAACCAAGAGACATCAGAACGGAAAGAATCCAGAACCAAGAGACACCAGAACCAAGGGACACCAGAACCAAGGGACACCAGAACCAAGAGACACCAGAACCAAGGGACACCAGAACCAAGAGACATCAGAACGGAAAGAATCCAGAACCAAGAGACACCAGAACCAAGGGACACCAGAACCAAGGGACACCAGAACCAAGAGACACCAGAACCAAGAGACATCAGAACGGAAAGAATCCAGAACCAAGAGACACCAGAACCAAGGGACACCAGAACCAAGAGACACCAGAACCAAGAGACACCAGAACGGAAAGAATCCAGAGTCAAGAGACAACAGAACCAAGGGACACCAGAACCAAGAGACACCAGAACGGAAAGAATCCAGAACCAAGGGACACCAGAACCAAGGGACACCAGAACCAAGAGACACCAGAAAGGAAAGAATCCAGAACCAAGAGACACCAGAACCAAGGGACACCAGAACCAAGAGACACCAGAACCAAGAGACACTAGAACGGAAAGAATCCAGAGCCAAGAGACACCAGAACCAAGGGACACCAGAACCAAGAGACACCAGAACCAAGAGACACCAGAACGGAAAGAATCCAGAACCAAGAGACACCAGAACCAAGGGACACCAGAACCAAGAGACACCAGAACCAAGAGACACCAGAACGGAAAGAATCCAGAACCAAGAGACACCAGAACCAAGGGACACCAGAACCAAGAGACACCAGAACGGAAAGAATCCAGAACCAAGAGACACCAGAACGAAAAGAATCCAGAACCAAGAGACACCAGAACCAAGGGACACCAGAACCAAGGGACACCAGAACCAAGAGACACCAGAACCAAGAGACACCAGAACGGAAAGAATCCAGAACCAAGAGACACCAGAACAAAAAGAATCCAGAACCAAGAGACACCAGAACCAAGGGACACCAGAACCAAGGGACACCAGAACCAAGAGACACCAGAACGGAAAGAATCCAGAACCAAGAGACACCAGAACCAAGAGACACCAGAACGGAAAGAATCCAGAACCAAAAGACACCAGAACAAAAAGAATCCAGAACCAAGAGACACCAGAACCAAGGGACACCAGAACCAAGGGACACCAGAACCAAGAGACACAAGAACGGAAAGAATCCAGAACCAAGAGACACCAGAACGAAAAGAATCCAGAACCAAGAGACACCAGAACCAAGAGACACCAGAACCAAGGGACACCAGAACCAAGAGACACCAGAACCAAGAGACACCAGAACGGAAAGAATCCAGAACCAAGAGACACCAGAACAAAAAGAATCCAGAACCAAGAGACACCAGAACCAAGGGACACCAGAACCAAGGGACACCAGAACCAAGAGACACCAGAACGGAAAGAATCCAGAACCAAGAGACACCAGAACCAAGAGACACCAGAACGGAAAGAATCCAGAACCAAGAGACACCAGAACGAAAAGAATCCAGAACCAAGAGACACCAGAACCAAGGGACACCAGAACCAAGGGACACCAGAACCAAGAGACACCAGAACCAAGAGACACCAGAACGGAAAGAATCCAGAACCAAGAGACACCAGAACAAAAAGAATCCAGAACCAAGAGACACCAGAACCAAGGGACACCAGAACCAAGGGACACCAGAACCAAGAGACACCAGAACGGAAAGAATCCAGAACCAAGAGACACCAGAACCAAGAGACACCAGAACGGAAAGAATCCAGAACCAAAAGACACCAGAACAAAAAGAATCCAGAACCAAGAGACACCAGAACCAAGGGACACCAGAACCAAGGGACACCAGAACCAAGAGACACAAGAACGGAAAGAATCCAGAACCAAGAGACACCAGAACGAAAAGAATCCAGAACCAAGAGACACCAGAACCAAGAGACACCAGAACCAAGGGACACCAGAACCAAGAGACACCAGAACCAAGAGACACCAGAACGGAAAGAATCCAGAACCAAGAGACACCAGAACAAAAAGAATCCAGAACCAAGAGACACCAGAACCAAGGGACACCAGAACCAAGGGACACCAGAACCAAGAGACACCAGAACGGAAAGAATCCAGAACCAAGAGACACCAGAACCAAGAGACACCAGAACGGAAAGAATCCAGAACCAAGAGACACCAGAACAAAAAGAATCCAGAACCAAGAGACACCAGAACCAAGGGACACCAGAACCAAGGGACACCAGAACCAAGAGACACCAGAACGGAAAGAATCCAGAACCAAGAGACACCAGAACCAAGAGACACCAGAACGGAAAGAATCCAGAACCAAGAGACACCAGAACAAAAAGAATCCAGAACCAAGAGACACCAGAACCAAGGGACACCAGAACCAAGGGACACCAGAACCAAGAGACACAAGAACGGAAAGAATCCAGAACCAAGAGACACCAGAACGAAAAGAATCCAGAACCAAGAGACACCAGAACCAAGAGACACCAGAACCACGAGACACCAGTAAAACCAGGAGGAGATCAGGTAGAGATGAAACACACTCGGTATGTTTACAGTCACAGTTTAATCGGACTATAAGCTCATTATTCTTTTTTTTCTCTGAATCAGACTTCTCTCCTCGTCCTCGTTTACATGCAGCTGAGAAAATCAAATATGTGACATGAAAGTGTCCTCCTCCCCAACACTAGGGGGTGATATGGGTCTTTTTCTGACCCACATGCACTGTCCGATCACACTCCGACTATTCTGGTTACATGGAGAGAAAATCGGATTCCAGTCGCATTATCTGGGTGTCTTAATCAGAGTTCTCAAACTCTGATTATAGTCGGACTAAGGTGTTTACATGACCTTTAGTTGTCCGGTCTTAATCGGAATAAGGCGATAATTCGGTTTCTCAAGTGTCATGGAAACAGACTAAGTAATTATGTAAATGAAAGAAGTAAATAACAGGAGGAGAGGAGGTGGAGTAGAGTGTGTTTGTTTTTGATCAACTACTACAAAATAAAACAGGAAGTACATCTTGACTAGATTTACAGGGAATGACTACTACAAAATAAAACAGACAACACTGAAAACTGATGGACAGATTAAAACACTGAGAACAGGAGGGACACGGGTCAAAGACAAACTAAAAACTCCAGAAACAGGATCAGAGGCGACGGAAAAATGAGGGAAAATACCAGGAAAAAACTAAAAACTCAAGACCTGATCAGGACATCAGGCTGTTTCTGTCCTCCTACAGCAGACTCTGGCGGGGCGCAGTAGACCTGATCCAGGTCTTTAGGATAGAGTAATGAACTGTTTTATCCTGCGAGTACCTGATAAACGGTCGTCACGCAGTTATTAAAGCATTCCCCTCTGAGAGAGAGAGCTGAAAACTGATGAATAAAACAGACCGTCTAATGTGTTTGCTCAGCGCGGCTCAGAGATCTTAGTGTTGAATCATTTATCCTCCTGAATTAACCCTCTACCTAACCCACGCTCTCCCTCGCCGTGGTTATTCTCCTGATGGATTAGTGGAGAATGTGGCGTCTCCTGCCTGAGAGTGCAGCTGTGCCTGGCTGCCTTTACAGTAGCACACTCCTCACTACACGGCTCACTACATTGGTTTAATCTCCGCTATAGGGGCTGGAGAGGAGCGTGGCGGGCTGAATGGGAAACATGCTGCTGAGATTTTCAATTAAGCTCCCTGTGAACGGCTCATTGGCTGAACGGAGTCTCTGGAGGAGGCTCGTTTTATTTCTCTGCAAACTTCTCTTTTCTTTCTCACTTTCATGGGTTGAGATTTGACTCCTCTGAGACCGAGGAAGATTCCGGACTCTTCAGGTTTGGGTCTGTCCTCTACAGGCTCCTGGTTCTGTTTTCTGTGGTCCAGTAGACAGTGAAGTTCTGGATTCACAAATATCAACGAAAGGCTGTAGAGAGGTTTCAGTTAAAGAGAATAAATGATCTGGAGAGAGGACAAACTGACGTGTTTTACCAGAGGAGGTTTTCAGATTTCATTCCACTTCACTAAAACCAGGTATACACGACACGGATACGACTAAACCCAAATTTACACCAGATCCTGAACGGCTACGAGGAGGTGGTTTGTGCCGACTGTCGCCGATTGTTTCCATTCAAGTTAACGTCTCAATTTACACCGACTTCTTTCTGGACGCCGGAGCATGGCGGATTCAGCACAGATTAACCCGTGCTGGAAAGGAAGTCGGGCACAGACACAAAATAAAACATCCGGCTTCTTTTCAAAATAAAACACTCCGTGTTTCAGGAGGATCGTATTTCACACCATGCAAACGGGCGGAGACGAACAAGTGAAAGGTTTTTAGACGTCATTTCACCCCGATGACACCATGGATGAGGAGATGCTGATTCTAGAAGTCTAGAAGTAGATTTCCTCCTCTGGAAGGACACGATCTACTGCTTATATGTCTATGTGTCTGTCTTTAGAGAGACAACTGTGGGTTCTTGTGAGTTCTTGCGATTACAGCTGTCTGTAATCCACCAGAGAATTCTCCTCACCAAAGGATTCAGTAGGAATTGGCGGATGTTGAAAATCATTGCCGTTCCGGATCAGAGCCGTTCCATATGCTGTGGAAATTAGGGGTAAGACTGTGAATATTTATGTATATAAATAAGTAAATATATCGATCTCCCGCTCCATTCTTCCCTCACTCCTGAACAAAACCCTGAGATACTTGAACTTCTCCACGTGGGACAGAATCTCATCCCCATCCCGACATGGACTCAGATTTGGAGGTGCTGATTCTCATCCCCGCTGCTTCACATTCAGTAGCTGAAGTCCTTTTCTAATGAACTCTGCTGACTCAGGAGACCCTGCTCCTTCAGTCTCAGTTTAATCAGAATAAACTCATAACTCGTCTTTTTCTCTGAATCCGACTTCTCTCCATGTCCTCGTTTACATACAGCTGAGAAAATCAAATCATTGACGTGAACGCGTCCTCCTCCCCAACACTAGGGGGCGATATGGGTCTTTTCAGTGGCGCTGTTTCCGACCCCATCCAACCGTCAACAACAACAACAGCAGGTCGGTGTCAGACGTCAGAAGTGTCTCCAACTGCTGCTGTGAGTAAGGCGATAATTTGTTTTTCTCAAGCGTCGTGGAAACGGACTGACTGAGAGGAGGAAATGTTGATCGTCTTGATTTATTTGCGACTATAAAAAACAATAAACCTACAAACCGAGACGTGGCTGAAACTGGCTAAACATCGGAATGACACGTTCACGGGCGACTTATCAGTAAAAATTAGGCTCCACAGGTCTGTTGCAATAATAATCCACAGTGAGTTTTATTTTCACACCATTAGGATCGAAACGCAGGATTGCATGAAAAGGTACAAGTTCACACGGATTCTTCCTTGACAAGTGCGAAAAAAACCTAAATTGACGATCAAAAACTTGTATGCTCTCAGATTTGGACAGAAAGACGCTCTTAGATCCTGTTTCTATCTCGTCTTCTTCAGTTTGAACCTGATTTGTGACGAGGACGAAGACAAACCAGAGCGGAGAACCTGCTGTAAACATCCGGAGCGTCTCTAATCCTGCAGAAACACACCGATGCACGATCAGCAAACATGTAGTCAGCGTGAGTCCGTGATCAGACGGCTTCATGACTTCATTACGACGTTAAAACATGTGGAGGCTGCAGGTTCCTGAACACACACCAGTAAAAGACACTAGAGTGAAACTTTACGGCTCCAAGGTCACTTATCGGTCACGCTCTGTGGGCTGATCCGGCGTTCGTCAGCAGTGGTCGGTAGAAACGCGGCCCGCAGCACTCCCATCAGCCCCCTGGTTCAGCTGCTCGCTCTGCAGCAGAGGGAGGATTTAATTAGCAGCAGATTGATGCGGGACGGGAGCGCTGATAGGAAACCCGCCTCAGCGGACGGACGGGCCTCTGAGCTGCTAAAGGTCCAGATCCAACCCCGTTATTTGAGGGGTGTGAATAACGCCAATCAGCACGTCTCCGTGAAAAACAGCAGAAATCGCCGTTCAGAGAGTAGAAGAGCGCAGAGATGAGAGTTCAAACACTTTCTCGTCTCTGCAGAGCTCCTAAAGTCTCCACAAACTGTCACCGACTGTTCAATCGTCGGTTTTAGAAGGTTACAAAATTGGCTGATTTTCCCACCAACAATTTCAGCGGCGGAGAGTGTCTTTGGAGAGCGCTCTGATCATTTGACATCATGTTTGATGGAGCGCACTGACGCCTTAATGCTCCGGCGGCTGAACGAGAGCGGATCTCAGCAGTCAGGTTTCAAAACAGAGAGGAGAGATTTCTCAGAGGAGCGGGGACGAGAGGAGCTTCAACGAACGACGCGTGGATTTGTCCTTTTAATCACACAGACGATGGTCGACAAGAGCGGGACCGACGCCGTGAGTGAGTTATTAAAAAGGATGTGAAATATGACTGGAGTGTCAAGAACCACGAGTCCAGGAAAAGGATGACGAGCGTTCCTGCTGTCAAGACCCTCCTGAACCAGAGTCATAAGAGTCTCAGCTGGACTAAGGTCGTGTTCACGCCAGAAGGTCCGTTTTCTTATTCTGGACTGCGTATCGGCAGACTTTAACGGATGAACAGCTGGGAGGACTCGGCGATTAAAGAATGTGTGAATACAAGCAAGTCGAAGACGGTGCTCTGCAGTCGGACGATCATTTCACAAAGACGACGGGCAGTAATGAGAGTCGACCTCCATGTTTCTGTGATTGGGGTGGAGGGGGTTCACACCAGAAGTAAACCGCTCTAGAGTTCACTTGATAGCGGTCCGAGACCACCCCTACCAGGCGGACCCGAGAGCGGTCGACTGGTCCACACCAGAGTTCAACACCAACCAAAACGAACCGTTCCAAGGAGGTAAACGCTCCAGGGTTCGGTTCAACTGGACTCAACGAGGCTGGTGTGAACGTGACCTGAGAAGAAAAAGGACCGGACTATCGCTCAGGGGTCCAAAGTCCTGCTGGAATGAAGGTCCGCTTAGCATCTCCTCCCAGAGAAGATCAGAGAGGCCCAGAATCCCAGGAACTTAAGGTCCAGCATGTCATCTGCTGCTGCTGGTCTACTGTCTTCATGCCTTATCTACTGAGAGGGTTTATGGAGATCCAGATTTACATTCCTGCAGGACCCAGTACCTGCCCACAGCGCCAGAACTACCAGATACTTGTTTCCTGACTGTGGTGTTCTTGAGCTCGACTGTCCAACCAACTGGTCTGGCTGGTCCCCACAGAGGATCTCTGGAGGATCATTAGGAGGACGATGAGAAACATCTCACCCAAGAACACAGAACAGCTGACGGCTGCTAGCACGACTTAGTTAGCACCTGCCCGCGGCGCCAAAACCACCAGAAACTGCTTTACTGATCATGTTGTTACCATGGTTACCTTCTCCAGCAGAGACCACTGAAGTAAGACCACCACAGAACATCACGTCAGGAAGGTTTCCTCAAAGAAGTTTCCACAAACCGACCGACGTCATGTCAAATATTTCATCTCTACGTTTCTGTTTCTTACCGACGAGATCCCACTCTCCGTTGGCGATGTATCCTGTAACATCGGCCTCGATCATCTGCAGATCCAGAGACCAGCCGCCGTACGTCCACGAGCCGAACTTCAGGTCACAGCGCTGCACGTCAAAGGGAAACCAGCGCACGTCGATGTAACAGGTGCTCTTAAATATCCCTGAAACAAAACCGAAATCAGGAAAGTTAACGAGCACAAGAAATGCAGGAGGAGACAGAGAGGAGCTCAAAGAAGGAAATGAAGCTGTGGAAGAAAGAGAATAAAGTCAGAGCTGTCGAGTTTCAGCAGGAGATCAATAACTGATCAAAACATGCAAAAATAACGACTGAGAGAAGAAAAAAAAACACAGAATAACTTCATGAAATGAATCAAATCTCCAAAGCTGAGCTGAAAGAAAGAGTGAGGACAGTCTGAGTGTGAGGAGAGGAGCAGAAGGAGCTGAGATCCACCAGAGGAGGAGAAACTTTAATAAAAATAAAAACAGAAGTTATTTTTACTACAGGTCAGTCCTCTCTCTGTAACAGTTACAGAGTTACAGGTTTTTTTTTTGTTTTAATGACAGAAATCAGCCGGGGAATCCAATCAGATCCCAGATCAGCCGACACCTGCCGTCTCCCAGAAAAGATGAAAGTTTAATGATCCCGGAGGAGAAACCAGGACGCCGCTGCAGCGAAAAGTAAACAGGAAACAGCGGAGGAGAGTTTCAGATAAAAATAGAGCGAGAGGAAAAACGCTGAGGAGGGTTTCTTTATAAAAACACAAGAGGAGGAGGAGGAGGAGGAGGAGGAGGGTCACAGTTTAATCAGGAGGAGAGGAGGAAACCTGATTACAGAGGAGGTCAAGAACTTATTATTCATATTCATACAAGCAGCAAATATTAAATATATTAAAATATTAAAGTGTCACCTATAGAGATATAAATGTAGTTCTGCTGAGAGGGAGCAGACATCACTTCTTCACTTTAAAGAGTTTTGACTTCATGTTGGGGAGAAAAGTATTTTTATACTGTATCATAAAAACAGGAGGATTAGAGTTTTTTTACAGCTGATATGAAAACAAAGACTAAAGATCGAACAGATCAGTCAGACTTAAAGAGCTTTTAGAAAAAAAACGTCTTTAAAACGTCCAGACCTGATTCAGAACCACGTCTCTCAGTTTTAGACTGTCCTCAGACTGTCTTTCATTCTGTCCCTCTGCTTTTCAGACACAAACAAACAAACAAACAAACAAACAAACAAACACACTCCTCTTTCCTCTCTTCTCCTCCTCTTATTTACTTCTTTCATTTACATAATCACTCAGTCCGTTTCCATGACACTCGAGAAAACCGAATTATCGCCTTATTCCGATTAAGACCGGACAACTGAAGGTCATGTAAACACCTTAGTCCGACTCTAATCGGAGTTTGAGAACTCTGATTAAGACACCCAGATAATGAGATTGGAATTCAACCTGCTTCTAATATCAGTCAATCGGACAATTCATGTGCGCCATGCCCCCGTAACCCCGTAACAAACCCCCAGAGTAGAGGAGTAGCGTTGGTCTCCTCTTTAGAAAAAGTAGCGCGTCCATCATGTCGGACAAAAACAACGCTGTACGATGCTCCATCTTCTTGTTTCTCCAAAATGCCCAGCAGCAGTTGTAGACACTTCTGACGTCTGACACCGACCTGCTGTTGTTGTTGACAGTTGTATGGGGTCGGAAACAGCGCCGCTGAAAAGACCCATATCGCCCCCTGGTGTTGGGGAGGAGGACACGTTCACGTCAATAATTCAGTTTTCTCAGCTGCATGTAAACGAGGACGAGGAGAGAAGTCTGATTCAGAGAAAATGATGACCTTAGTCTGATTAAGATGAGCATGTAAACGTACTGACTTCCTGTTTCTGAACACTGAGGCTGATCTGATCAGCTGATACACTTAATATTGACAAGCTCTGAATAAAACTTTCCTTTTAGAGGGTCACTGAGAGCTTCCTGGTTTTGTGGAGATAGAAGTTTGAACCTTGAAGAGACTCTCTGTGTGTTAAACTTTAAATCTGATCAGGATTTCACTTTTTATGAAACCCTCAGACTCGGAGTTTCAGAGGTCAAAGTCTTTAAATTTTCTCTTTTCTCGGTTTTAATGACAAACATTCAGTTTCTCTTCGTTTGTTTCTGCAGATTTTAACAGGATAAGATTCGATTGGTTAAATTTTCGGACAGCTTCTGCTTGTCGCCAACATCTCTGTCCCTCTGGAGCCCCTCCTCACTCGGATCAATATCATCTATCAGCGGTAATGGGGCTGTTAGGACTTTTATGACTTATTGATTCCTGATTGGATGATTGCTTTCGCTCATCTTCCTGTCACATAATGTTTAAGATATCAGTTTGTCCGGTCTGCAGAGTCATGTCGCTCCGTTTCCTCCTGAGAGGCTGAAAAACGTCGTTTCTATGACGACTTCATCGCTGCTGTTCGAACCCCTGCAGATCAGATCTAAATGACTGAGATGACAGCTCGGTGTCTCTGTCAGGTCGTAAACAGGGGACCATAACTCCTCCTGACCTCCTCCCGTTGACCCCCGACCTCATACTGACCTCCCAGACCCCCATAAACCAGCAGCCTGCAGGAAGCCTCTCTGTCAGGGTCTGATGGCGTCGTTTATGACCTCCTCTCTGAGGGAGTTTGGCGCTTTATGGAGGGTCATAATGATTTTTAGGGACAAACAATCTCTAGTGTTTGTCTTCTTGGACATTTAGAGAATGAGGAGTAATTATCAGACACGACACCTCAGACAATCAGACGGTTAATGATGGTCCAACGGGGATAAAATCAACTCGTACTGAAGTTACATGAGTTTGAAAGAGTTCTGAGGAACGATCGCAGTTAAAAGATCAAAATAAAAACAGATTTTTATGGTTTAATTTAAAGTTAAAGGATAAATTTAACAGAAAACAGGGACATGTCACGTTTAGACCGGAGAATCGTTCTGTTTTATGATTTTAGAGGAACAACCAAACAGGTCAAAGACAAACATCTGGAGGAACATCTTCAGCTAATGAGGGGGATGTCCATCAGGGTCGTTAGAGACTCAGCCTCTCTGAAGGGGCGGAGCTTAAAGGTGTGTTACCTGGTGGCAGGTACTGGCAGTATCCAGAGGAGTTGACCAGGATGTTGGTGTGGAAGGAGGCGTCGAACCTTTCATCGGCACTGAGGAGACGGATTGAGAGAAAAACTGTAAAAAAACAGAGAATCTCACAGACACACGTTTGTTATACTTATGAGGACACTAACGACCCTCGAACCTTCACTACTCGAACCTTAAATCCTTGAACCTTAAATCCTCGAACCTTAAATCCTCGAACCCTAATCTTCCTAAAGCAGTCATGGCGGAAACCTCAGGGTCGGGTTCCTGCAGCACTTTTTGCGTCTTCCCCTCGGGGCTGCAGCTCAGAGTGACCTAAGAATTAATTTTTTAAGATGGCGTGGAGCTGCATCCAAATCACCCCCCGCCCCCCCACCCCCCAGCGCTCTTGGCGACACTCCCAGAAAAAAACAAGAATAACTGGATCGATTCGTGACGATGTTTTAGCTGACCGTGAGACGCTGTGAGCGATGACCAGGTTTCTGATCCAGTTAACGAGTTTGTTCAGCTGATGTTCCCGCTGCTCTCCTGTCAGGATTAGTACCTCTCTGTTAACACACCCTCGCCGCACGCCGCATGCCGCGCACTGAGGGAGGCTCTCTGCTGGGCGCTGAGCGTCTCAGCTCATTAACCGGGCTGCGTTCAAGAGAAAGTTTGATAGTGGTGGGAGGCGAGGGAGGCTGTCAGAGGGAATATTGACCCGGCCCGCTTTAATGAGAGGAGGTCAATGAGCGGCATCAGAGCCTGACTTTGAATTATTCTGGAGCGCCGGGTCACCCCGGACTCTGAAGTCTTCTTCCTCTCACATCAGCACCTCTTCAGTCTGTCACCTGTTATACAGAAGGATGTCCGGCCTCCAGATCTGGTTGTCCGGGAATCGAACGTTGGTCACACCGGGATAGTCGGTCGTGTTCCACTGCAGGTAGAAATCTGTCCAGTACTGCAGAGACACAAACACAGGAGCAGAGAGTCAGGAACCAGGTACCAGTACTGGTTCTTACATGATCCGGTTTACCATTGTGTGTCATCTCCATCACTTTAAAAGATCTGGATTTCCAAACTGGGAAAATGCTTCATGAAACTGTAAAATCAGGTTTGTTTGGCCCCGCCCACAAACAGACGCTCCTGCTCGCTCGTATCGTTCCGATTAAATTCAGATATAATGCAGATCAATACTTCAGATCATTACAAATGGGGCCCAGTCAAGGTGAAAGTCAAAAGCATTGGTGCTACTGTAGATGCCAACAGACTACCAGCAAACACAATGTTTGCAGGACTTCTACAACGAGGATAAAGTGACATAGTCCAGGACCCGAGGGAGGACAGTTTAGTGATGGAGCTACAACACGCTACAGCAGGTCCGTTTGACAAGAAACACTTCTGTTACAGACACTTGTCTTACTTTGTTAAAGCGGTTTACCTGTCCAGCAGAAAGGTTACAGGGTCACCAAGATCCCCAAGCGTCCCCCATCGTTTATGTTGACCCGGCTTTTTAGCTCTTGTCCGGTCTACCTCCGTTTTAAGCGCCCGTTATTCCTCCAGAGTCTCCGGTATTTACTTTGTTTTCTTGCTTGTGTCGGCAGTCGTGGCCAAAGGAGGATTCAGACAATTTTCCGAACTTTCTGGTTGGTTTCTACTGTCCGATATTGTAGCACGCTAACCTGTGTGATTTAGTCCCAGTAAAGCTTGTTTATTTTGTTTGACCTCCATATTTGACTTATTTATGATGATGATGATGATGATGATGGTAGCGGTGACGGCTCCTCTGGACCAGACGCCGTTTACTCTCTGAGTTCCTGTTTCTCTGAAGCTGTGAGAAAGAGGGAGTCGAGCCCGTCAGGACGGCGCTGACGTCTCATTTGCATCCACAGCTCCTCTGGTCGCTCGGTCCTCATCACGCTGCAGCCTCTCTGAGCTCTTTGCTCTGTGTGTGTGTGTGTGTGTGTGTGTGTGTGTGTGTGTGTGGACGGTTTGAGTCTGTGAAGGTCACCCGCGTCTCCCTCAGTCTTGTTTACTCGCTGTCACTGAGCTGTTTTCCTCAGAGGGGTGTGATGATGAAAGCTGCAGCCTCACCACCACCTCCCCCCCTAAAATCACTCGACGACACTCTGAAGTTCCCGTTTCTGAGCTCCTGACTTCACTGGTTCAAACTTTAGGAAATATATTTTAGAAATCTGTTCAGAGTCTTCAATTTGACAAAATATGTAATCAGTAAGTTTCAATCAAGTGCAATTAAGCACCGAGGATGGATCTTTGAGGCAGAGTTTACATGCTGTAAAACGACCCAGAGGACAGTTAGCAGGGTTATTAGCACTGATGACAGGAAGTACTTTAGACTGGATCACAGCTGCTGCAGGATCCATTTCACAAATCACACTGCAGAGTGACGTCCAGGTGCAGAACAACCATGAAGCTCTGCAGCTCTTTGCAGTCTGCTCATGTCCGCCGAGTGCTCTGCAGAGCTGCACTGTGCACTCTAATCCTGACAAGGATCCCTGTGCCTGAGGCTGCAAAACGACCCCACAGCATGATGCTCCCACCACCATGTTTAACTGCGGTAACTGTGTTCTTATCATAAATGTTCTTCCTCGAGCTGCGGCACCCCGCTGTCCGTAATGGACTGGCCCGAACAAGCATCTGCTGGAAGAGAGTAGGTGAGTTGTGTTTAGTCTCTTTGTACTAGTACTATGTCTGTGACCCTATATGTCCTGTTGATGAAGTTAGGTGCTGTTCTGAGCATTATCTGTGGCTATAGAGTGGCGTTTTGGTTGGGGGCGTGTCTCTCTGTATTTCTATCCTGCGGTCGTTACTAAAGTTGGTATAACTAGAGAAGGAAGCGGTCGACAACATTCATCTCTGGAGGGGGGGTCTAACCCGGAATATCCCTTTAAGGTTATACACAAGCAGCAACCTCCTCTCATGAGAAATGACTCTTAGTTCTCAAACTGCAGTTCCTCGTGTGTCCACTAGAGGCTGGCTGCAGATACACTGGACACCACATACACACCGAGTCAAAGAGAGCATTTCCGGAGCGTTCCTCTCCCAGCACACCGTCCGGTTTTGTTTTCGTAAAACGGAGAGCGCAGACTTGGATTTGTTTGTTCTCACAACAACACCGTTCGTACTGAAGTATTTTACCTTTGCTGTTACCATGACAACCGTTTACACCATGTTTCATGCTGCCGACTTTGAATCGTGTTGATTTGAGAACCAAGTCTCACACAGATCATAAATAAGTAGACGCTCATGACTCTGCTTTAGTCAGTAAATGTAAAGACTGACCACATCGACCCAAAGCAGAGAGAGAGAGAAAATCCAGATCTGAGTGAAAAGTACTGGTGTGTATTTTTAATAAGCCGGTGAGGGTGTCTGCGCTCTTGATTCTCCTGTCTAAAGAGCTCAAAGGCTCCGAGTCAGAAAAGAAAACCTGCAGACTATAAAGGAAAGTGACGCACTGATGCAACGAGAGGAAAAGGAAAACGCAGTGGAAGAGCGAGACACGGCAGCGGTTCACACACGGGCCCATGGCAGGAGTTTGGTTTCTGTAAAACCTCCAGTTTGAGTCGGATTCTGCGGTCTTTAACAGGATTATCCTCCCTGACAGAGTTACGGGATATTTCTGGATCTGTGAGGACATTTTAATTCTTTCTGCTCAACAAGATTAAACGTGTAAAGACTCAAGACTGGACTCAGATATGAGACAGCTGGACCGGGATTCAGACCATGTTAAGAGCCTTTGAGAACAAGACCTCAGCGGGGAGGCGTACTGTGCCATTATTTATGAGTTTAACGCTGCTTGGATCAAAATATAAACTTTATTCCATTTAACAAATGTGACTGTGATTGTTCGCCCTGTTGAATAAATAAGAGAAGCTTTAGTTAAACGTCTCGCTCTCTCGGTTTTGTTTTGACACTTCCTGTCCTCGTACTCGTTCCTCTCTTTTGTTCTTCTTCTGTTTTTGATCCCTGAGCGAGTCAAAGAGTTTTTAACTGCTGGGAAAATTTCCAAAAACTGTGAAACGCTGAATAACCGCACTCAGACAATGTTCCTCCATCCATCCCCTTTATGAAAACACACAAAGACTCCAGCAGGAGAGAGGAGGAGGAGGTGAAAACCAAATGAAATGAAGCTAAGAGTCTGGTCAGTCCTGGGAGGGTGCTGCAGAGAGCAAACTCTGAGTCTCCGGGGAGGAACCAGCCCCTCCATCAGAGAGGAGCAGATTAGGCGGGATTAGCGCGTCACCCCTTCACAAACACCCCCTCCTCAGGACCTGATGTGAAACCTAATTAAATCCAGACGGCTGCATGAAATGGGTTTAGGAAGCTCCGTAATGAATTCCTACGCTCTCCATTAGCTCTGACATTCACACCGGAGTCTGCCCCGCTCCACAAAAGGTGAGGAGGAGCAGCTTTTTATAGACTGAGGTGGAGTCAAAGTGAACAAAGGAGAGGCAGGAGCGGATCTGAGACAGGTGGAGGAGGCGTCAGAGGGTGATTCCTCTGTCAGGCCCGGCAGAAGATGAAGAGTTTGTGGAGCTGGCATGGATCAAGTTTTTTCTCCACCACACTCAAACTTATCTGGGTCAAGCAGCAGAGCTGGAGAGGAGCGTTTCCTCCAGAGTCTCTCTGGAAGCTGAACAGAAGGAAGGAGGGGAGATGTGGCTGCGAGCCTCCATTTATTATCAATGTTTACTCGGCTTCTTTCCTGCAGAGTCAGTTAACACGCCGTCCCCCGGCGGTCTGAGCGGCACAAATAGACTCATCTGTAACAGCTGGAAGTGACACAGGTTTAATTTACTGTAATGGAGCTGAAGTCCCCAAACCCGGAGAGAGGAGTCTAAATCATCAGAGGTGGAAAATAAGTTTAAAACCAGCTCCTGTGGACTCAGATACCACTAAACCAGGACTCATGTGGACCTGAGAGTGGACGAGTACCAACGTCAGCACCTGTGGGTCTAAAAATGAGGTGTGGGTAAAAACACAGGTGTAGGGTCATCATCTTAAGATATGATAATAATAATAGTGATAATAATAATGACAATAATAATAAAAAAATATTTATTATTATTATTAATTATTATTATCATTATTATTATTATTATTATTATTATTATTATTATCATTATCATTATCATTATTATAATAATAATAATAATAATTATTATTATTATTATTATTATTATTATTATTATTATTATTATAATTATTATAATTATTATGATTATTATGATTATTAAATAGTTATGATAATAGTATTGATACAATAATTATAATAATTATAATAATGATAGTAATGATTACAATAGTAGCAGTAATAATAATAATAGTAATAGTAATACTACTACTACTATTACTCATAATAATAATAAAAACACTGATAACAATTATTAAAATAGTTATAATAATAGTTTTGATAAAAAATAAAATAAATAATAATAATAATTATTATTATTATTATTATTATTATTATTATTATTATTATTATTATTATTATTATTATCATCATTATTATCATATTATTATAGTAATGATAATTTAAGACATTTATAGGCACTCCCCAAAACACCCAAAGACACTGTACACAGATAAAAGTGAAAACCTGAAGTATATCTGTAATCATAACGAACTAGCCTTTCACCTGTGGAGTAATGAACTGAACTTGCTCTGAAGTCTGGCTATGTTGACCTCGGCTGCTCTAAGATGACGATGACAGTCCTCTCAGTAGAGCGTACAATCAACCTGTCAGAGTCTCTCTAAATTTCATGTCAGTCACTCCGTCTGCAGAAAGCCGTAGCCTAGCTTGTGTGCAAGTTTCCCACTTTCTCCAAAAACGCTGAAATCTCCCTTTAAGTCTGAAGTCAGGGGTGTAGTAAATGACCTTGAAAAAGAAGACGTGTACATCCTTATGACTGACAAATGAGACGTGAGTCTGCAGAGGGACACTCACCAGCTGCAGCCAGATGTTGGTGGTCAGCACCTGATTCTTCTCGTCCTGCAGACACAGAAACAACAGAAACAGTCAGACGGTGTTTACAGAGGCTCCTCTGAGTCTCTGCAGTCTGGTTTTTAGTCTGTCCACCGCTTCCTTCATCCCTCTAAATTAATTTGAAACATGGCGGCGAGCCAGCAGACGGGGGTTGAATATAAGTAACGTCAGTTTGATGAATGTCCGGCCTGCTAAGAGGTTCTCAGGTAGCCGAGCGTACAGAGGGAATTAGAGACGGGGGGGTTTGTAAGCAGGTTGTTTCTCTGCAGGATGATGAGGTGTAATCATCCCACACTTATCCTGAAATACAGAGAGTGTCAAACAAAAAAAACAGAGGACAAGGCAGGAAGGGTGTGACTGACATTTAGATCTCCTAACACAGACGTATTAAAGGAGAAGAGCACCTGCACATTTAAAAGTGTTTGTAAAGCTGGAAAATATACTTGTAGAGTGTGTTCAGAAGAGATAATAAAAGCAGGATCAATCTGCAAATAATCTTGAGTCAACTGTGACTGATGATGGCACCTCTATTGGACACTCCAGGAACTGTTGCAAACCTTCACAATTGACACCTGTAATTTGAGAAAAAGCTTGCCACGTATAAAAGCCTGCCTCATATAAAATCCTGTTTCATATAAAAGCCTGCCTTATTTAAAATCCTTTTTTGATATAAAAGCCTGTTTCATATAAATTACTGTTCATATAAAAGCCTGTTTCAATTAAAAGCCTGTTTCATATAAAAGCCTGTTTCATATAAAATCCTGTTTCATATAAAAGCCTGCCTTAAATAAAAGCCTGCCTCATTTAAAAGCCTGTTTCATATTAAAGCCTGTTTCATTTAAAAGCCTGCCTTAAATAAAAGCCTGCCTCATTTAAAAGCCTGTTTCATATAAAAGCCTGTTTCATATAAAAGCCTGCCTCGTTTAAAATCCTGTTTCATATTAAAGCCTGTTTCAAATAAAAGCCTGTTTCATATAAATTACTGTTCATATAAAAGCCTGTTTCATATTAAAGCCTGTTTCATTTAAAAGCCTGTTTCATATTAAAGCCTGTTTCATTTAAAAGCCTGCCTTAAATAAAAGCCTCCCCAGCAGTAAGAACAGACTTTTACCTTTTCTGTTACAAAGAATTCTGATTTGTAAAATTATTTTGGTGTTACAATAGTTCAGATTGAGATTGATAGTAAAACATTACTTTCTAATGTATGTACACAAGAAGTGCTTTGTCCTCAGGGGGCGCCAGAATCTACACAAACAATAACTTCCTTACAGGAGCTGTACATTTTATTATACAGGGTAAACTAATGAGATATTAAAAAAATCTCTATCTATATAAAGATAGAATATATATTTACAGAGGACAGTGAAAACAAAGGTATCCATATGCAGACTGAAGACCACCAGAGTGACCCACATCAGAGGAGGACAGATGTGCAGAGCAGCTGTTTAAAGAAATCCATCCATCCCTGGATCCCGTCTATCCCTCTCATTGTCCCTCAGATTAATGATGTAGCAGCTCATATTTTTGCTGAGGCAGCACTCTGCTCTGGCCGTGATATTAATGAGCTACCTGCTGCTGATATCAGTTGTCCTCACATTGTGCAGAAATGATGCAATTAATTAATTTTCTGCGAAGGCGTTGAATTTCTGCGGGTAAATTCATCAAAGTCAGCGTGTGTTTGTAACGCTTATCGCCCTTGAGTGCAGGGAGACCGCAGAGTCCGGCTCTGATCACCCTGGACTTCACCTCAGAGACACAGAGAGGACCAGACCGGACCTGCTGCAGAGAAAACCTCCTCATCTGGATGGAAAAACCAGAAGCAACGAGGCAAACCAGCAGCATCTGTGAAGAGGAACCAGATACTAACCAAACTCACGGCTGACAGCCTCCTGTCCGGACAGACTGTTAGAGAGTTTGAGGAAAACACTTGAATCTACTGTGATGTTTGTCTGATCTGTCATGAGTGAAATGGTGAGGACTCCCCCTCTCCATGCAGCTCACCATGCACTCTACAGTTGGTGGACTGAATTCAGCGCCGTCAGGATTAGAGAGCACAGTGCAGCTCTGAGCAGCAGAGAGAGGAGATGAAAACAGAGATCACCTCAGTTATAAACTGCACAGATATCGTCTGTGACGTAGTTTACTAAAAGACCTGATGTTTCTGTATTTGTGCGGACAGTGTGGATGATGGTGTCTGATCATTGTCCAACTGTTCTGGTCTTTTCTTCGCTCATGATCCTCACGGTCCCGGTCTTCATAAGGGGCCCAGCTGCAGTCTAAATCACTGCTTTCCTAATTTTAGTTTTCTAATCATTAAATGTTTAAATCTGTTCCTTGTGTCTCGATTTGATCCGCTGATGTTTATATTCTGTTTGGATCACTTTGAGAAGACACAGCTCTAAAACCCGTTTCATTCCCCGCTCTAATAATTCATCCCTCATTAATATCAGATCCTGACACCGATTTCTCTCTCCTGCTGTTTTCTCTCTAAATGTGCAGCTCAGACTCTCGTTGTCAGCGTTTTATTTTCTGATCTCAGATGAATTTACTCTCAGACTCTGCAGGTTATTAAACACAGACTAACAGAAGTAAGTCTGCTGGCTGCAGGCGTATGTGCATATGGGAAGCTTCACCCCAGGGGAGTTTCCTGCAGACTTAATTTAACACTAAACCCAAATTAGTTCCTTCATATTAAAGCATCAATATGGAGCGGAGATGTCCTATCATCGCAGATAACTCACACACGTTAGATCAGATTGATCTTTAAACCTGCAGCAGCGAAACAGGCTGGGATGGATGCAACTGACTTAAACACAGCTCTTGATCTTATTTCCAACAGATGTCAAGAAATACATCCTCTAGAGGGCGCTGCTTACAATCAAGCCACCAAATAAAGGTAAGGGGGCAAAGAAGTCCGTTTGGATAGTCCTGACTGAGTCAAATGACCTGCAAGTTGATGTTGCAGGTCCAAAAAAACTGGACCTTCATCAGATCCTGACTACACCACCTTTAATGGGGTGAGATCTTACGAATAATGATGGAGGGAAATAAAATCTATGAAATGCAAAAGAAATAAGCCGGAAACATTCAAGAGAGATGAGGAAATGATGCGTTAAAACTTAGTTAAGGAAAAGTTTGTTGAAGCTGGACTCTCCGCTGACTCACTGTTTATCGATTAACTCCAAGAGCCCACACAAAACCAGTTTCAGTAGAGCTGTGGACAGTGAGGGAATCCTGAATCACCTCTTTAACTGATCCGTTCACTCAGATGTATCGGTCTGTTATCGTGTGTAAGTCCAGGATCATGAGATTCACTCTTATCTGCCTAAAAAAACAAGAACCTGAACCAACAGAGCCGTGTCCTGCGCGCCCTTCAGCAGACAAACACAAACACGAGGCAAAAACAAACACAAACAGCTTCTTGACAAACTCAGCGATGCGTTCAATGTCACCTCTCAGAATCAGATCGTTTTATTCCAGGCTGAGAGAGTCCAGGTTCATCCCGTATTAACAGCTGTTTACTGTCTTCTTCTTCTACAGTTTGGATCTCTAATACCGCCAGCTGGGTCAAACTGTGTGTTACAGTGTGTGTCTGTTTACTGGAGTGTGTGTGTGTGTGAGTGTGTGTGTGTGTGAAGAGCATTCCTGCAGTGAGTTGGTGTCATGCTGAGACTAGAGCGCAGCGTTGTGTTCAGAAACCAAACAAAGACGAGGAAAAGTGCTGCAGTCTGTGTGTGTGTGTGTGTGTGTGTGTGTGTGTGTGTGTGTGTGTGCGTGCATGTGTGTTGTCACATGCTGAGACCGTACAGATGAAAGTGCTCTCCTGCTGTCAGTACCTTTCAGGATTCAGACGGCTCGTTTGTGAAAATGGATGTTTGATGTGTGCGAGCCGTGAATGAAAAACGTTTGTCCGTTTAGTCGTGTTTGTTTCATCTGTGCGGCGCCGACATGTCCGATACAGACCTGTTCTTCAGCAGGACCGCATCAGTCCAGGACTCTTCTCCTTCAGAGCCACACTGTTGTCAGAATGTGGTTTGGGATCATCTGAAGGTCTTTGTCTGGATGGACGTAGATGTTCCTCCTAAACCTGGAGATGTTGTTTAAAACTGAGGATGCAGGATCTATGATTTCCAGTTCTACAGTGACAGGACAACTGGACCTAATTGAGACTTCCTAATGATGCAGCATCTATGAGTTCTAGCTCTTTGTTGAAAGGACATCTGGACTTAATTGAGACGTTTCGCCTAATGTCTCAATTAACTCCAGTTGTCCTTTCCAAACAAATCTCATATCTTGACCTCAGGACCGTTGTCCCCTTGGTCCATCTTTAACAGACTCGGGTCCAGAGAAGTCTCTGGTGGTTCTGGATCCTGGTTCTATCTGGTCTCCTCTCTCATGGTTTGAAGTTTGAACCTCATGTCTGCGTTCACAGTCGATGGTTCCTGAAGTGATTCTGAGTCCATGCGGTGATTTCCACTCCAGAGTCCTGTCTGTTTTTTAAAGCCCTGAAGATCAGGAACATCCAGTCCTGGTTCTGGTCTTCCTAATTCTTCCTGGAGATCACTGAAGTCCCATCCTTTCCTCTAAAACTCTGGGGTCTCATATTACTAGACCAAAGCCTGGTTTGGTATCTTAGTGGAAGTGGGTTCTAGTTCGGTTTTGTTCAGGATGTCTCAGCGACACAAACTCTGAGCTGTCGTTTGTGTGTTTGTGTGTGTGTGTGTGTGTGTGTGTGTGTGTGTGTGTGTGTGTGTTTGTGTGTGTGTGTGTGTGTGTGTGTGTGTGTGCCGTAGTTCGTACCACATCCATGATCTGCAGCAGGCTGAAGCTGAAGTGGACCGTCAGGCTGTGGGAGTCGTTGTTGACCGGTCGCTCTAAGGGGTTGTAGTTCCTCATCAGCTCCTTGTAGAGGCGGCGCTGATACGTGCCCTGAAGAGACCCTGGAGACCCACACAGCATGTTAGAACTTTTTACCTGTCAGGTAACATCGATAACAAAATTCACTCTGCGGAGATCTGTGTCGGGCTGTGGGCGGGACATTCAGGACGACGATGGAAACAGAGAAACCAACTCTGGAACATGTAGTCTCCAAAACTGAGACAAGTGATGGCCGATTAAACTGTGACTGTAAACGAACTGAGTGTTCATTCACAGAAACTACAGCTGACCAAAGCGCTGTCTCAGCTGACAAACATCCTCTCATATAAATGAAACACAATACAGAAAATAAATGAACACTGACTCCAGAGAGGTGTCACTTTAGATAACTGTGACAGTCTGTATCAAACCCGCACAAGAATCTGTCCTGATGTGGACTGGACCCACCTGAAGGACCGTCAGCGATTCATCAGCGAGTTCACTTTGTGGTTTAGTTAAAGGAGGAGGAGTCGGCCATGACTTCAGTCGTGTCCTCTCAGCTGTTTCTTTACTCAATAGGCTCTATTTTTGTGCCTCGCCGGCGGTGTGGTGCAGGCGCAGCATTAGTCCAGTCTGCCGCGCCAACTAGGCGTCCCCAAGCACACTTTGGTAATTTGGTGAGTGGTGCAGCCTGGCACCAAGTACACCCCCTCTCTACCTCAGCTCCTCCCAGGGGTGCAAGTCGGGAGAGAGGGAGGGGAGAAGGCGTGGAGTGGGTTCAACACTGCCACAACACAGTGGGTTTAAATGCGACGCTGGCGGGCGAGAAAATGTCAATGCACCAACTGATTCTGTCTGCGCCGCCACACCCAGCTTTGCGCCTCTCTGTTCGCCTCAGTCTACGAAATTACCAAATTGGCTGTTCATGACGCTAAAACCATTAAAACCGAGCCCTTTAACTCTCTTCTGAAACTTCATTTGTGTTCAATTTTATAATGATTCAAAGATTTTTGTTGACACTAAATATCGACAGTTAAAAACAGAACACTGGTTTGCACTTAAAAGTTTTTATCCATTCAGTCAAATATTATTTATTAAAGAGATGACACCTTCATGTAAAAATGAAGCTTGGCGGTTAAAAGTTTGAATAATTAACCTGCAGACTCTTTAACCCGCTTTAGTTTAATGAACATTTTCTCAAGGTGAAAAGTTTGGTCAAATCACCAGGATGAAGCTGCTGAGTGATAAAGAAGACGGAGGCGCTTTAGGAAACGATCAACCGGTTAGAAACTCTGATGTGTTTGAAGATGACCCTCCAGCTGACACAGAGAGGATGATCTGCAGGAAGCTGATCCGACTGCAGATGTTTGCACACAGATGTAACCTCAGGCTGGAATAAAAGCGTCTCTGAGCTTCGTGGAGCCGTGAAACTGAAAGAAGCTCCGGATAAACATGTGATTACATCTCTTTGTGTGTAATCTGCAGACGAGCTGAACTCTGAAAACAACATTGTGACCTTTCAGAGGGAGGTGGGACCTCCGCCGAGTCTCTGCTGGTTGCCTCGCAACAGCTCCACATTTAACAGAGAGACTAAGTCATTATACCTTTAATAAACGGAAATATCAAAGACTCTTCGTCTTATTTAGATCTGAGAGAGATGCAGAAAAGGAAGAGGGAGAGACCGCCAGTTTACAGAGTAAAAATCTGAATATAGGAGACATTAACGTCAGACTGCAGAGCAAAGCAGACGTCAGCTGATTAAAAGTTGGACTCTTAGAGAGGAGCCACCAAACGGGTAAAACCAGGAGCCTCATTTATCAACGGTGCGTCAAGAGTGCGTACGAACATTCCCACGCAAAGTCTGGAATTGATGAACCTGAACGTGAGTAAATTAAGGTCCAACTCTGAGCATGCTTACACTCAAACCCTAGTGGTAGAACAGTGAAACTACAACTAGAACCATTAAAGGAGTCATAGCGTTCAACAATCTCAGACTTGACACATGTTCTCTGTTCCCTCTGTACAAAACTGATCAATTAGTTATTGATTGAATCAGCTGTGACAGGACAACCTCAGATGAAGTCTGACAAGTACAAATACAAGTATCATGGCTTATTTTGGACCATCGGAGGACTTGGAGAACCGTGTTTTTAAAGAGAGTGCTGATCAGTTCATTGAGAACACAGAGTGGATTCTCAGCAGGTTCCGCTTCCCCAAAAACATCTGAATGGATTTATGATCCGTGATTTACAACCGTGTTGGAGAGAGAGACAAAACGCACCAACGCCATCATCCCAGTGACCATCCAGCTCCTGTCCACCCTAACCCGACATTTCAGCCTCAGATCGGAGACATAGACGACATTTCACAGACAACGCTAAACAGAATCATGTCGGCAGAGATGATCAATAATTTCTCTGACCTCGACTTACATCCAGTTCACAAACACACATCAGCAACACGCCAAAATAAAACCAGGAATCCACGCCATCGTCATCTGAGTGGATTTCATCGTCTACAGTCCATCATATCATCAAAGATTCAGAGGATCTGGAGAAATCTCTGTACTAAAGGGGGACAAGGACCAAAACCGAGACTGGATGGAGCTGATCTTCATGGCATTAAAAACAGACAGGACTCTGGAGTGGGAATCACCACATGGACTAAGTCCAGTTGTCCTTTTCAACGCAGAATTAGAAATCATAGATGCTGCATCCTCAGTTTTAAAGAGTCGCTCCCAGTCTAAATCCAGCGTCCCTGATGGTATGGGGCTCATCAGAGTCCATGTCGTCAGAATCACTTCAAAAACCACTGACTGACGTTGTTGAAGGCCGAACAAGCGTCTGGAAACGTTAATAAAAACGTGTAAAAAGCAGAGAGGATCATTTTTGTCATTAGTGATGTATCTCTGCTCCTCATTGTCTGATCTGCTGCCATGGAAGAATTACAGACTGTGAAATTCAAGAAGCTATTTTTTAGCTGAAAAATTCACTTTCGTACCATTATTTTATTAGTGATAATAGGTGATATGATGTCGAGTGAACAGGTGGTTACACAAACTAGAATCTCTTCAGGGTGAGAGACAGACTTTATTTCCATCCTCAAACTTGAAGATTTCTTTTTACAACAACAAATAAGTCATAACTCTAAAATACTTTTCATTTTCCACTTCACAGATCCGTTCATGATCTCAGCCTCGGTTATAAATGTTGAATATTTGTGGATCATCCATTCGCCTGCAGATATCAGAGACACTAAATCAGACCTTCAGAGTTCTTAAATCAGCAGTTTGACCTCTGAATCCTTGGAAAACAACATTTCAGGGAGCAACTCTGACCCTCTGGATTCTGGCTTTTAGATTTTGTCCTTCATTTGAGGCGACTTGTCGTCGTTTTTCGGTTATTTTTCTCCTCCTTTGTAAAGATTAAGCTTTCACATTTGAGGAGATTTTAATGTGTCCAGAATACAGACTGAGGTGTGTATGTGTGTGTGTGTGTGTGTGTGTGTGTGTAAAGCTTACCCTGTATGAGGCAGCAGAGCGTCAGGACGTGCAGGGTGAAAATCCGAGCGTCCATCCTCAGCAGCCGGGACTCTCCGAGACGAGAAACTGAGCAGAGTTCCTCCTGAACCGGCAGAAAACACCAGAGAGAGAGAGAGAGAGAGAGAGAGAGAGAGAGAGAGGGAGAGGGGGGGGGGCAAGCAGAGAGGGGGAGGGACAGAGGATCAATGGAGGGGAGACGAGGATTCTCCTCCTCCAACAACATCTGAAGGAGAAGATTGAACAGCTGAAGACGCTGAGGAAGAGGAGGAGGAGGTTGTGTGTTTTGTGTGTTTTTGTGTGCTTTGTGTATTTTGTGTGTAGTGCGTGTGTGTGCACGAGTAAGTCTGTGCATGAGGTGATGATCTATTTGCCGTCTCTTCTAGAGTTTAGAGGGTTAGAAATGATACGGCAGATTTATCTGGAGCCAATAAAACCAGATTATTCAGATTATTCAGATTATTTAAAATATTTAAATACTGAATAAAAAATTGAGATAAATTCAAAACTGAAAAAAAAACACAGAAGTGTCATATTAAGCTGATTCATTTGGTTTAACGAGGTTTGAAGATGGAGAAATGTTCATTAATGAGTGATCTCGACCTTCATGGAGAGAACCTGCTGTGACTTCATTTATCACGGGTCAGAACTTTGAGTCGTGGTACGGAGGAGCATAAGGGTCAAAGGTTAAAAAAAAACACTCACTGAGGAGTAATCTTTGTTTTAATGATGGTCCTTGAGGAAAAAAAAAAAGCTGGGATTCAACTTTTAGAGTAAAATAATGTTCAAATTCAACAGTGAGAAAAAGTTGAATTTCAGTCTTCAGAGACAAATCCGTTTCTAAGTTTTTAAGTCATATTCAGAAAACTAAAAAAAATTCCTATTAAGAAATAAAGTTTAAAGAAAAGGATTTTAAAGAAGTTCAAAGTAGAAACCAGAGAGAAAAAAATCAATTCAAAGTTTAAAAAAGAAAAATTCACTTTTAATTTAAAAAAAAGGCAAATGTCAAAGTTGAAAAGGTCAACATTTAAAAAACAGAAGAAGTGAATATTAAAATCATAATTCTAATACTGAGAGTAAATGTTTAAATTAAGACAAAAAACGGAAATTCAATTTTGAGAAAAATGAGACAATATTTTAATCAGAAAAAATGTCAAAATTCAAAGTTTCAAATGTTGAAATTTACTTCTGAGAAAATAATTCAGAATTCAGTATCAAAAAAAAATCTCTATAAAACATCTTTATTGACTCTTGAGAAAAAAACGCTAAATTTAATGTTGAGAGAAAAAGCAGAAATTTAATTAGGAGGAAAAAAAGTCCAAATTAAATTAAAAAAGACTGAACTAAAAAAGTTGAAACTCAAAGTCAGAAGGTCAAAGTGTTTGAGTAAATTAAATAAGAGGAGAAAAAAAAAAAACTCTCAGTGACTTCGTCTTTTGTAAGTGTGTGAAAAGGGTCAGGTCGGCCACGTGGACCTCAGGAGGGACTGTAGATTTGTGGAGATGTTTGGAGAGTTGGAACCTCAGTACTGGACTTCAAAACGACACCAGCAAACTGGACTGAGAGACGTCTGAAGAGAAGTCTGACAAATAAACTGTTGATGTGCAAGTTTTTATGACTTTTATTCCTAAATGTGGTTCCTCCCTCCTCTCATTTCCTCTAATACTCCTCCGCACACGTGCAGATGAACAGTTGAATCACTCTAATAGAGATACAACTCCTAACCTCCTCCATTCAGAGTTTATTCTTCTCCATCTACTTTACCTCTGAAGATTCCTCCCTCTGGTTTCGCTGCTGCAGTCTCTCATTAGACGTGTTGACATTTGCTTGTTCCTCATCATTTCAGCAGGAATATTTGAAGGAGGAGACGACTTCTGGTGTGAGTCTCTGACAGGAAACACGCCGCAGCTCTGACATGAAAACAGGGAAGAAAAAGAGAGAAGAGGGTGAAACTTCAGTGAGATGGATTCTCTCCTCAGCTCTGTTGAAAGTTTGTTTTCACACTCAGGAAAGACTGGAGCGCTGCGAATAGACTCTTCAGACGAGGGAAAACAAACCCTGATATTTTTAGCTGTGCTGAAAGGAGAGAACCTGACAGCTCCCTCAGCTTTTACATTCATGTTTACATTATTTTATTATCGATAAAAACGTGCTGAGAGAAAGTGGAAGTTCAGCCTCAACTCTGTCCTTCATAATATTGGGTCGGATACGATAAACTGTCGCTACAACAAGCGTGGAAACAACCATACATGCTAAAATCAACATCCTAACATGTTCCTTCAGCGTGCATAACGATGTTTTATTTCTTTACCACCCTGACTAAATATATCAAACATTAATGATATTAACTCTAAAATACTCAGTGCAGAGTCATCATGAAAGATTTACGGCTCTAACCTCGTCTAAAAATTCACCCTAAATTTGATTTTCAGCATTTTCCTCTCAGCTTCGGTCGTCATAACTCTCTAGTTTAACTCAATTATCCAAACCACTGATTCAGAAAACAGGACTGACAGTTATCACCCAAATTATCTCCTCTTAACATCCATCAGGTTAACTGTCTCAGGATAATTTCTCACCTAACCAGCCCTGCAAGACAATCCATTAAAAAAATGTGAAGTTTGTTTAGATGTTAGTTTAACTGAGAACGCTCAAAGAAGTCCAACAGGATGATACGATGGAAAGGAAAAGGTCAAATCTGGAATATCTGTAGAGTTTGAGACTGTAATCTCAGTCTGGTCTGATTACCGATTAATCTACCGATTTTCAAAGTTTTTTGATGAAGTTATAAAAATACATACATTGTAGATATCTAGAGTATACTATATATTGTATATAGACTGTTGGTTACTGCTCTTCATGCTGACAGGAAGACCGACTGATCAAACTCGGACCAGAAAAGCTTTTTCCGCTAGAGTCCACAGGCTGACTTCTCTGGCTCACACAGAGGAAGAGAGACGAGCGCAGACTTCATTTTCAGCAGTTTAAAGTCTACAAGTCGCAAAACAGTCAGGACAAATCAGCAAACAGCTTTCCACCTCTGCACACACAGCTAGCAGTCCTGCCACACTGCTACCAGGATCAGACAAAGAGGGCATAATCACACACACCTGGCGTTATAAAGGCAGGAAGTATTACCTGGTCCTACCTACAGAGGGCAGTGTTTTTAACTTTTGTTTCAGCCCTCACATTAAATTATCATGAAAATAGGAAAACTAAAATTAATGCCACATTGAACATTTGACAAACAGGTGAGTTAACAGGCAAACTTACAACACTCTAACATGAAAGCGTCTTATTTAGTTTGTTTCACTGATTAAGGAAAAATGTTCAAATATGAAAGAGAAAATATTGTTTATTAGCATGTTAACTGGTAAACTACTACTTAATATGTGAGTGTCACCTGTTAGTTCTGGAGAATTTATTTTACTGTATTTTAAGGTAAACATGCTAACCAAGAACAATGCTAAACATTAGTGTCTTAGCTTTGTTTAGCATTTAGTTAGCAAGTTAGATTTAGAATAATTTCATTACCAATGTCAAAAACAATGTCATATTAAACATTTTAACCCAATGTAAAAAATCTGTGGGAGTAGTATGCTGAAAAATAAACAAACATTTGATTATAAGCTCTGATTTAGTGTCAAAATCGTAATATTAGCACGCTAACACACAAACTCTTCTGTTTAAACATGCTAACACGAACATATTTAGCTTGTTTCATCGGCTTTAAAGGATCTTATTATACAAACTGTGGACTTTTTTAAACTGATACCGTCCTAAACTGTCTTTAACTCTTTTTATATCGGGTCTAAATTAAGACAAAAATGATTGTAAGCCATGTGAACATATGTGAACATGCTAACAGTAACATGACATTTACTGCAGGTTCCACTGAGGCTTGTTTGCAGGAAAACTCGAAATAAACGTGAATAAAAACTGTGATCTGAATCTCCTCTGTGAAGTCTTTCATCTGCCCCCCTGAGCTTGATATAAACTCCTGATTCACTTTCTAATTAACGTTTTTAAAGACTCTCCATTAGCAGCTTTAGTGCAAAGAAACAGTTTCTGCAAATTCAGAGACTCAACTGTGATGTTCCAGGATCGATCCTCAGCCTGAAATCACAAAAATCTGTAAAACTGGAGTAAAACCTGAAATAATGCACGAGTGTCTCTGAAAATAATATTACCATGAGCAGCCTGCCACCGTCCACAGACAGATGGGTTTAATCCTGCTCTGCACATTATTAGCAGCTCTGCCTGCAGCCTAATGAGCAAGAAGACAAACAAGAAAGTGGAGCATCTGCAAGTTTGAGTTTGTTAAAACTCCTTCTTAATGACCGAAATGATTTGAGAAAAGGCTGATGAAGCAAAGATAAGATAATCCAAACCTGCAGGACTCTCTCATGTTTGTTTACAGACCGAAACAGGAGCTGAAACTGAGAACAGGGAGCCACCTGGTGGAGAAACACCAAACTGCAGCTTTTCTATCTGCAGCAGACATTTTCAAAAAAAAAAAACATCTTTTTTCTCAGTGTAGCGACTGTTTTCCTTCAACAAAAAAAGGCTGATGGGGTTTAGGTTTACTTGCATCTGTGACTCTTACAGTTATCAGTCCAGTTTGAGAGTTAAAAAGTGATTTATTGTTAAAAAAAAAAAGAAAAGAAAAAGAAAAGAAAAGAAAACACGCTGATCCAGGTCCAAAACTTTCGCCTTCAAATGAAAAAGTGATAAGATGAAATGAGGTTAAAACAGGATGAAACGTTGAAAAACAGTCAACAGAAACTTATCAGATCTTACCACAAATTATTGTCTGACTACACCTGTGAGATTTAAAAAACCCGTCAAAACATCCTAAAACCACACCCCGGAAGTGACGTACCTAAAGAAAATCATACTTTCGACAAATATATTTTGGCTCCTACACTCAGATTTTCCTAAATACCCGATGCCAATGACAGTCTGTATAATGTTCAAGTCATTAACTCTTCGATCATAATATAAATTAAATCAAACTCAATATGCACTGCTCTAAATTATACACAGCTGAGTTTTTGGAGAGTTCCTGCTTGACTTCTTTTGCATGATGTCTCCCAGAGCTGCTGTTTGGATGTGAAGGGCCTCCCACCCTCATGGAGCTTTAGCTTGAGGACGCTCCAAAGGTTCTCAGTAGGGTTGAGGTCAGGTGAGGATGGGGGTCACACCGTGAGTCTTTCTCCTTTTAATGACACAGAGGTATTCTCTGATGAATAAGATTGTACATGAAGATTATTTTGCTAAAGAAGGCTCAGTTCTTGTTTTTGTACCATGGAAGACAGTGGTCAGTCAGAAAGTCATCAAACTAAACTGAGGTCATTTTCACACCGTCAGGAATCCTAAAGGGCCAACAAGTTCTCTCCTCTTGATTCTGGTCCTAAAACATGTTCTCAACACCTCCTTGTTGATGTTGGGAGGTGGTGAGACGGAGGTGAAGGTAGAGGAGTAAGTGCTCATCTGGTAGTTTGTTGGTTTAACCAGCAGGTGGTGCTGCTGCATTATCAATAAACCGAGACTCAACACTGGAGCTCCATTTAGCATGTTTACATTTTAATTATGTTCAAAATTTGATTTATTATGAAACCTTACAATTAAAAAAACAGGAAAAATCACAAAGATCTTTGAATTCTTGAGTATGTCTCATGTAATCTTATATGATGTGTTCATTGTTAAATGCAGTAAATCTGATATTTTTACTTGTTATGATCTAATAATGAAGGGCACAGCAGCAGGGTTACAGTAAGTGGTAAATGGATGTCTGTGTGATCAGGGGACGTTCTTCTTCACTCACAGAGACAAACACTTGTCATTTCCTGTAAATATGAAGGGGAGGAGACACCTGACAATAAAACAATAAAAGTAAAAGTGTTCACAGTTCAGACTTCAGAGTGAGTCAGCACAGAGAGAAACAAGGACACTTGTAACAGGGTGAGTGTTAATTCAGTGTTACTGTTTGGTTTTCAGAGTCTGTCGTTCATCAGAAGTGGGTTTTTTTTACACTTAAAAAAGCTAAGCAGAGAAAATTGATCAGATATGTTGTTGGATTAATTCCTCGTCCAGTAAACTGTGAGTGTGCTGTTCTTCCTGTTTCTCTGCCTTTGGTGAGATGAGCCCAAAATCACCCTTCATATTTTTGTGAACTTTAACAGACTTCACCGATTATCTTTACACTGTGAGTCAGACAAGAAATCCAAACTAATGCTGTGTAAACTGATCAAACAGGTGATTTCAAACTCTGACAGACCCTCCAACTTTCTGTCAGGATTCACTTCTCTGAGCTCACAGCCATCATTACTGCTTTTTCAGACTCAGAGGACTTTAGGAGAGAACAGGTCTGGATGTTTGGTATTAAAGTTTGTAGTCAAAGTTTCTCAGATACTGTAATAACACCTGAAACCTCTAACCAACATTATCACTTAATACAGCCACAATAAAACAACTGAAGGTGACCAAAGGTTGTTTTTCAAACACTGTAAAGATATTCATGCTGTTGTTTTATCTTCTATTCGACCATAAAGCTGGTCCAAAGTACTTTTATTGCTGTTAAATATCAGCCTATCAGTTTATATTCAAGGTCCAAAGTCTTATGAATGAACAGGATTCAGTGCAGGACTGTAACAGATCAGGACAATAAATGAATCATTTACAGAAAAAGACAAGAGTCATTAGAGGTCAAACAAACCCCAAAGAGATGAGGAACTAAATACTACTGACTGAATAATACATTTAATAACTTCTGAAGGACTGATCATAATGAACCAGAGTCTACTATTACTACAGTATGGGTTTAGTTAATGTTACTGATGTTTTTTTCTTGTGTTGAATGAAGTCTGAATTTCCTGAGTTTTAGGATCAGAGCAGAAAATCACCTCATTCCCAGAGTCCGGCCAAAAAAACGTTAAATTTATGTTCCTCTGTGTTTGAACCAGAGACATTCAGCTTTTACAGTAAATGACTGTAAAGAGTCAAATTAAAGTCCAAAACAGCTTTGTTTTCTGTAACCGGTTAAAAAGAAGAATCAGTCAAGAATAAAACAATCAATGAACATGAACAATACTTGATAATACAGAAGATTGTAAAGAAATGTGATTTCAGACTCTTTGACTCGATCATATTAGACTGGATAAGAAATAACCAATCAGGACCTTTATGATTTAAAATAAGAGGTAGTGTGCAGACAGATCTTTGACATAATGAGATGTAGAAACTTGATCATCTTCATCTTCACTCTCTTCCTGTTTGTGTCTCACCTGTTTGTCTTCTTTGTCCTCAGGTTGTATAACTCGGTTTCATCTTCCATAAATTTGCTCAACATCAGATGGAGAAGATGAGTGATGGTGTCCAGGAAGAGGAGGGCAGAGCAACGTCTGTCATGTCCGACTGTCTGTCTATGAAGAGTGACCGGTCAAAAGGTCAACCACTGAACTTCAGTAAAGAACCAGGACCCTCAGAGGAGGGCGGAGCAAAGTCTGTCAGGTTAGACTGTCTGTCTATGAAGAGCGACTTGTCTAAAGGTGAACCACTGCACTTCAGTAAAGAACCAGGACCCCCAGATTCACAGTAAGAGAAACACTTTTTAACCTCCAAACTCTTAAACAGTAATTTATGATGCTCTAAATTCTGACCCCTCTGTTTTCTACCATGGTGAGAAAAATGATCTTAAACGCTGATTTTCCTGTTGAAAGTCACTGAGCACAGATTTACTTATTTCTAATGTTTATAAAAATGAAGGTGGTATAAAACAGCATTTGAAGAGGATTCTGACCTCTGTATTTTCTGATTTGGTTCCTGTGTTTGGGACGTTTTGAGCCTGTTAGTCTTTGGACTGTGGTGTATAGACCCCAGAAAACAGTCTGAGGGTCAGAAAATACCAGAAGACCAAAGAAGAAATAAATCCTGAGAAATAAAAACTCATTCAAACATCTGTCTGTTATTAGACCTTTAGATCTGATTGTTAAAAAAATGTTTGAAACTGTCAGAGAAAATCTCTCGACCTTCAAAAATCACAGTTTGGTTTTTTCTCCTGTCTCCACACTTTGAGGCAGCAGCAGCTGAATATTTTACTGTTTTATGTTCGAGAAAAGAGAAACTCTGGTTTAATAAATGTTTCTTATTCTGAATCTTTCAAACATGAAATGATAAAGAAAATAAATGTTCTTTATTTCCACAGAGAGACACAGAGATGTGACTCTGTGGAGGAGCAGCTGTCCAGCTCTGATGGAAGTAAGTCTGAACATCTGTCCTCTAAAGTCTGTGTGGATGAAAACTCAGCTGACTGATTTTCACAAAGACGTTTTAGTGTTGAGAAGTTTGGTTCATTTTATTTTTCTTCTCTTTCAGAAGATGGTGGTCTGCAGGAGGTTTTAGATGAACATAAGATCAGTCTGAAGAGGAGATGTGAACGTGTGAATGAAGGAAGTGATGAAACAGGAAGTAGTCAAACCCTCCTCAACAGGATCTTCACTGAGCTCTACATCACAGAGGGACTGAGTGAAGAGGTGAACACCCAACATGAGGTGAGACAGCTGGAGACAGCTTCAAAGATGAAGACCCTCCATGACACGCCCATCAGGTGTCATGAGATCTTTCAAACCTTACCTGACCAACAGAAGAAGCTCATCAGAGTGGTTCTGACCAACGGTGTGGCTGGTGTTGGAAAAACCTTCTCAGTGCAGAAGTTCACTCTGGACTGGGCAGAGGGTTTGGAGAACCAAGACCTCCATCTGGTGGTCCTGCTTTCATTCAGGGAGCTGAACCTGATCAGAGATGAGCGCTTCAGTCTTCTGAATCTGCTCCATGTTTTCCATCCAACACTAGAGAAGGTCACAGCAGAGACGCTGGCTGTCTGTAAACTTCTGTTCATCTTTGACGGTCTGGATGAAAGCAGACTGTCTCTGGATTTCACAGACTCTGAGGTGGTGTCTGACGTCACACAGAAGTCTTCACTCAACGTTCTGTTAACAAACCTCATCAAGGGGAACCTGCTCCCCTCAGCTCTCATCTGGATAACTTCTCGACCTGCAGCAGCCAATCAGATCCCTCCTTCATGTGTGGACAGGGTGACAGAAGTACGAGGCTTCACTGACGCCCAGAAGGATGAGTACTTCAGGAAGAGGTTCAGAGATAAAGATCTGTCCAGAAGAATCATCTCACACATCAAGTCCTCCAGGAGCCTCCACATCATGTGTCAGATCCCGGTCTTCTGCTGGATCACTGCGACAGTTCTGGAGGACATGATGATCAGAGAGCAGAGAGGAGAACTGCCCAAGACCCTGACTGACATGTACTCACACTTCCTGCTGGTCCAGACTAAGAGGAAGAAGCAGAAGTATGAAGGAGGACATGAGACAAGTCCTCAGGAGCTGACGAAGGCTGACAGAGAAGTCCTCCTGAAGCTGGGGAGGCTGGCCTTTGAACATCTGGAGAGAGGAAACATCATGTTCTACCAAGAAGACCTGGAGCGGTGTGGTCTGGATGTCTCAGAGGCCTCGGTGTACTCAGGAGTTTGTACAGAGATCTTCAGAAGAGAGAGTGTGATCTTCCAGAAAACTGTTTACTGTTTCGTTCATCTGAGCGTTCAGGAGTTTCTGTCTGCAGTCTACATGATCCACAGTTTCACAAACAGGAACACAGAAGCTCTGGAGACTTTCCTAAACACAGAAGATCTGAAGACTTTCCTAAGAGACAACAAACACAAAGACGCAATGTTTTCTTATTTTTATGAAAACCTTGGTTACAGTTTCTTATCTCTGGATGTCTTCCTGAAGAGAGTCATGATAAAATCCCTTCTCAGTAAAAACGGTCACCTGGACCTGTTCGTTCGCTTCGTTCATGGACTCTCTCTGAAGTCAAACCAGAGACTCTTAGGAGGTCTGCTGGGTCACACAGACAACAGTCCAGGAATGATCCAAACAGTCATCAAGAACCTGAAGGAGATGAACAGTAAAGATATCTCTCCTGACAGAAGCATCAACATCTTCCACTGTCTGATGGAGATGAACGATCTGTCAGTTCATCAGGAGATCCAAGATTTCCTGAAGTCAAAGAACAGATCAGAGAAGGAACTCTTAGAGATCCACTGCTCTGCTCTGGCCTACATGCTGCAGATGTCAGAGGAGGTTCTGGATGAGTTGGACTTACAGAACTATAACACATCAGACCAGGGACGATGGAGACTGATCCCAGCTGTGAGGAACTGCAGAAAGGCTCGGTAAGTCCAGGTTTTATTCTCAGAATAGTGTAAATGATCCCTGTAGTTCTTCCAATGTCCACGTTACTGATGATGATGTTCTTCAAATAGAAATCCACTCAAATATCAGGGAGGGGGTTTCTTTAGCAAAAACATGATCCTGGTGTCAAAAGTCCTGTTAGCCCAGGATGAGGTCTACCTGTGGACCCCTGAGAACTTGTCCTGATTGTGGAGGACCTCTTTGTTTTGAATCGTGTCTGTAATGAATAAAGTGGAACTTTCAGGACAAATCAGCGACCATATCTGAGGACACACAGAGGTCTTCTGATGATGGTATCAGTCCAGATCAACATCTCAGTCAGTTGTGGTGAACTTGAGTTTGAAGAAGGTGTCTGCAGCTTCTTCCTGCTGGTTTTCAGGTTGGAAATGATGAATCTGTTGTAAATGAGGGTGTTGACAGCATTGATGGTGAAAATAGAACTGGATCATTTTCTACACAGTGGCAGAACTGTCTCTGTACCATCATGTTCATCATTCAATATTCATCATCAATACAACCATGAAAACTAACATGGTGGAAATAGGATGTTAATGTCTCTCTCTCTCTCTCTCTCTCTCTCTCTCTCTCTCTCTCTGCCCTCGGTGCCGCAGGTTGGCACTGACACTAGTCTGCCTCATAACACCTCATAGCATGTGGAGACAGCCGTGCTCTTCCACTGTATATATGGACACCATGTCTCTAAGGAGAAGCAGTGTGACTGCATCATCATCTTCATCATCAGTTTTCCATGGTGTCCCTTTGTTGTCATGGTGACACAGAGTGAAGATGATTCCTCTAATGTTGAGGTGTTGGTGGGCTGTAGCGGTCACATTTCTCCCACTCGGCTGCACGCCTCTGTTTAAGATGTTGATGTAAATTGGTCAGACTGCTGTCTTCTGCTGAAACAGCCTTTAAACAAACACTGCAGCAGACTGGGGTTTGATCCAGGTCTGAGTCTGAGAGACTGAACCAGGTCTAAAGGACTATAACCAGCATGGCTGTCATTAGGTTGAATTAAAGCAGGTACCCATATTGATCCTCCATGTTGATATAATCAGAGCTCATTATTGATACCTCACTTCATGATTTAGTGCAAACATTTAAAAAAGTGAAGAAAACAGGTTCAAAGATAAATTTCCTGTGGCTCCAAATTCTACTTTATGTATCAAACACATTTATTAGCAATAATCAATCTGTTAAGTACATTCATGAGAACATACCAGAAAGGTCAAATAAACTCAGACCTAACTTAGACGGCAGCTCTAAGGATTTTACTTAAAGACAGAAAGACAGAGAGAGAGAGAGAGAGAGAGAGAGAGAGAGAGAGAGAGAGAGAGAGAGAGAGAGAGAGAGAGCGAGAGAGAGAGACAGACAGACAGACAGAGAGAGAGAGAGAGAGAGAGAGAGACCAGAGCCCAAAGACAGAGGTTCAGTGGGTCTTTGTTTCTGTCTCTTAAAGGTCTCTCTGGATTCATCAGGCTTTATAAACGTGTTTCTGCTGCTGAAGCAAATGTTACATGGAGAAAAAACTTTGATTGTGAAAACAAAGAAATCTTCAACTCTTCAAATGTTCAGAGTCAAACCAGCTCTAACCTGCTAAAAAACGATTTTATCTGAACCAATCAGAGAAAAAGGAGCTGCTGTGATTTAGTGAGTCGTCCTCCGATTGGTCAACAGTCAGTGTCTATGGAAAGACTTACATTACAGCAGGATGTCAACATTAAACACTGAGCGGAGCACTGATTCTCCAAGAGGTACTTTGGATACTAACCAATCACATACCAGGACCAAAAACCTGGTTCTCAGTCCCCTTCTCCAACCAGAACTCAAAAATTCACTCAATCATAATGATCCAGCTGCACTAACATGAAGACAACACTGTTAGAGAACAGAAGGACTAAAATAAGTCATGGAGTCATTTGTCTTGAACATCTGAACAGTTTTATTTTCTTCTAAACTTTGACTTCCTGTCTTCTCTCATGGCTGTGGTCCTGATATTAGTATCTGTCTGGTTAAAAACAGGCCGTCTGTCAAACCAAAGATCATGTTTGTTTTTGGTCAAGAGAAACATCAAATTACCCTTTAATGAAATATTGTTTGATTTTTATGTTGTTACAGATTTGTTCTCTGTGGACTCTCAGAGACTCACTGTGAAGTTGTGACCTCAGCTCTGAAGTCCAACCCCTCCCATCTGAGACATCTGGACCTGAGTGACAACGATCTGAAGGATTCAGGAGTGAAGCTTCTCTCTGCAGGACTGGAGAGTCCAAACTGCAGACTGAAGACTCTGAAGTGAGACACCATTTCCTTCTGATCTAACAATAAGATGTGACAGCTGCTGCCTTAGATTTTTCTCTATGGTTTTTCCATCAACTTTGGTCGAGCAGTTTGAATTTGTCGTTGTAAAACTTCAACACAGGAAGAAAAATCCGACATTTCAGAGTTGACTTTGAGTAGAACGATGGATGTAGAAAGGAAGCAGGAGAAAATCAGTCCCACAAATATTACACATGCTTGTAGAGGGCAGGAGCAGCACAGACTAAAGGCTGATATTGAACTGATCCACAATTAATGTGAGCACTAATGAATGAATGAAGTGTCAGAGAAATGATGAGCTGCAGATTGAAACCTGAAGAACAAAGTTAATCCAACTCTGGAGATTTCATTTGGAAACTCTTGAAAACTTGAATTTCTTCTTTGCTCAGTCGTGTTCAAATGTAAAAACCAGATCCAGATTTTTCTGCAGTTTTCACTTCAGTTTGTTGAACATGAACATCATCTTGTCCAGCTGGTCCATAAAAACCTCTCTGATCAATGATCTGTTGGTTTATTTAAGAGTAGTTTGGCAGTTGTTGACAGCAGACGGACAGACCCCTGAATAAACTCCTGACTGTTTGCATCTTCATGAAGAATTCAGGACTACAAAAAAACCTTTGAGATTTCTCACATGAGTTTCTCAGGATCTTTATAAAGTTTTCTGGTTCTTTAAATTTTCTTGACAAAAATTCCTCGGGATCTTCAAAAGTTTAGAGAGGATTTTACAAAGTTCCTCAAGATCAACTCAGAAAAAGTTCTTCTTCCATGTCCTTCAGAAACTCAAGAACATTGAATCATTAAAAGCAGGAACAGTTTCTTCGGACATTCAATGATTTTTTTCTTTTTTCAGACTGTGGCGCTGCAGTTTGTCAAAGATCAGCTGTTCTTCTCTGGCCTCAGCTCTGAAGTCCAACCCCTCCCATCTGATACATCTGAGCCTGGGTTTCAACAAGCTGCAGGATTCAGGAATGAAGCTGCTGTGTGACTCTCTGCAGAGTCCAAACTGTAAACTGGAGACTCTGAAGTAAGTTTAGTCTTTGTCTGTTTCTGTTGTAGATTTTTATGTTTATTCAGTTTTTTTTAACCCAATTCAAATGTTCATAGAATTCTTTAATATTTCCAGAACTTTCTTCTTTCTCACATAAATTCATAGTTTTTTATTGAATCATCAGTCAGATACAGATGGAGGAAAACTGTGAGTTATTTTGTTGATTGAATGTTGATGATTTTTTATAAATGGTTCAGATGATCATTGCAGTGATGTTGACGGGTTTACTTCCTCGGTCTCTAAATCATTCAAATGTTCAAGGATGCAGTGAACTCACTATCCATGCAGCTCAGGAACACAGCTCATCTTTTTCATACAGGAAACATTGTCAACAACAAAGGTGTCTTAAAGTCCCATCAGTCAGCAGCTTCAGTCAGAAACCTTGCTGTCAGAGCTCCGTCATTTCAACCCTCTGGATAACTCCTCAGCACAGACCAGACCCTGTGAGAACATCCTCACAACATGCTGCTTTAGTTACAACAACAACAATCAGCTGTTAGCAGAGATTTCATCCAAACAGTCCAGGAGACAAACTTTGAAGTGGTTGGAAAATTCAGGTGTCCACCGCTCATGCAGAGTTGACTCATGTTGATGATGTTTTCATGTCTAGAGGACATGCTGGAGTGAATTCAACCAAACCTCCTGAGGAAAAGACAGCGGTGGCAGCCATTAGATCAGGCTTCATGACGTCTGTGCTTCCCTTTATTAAACCAAATCAGAGAGTTTCCCTCATGTTTCCACACAAACTTTAAATTGTTGAAACTGAATTTTGTTAGTCATGATAATGTGACAGCTGTTTTGTTTTTGAGATTTGGAGTTTTAGTGTTTTAATTACAGTGAAATTTGAACACATTTACTTAATATTCATCTATTTGTTGAGGATTAAGTGGATTAGGAGATCTCAAATAAGTGATTATTTGGATCATGAATGTATGAGACAGCATCAGCCCTGTTTGGAGCTCTGGAGGTGTGCATACCTATGTGAGGCTGGTCCTTGGGGAGGATGGAACAGGTTTCAAAGGTCTGGGCTACCAGCGGTTCAAGAGGTTGGGCTCAGCAGAGGACCGAAGGCAGATGAAGGATGGGCCTGGAGTCACAGCACACAGGCCTGAATGCAAAAACCAGCACCTTATGGTTCCTTTTGATGCTCCTTTGGTCTCACCACAAAACTCTACCACAGAGGATGACTTTGGGCCTGCTGTGTGGTGTTCAGAGGTAAAAACTAACTTGCATTGCTATGTGCTCAATAAAAGTTGAAGTTTCAAAACTTGAACGAAGATGATGGAAACATGGAGTAGAGAGTGAGGGAGGACTTACAGCAAAGGATCATGGGAGTCCAACCAGCAACTGCTGCAACAAGGACTCCACCTTCTGAACACCTGAACCTCTAATCCAAACCAGTGCTCCATCACATTTGATGTCTTGTCTGTTATTTTACATGGAGGGTCAGAGCAGACCAGATCATGAGCTCTGACAGACTGGATCTGGTCCAAAGGTCTGCTGTTGGAGTTCTCTAAGCTCCATATTTTAAACCTGAACACCTGAAGTTTGATTATTAATGATTTTTATTTACATTCTCTTGTCTTTATTTAGGTTGGATAACTGCAGTTTGTCAGAGATCAGCTGTTGTTCTCTGGCCTCAGCTCTGAAGTCCAACCCCTCCCATCTGAGACATCTGGACCTGGGTTACAACGATCTGCAGGATTCAGGAGTGAAGCTGCTGGGTGACTTTCTGCAGAGTCCAAACTGTAAACTGGAGACTCTGAGGTCAGACTTTTTTCCTCCATTCAAACATGATCATGATTTGTTTGTGATGATGACACTAAACTGCTGACTCAGGACTGAAATACTGACCCAGACTGAACACCTTCAGTCCAGAGTAGATTTTCTGCATCAGTGGATTATTTGATTGACTCCAGTTAGATCACTGCTGAGCTCCAGTGAATTAAAACCTGAACCCAAGAAGAAAACTCTTTGTAGAGTTCACAGTGAGAAGCACATTCAGACAGAAAACAGAAGCAGGGGGAGATTTGTCAGACGAGAACCATTCAAACTTTTGTTCAGGACAAGATCAGGGAATAGAAAAAACTCAGAGTTTAGTTTCTGACACTGATGAAAGTCCAGCTCTGTTACTTTGAATTTTGTTTTTGAATCTTTGTATGAAAATCTGAATTTTCTGGTTTATCTGCACTTTTCTGAAGCCTTGCTGTGTTTAGACTGAAATATTTACCTCTCAAAGACGTGATATTTTTGGTTCAGCAAAGTGAAAATATTCTGAACATCCTTTATTTCCCATCAGTCCTGAAGTCACTGACATTTTCTGAAAATATTGATCTGCATCTACAATCAGTAAAAAAGTCTCTGAGTTTTTTATTTCAGTATTTAATGTGTTTTTGAATTCACTGTTTCAAACTTACTTCCTGTTTGGTTCAGCTCTTTGGAGCGTCACTTTTCTTTGATTCAAACTTTCCAAACCTTTCCCCTGAACTCGACAGATTTAAGACATCAGGTTTCAAACTGGATCATTTTTGTCTAAAATCTCATTATTTCCTCTTTATTTAGGTTGAGATACTGCAGTTTGACAAAGATCTGCTGTTCTTCTCTGGCCTCAGCTCTGAAGTCCAACCCCTCCCATCTGAAAACTCTGTGGCTGTTAGGCAACGATATGCAGTTTTCAGACATGGAGCTGCTGCGTGATCTTCAGAAGAGTCCAGACTACAGACTGGAGGATCTGTGGTCAGTATAGTTGGTTTTAGTCTGTGCTGATCTCTCCTGTTACACTCTACACAGTAAAATGTTGAATGTTTATGACACTTAAATCTAATTTGCATAATAATTTGTAACACAATGTGTTTCCACAGTTCTTTAAACAGTGACACTAAAGAGGTACTTAACGTGTTTTTCATTATAACGGCCTGTCAACACTTGATGTGTGTTTTTAGCACTGGTTGTACAGTCTTCTGCTGATGCTACACCATCATCTCCTATCATCACAATAATAAGTTTAAATGTAGAGACTGAATGTCAAAGAGTGAAAGAGAGTTAGAAAAGACGTTTATTTTGGTGCATGTGAGAAAGAAATGATTCACAAACATCTTGGTCCAGAGAATGAGGCTGATATGGAGCACCTCAGGTTAGATATTCACAGAATTAAACTGACCGACATCCATGAAACAGGTGAAGATGATAATCAGTCCAGGGGTCTGAATATCCACAGCTTAAAGAACAAAAATAAAGATGACAATGAAATGCAAAGTACAATGTATCAAATGTTTACTTCGTTTATTCATGATTTTGTTTTCCTGTAATTATGTTGGCAGGTAGAGTGCTAATTGATCCGACAAATCTCCATTGCTGACTGACGAGTGAATCTGCAGCACGGTGATGAAATGACTCAAACACAGAGAAAAGTTCTGGCAGCTTCCGTTCAAACATTTCAGCATCAGTCCGATCAAAATGTCCTCAGACAGCTGTGATGTCATCGCACAAACAAGCCAATCAGCTGTCCTCATTTCCCAGCAACCACAGACAGCTGGTCTCTGATGCGTCCCCGTCTGTTCAGTATGGAGTCCAGAGACTATCAGCTCAACTCCACCGTAACCCTGAAACACAAACAAGATTATAACCTGTGATGCCATTACAGTGGACTGTGTTCTGCCTGTTTTTGCTCTCCATACTGACTGACTATCCTGCCAACACCAATGGCAGCCATCCGTCCCAGACAGCTCCTATTGGTCAATCTCCTGGTCCACCTCTCCATCCAATCATCTCGCTGTATTCGACACACCCCTCTCCCGTAGTTCCGACTCGTCCCCTCCCACTCTCCCGGCCCTCCTCAGAGCTCTGAGCGGCTAAAAGTAGCGTAGCAACTTAGCTACAGGAGCTGTGATGGAGAAGGACGCAAAAAAGAAAAAAAAAACACTTCTGCTCGCCCCACCACCAAAAGTGGGAAGAAAACGCCGACAGACGAAAGGGCGGAGTCAAAGAGGAAATGTGACCAAGCGAGGAATCTAACTGGAATAAACACCGGGTCATCCTTGGAGCGGTGGAGAAAGCTCCGCCAGGATTTAGTCCTTAAAACAGACACAGAGACAGCAGAGTTTTTGTTGAACAGGTCATTTTTATCGCCTTTCATCGTGGCTCATGTTACATAAATAACTCTGATTAGTCTCTGACATGTCAACATGGTAGCTGTCCAGGCAGCTGCAGACGGCGCTCGCTAGCAGAGCTGGTGTTTACTGCCGCTAGTCACTGACAATCCGACATGGTGAATCCTATTTGAAGCTAGCGCAGGACCATACAATAATTTATACATAAATTGTCAAATATTTGGAAAACCATTCCAGTTGTTTAGCCAACTTTTTGGAAGGAGGGGGGCTTCTTCATTTAACATTTTGAATGGGACTTTTTTTTTTCATGTTTTTGTTGTTCATTAAAATAATTGATTGTTCCTACAAGAATTAAAACTAAAGTTCTTCTCAAATAAATCTGTTAAAATGTCATTTTTTTATTGTATTATTTTGTATGTATGTCTGCTGATGACAAAATAAAAATATTTACATTTATGTTTGGATATGAAACAGTTTGTTTAAATTACCCACAATTTCCAATTAAAGGTGGGGTAGGCAGGATCTGAGCAAGTTCCAGTTCTTGAGAGAAATCTTGAATGAAAATCCCCGCCCACAAACAGACGCTCCTGCTCGCTCGTATCGTTCCAATTTAATTCAGATATAATGCAGATAAATACTTCAGATCATTACAAATGGGGCCCAGTCAAGGTGAAAGTCAAAAGCATTGGTGCTACTGTAGATGCCAACAGACTACCAGCAAACACAATGTTTGCAGGACTTCTACAACGAGGATAAAGTGACATAGTCCAGGACCCGAGGGAGGACAGTTTAGCGATGGCGCTACAACACGCTACAGCAGGTCCGTTTGACAAGAAACACTTCTGTTACAGACACTTGTCTTACTTTGTTAAAGCGGTTTACCTGTCCAGCAGAAAGGTTACAGGGTCACCAAGATCCCCAAGCGTCCCCCATCGTTTATGTTGACCCGGCTTTTTAGCTCTTGTCCAGTCTACCACCGTTATAAGCGCCCGTTATTCCTCCAGAGTCTCCGGTATTTACTTTGTTTTCTTGCTTGTGTCGGCAGTCGTGGCCAAAGGAGGATTCAGACAATTTTCCGAACTCTCTGGTTGGTTTCTACTGTCCGATATTGTAGCACACTATCTTTGTTTAGGCTTGTTAACGTTATTGGAGGACGTGGAGCGTGCCTCACAACACGTGGGAGAAGCGTCCACCTCACGACCAATCAGGTTGGGGAGACAGCGAATGGCTTTGTTTACAGTCAGAAAGAGTAGCCCGATCAAAAATTTTTAAATTTTGATTACACAGACATAAGAGAACACAGCGATATTGTTATATTCTAAAATGTCATCAATAACTAATAACTATTGGCTGATATTAAAAGCCTTTTTTTTATAAACTACAAAAAAGATTCTTCTTTAACAGAATCCTGCCTACCCCACCTTTAATTCCCATGAAAAGTTTCCAATTTCCAAAATTCTTCAGCTTAACTTCCCATGGAAAGTTTCTGGAAATTTTTCCGCCCCTTTGCAACCCTAATTCTAACACACACAGAGACACCAACACAACAAAACAAAGATAAAACTCTGTATCTAAGTCAGACTTACTTTGGTTACTGAAAGATTCTGTTCTCCATGTAGCACTGAAAAAAAAACAGCAGATACAAACATTAAATTTCATGACAACCTTAAGCGACATCATATTCAGTTGACAAATGAGAAGAGGACTGTTTGGATGCTGATAGATTTATGATGTTACAATAAACAAAAGCAAAATATTGCTGCTTCATATCACATGAACCTCCTGTGAGTTTATTTATCACGGGTTAGGACTTTGAGTCATGTTACCTTCAAGTCAGCACACATTTCTGTCAGTTAAATCCATGGCTAACAAATGGTTTATGATCAGACAAAAAAGCTGGCTTGCTAGCTAGACTTCTAATCTTTCTGCAATGTTTTTCCGCAAGGCAAATATGCAAATTAGCCACGTGCAGCATATTGCAGCAGACATTGATGTTCCTAAATGATTATGCTGCTGATCACTTGTGCTTATGTAAAATAATGCTTCTTGAGACACCAAACATTATCTAGCACGACTTCTACAGGAAAAAATAACATTGGTTCAAAAGAGTTTTACCATCATGCTTACCTTGATGTTCAAAGCTGCCAGAAAAATAGTCAGAGGGAGGAGTAAGCAGCGTAGAAAAGATCTTGCGCAGTCTTCACTTACTGCTTTTATTGGCAGGAGGCACAACACGGTGATGAACAGCAGCATTAACAGCGCCGTTTAACCAACAGAGACGTGCGCGTCAGCCAAACCAGCTTGACATGTTGCCACAAAGTGAATTAGAGTGATGACAACTGAGCTTGTGTAACAGATTTAGCGAATTTCACCGCTGGACATATCATCCAAAATTAGAATCATCATCTTAAAATTTAAACTTTTTTTTTTCATTTTCAGTAAATCAATAAGCACTGAAAATTGTGCCTAATAATAACAATATCAACATGCAGAAATATAACAGCCTTTACACAGCTGTGATTAGAATAATGTTCCAATGTAACAAAAACAGAAGAAACACTGAACCTGGCTTCATAAAGATATAAAGCATAGAGTTTTTTCGGCCAAAGTCCATTTCCAATCTGCTTTTATTTTTTCACTCTTCTTGTTCTCACATGTTAAATATGAAACTGCCAGAAATCTTTTAAAAATTTCACCAAGACAAGACGTTTTGAGAGTTTTTCACTGTCTTGTTGTGTCTTATAAAGTTTTCACCTTCTATGTTGATAGAGCCTGTATTTGTTTGCCAACATTTTTCATTCTGTAATTTATGTACAGGAGTATGAAGGAGCAGGACAAAGTGATTTGATTTATAAGATTCTTGACTTTATATCAAGTCTTTGCAGGTGTAAAGCTTTAATGCATATTTTTGTTCTGTTTAAAATAAAAAAAATCACCATTAAACTCAAACCCTGATTTCAAAAATAAAACATTGATATAAAACTGAATTTGATGTTTTTCAAATGATCTAAACTTAGTATTCTGATAATAATGGTGCAAAGACAACATAAGAATGAAAAACCTTTTGACTAATGAGGTTAATTTAGAAGTTAGTGAGGTGACTGGGTATAAAAAGGACATTCAGAGAGGCTAAAGATTAGCAGAGGTTTATCACTCTGTGGGAGACTGTGTGAGCTAACAATGTGACAATTTAAAGATAATTCTCAGGAGTGTAAACTCACTAAGGACTGGTGTATTTTATCAGGTACAGTACATTATATCATTTACATCGTCAGACTGTTATTTTTACGCCTTCAAGTGGAAAAACAGACAAGACTCTGTAGTGGAATGATGTGTGAGTTTTATGTGCACCTGCTGGACATCCCTCCATGATATTTGATATTTCAACTACTGAGTAAGTGACATAATGTCAATTGTTTCCTTTTCCATTTATGCTAGTGTGTGTGTGTGTGTGTGTGTGTGTGTGTGTGTGTGTGTGTGTGTGTGTGTGTGTGTGTGTTCTTTAAGTCATTAGCCATGTTAAGCTAGATAGTGGGGATTTGTCATGTTATGTTTATTCATGTGAACATTTCCAGTGTCATAGTTAATTGGGTGAAATTTCAGTGTTGTGCCTTACAAGTACACTTTCTCTCCGTCAGCTCGTTGCCGGCTAACCTCGCAAGACAGTCGCGTACAGGTGAGTCAAGACACAGTAACATCAAGCCAACAGGGCGGGAACTCCAGGCTACCATCTCCCACTCCGCTCGCAAGCCTAACTATTGATGCAAGAACAGCCAGCCTAACACCTAACCCTAGTTGAAGTGTTTGCCACACTTCGTTATCTACTCCACTTACCGCTGTCTTGCTTTCTCCTTTCTATTCTCTTTCTTTTCTCACTACCTGATAAGTAGGGGATGTAATAAGATAGAACATGGAGAGACTCAACCAGCTGAAAGAACAACATGAAGACTTTTACTGTGTTTTTATGTGTGCTTTGGCTCAGTGCACTTCACAGTAACAGAACTAAATATTGGCCACATATTTTTTGGTGTTTTTGTGCAACTTCTATAAACTATCAGCTGTATCTCACAGCACCATCCATGGTGTGAGTGTCTGTGTGTTTTACCTGGGCAGCCTGAGCCGCAGGGATGCTGAGTGTAGCTGCTGTGGTCTCGGTCAGCCGTCGACTCCGACCTCTGTGGCTCTGAACACAAACGTCTCTCACTGCATCTTTAGACGGAGCCTGAGCAAACAAAAACACCCATGAGTAACAACAACGGTGTCATTGTTGAGAGTCTGGAGAGAGACCGGAAAGGCCCAGAATCCAAGGAGCTGAAGTCCAGCATTTAGAGACCTTCAGGCTTCATTTGCTGAGAGTCTTTATGGAGATCCAGGTTTACTTTCAGCAGGACCTGGTACCTGCCCACAGCACCACAGCTACCAGAAACTTGTGTAATAACCTTCTCATTATTGTAATCCTTGTAATTCCTTCTTTTACGAAGAAGATGAAGTTTTTTTTACACTATCCTGTTTTCATGATGCACCTGTTTACATGGTATCTTCATGTCTGTTGACATGATTTGATAAGTTGTGATCTGACTGTGTCTGTTATCAACTATTTTTCAAACCCTAGTAATTCAATGTAAAAGACTGAGAGAGAGAGAGATACTAAAGGGTCCTGGACTTTCTAAGCTGACTTATATGAGGGCTGAGATCTAAAGGAAAGTGTTAAAACTGTGTCATAGTAAATGAATTACAATTTAAGAAAAAAAGAAAGTAAAATATTGCTGCTTCATATCACATGAACCTGCTGTGAGTTTATCTATCACGGGTTAGGACTTTGAGTCGTGTGTGCAGAGGAGCATAGGGGTCAAAGGTTAAAAATAAATCACTCACTGAGGAGTAATCTTTATTTAACGATGGTGTAGCAGGTCCCGCCTAAGTGACCCCACTGTTAGACATTTGGATCATCCAATAGTTGGAGTACCTGGAAATATAAGAAATATTGCACAGGGATCAAGAAAACAGGACAGCTGTTCTTCATTCTCCATTTAACCAGATAATCGATTTATTTACAATTTAACTGCAAACATGACTTATTCTCTGCTATTTTGTCTGCTTTACATTAAAGCACAGGTTACATCCACATCTGGATAAAATCAAATGTCTGTTTTCACATTAATGTCTCTTTTTCTTTACATCTTTTCCAAAATTAAACAATTCAACTTTACTATCTAAATTTCACTTCACCTGTTCTGTCTTTTCCCATGAATGTGCTCTTCCTTTACACACACCACCTCTTTCTCTCATTAAAAAATATCTTTATCATAGCTGTATATTTTATAAGTGTTCACTTTTAATATCAATCTTACAGTTAAACAGTACCATCTTTACACTAAACACAAACTGAATTGTTAAACATGGTTACCTCGTACTATAACCGCTGAACTAGAACCGTGTCATTGTCTCATCTTAACGTGCGCACCACTGAAACAGGACTGCAGCCGTAGCTGATCTCAAACTACATATTTACATTAGCTTACTCTGTTTAAAACAATGTCCATACACACAACCGCTTTTAACACACAGAAATAACTCACAAATGCCCGGGAGCCGAAAGAAACATACGAAAAAGAAATCAACGAGCTGCGGCGTCGGCGCCATTTTCTCTGCTACAACAGTCACGTACCGTCAAACTTCAATGTTAACAATCGTAACACACTATTAGCTCACCGATAACACATCACCGGGGATTCATTTCAGCTTATAAACATTTGTGACCATATAAAATACAAATAACTGACCTGGAAATATTAGAAATATGACACAGGAATCAAGAAAACAGGACAGTTGTTCTTCATTCTCCATTCAACCGGATAACGAGCTCAGCTCCCGTTGCGTTCTTGTAAGTCCCAGTGATGATAGTGGTCGGTGCTGCCACCAAGTGTCCATTTTGTGAAACCACATGCCATTGTGTGTTTCTCTGTAATTTCTTCTTATGACACTTAAATCATTCATATGTGAACATGCTAACAGTAACATGACATTTACTGTAGGTTCCACTGAGGCTTGTTTGCAAGAAAACTTGAAATAAACGTGAATAAAAACTGTGATCTGAATCTCCTCTGTGAAGTCTTTCATCTGCCCCCCTGAGCCTGATATAAACTCCTGATTCATTTTCTAATTAACGTTTTTAAAGACTCTCCATTAGCAGCTTTAGTGCAAAGAAACCGTTTCTGCAAATTCAGAGACTCAACTGTGATGTTCCAGGATCGATCCTCAGCCTGAAATCACAAGAACCTGTAAAACTGGAGTAAAACCTGAAATAATGCACGAGTGTCTCTGAAAATAATATTACCATGAGCAGCCTGCCACCGTCCACAGACAGATGGGTTTAATCCTGCTCTGCACATTATTAGCAGCTCTGCCTGCAGCCTAATGAGCAAGAAGACAAACAAGAAAGTGGAGCATCTGCAAGTTTGAGTTTGTTAAAACTCCTTCTTAATGACCGAAATGATTTTAGAAAAGGCTGATAAAGCAAAGATAAGATAATCCAAACCTGCAGGACTCTCTCATGTTTGTTTACAGACCGAAACAGGAGCTGAAACTGAGAACAGGGAGCCACCTGGTGGAGAAACACCAAACTGCAGCTTTTCTATCTGCAGCAGACATTTACAAAAAAAAAAAAAAACATATTTTTTCTCAGTGTAGCGACTGTTTTCCTTCAACAAAAAAAGGCCGATGGGGTTTAGGTTCACTTGCATCTGTGACTCTTATAGTTATCAGTCCAGTTTGAGAGTTAAAAAGTGATTTATTGTTTAAAAAAAGAAAAGAAAAGAAAAAGAAAAGAAAAGAAAACACGCTGATCCAGGTCCAAAACTTTCGCCTTCAAATGAAAAAGTGATAAGATGAAATGAGGTTAAAACAGGATGAAACGGTGAAAAACAGTCAACAGAAACGTATCAGATCTTACCACAAATTATTGTCTGACTACACCTGTGAGATTGAAAAAACCCGTCAAAACATCCCAAAACTACACCCCGGAAGTGACGTACCTAAAGAAAATCGTACTTTCGACAAATATATTTTGGCTCCTACGCTCATATTTTCCTAAATACCCGATGCCAATGACAGTCTGTATAATGTTCAAGTCATTAACTCTTCGATCATAATATAAATTAAATCAATTTTTTTTCAATAATTAAAAGAAAAACTCAATATGCACTGCTCTAAATTATACAGAGCTGAGTTTTTGGAGAGTTCCTGCTTGACTTCTTTTGCATGATGTCTCCCAGAGCTGCTGTTTGGATGTGAAGGGCCTCGAGGACGCTCCAAAGGTTCTCAGTAGGGTTGAGGTCAGGTGAGGATGGGGGTCACACCGTGAGTCTTTCTCCTTTTAATGACACAGAGGTATTCTCTGATGAATAAGATTGTACATGAAGATTAGTCTGCTAAAGAAGGCTCAGTTCTTGTTTTTGTACCATGGAAGAAAGTGGTCAGTCAGAAACTCATTAAACTAAACTGAGGTCATTTTTACACCGTCAGGAATCCTAAAGGGCCAACAAGCTCTCTCCTCTTGATTCTGGTCCTAAAACACGTCCTCAACACCTCCTTGTTGATGTTGGGATGTGGTGAGACGGAGGTGAAGGTAGAGGAGTAAGTGCGCATGAATATAAACACATCATTTCCTGTAAATATCAAGGGGAGGAGACACCTGACAATAACACAAAACTATTCAAAGCTCAGACTTCAGAGTGAGTCAGCACAGAGAGAAACAAGGACACTTGTAACAGGGTGAGTGTTAATTCAGTCTTACTGTTTGGTTTTCAGAGTCTGTCGTTCATCAGAAGTGTTTTTTGCGTATTAATACACTTAAAATTGATATGTAGAGAAAATTGATCAGATACGTTGTTGGATTGATTCCTCGTCCAGTAAACTGTGAGTGTGCTGTTCTTCCTCTTGTTTTCCCCGTAGGTGAGATGAGATCAAAATCACTCTTCATATTTTTGTGAACTTTAACAGACTTCACCGATTATCTTTACACCGTGACTCAGACAAGGAATCCAAACTAATGCTGTGGAAACTGATCAAACAGGTTTCAAACTCTGACACACCCTCAAACTTTCTGTCAGGATTCACTTCTCTGAGCTCACAGCCATCATTACTGCTTTTTCAGACTCAGAGTTTAGGAGAGCACAGGTCTGGATGTTTGGTAATTATGACAGAACGATGACATGTACAGCAGACTCGGCCTAACACTGACGCATCTGTAGAGGGTGTAAACAATACGCTACATGTAGCTTAGCTGCCCGCAAGACTATAATGTCGTCCTTTTTTTTTTTTTTCCAAACCTTTATTCCAGTTCTTCAGCAATGACAAGTACATACTATTTAACAGGTGGTAGCTACATTCATTTGAGAGGAATCAAAACTTTGCAAAAAGAAAAGAAAAAACACAATATCTAGTCCGGCATCCAAAGATAAGTTATAATATAAATGATGACATGGGGATCATACATTTATGACATATCATAGAGAGGACCTCAAGGCTTCATAGAAAGTCATAGTTCGAATTGCTTTTTTATTCCTTAGTCCAGTTAGTGTTTTAAAATATATCTTCATTTCATTTTTAAACTGGTTGATATTTGGTTTCTTTTTAGACCATTTACATTTTTGTATATAAAATCTTTAATACAAAGTTAAAAGGTTTAATAAAAAAATATTACTTCAGTCCATGTTCGTTTTTGTTTTTTTTTTTCAAAATAAAAAATACCTCACGTTTGCAGGTTTATCTTACATCCAGACAACGATTCAAATAAAATTTCAACCTCAATCCAGAAAAATTTAACATGCATACAGTCAAAAATAAATGTACAATTGTTTCTTTTTCAAGGTTACAAATACACAAGAGTCCGGTATATCAGTTCTATATTTTTTTGAGAAAGTGGTTAGTTAGGTAGATAAAGTGAATCATTTTGAAATAAAAAACCTTGGTCACTTGATTGTTGATCAGATATTTTTGTCGTAAATCCATACCCTTTTTCCAAATAATTCCATCAAAAATACCATTCCAAAAAACTTCTGGCACAAGAGTTAGAAGAACACTACAAGATATTTCAAAACTGTTCATTATTACATTTTTATCTTTGATATTGACTAGTAATAGTTTCAAGAAACAAGCTGGTATTTCATCAAATACAATACAACATTCCCGTGCAGGTATTAGAATACTGAAGGTCTTTAAAAATTATGTGTATGAAAATAATTAACCATTCTCATTGAGCAACTGTGGAACAAACAGAATCTTGTTTCTAACCCAGTACTCAAAAAATATTGATTTGTTTGTATATCTGATGTATGTATTGTTCTAAATTAAATGGTTGTGGGGAGAGAAATTATGTTTGTATAGAATAAATCAAGATAAAAGCACTTGTCTATGAAAGTTAGACAACTGAATTGGGAGTTTATTTATGTCGAAATTACATTTTAGAAGGACCTCTATACCACTGACTTTTTCAAAGATAATATTGGGAATAAAGTACAATAATTTATCTTTATTTTGGATATAATGTTTGATCCAGTTCACCTTGAAGACTATGTTAGATGAATGAAAGTCCAGCATATTTAAACCTCCTTGACATTCTGAATTACATAAAACGCCTGTTCAATTTATTTTCAATTTTTGGGATGAGGGGTTGGAAGTTTGACTGTATTCTGTTTGCTTGATTTTTACAAATATTTATTCCTGAATAAGTTCCTCTTTAACAGGGATACCATCAATTTCTGCTGAATGGATATTGCCATCGTTAAGAGGATAATGTTTTTCAAAAGAAAGTATGAATCAAATTAAATCTGTGTATCTTTGACCTTCACTTTCTGGATAAACCAACATGTTATCTCTTATTTTAGAATAAAACTATGCTTCTGTGGTGCACATTAGTGTGTTTATTAAGTGTTTATTTTACACACATTTGAGGTGTGAAGGAACTTAAGTTCATGAGGAGAATGGAGAGAGGAATTAATGAGCCAGGGTGGATTGCACCCAGATGACTTTCTGGAGGGGCCGCCCCCTCCTCAGAAAAAATTCTGGAAGGAAAATGAATGGCTCGGGTTTCTATCTTCTGAACTTTTCTACTGTGTTTTTTGGAATTGAGGGGCGCTGAGCCGAAAATCAATTATTACGATAAAACTTACCTCTGAAACCCGCAACACTTTAAAAGAAGACATGAAATAACAAATATGCAATAATGAGTAACCTGTGATGCAGACATCATCATTTTAACCTTTTTTTTTTCCTTTAAGAAGTTAAACGTATCACTGTTACTTTATTACTGCTTTCCATCAAATTTTTATTTCTCTACCATCGATGATGGCTTTGGCCCCTACAAAGAAAGCTTTTTTCCCTTACTTACCTGCCTCTTCAATTTGTGGCCACAGCTTGTTGCGCATTTCCTTCTCTTTTGTACTTAAATCTTCTCCGAATTTCATTTTCCTAAACTTGAGGAAGCTAGAGTTTTTGGTTGTATCTTCACTGAATAGAAGTGACTTGTTTGCCGTGTTACCTGGGTTTCTCTGTCTTTTTTCCACCATTATTTCCAAGCTGTTAACAACCGTTAAAGTTGTATGAGTTGGTATTTCAATCTGACGGAAAAGTTGAATAAAAAGTCAAATCCAGTCCAAAAGGCGACATGTTCAACCAGTAGCAACTGTTCCAAATGAGCAATGTCCAGTTTTAAGGTGAGACAATCATTTTTTTGGGGTTAGTGAAATAGTTCTCCGTCCGCCTCAGCCGCCATCTCGCACAGGAGTCCCTCAGCAGAGCAGGGAAGTTTGCACAGTACTAAAGCCTGTTGTCAACGTTTCTCAGATACAGTAATAACTCCTGTAACCTCTAACCAACATTATCACTTAATACGGTCACAACAAAAAAACTGAAGTTGACTAAACGTTTTTCAAACACTGTAAAGATATTCATGCTGTTGTTTTATCTTCTGTTCGACCATAAAGCTGGTCCAAAGTTCATTACTGTGAAATATCAGCCTGTCAGTTTATATTCAAGGTCCAAAGTCTTTGTATGAACAGGATTCAGTGCAGGACTGTAACAGATCAGGACAATAAATGAATCATTTACAGAAAAAGACAAGAGTCATTAGAGGTCAAACAAACCCCAAAGAGATGAGGAACTAAATACTACTGACTGAATAATACTTTTAATAACTGCTGAAGGACTGATCATAATGAACCAGAGTCTATATTTCTGAGATTGGAGAATAAAGAGACGATAAATTGGTGGGTAGAAATGAGGGGATGGAAACATTTAAAAAAAAAGGGATTATATGTTAGTTTGTTAAACATGTTTTTGTTTGTGTGTTATATTACCACAAATAGGGTTTAGTTAATATTACTGATGGTTTTCTCTGGTGTTGTATGAAGTCTGAATTTCCTGAGTTTTAGGATCAGATCAAAAAAATCACCTCATTCTCAGAGTCCAGCCAAAAAAAACGTTAAATCTATGTTCCTCTGTGTTTGAACCAGAGACATTCAGCTTTTACAGTAAATGACTGTAAAGAGTCAAATTAAAGTCCAAAACAGCTTTGTTTTCTGTAGTCGGTTAAAAAGAAGAATCAGTCAAGAATAAAACAATCAATGAACATGAACAATACTTGATAATACAGAAGATTATAAAGAAATGTGAATTTCAGACTCTTTGACTCGATCATATTAGACTGGATAAGAAATAACCAATCAGGACCTTTAGGATTTAAAATAAGAGGAAGTGTGCAGACAGATCTTTGACATAATGAGATGTAGAAACTTGATCATCTTCATCTTCACACTCTCTTTCTGTTTGTGTCTCATCTGTTTGTCTTCCTTGTCCTCAGGTTGTATAACTCGGTTTCATCTTCCATAAATTTGCTCAACATCAGATGGAGAAGATGAGTGATGGTGCAAAGAAAAAAAAGGGCAGAGCAAAGTCTGTCATGTTCAGCTTTCTGACTAGGAAGAGTAACCGGTCAAAAGGTCATCAACCGGATTTCAGTAAAGAACCAGGACCCTCAGAGGAGGGCGGAGCAAAGTCTGTCATGTCTGACTGTCTGTCTATGAAGAGTGACCGGTCTATATTTCTTCCACTGAACTTCAGTAAAGAACCAGGACCCTCAGATTCACAGTAAGAGAAACACTTTTTAACCTCCAAACTCTCAAACAGTCATTTATGATGCTCTAAATTCTGACCCCTCTGTTTTCTACCATGGTGAGAAAAATGATCTTAAACGCTGATTTTCCTGTTGAACCTCCAAACCTGGAGAAAGTAAAGAAAAAGTCACTGAGTTCAGATTTACTTATTATTTCTAATGTTGATAAAAATGAAGGTGGTATAAAACAGCATTAGAAAAGGATCCTGACCTCTTGTATTTTCTGATTTGGTTCCTGTGTTTGGGACGTTTTGAGCCTGTAAGTCTTTGGACTGTGGTGTATAGACCCCTGAAAACAGTCTGTGGGTCAGAAAATACCAGAAGACCAAAGAAGAAATAAATCCTGAGAAATAAAAACTCATTCAAACATCTGTCTGTTATTAGACCTTTAGATCTGATTGGTTAAAGGGGACCTGGCATCAAAATGTAATTTTGTGTGTTTTTTGTGTCAGATTAGGTCCATATTATGTTCGTCTTATGTTGTAAATGTGAAAATAAACTTTTACGTCGTTTGAATTCTGTAAAAGTTTAAAATAAAGAAACGGGTAAACCAGGCCGATTGAAAAAGCAGGTCCTTCTGACGTCACGCTGACTTTGCTCATTATTATTCATGAGCGCGTCCTCGGTGAGCCGCGCCCACTACTGATCAGTACGAGGACAGTCCCCGTATTGGATGACCTGTCCCCGGCAAAAGCTGTCCCCGAAAATGTCCCCGATTTAAGCGTTTCATGAATGAGAGCAAAAATGTTGCGTGTGGGCTCGAACAACGGTTATTACAGCAGCCGAATAGGTAGGAAGCACAGGTTAGCAGTCCTGAACAACAGTTCTTACGGGGTTATTACAAGGGGCATGCGCTGCTACTAAATAGTACCGAGACTTTGTCTGTGATCACACAGCCCCTGCAGCCCCCTGCTGCCGCTGCCGCCGCACCGAATGTCCCCGTATATCATTACAGACATCTGGGCACCTTACTTTAGCACACATTAGCATATGCTATTAGCATTAGCATAATAACAATGGATAAACCGAAATCCGAACCTCCACTGCTGAGCCAATCAGAGCACAGCAGGCTTCACAGCAGCGATCCAATCAGAGCAAAGCTCATTACCATAAATGTTAATGAGCCAAAACCAGTTGGTTTTCCTGTAAGGTTTTTAAGGAATACTAAAACAAACCATCAAATAACTTTTCAGCTAAAATTATGTTGCAAACATGATCAGAGGACATCAAGGATTATGAAAAAATGATAAAAATGGGAATGAAATGTTGATGGCAGGTCCCCTTTAAAAAAGTTTTAAACTGTCAGAGAAAATCTCTCGACCTTCAAAAATCACAGTTGAGTTTTTTCTCCTGTCTCCACACTTTGAGGCAGCAGCAGCTGAATATTTTACTGTTTTATGTTAGAGAAAAGAGAAACTCTGGTTTAATAAATGCTTCTTCCTCTGAATCTTTCAAACATGAAATGATAAAGAAAATAAATGTTCTTTATTTCCACAGAGAGACACAGAGATTTGACTTTGTGAAGAAGCTTTTCAGACATTTCCGCTCTGATGGAAGTAAGTCTGAACATCTGTCCTCTAGAGTCTGTGTGGATGAAAACTCAGCTGACTGATTTTCACAAAGACGTTTCAGTGTTGAGAAGTTTGGTTCATTTTATTTTTCTCCTCTTTCAGAAGGTGGTGGTCTGCAGGAGGTTTTAGATGAACATAAGATCAGTCTGAAGAGGAGATGTGAACGTGTGAATGAAGGAAGTGATGAAACAGGAAGTAGTCAAACCCTCCTCAACAGGATCTTCACTGAGCTCTACATCACAGAGGGACTGAGTGAAGAGGTGAACACCCAACATGAGGTGAGACAGCTGGAGACAGCTTCAAAGATGAAGACCCTCCATGACACGTCCATCAGGTGTCATGAGATCTTTAAAACCTTACCTGACCAACAGGAGAAGCTCATCAGAGTGGTTCTGACCAACGGCGTGGCTGGTGTTGGAAAAACCTTCTCAGTGCAGAAGTTCACTCTGGACTGGGCAGAGGGTTTGGAGAACCAAGACCTCCATCTGGTGGTCCTGCTTTCATTCAGGGAGTTGAACCTGATCAGAGATGAGCGCTTCAGTCTTCTGAGTCTGCTCCATGTTTTCCATCCAACACTGAAGAAGGTCACAGCAGAGACGCTGGCTGTCTGTAAACTTCTGTTCATCTTTGACGGTCTGGATGAAAGCAGACTGTCTCTGGATTTCACAGACTCTGAGGTCCTGTCTGACGTCACACAGAAGTCTTCACTGAACGTTCTGTTAACAAACCTCATCAAGGGGAACCTGCTCCCCTCAGCTCTCATCTGGATAACTTCTCGACCTGCAGCAGCCAATCAGATCCCTCCTTCATGTGTGGACAGGGTAACAGAAGTACGAGGCTTCACTGACGCCCAGAAGGACGAGTACTTCAGAAAGAGGTTCAGAGATAAAGATCTGTCCAGAAGAATCATCTCACACATCAAGTCCTCCAGGAGCCTCCACATCATGTGTCAGATCCCGGTCTTCTGCTGGATCACTGCGACAGTTCTGGAGGACATGATGAGCAGAAAGAAGAGAGGAGAGCTGCCCAAGACCCTGACTGACATGTACTCACACTTCCTGCTGGTCCAGACTAAGAGGAAGAAGCGGAAGTATGGAGGAGGACATGAGACAAGTCCTCAGGAGCTGACTGAGGCTGACAGTGAAGTTCTCCTGAAGCTGGGGAGGCTGGCCTTTGAACATCTGGAGAGAGGAAACATCATGTTCTACCAAGAGGACCTGGAGCGGTGTGGTCTGGATGTCTCAGAGGCCTCGGTGTACTCAGGAGTTTGTACAGAGATCTTCAGAAGAGAGAGTGTGATCTTCCAGAAAACTGTTTACTGTTTCGTTCATCTGAGCGTTCAGGAGTTTCTGTCTGCAGTCTACATGATCCACAGTTTCACAAAGAAGAGGAACACAGAAGCTCTGGAGACTTTCCTAAGAGGTAACAAAGACAAAATGTTTTCTTCAGAGATGTTTTCCAGATCTTTTCAAAACCTGGATTACTGTTTCTCATCTCAGGATGTCTTCCTGATGATTGTCATGATGAAATCCCTTCTCAGTAAAAACGGTCACCTGGACCTGTTCGTTCGCTTCCTTCATGGACTCTCTCTGGAGTCAAACCAGAGACTCTTAGGAGGTCTGCTGGGTCACACAGACAACAGTCCAGGAATGATCCAAAGAGTCATCAAGAACCTGAAGTGGATGAACAGTGAAGATTTCTCTCCTGACAGAAGCATCAACATCTTCCACTGTCTGATGGAGATGAACGATCTGTCAGTTCATCAGGAGATCCAAGAGCTCCTGAAGTCAGAGAACAGATTTAAGGAACTCTCAGAGATCCACTGCTCTGCTCTGGCCTACATGCTGCAGATGTCAGAGGAGGTTCTGGATGAGTTGGACTTACAGAACTATAACACATCAGACCAGGGACGATGGAGACTGATCCCAGCTGTGAGGAACTGCAGAAAGGCTGTGTGAGTCCAGGTTTTATTCTCAGAATAGTGTAAATGATCCCTGTAGTTCTTCTATTGTCCACGTTACTGATGATGTTCTTCTTCAAATAGAAATCCACTCAAATATCAGGGAGGGGGGTTCTTTAGCAAAAACATGATCCTGGTGTCTAAAGTCCTGTTAGTCCAGGATGAGGTCTACCTGTGGACCCCTGAGAACTTGTCCTGATTGTGGAGGACCTCTTTGTTTGGAATCGTGTCTGTAATGAATAAAGTGGAACTTTGAGGACAAATCAGCGACCATATCTGAGGACACACAGAGGTCTTCTGATGATGGTATCAGTCCAGATCAACATCTCAGTCAGTTGTGGTGAACTTGAGTTTGAAGAAGGTGTCTGCAGCTTCTTCCTGCTGGTTTTCAGGTTGGAAATGATGAATCTGTTGTAAATGAGGGTGTTGACAGCATTGATGGTGAAAATAGAACTGGATCATTTTCTACACAGTGGCAGAACTGTCTCTGTACCATCATGTTCATCATTCAATATTCATCATCAATACAACCATGAAAACTAACATCATTTTCCACCACTCACTGGAGATTATCTGCTGGACTAGAACATATGAATGATGAGAACACAGGAGGTATTTGGACAGCAGCTCCATGAGTCTGAAAACAATGGTGGAGATAGGATGTGAATGTCTCTCTCTCTCTCTCTCTCTCTCTCTCTCTCTGACACTAGTCTGCCTCATAACACCTCACAGCATGTGGAAACAGCCGTGCTCTTCCACTGTATATATGGACACCATGTCTCTAAGAGGAAGCAGTGTGACTGCATCATCATCATCATCAGTTTTCCATGGTGTCCCTTTGTTGTCATGGTGATGCAGAGTGAAGATGATTCCTCTCATGTTGAGGTGTTGGTGGGCTGTAACTCGGCTGCACGCCTCTGTTTCAGATGTTGATGTAAATTGGTCAGACTGCTGCCTTCTGCTGAAACAGCCTTTAAACAAACACTGCAGCAGACTGGGGTTTGATCCAGGTCTGAGTCTGAGAGACTGGACCAGGTCTAAAGGACTATAACCAGCATGGCTGTCATTAGGTTGAATTAAAGCAGGTACCCATATTGATCCTCCATGTTCATATTATCAGGACTCATTATTGATACCTCACTTCATGATTTAGTGCAAACATTTAAAAAAGTGAAGAAAACATGTTCAAAGATAAATTTCCTGTGGCTCCAAATTCTACTTTATGTATCAAACACATTTATTAGCAATAATCAATCTGTTAAGTACATTCATGAGAACGTACCAGAAAGGTCAAATAAACTCAGGCCTAACTTAGACAGCAGCTGTTCTGGTTTTACTTAGAGACAGAGAGAGAGACATAGAAAGAGAGAAAGACAGACAGAGTGAGAGAGAGAGAGAGAGAGAGAGAGAGAGATGACCAGAGCCCAGAGACAGAGGTTCAGTGGGTCTTTGTTTCTGTCTCTTAAAGGTCTCTCTGGATCCATCAGGTTTTATAAACGTGTTTCTGCTGCTGAAGCGAATGTTACATGGAGAAAAAACTTTTACTGTGAAAACAAAGAAATCTTCAACTCTTCAAATGTTCAGAGTCAAACCAGCTCTAACCTGCTAAAAAATCGATTTTATCTGAACCAATCAGAGAAGAAGGAGCTGCTGCTGTGATTCAGTGAGTCGTCCTCTGATTGGTCAACAGTCAGTGTCTATGGAAAGACTTACATTACAGCAGGATGTCAACATTAAACACTGAGAGGAGCACTGATCCTCCAAGAGGTACTTTGGATACTAACCAATCACATACCAGGATCAAAAACCTTGTTCTCAGTCCCCTTCTCCAACCAGAACTCAAGAATTCACTCAGTCATAATGATCCAGCTGCACTAACATGAAGACAACACTGTTGGAGAACAGAAGGACTAAAATAAGTCATGGAGTCATTTGTCTTGAACATCTGAACAGTTTTTTTTTCTTCTAAACTTTGACTTCCTGTCTTCTCTCATGGCTGTGGTCCTGATATTAGTATCTGTCTGGTTAAAAACAGGCCGTCTGTCAAACCAAAGATCATGTTTGTTTTTGGGGAAGAGAAACATCAAATTACCCTTTAATGAAATATTGTTGATATTTATGTTGTTACAGACTTTCTGGCTGTAGACTCTCAGAGACTCACTATGAAGTTGTGGCCTCAGCTCTGAAGTCCAACCCCTCCCATCTGAGATATCTGGACGTGAGTGAAAACAATCTGCAGGATTCAGGAGTGAAGCCTCTCTCTGCAGGACTGGAGAGTCCAAACTGCAGACTGGAGCATCTGAAGTGAGACACCATTTCCTTCTGATCTAACAATAAGATGTGACAGCTGCTGCCTTAGATTTTTCTCTGTGGTTTTTCCATCAACTTTGGTCGAGCAGTTTGAATTTGTCGTTGTAAAACTTCGACACAGGAAGAAAAATCTGACATTTCAGAGTTGACTTTGAGAAGAACGATGGATGTAGAAAGGAAGCAGGAGAAAATCAGTCCCACAAATATTACACATGCTTGTAGAGGGCAGGAGCAGCACAGACTAAAGGCTGATATTGAACTGATCCACAGTTAATGTGATCACTAATGAATGAATGAAGTGTCAGAGAAATGATGAGCTGCAGATTGAAACCTGAAGAACACAGGAGTTTCTCAGGATCTCACTAAAGTTTTCTGTTTATTTAAAATTTTCTTGACTGAAATTTTCCTCAAGATTTTCAAAAGTTTAGACAGGATTTTACAAAGTTCCTCAAGATCAACTCTGAAAAAGTTCTGTGTCCTTCAGAGACTCAAGAACATTGAATCATTAAAAGCAGGAACAGTTTCTTCAGAGGTTCAATGATTTTTTTCTTTTTTCAGAGTGAGTGTCTGCAGGTTGTCAGAGATCAGCTTTTCTTCTCTGGCCTCAGCTCTGAAGTCCAACCCCTCCCATCTGAGACTTCTGGAGCTGGGTAACAACGATCTGCAGGATTCAGGAGTGAAGCTGCTGTGTGACCTTCTGCAGAGTCCAAACTGTAAACTGGAGCATCTGGAGTAAGTTTAGTCTTTGTTTCTGTTGTAGATTTTTATGTTTATTCAGTTTTTTTAACCCAATTCAAATGTTCAAAGAATTCTTTAATATTTCCAGAACTTTCTTCTTTCTCACATAAATTCATAGTTTTTTTATTGAATCATCAGTCAGATACAGATGGAGGAAAACTGTGAGTTATTTTGTTGATTGAATGTTGATGATTTTTTATAAATGGTTCCGATGATCACTGCAGTGATGTTGACGGGTTTACTTCCTCGGTCTCTAAATCAGTCAAATGTTCAAGGATGCAGTGAACTCACTATCCATGCAGCTCAGGAACACAGCTCATCTTTTTCATACAGGAAACATTGTCAACAACAAAGGTGTGTTAAAGTCCCATCAGTCAGCAGCTTCAGTCAGAAATCTTGCTGTCAGAGCTCCGTCATTTCAACCCTCTGTATAACTCCTCAGCACAGACCAGACCCTGTGAGAACATCCTCACAACATGCTGCTTTAGTTACAACAACAACAACAACAACAACAACAACAATAATCAGCTGTTAGCAGAGATTTCATCCAAACAGTCCAGGAGACAAACTTGTTTGTGGTTGGAAAATTCAGGTGTCCACCGCTCATGCAGAGTTGACTCATGTTGATGATGTTTTCATGTCTAGAGGACATGCTGGAGTGAATTCAACCAAACCTCCTGAGAAAAAGACAGCGGTGGCAGACATTAGATCAGGCTTCATGACGTCTGTGCGTCCCTTTATTCAACCAAATCAGAGAGTTTCCCTCATGTTTCCACACAAACTTTAAATTGTTGAAACTGATTTTTTTTTATTTTTTTTTTTATTAGATTTGGAGTTTTAGTCTTTTAATTTCAGAGAAATTTGAACATATTCATAACTTAATATTCAGTGATTTGTAGTGATTTGAATTTATAATAAATGTCCTAAGATTAATAATTGATACTAATCTTACACTTTGACATTTATGCACTCGTTGAAAGGGGCACCACCCACCTGAATGGTGGGAAAATAAAGAAAAGGTTTGCATACTTATGTGAGACTGGTCCTTGGAGAGGATGGAGGAGGTTCACTGAAGGTCCGGGCTACCGGCGGTTTGGGAGGTTCGGCTCAGCAGAGGACCGAAGCCAGACAAAGGACAGGCCAGGAGTCACAACACACAGGCCTGAATGCATAAACCAGCACCTTTTTGTGTCCTTTGGATGCTCCTTTTGTCTCACTCAAAACTCTACCACAGAGTATGACTTTGGGCCTGCTGGGTAGCATTCAGAGGTGACTTTGAAGTAACGCAGATAACTAAGAAATAGAAACTCCATGGACAGTTGAAACTATTTCAAAAATGAGCGAAGTTAAAGAAAAACCAATTAAAGGCTTAATCTTGGATCCCTGTATGCACAAAAATAGTTGAAGTTTCAATACTGAACTAAGACGTTAAAGAAAAATCATACAACGTGAATGAACACTAATGTAAAACTTAGAAGACTAAGAGGAAAAAGTAAGACTAAGTAGTAAGAGTAAGAACTAAGAGAAAACAAGCTAGGAGGGAACTAAGCAGAAACAAAGAGACAAGAGAAGAGGACAGAAGTGAATAAGAGAGTGAGCACCCCAACTTTACTGGTTTAATACTCTTCAAACTGGGAGTGTCTCTGGGGTGTGAGGAGAGAAAGGAGGGTGTCCTCGCTGGTGTCCTGCTGCAGCTTTTTCAGAGGAGACCTTCAGGATCCCTCATTGTATGATCGAACTTATACTTTTGGCAGGTAAAGGAATCAGATCGAATACTCACTCACTGTGATTAATGTTATTGAATGCTTGGTTCATAATGAATGATTTGATGTTAAACAAATATAAAGAATTGTAGAATCACATTAACGAACATTCTCATTATGCTTTGAGTATCACTTTTCAAAGAACATTGTTAAAAAAGTACATGTTCAATTACTCTGAAATGAAACAGATAGTAACACATATAAACTGTGAATAACACAAGGGTAAACACATGTACATGAACTTACAATTAATAATAATTAATAACATTTAAAAAAGGATTCTACAGACCAACACTCAGATTATTATCTAATAGTATAACTACCTAATGTTTAACAAAGCTAAACAAATGATTAAGAGATAAACTAAACATTTCTACACTATTTCTACTAGAATAAGGTTGTAATTAAAACATAACTTCAGCTCTTGAAAGTTCATGAAACAGTTTGGAAAGCTGTTGATCTCAAAGAACTTTAGGACTGAAGGATTTATTCTGTCAGTGTGAAATTATGGCTTGTGAACATGATCGGCAAATGGGACAAAGACTGTTTTCCTGCACATGTTGAGTACTGGCAGAAGATCATAGTGTGGTGTCCATCCAACCTGAAATTGGACTAGTTGTAGCTATTCTCTTTAGATTGTACTCAACGAGAGCACAACCAAATGTAGGATTCAAGGCTGAGCTGATAAACCTGACGCTTCCTAGTCAAGGTGTGATGGCAGATGTTTATCTGATGACGTGGTCCTGTAGTTCTTTCCTGCTGGCCATAAACAATGTCTCGGTCTCTTTGAAGTGGAAAGGATAGGAGGTTTGTCCTTTTGAGAAGGCTTCTTTGGTTATCTTCTATAAAGACAGGAGGTTGTAGAAAGATCGTGATTTGGTGTTGAAAGTTTAGACCATCTCGTCTCCGGTGACCAGATGTAAGCCTTAAATTCCTTTGGGGAGTTTAGATGAGGAGGTGATGGTCGCTGCTACAAATTACAACCATATCATACTGATATCAGACAGGAGTGTGACAGGTGTTTATTAGTCTTTTTGACACGTTACAATCATGAGGATAAAGTCATGGACTAAACTCGGGCTCCCAGTTTCCTTATTGTTGTTGTTGTTGCTTCAGCTAGCATCATTGTTTTCATCACAGTTAATAAAGTAATGATGATGCTTCATAAATTCAGAGTCACAAAAAACACCAAACAAACTAAATGTGAAAAATCTGTTTTGATTTTCAGTTTTCATGTGGAGTAATACAGAGATATCTGTTAAGGCTTGAGTTTATAGCTGGACCCAAAAGATAGGAGACCTCAGGTCTGTTCAAAAGTTTTATTGACTTGCACAAGACATAGAAAAATTACACAAACTAAGAAAAAATCCTTGCAGGCTGCAGCTGCTACAGGCTGTCTGACCACCACACTGAAGACCAGAGCAAGATTAGGCACCGAGGCACCAATTTAAAAAAAAGAAAAAAACACAAAAAAAAGGTGATCAGGATGGATTCAGAGAATCTAGAAAAAGCTTTTGTCTGGAAACCTGAACCTGGCACTACCGAATGAGACGGAATTATCTGGCAGAGTAGTGGAGGGTGAGCCAGTGTTGTTTTCGTCAGGCAGGACGAAAACTTAAATGACGACGTCAGACCCCTTTTTTCCTTGACGAAAATGAGACTAAGACGAACATCACCAAAGCTCTGTAAAGACTAAAATGTGACGAAAATTATATTCACTTTCGTCAGACGAGAACGAGACGAGACTAAATTGTTATTAGGTGGACGAACAAAGTTTCAAAACATGCTTTTTTTTGTCCTAACAGTCACGCCCCCATCACACACGCACCAAAAGCCTCGCTCGAGCACAGCTGCGCGCACACACTCATACACATACACAGAGCGGCAGGTGGACGAGGCGCGCGCACACACACACACACACCGTGGCGGCAGGCACAGCAGCGGTACCCGGTGGCCGAAAAAAGAGGGATGATTTTTGGTCCTACTTCAGATACAGTCCAAGTGACAATAAAATAAAAGTGACAATAAAACACGGGACGGGGAGACGAGACAGACGACAGTTGTGGAGCCACAGCTTCCTCATGCTTCAAACTGTCGGGAAAGAACACCACGAACCTCAAAAGGCACCTTTACGTCGACTAAAACTAGACGAAAACCTTTTGAGTTTTGGTCGGACTAAAACTAGACGAAAACTATCAAGGATAGAAATGACTAAAATGGGACTAAAACGAAGAAGCATTTCGTCAAAATGACTAAGACTAAAACTAAATCTAAAATGCCTGCCAAAAACAACACTGGGGTGAGCCAGTTGCTACGGAGAGGTGAGTTGATTGCAGAGTGCCATCAGGTGTGCCCTGCTACACACAGCCAGAAAGAAGGAGGTTCCTGCAGCAAAATCAGATTAGAGACTGATCTAAATGAAATGTGAGTGAACTCAGCCATCAGTGAATCAATGACAAAGTGAGAGGAAGAGTGGATCTGTCTGCTGTCTGACCTTGTTGATCCTGATGAAGGTGAGGGAGAAGAGTAAAGCAGTAAAGGTGATGTTGTTGCAGACAGAGTCAGCTGACCTGTCTCATCAGAGTCTCATCCATTCTCTGTTTGGCAGAGCGCTGATGTTACAGTCTGAGAGCACATTCAGGTTCAGCTTCACATGGGCTGGATCTGCTAAATACAAACTCTTGAGACCAGCCTGGTTGAGGGAGGTGGGCTCAGTGTCCTGGGTGACTCTCTCTGAGCTCTTCTTGGTTGAGAGTATTTCTGGTTTGTCTCTGACTTCCATGAACTCAGATCTGGAGGATTGCTGGCTGGTCCGGTCCAGTTCTGACAGTAGAGACAACACAGTCTGTTATTCTGGGTTGAGTGTTCTTGTTGAAGATCAGTGTACAGTGAGGGATGAAGGCAGACAAAGATCCTCCTGTTTCCTCCATGTCACAGTTCAAGTTCATTTTGAAGACTTTGATTGATCCGAGCGCTGAAGAGGAACAGGAAACGTGGAGTAGAGAGTGAGGGAGGACTTACAGCAAAGGATCATGGGAGTCGAACCAGCAACTGCTGCAACAAGGACTCCACCTTCTGAACACCTGAACCTCTAATCCAAACCAGTGCTCCATCACATCTGATGTCTCATCTGTTATGTTACATGGACGGTCAGAGCAGACCACATCATGAGCTCTGACAGACTGGATCTGGTCCAAAGGTCTCCTGTTGGAGTTCTCTAAGCTCCATATTTTAAACCTGAACACCTGAAGTTTGATTATTAATTATTTTTATCTTCATTCTCTTTCCTTTTTTCAGACTGTGGGGCTGCAGGCTGTCAGAGATCAGCTGTTCTTCTCTGGCCTCAGCTCTGAAGTCCAACCCCTCCCATCTGAGACATCTGGACCTGAGCAGAAACAATCTGAAGGATTCAGGAGTGGAGCTGCTGTGTGCCTTTCTGCAGAGTCCAAACTGTAAACTGGAGACTCTGAGGTCAGACTTTTTTCCTCCGTTCAAACATGATCATGATTTGTTTGTGATGATGACACTAAACTGCTGACTCAGAACTGAAATACTGACCCAGACTGAACACCTTCAGTCCAGAGTAGATTTTCTGCATCAGTGGATTATTTGATTGACTCCAGTTCGATCACTGCTGAGCTCCAGTGAATTAAAACCTGAACCCAAGAAGAAAACTCTTTGTAGAGTTCACAGTGAGAAGCACATTCAGACAGAAAACAGAAGCAGGGGGAGATTTGTCAGACGAGAACCATTCAAACTTTTGTTTAGGACAAGATCAGGGAATAGAAAAAACTCAGAGTTTAGTTTCTGACTCTGATGAAAGTCCAGCTCTGTTACTTTAAATTTTGTTTTTAAATCTTTGTGTAAAAATCTGCATTTTATGGTTTATCTTCACTTTTCTGAAGCCTTGCTGTGTTTAGACTGAAATATTTACCTCTCAAAGACGTGATATTTTTGGTTCAGCAAAGTGAAAATATTCTGAACATCCTTTATTTTTCATCCGTCCTGAAGTCGCTGACATTTTCTGAAAATATTGAGCTGCAGCTACAATCAGTAAAAAAGTCTCTGAGTTTTTTATTTCATTATTTAATGTGTTTTTGAATTCACTGTTTCAAACTTACTTCCTGTTTGGTTCAGCTCTTTGGAGCGTCACTTTTCTTTGATTCATACTTTCCAAACCTTTCCCCTGAACTCTACAGATTTAAGACATCAGGTTTCAAACTGGATCATTTTTGTCTAAAATCTCATTATTTCCTCTTTATTTAGGTTGTGGAGCTGCAGTTTGACAAAGATAAGCTGTTCTTCTCTGGCCTCAGCTCTGAAGTCCAACCCCTTCCATCTGAGACATCTGGACCTGAGTGGAAACAATCTGCAGGATTCAGGAGTGAAGCTGCTGTGTGACTCTCTGCAGAGTCCAAACTGTAAACTGGAGTTTCTGGGGTCAGACTTTTTTCCTCCGTTCAAACATGATCATGATTTGTTTGTGATGATGACACTAAACTGCTGACTCAGGACTGAAACACTGACCCAGACTGAACACCTTCAGTCCAGAGTAGATTTTCTGCATCAGTGGATTATTTGATTGACTCCAGTTCGATCACTGCTGAGCTCCAGTGAATTAAAACCTGAACCCAAGAAGAAAACTCTTTGTAGAGTTCACAGTGAGAAGCACATTCAGACAGAAAACAGAAGCAGGGGGAGATTTGTCAGACGAGAACCATTTAAACTTTTGTTCAGGACAAGATCAGGGAATAGAAAAAACTCAGAGTTTAGTTTCTGACTCTGATGAAAGTCCAGCTCTGTTACTTTGAATTTGTTTTTGAATCTTTGTGTGAAAATCTGAATTTTATGGTTTATCTGCCCTTTTCTGAAGCCTTGCTGTGTTTAGACTGAAATATTTTCCTCTCAAAGACATGATATTTTTGGTTCAGCAAAGTGAAAATATTCTGAACATCCTTTATTTCCCATCAGTCCTGAAGTCGCTGACATTTTCTGAAAATATTGATCTGCATCTACAATCAGTAAAAAAGTACCTGAGTTTTTTATTTCACTATTTAATGTGTTTTTGAATTCATTGTTTCAAACTGACTTCCTGTTTGGTTCAGCTCTTTGGAGCGTCACTTTTCTTTGATTCATACTTTCCAAACCTTTCCCCTGAACTCTACAGATTTAAGACATCAGGTTTCAAACTGGATCATTTTTGTCTAAAGTCTCATTATTTCCTCTTTATTTAGGTTGAGATACTGCAGTTTGACAAAGATAAGCTGTTCTTCTCTGGCCTCAGCTCTGAAGTCCAACCCCTCCCATCTGAAAACTCTGTGGCTGAGTTTCAACGATCTGCAGGATTCAGACAAGGAGCTGCTGCGTGATCTTCAGAAGAGTCCAGACTACAGACTGGAGGATCTGTGGTCAGTATAGTTGGTTTTAGTCTGTGCTGATCTCTCCTGTTACACTCCACACAGTAAAATGTTGAATGTTTATGACACTTAAATCTAATTTGCATAATAATTTGTAACAGTGTGTTTCCACAGTTCTTTAAACAGTGACACTAAAGAGGTACTTAACGTGTTTTTAATTATAACGGCCTCTCAACACTTGTACATATTTTTAGCACTGGTTGTACAGTCTTCTGCTGATGCTACACCATCATCTCCTATCATCACAATAATAAGTTTAAATGTAGAGACTGAATGTTAAAGAGTGAAAGAGAGTTAGAAAAGACATTTATTTTGGTGCATGTGAGAAAGAAATGATTCACAAACATCTTGGTCCAGAGAATGAGGCTGATATGGAGCACCTCAGGTTAGAAATTCACAGAATTAAACTGACCGACATCCATGAAACAGGTGAAGATGATAATCAGTCCAGGGGTCTGAATATCCACAGCTTAAAGAACAAAAATAAAGATGACAAAGAAATGCAAAGTACAATGTATCAAATGTTTACTTCGTTTATTCATAATTCTGTTTTCCTGTAATTATGTTGGCAGGTAGAGTGCTTAATGAGCCGACAAATCTCCATTATTGACCGACGAGTGAATCTGCAGCACGGTGATGAAATGACTCAAACACAGAGAAAAGTTCTGGCAGCTTCCGTTCAAACATTTCAGCATCAGTCCGATCAAAATGTCCTCAGACAGCTGTGATGTCATCGCACAAACAAGCCAATCAGCTGTCCTCATTTCCCAGCAACCACAGACAGCTGGTCTCTGATACGTCCCAGTCCATCCAGTATGGTGTCCAGAGACTCTCGGCTCAGCTCCACCGTCACCGTGGAGACCGAATCACCGCTCACTGAAGGATCCTCAATCTGAAACACAAACAAGATTATAACCTGTGGTGCCATTACAGTGGACTGTGTTCTGCCTGTTTTTGCTCTCCATACTGACTGACTATCCTGCCAACACCAAAACCTGCTACATCAGCCTACATAAACAGAGACTAGAGAACAGGTCCCAAACTGGATCCCAGATTCTTTATCATTCAGGTTCAGGTCGGAGCTCACCTTGAGCTGAACCAGGCAAGTCGGGACCGACATCCGACTGACTGAGTCTGACCCAGTAACCATGTCGACTCTCCAGTCCAGCTGAGGAAGAGAGACTGAAAACACACACACTAGCACGCGCGCGCGGATTAGAGTAGGGTTGCAAAATTCCGGGAATTTTCAAAGATGGAAACTTTCTGTGGGAATTAATGGGAATAAATCTGAAATCTACATAATCAAAGGTTGGCCCTCAACAGGGAACTTAAAGTCATGGTTGATGATTGTTAAGGTTGGTAATAAGTATGAACCTCATTTCTATGGCGATCATGGTCCTAAAGCGCGATCTCCATAAGGGTGAAGAGAAAAAAAATGGAAAAAATACGTTCACCCTAGCAGGTGAAGGGCTGCAAAAACATTTACCAATGGGAGCCATCCGTCCCAGACAGCTCCTATTGGTCAATCTCCTGGTCCACCTCTCCATCCAATCATCTCGCTGTATTCGACACACCCCTATCCCGTAGTTCCGACTCGTCCCCTCCCACTCTCCCGGCCCTCCTCGGAGATCTGAGCGGCTAAAAGTAGCGTAGCAGCTTAGCTACAGGAGCTGTGATGGAGAAGGACGCAAAAAAGAAAAAAAACCCACTTCTGCTCGCCCCACCGCCAAAAGTGGGAAGAAAACGCCGACAGACGAAAGGGCGGAGTCAAAGAGGAAATGTGACCAAGCGAGGAATCTAACTGGAATAAACACCGGGTCATCCTTGGAGCGGTGGAGAAAGCTCCGCCAGGATTTAGTCCTTAAAACAGACACAGAGACAGCAGAGTTTTTGTTGAACAGGTCATTTTTATCGCCTTTCATCGTGGCTCATGTTACATAAATAACTCTGATTAGTCTCTGACATGTCAACATGGTAGCTGTCCAGGCAGCTGCAGACGGCGCTCGCTAGCAGAGCTGGTGTTTACTGCCGCTAGTCACTGACAATCCGACATGGTGAATCCTATTTGAAGCTAGCGCAGGACCATACAATAATTTATACATAAATTGTCAAATATTTGGAAAACCATTCCAGTTGTTTAGCCAACTTTTTGGAAGGAGGGGGGCTTCTTCATTTAACATTTTGAATGGGACTTTTTTTTTTCATGTTTTTGTTGTTCATTAAAATAATTGATTGTTCCTACAAGAATTAAAACTAAAGTTCTTCTCAAATAAATCTGTTAAAATGTCATTTTTTTATTGTATTATTTTGTATGTATGTCTGCTGATGACAAAATAAAAATATTTACATTTATGTTTGGATATGAAACAGTTTGTTTAAATTACCCCCAATTTCCAATTAAAGGTGGGGTAGGCAGGATCTGAGCAAGTTCCAGTTCTTGAGAGAAATCTTGAATGAAAATCCCCGCCCACAAACAGACGCTCCTGCTCGCTCGTATCGTTCCAATTTAATTCAGATATAATGCAGATAAATACTTCAGATCATTACAAATGGGGCCCAGTCAAGGTGAAAGTCAAAAGCATTGGTGCTACTGTAGATGCCAACAGACTACCAGCAAACACAATGTTTGCAGGACTTCTACAACTAGGATAAAGTGACATAGTCCAGGACCCGAGGGAGGACAGTTTAGCGATGGAGCTACAACACGCTACAGCAGGTCCGTTTGACAAGAAACACTTCTGTTACAGACACTTGTCTTACTTTGTTAAAGCGGTTTACCTGTCCAGCAGAAAGGTTACAGGGTCACCAAGATCCCCAAGCGTCCCCCATCGTTTATGTTGACCCGGCTTTTTAGCTCTTGTCCAGTCTACCACCGTTATAAGCGCCCGTTATTCCTCCAGAGTCTCCGGTATTTACTTTGTTTTCTTGCTTGTGTCGGCAGTCGTGGCCAAAGGAGGATTCAGACAATTTTCCGAACTTTCTGGTTGGTTTCTACTGTCCGATATTGTAGCACGCTATCTTTGTTTGGGCTTGTTAACGTTATTGGAGGACGTGGAGCGTGCCTCACAACACGTGGGAGAAGCGTCCACCTCACGACCAATCAGGTTGGGGAGACAGTGAATGGCTTTGTTTACAGTCAGAAAGAGTAGCCTGATCAAATATTTTTAAATTTTGATTACACAGACATAAGAGAACACAGCGATATTGTTATATTCTCAAATGTCATCAATAACTAATAACTATTGGCTGATATTAAAAGCCTTTTTTTTATAAACTACAAAAAAGATTCTTCTTTAACAGAATCCTGCCTACCCCACCTTTAATTCCCATGAAAAGTTTCCAATTTCCAAAATTCTTCAGCTTAACTTCCCATGGAAAGTTTCTGGAAAATTTTCCGCCCCTTTGCAACTCTAATTCTAACACACACAGACACCAACACAACAAAACAAAGATAAAACTCTGTATCTAAGTCAGACTTACTTTGGTTACTGAAAGATTCTGTTCTCCATGTAGCACTGAAAAAAAACAGCAGATACAAACATTAAATTTCATGACAACCTTAAGCGACATCATATTCAGTTGACAAATGAGAAGAGGACTGTTTGGATGCTGATAGATTTATGATGTTACTATAAACAAAAGCAAAATATTGCTGCTTCATATCACATGAACCTCCTGTGAGTTTATTTATCACAGGTTAGGACTTTGAGTCATGTGTGCGGAGGAGCCCCTACGTTACCTTCAAGTCTGCACGCATTTCTGTCAGTTAAATCCATGGCTATCAAATGGTTTATGATCAGACAAAAAAGCTGGCTAGCTAGACTTCTAATCTTTCTGCAATGTTTTTCCGCAAGGCAAATATGCAAATTAGCCACGTGCAGCATATTGCAGCAGACATTGATGTTCCTAAATGATTATGCTGCTGATCACTTGTGCTTATGTAATATAATGCTTCTTGAAACACCAAACGTTAGCTAGCACGACTTCTACAGGAAAAAATAACATTGGTTCAAAAGAGTTTTACCATCATGCTTACCTTGATGTTCAAGGCTGCCAGAAAAATAGCCGGAGGGAGGAGTAAGCAGCGTAGAAAAGATCTTGCGCAGTCTTCACTTACTGCTTTTATTGGCAGGAGGCACGACACGGTGATGAACAGCAGAATTTCCAGCGCCATTTAACCAACAGAGACGTGCGCGTCAGCCAAACCAGCTTGACATGTTGCCACAAAGTGAATTAGAGTTATAACAAATGAGCTTGTGTAGCAGATTTAGCGAATTTCACTGAAAGGTGTCGAGTTTGCACCCTGGACATATCATCCAAAATTAGAATCATCATCTTAAAATTTAAACTTTTTTTTTTCATTTTCAGTAAATCAATAAGCACTGAAAATTGTGCCTAATGATAACAATATCAACATGCAGAAATATAACAGCCTTTACACAGCTGTGATTAGAATAATGTTCCAATGTAACAAAAACAGAAGAAACACTGAACCTGGCTTCATAAAGATATAAAGCATAGAGTTTTGTCAGCCTAAGTCCAATTCCAATCCGCTTTTATTTTTTCACTCTTCTTGTTCTCATACATTAAATTTCAAACTTCCATCCAATCAGCTCAAAATTTCATCAAGACAAGACTTTTTGAGTTTTTCACTGTCTGGTTGTGTCTTATAAAGTTTTCACCTTCTATGTTGATAGAGCCTGTATTTGTTTGCCAACACTTTTCATTCTGTAATTTATGTACAGGAGTATGAAGGAGCAGGACAAAGTGTTAAAAAAATTGTTGATTTATAAGATTCTTGACTTTATATCAAGTCTTTGCAGGTGTAAAGCTTTAATGCATATTTTTGTTCTGTTTAAAAAAAATAATCACCATTAAACTCCAACCCTGATTTCAAAAATAAAACGTTGATATAAAACAGAATTTGATGTTTTTCAAACTATCTAAACTTAGTATTCTGATAATAATGGTGCAAAGACAACATAAGAATGAAAAACCTTTTGACTAATGAGGTTAATTTAGAAGTTAGTGAGGTGGCTGGGTATAAAAAGGACATTCAGAGAGGCTAAAGATTAGCAGAGGTTTATCACTCTGTGGGAGACTGTGTGAGCTAACAATGTGACAATTTAAAGATAATTCTCAGGAGTGTAAACTCACTAAGGACTGGTGTATTTTATCAGGTACAGTACATTATATCATTTACATCGTCAGACTGTTATTTTTACACCTTCAAGTGGAAAAACAGACAAGACTCTGTAGTGGAATGATGTGTGAGTTTTATGTGCACCTGCTGGACATCCCTCCATCCCTTTTTCCCTTTGATTCAGAGGTGATATTTCAACTACTGAGTAAGTGACATAATGTCAATTGTTTCCTTTTCCATTTATGCTAGAGTGTGTGTGTGTGTGTGTGTGTGTGTGTGTGTGTGTGTGTGTGTGTGTGTGTGTGTGTGTGTGTGTGTGTGTGTGTGTGTTCTTTAAGTCATTAGCCATGTTAAGCTAGATAGTGGGGATTTGTCATGTTATGTTTATTCATGTGAACATTTCCAGTGTCATAGTTAATTGGGTGAAATTTCAGTGTTGTGCCTTACAAGTACACTTTCTCTCTGTCAGCTAGTTGCCGGCTAACCTCGCAAGACAGTCGCGTACAGGTGAGTCAAGACACAGTAACATCAAGCCAACAGGGCGGGAACTCCAGGCTACCATCTCCCGCTCCGCTCGCAAGCCTAAGTATTGGTGCAAGAACAGCCAGCCTTACACCTAACCCAAGCTAAAGTGTTTGCCAAACTTCGTTATCTACTCCACTTACCGCTGTCTTGCTTTCTCCTTTCTATTCTCTTTCTTTTCTCACTACCTGATAAGTAGGGGATGTAATAAGATAGAACATGGAGGGACTCGACCAGCTGAAAGAACAACATGAAGACTTTTACTGTGTTTTTATGTGTGCTTTGGCTTAGTGCACTTCACAGTAACAGAACTAAATATTGGTCACATATTTTTTGGTGTTTTTGTGCAACTTCTATAAACTATCAGCTGTATCTCACAGCACCATCCATGGTGTGAGTGTCTGTGTGTTTTACCTGGGCAGCCTGAGCCGCAGGGATGCTGAGTGTAGCTGCTATGGTCTCGGTCAGCCGTCGACTCCGACCTCTGTGGCTCTGAACACAAACGTCTCTCACTGCATCTTTAGACGGAGCCTGAGCAAACAAAAACACCCATGAGTAACAACAACAACGGTGTCATTGTTGAGAGTCTGGAGAGAGACCGGAAAGGCCCAGAATCCAAGGTGCTGAAGTCCAGCATTTAGAGACCTTCAGGCTTCATTTGCTGAGAGTCTTTATGGAGATCCAGGTTTATTTTCAGCAGGACCTGGTACCTGCCCAGAGCACCACAGCGACCAGAAACTTGTTTATTAACCTTCTCATTACTGTAATTCTTGTGATTCCTTCTTTTACGAAGAAGATGAAGTTTTTTTTACACTATCCTGTTTTCATGATGCACCTGTTTACATGGTATCTTCATGTCTGTTGACATGATTTGATAAGTTGTGATCTGACTGCGTCTGTTAGCAACTATTTTTCAAACCCTAGTAATTCAATGTAAAAGACTGAGAGAGAGAGAGATACTAAAGGGTCCTGGACTTTCTAAGCTGACTTCTATGAGGGCTGAGATCTAAAGGAAAGTGTTAAAACTGTGTCATAGTAAATGAATTACAATTTAAGAAAAAAAGAAAGTAAAATATTGCTGCTTCATATCACATGAACCTGCTGTGAGTTTATTTATCACGGGTCAGGACTTTGAGTCGTGTGTGCAGAGGAGCATAGGGGTCAAAGGTTAAAAATAAATCACTCACTGAGGAGTAATCTTTGTTTAACGATGGTGTAGCAGGTCCCGCCTAAGTGACCCCACTGTTAGACATTTGGATCATCCAATAGTTGGAGTACCTGGAAATATAAGAAATATTGCACAGGGATCAAGAAAACAGGACAGCTGTTCTTCATTCTCCATTTAACCAGATAATCGATTTATTTACAATTTAACTGCAAACATGACTTATTCTCTGCTATTTTGTCTGCTTTACATTACAGTTTATATCCACATCTGGATAAAATCAAATGTCTGTTTTCACATTAATGTCTCTTTATCTTTATATCTTTTCCAAAATTAAACAACTTTCCTATCTAAATTTCACTTCACTTCACCTGTTCTGTCTTTTCCCATGAATGTGCTCTTCCTTTACACATACCACCTCTTCCTCTCAATAAAAAATATCTTTATCATAGCTGTATATTTTGTAAGTGTTCACTTTTAATATCAATCTTACAGTTAAACAGTACCATCTTTACACTAAACACAAACTGAATTGTTAAACATGGTTACCTCGTATCTCGCTACTATAACCGCTTAACTAGAACCGTGTCATTGTCTCATCTTAACGTGCGCGCCACTTAAACAGGACTGCAGCCGGAGCTGATCTCAAACTACATATTTACATTAGCTTACTCTGTTTTAATCAATGTCCATACACACAACCGCTTTTAACACACAGAAATAACTCACAAATGCCCGGGAGCCGAAAGAAACATACGGAAAACAAATCAACGAGCTGCGGCGTCGGCGCCATTTTCTCTGCAACAACAGTCACGTACCGTCAAACTTCAATGTTAACAATCGTAACACACTATTAGCTCACCGATAACACATCACCGGGGATTCATTTCAGCTTATAAACATTTGTGACCATATAAAATACAAATAACTGACCTGGAAATATTAGAAATATGACACAGGAATCAAGAAAACAGGACAGTTGTTCTTCATTCTCCATTCAACCGGATAACGAGCTCAGCTCCCGTTGCGTTCTTGTAAGTCCCAGTGATGATAGTGGTCGGTGCTGCCACCAAGTGTCCATTTTGTGAAACCACATGCCATAGTGTGTTTCTCTGTAATTTCTTCTTATGACACTTAAATCATACATATGTGGACATGCTAACAGTAACATGACATTTACTGCAGGTTCCACTGAGGCTTGTTTGCAAGAAAACTCGAAATAAACGTGAATAAAAACTGTGATCTGATTCTCCTCTGTGAAGTCTTTTATCTGCTCCCCTGAGCCTGATATAAACTCCTGATTCACTTTCTAATTAACGTTTTTAAAGACTCTCCATTAGCAGCTTTAGTGCAAAGAAACAGTTTCTAAAACTCCTTCTTAATGACCAAAATGATTTGAGAAAAGGCTGATGAAGCAAAGATAAGATAATCCAAACCTGCAGGACTCTCTCATGTTTGTTTACAGACCGAAACAGGAGCTGGAACGGAGAACAGGGAGCCATCTGGTGGAGAAACACCAAACTGCAGCTTTTCTATCTGCAGTAAGATTTACCAAAAAAAAACCCATATTTTTTCTCAGTGTAGTGACTGTTTTCCTTCAACAAAAAAGGCTGATGGGGTTTAGGTTTACTTGCATTTGTGACTCGTACAACGATCAGTCCAGTTTGAGAGTTAAAAAGTGATTTATTGTTAAAAAAAAAGAAAAGAAAAGAAAAGAAAACACGCTGATCCAGGTCCAAAACCTTCGCCTTCAAATGAAAACGTGACAGTCAACAGAAAATTGTTAGATCTTACCACAAATCATTGTCTGACTACACCAGTGAGATTTAATTAACCCACCAAAACATCCCAAAACTACACCCCGGAAGTGACGTACCTAAAGAAAATCATACTTTTGACAAATATATTTTGGCTCCTACACTCAGATTTTCCTAAATTCTCGACGCTAATGACAGTCTGTATAATTTCAAATCATTGACCGTTAGATCATAATATAAACTAAATCAAACTCAATATGCACTGCTCTAAATTATACAGAGCTGAGTTTTTGGAGAGTTCCTGCTTGACTTCTTTTGCATGATGTCTCCCAGAGCTGCTGTTTGGATGTGAAGGGCCTCGAGGACGCTCCAAAGGTTCTCAGTAGGGTTGAGGTCAGGTGAGGATGGGGGTCACACCGTGAGTCTTTCTCCTTTTAATGACACAGAGGTATTCTCTGATGTATAAGATTGTACATGAAGATTATTCTGCTAAAGAAGGCTCAGTTCTTGTTTTTGTACCATGGAAGAAAGTGGTCAGTCAGAAACTCATTAAACTAAACTGAGGTCATTTTTACACCGTCAGGAATCCTAAAGGGCCAACAAGCTCTCTCCTCTTGATTCTGGTCCTAAAACATGTTCCCAGCACCTCCTTGTTGATGTTGGGATGTGGTGAGACGGAGGTGAAGGTAGAGGAGTAAGCGCTCATCTCGTAGTTTGTTGGTTTAACCAGCAGGTGGTGCTGCTGCATTATCAATAAACCGAGACTCAACACTGGAGCTCCATTTAGCATGTTTACATTTTAATTATGTTCAAAATTTGATTTATTATGAAACCTTACAATTAAAAAAACAGGAAAAATCACAAAGATCTTTGAATTCTTGAGTATGTCTCATGTAATCTTATATGATGTGTTCATTGTTAAATGTAGTAAATCTGATATTTTTACTTGTTATGATCTAATAATGAAGGGCACAGCAGCAGGGTTACAGTAAGTGGTAAATGGATGTCTGTGTGATCAGGGGACGTTCTTCTTCACTCACAAAGACCAACACTTGTCATTTCCTGTAAATATGAAGGGGAGGAGACACCTGACAATAAAACAATAAAAGTGTTCACAGTTCAGACTTCAGAGTGAGTCAGCACAGAGAGAAACAAGGACACTTGTAACAGGGTGAGTGTTAATTCAGTCTTACTGTTTGGTTTTCAGAGTCTGTCGTTCATTAGAAGTGTTTTTTTTTTTACACTTAAAAAAGCTAAACAGAGAAAATTGATCAGATATGTTGATGGATTGATTCCTCGTCCAGAAAACTGTGAGTGTGCTGTTCTTCCTGTTTCTCTGCCTTTGGTGAGATGAGCCTAAAATTACTCTTCATATTTTTGTGAGCTTTAACAGACTTCAGTGATTATCTTTACACTGTGAGTCAGACAAGAAATCCAAACTAATGCTGTGGAAACTGATCAAATAGGTGATTTCAAACTCTGACAGACCCTCCAACTTTCTGTCAGGATTCACTTCTCTGAGCTCACAGCCATCATTACTGCTTTTTCAGACTCAGAGGAGTTTAGGAGAGCACAGGTCTGGATGTTTGGTATTAAAGTTTGTAGTCAAAGTTTCTCAAATACTGTAATAACACCTGAAACCTCTAACCAACATTATCACTTAATACAGCCACAATAAAACAACTGAAGGTGACCAAAGGTTGTTTTTCAAACACTGTAAAGATATTCATGCTGTTGTTTTATCTTCTGTTCGACCATAAAGCTGGTCCAAAGTTCATTACTGTGAAATATCAGCCTATCAGTTTATATTCAAGGTCCAAAGTCTTTGTAAGAACAGGATTCAGTGCAGGACTGTAACAGATCAGGACAATAAATGAATCAGTTAGAGAAAAAGACAGGCCGTCATTAGAGGTCAAACAAACCCCAAAGAGATGAGGAACTAAATACTACTGACTGTATAATACTTTTAATAACTGCTGAAGGACTGATCATAATGAACCAGCGTCTACTATTACTACAGTATGGGTTTAGTTAATGTTACTGATGTTTTTTTCTTGTGTCGAATGAAGTCTGAATTTCCCGAGTTTTAGGATCAGAGCAGAAAATCACCTCATTCTCAGAGTCCAGCCAAAAAACGTTAAATCTATGTTCCTCTGTGTTTGAACCAGAGACATTCAGCTTTTACAGTAAATGACTGTAAAGAGTCAAATTAAAGTCCAAAGCAGCTTTGTTTTCTGTAGCTGGTTAAAAAGAAGATCAGTCAAGAATAAAACAATCAATGAACATGAACAATACTTGATAATACAGAAGATTATAAAGAAATGTGAATTTCAGACTCTTTGACTTGATCATATTAGACTTGATAAGAAATAACCAACCAGGACCTTTATGATTAAAATAAGAGGTAGTGTGCAGACAGATCTTTGACATAATGAGATGAAGAAACTTGATCATCTTCATCTTCACACTCTCTTCCTGTTTGTGTCTCACCTGTTTGTTTACTTTGTCCTCAGGTTGTATAACTCGGTTTCATCTTCCATAAATTTGCTCAACATCAGATGGAGAAGATGAGTGATGGTGTCCAGGAAGAGGAGGGCAGAGCAAAGTCTGTTATGTCTGACTGTCTGTCCATGAAGAGTGACTGGTCAAAAGGTCATCAACCGGATTTCAGTAAAGAACCAGGACCCTCAGAGGAGGGCGGAGCAACGTCTGTCACGTCCGACTGTCCGTCTATGAAGAGTGACCGGTCTATATTTCTTCCACTGAACTTCAGTAAAGAACCAGGACCCTCAGATTCACAGTAAGAGAAACACTTTTTAACCTCCAAACTCTTAAACAGTAATTTATGATGCTCTAAATTCTGACCCCTCTGTTTTCTACCATGGTGAGAAAATGATCTTAAACGCTGATTTTCCTGTTGAAAGTCACTGAGCACAGATTTACTGATTATTTCTAATGTTTATAAAAATGAAGGTGGTATAAAACAGCATTTGAAAAGGATTCTGACCTCTGTATTTTCTGATTTGGTTCCTGTGTTTGGGACGTTTTGAGCCTGTTAGTCTTTGGACTGTGGTGTATAGACCCCAGAAAACAGTCTGTGGGTCAGAAAATACCAGAAGACCAAAGAAGAAATAAATCCTGAGAAATAAAAACTCATTCAGAGCATCAGTCTGTTATTAGACCTTTAGATCTGACTGTTAAAAAATGTTTTAAACTGTCAGAGAAAATCTCTCGACCTTCAAAAATCACAGTTGAATTTTTTCTCCTGTCTCCACACTTTGAGGCAGCAGCAGCTGAATATTTTACTGTTTTATGTTGGAGAAAAGAGAAACTCTGGTTTAATAAATGTTTCTTATTCTGTAACTTTCAAACATGAAATGATAAAGAAAATAAATGTTCTTTATTTCCACAGAGAGACACAGAGATGTGACTCTGTGGAGGAGCAGCTGTCCAGCTCTGATGAAAGTAAGTCTGAACATCTGTCCTCTAAAGTCTGTGTGGATGAAAACTCAGCTGACTGATTTTCACGAAGACGTTTCAGTGTTGAGAAGTTTGGTTCATTTTATTTTTCTTCTCTTTCAGAAGATGGCGGTCTGCAGGAGGTTTTAGATGAACATAAGATCAGTCTGAAGAGGAGATGTGAACGTGTGAATGAAGGAAGTGATGAAACAGGAAGTAGTCAAACCCTCCTCAACAGGATCTTCACTGAGCTCTACATCACAGAGGGACTGAGTGAAGAGGTGAACTCACAACATGAGGTGAGACAGTTGGAGACAGCTTCAAAGATGAAGACCCTCCATGACACGCCCATCAAGTGTCATGAGATCTTTCAAACCTTACCTGACCAACAGAAGAAGCTCATCAGAGTGGTTCTGACCAACGGCGTGGCTGGTGTTGGAAAAACCTTCTCAGTGCAGAAGTTCACTCTGGATTGGGCAGAGGGTTTGGAGAACCAAGACCTCCATCTGGTGGTCCTGCTTTCATTCAGGGAGCTGAACCTGATCAGAGATGAGCGCTTCAGTCTTCTGAGTCTGCTCCATGTCTTCCATCCAACACTAGAGAAGGTCACAGCAGAGACGCTGGCTGTCTGTAAACTTCTGTTCATCTTTGACGGTCTGGATGAAAGCAGACTGTCTCTGGATTTCACAGACTCTGAGGTCCTGTCTGACGTCACACAGAAGTCTTCACTGAACGTTCTGTTAACAAACCTCATCAAGGGGAACCTGCTCCCCTCAGCTCTCATCTGGATAACTTCTCGACCTGCAGCAGCCAATCAGATCCCTCCTTCATGTGTGGACAGGGTAACAGAAGTACGAGGCTTCACTGACGACCAGAAGGACGAGTACTTCAGGAAGAGGTTCAGAGATAAAGATCTGTCCAGAAGAATCATCTCACACATCAAGTCCTCCAGGAGCCTCCACATCATGTGTCAGATCCCGGTCTTCTGCTGGATCACTGCTACAGTTCTGGAGGACATGATGATCAGAGAGCAGAGAGGAGAGCTGCCCAAGACCCTGACTGACATGTACTCACACTTCCTGCTGGTCCAGACTAAGAGGAAGAAGCAGAAGTATGAAGGAGGACATGAGACAAGTCCTCAGGAGCTGACTGAGGCTGACAGAGAAGTCCTCCTGAAGCTGGGGAGGCTGGCCTTTGAACATCTGGAGAAAGGAGACATCATGTTCTACCAAGAAGACCTGGAGCGGTGTGGTCTGGATGTCTCAGAGGCCTCGGTGTACTCAGGAGTTTGTACAGAGATCTTCAGAAGAGAGAGTGTGATCTTCAAGAAAACTGTTTACTGTTTCGTTCATCTGAGCGTTCAGGAGTTTCTGTCTGCAGTCTACATGATCCACAGTTTCACAAAGAGGAAAATAAAAGTTCTGGAGACTTTCCTAAGAGGCAACGAAGACAAGGACAAAAGGTTTTCTTCAGAGATAGTTTCCAGATCTTTTCAAAACCTGGATGACTGTTTCTTATCTCTGGATGACTTCCTGAAGAGAGTCATGGAGAAATCCCTTCTCAGTAAAAACGGTCACCTGGACCTGTTCGTTCGCTTCCTTCATGGACTCTCTCTGAAGTCAAACCAGAGACTCTTAGGAGGTCTGCTGGGTCACACATACAACAGTCCAGGAATGATCCAAAGAGTCATCTACAACCTGAAGAAGATGAACAGTAAAGATATCTCTCCTGACAGAAGCATCAACATCTTCCACTGTCTGATGGAGATGAACGATCTGTCAGTTCATCAGGAGATCCAAGATTTCCTGAAGTCAAAGAACAGATCAGAGGAGGAACTCTCAGAGATCCACTGCTCTGCTCTGGCCTACATGCTGCAGATGTCAGAGGAGGTTCTGGATGAGTTGAACTTAAATAAGTATAAAACATCAGACCAGGGACGATGGAGACTGATCCCAGCTGTGAGGAACTGCAGAAAGGCTCAGTAAGTCCAGGTTTTATTCTTAGAATAGTGTAAATGATCCCTGTAGTTCTTCTAATGTCCACGTTACTGATGATGTTCTTCTTCAAATAGAAATCCACTCAAATATCAGGGAGGGGGTTTCTTCAACAAAAACATGATCCTGGTGTCTAAAGTCCTGTTAGCCCAGGATGAGGTCTACCAGTGGACCCCTGAGAACTTGTCCTGATTGTGGAGGACCTCTTTGTTTTGAATCGTGTCTGTAATGAATAAAGTGGAACTTTCAGGACAAATCAGCGACCATATCTGAGGACACACAGAGGTCTTCTGATGATGGTATCAGTCCAGATCAACATCTCAGTCAGTTGTGGTGAACTTGAGTTTGAAGAAGGTGTCTGCAGCTTCTTCCTGCTGGTTTTCAGGTTGGAAATGATGAATCTGTTGTAAATGAGGGTGTTGACAGCATTGATGGTGAAAATAGAACTGGATCATTTTCTACACAGTGGCAGAACTGTCTCTGTACCATCATGTTCATCATTCAATATTCATCATCAATACAACCATGAAAACTAACATCATTTTCCACCACTCACTGGAGATTATCTGCTGGACTAGAACATATGAATGATGAGAACACAGGAGGTATTTGGACAGCAGCTCCATGAGTCTGAAAACAATGGTGGTGTGGTGAGACGCCTCCTCCTCTTGTTTTATTTTGGTTGGACTTCCTGTTTTTCTTGGTTTCCCTGGTCTGGCTTGACTCTTTTTTCAGAGCACCCTCCCCCTTCCTGGTCGCTGAGGCTGAGTGAGACTCCACACCTGCACTGCATCTACAATCATGGCCCTTTAAGAAGCCAGCAGCCCTCAGTCTCAGCGCCTGAGTATTGTCTTCACTCCTGAGTGGTACAGACGCATCTCCTGGCCTTCTCCTCAGATAATTATTTGTGACTTTTTGCTCCCTGTGATCCCTTGTATGTCTTCTCACCTCCCTCTCCTCTGTTTTCTCCGCAGTGTCTCCAGCCCACACAACAGCCAGCCAGTCAACCGGACTTTCTCTTGTGCGTTTCCCCTTGACTTGGACATTAAAGTTACATCCTTATTTCCTATCTGCCTCTTCTGGGTCCTCAAAATACACCACACGCCACAGGTGGAAATAGGATGTAAATGGCTCTCTCTTTCTCTCTTTGCCCTCGGTGCTGCAGGTTGGCACTGACACTAGTCTGTCAACATTAAACACTGAGAGGAGCACTGATTCTCCAAGAGGTACTTTGGATACTAACCAATCACATACCAGGACCAAAAACCTGGTTCTCAGTCCCCTTCTCCAACCAGAACTCAAGAATTCACTCAGTCATAATGATCCAGCTGCACTAACATGAAGACAACACTGTTAGAGAACAGAATGACTAAAATAAGTCATGGAGTCATTTGTCTTGAACATCTGAACAGTTTTTTTTTCTTCTAAACTTTGACTTCCTGTCTTCTCTCATGGCTGTGGTCCTGATATTAGTATCTGTCTGGTTAAAAACAGGCCGTCTGTCAAACCAAAGATCATGTTTGTTTTTGGTGAAGAGAAACATCAAATTACCCTTTAATGAAATATTGTTTGATATTTATGTTGTTACAGACTTTCATACTGTAGACTCTCAGAGACTCACTGTGAAGTTGTGGCCTCAGCTCTGAAGTCCAACCCCTCCCATCTGAGACATCTGAACCTGGGCGGAAACAATCTGAAGGATTCAGGAGTGAAGCTTCTCTCTGCAGGACTGGAGAGTCCAAACTGCAGACTGGAGACTCTGAAGTGAGACACCATTTCCTTCTGATCTAACAATAAGATGTGACAGCTGCTGCCTTAGATTTTTCTCTGTGGTTTTTCCATCAACTTTGGTCGAGCAGTTTGAATTTGTCGTTGTAAAAATCCGACATTTCAGAGTTGACTTTGAGGAGAACGATGGATGTAGAAAGGAAGCAGGAGAAAATCAGTCCCACAAATATTACACATGCTTGTAGAGGGCAGGAGCAGCACAGACTAAAGGCTGATACTGAACTGATCCACAGTTAATGTGATCACTAATGAATGAATGAAGTGTCAGAGAAATGATGAGCTGCAGATTGAAACCTGAAGAACAAAGTTAATCCAACTCTGGATATTTCATTTGGAAACTCTTGAAAACGTGAATTTCTTCTTTGCTCAGTCGTGTTCAAATGTAAAAACCAGATCCAGATTTTTCTGCAGTTTTCACTTCAGCTTGTTGAACATGAACATCATCTTGTCCAGCTGGTCCATAAAAACCTCTCTGATCAATGATCTGTTGGTTTATTTAAGAGTAGTTTGGCAGTTGTTGACAGCAGACGGACAGACCCCTGAATAAACTCCTGACTGTTTTCATCTTCATGAAGAATTCAGGACGACAAAAAAACCTTTGAGATTTCTCACAGGAGTTTCTCAGGATCTCACTAAAGTTTTCTGTAGCTTTAAAATTTTCACAACTGAAATTTTCTTCGAGATCTTCAAAAGTTTTGAGATGATTTTCCTCAAGATCAACTCTGAAAAAGTTCTTCTATGTCCTTCAGGGCTCAAGAACGTTGAATCATTAAGAGCAGGAACAGTTTCTTCAGAGGTTACATGATTTTTTTCTTTTTTTAGACTGAGTGGCTGCAGTTTGTCAGAGATCAGCTGTTCTTCTCTGGCCTCAGCTCTGAAGTCCAACCCCTCCCATCTGAGACATCTGGGCCTGAGTAACAACAATCTGCAGGGTTCAGGAGTGAAGCTGCTGTGTGACTTTCTGCAGAGTCCAAACTGTAAACTGGAGACTCTGAAGTAAGTTTAGTCTTTGTCTGTTTCTGTTGTAGATTTTTATGTTTATTCAGTTTTTTAACCCAATTCAAATGTTCATAGAATTCTTTAATATTTCCAGAACTTTCTTCTTTCTCACATAAATTCATAGTTTTTTTATTGAATCATCAGTCAGATATAGATGGAGGAAAACTGTGAGTTATTTTGTTGATTGAACGTTGATGATTTTTTATAAATGGTTCAGATGATCACTGCAGTGATGTTGACGGGTTTACTTCCTCGGTCTCTAAATCAGTCAAATGTTTAAGGATGCAGTGAACTCACTATCCATGCAGCTCAGGAACACAGCTCATCTTTTTCATACAGGAAACTTTGTCAACAACAAAGGTGTGTTAAAGTCCCATCAGTCAGCAGCTTCAGTCAGAAACCTTGCTGTCAGAGCTCCGTCATTTCAACCCTCTGTATAACTCCTCAGCACAGACCAGACCCTGTGAGCACATCCTCACAACATGCTGCTTTAGTTACAACAACAACAATCAGCTGTTAGCAGAGATTTCATCCAAATAGTCCAGGAGACAAACTTGTTTGTGGTTGGAAAATTCAGGTGTCCACCGCTCATGCAGAGTTGACTCATGTTGTTGATGTTTTCATGTCTAGAGGACATGCTGGAGTGAATTCAACCAAACCTCCTGAGAAAAAGACAGCGGTGGCAGCCATTAGATCAGGCTTCATGACGTCTGTGCGTCCCTTTATTAAACCAAATCAGAGAGTTTCCCTCATGTTTCCACACAAACTTTAAATTGTTGAAACTGAATTTTGTTAGTCATGATAATGTGACAGCTGTTTTGTTTTTGAGGTTTCGAGTTTTAGTGTTTTAATTACAGTGAAATTTGAACGTTTATGTAATATTCATTGATTTGTTGAGGATTAAGTGGATTAGGAGATCTCAAATAAGTGATTATTTGGATCATGAATGTATGAGACAGCATCAGCCCTGTTTGGAGCTCTGGAGGTGTGCATACCTATGTGAGGCTGGTCCTTGGGGAGGATGGAACAGGTTTCGAAGGTCTGGGCTACCAGCGGTTCAAGAGGTTGGGCTCAGCAGAGGACCGAAGGCAGATGAAGGATGGGCCTGGAGTCATAGCACACAGGCCTGAATGCAAAAAACAGCACCTTATGGTTCCTTTTGATGCTCCTTTGGTCTCACCACAAAACTCTACCACAGAGGATGACACTCAGAGGTGACTGAAGTAACGCAGATAAGTAAGAAAAAGAAGCTCAATGGCCAGTCGAAACTATTTAAAAAATGACCGAACTTAAAGAAAAATCAGGTAAAAACTATCTTGCATTGCTATGTGCTCAATAAAAGTTGAAGTTTCAAAACTTGAACGAAGAACATGTTAAGGAAAAATCAAAAAACATGAATGAACATGTGGAGGAAAACTTGAAAAAGAATAAAGAATAAATAAATGACAAAGTGAGAGGAAGAGTGGATCAGTCTGCTGTCTGACCTTGTTGATCCTGATGAAGGTGAGGGAGAAGAGTAAAGCAGTAAAGGTGATGTTGTTGCAGACAGAGTCAGCTGAGCTGTCTCATCAGAGTCTCATCCATTCTCTGTTTGGCAGAGCGCTGATGTTACAGTCTGAGAGCACATTCAGGTTCAGCTTCACATGGGCTGGATCTGCTAAATACAAACTCTTGAGACCAGCCTGGTTGAGGGAGGTGGGCTCAGTGTCCTGGGTGACTCTCTCTGAGCTCTTCTTGGTTGAGAGTATCTCTGGTTTGTCTCTGACTTCCATGAACTCAGATCTGGAGGATTGCTGGCTGGTCCGGTCCAGTTCTGACAGTAGAGACAACACAGTCTGTTATTCTGGGTTGAGTGTTCTTGTTGAAGATCAGTGTACAGTGAGGGATGAAGGCAGACAAAGATCCTCCTGTTTCCTCCATGTCACAGCTCAAGTTCAATTTGAAGACTTTTATTGATCCGAGCGCTGAAGAGGAACAGGAAACGTGGAGTAGAGAGTGAGGGAGGACTTACAGCAAAGGATCATGGGAGTCCAACCAGCAACTGCTGCAACACGGACTCCACCTTCTGATCATCTGAACCTCTAATCCAAACCAGTGCTCCATCACATTTGATGTCTTGTCTGTTATTTTACATGGAGGGTCAGAGCAGACCAGATCATGAGCTCTGACAGACTGGATCTGGTCCAAAGGTCTCCTGTTGGAGTTCTCTAAGCTCCATATTTTAAACCTGAACACCTGAAGTTTGATTATTAATTATTTTTATCTTCATTCTCTTTCCTTTTTTCAGACTGAGTGGCTGCAGTTTGTCAGAGATCAGCTGTTCTCCTCTGGCCTCAGCTCTGAAGTCCAACCCCTCCCATCTGAGATATCTGAACCTGAGCAGAAACGATCTGCAGGATTCAGGAGTGAAGCTGCTGTGTGCCTTTCTGCAGAGTCCAAACTGTAAACTGGAGACTCTGAGGTCAGACTTTTTTCCTCCATTCAAACATGATCATGATTTGTTTGTGATGATGACACTAAACTGCTGACTCAGGACTGAAATACTGACCCAGACTGAACACCTTCAGTCCAGAGTAGATTTTCTGCATCAGTGGATTATTTGATTGACTCCAGTTCGATCACTGCTGAGCTCCAGTGAATTAAAACCTGAACATAAGAAGAAAACTCTTTGTAGAGTTCACAGTGAGAAGCACATTCAGACAGAAAACAGAAGCAGGGGGAGATTTGTCAGACGAGAACCATTCAAACTTTTGTTCAGGACAAGATCAGGGAATAGAAAAAACTCAGAGTTTAGTTTCTGACTCTGATGAAAGTCCAGCTCTGTTACTTTAAATTTTGTTTTTAAATCTTTGTGTAAAAATCTGCATTTTATGGTTTATCTTCACTTTTCTGAAGCCTTGCTGTGTTTAGACTGAAATATTTACCTCTCAAAGACGTGATATTTTTGGTTCAGCAAAGTGAAAATATTCTGAACATCCTTTATTTCCCATCCGTCCTGAAGTCGCTGACATTTTCTGAAAATATTGAGCTGCAGCTACAATCAGTAAAAAAGTCTCTGAGTTTTTTATTTTACTATTTAAAGTGTTTTTAAATTCACTGTTTCAAACTTACTTCCTGTTTGGTTCAGCTCTTTGGAGCGTCACTTTTCTTTAATTCATACTTCCCAAACCTTTCCCCTGAACTCTACAGATTTAAGACATCAGGTTTCAAACTGGATCATTTTTGTCTAAAGTCTCATTATTTCCTCTTTATTTAGGTTGTGGAGCTGCAGTTTGACAAAGATAAGCTGTTCTTCTCTGGCCTCAGCTCTGAAGTCCAACCCCTCCCATCTGAAAACTCTGTCGCTGTTTAACAACAATCTGCAGTTTTCAGACATGGAGCTGCTGTGTGATCTTCAGAAGAGTCCAGACTACAGACTGGAGGATCTGAGGTCAGTATAGTTGGTTTTAGTCTGTGCTGATCTCTCCTGTTACACTCTACACAGTAAAATGTTGAATGTTTATGACAATGTTTATGACTTAAATCTAATTTGCATAATAATTTGTAACAGTGTGTTTCCACAGTTCTTTAAACAGTGACACTAAAGAGGTACTTAACACGTGATTTTAATTATAACGGCCTGTCAACACTTGATGCGTGTTTTAGCACTGGTTGTACAGTCTTCTGCTGATGCTACACCATCGTCTCCTATCATCACAATAATAAGTTTAAATGTAGAGACTGAATGTTAAAGAGTGAGAGAGAGTTAGAAAAGACGTTTATTTTGGTGCATGTGAGAAAGAAATGATTCACAAACATCTTGGTCCAGAGAATGAGGCTGATATGGAGCACCTCAGGTTAGATATTCACAGTATTAAACTGACCGACATCCATGAAACAGGTGAAGATGATAATCAGTCCAGGGGTCTGAATATCCACAGCTTAAAGAACAAAAATAAAGATGACAATGAAATGCAAAGTACAATGTATCAAATGTTTACTTCGTTTATTCATAATTTTGTTTTCCTTTAATTATGTTGGCAGGTAGAGTGCTTAATGAGCCGACAAATCTCCATTGTTGACTGACGAGTGAATCTGCAGCACGGTGATGAAATGACTCAAACACAGAGAAAAGTTCTGGCAGCTTCCGTTCAAACATTTCAGCATCAGTCCGATCAAAATGTCCTCAGACAGCTGTGATGTCATCGCACAAACAAGCCAATCAGCTGTCCTCATTTCCCAGCAACCACAGACAGCTGATCTCTGATACGTCCCAGTCCGTCCAGTATGGTGTCCAGAGACTCTCGGCTCAGCTCCACCGTCACCGTGGAGACCGAATCACCGCTCACTGAAGGATCCTCAATCTGAAACACAAACAAGATTATAACCTGTGATGCCATTACAGTGGACTGTGTTCTGCCTGTTTCTGCTCTCCATACTGACTGACTATCCTGCCAACTCCAAAACCTGCTGACACGACTCAGCCTACATAAACAGAGACTAGAGATCAGGTCCCAAACTGGATCCCAGATTCTTTATCATTCAGGTTCAGGTCGGAGCTCACCTTGAGCTGAACCAGGCAAGTCGGGACCGACATCCGACTGACTGAGTCTGACCCGGTAACCATGTCGACTCTCCAGTCTAACTCCTTCAGCTGAGGAAGAGAGACTGAAAACACACAAACACACACACACACACACACACACACACACACACACACACACACACACACACACACACACCCACAGACAGATTAGAGCAGGTTGACTTTTGACTACACAGACATAAGAGAACACAGAGATATCGTTATATTACCAAATGTCATCAATAACTAATAACTATTGACTGATATTAAAAGATTTTTTGTAAATACACCAAAAAAAAAGATGCTTCTTGAACAGAATCCTGTCCACCCCACCTTTAATTCCCATGGAAAGTTTGTGGAAATCTTGCACCCCTTTGCAACCCTAAAACAACGATAAAACTCTGTATCTGAGTCAGACTCACTTTGGTCACTGACAGCTTCTGTTCTCCATGTAGCACTGAAAAAAAACAGCAGATACAAACATTAAATATCATGACAACCTGAAGCGAAATTATATTCAGCTGACAAATGAGAAGAGGACTGTTTGGACGCTGATAGACGTATACTGTCCATAAAAACTGATTTTGATGATTTGTATGATTTGCAGCACCATCCAGTCCTGGTTTTGGTCCTTGTCCCCCTTTAGAACAGAGATTTCTCCAGATCCTCTGAGTCTTTGAATGATATGATGAACTGTAGATGATGAAATCCACTCAGGAACTTTATCCTGAAACTGTTGAACTGTTAGCTCACACAGTCTCTCACAGAGTCCTGAACCTCTTCCATCTTTCCTTCTCAGAGACTCACCTTTTTACCGGTTTGTTTGTGCTCTTTGTGTTATCTTCGGTTACTGACCTGTTCTCCAGCAGGATTTTGGTGATCAGGTTCTTCAGACTGGAGTGGAAGGATTCAGGGAAGAGAGCGAGGATCTGCTCTGGAGAGCTCAGGTTGTAGAAGAGGATGTGATGAGACAGAACATGGAGGGACTCGACCAGCTGAGGGAACAACACAAAGACTTTTACTGTGTGTTTTTATGTGTGCTATGGCTCAGTGCGCTTCACAGTAACAGAACTAAATATTGGTCACATATTTTTGATGTTTCTTGAGCAACTTCTATAAACTATCAGCTGTATCTCCCCTATTGTGTGAGTGTGTGTGTTTTACCTGGGCAGCCTGAGCAGCAGGGATGCTGAGTGTAGCTGCTGTGGTCTCGGTCAGCCGTCGACTCGGACCTCTGTGGCTCTGAACACAAACGTCTCTCACTGCATCTTTAGACGGAGCCTGAGCAAACAAAAACACCCACGAGTAACAACAACAACGGTGTCATTGTTGAGAGTCTGGAGAGAGACCGGAAAGGCCCAGAATCCAAGGTGCTGAAGTCCAGCATTTAGAGACCTTCAGGCTTCATTTGCTGAGAGACTTTATGGAGATCCAGGTTCACTTTCAGCAGGACCTGGTACCTGCCCACAGCACCACAGCGACCAGAAACTTGTTTAATAACCTTCTCATTACTGTAATCCTTGTGATTCCTTCTTTTATAAAGAGGTTTTTTACTCTACTCTGTTTTCCTGATGCACCTGTTTACACAGTATCTTCATGTCTGTTGACATGATTTGATAAGTTGTGATCCGACTGTGTCTGTTAGCAACTATTTACAAACTCTATCAATCAATCAAACTTTATTTTTAAAGCACTTTTTATACTGTAGCACAAAGTGATGTCCATTCAAGCAGGATATTAAAAAACAATAAATCAAATAAATAAAAATACAAATACCAAACACCGCCCACTCTCCCAACTCCCATTCATCACATACAGCACTCACACACACAGATACACACACAAAAGACCAGGGGCCTCATTTATAAAGCTTGCTTACGCACAAAACCTGGCTAGAAATTGCGTACGCCACTTCTTACGCAAGAGTTGGGATTTATAAAAGAAAAACTAGTGTAGGAATGTGCGAAACTTTAAGCAAACTCCACACCTTGCTTACGCACTTTTTGGAGACAATCGGAGCAAGGTGAGAATAGTCCGGGTGATGCGTTCAGCACAACGGATGACTCGATGCAGCCTTTCTGTCCTGAGAGCTGCAGCTGCCGTACCAGGCAGTGATGCTCGCAGAAAGCACAGACCCCACTGTGGCGGTGTAGATAGTTTGCCAATTTGAATTTACAAATGTGCAAAAAAACAAATTCCATTTACATGCATTTGTTTTAAGATTAATATGACTAAATCTTTTTGGTTTACGAACTTTCACCACATAAGCAGCGGTGGATAACGGAGCGTTTTTTTTTTTCAGCTTTTCAACTTACGTACACTTTTAGTATGGATCCTACGCCAGGTTTTATAAATGAGGCCCCAGGACTCTACAACTTTCCACAGATGACTGAGGAAACACTTGATCTTAGACTAAAACGATAAAAACATGATAAAATATAATAAAGGTGATAAAGTGTTAAAAGTTAATTAAATAAAACAGTCTTAAAATCAAACAATGACGGAAAGTAAATTAAAAAAGGGGGAAATAAAACACTAAATAGTTACTCGAGGACTAAAATAGGGTAAAATCACATAATTCAGATTAAAAGATTAAAACAAAATTCAACTAAAAACCAGACTAAAAAGATCTTTAGTTTACTTTTAAAAATATGAACAGTAGGTGTCGCTCTCAGCTCTGCAGGTAGGCTGTTCTTAATATTGGAATGATGATTCACCGTATATTTTAGTTTTTACTTTGGGAACAATTAAAAGACCTGAAGACCTGAGGGCTCTACCAGGATCATACGGTAAAATCAGACAAATAAGAAGGACCATGAAGAGCTTTAAAAACTAATAAAAGAACCTTAAAATCGACTCTAAAAGACACAGGCAACCGATGCAGAGATTTTAAAATCTGTGTGATGTGGGCTCTCTTCCTGGTCTGAAGTTTGTAGAAGCTGAAGCTGTGAAATATTCTTTTTAAGAAAACCAGAGAGGAGAGCATTACAATAATCAACTCTACAGGTGATAAACGCATGAAGAAGAGTCCCTGCACTGGCTTGAGAGAGAAACTGGCATACTCTGCACTGAGATATGTTCTGGACCAGTTAAAACCAGTACCAGAGATGCCAATGAGGCTATGGAGTCTGTTTAAGAGAATTGTGTGATCCACTGTGTCAAACTCTGGTAAGTCAATGTTAAAACAAAGTGAGAGACAGAGATACCAACGGGTTCTGGACTTTCTTGGCTGACTTATGAGGGTTGAGATCTAAAGGAAACTGTTGTCATAAATGTCACAGGAACATACTGCTGCTTTATATCACTACATCATTTTAAGAGTTTGAAAACACAAACACACCGGCCCAAAATAAGAGAAAAACATGAACAAACTGCTAAAAATCATCACTCTCGATCCGTTTGTGTTCTGTTTACTCTGAGGCTAGCAGGCTAATGATAGCTAACAGGCTAAAGTTTACCGTATTTCTCTGTAACACGCAGCAGCTTCATCGTTACCGTAAAAACATTAAAAAAAACATCACAAAAGGTAAAAGCCTCGAACGATAAAGAAGCTCAGTACCTTTAGGAGAAGCTGTAAGTTGTCGAAATGCTCGCTGGAGATAGTGGCAGCCATGTTGACATGTGACGTTTAATTTTAGTCATGTGACAGGCTGGAGGCGCTACTGCTCATGGGAAATGAAGTAGAAACCAGATCTGGCGTAAAACAAATGCTAAACCAGAAAAAAATGCTAAAACCACGGAAAACACAGTGACTTTATGTGATGAATTATTCAGTCTAATGCAAATTAGTTTTATTTTAGTCAATCCAAACAACATTATCAAAATTAGAAACTGTTAAGATTCAAATTAGTTTAAAAATGAGGGGAAGACTGAATCTAATGGTTTGTGATGTTTTGTGTGGAAAAATGTGCAGATAAGATACACAAATAGATCCACATATGGACGATTAACTGACTGTTTTCAGTTTTAATCGTATTAAAATAAATTAAATCATGCTTATAATGTGTTGAACCATCACATGGAGGCCTCGTTCAGATCTTATCATATTCATGAACGTAAATGTTCTTCCTTGAGCTGCGTCACCCCGCTGTAGTCCGTAATGGACTGGCCTGAGGTCTCGCTACAAACAAGCAGCTGCTGGAAGAGAGTAGGTGGGAAACCGTTTTTAGGGTCAAACACACCGTAACACAGAGTTAGACACCCCGTCGAGAAATGAATGTTGCCAACCGCTTGCTTCTCTAGTTATACAAAGGTGACCAGATGTCCCCGATTTCCGGGGACAGTCCCCGAATTGGATGACTTGCCCCGGCAAAAGATGTCCCCGATTTAAGCGTTTCATGAATAAGAACAAAAATGTTGTGTGAAGGCTAGATTAAAGGGTTGTTTACAGTAACCGAATGGGTAGGAAGCACAAGTAAGCAGTCCTGAACAACAGTTTTTACGGGGTACGGGGGTTACAAGGGGCGTGCACTGCTACTAAATAGGACTACAGCAAGGTGACGCAGCTCAAGGAAGAACATTTATGATCGTTTCTTCATGGAAATACAATCAGACCGAGACGCTAAGACAGAAGAACTACAGCGTCTGTAAAATGATTAATATGATGATTATTACTTCAAGGAAATGATAAAGAAATGATCATAAATGTTCTTCCTTGAGCTGCGGCACCCCGCTGTAGTCCGTAATGGACTGGTCTGAGGTCTCTCTACAAACGTCTGCTGGAAGAGAGTGAGTGAGTTGTGTTTAGTCTCTTTGTTAAAGAAATGAGTCAAAGTTAAAAAGATGTTTGGTGTCTCGTTCTATGGCTGTGACCCTATATGTCCTGTTGATGAAGTTAGGTGCTGTTCTGAGCATTATTTGTGGCTATAGAGTGGCGTTTTGGTTAAGCGTGTCTCTCTGTATTTCTATCCTGTGGTTGTTACTAAAGTTGGTATAACTAGAGAAGCAAGCGGTCGACAACATTCATCTCTAAGGGGGTGTCTAACTCTGTGTTACGGTGTGTTTGACCCTAAATTAATTTGACGCCGGAATATCCCTTTAAAGCCCCACTGAAATCAGAGACTGGGATGGGCCACCCCGGTCACATAAAACCCGGACGCGCCCCTGCTCAGGAGCTCGTTTCGGGTGAGCTGAGTCCCGGAGCGGCAGCCGGAGGGGCGGAGCGGCTCGCTGCTCTCTGCGGGGGACGGAGCATCTCAGACGGGATGGAGTCTGTCGCTTCCCGGCGGTACTTGCCCTGATTCCGGTCGGTTGGATTTCGTGTGTCCGTGAAGATGTCCGTCTCCGGGATGAAGAAGCAGCTCCACAAAGCCAGTCAGGTAACGGGGACCAACCGAACCGGGATCATCCGGAGAGTATCCAGAAGGGTGGGATTAATGTCGGCTAAATATTCACTTCAGTCCGAGCTCAGAGTGTTTACTGCGACACGGGGCCTGCTGCACTCACCCACAACACCACTGTTAATCCTGCAGACTGATATAAACCCGACACATCTGGGGAATTTAACCATAACAGAGAGAAATAAACCGGTTATTTCTGCCTGAATCAGACCTGAATCCACCTGCAGACTGTCTAATTATAGCCTTTCTCTGTTGTTGACTGTTTTCGTGCTGCTTCTGTTCTCTGGTTACCACAGACAACTACAGTAACTAACCACTGCAGGACTAAAAATAGTGTTTCAAAGGCTGCTGCTGCTGTTATTTTTACTTAAACTGTTTTTATTAGTAGGGGAGACCGGGGGCAGACATTACATTCTCATGATTTCCTCTAAAACTGATGTTTTAATGTGTACTACTTCTCAAACCCGTGGCTGTATTTTCACTTATAAGGAAGAGGCTGTTTTATTTAATATAAAAAAGGAGGTCAGAGTGTTATAATAATGGGCATTGTTCAGAATATAGAAGAATTTTGTGATATCAAACCATTTTATCGCAAATGTAAGCAAGTACATTTAGTTTGCTTAAGTATGCGTAATGAGGGTTTTTGTTAACAGTGAAGAGTCGGTTATATTCAGGTGTAGTTAATCTATTTTTGCCTACAGCTTAACAATCATTCCAGATTTTAATGAATTACACCGAGGCAAAAGTTTATTTCAAAAACTGATTAAAATCAGAACAGTCTCAAGCCAAAGTAATATGAAACAGTCCAAAACAGACACTTTAAAGCTCCTTACACACCGGGGCCGACACGAATATAGAACACGAAATCATGAAATATTCAGAGGCGAATTTTGACGCGCCTGAGTATACACATTAAGCCCGACGTGATTTTGTGACTTTCCGGGGGAAAAAAGACGCATCCTGGGAAGACTTTTCCGGGGGAGAGTCCCGCCTCCTTCGCCTTTGGTGGCTAGAAAAGCTGGAAACTGACCTATCAGAACCTATTTTCAGATGCCTGTTGGGCAACTTGAAGTTCTGCTGAAACAATTAGCTCCAAGTTTGAAGAGGCAGAGTACTAGACACTAGACACGAGTATTGAGATGTCTGTCTGTCATGATAGCATGTACTGAGTCGAGGCCAGTACCAGATAAGCACATGAAACTATGCTAACAACGGTTAGCTTACGTTAGCACAGATGAAAGTTCAAACAAAGACATTTATCAAACTGTTAAAGCTCACAAACCATCGTCAGATGAGAAATCCGACGCTATGACTCTCCATAAGTCGTCCTTCAGGTTGTTATCTTTGTAATGTTTGTGTCTTTATCAAAAATCACTCTGTTCTCCGACACGTAAACAATCAGCCGGTCGGCCATGTTGGATATACCGATGGATCTGACGTCGCAACAACATGCAATCTGATTGGTCAGAAGTGGACACACAGTATGAGAAACTTTAGAAAAATCAACCATGATCCGAAAAAATTAATGCCGCAATATCGCAGGACGGGAAAAGTCGCTGGTGTGAACACTTGTATTGACAGGATACGGGTTTGAAAAAAATATTGACGTCCGAAATAATCGCACGAAAAAAAAGAAAACGGTCCTGGTGTGAAAGGACCTTAAGTGTCAGCTGCCCCTGGTCTCCCCTACTACCCCACCCTTACAGCTGTAGCTCCAATCTGACTACAATCAGATTTATCATTTTCTACCTGCAGCTGCTGAACGAGAGGCTGATGGGGGCTGAAGGGACAAAGATGGAAGAAGACTTCCTGAAGATGGAGAAGGTAAATCTCAAATGAGTCTTTGTTCTCGTTGCTATGATAAAGAAACCTGCATGTGTTCAGAGCTGACCGCCTCCTCTGTGTGTCTGTCAGAGCGTCATGGTGATAAACTCCATGCTGATCGAGCTGCTCTCCAAAATCACCGAGTTCCTCCAACCAAACCCAGGTACTGAGGAGACCCGTATTAACCTGCAGACACTGTTGGATCAAAGTCGTTTACGCACACGTGTTTTTGTCTCTGCAGCCTACAGAGCCAAACTGAGCATGCTCAACACCATGTCCAGGATCCGAGGGCAGGCCAGGTCGGTGGGTTATCCGCAGACAGAGGGCATGCTGGGAGAATGTATGTGCCAGTACGGACACGAGCTCGGGACAACTTCAGATTTCGGTTTGACTTTGATTTTCTTCAACAAGTTTCTTTGCTGCTAAACAGAAACCAGCGAGGACGAACGAAATTTTGACTCTTTTTTCTATGCTGCTCGCTCCTCCCTGCAGGTGGCGCTCTGTCCAGTGTGGGTGACGCTCTGCAGGAGGTCGCTCAGGCCAGGGACACTCTGGACGTCAATGTCAAAGGCACCTTCATCGACCCGCTGCAGGAGCTCCACAACACGGAGCTGAAGGAGATCAGGGTGAGAAGGACGGTGACACTTCACTGTTACCGTGACTACGAGCGGGTTAACACAGGAAGTAACTCAGTCCAGAACAGAATGGTCATGTTTCAACAAACATGCAGAAAAAACTCTTAATACCTCACCAACGTTTCTCACGATCTCACAGAAGAGTCTTAAAATTCTCTCCAAGTGTCTCAGGAACCCGTGAAAGCTTCTCAAATCCTGCAATTGAAAGACCCGTTGATTTTCTGCAAACATTTTTGGATTTTGTTTTTTTTTTTTTTTTTTACTTTTTCTTGACTGTTTTTAACTGTTTTTTTTAACCTGTAATTTGACAGTTTTTTTACTGTTCTTTTTTATTTCTTGACTGTTTTTTTTACGTTTTATTTTTGACTGTTTTTTGACAGTTTTTTTGACCATATTTTAAACAATTTTTTGTCAGTTTTTTAACCTGTTATTTGACTGTGTTTGACAGTTTTGACATTTTTTTACTGTTTTTTTTTTTTTTACCTTTTTTTGACATTTATTTTATTTAACTGTTTTTTTGACAGTTTTTTAAATGTTTTTTGTATTTTTTTAAACTGTTTTTTGACTGTTTTTGGCTGTTTTTAATGTGTTTTTGACAGTTTTTTCAATGTTTTTTTGTATTTTTTTTAACTGTTTTTGACAGTTTTTTGACTGTTTTTTGACCATATTTTAAACAATTTTTTGTCAGTTTTTTAACCTGTTATTTGACTGTGTTTGACAGTTTTGACTGTTTTTTTACTGTTTTTTTTTTTTTTTACCTTTTTTTGACATTTATTTTATTTAACTGTTTTTTACAGTTTTTTAAATGTTTTTTGTATTTTTTTTAAACTGTTTTTTGACTGTTTTTGGCCGTTTTTAATGTGTTTTTGACAGTTTTTTAAATGTTGTTTGAACTGTTTTTGACAGTTTTTTGACTGTTTTTTGACCATATTTTAAAAAATTTTTTGTCAATTTATTTAACTGGTTTTTTTTTTTGATTTTTTTTATCTGTTTTTTGACTGTTTTTTTAATCTGTTATTTGTCTGTTTTTGACAGTTTTGACAGGTTTTTTTTGACTGTTTTTTGGCCATTTTTTAAATGTTTTCTGACTCTTTTTTTTTTAAACAGTCAAAAACTGCAAACGTTTCTGAACTTGTTTTAGTTTTCTCAACATCTTGCATCAGTTTTTAAGAGTGGAGCAAACCAAAACGAGTGTCTAGTGCTTCACAAAAGTTTCTTTGGACAAAGAAACCCAAACAAGTTTTGCAGAATCTCATAAATGTTTGCCAGGAGTTTTTAGAAGTTTCTTCAGGATCTCAAATCATTTTTTCTTTGGACTCAAAAATTTACTCAAATTTCTCAGGGAGTTAAAAAGGACGTGAGATTCTGCAGAATATCTGTGCAACAGTTTCCTAGAGTCCTGCAAAATCTCTCAGGATCTTGGAAGAGTGAGGATGTGAAAACAGTTTTGTCGAGAAGATTGTAGAAATCTCCAGGGTCTTAAAAAAAAGTTTCTCAGGATCATTTAAAACTTTTTCAAGGATCTTTGGATAATCGATATTCCTGTGGTTATAAAACCGAGAACCTAAAGAGGATACGTGTTTCTGTCTTCCTGCTCTCCCTTCTCAGTACCAGCTGAAGAAGCTGAACGGCCGCAGACTCGACTTTGACTACAAGAAGAGACGGAGAGGAAAAGTCCCGACGGAGGAGCTGCGACAGGCCTGGGACAAGTTCAGCTCCTCCAAAGAGCAGGCGGAGAGGAGCATGTTCGTGCTGCTGCAGAGCGACGTCAGTCTGACTCTCATTTTGAGATTTTCTCGTCATTTTACTTTGTTGTTGTTCAGTCTTACTAAATTCTGCAGTGAAGTGTGATCTATGAATCCTCTGAACGTTTACAGACATAGGGCTCTATTTTCGTGGCTCGCCGGCAGCGTGGCGCAGGCGAGGCACGTAAATCGAGCCCCGAGTCAGAATCATCCGTTCATCAGGGATCATGTCGCTGCTGGTTTACAGGTGTGTTCTGGTGTTTCGTCCTGCAGGTGGATCAGCTCAATCCTCTCTCAGCTCTTATCTCTGAACTTTTGGACTTCCACCGCAATGCTCACCGCACCTTGCTCAGTCTCCATGGCAACCTGCAGGCAAGGTGAGGTTAACGCCTGTCATGGTATCATGGTTCAAAGTCCGTAGAAATGGAGTCTGATTTCAGCTCGTAACTTTTGTACTTTTATTTAAAAACAACCGTATTAATGGAGATAAACGTGGTCCTGAAACTCTCATTTGTAATTTTTAAGCAGATCCTGACGTTCACTAAAGTTTTCTTATCTTTTCTGCTTACGTCAGTGCTGATACCAGGATGCAAAATGACTGCATGTTGTGTTTTCTTCTTTAAAAGACATTAACGTTAAGATTTAAGTGTAATCCGCTTTGATTCCAACCATGAAATGATTAGTTGAACCTTTCTTTGAGTCTTTGAATATGAAATGTTGAAATATTAAAGGTCAGAATCCACCTTCTCTCTGCAGTTGAGAAAAGTCACCTGCTAATGTGGGATGCAGCGTGACCCGATCATCATTCGCTTTAATCCGAGTCGAACTTTGCAGAACAAACATTGAAAGACTCGGAGCGAAGTGTGCAGCTGATGTGAGCTCGCTGTGCCCACACTCTGAGTTCACTCCCACAGAGCTGGCTGCAGATCCACAGAGGCTGAAAGTTGTTTGCATGTGTTCGGCAGATTGACGGCTGCGTCCAACAGACCGCAGCGGCGCTTCAGGCCCAAAAAGATCCGAATCCGAAGTGAGCACAACGGCAGCATCGGGTTTTACCACCAGCCGTCCCAGGCCTCCACGGTTTCCTCAGGTCACTATGAAAACGTGAACTTTAATAACCTTTGAATAAAAGACGGGATCATGTGAGACGTTTACCCGCCTCTGTTTTTTCCAGCAGATGAGTTCACAGTGTTTTCGTCCAGACCCGGCAGCCCCATCTCCTGTTACGGTGAGAGAATCCAGACATCGAAGATCAAGAATCAAGTTTTGACTGAAGAACTTTTAAGGAAGGTTTCCAGCTTTGAAGGACTCAGAGAAACATCTCAGCTTTTTGCAGAAGATGTGGTTCTGTTGGCTCCTTCAGGCTGGGACCTCCAGCAGTTACTGTGGTCTTTTGCTGAAGAACGGTGGATTGCCCCTCCAAGTGGGGAGTGAGTTGAGGGAGTTTAGTTCTCGTGGGATCTTGTTCATGAGTGAGGCTAAAATGGATGTAATGGTGAGTCTGCAGCAGTAGTAAAGGGTCCCCAGGTTCTCCAAGGATCTTCCAAGAGAGTCATAAGATTCTGATAAAGGGTTTTTCAATCCTGCAGGAATTTTTTCAGGATCTAGAAAGATAATTTCGGGAAATCAGTGAGTTTAGATTCTGTTAATTTGCAAAAGTTCCCTGAAATGGTCAAAAAACAGTAAACAAACAGACAAAAAACAGTCTAAATATAGTCAAAAACAGTAAAAAAAACAGTCAATAAACATTAAAAAACAATTAAAAAAACGGTCAAAAAATGTTAAAAACAGTCTAAAAACAGTTTAAAAACAGTAAGAAAAACAGCCAAAAAACAGTCAAAAAAAGTACAAAAATGATCAAAAAATAGCCATAAACAGTAAAAAAAAAAAAAAAAAAGTTAAAGTCCAAAAACAGCAAAAAAGTTAAAAAACAGTTAAAAAACAAAAAAAATGTCAAAAACATAAAAAAAACAGTTTAAAAAACAGTAAGAAAACAAAAAACAGTCTAAAAAAGTAAAAAAAAATGATTAAAAAAATAGTCATAAACAGTAAAAAAAAAAAAAAGGTAAAAAAAGTCCAAAAACATTAAAAAACAGTTACAAAACAATAAAAAAAACTGTCAAACACATACAAAAAAAGTTTAAAAAAAAAAACAGTAAGAAAACAGCCAAAAAAACAGTTTGGCTAGACCACCAGGTGGGAAAGGTTGAGGGGCAGAGATTTTAAAGTTCTCAAACACCGTCTCCTCTCTCTCTCTCTCTCTCTCTCGCCCAGCTGACAGTAAGACGGTCCTGGATCAGCCGTGCTGTCGAGCCCTGTACTCTTTCCACCCGAACCAGGAGGGCGAGCTGGACTTCAACGAGGGCGACATCATCATCCTCACCAACCAGGTCGACGCCAACTGGTACGAGGGCGCGCTCGGCAGCCAATCAGGACTGTTCCCCGTCAGCTACGTGGACGTGCTGGTGCCTCTGCCTTTACCGTAACACCCGTGAGAACGCATCAAACTCCGGGCTGAATGTCAGACAGAAAACACTGAGGAGGATATGCAACTTTACGGCTCCTTGTTTGCACTTTTCCACGATCAGGAGGCGACTGTTGAGTGTGTTTGTCAGGAAAGGAAGGCCATAGTTTCTACTGAAGAGCACTTTACTTTCTGATCTCATGTTTTCCTTTACAACACCAGCCGTTCAAGAAACTCAGTCAGAAAAACGACCTTTTCAGACCACCGTGTGTGTTTCCCTTTAAGACTTAAACCCTCTCCTCCTGCACAAACCTGCTCCTGCCTTTCACATCGCTGCACATTTCTATTTAAGACTTTGACACACTTGAATGAAGCCACCGATGCAGTCATTTAGAAAGTAGGATCACAGCGTCGTTATTACGTTTCCATGGAGATGGGAGTTTTCTCACCGTCCAAAATAACTGCAGGTTTTATTTTGACATAGAGAGAAGCACTACAATATTTTAACGCTGTCGAGTTAAATCACAGATTCCTCCTAAAAATGGCACAAAGCGGATTATAACGTCTCCAAACGTTGTGCGTCAGGAAGAAAAATGACGACATCTGCACATTTTAGATTTCATGCCGGCACCGAAGTTCACAAAAAGTAGTACCTTAGTGAATCTAGAAGACCAGATTCCTGAGTCTAACCGTGATAGAGGATTTCAGCTGTTCAGGACCGCATCAGTCCAGTCTCTCAGCAGGACTCTTCTCCTGTTTGGGATCAGATGAAGGTCTTTGTCTGGATTGACGCAGATGTTCCTCCTAAACCTGGAGATATTGTTTAAAACTGAGGATGCAGCATCTATGATTTCCAATTCTATGTTGAAAGGACAACTGGACTTATTTAAGGCGAAAAGTCTCAAGTAAGTCCAGTTGTCCTTTCAATGCTGTGATTTCCACTCCAGAGTCCTGTCTGTTTTTAAAGGAATATTCTGGAGTAAAATTAATTTAGGGTCAAACCCACCGTAACACCGAGTTAGACCCCCCCTCCAGAGATGAATGTTGTCGACCGCTTACTTCTCTAGTTATACCAACTTTAGTAACGACCGCAGGATAGAAATACAGAGAGCCACGCCCCCAACCAAAACGCCACTCTATAGCCACAAATAATGCTCAGAACAGCACCTAACTTCATCAACAGGACATATAGGGTCACAGCAACTCACCCACTCTCTTCCAGCAGCCGCTTGTTTGTGGCGAGACCTCAGACCAGTCCATTAGGGACTACAGTGGGGTGTCACAGCTCAAGGAAGAACATTTATGATCATTTCTTTATCATTTCCTTGAAGTAATAATCTTCATATTAATCATTTTGCTCTGCAGACGCGGTAGTTCTTCTGAAATGATCATAAATGTTCTTCCTTGAGCTGCATCCTAAAGTTGGTATAACTAGAGAAGCAAGCGGTCGGCAACATTCATCTCTGGAGGGGGGTCTAACTCAGTGTTACGGTGGGTTTGACCCTAACTTAATTTTACGCCGGAATATCCCTTTAAGATCCTGAAGATCAGGACCATCCAGTCCTGGTTTTGGTCCTTGTCCCCCTTTAGTACAGAAGTTTCTCCAGATCCTCTGAATCTGTAGACGATGAAATCCACTCAGGAACTTTATTCTCAAACTGTTGAACTGTTCGCTCACAGAGTCCTGAACCTCCTCCATCTTTTCCTCTGTTTGGACTTTTCACAAATGTCGCTGGCATCCTTTTTTTTGTTAATGTGAATCTAGTCTTTAAATTATCTGCAAACCATCAAAATCTGTTTTTAATCAACGTTTGATGCAGCATACCGACTCTTACGGAGCTGCGGTTGTAAATAAGGATTAATAATTAACGAGACAGAATCAAATAAAAGCTCTTAAGCTAAATTAAGTGGTTAACACTGATTTTAATGTAAGTGTACAGATTGTGTTTTTGTTTTAGACCTGAGGTATCCAACATCATGTGGTAGTTTTCTTAGTTCCTTAAAGGAGTTCAACAAATTAAGAAGGTTCAGAGATTAGAGACTATTTTACTCAATCTAATCCCAATAAGAAAAATGGATTAAAAACTGAAGGATCACAGAAATGCACCGACATGTTTAACGCACTTCTCTGTGATATTCGATGTGGAGCTGAAACACAGACTTTAGAGAAAACAGCACATTTAAAGAGCCCTGTTAGAGTCTCTGCATGCTGAAGTGGATTAGACACTACATAGAGTTAAAATAATCAGATCTACGGCACATTTGATCCGACAAACATCACTGCTGGAGTCTAAGCGGGAGAACAGCCAATCGAGGGTGTGCGCTAGGACACGCCAAACGCCTCCATCCATCCACCAGTGAGGGGAATGACTAAGAGACTAAATAAAACAGTGTTTCCTGACACGAACAGGAGCCCGAGTCGAAGCTGAAGGTTCGATCAGTTAACGCCGACAGCTCTTTTCAGTGTGAGGCACGGATTATTCACATGATCGAGAGATTAATTTAACGACTACAACCAGTTTGAATCGTTTACTTTCACTTCATGGAAATAACAGTCGTACTTGGTTCAATAGGAGCCGGTTTAATTGATCGATTTGAAAGAATCTGACTGTAGAACCAGCTGAGTTAAACAGAGTTAGCAGGATATTAAAGGAGCAATAACTGAAACAAAGCTCAGTGTCTTCAGAAGATGCCTCATCATGGTTCTCTTAGGGCCTGTGTCCACTGATCGCGTTTTAGAAGCTTGTAGCGCCCACAACCTCATGTCAGTGCGCTTCCCATACCTGCGGACTGTCGCTAGGAAACAGAAGTTATCTCGTGGCGAATACTTTCATGATCAGAAACTCAAGCTTTGGAAATGTTCTAGTACAGAAGAAGGCGAACTGTTGAGGGGAATTTCATATGAAGACACAGGTGGTGTACAGCAGGTTTATCTTGACTTTAAACCTCTGCAGTGTTTTTGACATCAAATATCTTCATTTTCAACAATTTTGAAGCCCGAAGACTAGAGCTGCAGCTATCAAATATTTTAGTAATCAAGTATTCTACCGAATGTTCTACCGATTACTCGAGTAATTGGACCCAAACGTCAGACTCACATAAAGTTAGATTTTCTTTAGCCCCGCAATGAAGGCCAGACTCTGAGAAATAGAGGACGATCACGGAACAAGCGTGTGCGTTAGCGGACTACAATGCTCGTAAAAAAGCTTATTATGATATTAACTTTAATCATGTCCCTGAAGACATTCGTGTCCGAGAGCTGGATAACTCCGATGTTACCGGTTTCTGCTACGACACCAGCGATGTTAGGCTACAAGCTAGTGTGAAGAGAAGTGTGCAGAGTTGCTCGGTCGGCAACACTGCGAGAAAAGTCTCATCATTTATTTTTACACTCCGTAAAACCTAAACAGCGCTAACTCCTCCGTCTACCGTGGTGACGTAAGCGCGTTGTGTCACCTTCAAAAGAATCCGTGCGAAACAGGAAACAGTGACGATTTGAGCTTATAAAGGAGAACTGGAGGCAGAGAAAATTCTTCGATCATTATTTGTTGTCGAGGTATTCGAGGAATCGTTTCAGCCCTACTGAAGACCACCTTGTGAGACACCAGAATCATTTCCGGGTGGAGCTGAGGCGCGTACAGAAACAACCTGCAGGGGACTGATTTCACACCCTGTCCACCTGTTAACATGGAGGAGGCGAGCTTTCACGACCTATACTACAGCCAGTCACCAGGGGGAGCTCTAGATCCTTTGGTTTGACAGTCAGTGAAGACCTGTGGCATCCAATTAGATTTTAGATCTTTGAATTTCCCCCCTTGCTGTTTATGTTCGTTAAAGCGAGGCGAGCAGGCCCAATATTTATGCTAAATAAGCTCCTGAAACGGTCAGTTTTGTTCTTTTTTAAACTGGTAACTCCTGGTTAAACTGCTGTAGTTCATGTCAAACGACTGAATACTGATACTGTGTGGAGGCAGTACTGTTCAAGCTTCACTTCAGCTCTTCTGTTGATGATCCTGCTCTATTTGTAGAAGAATTTAGTCCAGGTGAATGTAGAAAAACAGCATGATTTGTCTGTCTGGTTGCCAAACGTAGAATTAATCTCTCTGATTCTGGACGTCTGAAGTTTTATCCCTCCAACAGGTGCATATTGATCTTTTAAGTTACTGTATATTTTGATGTTTTTTCAGATCTTGGATCTCTAGTTTAGTTGATGTCAGCGTTGACCAAAAACCTTGTCGTTTTCGAGGTATTAAAGGAGCTCTGTTATGTAATCAGCTTTGAGGGGAATTATGGGATTTCCCTCAAAATCCAGCAAATGCAGAAACCGTTTCCGCCGAGTGACTGACTCTGCTGTAAAGACTGTAAATCTATGAATGTCATTTGATATTCTAACTTTTTAGTTTTTAAACCATCGGATGCTGAAGTCTGTTAATCCTCTGAACACACTGATGTTTGCTGTAAAACAACAAAATTCACTGGAAATGTATTTCTGCAATAAATCTGCGGTGAATGTGTTCAGGTCTGGTTCCTGTTTTCTCTCTTTAGTGAACGCTCACGAATCACATTTTGAGTATTTTTGTTTTTTTTGTTAGATGGATGCATTTAAGACAAATCTCAGCACGATGGTTTTAATAATAGCCTACTTAAAGCTTCATTCACTCAGATTTATCTATTGACTGATTGTGTTTTATTTTATTTGTAAAGGGACAATGCTCACGATTTTATTTAATTGTTTCCATTGAAGCTCTAGGCTGATGATACAACTTCACCAAAACAATAAGTTTCTATTTTGGCTTTTTGTCTCTTTACATGAACACGGTACAACACAAATCAGCGGTAAGTAGACTGTTCAGAAGTAACTGTTTAATGGGGTCAAAAATACTCACGTTAATGTAGGCAGTAAGAATTTTGGATGCTACTGTAAGATGATGAACATTTACCTCAGTAGTTAACAAATACAGTCAAGATAACTGTGAGTGTATTTAATGAATATTTGTTTGTTTGTTTATTTGTATTTTTGCCAAAAACAAATAATTAAAAAAGATTTTTTCGCTCAGTAACGCTGTAACATTGTGACATTGTAGTTCCCACCTTCCTCCAGCAGAGTGCGCAATCACATTAGGCCCTCACTGGCCCAACTTCCGCCTGCGGCTTTAAGCGTTCACCGGAAGTCCGCTCGTCCTCTTCTGCCAGGCCGATCCAACATGGTGGGTATTTTTTTTCACGTCTACTGCGGCTATCTGAACTAATCCTGCCGTTCTAACAGCTTAAATCCACCACTTTTATCAGCAACAGAAACCGGAGTGTTTATTTGTCACAGTCAGCCTGATATTATCGATCGATCGCACAGTCGGAGTGATATATTTACTGGATTGTGGCGGAGAGGTGATGCTAGCGGAGTGAAGTCGAGAATCGGTTTGACTGAGCCTCGCTTTTCATTCAGGTCTTACAGTTTGACTGCAAACAGCGTCGATGTTGTGTTCTGTAGATTTGGACTGTTAAAATGATGTTAAAGTGTATAAATGTGTTTTTGGAGCAGTTAGCTGTGGTGGTGGAGGCTAAGCCGGTAGCTATAAACGGTCTGCAGCTCCTCTTCGTCCTCGTCCACCTCCGGGGGTTTAAACCTCATTTCTTTAGGAGCTGCAGGAGTTAAATAAGGTTATATGTTTCTCCAGCGGTACTGTGCAGTTTTAGGGACATGAATCAGTTTAGTTTATTATACTTTAGGGTTTAGTGAAAGGTGGTTTTAATGCAGATCCTCCATCAGATGAGGACATTCATTGAGAACACTAAACGTAAATCTAACCTGATAAAAATCCACCTTTGAATTTGATTTAATCTGTGAAAAGGCTGATTTGACACTGAAGAGTTTGCCTGTGATCACTTAGTGTCCAAATATGAAATCTGTTTTTTGTCTTGGTGATGAAATCTTAGAAATGTTGATTAAAATAAAGGATTAATTTAGAACCCTTTTACGGTGAAATCAGGATGATTGGCTGTACAGGTGTGTCCCAGTAAACTAAACCTATTCTTGGAGGGCTGTCCTGTGTTTTATTGGTGACAGGTAGGGCTGGGTGATATGGGAAAGTCTACCACGATATATTTTTTTCACATCAGTTGAAATCGACAAATATCACAGGGCTCGACAGTGCGACCGTTTCACTCATACTTGCGACTAAAAATCGATGTGTGTGAATTGTAAAATGTATTTAGGGTCACATGTGCGCTTAAAGAAAATCAGACGAGGTAACAAATGTTATTTCACGTAAACACGGCGGTGAAGTTAGTTTAAGGTTGGATATTCGATGAATTCACTGTGGATCTACCGGTAACGGCAACAGCTTTTCTCCCAATTCAATTATGGTTTTTTGGATGCCGATTCAATTTAAATTGCGATTCTACGATATCGTCGATATTTAGTCTGTATTTTTAACTCCAGTGAAACAGTTGAATGATTATGATTGTCTATTGACTAATCCAGGAATCAGAAGTATTCATTTTAAAACAAAATTCTGATTTAGTGAGCCGCACTTTTCAGAGTCAGACCCGGTTCTGTTGGAACTGAATGCATAAACCTAAACCGAAGCTGTGATTGGTTGTTCTGTCTGCAGGGACGAGTCAGGACTAAGACGGTGAAAAAGGCCGCCAGGGTCATCATCGAGAAATACTACACCCGGCTGGGCAGTGACTTCCACACCAACAAGAGGGTGTGCGAGGAGATCGCCATCATCCCCAGCAAGAAGCTCCGCAACAAGATCGCCGGGTGAGTGTTTTGGTCATCAGCTGACTCGTGTCTGCTGTCCTGTATCGAAAGTGATCATGGCGTCCTCATCGTCAGGTCATTGATAGTACAGGAAGATCGACCTGCGAGCCTTTCCCGTGTTTGAAGGATGATTGGTTCCTGTCAGACCCTGATGCTCTCAGACATTCACAGTTGGGCAGTACTGGACTTTACTCTTCTGGATTTTTGATGCAGTTTTTGTTCTTCATCATGTTTGTGGACTTTAGAGTAATCAGGACCTAGGACCCCTTCACCCTCATTAGACTTTAAAGAAGCTAACGAGGGTTGGAGGTCTCTGTGCTCCACTTGTTAAACACTCAGAGTCCCATTAGGGAACGGTTGATCCGCTACAGTCAGGTGTTATTAAAGCAGGTAGAGACTGTGTGTTATATCAGCCTGTGTGTAGAAGCACGGACACATCAGACAGATGAGGTTCTGGAACTTTCCCCAGGAACCATAGACCTGTTTGAGGAACTGTTTCGACTGCAGGAACCAGGGTTCAGGTTCAAAGATCTAGTCCTCAAAGTCCCAGTTCAGTGTGTGGTCCTTTTTTTATGGCTCATGGAGTTATGTACAGTGGCCAAAAACCATATAAACCATATAAAAAAAGAAACGGTGCAGATAAAAAAATTTTCAAAAGCCACAACGGAAGTAAATGATGCAAAAAAAGTGGCGATGGCAAAAAAAAAGTTACTACGAAAATAAAAGGATGCAAATAAAAAAAGGCAAAACAGAAGCGAGCTACTGGGGACCAATAATGATGATGCACCGGCGTTTTACAATCTTGACACAGAAGACGACGGTGAGAAGACGAGCAAAGAAGTGAGCGGAAAGGTTATTGATTAATTTCACTTTGTAAACTTTTCAATGTGTCATTTGGTTAGACCATCCATCACCTGAGTGGATATGAAGTTGAACTAAAACGAACACTACACTGATATCCTCCAGTATAACTTCATATGGACTCAGGCTCTTCATGGTCTAACCACATGACACATAAAAAAGTTAATGAAGTGAAATTAATCAATAACCTTTCCGCTTACTTCTTCACTCGTCTTCTCGCCGTCGTCTTCTGTGTCTGGATCGTAAAACACCTGTGCATCATCATTATCAGCTCACTTCTGTTGTGACTTTTTTTGTTTGCATCCTTTTTATTTTTGCAGTAACTTTTTTTTTTTTTTTTTGAATTGACACTTTTTTTTACGTTGTTAACTTCCTTTGTGGCTTTTTAAAATTTATCCACACCATTTTTTTTATTTCAGTTTTTTTGTTTGTTTTGTTTTTGTTTTTTGCAGCAGTAACTTCCGTTGTGGCTTCTTTTTATTTTTGCTTTCTTTTTTATTTGCAGTGGTGGTTCTCAGCCACCGTAGTTATGGAGACAGAGTGTGGTAGTTTTATGTACATTAGAAAAGCAGGTGGTTAATTTACTGCTTAAATACTGTTTACAAACACAGGAGAGGGGAGATTCAAGATTATCGTGAGTTACTGACTCAAAAAAAACCCGACAGCATGACCAACTGTTTTTCTGAACATGAACAAACTCTGAAAAAACAACCAAGTGTTTCCATTTCTTTCTCCGTCACGCTCAAACAGGCGACTGTTGTCTGGCGCCGGCTGCTGTCTGACTGTTGCTGCTTCGGCTTTCTTCCTTTTTTTTTTTTGTTCTTTAAATGTCGTATTAAACTCGCCGTGTTGAAGCTTTTTAGCTCGAGGTTTTTGTTTTACGTTGTCTGTGTGGCAGGACGCGAACTCTTCGTCACTCTCACAGACCGTATAGAAGTCTCTCACGGCAGACATGTTTGTTTGGGTTTGCCGCCGTCTCTCGGCTCTCAGGCTGAGTTCTTTGTGTGTTTGGCGTCTCTGATGTTGTGTTTGCCGTCTCTGCAGGTATGTGACGCATCTGATGAAGAGGATCCAGAGAGGTCCCGTCAGAGGCATCTCCATCAAACTGCAGGAGGAGGAGAGAGAGAGGAGGGATAACTACGTACCAGAGGTCAGTGAACGCACCACGGCATGATCGCCTTTCCTCCATGGTTTTGACTTTTCTGCATCTTGACGTGTCCTGTATCGAAAGTGATCATGGCGTCCTGGTCGTCAGGTCATTGATAGTACAGGAAGATCAAACCTGAGAGCCTTTCCCGTGTTTGAAGGATCACCTGTTTCTATCAGACCCTGATGCTCTCAGACAAACTCTTATCCCATCTTTAGAAGAATTTTAGAGAGTTTGAAAGTGTGCGAACAGAATAAATGAGTGATGCCCTCAGAAATAGTTGACAGACGACGGTTTAAAGTCGGCTGCCATGATGAGACGCCTCATCCTGACCTCATCTGTGTGTTTGTGTACCTGTGCAGGTGTCCGCTCTGGACCAGGAGCTGATTGAAGTTGATCCCGACACCAAGGAGATGCTGAAGCTGCTGGTGAGTCTGAAATCATCTTAACTCTCTGAGCTCCAAACTGGACCGTTAGAACCAGGCGGCAAATATCCAAACTCAGATGAGTCACAGTGCTCGCCATTCCAGTCCGCCACAAGCTCGGGTTCAAGAAATCTGCGCCATGTCGGTTTAACCGACGACCCTGAATAAACGCAGAGAAACGTTAAAACAACGGCACTGAAATAAAAACAACAGGACTCTCTAGAAGCATAAAAACACAGTGGTAACTTCTATAGTTATACATCTACATTTTCAGAAAACATCTAAACTCCTCCTCCTCCTCCTCCTCCTCTTCTTCTGTGGCTCCTGATCAGAGTCGTCACCTCCTCATCACAGCAGCAGAAAAAGACTCAGAGGAGACGAAAAGTGACGCTCAGAGATTGTCACTTACTACGATTACACGACACTCGAGAAAAACGAATTATCGCTTTATTCCGATTAAGACCGGACAACTGAAGTTCATGTAAACACCTTAGTCTGACTCCAGAGTTTGAGAACTCCAATTAAGACACCCAGAAAATGAATTTGATTTTTCTCTACCATGTAACCAGCGTAGTCGGAGTATGATCGGACAATGCATGTACGTGTGAGCCACGCCCCCGTAACCCTGGAACAAAACCCCCAGAGTAGAGGAGTAGCGTTGGTCTCATCTTTAGAAAAAGTAGCGCGTTCATCATGTCGGACAAAAACAACGCTGTACGATGCTCCATCTTCTTGTTTCTCCAAAATGCCCAGCAGCAGTTGTAGACACTTCTGACGTCTGACACCGACCTGCTGTTGTTGTTGACGGTTGGATGGGGTCGGAAACAGTGCCGCTGAAAAGACCCATATCGCCCCCTAGTGTTGGGGAGGAGGACACGTTCACGTCAATGATTCAGTTTTCTCAGCTACATGTAAACGAGGACGAGGAGAGAAGTCTGATTCAGAGAAAAAAAAAACAGATTATAATCTTAGATTAAACTGTGACTGTAAACGAACTGCGTGATGATATAAATCAGCAGTTGAAGGATCTGAAACTCTCCTGAGAGCCACAGAAGCTTTGACCCTCCAGCTGTTTGGATTTAACAGAAGTTAAGATGTAGTTATTGGTTTTAAACGGTGTAAGTACTTGAATCATCACGTGCCTTAAACTTCAGAGATAATATTCAGAGTGATTTGTTCTCGTTGTAGCTGCGCGGGTTTTCATCCCTGTATCGAAAGTGATCATGGCGTCCTGGTCGTCAGGTCATTGATAGTACAGGAAGATCAAACCTGAGAGCCTTTCCCGTGTTTGAAGGATCCTCCGTTCCTATCAGACCCTGATGCTCTCACACAGTTTGAACCTCTCTGTCTAAAATCAGCTGTTTTGACTCTGTGGTTTGGTGCAGAGGTCTCACCCTGCTTCTCTTTCTGTCTCTCAGGACTTCGGCAGCCTGTCCAACCTGCAGGTCACCCAACCAACCGTCGGCATGAACTTCAAGCAGCCCCGAGGAGTCTAAACGTCTATCAACTGTCTTCTAATAAAATCCCTTTGGGACAAAAAAAAAGAACCTGTTGAATCGCGTGTCTGTTTCTCAGGTGTGAAATTACATTTTTTATTTTTGCATTTTATGAAAAAAAAGAGAAAATAAGCGCTCTGAGAGAGGTTTTTGCTTCAATCTCAGCAGCTTCTTTTGTTTCAGACCTGACAAAGTCTGACGGACTGATCTGCATCATGAGGATATTTCAGCAAACGGACGAGAACATCAGTTTGTTTTTAGGGATCAGACTCCTGAAATAAATCTCAGTCCAGGCTCTAAAAAACGGTGACAAACGTTTATCTTAATAATAATCAGGATGTTTTCTTTGTGTCCACCTCCTCCCTGATAAAAAACCTAAATCAAAAGTCGTATCTTAGATTTCAAAAACAATGTTGACTCAGGCTGCAGACATGAACAAGTCCTGCAGGTGGTGCTACAACACAGACGTGCATTACTCCATTGGATTTGGACGGTGCTGAAATCTTCTCTAAACCCCAAATATTCACTTCATTATCAGCTGAGACTCAAAAGTCGTGGAATAATCGGCCAGTCAGATTGTGGTGTATTTAGATTCAAGGCTGTTTAACTGATACAGTTAAAACAAATTTATCACCTGAGAGGTCATCAAGTCATGAAAATCAGAAATACTGAAAATTAAAGTATTGTCACAGTACTCCAGTGCAAATACAGTAAAAAGAGATAAATAATAGATAAAATAAGTTAAAAAATAAAGAGATAAATAGATAAAATAAGTAAAAGAGATTTGAAAAGATAAAATAAGTTTTAAAAAAAATAAAGAGATCAAATACAAAAAAAAACACCAAATAGTTGATGTTGAAGAATCTCTGCGGATCCAAACTTTATAAATCAGCTCAAATAAAAACAGTCAAACACACAGGAGTCCAGAGGAAAACCTTTAATCTGACACCTACAGCTCGACCAAACGATTGACCTCCCCTCCTCAGCCTCATTTACATCATCATAGATTGATTTATATAGATTTATTCTTCATATGTGGAAAATATACATGTTAAAATAAACTCTCGCTGTCTTCTGGCTCATAAGCACTTCAGCAGGAAGAAGTTGCAAAAAGCTCCTCGAGGGCAGTCGCACATTTTCCCGATTCGAGATCCTTTCCTGACCGCGCAGTGTTCGCCGAGGTCACACTGCGGACAGAGAGAGACCACAAATACGCAGTAATTATACACATTCAGAGTACTTATACAACCAGGCTGATATCAGAAAAACATGGAGATGTTGTTTAAAACTGAGGATGCAGCATCTATGATTTCCAGCTCTTCGTTTCCAAAAGAGTGTCAGATTTGGATCCATCAGACCTCATAACCGATTATTGCTCTTCCCTCAGTCCACCTTAAACGCACTCAGGTCCGTTTAAGGTGGACTGAGCCCATGCGGTGATTCCCACTCCAGAGTCCTTGGTTTTGGTCCATTTTTTTACTTTAACGTGAAGCATAAACTACAGTCGTATAGATTTGTGTTTTTATTGTTCATTTTATTGATTTCATTGGTCGGTTGTTTTAACTCACTCCTCTCAGCTGTTCTACTCACAGAGGGAACCTGTCCGTACTTCTTCTCCCAGGGACTTATCCTCTTCGTCTGCAGCCTCTCCAGCACTTCGTGCAGAGCGCCCAGCTGAGCACACACACACACACACAGTCAGTGAAATACAGAGGTCTGCCTTTTCAGAGAAATGTTCAGGGTTTTAAGATGGTACAGGACTTTGCGTTTTTGAAGACCTTACCGGGCTTATCTAGAGGTTTGAGCAGTTTGGTTGTTTAATGTATTAAAGCTTAGAGAATACAAATTATATGTACTATTTTATCAGCTGACAGTTTTCTCCATTCATTATTTAATTTGAAATAGATTTCCTGGTTGAGTTTAATCCAATAGGATGTTTTTGTGGTGGAATGAATAAATATGATTATTTAGGAGACTATAGACTTTAAAGGAAAAATAATAACCACACAGACTAACAATAATAATAATAATAATGCAGTCATTCAGGGACTGAAAAGTGTGAGACATTTCAGACGAAAAAAAATAATTTAATTTACATTAATATATCTTTAGTTTGCTAATTATCACTGAGGCAGTTATCAAACAATCGTTACTGTTTTTCATATTCACACAGAAAAACAGTAATATTTTGGTCTTGCGTAACATTGAATCAGCCATTAACTTTATAATAATTGGCCAGAATATATCGGATAATATCGATAACCAGTGACGTGGCAATGAATACAAAAAAAATGTTAGTAAACTGATAAAGTTTAAAATAAGCTAAATAGTTTGATTTCAGAATTTAACTCATGAATTTGTTTAATTTACCGATTATTTTACTATCCAACAGTCTGATTTGTCACATATATGCAGCTCTAATGTTTTTATTCCTGTTAACTAAAGTTATAATGTTATAAAAATAGATTATTTTCCTCAGTATTTTGATCAAAGACTTGATTGTGAACCTCGGGTATTAAATTTACGGAGAGTTTTTAAACAGTTTATCAAGTCTGAACAGGATATTGATCATTATTTGTCCTTTTTGTCTCGTTTCTTCGATAAAAGAGAGAATCGTTCCGCTCACCAGTCTGTTGGAGTTCGCGTAGTGATAGTCCTGAACGTCCCTCTCTTCCCTCTCGGCTGCCGTCCTCCCTGCCGGACAGAGCGCGGACAGCAGGGCCGCGCACACCACCGCTCGCGCCCACATGTTGCCTAGAGACGGAGTGAAAAAACAAAAAGTTGCGTGAGCTGCTCGCTGCTGCTCCCGGAGCTGGTCACGCGCTGCCCGCTGCTGCGCGGGGATTTTTGGATGGGTAACCACGCCCCCTCGTCGACGTCAAGGCTGTGGCGTCACCAGTTCCATGGGATGACTCGTGAATTTGTGTTTGAATTTTAAATTAACGGTTTTTTGACGAAAGAGTTTTTGATGTTTGAAAGTTTAACTGGAAAAAAACAGAAAAAATATTTACAAGAGTTTTATTTTGTTTTATATTGTTGACGGAGAATAAGGGGCCACATTAAGAAAAAAGAAATTAAGACTTCGAGGTTAAAGCTATAAACGTACGAGAATAAAGTCATAATAAAATCACTAGGTACGAGGATAAAGTCGTAAAAAAATCATTATTTACAAGGATAAAGTTGTAATAAAATCAGTACCAGTGAGGATAAAGTCGTGATAAAATCATTGTTAATGAGAATAAAGTTGTAATAAAATCATTACTTACGAGAATAAAGTTGTAATTAAATCGCCTCTTACGATAATAAAGTTGTAATAAAAGCATTACTTACGAGAATAAAGTTGTAATAAAATCATTACTTACAAGTGTAAAGTCATGATAAGGTAATTGCGTATGAAAATAATGTTGTTGTAAAGTAATCACTAAGGAGGGTAAAATCAGAATAAAGTTCTTCTATTCTAACCTGCTGTTTAAGATGACAGTTGTAGAAATGAGAGCAAAGGAGCATTATGTGAAAATGTACTTTAATATATGTTTCTTAAACAAGGAGATACTTAATCTTTTGGCACATTAGCACCACATTATCGTAAGTATCGTAACCATTTTATTACGACTTTATTCTCATAAGTAATGACTTGATTCTTGTGAATTAACGACTTTAATCTGGAAGTCTAAATCATTTTTTTGTTAATGTGGCCCTTATACTGCGTCATAGTTTCATACTGGAGCATAAAATGAGAAAAGTTTTTTAAATTGTGTCTGTTTTTTTTTTTTTTACAGAAGCTTTTTGCAATGTCTTATAATTAACGTGACCGTTAACTTGGTATTATCAAAGACTTTTATGAACAAAATATTTTGTTTGTTTTTTTTCCTGAATTTAATGAGATAAGTATTACGATATCTTGGGAAAATAGTGCAGAATTTTTTTATTCATTAAAAGGTTACCGTAATTCTGAGATAATGATCTAGTTAATCCATAAAATCAGAGCAGATTTTTTAAATGTAAAACTAAGATTTTAACAACACAGTGTACTTTGTGGTCTCGGCTAATTCAGTTATTAGAAAGTCAGGTGACTTAATATGAATTTGTTAATCTAAGTACTTTTCTTTCTTTTCTTTAACAATTTATGTATTAAAATTTTTTAATAAACATTATACAACTTCAATAACAACAATAGAACTACAAATTTCAGCCAAACCCGCCCCCCTCCCAGAACAAACCCCATAGGCCAACTCTTACCTACATCCCTAAAAATAATGAAATAAATTTAAGAGAAAAAAATAAAGGAAAATACATACAGCAAAGGTCAAGACATTGACAATGGAAAAGCACAACTACTCCTGCAGATGTGCTACAACCACCACCACACCATCGACAGTACTCATCTAATTATCTGTGAGAAGTTATCCAGAGTCATTTCAGCATTTGTCAAGAAGACGGGGTTTCTTTTTCATATTGACCATAATTTTTTCAGAGGCCATGTATGATGAAACTTCCTTCAGCCACATTGAGGCAGTAGGTGGTTTTTTACTTTTCCACAATATAGCGATGCATTAATCTAAGTACTTTTCAAGGATTTCAGTGACCTTAATGTCTGTCGTGACCTTGTCTTTCTGTGTACAGGAGATTTCTGCATGTCAACAGGCATCAGCAGCATCCCAGAGATCACAGCTGCTGAGGAGCTCTCTGAAATCCTCCACAAACACCAGACTTCACCCAGAAATTCCTGAAGGAACAAATTCTTCAGCTCTGAAATGGGTCAGTGTGGTTCACTGAAACTGTTAGACGGGAACCCAAGAGGGGAAGTTTTCTGCGAATGTTTCATTATCAGGAGGATTTATTTCTGTTTTAAAGACTTTTGGTCTATAAAATAAGCATTTACTTAATAAGTCAGGGGGGTGTCCTATGATTAGGGGCATTTTATATTTGGGTCAAATGTTTCAGATAAAGACCTCAGGTAAGTTCTTTGATACGCCACCTTCTGAGTAAAACACTGTACTGCATCAAATTCTTCTTGAATTTTGTTTTGGTTGCAAATGCGTGGAGAACTCAGATCCGTTTTTAGATGGCAGAAAGGCATCAACAGTGTGACCTCTTCACCCAGTTTATGGTAAAATCTTGTTAAAAATCAGTGCGCTGAAGGTGAGGAAGGTAAATTTATCCTGTCCGAGAACATCGCAAGAATGAATGGAGTAAAAATGTAACCAGGAAAGTTTAAAGTTTCACTTATTCAAGCTTACTTATGTATCTGTCTTACTTCCTTTTTTTGTTGTGTTTCTTTCCAGAGTTTAAATTAAAGAGCTGTTTGATCTGTTGGGTAAAAATCAAGCAGCTGTAGCTTACATTCACATCAGTGCTGCGTTTGATGTCTCTGTGTTGTGTTGTTTCTAATGACATTGATCTGCAGGAAAAACAAAGCTGATTGCTTATGGATGAAGTGATTTACTCTGGTCGATGCCCCTCCTGTCGGAAAACCAGCAAGATATTTCAGACACAGATTTCCAGGATGAATGTGTGTGGAGCTGCGGCTTGTCGTTGCTTTTTCCAATATCCTTCTTGAAGTTTAACTCTAAAGAGCTGAAGAGGAACTAATAGGCGGCTGTATTTCCCTCCCTGCAGTGCTGCTATTTATATTTTCATATTAGTGTGGAGGGATGAAGGTTTTCATGTCCCCAACCTTCATAGAAACTTAAACCCTTCTGACACGCACATGAGCTGCTTCCTGAAATCCTCCGTCCCTCTGATGGTAAACAGACAAACATGGAGCTGAAGGTCAGTTCAGGCTCTGCTGTTATTATATAACCTGCTTTTTTTTCTGTGCTGATAAGGGTTTGGAACAATTCATAGTATAATTTCATTCCAGTGGTAAAATGAAGAACGTACTGAGTCTGATGTTTCAGATATCTGACCCATCAGCCAAATGATAGTTTCTAGTTAATTTTTGTTAAACGTGAAGAAATGAATATTCCCAAGGCATCGCTGGATTTCAGGTGTGTTCGCAGAGGTGAAGGTGGCCCTGCAGAGAGACCGGATGTACCTAATATGATAGGACAAAAACAGTGAAAGGGGCGGCACAGTGGTGTAGTGGTTAGCACTGTTACCTCACAGCAAGAGGGTCCTGGGTTTGAATCCGGGTCAGGGCGTTTCTGTGTGGAGTTTGCATGTTCTCCCTGTGTCTGTGTGGGTTTACTCCGGGTACTCCGGTTTCCTCCCACATCCCAAAAACATGCAGAAGTGGGGTTAGGTTAACTGGCCACTTTCAAATTCCCCGTAGGTGTGAATGTGAGCGTGGATGGTCGTTCGTCTCTGTATGTCAGCCCTGTGATGAACTGGCGACTTGTCCAGGGTGTCCCCTACCTCCGCCTGAAGATGCCGGGATAGGCTCCAGTCCCCTGTGACCCCTAACGGGAATAAGCGGTAGAAAATGGATGGATGGAAAAACAGTGAAGGGTATTCACTGTGACCATTCCTTGAGCTGGAGGAGGGAATCATCCCTGAGCTGGATCAGGTGTGTCGGAGCCTGATTGGAGGAGGGTGATATGAACCCTTCAGATCCAGTGCTTGGTGCTGTCTCCTCCTCAGAGATAGTGAGAGGCTTTCTCAGTGTCATTAAAATTGTAGCTGTGTAACCGTTAGATCGACTTAATCTTTTGGGTTAACAAAGTTTTGGTTTTGGGACTGAGCTGTGGACTCTGGATCTCTCTGAGTCCCCAGCCTTCTGTGTTACACTTTTTAAGCATCCCTGAGAGTCTTCGAATTTGTTCCAGTGGACTTTGTTGTTGTTTGTCCTGGGATTTTATAGCTTTAGAACTTATTATGAATAATCCACAAATTGGAGTGTCTTTGAATGCACCTTAAAACAATAAACACCCAATAAAGAGAAACAACAGCAGGAGCCAAGGTCAAAGAGCAAAACTTCAGCAAAGGTTTCAGCAAGATGAACATTGACCCCACAAGTTCAGGTGTTTTTTTCAACATTACAACTTTGGACCCGTTTGGTTGCTCCTCTATAAGAACTTTTGACCTGTTTGGTTGCTCCTCTTTTAAACCTTTTGCTACATTTAAATTCTTAATGAGTGTGTATTTTCTTTACAAACCAACAAAATTTTTCAGTTTTTGTTTCTGATAAATTGTATAAGAAAATACTTAAATAAGAATATGAACTTTAAATTATTTGAAAACCATCAAAGTTTGTCATACAACACACCAGCTTTTTGGGGGTTAAGGTTGTCCAGTCCCAAACATGGTTTAATGTTCTGGTGTTAGTACTTTCTTATGTGTTTATATTAGGAGTTTGTATGACGTATTTCTGTGACTGTGTCTCATTTCAGGAACAAACTTTTATTACTTTTCGGTCCCTCTGTTCTCGGTCTGTCTCTCCGGCTCTGACAGGATGCTTTGATGGTGACTGATTTTTGTTGATATCGGGTGTTTTTGTGATGATCCCTGACTTTTTCTTTATTTATTTACGACCACACACTGAGCCCTTTGTTGTGGGTAAACATCCGGCCTGTGGAGTCAGAGCTGCTGCAGCATCCAAATCCTCCTGTTGTCAGCGCTGCATTAGTGTGGGAATGAGAGCATTGTGCTGACAAGGAGCTGCTGCCACTGCTGCTGCTGCAGCTGCTGGGCACGCACAGAATCAAGAGCAAACAAGGAGGAGGGTCTCAGCATTAAAACCGTGTGTTATGTCAGCTCTCGGAGGACGAGCGGGACATTCGAGGAGACTGACTATAAATAAACCTGCAGAGAGAAGTCAAGTAGGAGGTTTAAGACCCGTGGCTTTGTCTCGCGTGGCTCCAGGGCCTGATTTGGTTTCTGATTGTGTCTTTTTAAGCTCAGCATAAAGAAATGTCCCCGTAAACAAACCACCAAAACACACTGCTGACTCTTCGTCATGAAGAAGACTTTGCCTTTGCAGCAGGACACGACTCTGTATCTTTTGATCATTACTTTCTTCTTCTTCAGTCAGACTTCATTCTCCTGTCAGCCTCCAAGAACTCCTCTTCTTCTTCTTCTTCTGTTAACTCTGTATGTGGCCGATATCAGAAGACCTGCTGCTACAGATAGGATATCGACTCTTGAGATGTATAATTATCACAACTAGACAGAGAAGGGAGACAAAAATGGAAACTGAAATGACACAAAACCATTTTAACGATGCAGAAACACCTAAAAGAACCACAAAGACCCGGGTACACAGACCCAGGACCGCCTGTTATCCCATAAAAGAATCTTTTTAAATCGATTATGTTGCCCTCTCAGTGTATTTATTTCTAAAAAGACTGTAAAGGATTTGAAAACCATCAAATTCTCCTTTTATCAACTTTTTTTCTCTTCATTCTAACTTTTTAGAAACAACGCAGATGAAATAAATCGCTGAAATCAGAGTGAATTAATCAGTCCTCGGGAGGTAAAATGACCAGAAAAGCTCTGGTGTGCATTGTTGGTGAAGTGCAGCATGTTCTTTTTTGATTATATTCACTTTATTTACTGCTACAGACTTTAACAGTTACTCGATCTAGACAGATGTTTCCGGTGTCCTAAAATCTTCCCGATCTGCCCATGAAGGGATCATCCAGAGCTCAACATGTAGGCGAGGATTTACGTCTCTGAACCCCTGAAAATCGGAGGCAACAGTATTTGTCCAGCCAGCAGAGCTTAACTCTTCGTCTGAGCGTCCTTCAGTCTGACAGGAGCTTCAGAGCGACTCTGCTGCAGACGTAAAGCTGCTGATCCGGGATCATGGTGAAAAATGGCCTCAGAAATCGTCCGCTCTGAGGTAAATCTTCTGTCAGTGAGAGTAAAAACAAACTTTACTTTCTCTCAGCGGTCCCTGAAAAGCAGAAACTTAGTTAGCAGAGCTGGAGTATGAAACAAAACCAGAGTCTGAGGATGGAGAAGTATAAAGCTGTGCTGTTTGATGGAGATTCATTACATGTCTGAGCTTTGATGTCAACTCGTACGCTGATGATACGACTCTCTCTCTTTGAAGCTCCTGGTTGAACTTAAAGACTCTCAGCTCATTAATTCCTGACGATCCTCTGATTCTGCAGCTAATATCAGATGCTAATGAGCTTCTTTTCTTCTTCTCCAGGGACTTGAAACGTGCCGATGGGTGGCGTTCGCAGTGGGGACTCGAACAGCGCTGGTGGATCAAATGGAAACCCAGCCAGGGTCCCGCTGTCATGGGGCTGCTGAGGTTTGGAAAACGCCTGTCAACGGGTTCAAAAGTACCCAAACAAGAAACACACATTAAACACATCTGATGGAGTCCATGAGGAGATGTTTGACCCAAACCACTGCCTCATATCCTCTTCTGCTGCACGTTTTCTGCAGATCCTCAAAAAGTCTTTCAGTAGATTCTGAAACTGGAGGTCACAGCAGGTGGACTCAGGTTACCTAGTTTCCTAGAATGTTATGTTCTGGTTCACCTCGCCTCAGGTTGGTGTCAGATTGAAACTAGTTCATACTCGTCTTTGCTTCGAGACCTTGGTGTGCAGAGTTGTACCTTTTTCCAAGCCCAGAACTCGTGCGATCCTTCGGTAAATTCAGGCGTCATTTGGGTTAATTTTCTCACCCAGTTTCTAATCTGATACATCATCACTTTTTTCTACAGGAACATTAAGAAGTGCTATTGGCCAGTTAAGACTCAGAGACAAGCAGATGCATGTACACATGTACACCTGGTTACATGGCAGCAGTAGCTCAGGAGGTAGAGCGGTTGTCCAATAACCGGAAGGTTGGCGGTTCGATTCCCCCCTAATCCAAGTCTGTCCGTTGTGTCCTTGGGCAAGACACTTAACCCACCTTGCTCCCAGTGTGTGTGTCCTCCACTGGTGTATGATTGTGAGTGTTGTGTGGCGGTGGTGGGAGAGGCCGTAGGCGCAGAATGGCAGCCACGTTTCCACCACCACCAAAAGTGTGACTGTGTGAGCGAATGAATGATGTATCCAATGTCAAGCGCTTTGAGGGTCTCTGATAAAGCGCTATATGAAATCTGATGCATTATTATTATATCTCCTTGCTTCTGAATCTTGAAAAATGCGCTTACACAGAGGATTATGAGGTTGCAGTGACCTCATCTGCAGAAGTGGATGGTTTGGCTCTTTAGTCCTAGTTCTCAGATCCCCTGAGGCTGATACACTTACATTGACAGGTCCCTCCTTGTACAAGGAAACGACGAAATATCTGATCAAAACCTTCAGATTTCATTTTTTAAAACATGCAGCCATCTTTCTTTCTTCATAAGGAACCCAAGCTCTAAGTCTCTGAGCCGTATTTGCACCAAACTCCAACAGTCAGCAGTTTGTAAACATCCAAACATGACTGATGAAGGACTGACAGAGAGTGATTCCTCTGTTTTTTAATTTAAAAGAAGTTTTTAGGCCACCTCTTCTTTAGTGAAGCTCTGAGTCTGAGGATTTGTGGAAAAGAAAGTGAATTTTATGAGCCTGTGATTTATTTAATAACAGTCTTTTCACCATTAGCTTGTTTTCCACTCCCTCCACCAATGCACAAACTGGTGAGTGTAATGTAAGAGTACCACAGCGCCACCTGCTGCTTACTTACAGCACTGTCCACACACTTATCTGCTGAATTTTATTTTCTTCATCTTCCTTTAAACTTTTGTGAGATCTTTAAAATGACTCAGGGTCTTTTCTGAATCATTCTTAAACTGGAAACCAAAGTGTTCAGATTTCATCACACAGGTTTATTACCAGTTTATCTGCAGGAAAACTCTCCTTATACAGACATAAATACAGACACTTTCAGCTGTGTTCTCTCAAGTTCAGTCCGACATGTTTCTCCACTGTTGCTGCAGCTCCGTCCTGAGTTGGAAATAGTCTTGAGTCCAGTTCATAGTAATCTGATGGTTTTTCCGCATCCCAGAAGCAGTACTGGTCCAGCTGTAAAGCCCTGTCTAAAAGAAAGAGACATGAAGGTTACTGGTCTTACGTTTCATTTCCAACAACAATAAAGTTGGAACAACCAAACAGATCAAAAGTTGAGTAATGTTAAGAAAACAGCAGGAGGAACTTCTCCAACCAATGGCGAGAGGAAAAGAACCAAAACCAAGACTGGATGGTCCTGATCTTCAGTGCATTTCAAACAGACAGGACTCTGGAGTGGACATCACTGCATGGTCTCAGAATCACTTTAAAAACCATTGACTGTGAACACAGTTTGTCTTCACATCCACTCGTCTCACCTTCTTCAGCTGCCCTTCAGGAAGCGGCCCATTTTCACCTCCATCCTTCTTCATCCTCTGTCACTCCTGTCAGCCTGCAGCCTGCCTGAGCCTCCTCAGCACCTCCTCTGGACTGAGAGAGGAGTCCACTTTGATGAGCTTGTCTCTGGACCGGGATCCCTGCAGGAGACAAGAGGATGGAGGTGACCGAACCGAACCATCAGAAAAGTTTGGCGGGTGAAGCAGAGGGATAATGGGAGTCACAGTGGCAGAATGTGGGACGATTAACAGGTAAATTAACTGTCCTTTTGTGATTTCGCTTTATACATCTATTCACACATGTACAAAACTGCTGAAATCTTCCTGAACTTTTCAGGTGTACTTGTGTTGCATAAAAAAGCATGAGTTCTCTGGATCTTGTTTCAAGAACCTTGTCAAGAGAGATGTGGCTTCTCTTCAGCTCCAGGACGTCAGCCAGATATCGTATGAGCTCAGCGTTCGCCTCTCCATCTGTCGGAGGAGCTGCTATGGAAACTCCCACAGCCTCTGCTGAAACTTCTGCAGGAGTGGAAGAAGAAAAAGAGAGGTCAGAAAAAATCAGGCCAGGTTAGGGAGGTTATGAATCACATACGGAGTGAGTGTCAGCGACCTGTGATGCTGCTGTGTTTGGAGCCGGGCTTTGCGTGCACTGTTATAGTGACGGCTCCACTTTTGTCTCGAACAACAGGAGAAGACACTTCAGTCTGAGCTGATCCAGCACCAACCGCCTGACTTTTCACCTGGATCAAAGAAGAGATGGGTATTAGGTTCACCAATTTTACAAAACTTTCAACTCAAAACCTACCGGTATCGGGACACCCGGTGGGTAGAAGTGTGACTACTTAAAGGGATGTTCCTGCGTAAAATTAATGTAGGGTCAAACACACCGTAACACCGAGATGGACAACCCGTCGAGGGATGAATGTTGCCGACCACTTGCTTTAGTAACGACCGCAGGATAGCAATACACAGCAATCTGAGGAGCCATAAACAAACCTCAACCAAAACGCCACTCTATAGCCACAAATAATGCTCAGAACAGCACCTAACTTCATTGACAGGACATGTAGGGTCACAGACATAGTCCTAGACACCAAACATCTTTTTAACTTTGACTCATTTCTTTAGCAAAGAGACTAAACACAACTCACCTACTCTCTTCCAGCAGCCGCTTGTTTGTAGCGAGACCTCAGGCCAGTCCATTACTGATTACAGTGGGGTGTCGCAGCTCAAGGAAGAACATTTATGATCATTTCTTCATGGAAATACAATCAGACCGAGACGCTAAGGCAGAAGAACTACTGTGTCTGCAGTGCAAAATGATTAATATGGTGATTATTACTTCAAGGAAATGATAAAGAAATTATCATAAATGTTCTTCCTTGAGCTGCGTCACCCCGCTGTAGTCCATTTCGACAGAATATCCCTTTAAAGTGACATTCTTTTTGGAACTCGTGGATACTATGTCATCTGCTCTGAAGGGGAGAAAGACCACTCAACATGTCTTGTCTCCCATTGAAAACATTTGGAGCATCATGAAATTACATAAAAACGCAGTGAAGGTAAAATTTAACCACTAGTAGCTACAGATCAACAGATCAGCTGTCACCTTTCTGACCATGTCGACAGAAACAACAAGTCAATCACCGTAAAATCAATACAACGGACAGTTAGAGCAATAATAATCTTGTGGATAATATATATTTAAATATTTATATCACATAATAATATATAATACATATATAAATAAGAATTACTGACCGTTTTCTCTTTTTTAGGCATCTGTCGGTTTCTGGAGAAACTCCGGAATCTTTCAGACTGATCACCGGTCACAGGAGGCGGTCTGAACCTGGAGAGAGGACGGGTTAACCGGAGACAGAGCAGTGGGACGGTGAGGGCAGAGGAACGGTGAAACGTTACCGCTTTAAAATGTTCATGAAATCTCAAAACGGTCCGAGCTGCGGTGAAATACGACCGGGGAATCATCCACCTGCTAACTACGAGCCTTTTCAGGGTAACACTTCTTCTTTTCTTCTTAGAAGTACTTGGCGGCTTTGGGGCAATACCGCCTCCAACTGGTACGGAGTGGGAATTAGACGCAGCATTCTCGAAATTCAAGAATAACCACTGGAGTAAAATCTGTACAGAAATAAACACTTAATCTCTGAAAATATAAACGATACTTAATTTGAATAAAACCTCTGTACAAAAATTACGTATGGCAAAGTGCTCAAGAGTAATTGTACAAATACAGTTCCAATATATAATATATATATATATATATATATATATATATATATATATATATATATATATATATATATATATATATATATATATATATATATATATATATATATATATATATATATATATTATAAGGGCTGAGGTATACATTCAGGTCAGTTGAAAAGGCCCTCTGTTATAGCACACATGCTATATATATATATATATATATATATATATATATATATATATATAGCATGTGTGCTATAACAGAGGGCCTTTTTTCAACTGACCTGAATGTAGTACCTCAGCCCCGTGCTCAGTGTCATGACCATTGAACGTGCAGAGCGCCCTTTTTACTCAGAGCCGAGTAATTGACCAGAACACCTGCACAAAAACGAGCTGATAAACTGGGGTTTGTAACATGATAAAAACAGGTAAATTAATGATTACTCACTATCTTGATAAGTCTTCCGTTTGTTAAGGGAAAGTCCTGTGAGTGAGAGAATGAGGAGCCGGCTTCACCGTGTTAAGCCCCTGCAAAAAGTCAGGTAAGAAAAAATGCAACATGCTAACAGGTTAGGCCTCGAGGTTAGCTGTTGATATTAGCATGATGTGAGAAAAAAATTCCTTTCAGTTAAGTATGTTCATAAAACCAGTCAGAGTCACTGATGTGTTTCCTAAAGTTTTAAACCCACCTTGGTATTGTGAACTTTAAAAAAAAAAACCTTAAAAATATCGCTGGCGAGCTAGCGCGTAGTTAATGCTAATCGAGGCTAGCGCTGCTACGCTAATTCAGACATTACCTGTAATGGTAACTTTAATGGTGTAACTGGTTAAACTTAATTGCCCCTACTGTATCATATGAGAGAGAACAAGATTACATGTGATGCTAATTTGTGTTGATATGATGCCAATTGCGATAGAAAAGGTGTCTTTTGATTAAAGTAATGTGCACAATGTGTTTTACTAGCCTGGCCGGGCCATCCTGTTGCGTGAATCACTTGATGTTCCTGCCAGGCTAGTGTTTTACTGCACCGAAGTTGTTTAAATATTCATGTTGGTTAAAAAGAATAACTTAGTACTGCTATTTTATGGTTAAAAGAGTTAAAAAGAGATATTATCTATGGATAAAATGATAAATATTGACGTTAAAAGATAAATATTGATTATTCGAGCTGTTTTATAATATAAATAGTGCTTTAATAAAATAAATTAGTGCATGTTAAAATATAAGTTCATGATAGGCTATTGACATGGTACAATACTTATCCTGTACTGTAAAAATATACAGACTAATTTATAATGCTTTGAATGCTGTATATCCTACATCTGGATGAAGATATTGAAGATATAGAGTGGAGTGAAAGTAGAAAGATGTCATGATTTGAATAAATAGTAATGGTTATTTGTTCTGCACTCTATGTGTAGACTGTCTGGCCATGTATGGGATCCACTCTGAGGAACTTCAGACATCATCTCACTTCACTCTGGATACACATCAAACAATAACACGAAAATCTACCCGGTAACGATATGAACAGAACATTACACACATAAAACACAGAACTGAACTGAACTCTAACCTTCTACAAAGAAGGAGGGAGACTTTCTTTTGAACTTTTTTATTTATTATTATTTTTCACCCCTTTTGAAAGAGCTCTTTTTTATTTTCTGTATCTTTCATTTTCATACACTGCTAAATATTTCCTACCTACCTGTGGCAATAAACGGTTAACTTCACGCTATTGTGTTTGAATAACTGTTACCAGCTCTCCAAAACTAGAGAGATTGTAGGTTCCTAGTGTGTTCTTCCGATCAGGCTAAAGGCGCTACATTGATAAAGCCGCAAATATCCCCCTAGTCCCGTGTGTCAGTTGGAGCGTTTTACTGCAGAAAAACTCATTTTGTCAGTTTAACAGAAAAAATCGAGGGAAAAAGTCGGTTCTTCTCTCGTTTGCACTCGAAGCTAAGTTCCTATTCCAGAAAAACGGCAGCTGTCAATCGCAGTGAAATATGACGTGAAACACATTTTTATGACAACAATAAGGCAGGGTTTATTGTTCATACTGCAACCAGCCACCAGGGGGTGCTGTTCTCATGAAGGCTTCTTCACCCAGCAAGGAGGTAGATGACGTCTATTTTACATACAGTCTCTTGGCAGGACATCAGGTAAGTGAGAAAAGTTTGATCATAGCTGTCATAGTGTAAGGCACTTCTTTCAGCCCAGAGTGAAAACTTATATGTCAGGAGAGTCTGTCTTTGTTTGAAGTATTTAGCAGTTTAGAGCTGTCCTGCATGCTCTCTCATCAACCCTGAATCTGCCAGTAGGTTAGTGTCCGAGGAGGAATCGGTAGAAGATGGACGGCAGAGTTATTGTGTCCCAGCCACAGAAAGAATAGATCCAAAGCACAGTAGCTAGTTAGCTAGATAAAGTCTCAGTATTTGTTGGTTTGTATTTGTTCGCAGTACAACACCATTATCTTTTTGACTGTTACTATTTGAGCAGATCAGCGTTCTACTGAGAAGGTATTAGATGGATATGGAAGTGAAGGGAGATGGGCAGACATGCTGCCAGAGGAAGAGCATTTTGTGTAGTTCTTTTCTTTCCCTGCCTCGAGGTAGAGGGTTTCTACCTTTATCAACAATGACTCCCAGTAAAGAGGAAAGTTAGCTGACTCCTGAAATGGCTCATAGAAATGAAATGGATGAATCATTATTAACTGTCCTGTATCAGTATATAAACTACCCTGAGTCTCATGAGTTTTCTCTGAGTACATATCTCAAAGTGTCATAAAGGTCAATATTTTAGAAGTATATTTATTTGTTTAAAGATAAACTGTCCTTTTGTGAGTTTCAGGCCCTGCCCCTCTAAAATCTTACGCATGTCTCTGCTTAAGGATATGACTGCAACAAGGACTCTCACCAAAGTCAAGTAAGTACATGTTTAAAGGAGTGTTGTTGTCTGAGCCATTTAGACTATGATAATGGGCTGTGATTAGGACCATCTAGTGGTCTGATTGTAGAACTACATCATGTGATCTGTGTGAAATCTGCACTGACTTGTTTCTTGATCGGACAGGTTCTGACGTCACTCTGAAGTTATGAGGATGTGACAGTGTCCTCGGATCAAACGCTCACAGACACCAGGACTGACGAGGGACAAACAAGCAGCTTCTTCTCTCCACACATGAAGGTGGAAAGTGTCTGTAAGCTGACCTGAACTCTCTTCAACAGGTGAGGATCCTTCCAGAGAAATCTGATCATGTCTGAGGATCAGGATCAGTGTGCTCACATGGTGCTGGATCACTGTTGAAGTGTAGAAATCTTTCTTGATGCTGATTGGCTGTTTGACACATGTTGTAGAATTTCTCTCTGAGTTAAAGAGCAGTGATTTCAGACAGATTCACCTGCTCTATAGTTGGTGTTTGTGGAGTCGACTCAGCAGCAGTTTGACAGTAATCTGAGTCACACCATCAGGGAAAAATGCAGGGAGTGTCTGAACTGGTCTGACAGCCTGGTTGACTTGGCTCAGGTGCTTTTATTTTGAAACGGTTGATACTCTGAGGTGAAGGGTTCAAAGGTCAGATCACTTCCAGCACTAAGACGGACTCATTTTACTGGAGACATGGCAGGGTGTAAGTCTCAGTGGTTCCAGAAGTTTCAGATAATTGTAGATGGACCAGAGCCAGTCCAGGTTTGGAAGTGGACTCAGTGTTTGATTGAGACCCCTCAGCTGTCAGGGGCCGCTATAAGACAGAAAATGAGCCATCCTATGTCAGTGTTTGATATTTGTCCAACTTTGAAAACTTATAATCAAAACTAAAGATTTTTTTAATCAAACTAAGAAAACATCTTGATTTAAAGAAACTTTTTTATTTTACTCTTACTCATTTGAACAACAGTGTTTATGTGACAGATAATTGTGATGACCACAGTTTATTTATGGGAGAGTCTCGGGGCTGTAACTCATTCTGGACTCATCAGATCCTGTTTGAGGCTCCAACAAGGTTTCTGTCAGTCCTGAATGTTTGTGTTATTGAGAGGAATGAGAACTGAAGTGTCCTGTGGTGTAAAGCTTGTTGTACTGACTGAGTATGTTGTTGTGTTTGTGTGAAGGTGGGGGCTCTGCTATGAATCAGTGTGAGGACAGAGAGGAGGGGGCCCCTCCCTCTAAAACCACTCTGTGGGGGGAACATGAGAGCCAGACCAAAGCTCAGAGGTGAGATGAGGATCTCCAACTGTCCATGACTCTTCTCCATGTCAGAGCTCAGCACTCACATCACTCCACCATCACTATTATTCACACTCAGACCTCTGTCTGTCTGTCTGTCTGTCTGTCTGTCTAAGACCTGAACAGCAGTCCAGACCAGACTCTCCTGGACCTGGACCCAGCGGTGTGTCCTTCAAGAGTGACCGGTCTAAGGGTCGACTGATTGGGTTCAAAGAAGGAGAGATTTGTGATGAACAAAGGTGAGACTTTCAAACTGAACTTTCTTTTGTTGTGTGTGAAACTTTTCATCCTAACTGTGGTCAGTGTTTTCTCTGTGAAGGTGAAGATTTTTCAGGGTTTGTGTTTCCATCAGGATCCAACAGCAGTAAACAGGATCTGAGCCAGAAAGACCTGGACTCTGCATGTATCTTCATGTGTGTCCTGTGTCTGTAGGAGGATCTGTAAATAATGAGGACTCTTGTGCTGCAGAACAAACCCTTTTGAGCTTGGTGTAGGATGTGGAGTGAGGAGATCAGAAATGTACTTTGGTTACAGGGTCCATAAGTTCCCAAAGCACCCCAATCGTTTATGCTTCACTTATGTTGACCCGGCTTTTTAGCTCTTGTCCGGTCTACCTCCGTTTTAAGCGCCCGTTATTCCTCCAGAGTCTCCGGTATTTACTTTGTTTTCTTGCTTGTGTCGGCAGTCGTGGCCAAAGGAGGATTCAGACAATTTTCCGAACTTTCTGGTTGGTTTCTACTGTCCGATATTGTAGCACGCTAACTTTGTTTGGGCTCCTGAACGACACGGGGGAGCAGCGTCTGCCTCACAACCAATCAGGTTAGAGGAGGTGGAGAACGGCTTTGTTTACAGTCAGAAAGAGCGGACCGCTCAAAAATGTTCAAATGTTGACGACACAGACATAAGTGAACACAGAGATATCGATATATTACCAAATGTCATCAATAACTAATAACTATTGACTGATATTAATTTTATTTTTGTATTTACACCACAAAAAAGATAAAGGCTGAAGGTTCATCACAGAGCTGCAACAGGAAATCTGTGAGCTGGAGAAGAGGAGATCTGGGGTGGAGCAATTCTCACACTCTGAAGACCACCTCCACCTCCTCCAAAACTTCACCACCATGAACGCTGCTCCACCCACCAAGAACTGGATTGAGGTCGGAGTCCATCCACCTTCATATCAGGGGACTTGGGGTGAGAGCTGTGAACCAGCTGAAGGAGACTCTCATGAAACTGATGGAGAAGCTGATCTGTAAGGTGGAGCTGAAGGGAGTCCAGCAGTATGAGGTGGATGTCACTCTGGGTCCTGAAACAGCAAGTCCCTGGCTTACTCCATCTGATGATGAGAAACAGGTTAAACATGGCGGTGTCAAACGAAATCTGCCAGACAATCCTCAGAGATTTACTCTGCGTTGGTTCTGTCTTAGCATAGAAGAGTTTCTCGTCAGGTTTTACTTCGAGGTTCAGGTCAAAGGAAAGACCGGCTGGTCTTCAGGTGTCGTGAGAGAATCAATCAGCAGGAAGAAGACAGCTGAACTGGATGCTCAGAGTAGACAATGTGTTATAGGTTGTTTGCACAGTGATTGGTACTTTGCCCTGGATTTCCCTCTCTTTGGCTTCACTCCAAAATCTGAACCTCAGAGGGTGGGGGTGTTTGTGGACTATGACGAGGTTCTGGTCTGCTCAACTTTGAACCCTACACTGTCTATCCTCTCTTACTCATGCATGTGCACTTTTTCCCCAAAGATGATTCATCTCCAGCTTCCTTCTACCGGCCCGGTGGCAACAGTGAAAGAGAGAAAACAGTCTCACAGAAACATTTAGTTCTCGGCCTGTTTGTCTGGTTTGCTTCTGTGGGTCAGTCTGAGGCACTTGTGTGGAAATAAGACTGTTTTACAAAGACAAAGATGATCTCTGACTGTGTTTTCTGGGTGATCAGGAGTTAATCAGTAACACAAGGAAAACATGTCAGTCTCAAAAGTAGATAAAAGTTAACCAACAAGCTGATGTGAAGGAGTGTTTTCAGGGCTTTTCTTGCTGCCTTGTTGCCTGTGGACTCAAAGATACTGTATTTCTTTGAATGTCTGGCACTGCTGTCTTCTTAAATGTTGCTGAGGGTCACATGTTCCTGAGCCATGTAAGGGGATTTCCTGAGGGTGGTGAAAGCCCTCCTCTGCTGGGCTGCGCTGGGAGGAGCAACTCCGGCTGAAAGGACAAAAGATTTCCGGGAATTGAAGTGCTTGTTTTTTGTCAGAGTTACAGCTGAGCTGCAGTCTTTTTAAGTCTCTCTCCGATCCTCTTTTAAAACAAATTCATCTGAATGCTTTAACTTTCTTCTGCCAGAACGTCAACAGGAGCTCTGTCAAACACGGGTGAGTCCACTGCCTTCAAGAACTTTCATGCAAAGACCAGAAGTTTAGGAATTGAGCCTTCACTCCCCCTGACATACGGAAAACTGACTCTCTCCCTCCTTTCAAATCCAGACTCAAAACCCACCCGTTCAGATTCGCCCACTCTTCGTAATTTACCTTGTCCTATTTTTATGTTTATTTAATTTTTTGGCCTGTATTTAGTTTCACCTTGTTGTTCTTTGCTGCTGTTTGTACTCTGTAAAGTGACCTTGAGTGCTCGGAAAGGTGCCTTTGAATAAAATGTATTATTATTATTAAGTCAGAGTCTAACCTCTGCAGAAACATGTTTGAAGGATCACAACATTTAGTGTGGGAACACTTGACCACACCCTGCACTTTGTTAAACAGGAAACATACAGAGAAAAAGTTCTCTTGTGTTGTGTAAGTATGAATACAGTGCACTAAGATGGCGGCACAAAAAGCTGATAAAGTTGCATCATTCCTAGATCAGCTGACTCTGTCATCTTAGACGGATGTTACTTCATAACAGGAGGATATGTGGTTATTCTAAAATCATATTTTCTGGTTCTTCTCTCCCTCTCTTCATTTACATCTGTCTGTAGCATGAATGTTTTCAGGATTAGCGTTCAATCTGAGGTCAAGTTGGGGGCAGTTTCGACCCTCTGTGTTGGGTTAGAGCTTAGACTGTGTATAGAATGGACAGAGTCTGCCTCCTTGCTGGATAAAGCCTCCCCGAGAACAGCACCCTCTGGTGACGGGCTGCAGTATAGGTCATAAATCCCACCTCCTTGTGGAGCTGTGGACAAACTTTATAAATGAATGACACAGAATATAAATGTTTCTCCCCCCTGGTTGTGATGTTGACATGTAGTTACTGTCAGACTGGTTTGTGCTCAAGTCCTCTTTTTTCTGTACAGCTCCATTTTTAAAAGTTATTAGGGGGTTCATGTTTTCTATGATTGACACTTGATACAGCCTATAGGCGTATGAAGATTGCGTAGCTCACCTGGGGGTTATGCTGTTTGAGCCGAGCATCATCACAGTGACTCTTCCGCCGAATGTGTACAATGCTACCGCGCAAGTGGTGGAGTTCGTACAACGCTACTGCGCAATGTTGGTTTCAGGAGGTGGAGAAAAATCGCGGAAATACCGAGAGCTTTTCGGCTTCAAGTCCACATACTGGTGGAAAGCGGAACCAAGTTGTTCATAGTATATACAGTCTATGGGTTAGAGCGGTGCTTATGGACAGGACAGTGGTCGAATGGACAGTCACATCCTGTTACCCGTAGGTGGCGCTGTGTTTTCTGAACATTTCTCAGAGATGGATGTGTTCAGGCGAGGACCCTGTATAAGCACGGAGAGCTTCATACAGATAAGTTGACAGGCCGAGCTTGAGCAGTTAGAAATTTTGTGACCGTGCTTTAGCAAACATGAAGACAAACACCCCGAGGATATCCATCACAAGTATGGTTCATGACTCCTATAATGCACAGTGAGTCTGGGCAAGATTGAAGCATGCATGGCTGAGATGTAAACTACTTCTTGTCCAGCAGATGAGATGGACAGTGAGCAGAAACTTGTCAAAGGACTCCTTGAAATGTCTAAATACATCAACAAACATACGCTGATAAATCTCTTAAGGTTCCACTTAGCAATGTTTGAATGTTATTGAGTTTACAACCAAAAAAATGTTATATCAGTTTCATTTCTCTGTGCTCTTTTCTTCTCAGTGTGGAAATGTCGACCATGGGTGTCACAAGCCAAAAACCGCACCTGTGCTTCTTCTGTAAGAGTGAGTTCACTGATCCAACCGACAAACCGTGCGGACACGACATCTGCAAATCCTGCATCAAGGAGCACTTTAGGATTGATATCCCATCTAAGTGTCCTGTCTGTAAAACTGTTATTAATCCAACACCTGACCGGGGGATGTTTGCCGATGAGAAGGCTGCATATTTAAGTCAGTTAGTTCAACAAAGTACCACCAGCAGCAGCAGCTCAGAGAAACAACCAGCCAAACCAGGAGAAGTTCCCTGTGACGTCTGCACTGGGTCCAAAATGAAGGCCCTCAAGTCCTGCCTGGACTGTCTGGTGTCTTACTGTGAGACTCACCTGGATACTCACCTGACAACACCAGGTCTGAAGAGACATCAGCTGATTGAGCCTGAGGAGAACCTGAAGAGGAGGATGTGTGAGAAGCACAACAAACTGCTGGAGCTGTTCTGTGAGAACGACCAGATGTGTCTCTGCACAGAGTGCTTTCTGTCAGACCACAGGAACCATATTTTCGTTTCTCTGAAAGAAGAATATGAAGGAAAGAAGGTCAAGCTGGGGAAGACGGAGGCTGAAATTAAGCAGATGATCCAGGAGAGACAACTGAAGATCCAACAGTTCAAACGGTCAGTGGAGCTCAGTGATAAGGAGGCAAACAGAGAGATGGCTGAAGGTGTTAAGATCTTCAAAAGTTTCAAGGAATGTGTGGAGAGAAGCCAGACCAAGTTTGTCTCCACCATCATGGAGAAGCAGAGAACGACAAAGAGACAGGCTGAAGGCTTCATCACAGAGCTGCAACAGGAAATCTCTCAGCTGGAGAAGAGGATCTCTGAGGTGGAGCAGCTCTCACGCTCTGAAGACCACCTCCACCTCCTCCAAAACTTCACATCTCTAAAAGCTGCTCCACCCACCAAGAACTGGACTGGAGTCAGCATCCAGAAACCCTTGTATAAGGGAACTTGGGGTGAGGCTGTGCAGCAGCTGGAGGAGACACTTAAAGATCAGATGAAGAAGGCCCAGATGAGGATGTTCCAGCAGTATGAGGTGGATGTGACACTGGATCCCGATACAGCAAACTCCTCTCTCATCTTATCCCATTGTCAAAAACAAGTTTATTGGAGTGATTCATCAGTGTATCGCCCATATAACCTTGGGAGATTTTTGACTTCCCCATGTGTTTTAGCAAAGCAGGGTTTCTCTTCAGGCATATTTTACTACGAGGTCGAGGTGAAAGGGTGTACTAGCTGGGATTTAGGAGTGGCTCGTGAATCAATCAACAGACAGAGAACAAATGTTCTGTCTCCTCAGAATGGTTTCTGGACACTGATACTGAGGAATGGAAACACGTATGATGCTTGTGCTGACCCTCCAATCCGTCTCTGTCTGCAGTCTCAGCCTGAGAAGGTGGGAGTGTTGGTGGACTATGAGGAGGGTGGTGTCCTTTTTGTTGACGTTGATGCTGCAGCTCTGATCTACGCCTTCAGTGGCTGCTCCTTCACTGAGAAACTCTACCCATACTTTAGTCCCTCATTTAAAGATGGTCTTCCAATGACCATCACTCCAGTTGCTTCAGGAACAAGAGGAGTTTCTCTTCGAGCACAACGACCACTGCTACCACTGCTACCACTCTCACCACCTGACCTCCTCTGCAATCTGTCTCTGTCCAAGTGATTCTTTAACAGCATTCCTGTTGCATTGTGGGTGGGTCTTGTGGTCTTGTCTGCAGGACAAGGAGGAGTCTATGTGGACTATTTCATCTCAGACTCTAACCAAGACTAGTCCTTCTCATTTACTGTGGAGTCATTCCGTTACAGATGTGACAGATTTCCCCGTTTAAGACCAGGTTCCCTTCGGAAGCATCCTCAAACCTTCCTTTTTTTTAAGTGACACACTAGAGCATTGTGGACAGTGGAAGTTGGGGCTTCAGGTTCCATTACAACGTTAATTAGGAAATTATGAACATGAGACCGATGTGGAACCTTCACAGCTTTGTTGCATGAACACACACGTGCACAGCCAGCTAGACTGCAACCACAACAATCGCTCAACTGCAGCCTACGGTGGCCCTGAAAGGACACATGGCTATAATACACAGATACAGCGACATCAACTTTTCATTCATAGATTCACGTTCATTTTGGTTCATGCAGTGGAGAAACTGTTGCTTCTTTTTTTGGCTGCTTTGATGAATCAGGTTTTTGCTTTGTACTGAAATATACAAAAATAGTAATCCTCTGAGAACGAGAGAATTTGGTACAAAAGACTGCCTCTAATGAAAGCCTGGTTTATATAAAGCAAACAAAAGCAAATAGCAAACCCCGCATACATCCATATGTCATTCATATGTCCGAGCCCTCACTGAAGTTCATACAAAACAAAACAGAGGACTGAATACATGAAATGTTCAGTCCTTGATGATGTCTGTTTTTTTCTTTTTTCTGTCGACTTTAAATGAATAATTTTATGTTCCACATCACTGCAACTTCAGATATCAATATTATCTAATGTGGTTCACTTCCTCTTATAACAGCTGCTCACTGCTAACTCTGAGATCTTTATAAAACTATGTTATGAGATATAATCAGACATCTGTGTTATGCCTAATTCAAGGTAGAGATCATGAATAGTAAATTGGTGGTTTTGCTAATTTAAATCCTGACAAATTGAACATCTTGAGGGGAACAACCTATTCACTTATTAAATATTATCCTGCTAATTACCCTGCCACCAGCTGCATACATAAACAAGATAGCACAAAATGTTAGATTTAATATAATTTCATTGATTTAAAAATGATTAATTAATAAAAGAAGACGAAAACTTAATCTCTCTCATTCTGTTTTTTGTGGTGTTTCATAGCAGCAGATTCTTTGAGGGAAAAAAAAGACGTTAAACTGAACATTTTCACTTCTTGTCAAGCTTAAATAATTACCTGCTTGTTTGATATCAGAGTAAACTGAACATCAGTTGGTGTGTGAGTATGTATATATCATCCAGCCAAGCAACCCTGAGAATATGATTTAAAAAAAACCCACTGTAGAATTCCGTCACATTACAACATAAAAAAGTGTTTTTAAAGACACAAATTAGTTCTAAAACCATTAGCATATTGCAGTAAAAAACACTTACAAAATTTAAGAAGTAATAAAAAAATAAATTAAAAAAACAAATGCAAGTAAATGCTGAAAACACAAACATCTTTGTGTTACAGAAATGGGAACTTCTCCCTGTGGGACGAATAAAAGAATATCTTATCATATTTGAGACTATGAAAAAAATTGAATAATTTTGGAAACAATGATATTTGAGAAAATATTCTTTTGTTTAAAAATTTAAGAAATACAAATACATTTAAAAAACACTAATAAAATTTTTTTAAAAAGACGAAAGATTTTGGAATGCAAAAGTAAAAAGACTTTGAAGATAAGTTGTTTAAGTTCGTTCCTGACCAAATTTCATGCACAGAAAGAGTGTCAGAGGAACTAAAAATCAGTTTGACAGGAGTTCACATGGTGTTGAAAACTCGCTCTGGAGTTTTTGGTCTGATCACAAAATGTCACAGAAAGCTGCCACTAAAACATTTTTGTGTTTTCAGAGTCTGTGTTTCCAAGTTTTATTTGCATTTCTTGAAAATTTTTGTTTTTAAGAATAAGAACTTTATTTATCCACGAAGGGAAATTCACTTGTTTGTAGTCTCATTTGTCATGTCTCAAAAAGTCATCTACTATTTATTAAAGACTTGTAAAGTCTGAAAAAAGAAGAGCCGTCCAAGTCTCTTATATATATTATACGTATATCTCTCTTATCTCTTTTATAAATATTCTTTGTAGTTTATAATGTTTTCAGAATTATTTTTTTGTTTATAGCGTTTTAAAGTTAAATATTATCATGTTGTTGGTTTTCTGAAATATTCTCTTCCATTTGATCAAATATTTTTGTATTTTATTCAATATTTTCTTATCACTTTCCTAAAACATTTGTACCATTGACCCCCTGGGCCACTTTACCTGCCTTACACACCAGTTTAACAATTTTGAGAACGAGAAAACAATGAGTGAAGTTCAAAATCAAACCAAACTTAGATAAACTTAAGATCAGACGAAATTAGATAAAATATGCTTTCAAAAATAACTTTTACAGAAAACCAGCATGGCAGAATAAGATTATTATTACACATTTTGTATATGGAGGATTATTATTTTAACCAAATTTTCAAGATCTATGCCTTACAGAATCAAACAGGGGGCTATTACAGGTACACTCCTCACCTACCTGGTGATAACAGATGAATTTGAGACCTGTAGGCTGTAGTTGAAGGCTTCAGCACACACTTAAAACACAAAAGATGTTTATCAGACCACAATATTTACCACAACATATTCAAGCTAGGAAATATGACAACCCGGTAAGATGAAATAACTCCACAACAAAGCAATACAATCACAGAAATACTGAAGGTTACACACTCTTAAGTACCCTTTGAGGATTAGTGGCACTTTTACAGAGACAAAAATAACTTATTTTACCGTGTTTTGGCGGAGCTTAATCAGATACCACCGGACAATAGACAGTAGAATAACTGGACACAGCAGACGCAGGTACGGCAAGCAAGATTCACCGTTCAGGTCTGCAGGGGCCCCAGCAGAGGGCGCTCATGTTGCGTACGCTGCATACAAAACTGACCCTGGGTTCAAAGCTAACATGATCACATGACATCCAGTACTTCCGTCCCTAGACGCCTCATTGAAACCCTGAAGAGGCAGATTTTAAAGCAGAGCCATCAGTCCAACAAAGATTTGAATGTCTCTGTATCATCACTGAACCCAAACCTTCCTGATCAAATACAGACTGAGAGTCGTGCCTTCAGCTTCCAGAAGAGGGTTTGTGGAAGAAGTTGTGGATCTGCTGAGCTGCAGTCTGACCTACAATTGGCTCCATCTCAGAAGGAGCTGCGTTGCAGAGCTGCTGGATGCTGGAGAAGCGCTGCAGCAGAGCCAGCGCTTTGACCCTGCCGACCCCGGGGACCTGCTGCACCAGAGCGAGGACGAGCGGGTCCAACAGCCGAGATGAAGTTTTCCTCCTGAAGGGGTTCTCCCTGCCCTCCCCGTGGACCTGGAGAGGGTCAAACAGGTTGGTAAATCAGTCTCCGGGTACATGTTAATGACAAGACAAGTGAAAATACTTCACAGAAGGAAAAGAAGAAAATTAACTTAGCAAAACTAGCTGTAAAACAAAGAATCAGCAAAATTCCAGTGCAGTGTTAAGAAAAAGTAAGTTCATAAAAGACCACTGTAAACAGGGTCTTAAAGTTGGGGTCGGCAGGAATTCGTTAAAGAAGCATCTTTTTATTTTGTGGTGTATTTACAAAACAGCTTTTAATATCAGTCAATAGTTATTAGTTATTGATGACATTTGGTAATATATCGATATCTCTGTGTTCTCTTATGTCTGTGTCGTCAACATTTGAACATTTTTGAGCGGTCCGCTCTTTCTGACTGTAAACAAAGCCATTCTCCACCTCCTCTAACCTGATTGGTTGTGAGGCAGACGCTGCTCCCCCGTGTCGTTCAGGAGCCCAAACAAAGTTAGCGTGCTACAATATCGGACAGTAGAAACCAACCAGAAAGTTCGGAAAATTGTCTGAATCCTCCTTTGGCCACGACTGCCGACACAAGCAAGAAAAGACTCAAACATAAACAGTCAGCAAGAAAACAGTCAGCAAGAAAACAGTCAACCATAAACAGTCAACAAGAAAACAGTCAGCAAGAAAACAGTCAACCATAAACAGTCAACAAGAAAACAGTCAGCAAAAAACAGTCAGCAAGAAAACAGTCAACTATATCAGTCAACAAGAAAACAGTCAACCATAAACAGTCAGCAAGAAAACAGTCAGCAAGAAATCAGTCAACCATAAACAGTCAACAAGAAAACAGTCAGCAAGAAAACAGTCAACCATAAACAGTCAACAAGAAAACAGTCAGCAAAAAACAGTCAACACCAAAACAGTCAACAAAAAACAGTCAGCAAGAAAACAGTCAACTATATCAGTCAACAAGAAAACGGTCAACCATAAACAGTCAGCAAGAAAACAGTCAGCAAGAAATCAGTCAACCATAAACAGTCAACAAGAAAACAGTCAACAAGAAAACAGTCAGCAAGAAAACAGTCAACCATAAACAGTCAACAAGAAAACAGTCAGCAAGAAAACAGTCAACCATAATCAGTCAACAAGAAAACAGTCAACAAGAAAACAGTCAGCAAGAAAACAGTCAACCATAAACAGTCAACAAGAAAACAGTCAGCAAGAAAACAGTCAACCATAATCAGTCAACAAGAAAACAGTCAACAACAAAACAGTCAGCAAGAAAATGCTGCTCCCCCGTGTCGTTCATGAGCCCAAACAAAGTTAGCGTGCTACAATATCGGACAGTAGAAACCAACCAGAAAGTTCGGAAAATTGTCTGAATCCTCCTTTGGCCACGACTGCCGACACAAGCAAGAAAAGACTCAAACATAAACAGTCAGCAAGAAAACAGTCAGCAAGAAAATGCTGCTCCCCCGTGTCGTTCAGGAGCCCAAACAAAGTTAGCGTGCTACAATATTGGACAGTAGAAACCAACCAGAAAGTTCGGAAAATTGTCTGAATCCTCCTTTGGCCACGACTGCCGACACAAGCAAGAAAACAAAGTAAATACCGGAGACTCTGGAGGAATAACGGGCGCTTAAAACGGAGGTAGACCGGACAAGAGCTAAAAAGCCGGGTCAACATAAACCATGGGGGACGCTTGGGGATCTTGGTGACCCTGTAACCTTTCTGCTGGACAGGTAAACCGCTTTAACAAAGTAAGACAAGTGTCTGTAACAGAAGTGTTTCTTGTCAAACGGACCTGCTGTAGCGTGTTGTAGCGCCATCGCTAAACTGTCCTCCCTCGGGTCCTGGACTATGTCACTTTATCCTAGTTGTAGAAGTCCTGCAAACATTGTGTTTGCTGGTCGTCTGTTGGCATCTACAGTAGCACCAATGCTTTTGACTTTCACCTTGACTGGGCCCCATTTGTATTGATCTGAAGTATTTATCTGCATTATATCTGAATTTAATTGGAACGATACGAGCGAGCAGGAGCGTCTGTTTGTGGGCGGGGCTTGAGGAGAGAGGAGGAGCTGAGGGGAAAACTGGTTGGGAGGAGTTTAGATTCAAGATTTCTCCTAAAACTGGAACTTCATCAGATCCTGACTACAACACCTTTAAGTCTTCTTACCATCTGAGCGATGAGCTGTGAGGCCTCAGTCTGCCCGCTGACCGGCAGGAGAGTCAATCCGAGGTCAAACACCACAAACTTCTGCACAGCGGGGAAGTACTGCTCACTGAGTCTGGTGTTCTCCACCAGCACCAGCTCCTGGAAACTGCTGCTGCTCTGAGGATCAGGACACACAGTTCATTATAATCACACACAGAGACTTTGAGTAGGCCGGTTTTATCGCTGCATCAAACCCACATTCCTGAAGCGGACCAGTCTCCTCTTGTAGCTGGTCCCTGCTATGATGTCGCACTCAGACACGTAGAGGATGCAGCTTTTGTTTGGCAGGTGAAAATCTGTGACGCCAAGCTCGTTCTCGAAGAGGAGTTTCACACCTGCACCTGCAGCAAAAATACAGCTGATCGAAATCTTTGATGTGCCGCAATATCACAGAACGGGAAAACGTCGCTGATGTGAACGCTTGTATTGACAGGATACGGGTTCGAAATAATCGCACGGAAAAAAAAAAAACGCTTCTGGTGTGAAAGGTACTTAAGTCGGTGCCTGGGTTGAGCCACCCGAGTCACAGAAGTTCTGACACGCACCTGGGGGTCGTGAATAACAGCTACTTTATTATCCAAATTAACGTTTTCTTTTCACTATCAAAACTAAATTATTTCAGCTTTTTAAATAAGGGGAAAAATCGTAACCTTAGCGGGCTGTTTTGTTCACTTTTAAAGAATTAATATGTAACCCGTAGGTCTATGTGAATAAAAAAAAAAGTATAAGAACAATCTTGGTATAGCAGGTTTAAACAATGACAGACACGTTAGTCAAAGATAATTAAAGATGCAAAAAAGTGTGGCCTTTATCTCTCTGATTAAAATGATTAATTATAATTGATAGGTTATTGATAATTACCTCTTAAACTCTGAGTAAGGGAAGAGTTTCTCCATTTCTCACTGGAAATAACGTGACCGAAAGGAGGAACCGCGTCCACAACAACAGCCGCTTTGGTCTCCATGTAGTCAGTCAGAATCCTAAAACAGAAACACTAGACCATAGACATATAAATCTATATAAACGCCTGTCTTCAATAAACTTGTGCCGTGGGAGACCACATGTCGACCGTGTTTTGATTGTTGCCTCCAAATCTTTTCTTTACTTCCTTTATTTTTGGTACAAGTGAAGAGCAGTCGCTGTTTTATCGCCACCTGTCGGCTCGGAGGTGAAGTGTATTTTTACAGAGACGTGTTTATCCCATGTTAAACACAACTCATTCCCTCATGTCTGAAAACACTCGTGCATTTCGAAAATAGTTAAAACATCACAATAAAGCCCTTAACTGTACAGTGAAAATCTGATGGAAAAAAACGCCATAGTAAAGGCATTTTACATCATGTTCAGTGACAGTTTGTGTCTTTAAAATGATGCATTTTAAGTCTTTTAAGGCAGGTACCCCTTCAATAACCCCTCTGAACAGAGTCAGGCCAAGCCTCAATGGGGCGCTAACCAAATTTGATTTTGGGGCCCTCTATTTTTGCCAATAATATTGATTGTTGATCATTCACACACCTTCACAAATCTCTTTGATTAAAATAACAACAACAACCATAATAATAATAATAATAATAATAATAATAATAATTATTATTATTATTATTATTATCATTATTCGATTTATTATTTTTTTATTCTTTAATTATTTTTTAATACTTTTTAGTATTTATTATTATTATTGTTGTTGTTGTTATTAGTAGTATTATTTGTATTTTTATTCTTTTTATTATTAGTATTATTATTGTTTTTGTTTTTATTGTGATGTTTGTTGTTGTTGTTATTATTATTATTATTATTATTATTATTATTATTATTATTATTATTATTATTATTTTTAGTAGTAGTAGTAGTAGTATTAGTATTTATGTAATAGAATAATAGAAATAGAAAATCCAAACAGTATTGCCCTCTCTCCTCTGGAGTGACCGTGTGTTTCCATGGCGACCTCTACCGTTCAGAAAATGAACTGCAGCTTCATTTCTGACACGCCAGCCGCACCAGTAAGACGTTCGGTGATAGCGAACTAACGACGTTTTACAGGTAAAAACTGAAATTAGGGGAAATAAAGTGTTTCGGGAACATTTTTTGGGCACTTATCTGTAGAAACGTTGACATCTGAGAACTTTTAGACTTTAGTTTTTAGCGAATTATCGAGTTTGAGGGGTTTGCTAACACCAACGACAGACAGGGACAGGAAGCTAGCTAAGGTGTCCTTCAACTTCCCTTAATATCGGCACTAGTTTATAAACTGTGACTGGAGCAGTAATACAAACATTTTAATCGTGTGTTTGTGTTCTCTGTGTTGTTTGAAGACTTCGGGGCAATCCACCAGAGATGTTGACAATCTCCGTGTTGAAGGTAAGTGATGAAGGGACTGTTAGCTGATGTTAACGGTAAACGGATACAGCGCCATTTTGGAATTCAGAATGAAATAACGGTTAACGGATTCAGCGCCATTTTGGAATTAAGAGTGAAATAACGGTTAAAAGGGTTTTTAATTTGGTCGTTTTAGTATGTTTTAGCTTCCAATCTGGTCGACCTCTGCGTAGTTATCTTATTATAAAGTCAAAAGTTGCCATATTTGTGTGATTTTTGCTCGTGTAACTTTAATGTGCGTTTGTTTTAACAGGATTAAACAGCAAATAAATATAAAAAACGTCAGGGGGCCTTTTTTAAAAATCAAACATAAAAAACTAAACGTGGAACATGCTACATTGCAGATAGAGTTTTTATACTATTAGAGTCTTTGAAAGAGTCACCGGATTCTGTTATTGATCCTGTTACTGATTATACTGATTATTACAGTAAATATGTGTTACAGTGGGGTAAGATGAGTCACTTTTCACATTTCAGATCACTACATCAAGTCAATCCTTGTTTTGTCTCTAACTCGTCTATCTGCATGTATTGTAATTTGTTGTGCATCCCTGCAAACCAACAGAATGAGTGTAAACAGAACTGTAATCTTGGTAATATAGCATGCCAAAAAAAAGTGATCTCCTATGGTCAACTTACCCTATGTATGGGGTAAGTTGACCATAAGAGTGGGGTAAGTTGAGCCGTATCCCTACTTAGTAAGTAAAGTTTATCTATAGAGTGCTTTTTACAGATAAAAATCACAAAGCGTTGTACATAAAATAAGTGCAATTAGATAAACATAAAATGGTACAAAAAGATAAGAACATATACTAACACAAATAGGAATACAGTACAGGTGAATATGGAAATAAGTGCAGATATTAAAGGTAAGTATAGGGGAAAAACAAAACCCTGTTCATTAAAAGCTTGTCTAAATAAAAGAGTCCTCAACTGCTTTTAAAAAGTTTCCGCTGAGTTGATCAAACGGAGGGAGAGGGGCAGATCGTTCCAGAGTCTGGGGGCTACAGTCCAGACCACCTTCTTCCATCGCTCTGTGAGGCTCTGTGAGGCGCTGTGAGTCCTGACTCCTTTCTCTCAGAACCAGCATCAAGTCTTTTTTAAGGTTGCGTTAATGAGTCTTGGCTGCTCATGACACGTCACACAGCTAACTATTACTACAGATTCAGACAATGCAAGAAATCAACTTACTTCACCTGTAAAACTGAACCTGGTCCCTGTGCCGCTTGGGAAACATGTCCTCTGGTCCTCTGCAGGTTGAGAACCCGTCCTGCCTCTGGGGTCGGGTCATTCGGGGGCCCAGTGCTGATACAGAGACTGCCGAACAGTACAACAGTCTGCTGCTTCAGATGAACCTTTTCTACCACGACATCACTCAGGACCGGCGAAGGCTGACGGTCACGGCGTTAGAGGAGGGACAGGTAACGCAGCTGCAGAAAGAACCAAGACTGAAAGGAGGGTTGGTGAGGTGTCAGAAGCAGAGAAGCTGGTGTTTGCAGAGGAAATGAAAGTGTTTGAACATTCAGCTGCAGACCAATGTGCATGAGTGTCATTGTTAGGTGGTTATATCCCAACCCTGCTTTCTCTCTCAGGTGTGTGTGGTGTACTGGCCCATCATGAAGTCGTGGTGTCGGGCTGTGGTGGAGTCCATCATTATAGACTCAGTGTCCTGCCATGCTCTCTGCCTCCTGGTGGACTATGGAGAACGATTTGTTGTCCCCTCAGACCAGTAAGTCGAGGACCGGTCCTTCTCAACATTTCACCTTCACTTGACTAGACTAGTGAGGTCACAAAGGTCATGGTGTTTACACTGTTTGTCAAGAGATATCTGTTTGTTCGTCGTGGTTATGGATACATCCTGAAGCCAGTAACACATTTATCCTGATAACCTTCACGTGTGTCTCACCTCTGTGTTTGCTCCCCTGGTGTTAATAGGATCCGAGTCGCTGTGGACGACTTTCTGCAGCTTCCTTTCTGGTTGAGGAGGTTCCACCTGGCGAGAATCAAACCAGCGACTTTGCGAGTGTCCGTGTGCGATAAGGCAGAGATCATGTAAGTCGGGCTTCTCCTGTTTACTGTGCTGCTGGGTTTGTTGAGCATGACTTGGTCCAGTTGTTGGTGAGCTTTGTCTTTGTGTTGTGATGTGAATATAAACCCTGGTTCTGTTGTCTGTTCCTCTGCAGTCCATCCTCTCACTGGGACAGCTCCGCCACACTCTACCTGCACAACCTGCTGAAAGGTGACCAGTGTGAAACCTTTTTTTTGTTTTTATTCCTGTAGATTTAAAATTGTGGAGGAAACGGTTGGTGTAGCAGAAACTAAAGATGTATTCACCAGCCAAGATGAGATAACGACAGCTGTACACCCTGCTTTAGTTTTTGCACCTGAGGCTGAATATCCCCCCCTGTGGATAAACGAAGTGTTCCTGATGTGATTCTGATAAACGGTGTTGTAAAGGAGTTACTCAGTGTGGGCTTTTAACAGCTGGTTTTAGTGACTTAACAAAGCCTCCTGCTAATCCGAACCATCAACTGGTGCTGGTCTGACCCACCCCTGTGAGATCACCCAGTGACTTTGTGCTTGGATGTACACTCACCGGCCACTTTATTAGGTACACCATGCTAGTAACGGGTTGGACCCCCTTTTGCCTTCAGAACTGCCTCAATTCTTCGTGGCATAGATTCAACAAGGTGCTGGAAGCATTCCTCAGAGAGCTTGGTCCATATTGACATGATGGCATCACACAGTTGCCGCAGATTTGTCGGCTGCACATCCATGATGCGAATCTCCCGTTCCACCACATCCCAAAGATGCTCGATTGGATTGAGATCTGGTGACTGTGGAGGCCATTTGAGTACAGGGAACTCATTGTCATGTTCAAGAAACCAGTCTGAGATGATTCCAGCTTTATGACATGGCGCATTATCCTGCTGAAAGTAGCCATCAGAAGTTGGGTACATTGTGGTCATAAAGGGATGGACATGGTCGGCAACAATACTCAGGTAGGCTGTGGTGTTGCAACGATGCTCAATTGGTACCAAGGGGCCCAAAGAGTGCCAAGAAAATATTCCCCACACCATGACACCACCACCACCAGCCTGAACCGTTGATACAAGGCAGGATGGATCCATGCTTTCATGTTGTTGACGCCAAATTCTGACCCTACCATCCGAATGTCGCAGCAGAAATCGAGACTCATCAGACCAGGCAACGTTTTTCCAATCTTCTATTGTCCAATTTCGATGAGCTTGTGCAAATTGTAGCCTCAGTTTCCTGTTCTTAGCTGAAAGGAGTGGCACCCGGCGTGGTCTTCTGCTGCTGTAGCCCATCTGCCTCAAAGTTCGACGTACTGTGCGTTCAGAGATGCTCTTCTGCCTACCTTGGTTGTAACGGGTGGTTATTTGAGTCACTGTTGCCTTTCTATCAGCTCGAACCAGTCTGGCCATTCTCCTCTGACCTCTGGCATCAACAAGGCATTTCCGCCCACAGAACTGCCGCTCACTGGATATTTTTTCTTTTTCGGACCATTCTCTGTAAACCCTAGAGATGATTGTGCGTGAAAATCCCAGTAGATCAGCAGTTTCTGAAATACTCAGACCAGCCCTTCTGGCACCAACAACCATGCCACGTTCAAAGTCACTCAAATCACCTTTCTTCCCCATACTGATGCTCGGTTTGAACTGCAGGAGATTGTCTTGACCATGTCTACATGCCTAAATGCACTAAGTTGCCGCCATGTGATTGGCTGATTAGAAATTAAGTGTTAACGAGCAGTTGGACAGGTGTACCTAATAAAGTGGCCGGTGAGTGTATAATAGGTCGCCAGGTGAATTAGATCTCACCTTTCTCACCTTCTGATGTTTCAGAAATCAGACGTTATATGAGCATAAAACTAGAGTGACAGTCCTCATATGTTACCTTCCCCTAATTTACAGATTGATGTCAAGCTATTCCTACGATTTCAGGATGTCTTCAAATGCTTTTCTACTTCCACCAGGGTCAACTCGGACAGAAGCTGTTCTGCTTGAATCTGAGTCCGACTCCACCTCCATCGAGCTCTACCTCACTGTAGGAAATATCAAGGTACCCTGTCACCGTGCCTCAGGTTTCTGCTTTTGTAAACTGTGCTGTTTGTCTCAAATAAGGTTTTTTAACAGTTTACCACAAACAAGAACCTGTTGATTTTTCAGATCTGCGTAAACGACGACCTGGTGATGAAGAAGTTTGCGTTTTACATCAGAGCGTCCGCTGACAGCAGCTGCCAGGACGAGGTGTACCAGTTTCCCGTCTTGTTGCCATCCAGCGTTTTAAACCCGCTCAGCACTCCTAGAGCTTCATGCACAGCTGCACAGAGGCCAACAGCATCTCCCGGTAAACACACAGGCGGTCACAACAACACACATCTTAACACAAGGAATCCACCTCACTGCTCATACTGATGTTTATGTCCGCTGCTGCAGACAGACACAGAGCAGATCAGCTGGTCTTTGAGTCTTCTCAGCTGGTTCGGACAGTCAGGTCCACGCTGCTGCACAATGATTACCGATATTTACTGAAGCATTTAACTGTGTACTGAAGTGTGTAAAAATCAAATTATTTTCACTGATGTTGTGCAGAGATGAAAATCGTTCTCCTACTCTGGTGTCCACTACAGTCTTAGAGTCCACTGAAAACCTGCAGCTTGGACCCCTGTCAGCTCTCTGCCTGTTAAAAGTGAAGCAGTGTGGTGAATCTGATGATCTGCTTTACTCCTCATCAGTGATGTCACAAGGTGTGGATGTGGACGGGACAGGTGATCGGCGTGCGCCTGTCTCTACAGCTCAGGTAAGGGGTTCTCACAGAGTTCCTGTTGGCTCTGAAATCCACTCCAACACACCCTCACCTCAAACCTCTGTGCTGCTCCAGAGTCAACAGGAGCCGATGACCCGTGAGGCGGTCGGAGAACAGCAACTGTTTCCAGGCAGCCAATCAGAGAGCAGCACAGATGCTGCTACTGTAGACAGGTGAGCTTAAAGCCAAAAACAAACAGGATCTGTATGAAGTGCGTTCTGTATTTTCTCTGTAGAGCAGCGTTGGGTATCTCATACAGGATGAGCGTATTTGGAGCGTAGCAGCAGCGTCGTGTAGCCCCCCATCTTCTCATCTCTGAATGCATCATCAAAGTGGTCACTCATATTAAGCACAGACCTCTGATTAATAAAAATTATCTTTGGTAGAGAGCACATGGTTCAGCATATACAAACAGGGGAATTTCCAGTTGACAATCTATGTGAGCTTTTCTAATTCTTACTTGTGGTTGAAAATCTGATGGTTTCTGAAATGATCATTGTACATGAAAAGAATGTAGTCGGGAAATGATGTATTTGCCAAGGAATAACCGAACGAGGTCATAATAATTATGTTGTGTGTTGGTCATTTTGCAGCCCTCTGCTGCTCATCACACAACCAGCAGGTGGTGTATAGCATTATCACCATGGATACACAGATGTTTGTGTGATTTTTTTCATCCACTGCCGCCCGGTTTGTGTCGTGTAGATGTTGATTATGAAAACACTTCGCAATAATTTGGAAACGTGAAGGGGGAGCTGCTGCTGCCCGGTGTTTACGGTAAATAGACGCAAACACCCACCAAGCGGACGCTTCGGTCTCCGAAAACGCCGAGACAAATTTACAAACAGCCGCTATTTCAAACAACTGGGCTCATAATCGTGATGTAAACACTTACTTTCTCGCTAGAAAAAATATTATTATTGAATGAATTTATATAATTTGTCCGGAATGCAGTCGTTCTGTGTAGCTTGTGGTTGGACTATTTAAATTTTCCCGGCGCTGCGTCCGGCCGGCACGAAATGCATTCTGGGATATTTAGTATGCATCTGTATGTAAACGCTCGGGCAGCCGCGGCATACTCAAATCATCTTTGAGTAGTCAGTAGGCAGCAGCTACTGCTTGAGTAGGTAAGTAGATAGTAGGCAGTATGCCATTTCAGACACAGCCTCTGTCACACCTGAATGCAGTCACTGGACTGAACACCAAAAGTCTAGGCTCCACCTGGTGTTCAGTGTCAGAATTACATTTAGATTTATGACTGAACTGGATCACATTCAGAAACAGATAAACAAATAATCAAACACACGTTTGAATCCCTACAACACGTACCTCACAGGTTCCTGAAGATTCTGAAGTTTCCCAGCAGCAGCTACGAGCAGGCAGCTCCCTCTGTGAGTACCTGTTTCCACATTCTCTGAATCAAACCTTTTTACTGTCCTTAAAGAGTCTGCTGTGTGTTCTGGTCACGAACAGGCCGTTTACATGTTTTTTTTTTTTAATTTTCAGGTGAGTCAGCAGGAGGAAGATGCAGACTGTGAGCCTGAAGAGACAACTGCAGCCTCCAGCTCCTGCTCAGGACACCAAGTGAACTCTGCTGACACAGCTTCATGGAAACAGTGAGTTAATTTGATCCTTTATTTGTAGAGTGTGGATCAGATCTTTATGTGAGCACCAAAGCTACTTGGACATTGTTCACGTTTCTCATAAAACATTTTCTCCCCAGTATATCAGTCAGTAAATCCAAAAATCTTCCATAATGTTTCTGCTCTGTTGGTATTTGTGTCATTTTCATGGACCAAGTGGAGCTGCAGATTTGTGTGAGAGCCACCAGGATGAATCTCCTCCAGATGAGGGAACAGGGTACGGAAAAGTGTCTCTAATCATCCAAACACATGAAACCTTTGTCTGTCACAATAGAGGCACAAACAGGTGGAGGTCATGTTGAGTTGATCGTCTTTATTCTCTCTGTTTACTGTGAGCAGACCCCGGTAACTTGGTACTGGTACAACCACCTCTTCGCTTCATTTCCTCTGCAGTCAGCACCGTCGTAGTCTGTGTGTGAGCTGCAGGCGGCGTTCCCCGCCGAGCCTCACGGCAGCTTCGTTAAGTTAACTCCTACTTGGGCTTGTTCTGAGTTTTCAGTGCAACATGAAACAAAGGCAACAACCTTCGCGTGACGTTTCTCAAGAGGTCAGGATAGTTGTGTTTGCTGTAAACACGCACTGACTTCGCTTGGCGATACAACCAAATCCTGACATGACCATCAGTGATCTGACACGGATCAACTTTTCGAGAAATGACCGTGTCCCTCAAACACCGAGTCCAACGTCAGAGTTAAATTACTTTTTTCTCAGTAATAAAAATAATAAATAATCTAGACAGAGATCCAGTTGTACTAGTGACCCTGCAGGACACCCAGTCTTTGCAGGATCTTCTAGCCCAGGGGTCGGCAACCTGCGGCTCCAGAACCGCATGTGGCTCTTTCATCCCTCTGCTGCGGCTCCCTGTGGATTTGGAAAATAAATAATTAATGTTTAATTAAAATTTTTTTTATTCTAGTTTGTTTGTTATTTTATTTAATTCTAAATTGTAAGATTATGATGCTCTTAAATTAACTGTATTTAATTTTTTTTAAACTCAAAATATGCGTTTTAAATGCTGACTTGCAAAAACCTGCGTGATAATGAAGCGGACGTCATACAGCTCTAATCTGGAGACGCTGTGCGCTGAGGTTCAGGAGTGAAAGTCACATTAAGCAAGTAAATTCAATATTTGAATCGGCTTTTATTTTGCAAATGTGTATCATACATTATTTAGTGAAATTGTGTTTTTTTTATTCATGTTGACAGCTGACTAGACACTCCAATACAGGACGCACTTTAGTTTCTAAATGCAGGATGATTCAGTTTTTTAAGGGACGGTTGGCAACCTGAGGCTATTAAGCTCACAGGCATTAATCTCTTTGGGGACATGATGAAAGTTAATATCATAATTAGCTTTCTCAAGAACATTGCAATCCGCTAACGCGCACGCTTGTTCCGTGATTGTCCTCTCTACTTCCCGGAGTCTGACCTGTAAAGCGTGGCTCCGGGGGCGGAGCTTGCGGTTGTATTGTATGAAAGATTTTCACAGTAATTAAAATGCAGAAATACTCAGAAATGCAATTGTGCACTTAGTTATGATATGTCCTCTAGAATCAGAAAAATGCCACATGAACATGTCGACAACAAGAAAAACCTGATTTTTATCAGAGTGGGTCTTTGAGGGTTCAAACTGATCAAAATATTTTTGTTTACCTGCAGAAATAACGTTTCGTTTTCTCGGCAGCAGTTCATTTATTTCATAAATGCAACACACTACAGTTTTTTTATATACTTGGCATAAAGGTAAAAAAATGATTTATGCAGCGTTGTCTTCATTTTAGATGTCAAAGGGGTTTTGTGGCTCACTGTGGTTTCTTTTCTGTGGGAGACGGGTCCAAATGGCTCTTTGAGTGTAATAGGTTGCCGACCCCTGTTCTAGCCCGTCCCCCACTACAGTCTACAGTCTTGAAGAATTCTTCCGTACTGTTTGCGTGTTGTGTTCTCTTGTGTTCCTGCAGCCTTTTGGAGTGGCTGAACCCTCAACCCCTAAACTTTGATCCATACTCTTCAGGCGATGAGATACCCGAGGTACCCGAGATACCTGAGGTACGTTCTCTCTGTTATCAAATCAGAAAAGGTCGGTGGTCCTGGGTTGGTACCCCAACCAAGGGCGGGTGACTCTCTGTTGATTTAACAGGGAAAAAAAAAAAGCCATCAACATTGTGTGTGTGTGTTTCTGTGTGTGTGTTTGAAAGTGAATTTTAAAGGGAAAGGTTTCTGCTTATTGTCCAATCAGACGTCAGTGTTGAAGATGTTTGGTCGCACCACAGTTGTGTCTCTGTCTCTCGTCTCTGTCCTGTCCTCAGGTCGTTCCCAATAGTCCCGCCCAGAGTGGGATTCTGGTCCACTCTGCTTTCCCGGTGGAGCCCTGCTCCGACCTGGACGACGCTCCGGTCACCAACACTCTCCGCCGGGTAAACAAGACCGCGTTTTAAGTTTGCAGCTGTTTGTGAGACTTTTTATAAGAAAAACTGCTGAAAAAAGGCCGACAGAGTAAAACACAACATTATTCAGATGAGGAAATGTTCTTATATGCAAAGATAATTTGTAGTTATGTTATGACTGTGTTGTTTTTAGTGATGAAAAAGGAAAAACAGTTTTTTTTTGTTTGGAATATAATCTCAGAAGATCAGAGTTTGTCTCTTTAACTTAAGTATTTTCTTGTTCTGTCTGGATCGAGTTTTTCTGGTGTTTTTGTGAATCTATCTCTCATTTTAGGTTTTAAGTTTTCATTAGTAGTCACATCAAGCCTGTGCCTTAAACTGTTGGATAAAAATTAAAGCGAGTCAAAACCAGTAAAGATCTGTGTGTTGTGTAAATCAGCTACTTTGTGTTTGCTGCCACTCCTTCAGTCTCAGCAAACAGGAAGTCTGAACATCTCCAGAGCTCTGTGAACTTCAGCTTATCCATGACACAGAGATTTTCTGAACCTCTGCTCCTCTACTCTTCTTAAACAGATAATCCTGTTTATGTTTTTTTGGGGTGAACAAACTAAAGTCGGGTTTTGTGGTGTTTGCAGTCCTCCAAACGTTAGCTGACACAGCCCAAGGTTCCTGTTGGTCTCCAGGTTTCAGTTTGGTGATATAAGAGTCGGGTCATAGAGGCTGCAGCTGTGAATTCACGCTGACACAAACCCACGTGTGTACTTCCCTGACAAACGAGTGACTGGTCTGCCTGCAGGTGTTGCGGAGGAAACGGAACATCAGTTTGTCTGCGGCTGACCGTCACAGCTGGCCAGCTGTGGCTCATGGATTCAACACCGTCATCATCTCCTCCAACGCCGATCAGCCTCTCAGTTACCTCCCCCCTCTCCTCGGCCACCTCCTGCGCAGCTCCATCTTCACCTCCCTCACCTCCAGCACAGGGGTGAGTGTCACTGCGCACGACAGGCGGCCGTAGACCTCAGCGATCTGGCAAAAAAAAAAATGATCACGATTTATTTTGTCATATCATCCGATCTTGATTATTGTCACGCTTTTTTTTTTAAAACAGCCAGTTTTAAAGCATCTGTACTAAAAACTGAAGAAACAAGAGATTAGCTCAATATTTTATCAACATGCAAAGTAAATAACAAAGCAAATTAAATAAGATAAACTTAGAAAAATATAAAAAACATTTTAACCTGACAGTACGAAAAATGTAGATAAATACTCAATAATCCAGTGAACTAGTTTACAGTCCTGAGTGTTTCTACAGGTATGAAAGACCCAAAATAAACAGATCGCTCCCTCAGAGATAATGAAGACGCCATAAAATGTAAAGAGATGATGTAAACGTGGATGATATGATTGATCGCTGCTTTGGTCTGGTGGCAGCACCGATAGTCGTGGCTAAACTGCTAATGCTACTCGTACCGTCAGCAGTGACAGGCTGTGCAGACTCCGTCGTATTTTCATGTTTTCCTCATAATCATTCGGGAAGAACTTCTTTAAATGAATAAACAGATCTGTTGTGTTGCCAGTTTTTGAGGGCACCGACATACCTTACACATCGGCGTTTTTGCTCGATGTCACTTTGGAGATACCCGAACCACCGCCACACAACCGGCGATCAATAACTTCTCAACAATAACATCTTCAGAGGATGACTCAAAGTCACGGCTGACATCTATTTTGCTGCCCTCAGCTCTGCGTTTAGCTCCACATTCGGTCATTCTGTTTATTTCTTCGGTAACTTGCAGAAGTGAGCAGGAAAAGCTCGACTCTGATTGGCTGTTGTGACGCACATTTCTGCTACGTTTGATCGAGTAAATATGCTCTCAGCTGATCACTGTGATCGAGCTAAAATGAATCACGATTATCGATCATGACCATATTATGGCCCAGTCCTAGGTGGCCGTTAGCTTTTTGGGGCGCCACCTTCTGGGTAGAGTACAGTGACACAGTACTTTATTCAGCTCATTGGTCCGCACAGGTATCAGGACTCAGTCCAGTTTTTTAAAGCAGCAGAAGTGATTTTTGTTTGAAACTGAGTTTTACGATTTTTCACAGATTAAAAAAGGAAGTTACGCAGTTTTTGAATGTTCTGCACCAAACATTTCCTGGTCGATTGATTTGTGTCGTGTCGGTTTCCAGCCCTTAGCGGTGCTGTTGTGTCCTGGCTGGGAAAAGGTCCAGGCCGTGTACGACCTGCTGGAGGAGATAAAGGTCACTCAAACCCTCCACCCCGTGGTTGTGCTGTTGGGCGTGGGTGAAGATGAGGCCAAGACTGTCAAGATTCCAAAAAACTGTGAGAAAATCTCCATGATTGTAAAAATGTGTTTGTTTTTGTTCTGTATCAGGTTTATTTTAGAGGAACATTCATGTGGTTTCTCCACCACTTCTCTCTGTTTTTACTAGGCCTCCTGTTGGTGACCACCCCCTTCAGTCTGGTCCGTCTGCTGGCCTGTCACTGCTTTCTGTTCCTGCGTTTGTACCACCTGATCCTGGACGAGGCTGACCAGCTCTTCACTCTCGCTCCAGACCAGGTGACAGACGGCTCGACATTCGCACTGATCAGCTGCAGCTAACTGACTACCTGACATGTTTTTAAGTCTATTTTACTGTCTTCATTAACCGCTATGAGCTACATCTGAGGAGATAAAGGTCCAGTTTCATCAGGTGTTCTGCACACGATCTGGACACGTCAGCAGTGACTCTCAGAGTGACGCTCTCCTCCACTTTGCTCTAAGCCGGAGTTTTTCCCTGACAGATGGCGACCGTCCTGCAGCATTTCCAGAAAGTGACCACCAACACGCAGAAAGGTTCCTGTCCTCAACAGCTCGTCGCCACCGCCAAAAGATGGACCAATCACATGGAGGGCTTGTTAGCCAATCACATGCCACACCCCTGTGTTGTCATCACTATCCCTGAGGAGGCTGCTCTCTATGGCAACGTGCAGCAGGTCTGTCTGAGTTTATGACGTCGATGTCAGAGTCAAGCTGAAGTGAAAGTGAACAGCAGATATTTGTCCTGTGTGACCAGCTGACATGTTTGACCTCTTACAGGTCATCCTCACGACTCTAGAGAGCAGCAAGATCTTCGTTCTGCTCAGTGTGTTGGATTTCAACCCAGACGTCGGACAGAAGACCCTGATCGTAGTAAACTCTGCTCAGGAGGTCGAAGACGTGTTCAAGGTGAAACATCATCAGCTGAAATATGAGTACTCAGCGCTCAGCTCTTCTGCTTCTTCTCACCAACATTTAATAAAATCAGAAAACTACAGAATCAAAAGAAGCATTTTCTTAGGAGTTTCATTTCTGACCCCCAGGCTGTGACCAGCAAGTCAGCGCTCTGCCTCAGGACCCACGAGGGGTTAACTCACATGTTTGACTTTGTCATCCAGCAGTGGAGGAAAAACATCGGGCCTGGCACTCACGTTATTCTGGGTAATCTGAGTCTGGAGAACTGGATGAGCGGTGAAGACTCTTTGGTTTCCTCCATGAAAGTGAATGTTTTCATCTCTGTTTTCTTTTCCTTTGACCTCCAGTGACCACCACCGGGTGTCTGAAGGGTCTCCAAATCAGAGATGCCACTTGTGTCGTCCACTACAGCTTCCCCGCTTCTCCAAAAGTGTTTGGCAGCCGACTTTTCTGCATGGTGGAGAACTTCAGGAACCTGTCAGAGCGAGCAGAACAAATCAAGTCTTCTGTCCCCGGAGTGAAGGTCGTTCGTCTTTACAGTGTTCGTCTTTGCAGCTTCAAATGTCCAGTTTGTTATTCATCAGTTTTAATTTTCACCTATTTCTATGATAAAGGTGTCCTCCCTCAACCAATCAGAGAGCAGCCCTCCTCTCACCAGGTCTGTGCTGCTGATCTCTGAGAGGAACGCTCGCCATGTAGTCGGAGCTCTGCGTTACCTGGTACGAACCAACGCCCTGCTGCCCCCTGAGCTGCTAACCTTTGCTCAGGGATTCCATGTGGCCCGGGAGGACCAGAAGACCAGCAGGCCTTTCTGCAGATACATCAAGAGCTTTGGAGTGTGCAGGTAAACGTAACGAGAACGGCTTCATGATGTTGGTGAAGTTTCATCCTGGTCAAGTCCTCCCCTCCGCAGCCTCGGGGGGGAAACAGCAGTTTTTGTTTCGTTTAGTTCAGATCATTAAAGGAAATCTGGACTCTAAAGTGAAACCGTGTGATTTTGAATTTTACAGAGACGGCGGTTCGTGTCCAGACCGTCACAGATTCATCCCCCAGCTGGATCAGTCCGTGCTTCCAGCCTCAGGAGTCATAGAGGTGAGGGCGTCAGACCTCCTCTGTCCTCTCCTACCTTCTTTTCCTACCCTCCTTTCCTTAGACCTGAATGTCAATGTCCTTGGGTTAAGGAAATAACAAACTCTGCACATATTGATTGGTTGATTGAATTCGTTTAGGTTTCGTCATCATAATAATATCTGACCTACTGCATTGAAGTATGAGGAAATGCCTGTAAAACAAATACTCAGTCAGTTTTCATTTAGTAAAAAAGAGCAATAAGAATAATCAGTAGAAAACGATCCAACAAATCTGTTATTCCTTCAGTTAAAACTGTTGAAATTTCATGAATTAGTAGATTATAGTATCCTGCAAATTATGCTGAAAGCTCATAAAAAAATTCTGCCAATCAACGTTCAGTTTCAAGTTTAATTTAAAAGGAACAGAGATTCAGGACTAAATTGATGGAACGTTGTATTTCTGTAAAATGAACCAGTTTATGGAACAATCTGAACAAAAACATCAAAGAATCAAAGTCAAACATTTAAAGATCAATTAAAGCCAGTGTGTTAAGGAAATATGTTAGTCATATCTGATTGTCATAACATTGTTATTTTGTTAAATGACTGTCTGTGGTGGCCAGCAGCTATATTTATATTTTTTTTTATGATATATTTTTTGTTGTGTTTTGTTTATGTTGTTGTTGCTTTTTTTATTTTATTGTATTATTCTAAGTTTGTTCTTTGTAAATTGATTTCTGGGGATAAAGGGGCAGATAAAACAAGATTAGTCTTCTTTCTGCTCCCTTTCATTCAAGATAGGAGAACATTTGTATTTAAACTAAATGGTTTCTTTTTGTTTTTAAATGAATGAAATAAAAAATAAAAAAATGAAAGTAAATAAATAAATAGTGATAAACTTTATTTTCCAGAACAGTCGTCACGAAAGGGTGAGACAACAAGACAGCAAAATCAACAAAAAGTACACGAGTATCTCAAGTCCTGGTTTTACAAAGGCAGATGTAAACAAGTGTTCACAGTTCCTCATTCTCATCGTTAAAACAGCTGAAGTCTCTCTTCATCTTCACCGTGGGTCGACTTTAACGGCTCTCATTGGAATAATTAAAAGCTGAAGAAAGGAAGAAGAAAGCTTCCTTTGAGTTTGTCCGCTCGCTCTCTCCTCTCCTCTCCTCTATTTTGATCCACATCCATCAGAAGTTTCATCCATTTAAAATAGAGCTTTAATCCAGTGGAGCTGACTTCAGATCAGCTGCTTTCATACTGAATAGAATCAACACCAATGATGTGACTGAGCACCCACTGTCCTCTCCGTGTCTTGGCCCTCATCTTCTCACACACACGTCTGATTGGACCTCCTTTTTCCTACCATCCTGTGTGTGTTTCCTGCAGGTCATCCCTCTCTACATTAAGACCGCATCGGTCTTCTACGGCTGTATCATCAAGAAGGAGGAGGGAGGTTTCCAGAGCCTGGTGTCTGAGATGACCTCCTACTACGCCGAAGAGAAACCCAGAGCCACAGAGCTGCAGGAGGGCGGCCTGTACGCAGTGGAGGAGGACCAGATGTTCCTCAGGTCTGACGTATAAGAAAAGACAACACTGTGATTCTGTGACCGACACAAACCATCACAGTACAACAGCGAATCAGAGTGGACGACTTTCTCTCCAGTTATCAGGCCGCTCTCTCTGGTTTTAGAGTACCCTCTAACGGCCGTCTGAGCTGAACTCCTGTCACCAATCTGTGCTCCTTGTGTCAGGGTGAAGATCCTCTCCGTTCCTGAAAGAGGTGGTCGCCTGTTCTTCAGCGTCCTCGCTCGGTTCATCGACGTGGGGAAGGAGGAGGAGGTCAAATCTCATCAGATCCTCCAGCTGCCCGAGCGGTTTCACTCCCTGCCGGGTCAGGCTGTGGAGATCATCGTCTGCCGGGTCAAACCGGTCGATGAAGAGACCAGCTGGCACCCAAAGGTTTTTCCTGCTCAGCCCTTCACTAACGCACAAACGTGTCAGCGCCACTCGGGTTTCTGACGGTGTTTCCTGCACACAGGTCACCAGAGCGATCAGCCTGAAGATCAGAGGTGTGCAGCATCGAGCGCGAGCTGTTTTCAGTCTGGGAAATTCTGTCTTTGTTGATCCCATGGTAGGTTTACTCACAACCAGAACAAACAGGAAACAGTCATTTTACACACAGGAAGTTGTTGTGCTGAAACACCTGTGAACTCACCTTTTTCTTCTCACAGGTGCGTGTGACTCAGGTGCCCGGTATGAAGACTGTGATCAACGAATACAACGTGCAGTCAGAGATCCTGAAGACCGGGATGGGAGTCAGCAACCCGGAGCATCTGAACCTGCTGAAGGCGCTCTGCCAGGAGACCAAGACAGAGGGCAGCAAAGACGGCGGTCACATGTCCGGGTACGGAGGCCCGCCTCTGGTTTTGGTGGCGAATGAAGCGGCGGATCTTTGTCGGAGTATGTTTAGGACTGTTCCTCGTAAACACGGCGCACAAATGTGACAGATGTGTTGGTTTCAGGTCCAGGGATGGTCCTGGGTCTCTGGAGGTCCGGATCAAAGCTGAAGAAGATGTCCTGGCTGAAGCCTTCAGAGCAGCTGAAGTCCGTTGGCTCTCTGAACCTCCTCCACTGGAGCCATGTGAGCCACTCAGCCCACCTGACCCCCTGATCCAGTCCTTTGTCCCAGAACCTGAACCAAACCTCGGTCCAGTGTGTGATCAGAGACCCCTGATTGCTCCTCAGGCAGCCGTTGAAGAGATAAACTCCTTCACTCCTGATCTGCAGTCAGCTGAGCAGCTGATGAGGTCTGTAACCTCGCTGAGGAAGTCTCCCCAAAGACTTAGATAAGAAAGACTTGTTCAACATTTCAGAGGTCACTTTAAAGGTCACTCTGGTTCCCCCGGAGTCGTTTCGATGCTGATGACAGGATCAGCCAGAATACCGGTGTAATATCAGCCTGCAGAGATCAACTGGTTTGTCTGTGGTGAATGTCTTCTGGCTAAAAAACGATTTTTTGAGACCTGACCTGCGATCGTACATCGGTCATAATCAGGCTGGATGAAGATGTTTTTTTCTGTTTCTGTTCTTTAATGTCCAGCAGATATTATCAAAGAGGTTGTTTTTAAAAGAGCGGCAGCAAAGATTTTCCTTTTTACCGTATTTATTTATTCATTTCTCTGTTTTGATTCTTGCAGGATTAGAGATGGACAAGAACTTCCTCTCACAGTCAGCCATGCTGCTCCTGTGAACACAGGTTAGAACACACACATACACACACACACACACACACACACACACACACACACACGTATAAACAGTAACAGAAGTGTCAGGGTGTCGTGTTGATAATGTGATATGAATTATTGTGTGTGCAGGTGGGCCGGACACGGACAGTGGGACCAGCAGCCAACAAGTCGTCACCGCTAACGAGACAAACTGTGACGAGTCCTCCAAAAGGTTCGAGTCCAGAACTGAAAAAAGTGCTGAATGTGGAGCTCAGGGAAACTTTGAGGCGCTGTCGGTTGATTAGAGCCAAAATATGTAAAAATGGACAAGGTTTGAAAATGATGAGATGTCAATGATCCTGTAAGTCCTGCTAGATGATCCAGACTGTCTGACCACCAATCTCCACCGCATCCTGATCGTCTCCTAAAAGGTCGTATCCTCCGATCGTAGCTGATCGTAACCATTCAAGTTAACGTGTCAATTTACACCGACTTCTTTCCGTTCCTCTGCGGATCGCCGGACTCCTCAGCTGATCACAGAGTTCTATTTTTTCTGGACGCCGGAGCATGGCGGATAAATTCAGCACAGATTAACCCGTGCTGGAAAGGAAGTCGGGCACAGACACAAAATAAAACATCCAGAGACGAACAAGTGAAAGGTTTTTAGACGTCATTTCACCCCGATGACACCATGGATGAGGAGATGCTGATTCTAGAAGTCTAGAAGTAGATTTCCTCCTCTGGAAGGACACAATCTACTGCTTATATGTCTATGTGTCTGTCTTTATAGAGACAACTCGTTATCGCGCAATTGAATGTGAATCTGCGGGTTCTCGTGAGTTCTCGTGATTACCGCTGTCCGTAATCCGCCACTTAATTCGCCTCACAAACGGATCTGGTAGGAATTGGCGGATGGCGAAAATCACTTGCGTTCCAGATCGGAGCCGTTCTGGATGCGGTGGAAATCCCGGGTGAGTGTAACTTTAGATATCTGACGTCTCTGAATTAATGCGTTTCAATCCACAGGAGAGCTCGCCCTCAGAGGTCACCTGCAGAGATGTTCACCTGTCCTCTGCCTGTGTTTCAGTTTCCACCCTCAGGTCCGCTGGTACCAGACGTCCAACTCTGTGATTGTAACAGTGAAGCTGACGAACCCGGAGACGGAGCGCTGCGATTTCCACCCTGACAGAGTCGTCTACAGGTCTGTGTGGAGCAGACCGCCAACGATCGCTCACTTACTCCGACACTCTACATCAGACACTCAGTGGAGCCTCTTATCACGAGGTCTTTACACCGGAGGGAGTGGGTACATGTTTAGCACGGCGAGCCTTTGTGTGAATTAAACACAAACTAACGAGAGTCCACACCCAGAGAACCCAAACGGGTTCCTGACCTGATCTAACAATGAGGTGTGAACACAGGAAAGTTCAAATATTTGGAAAAGATCCCTTCAGGTCACCTTTCAGAAATTCTCGGTTCATTCAGTGAAAAGTTAAATATTACCTGTTTCTTCATCATTAGATTTAATTCTGATTAGATTATTACTTCAGATCAATCAGTTAATCCTTTCAGTGTGTCATCAAGTCATGGAGATGGTCAGCCTGGAGCTCTGCTGAGGAACCTGAGGCTCAGGTTTCTCTGATAGTTCCTTCAGCTGGTCTGGATCATTGGCTCTGCTGATCCTCCGAACAAATATCCCACAGATCCTTCATGGGGGCTCAGCTCAGACCACTTTCCGGGTCATTCAGACACGTTAAAACCATGTGCTTGGGGTTTTGGCGCTGTGGGCAGGTGTAAAGGAAACCAGCTTCTCTATAAAGCCACAGAGTGCTTGAATTATTTGAGTCGATATGTAATGAGACGGTCAAGTATAAAGTTAATCACTTTTATTTCCACATTACTCTGATCATAGATGCACCTGCTGTGACAGCTGCTGAGTCGGCCTTTATTTTGTGAGATGTTGTTGCTCTTCGGTCAGTGGAGCTGTTGAACATGTCCAGTTCCTATCAGACGACATCATGTGGCACAAAATCTGAGCACAGAAGTTCAAGAAAACTTTTGAGTTCATCCAGAGTTAGTCCATTTCAACGCTGCTGTTCTGCTCTAAGGATCCACAGACTCTTCTGGGCTCACGGTTCGACTTTTCAGCCTGTAATAAAGAGTTTTGAAATCAATATTTTGTGTCACATGATTTTTATACATCAGCAGGTTTCCATCGGCCTGTCCTCAGTGTTGGGGAAGATTGAAAGTCACATGGTGGGTTAGGTGGACTGTCTGTAGAGCGTAGACGTTGGGGTAAGGGTGGAGTTCCTGTCGGTCCGTTTCTGCCTGAAGACAAACAACGCAGGTTCAAACGGTCTTCGCTGTCCCCACGTCTGATTCTCAGAGTTGGTTTGGTCCTCCAGTTTCACAGTCTGCTATTTTCCGACATCGACATCAGTGAACGACTCGGAGGTCTCTATCGGGTCTAAAAGCTGCTCTGTGGGGTCACTTCAAACATTGACCTCGAACTCCCCGAAACCCGACTTTTTTCATTTCAGGAATTTGCAGATTTTTCCGGCCACCACAGTTTTCGAGTCACTCTCAGCTTCAGCTCTGTACCCTCTTGGACCCACGTCCTCTGATAGTTCTCAGGTGGTGGTTTGGGGAATATCGGCTCAGGCTGATTCAAACCCAGATAGATGAGATGAAACTCCACAAGCTCAGACTTTTGGCTAACATAATCTTAGGATGTTTCTCTGGACTCTGGGTGGACGTGGATCAGTAAAGATCTCATCCGTCCCTCTCTGAAGGACCAGCCGCAGACTTGAGGGGAGCTGTAGAGACCACATGATCTAGTCTTAGATCTCTGAGGGGTGAAGAAAAGACTCACCGATGTTTCTGTTGATTGTGTTCAGTGGCAGAGTGAACAGTCGGATCTACAGCGCCGACCTCGAGCTCTACGCCAACATCGCCGCAGACTTCTGCTGCTGGGAAATGAAGTGCAACGAGCCGGTCCTCAAACTGGTCAAACAACAGCAGGGATTCTGGGAGAAACTCCTGAAGAACAAGGTCGGGGTCAGGCCGCTTTTTCTGTCACGTGGATAATTTGGAGAATTGAGCAGCAGCGAAGCGACTTTCAAACTTACGTCTCGAGTTTTCTTTGTTTTCCAGAACATCTTTGTGAGTTATGACATGGAGCACTTGGAGGAGGACGAGGACAGAATCACAAACGGTATGAAAGTCTCTGCACTCAAGACACGGTCCATATATTGTCTTTAGGCTCTTCTGTAGAGCCGCTCTGACGTGTGTTTGTGTTCAGATTTAAAGTTCCTGGAGGACAACGGGGAGGACGGCTGGTACCTGAACCCAGAGAGCGGCAGTGACAGCGACAGTGACTGAAGACGAGAGAAAACTCTAAGGAGGACTCTTTGTTAACAGAGATATTCCGGTGTAAAATTAACCTAGGGTCAAACACACCGTAACACCGAGTTAGACCCCCCCTCCAGAGATGAATGTTGCCGACCGCTTACTTCTCTTGTTATACCAAAACGCCACTCTATAGCCACAAATGAGGCTCAGAACAGCACCTAACTTCATCAACAGTACATATAGGGTCACAGACATAGTACTAGACACCAAACATCTTTTTAACTTTGACTCATTTCTTTAACAAAGAGACTAAACACAACTCACCTACTCTCTTCCAGCCGCCGCTTGTTTGTGGAGGAGCCGTGACGAGTCGATCACTGAGTGCCACGGGTCATTTCCATGAAGCAATGATCATAAATGTTCTTCCTTGAGCTGCGTCACCCCGCTGCAGTCTGCGATGGACGCGCCCTAGGTCTCCGTACAAACAAGCGGCTGCTGGAAGAGAGTAGGTGAGTTGTGTTTAGTCTCTTTGCTAAAGAGACCGGGTTGATGCTGGAAATACAGTGGCTCTCTGTATTTCTATCCTGCGGTCGTTACTAAAGTTGGTATAGCTAGAGAAGCAAGCGGTCGAACATAATTTTCAGATGTTGAACAGTTTTGAATTTTGAATCCAGTTTTGATTACTCTTTACGAACTTTCTGATATTTTGATAAACTGGGTTTCTGACTTTCTCGAGCTTTAAATCAAACTCATTAAACTAGACCAAAGGAGGGCCTGAAGTAATTCACTTGATGTGTAATGGATAGAGGAAATGTTAAAGTCCACTTTTTAAAATACTCTCATCGAGTGGCGTTCCTGAAAGTGCGTTTGTGTGCATCGGTGTGTATTTGTTTGGTGTAACTCCTGTCTGCTGCACCTCTGCTGTCTGCATGTCAGAGCTCTGCAGGGACGAGCCGACACATGCAAACATGATATAAATGCGACTGCAGAGCCGCCACCACGCATTTCATTTACTGTACGAGACATCAGCTGCCCTGCTGCAAACTTCATCTCTAGATTAAAACTAAAACAGCTGTTTAACGATCGACCCCTTTGGTGGAACCTGCTGCTGCTGATCTGAAACACGACACTAAAGCAGATTTTTAATCTCAACGAGGCTTTCCTGGTTAAATAGTTAAAATAATTAAAAAGAACAAAATTAAACAACTTCCCAGGGCGAAGGACAGAGTAAAGCCAGAATAACCGACTCAGAGCAGAAACACAGTTCTGGTATGAGTGACCCAGTCCAGGTCACACTGAGACTGTCTTCCTTCAGGGGTCCTGATGACGGTAAAAGACTCTGTTCTGGGTTCAGAAAAATGACAGAAACTGCTGTCAAATTTAGTTTTTTTTTCTCTGGGCGGCTGTTCACAGATTTGGGTTTGAGTACGATTAACATTTGAGTTGGACTGTGAACCAAACTTTCAGATGGATAATAATTCTGATTTGGGTCTTTAGTTTGTAGAAATGACAGATGGTCAGTGTAACAAAAAGATGGAGGTTTCAGACCCGGGAAGAAAGACCAGATTTTTTCTCTTTTTTTTTTTTCTTTTTGAAAGACAGACGAATTATAAAGTTCAAGAGTCTCCACCTGTCTTACTTTACTGACGGTGACACAACAATGGAAGCAGCCGGACTCGTTGGATGGCGAGCATAAATCTCAGTCAAAGTAACCCGCTCTGATAAGAAGACATATCAACTAAACTCAGACTAAACCGCCTCTGTTACTGTGACATCTGATCACCGCTGCGTCCGTTTAAGTGAAGAGGACGATGAAGACGTACCTGAGAGCCATCAGAGAGGAGAGGAGCTGAGTCACAGCTGATCTCTCTGTTTTAAAGCTGCAGAAACTTTTACATTAACCATGTTTTAACCAGGTTCGTCCCATTGAGATCAAAAGTCTCTTTTTCAAAACGGCAGCAAAAACTCCGACACAGGAAACCACCGCAGCATCAACGTGAAAAGGGAAACTATCTCAGAGTCGGTGTGCAGACAGGGAAACTAAAAACTACCTCTTCAGATTCAGAGTCTGGATCGTTGGATCACATGACCTGGTTTTCATCAGCTGATAGTTTTTGGTCGTGTTTAAGTAAAACAGAAAACTTTGATTTTTAGAGCTCAGAGGGAGAAAAGTGAAGTTTGCAGCTCGGTGAAGATAGTAAACTTTACAGATTTATGTAGTTTAGTTGGTTTATAAACTGATCCAACCTCTGATATCTTCAGATTATTGATTATTGATAACTGGACTGAAAGGACAGATTACATTTAATCCTAAAGAAAGAAGCTTTAAAAACAAAAAAAAAAAACGGTCAGATTTATATTTATAAAGTGGGACGTTTTTTTTAAGCCAAACTGAAAGTTGGAAAATAAATTGACTGTCAAGTTTAAGTGAAAAGAGTAAACGGGTACAGGCTGGAGAGGATCATTCAAGGCTTTCAGGACACGCAGTAAAATCTTAAAATCAATTCTAAAACTGACGGGCGGTCTGAGAGGGTCAGTGAGGACTGGAGCCATCAGGTCGTCTCTGAGCCGTAGACCCCTATCCTGAGTTACAGATCAGCTGAAATCAGCTGACAGGAGACTCAGGGATGAGTTTTCTTTATTTCAATCAGTCTCTGGACTTCGAGTGTGTCAGAATCACACATATTAAAGCTGAAAAGGAGGCCGGTCTGAGAGTTTAAACTTCATTTTTAGAGTTTGAGAGTTTTTCTGTTGGAGGTAACATTTGAGCTTTCAGTCAAAACCTTTTTCAAAAAGTGTTTAAGTTTGTTTCAGAGTAAAAGTGAAAATTGTGAATAATACTTGAATTTCTCAGCTGATGGAGACGGTTTGAAGTTCGTATTTGTCTTTATTGTTGTTCAGATTTTACTTTTATATATAAATCACATAATCTCTGTTCAAAAACTCACATGTTTTCGTCTTTCTTTGAATCTCCAGGTGAATTTCTGTTGGTTGTAACTAATTTCCAGGTCGTTCCACCTGCGTGTGTGTTTGTATGTGTTAAAGTTGTGCAGCTTTAAACAGTGAAGTTGTTTTTTATGTTCAGTCTTTGGTTTAAAAATGTCATCTTCAATAAAAAAAGTGACTTTTTGGTTCGACAGATGAAATCCTTCTGTTTTTATGTCAGGTTTAACCACATCTCTCTAAAAATATTGAGATTTTCACTTATTTTTTTAAACTTCAGTTGAAGCAAAAATGAATCCTTTCTAAACTAAAATTTGAAAAAATGATCACTTAAGCAGGATTTTCAGGGGCTCCAACGTACGAGAGAGGATCAGGACCTGGATCAACTCAAAGACACTCAGCAATGATAAAGAAAAGAGTCAGAGTCACCAACCTCCTGAACAGGTACACCACCAAAACCACTCTCTAATGAGATTCACGCCGCGGCCGTACCTGTACCCGTATCTGTGAACTATCATGAGATTTGGGTCTGCATGTAACGAAGTGGACATCACTGAAATCAGAAATGGACAAGAAGCCGAAGACACCACAAAAACCTCTGAACACTACAGGACAGAAAGATTCAGATCTTTTGGACCCACAGCCATCAGACGTCGTTGACTTATAATGTCAGAATAAAAACAGGTGGAGCTCCTCTGTGAAGTTTGGATTTTTAACTGTCGTACTTCTATAAGTTGTTTAATAAATAGTAGATGAGATGACACACGAGACTACAGACAGACGAATTTCCCTTTAGCGATCAATAAAGTTCTTTTATTGTATTAATGTAGATCAAAATATCCTCATTAGACACCACACAAACTTTGCATTTCATAAAAAAATCAGGAAAGAAAACAAATATTTTTTAATATACTCAGTTAATCAGTAATTTGTTCCAGTATCAAAACCTCTGATGAAAATTTTAAAAAAAGAATAAAGTGACAAAAACACATTTAGGAAAAGTTAAAGAGAGAAAATGTTGATTTTCGATCACATCCATGAAGAAACTTAAAACTCTACACTGATTTAATCCCAGAATAAATGTGGATTAAAACTCATTCAAACATTATTTATAATAAAAATCAGTTTTCCATCAGAAAGAGGAGTAAGTGTTTTCAGGAGCTCCAGAAATCTTGAGCAGGTCACCTCCTCTACGATAAATACCACAACTCTGCAGACGCTCAGAATCGGACTCTAACAGTGAGCGGCTGTTAATGCAGGAGTTTGTGAAGAGGAACTTTCTCTGCACTGAGACGTTGATTTAATAATCTAATGTTTGTGTGTAATGTGACTCAGAGAGTCTCTTTCAGTCTTTTTTCCATCAACAAAAGCTTCAGACTTTAATCTCATGTAAAGACCTTTTCGTCTTCAGCAGGAGGACCTGCTGTAGACAGGATAATACACATCAAGGCTGATAATCAGGGGTTTAAGGTGACCTTTGACCCCTGTGTCCATGTTCTCCAGATAACTGGGTCGTTGTCAAACATTAATCCTCATCAAACTCTTCCTGCTCAAACTCTGGAGTTACTTTACTCATTTTTTGGTCGACAGGAGAGATGATCAGAGGGGCCGAGTTTTTACCAGCTTGGTTGAGACCTGGACAAAAGTATGGGTAGAGTTTCTCTTTGAAGGAGCAGCCGGTGAAGGAGTAGATCAGAGCTGCAGCATCAACGTCATAAAAAGAGACCAGACCCTCCTCATAGTCTACAAACACCCCCACCTTCTCAGGATCAGACTGCAGACAGAGACGGACCAAAGGATCGGCACAAGCGCTGTACTCATTTTCATTTCTCAAAAAAATTATCCAGAAACCTTTCTGAGGAGACGCAGTGATGTTTCCCTTCCTGTTGATGGACTCTCTGGCCACTCCTAAATCCCACTCAGTCTTCTCTTTGACCTGAACCTCAAAGTAAAATCTGCCTGAAGACAAACTCTGCTTTCCTAAAACACAAGCACAAAGATCAAATCTCTCTGGAGTGTCTGGTAGATTCTTCTTCACATCACCACAATAAACTTGTTTTCCATCATCAGACAGGATGAGTTTAGGTTGTGCTGTATCAGGATCAAGTGTCACATCCTCCTCATACTCCTGGACTCTCTTCAGCTCGGCCTCAAACAGCTTCTCCATCAGTTCCCTGAGCGTCTCCTTCAGCTGGTCCACAGCTCTCACCACAGTCCCCTCATATGAAGGTGGATGGACTCGGACTTCAGTCCAGTTCTTGGTGGGTGGAGCAGTGTTCAGGGTGGTGAAGTTTTGGAGGAGGTGGAGGTGGTCTTCAGAGCGTGAGAGCTGCTCCACCTCAGAGCTCCTCTTCTCCAGCTCACAGATTTCCTGTTGCAGCTCTGTGATGAAGCCTTCAGCCTGTTCCTCCGTCTCTCTCTGCTTCTCTTTGATGGTATCGATGAACTCGGCCTGGCTTCTCTCTACAGATTCTTTCAGAGCCGTGAAGACCTCCACACCTTCAGCCATCTCTCTGTCTGCATTCTTATCACTGAGCTCCACTGACTCTTTGAGCTCTTCAATCTTCAGTCGTCTCTCCTGGATCATCTGCTGAATTTCAGCCTCTGTCTTCCTCAGCTCGGTCTTCTTTCCTTCATATTCTTCTCTCAGAGGAACAACATCATGGGTCTTGTGGTCTGTAACACAGCAGAGCATGCAGACACACATCTGGTCGTTCTTACAGAAGAGCTCCAGCAGTCTGTCGTGCTTCTCACACACCATTCCTTCCAGGTTCTCCACAGGGTCCATCAGCTGATGTTTCTTCAGACCCGGTGTTGTCAGGTGAGGCTCCAGGTGATTCTCACAGTAGGAGACCAGACACACCAGGCAGGACTTGAGGGCCTTCAGTTTGGTTCCAGTGCAGACATCACAAGGAACTTCTTCTGGTTTGGAAACTTGTTGCTCTGAGCTGCTGCTGCTGGCTTCCTGACGAGCTGACTGTCTGAACTGAGCGGACATCTCAGAGATGAGGGTGTTGACATATAGCTCAGGTTTTGGGTTGAAAACCTTTTTACAGTTTGGACACTGACAGGAGGCGCTAGTCTTCCAGTGTTCAGAGATGCAGGATTTACAGAAGTTGTGTCCACATGGTATGGCGACAGGATCGGTGAAGACATCCAGACAGATGGAGCACAGGAACTGATCTTCAGTCAGCAGAGAGCTGGCAGCAGACATTTTTACAACCTGAGGACGAAAAGGTGAGGGAAAATTTGTCACTTAAGTTCATATTTGATCATTTATTCGAAACTCAAACTCTGCTGAGTGACAGTTTTTTTTTTCCACACCTCTGATTTTCTTCATGTTTATTTTATTATTTATTTCCCACTCGTCTTCATCAATTTGGTTTATTAGTCACTGAATTGTTTGATTGTGTCCCTTTGTCCCTCCCAGCCTCTATAAATACCATAAACACCGCACCTGTGAGGATCATTACCGTCATCTGTCCTGTCGAGTCTTTCTTGTCTGACCTGTTCATGTTTTCTCACTGAGCAATAGACAGCTGTTAAACATCTAGTTTTTTTAGACCTAATTTCAACCGGCTGATACCAAGTAGTAAGTGAGTTATCTGTAATAACACGGGTGTCTCACACAGGGTCTTTGAACCGTTTAACCTCCACCCCCCTCCCCGTGTCCCCTTACACTAAAGACAGCGTCCGGAGCTTCAAACTAACTCCGTGTATTTTGTCCTGGCAGGTCTGTGAACTTACCGGGGATGAACAGAGACTCTGCTGATGAGATGAGAAGAACAGGAGAATTTCAGCTGAATTGGTCTTTACGGAGAAACACGGAGACTTTCCTCGACTGCAGCTCTGCTCACACTCAGACTAACTTTCACTTTCATTTCTGGAAAAGTGTCTGTTAAACTTGTTTGTCTTTCAGTCGCTCCTCCTCTCTTCTGTCAGGGTGTGTTCAGTGTCTCTGTGGGAAATACTCAAACTAAACTTCTGTCTGAAACCACTCTGTCCTTCTTCCCATTATTCATATTTGTACAGTGAATGTTTGACAAAAGTACAACAGACCGTAATGACCAATAATACTCTGAAAACATGGTGTTTATGATAGTTGAACAGGAGCGTATCCAGTGAAGTAAATTGATATGACCAGTTCCAGCCATTTCCTTGACTTTGTTAACTTAAAACTTTATTCTCGTAAATAATGGTTTTCTTATGACTTTATTCCTGTTAGTAATTACTTGAATCTTAATGTGGCCCTAATACTCCATAGTACGTAATTCTTGTGAATTATGATTTTATGATGACTTGATTCTCTTAAATTAACGACTTTAATCTCGCAGTCTTATTTCTCCCCTTAATGTGTCCCTAATACTCCGCCGTAGTTTATTTATAATGTCAGAATAAAAACAGGAGCTCCTCTATGAAGTCTGTATTTTCCGCTGCAGTACCTCGGCCTGATCGGTAGGGGGCAGTGTAGCCTTTGTGTTTCAGATGCAGGTCAGCAGCCAAAGTTAACCGTTGACTCTAGTTTTAAGACTCATCAATATTTATTGTTTTACGGCATGAAGTGAGCAGTTAACCCGGTTCGAAAGCCTTATAAATGTTGTTTTATTCCCCCGTGTTAAAGTCAGCAGGCTCCTCTGAAGGAAGGCGGCTCTTTTAGAGGATTATTTGACGTGTTTCCTCTCTGATGTCTCGGACCCAGAGCTGCTAACCAACCAGCTGATCAGAGTAAACAGCTGCTGACAGGAGACTGTGGGGTCTGTGTGAGACAGAGACAGAGACAGAGAGAGAGACTGCCATGCCCAAGCCTGGATGACCTGAGGGACTCACTGAGAACAGGTGAAACTCTAACCCTCCTCTTTACTCACAGGTGGACTCGGTACCGGGTCCATTCTGGGTTCGGAAACCTCTCTGTGTAGCCGAGCTAATGCTAGTTAGCTTCGTCCGGATGCTGTCGTTGGGTAAAACGGGGTCAGTGTTTGTAGCTTCGAGGCTAAATGTAAAACTTCCGATCCTCGTTTTAGAGACAACACCGACAACAGAAGAGGTTATAGAGCATGAAAAGAGTCAAAATGGACGTAAATCTCCCCTGGAACATTAAAAGAGTTAAAATGGTCGTAAATCTGTCCTGGAACATGTGATGTGTGATTTTTAAACCGCTAAAGCCAAACCAGCTAATCCCCAAAAACAGACCTGATCTAACCCAGCAAAGCCCACCTAGAAAAGAGAGATATATCTGAATAAACACACTGTCATAGTGCGATTAAAGACTGTATAATATACTATTGATATTGCTGTATTAAAGCACCAGTCAGTGGCTTTATAAAGATCTGATCTATTGTTAATAAATGATGTCAAAGAAGTGTTTAGAGGAGGCGATGCTGATTATGTCCCTGTTTATCGTGATTAAATACTGAACTTTAAGATTACTTACACTGTTATTGTCTTAAATACCTGATGAATTCAGTCACTAGCTGATTTGAGCCTGTTATAGCCACAGACTCTATCCACTCGTTCAATCAATCCCTCTGTTTTACTAACACACACCTGCTTCCTCCTCTCTCTGCTCTCTTCTCCTCACCTCTGTAACTTAAAGGGATATTCCAGCGTAAAATTTATTCAGGGTCAAACACACCATAACACCGAGTTAGACACCCCCATCAGCTTGCTTCTCTAGTTATACCAACTTTAGTAACGACCGCAGGATAGAAATACAGAGAGCCACGCCCTCAACCAAAACGCCACTCTATAGCCACAAATAATGCTCAGAACAGCAACTAACTTCATCAACAGGACATATAGGGTCACAGACATAGTACTAGACACCAAACATCTTTTTAACTTTGACTCATTTCTTTAGCAAAGAGACTAAACACAATTCGTCTACTCTCTTCCGGCAGCCGCTTGTTTGTGGGGGAGTCCTGACGAGTCAATCACCGAGTGCAGTGGGTCATTTCCATGAAGTAATGATCATAAATGTTCTTCCTTGAGCTGCGTCACCCCGCTGCAGTCTGCAATGGACGCGCCCGAGGTCTCTGTACAAACAAGCGGCTGCTGGAAGAGAGTAGGTGAGACCTCAGGCCAGTCCATTACGGACTACAGCGGGGTGCCGCAGCTCAAGGAAGAACATTTATGATAATTTCTTTATCATTTCCTCGAAGTCATAATCACCATGCTGTTGTCAGAATGTGGTTTTGGATCATATGAAGGTCTTTGTCTGGATGGGCGTAGATGTTCCTTCTAATCCTGGAGATATTGTTTAAAACTGAGGATGCAGCATCTATGATTTCCAGTTCTACGTTGAAAGGACAATTTTGGTGTAGGGCCATTCAGTAACAGAACCTCATTGGAAAATTAGCTGATTTAACTCTACTGTGCTCTTGTTCAAATATATCAACTCAACAGCACATAAATCCATATCTGTTGACAAAATCATCATTAATTTGATAATTCGGCTTAATAAAAACAGCTTTACCTTTTCATTTTACTAGTAGACTCATAGACTACAGAGGTGGAGAAAACGCCCCCGCTTAAGTTTATGTTTTCTTAGGAGTTAGAACAACTCTGAATATAGTACTATGTCTGTGACCCTATATGTCCTGTTGATGAAGTTAGGTGCTGTTCTGAGCATTATTTGTGGCTATAGAGTGGCGTTTTGGTTGAGCGTGTGTCTCTCTGTATTACTATCCTGCGGTCGTTACTAAAGTTGGTATAACTAGAGAAGCAAGCGGTCGACAACATTCATCTCTGGAGGGGGGGGTCTAACTCGGTGTTACAGTGTGTTTGACCATAAATTAATTTTACGCTGGAATATCCCTTTAATACTGAGGTCACTACTACTGAACTTTAAGATTACTTACACTGTTATTGTCTTAAATACCTGATGAATTCGGTCATTAGCTGATTAGAGCCTGTCATAGCCACAGACTCTATCCTCTCGCTCGATCTATCCCTCTGTTTTACTAACACACACCTGCCTCCTCCTCTCTCCTCCTCCTCTCTGCTCTCCTCTGTAGCTTCAACTAAATGTTAGGAGATATTTTAATCAGAAATGAGAGAAGTCGACTTGATTAGATTAGATTTTTTTTGCAGTGTAGGCCTCATCCGGTCAGCTGGCTGTCATGGGGTAGAGTTTTTGGTGTTTTTGTCACTCAGCAAATGATTCAGTGTAGATTCTGAATAACCATATCAGGTACGTTGGCTGAATTTTAGTGTAATAGATGAGTTAAAAGACCCTCACAGGTTAAGTTACCCTTTTTAAAACTCATACTTCATCAATGACCAGAGGAATATAAAATCTCAGGTTTTTTAAATGAAGTTTGGTTTGACTTTTCTTCCCTCAGAGAGCAGCTGTTGGAGTCCACACCCTGACACAGATTCATCCTGACAGCTTGACTGACAGTGATTTGAAACTCTCTTGGAGACGTTGAGTATTTAGGAATATATTTTAAAAAAAATCCTCATTATCGTCTGAGCCGGTCTTCACATGGGGGTCAGGAGATTCTGGTTTTATTACAGTCCAGCACCGTGCCTGTTTAGATCATACTGACCTTTAGAGGTCAGGGGTTTATCTCTGCGCCTCGATTGGTCGCAGTAATGTAGGAAAGGTCTGGAGGTACAGTGTGTGTGTGTGTGTGTGTGTGTGTATCAGGCTGTGTCATGTGTGCAGCCCCGAGGAGAACTATGTGATGGTCACGTTCAGGCTGTGAAACCTCTTTGTGAGGGTTTGAGCTCCTTCAGCTCCTCAGAGAAAAGCTGGAAAAACGACCTCTTTTGTTTGGCGTCCTTTCTGCTCGGTGAAGTTTCTCTCTTATTTGACCTTTCTCATTCATGATCTGAGATGTTTAGTGACTCGGTGACCTGTCATCGACCTGTGTCAGTCCTCTTATGTTGTTCCTGGATTTTTACACTTGTTGTCTGACATTAGTCAAAGCAGTCCTGCAGAGCTGGATCATTTTGACAGAGTCAGAGACCTTTTTGTTTCAAAGCGGAAACATCTCTAACAGCTCTCTCCTCAAAGTCATCTCAGTCTTTTTACTCGTTTCAGCAGAAGTCGGCGGTCTTCTTCTGCCTCATCTGTTTGTTTTTCTGTAGAAAATATGCTGCAGACAGACAACCTCTTAAAAAGGACCGAGTCTGTTAAAAAAAAACACTTGTATAGTCATTTGTTTTGAGGTCTGGTTGGTTTGGACATGCTCTTTCGCTACCGGATCCGTCCCTGAAACCTGATTTGTACTGTGCATGTGTGACACGTACGTCACTTCCTCTCTTGACATTTTAATGTATTTTACAGCAGTGAGTCGCTACCTACCCGATCCGTACTGCTCAAGTACAAATTTACTTCACCTTAAAAACTTTATTTAAATTACCGATTGATTCAGAAACAAGCTGGCGATGTGACAGGCTAGCTGGCAGGAGGCTCCAGAGCTAATGCGAGGTATTCTCCAGAGCTCCTGCCCAGCACAGTGAGACCTTTTGGGCCACAGAGAGCGCCACCACCTGGCCAAAATTATGGTTCTCTGGTTTTTCAAAGTATCAAGGAGGGATTTATTTATTTCAATCATGTATTTTATAAATTAAATTTATAAACAAGAAGCCGACACATTATGGACAAGGAATATTTTTATACAGCGTTTCAATTTTAACACTGAAATATTCACAGTCATTCAAGCCTTTTAGAACTACGTTACAATTTTACAGTTTAGCTAGAGTAGGAACCTTTAATCGTGAAACTGGGCGCCATTCTCTTGACTTTGCGGCGCTCTGCTTCAGTCGAGAGAAGAACTCAGTTCAGGAGAAAAGCGCGTGGCTGTTATAAACTGAAGCATCGATAAACTGAAGCATCCTTTCTGTCTGTAGCGAGCTCGCTGATGCCGAAGCTGTTGCAAACCGTGAGGGACAAAGAACTGTTGAGCTGTTGCAAAGATGGCTAATAGAGGAAGTGACATACATTTCGCACATATGCAGTACAAATCGGGTTTCTGGGACCTTGTGAGCTCTAGCTTCTAACTGGACCTTCACAGGTCAGCTGATCACAGCCTCTGATTGGTCAGTGGACCATAACAAAGACGACAGCCTCCATCTGCCATAAAAACAGTCAGAGCCACTTTTGTATCTGAGTATTACACGCAAAGTGTGTTCTTTTTTTTTATCTTGTAGTACCCTTGTTGGTCCAGCAGGTGGCATGTGTGCGATGGGATGACTGTTGTCGTCGTCATTGTTCTTTGTGTTTAAGTTACTGTTTGTTTACGAGTAGATGTAAATCCACAGGGCTGTTTTTGTGGATCTATTCACCGAGTAAACAAAGTTTTCATATGTTTATCCATGTCGTTGTCCCAGCTGTAGCTCTGGTTAAAGACGAGAGCCATCATGCTGTCAGGCGCCACTACCTGGATGTAAACAAGCACAGATGATAGCTGATAGAAAAAGCTCGTAGTGTGGTGTGGTCTCTCGTGAAAATGAAGATAAAGTTGTGTAAAGGCTGTGTGGAGGTAAACTGTTGCTCATGGACTCTTCAGCCTCTAACTTTTCACTGTTTAAAAATATATCAGATATATTTTGGGTAAATGAATGAACCAGGTGATCAACAGTAAAATCACCCAATTTGATCCCTTCTGAACAGGGTCAATCACCCTGACTGTAAAAATCATATTTATATAGTGTCATGTCTCTGCATTCAAAACATGTGGTTATAATGGGAGTCAATGGGGCAAAAACAGCCACTAATACCGCTAAAGAAGGTTTTTGAAAATCAGTCGCTGCACGAAAACTGAATATGCATTAAAACCAATTATGTTACTAATCTTTGACGTATCCAAGACTGTGATAGCAGGTACAAAAATTTCTCTGTCCAAGAACTTTTTATAATGAAAATAGCTCATTTTCAGTGACTGTCTTTTCTAAATTGGCATCTAAAGGGTCAAAATTTTAATATTTAAAAAATAATTAGTAGTTTTGATCAAGACTGAGGTTGATTAACAGATTTATGCAAAAAAAAAAGAAAAACAAATTCATCAGATATTTATTTTTACAGCAAAGTTAGTGACTGACAACAGCCGCTAATACCACTAAAGGGTTGTAAATTTGCCGACAGTGTACTTTTGACTTTCTGAAGATTTTGAAATAATATTTTCAAATTAAATGCAAAATTAAGGTTTGTCAGCAAAAATCATGTCATTTGCTTCAATACAGTGACAGTTATGGTCAAATTAAGAGTAAAAAGTGACTCTTAGTGGACGATTCTGTCACCAATACTGCATAAGGGTTAATGTCTTAGTGCACAAAGCATCCTCTGGGGGACATGAAACTCCTCCAGTTTTTGACCTCATGAGTTTGAATCTGAGCTCAGTGGTCTCAGTCAGAATCAGTGTTTCTCAGACGCTTTTTAAACTCAGGGTGTTTTCTGCACAGACTGGAGCAGCAAAGGTCAGGACCTGGATCTGAACTGTGGCGACATCGTAAGCACCTTATCATGAGGAAGTCAGGGGTCGGTTTGTGAGGTTGGTCTTTCCTAAAAATCCATCTATTGATGGTCTCAGTCTGCCTCCTGGGGATGTCCGACCTTTAATCAGCTCTGTCGTCTGCTGGAGCGTGTGTCCTCCTCACACACTCCTGCTGCCTCGAGCTGAGACGTCAGCTGAGAGGCGAGAGCAAACCGGGGGACGGAAATTCCTCTAGACCACTGAATACCCTGTTAGCATCAAGTTTAAGGGTCACGAGGACCACCAGGGTCACATGACTCATTCCTTGGTTTCCTCCCTGCTGAGCGGTCTGACAGGAGGCCTCCTGGGCGGGGAGTGTGTCTGTGCTCTGAGGGTCTGTTTTCCAGTCTGTACTGGAGCTGAGGGAAGATGAAGCTGGTCTCTGAGCACAGAGATGAGGTGAGTTTTAAACCTGTTGTTGAGGGATCTGGATTTGGGTTCAGGACGGTGGACTGATCAGAGAGCAGATATGGGGGAAAAGTTTGAAGCTGCTTTTGGACTCAACAACAGATGAGAGTTTGTGTCTTTCTTGTGTGGTGATCCAGAGGAGCTCAGATGGACGAAACGTGTCCCTCTGCTACACAGCTTCTCTTCTTGGTGCTGTTACAGGATTACAGAAAAACTCCAGGACTGATTTTCTGAGAAGTCGGTAAAAACATGAAGGTATGAAACAAACGACACCTGAGAGAGTTTTTAATCCAAACTGCTCCTGTGAATGATCGGCTGCTGAGAGTTAGAAAACAGTCTGTGAGTCTGTGAGAAGTAAGAAGACGAGATGAGAGAGCAGGTCAGTGTTTGACAGGAGGAGCGTCGTTTAGTGGCTGATGATTGTGAAGGATCTGATAATGATGATAGTGATGATAATGCTGGTAATGGTTACAATGTTGATATTCCTGATAATACAGATAACTCTAATAACAGAGTGCAGATAATGTTGATGATGCTGGTAATGTTGATAATGATGATAATAGTTACAACGTTGATATCCCTAATTATACAGATAACTCTAATAACTGAATGTGGATAATGCCGATAATATTGATAATGTTGACAATGTTCAGAATGTTAATTTCCCTGATAATACTTATTCTTATAACTGAATGTAGATAATGTTGATAATGCCTTTAACGTTGATAACCCTGATAATGCTGACAACACTAATAATGTTGATAACATTGGTAACCCTGGTAATGCTTATAACCCTTATAAAGCTGATAACCCTGATGATGTAGATAATGAATAAAAATTGCCAATAATGTTGATAACATTGATAATGCTGATAATGACAAAAGACTCAGAATGCTCATCATGCTGATAGTGGCATTAAAATAAAATTGATAATGCTGATAATACTGAAAAAGCTGATAATATTGATAACACTGGTAATGCAGACAACACTAATAATGGTGATAATGTTGGTAACATTGGTAATGCTTATAACCCTGATAATATTGATCACCCTGATGATGTTGATAATGAATAAAAAATGCCGATAACATTGATAATGCTGATAATGTTGATAAAGTTATCAACACTGATTATCCTGTAAACACTGATAATGCAGTTAATGCTGAAAGTGATACGAATGCTGTAATGCTTATAACGTTGATAATGCTGATAATGCTGATAATGATAAAAGACTCAGAATAGTGATCATGCTGATAGTGACAATGATACAGCAGATAATGTTGATGATGCTGATTACTCTGATAACAACAATAATGCTTTGATGCTGATAATGTCTAATGTTGATAACACTGGTAAAACCAATAATGCTGTAAAGCTGATAATGCTGATCATGTTGATAATGCTGATAACCCTGATAATGCAGATAATGTTAAAAAAACAATGATATCACCAATATTGCTGTAGTGCTGACAATCCTGATAATGTCGATAATGCCGATAACTCTGACAACAACAATAATAATGCAGATAATGTTGATAAAGCTAATAATGCTGATAATGTGGATAGTTTGTCCGATAACACCAATATTGCTGTAATGCAGATAAGGTGGATAACACTGATTACACCTATAATACTGATAATGCAGATAATGTCGTTAAAGCTGATAATGCTGATAATGTTGATAATGCTTATAATATGGATAACTCTGATAATGCAGATAATGCTGATAACACTGATAATGCAGATAATGCTGAGGAGCCTCAGGAGCTAGGAGACCCCAGCCTCTCTTAAAGGGGACCACCGTCCCGTCCTGCGATCCGTGCCAATCACTGCAAAGTAACATGAACTCAGAGCCGTGGTGGTAAAAGTCAGGAGACAGGTTTTTGTGGCCTTCCTCACCCTGTCAGGATTCTCAATCGCACACTCACCCGTTCACTCTCCATGACCTAAAGTGATGAGGACCTCCACACTTGGTTCTGACCGACCCAACAGAAAACAGGACAAATGGAACTTCTTCTTCTTCTTCTAACTAATATAGGAGAGTTTTCCAGCATACCATCATCAATCTCAGCTGATGATCCAAACAAAGTGGTTAATATTGTTATCAATAATTTTATTCAGCTTGTTTTTGGTCTTTTTATTTGCTGGATTAATCCAAGAACACAGAGGACTCTGAAGGTCTGTGTTTTGGACTTTGTTTCCCTCTTCTCAAACATGAATAATGGGCCATAACTCGATTTCTCTCAAATATCAGGCATCTCCACATGCTTTGGATTGGAGACACAGCGTTCCCGGTTATGATTCATCTCTTAGTTTTGTTTGTAGTTTGAACGCTCATGTTCGAGGCTCAGATCTAAGTCTGTGAACTTGTTTGTCTCTCTGCAGGATCCAGACCTGCAGCTCCTTATGGCTGTGTATGATGAGAACATCCTGAAGAACCCTTTCTACGTGGCCTTAGAGAAGCAGAGACCGGACCTCTGCAGCCGAGTGGCAGAGCTCCACGGCATCGTGAGTCCCAGCAGTAAAAACTCAGACCAAATCCTGATGTTGACTCGCTTTTTAGGAGACAGAGAGTTCTGCGTTCAGCCTCTCAGCCCACTCTCCACCTTCAGGTCTAAACAAAATCAGAGTTTGGTTTTCTCGATCAGCGCAGTAAGATGAAACTTTTCTAGAAAAAAAAACGTCCTCTGAGTGAATCGACAAATATCAAATAGCCTAAATGTCTCCTAAACGCCCGCAAATTCATGTTTTAGCTCCTGGAGACGCCTGAAACCTGAGCAGACGGGGATCAGATGTTTGAATGGAGACCAGCAGCAGATCTGTCAAAACATCGGCAGAATGCAGGAAAATGCGTCTAACTGGATTATAGCGTCTAACAGGCGTTACACAGCAGACTGCTGACCTGGAAAATCACTTACACAACACAGTACAGAAGAAGACAGGCTACAGGCTCAGAGGATCGTCATGAGACACTTCCTGGTTTCATATTCGACCTTAGTATCAGGTCATTAAATCCTCGTAAAAACACGTCCTCTTTTCACAGAATCAGGAGGAACGTTTGAGTTTTGTGCCCATGATGATCAGCTGGATGATGACAGGCTGACATGTAAATGTTCTTTATTCATACAACCCTTTATAAGAACCCTTTATAAGTGCTTTACAGTAGGAAATAAAAATTAATAGATAAATACAATGAAATAAAATAAAGAGTCACCACGCTACTGGGTATTAAGTCTCATTTCCAGACTGAAAGACTCGGTCACCCCAGTGTTTGTGTTTTGACCTGGGCACCTCTGGGAGAAGTTAGTTTGACGACCTCAGAGCTCCCGAACGGTTAAAAGCTCAGTTAAATAGATGAGGACGAGGACATTAAGAGCTTTAAAAACGAACTTTAAAAGTCTAAAATCAATCCTAAAAGAGACGAGAAGACGATGAAGGGAGTGAAGGACAGGAGTGATGAGCTCACGTCTGTTAGTGTCGGTTAAAATCGTGCCCTGAGTTCGTCCTCATCAGGAGAAGACAGTTTGGTCTGAAATGTCTGTTTGAATCCCAGCTGAGTGTTGAATCGGTCAAAGTTAAAGTTCTGTGTGACCCACTCCTGCAGGTTCTGGTTCCTTGTTGTGGGAGTCTGAACGTCAGCAGCTACGCCGACTCTCAGTTCGACAGCTATGTGCTGCACCCGGCGGAGGAGGGATACCAGACTGCAGATGGAAAGGTTCGTGTTTTCTCACAGAGAGCGTCACCTCACCAACAAACAGCTTTAAGTGACAAACGTTTGTTCATTTCCTGAAACTCAAAGACCTAATGCCTCTGCAGGAACAGGTTTTTCTTAATAAACAAACAGTTTCTGCGTCTTATCAGCCGTCAACGAGTCCAAAAACAAGATTTTTTTCCTGAGTCACATGAAAGTGTTTGTTTTAAAGATTTCCAATCCTCCAGTTTTTGTGGTTCTTCTGTTTACAACATGAGGCCAAGTTAGTTTATTCCACTCACCGGTTTACTGACTGCTACCTGATGAGGTGGTAAGTTGACGCACCCTGTTGGAAAAGTCCAGGGGCCTCATTTATCAACCGTGCGTACGAACATTCCCACGCAAAATCTGAAATTGATCGACCTGGACTTGTTCTTAGGAACGTGAGTAAATGTAAGCCCAACTCTGAGCAGGCTTACACACAAACCCTAGTGGTAGAACAGTGAAACTACATGTAGAACCATTAAAGGAGTCACTGAGTACAGCAATCTCAGACTTCACACGTTATCTGTTCCCTCTGTACATAACTGATCAATTAGTTATTGATTGAATCAGCTGTGACAGGACAACCTCAGAAGAAGTCTGACAAGTACAAAAACAAAAACAAGTATCACAGCTTATTTTAAACTATCGGAGGACTTGGAGAACCGCGTTTCCAGAGAGCGTGCTGATCTGTTCGGTGAGAACACAGCAGTGTTGTTTTCGTCAGGCAGGACGAAAACTTAAATGACGACGTCAGACCCCTTTTTTCCTTGACGAAAATGAGACTAAGACGAACGTCACCAAAGCTCTGTAAAGACTAAAATGTGACGAAAATTGTATTCATTTTCGTCAGACGAGAACGAGACGAGACTAAATTGTTATTAGGTGGACGAACAAAGTTTCAAAACATGCTTTTTTTTTGTCCTAACAGTCACGCCCCCATCACACACGCACCAAAAGCCTCGCTCGCGCACAGCTGCGCGCACACACTCATACACATACACAGAGCGGCAGGTGGACGAGGCGCGCGCACACACACACCGTGGCGGCAGGCACAGCAGCGGTGGCCAAAAAAAGAGGGATGATTTTTGGTCCTACTTCAGATACAGTTCAAGTGACAATAAAACACAATGTCTTGTACGGGGAGACGAGACAGACGACAGTTGTGGAGCCACAGCTTCCTCATGCTGCGGCTTCAAACTGTCGGGAAAGAACACAACGAACCTCAAAAGGCACCTTTTTGTTGACTAAAACTAGACGAAAACCTTTTGAGTTTTCGTCGGACTAAAACTAGACGAAAACTATCAAGGATAGAAATGACTAAAATGGGACTAAAACGAAGAAGCATTTCGTCAAAATGACTAAGACTAAAACTAAATCTGAAATGCCTGCCAAAAACAACACTGATCCAGCTCCTGTCCACCCTAACCCCAACATTTCAGCCTGAGATCGGAGACATAGACGACATTTCACAGACAACGCTAAACAGAATCATGTCGGCAGAGTTGATCAATAATTTCTCTGGGATTGTTGATACCATATATGGTCAATTGGAGGCGTTTCTGAATGTAAATGACCCTAACCATGAACGAGCACGGTAGGAAAGAACAGGTGGGATTTATCATCACCGATTACTTGCGTGTGTTCGTACGACCGTGTCCACAGGTTTGAGAAATACAGATTTTTTTGTTCTTACACAAATTTTAAATTTCATTCCTACGACAGAATTTAGAACCTTTTCTACGCACAGCTGATAAACGAGGACCCTGGACTTTTTATGATCCCGTGTGACCCCATCATGACCCCAAAAACCCAGATTCACCAAAGTTGTTGATTTTGTGTGTTTCAGGAGGTCAGGATCCAGGACAGGCAGGTCCTGCTGGGATCCGGCTTCCCTGCCCCGGTGTCGGTCCCCATCCTGTTTGAAGAAACCTTCTACAATGACCAGGAGCAGAGCTACAGCATCCTGTGTATCTCCAGGCCCGTGGAGGTGAACCCCAGCCCGGCCGAGCTCAGCCCGCCGCCCCCCTACTGCCTGAAGAGTCTGGAGGACGTCCGAGAGTTCCTGGGCCGCCACGCCCAGAAACTGGACAAGTTCATCATGGGCTTCTGCCTGGCCTTCAAGGAGCAGGAGAGGAAGGGGCTCAGGCATCACATCGTAAGACGGCTCTCTTCTTCTCTCCTTCCTTTACCGTTTCTTCAGTCTCCTTTATTCAATCTTAGACCTGATCCTTTGGACCTTTAGGTATCAGAAGTCCTGTCAGGACCTCTCTTTGAACCCGAGCAGCTAGGAGCAGTTTTCCTGTTTCCAAGAAGAGAACATGTCTCGGTGGGTCAGGGATGAGGTTTCCCTGCAGGACTGATCGATCTCTGTTCTTCTCTCCTCTCAGGACTCGGTGAACGGTCTCTACACTAAATGTCTTCAGTGTCTGCTCAGAGACTCTCGCCTGGTGAGTAGACCTAAACCTGCAGGACCAGCTTGGACCTAAAAACTGTCGAGACAGGAGGAGTTAAATCAAGAAATATCTCCTGTTCTTCGGCACTTTCTCCGCCGTTTGAAGAGAGGCACGCATGTCTGATTGGATCTCAGAGGCTTTTTGAAGTTTGACCTTCAAAGTCTCTTCAAGCCCTAAAGATCTCCTCCTCCTCCTTCTCTCTCTGGTCTGACCTGCGACCTCACAGCATGTCGATCAGAAACTCGATATGAGGAAGCCTGGCCGTCCCTCTGGAGTCTAATCGAATCAGATCTAATTGAATCTGAGTCTGAGCTGTTTTCAGGCCTGTGTGTTCAGCCTCACCACAGACAGAGGGAGTCTGATCGCTGCTCTCTGCACTGACTTACTGACTGACTGACTGACTGATTGACTGACTGATGTGATCTGTGCATTAGCCGCTTTGACAAACACGGAAATGAACTCCAATGTGATTTTTTTTTCTCTCTCTTTTTGCAGAAACTTCTTGCCAAGCAGGAGCTGCAGATGACTCTCCTCAAACAGGCGGTGGAGGTAACCTGCTGATTTAAAGGGACAGTTCACGGTTGTTGTGTTTGACCATAGACTGTAAATACTACGGACAACTTGGCTCCGCCTCCCGCCAGTATACGGATTTGAAGCCTAAAAGTTCTCGGTATTTCCGCGTTTTTTCTCCATTTCCTTAAACCAACATTGCGCAGTAACGTTGTACGCATTCGGCAGCAGAGTCACTGTGATGACAGCGTATCCCCCGAGTGAGCTACGATATCTCTGTCCTCCCATAGGCTGTATCAGGTGTCAATCAAAGAAAACATGAACCCCCTAATAACTTTTAAAAATGGAGCTGTACAGAAAAAAGAGGACTTGAGCACAAACCAGTCTGACAGTAACTACATGTCAACATCACAACCAGGGGGGAGAAACATTTATATTCTGTGTCATTCATTTATAAAGTTTGTCCACAGCTCCATAAGGAGGCGGGGTTTATGACCTATACTGCAGCCAGTCACCAGAGGGCGCTGTTTTTCGCGGTGGCTTCATTCAACGAGGAGGCAGACGGCGTCCGTTCTATAAACAGTCTATGTGTTTGACTTTAAAGGTCCGTTTTAACGTCGCTTTAAACGGTCTCCACATTTCGGTGTCCTGAAGTCTTTTTTTTGTCTCTTCTCACCTCAGATGTATGTTCATCATGGTATCCATGACTTAATTTTTAACTTTGTGGGAACGCTTGAAGCCAGCCAGGTGAGTCCGCCACAGAGAACAGAGAGCTCAGCAGCAGCATGTTCGCTTTTCTCTCCAGATGACGGTCAGACATATTTCTGCCTCAGTCTTAAATCAGCTTTAAAAGTCTTTTATGAAAACTCAGTAAGTTAAAGATTTAGTTCAAATCTCTGACGTTGATCGTCTTCAGTGATCAGCTGATCTCGTGTCCGTTCTCTGCAGGATGCCGCCTTCAACAAAATCAGCCGGAGTCTGCAGGAGCTGCAGCAGAAGGATCTGGGAGTCAAACCCGAGTTCAGGTAAACCGAAGTGACTGCAAAACCACGCCTTAAAAACCAAAATATAAAAACCATAAATACACCGCTGAATCAATCAATAATATCAGTGATCACCTTATCTGTGAAGCCCCGGTAAAGACAAACGAAAACATATTTACAAACCCAGAGAGATGAGAGGGGCTCAGACAGATCGTGGTCCAAACAGTTGGAGCGATACAACGAGAATAAACCTGAATGACAGTTTAGATACAGATTTACCTTCAAGACTCCTGGAGCAGTAAACTCCAGCAGGACGACAAAGAGCTGGAGAAGACAACGTCATATCATCTGGAACAAACCACGAAGAGAGGATGAAACTGAAAAAATCAAGTCCGGGACAGTCGGATCAGAGCGTCAGTGACGGTGTTGTCAGATCAGATCGACAGTTTCCAGCCCAAACCACAAAGCTGCCAGACACCCGTGTAAACCCGTAAAATAATAACACATGCAGTAGAAAACGCTCGTAAGTATCCAGACCTTCATGTAGCATCAAATAACCACACAGAAATGATAAAAAGGTTTAATTGTAACAAACACGAGCGCAGTAAATCAACCGTAGACGACACAAACTGCAAGATGAACCTCTGGCATCCCAGCGCCAGGCCCAGATTAGTAACAATGACCGCTGCACGTTAAAAAAAGGTGCAAAACATCAGAACACAACATTAGAAAGCACATATATGAGAGAAATTAAGAAAAAAAAAATAATAATAATAATAGTGATAATAATATTAATAATAATAAAAATAATGATAATAATAATTATAAAGTATATTAAGTAAATAACAAAGACTAAATACATATATAGACATAGGGCAAGGTGCTGTGCCGCATTCAGTCCGGGGTTGGGGGGGGGGATGCAGGCATGCAGGCATGCAGGCATGCAGGCATGCAGGCGGGTCTCGCGCGAGTGGGAAGGTACCCGAGGTGGTCCACAAATTTCTTCTACTTCTTCTTCTTATTATTATTATTATTAGTATTATTATTATTATTGATATTGTTCGTGTATTATAATTTTCTTTTGCTTGTCTGACAATTGTAATATTTATTTATTTATTTATTTATTTTTTCATTATTATTCACATATATAATACACACGCCACACACACACACACACAAAAACACAAATGCCATTGTTTGTTGTATGTCTTGTATTGTCACACTGCACAAATAAAAAAAAAAAAAAAGGTGCAGAAATAAATTTATTTACATCACAAATGACCCGTATGAGGACTAAAACAAACAAAAATGCACAGAGCGCCTCTTCCTGCCTCTCTTTTCTCCTCCCCTCTTTTTCTCCGCCCTGCTTTGCACACCTGTGCCGCTGAAAGACGCACATGACCTGTCCGTACAGCATCTGATTGAGATTTCAAACACACGGCCACGAAAAACTAGTTTTAAAATAAACGAGCAAATGCTGTAAATGGGCGACAAATCAGTCACAGTGCAAATTAGAGAAGGTGACATAAAGAATCTTCTTACCTTTTACACAGATTCAGCGTCTTTCTATTAACTTGAACAATATTGAGAACGAAAAACTCACCAAAAGCAGCTCAAATTTTATTCACCCGCCTAATGAATTTTTCCCTCGCCTGACGTAAACGAGAGCGATCAGGAATGAAAAATTCAATCATTCGATAAAATTCTGGTACCTGAAACTGTTTTTTTTCTTCCCGATGTTACAAAACCGTCAGCAGCACCAGAAATGTTAAAAGAGACGAAATACGGCGGGAAGTTTAGAAGCTAGCGGCGTGTTTAAGACCTTCCTGCTTCAGTCAGTCTTTTCTTTAGATCGCTCTCAAATGTGACAAAAACAACGCCACTGAAAATAAAATTAGCAGAAGATACAAAGATTTGTCATGAAGATTTAATTCCTCGTGTATTTTCACTCCAGCAGCTCCTCTCCTCTGTGTCCCTCCTGTCTTCTTCTCTGTCCACCGTCCTGTCCTCTCCAAATAAAGACAAAGATTTTAAATCAGAGCAAAATCAGAGACGTGAACATGTTTGAACTTCTCTGTAATGTTTTACGTCTGTGTTTATTCATCCTTCTGTGGCTCAAATGTTGTTATTTCTTTAAATCTTTCAGTCTATCTTTGATTCGACTTTGACGCTGTTATCTCTTTATGTAAAACATCGGTTTACAGATAATGATTGACACCCTCAGCCGTCAGAAGGCTCCGATGAGAGAGAAAGAAAACGTCAAAATAAGGATAAAAATCCGGCTGAAATGTTCTCAGTATTTCCCAGAGCGTGCAGCCCGTCTCATGGCTCTCACTAACAGATTAATGTCACAGTGGGCTTTAATTGTCAGCATGTGATGAAGTCTGAAATCAGAGCTTGTGATGAGATGTTTTTATAAAACTCTGGAATGGTCTCATCGTTCTTCAGGACACTCGGAGCCTCGTCTTTGCTCCTCTCTCTGTTCCTGCGTCCTCTCTCGCTCACTGATTCTCCAAACTGAGAACGTGTTTTTATTTCCTGTCTCTGCAGCATCAACTTGTCTCGGGCCAAGAGAGAGCTGAGTCAGCTCAACCAGCAGACCTCCCCCCTCCTCAAGCTGCTGTGTCTGCGCAGAGTCGCTCTGACCGCCACACAGACCCCCAGACGCACAGGTACGCCCGCCACCGTGACCGACAGTGAAGGGAGGCCGATGGTGCAGCTACTAAAGCGGTACCTCATACCACCAGGGGGCACCAGAGAGCTCACGCCGTATGCAGCTTTTGGTGGACATAAAGGAGTGAGATTACAGAGGATAGAACACACCTTTAGCTCCGCCCCCGCTCAGTTTTTCTAGCGTTTTCCTCCGAGCTGGAGCGTAACAGTCCTGGACTCGTTTCCGACTCACAAACTTGAACCGGTTTGTTTTCAGGTGTTCTGACCGTGCAGAGACAGACGTGATCAATCAGTCTGTCTTTGAAACTTTCTGCTGTCAGATTTTCAGCTGCTGTTTCCACTGTCACATCCTCTTTACCTCCACTCTGCCCCCTGCTGTTCATGTGCTGTTCACCAATGAATGAATGAATGATTTATTTATTTATTTCGATATAATATGACCGAAAGGGTCTAAGCAGAAGCAATGCTTGTAAAGACCGACCTCTAATACCATACATCGAGTACATTATATTAGGGCCTGACCGATAGGGATTTTTTGGGGCCGATTCCGATTAACGATTAATCGGCAGATTCTTTAAATTTTTTATGAAGTTATAAAAAATATATATATATATATACTGTAGATATCTACATTGGTGTCTCCGTGTCTTCACTCCCGTTCCTCATTTCCGGTCCGGTCTGATCTGGAGACATGCAGCTGCCTCAGTCAGAGAAGTATCTCGATCACTAATGTGTACTGTTGTTTATTCTACCGTTACTGACACGGCTAACAGTGTAGCAAGATGTTAGCAGGTGGCTAACTCTAACTTTAGCTTCATATCCCATGGTGCTTCAGCGTTAAGTGGGCGTGACCGAGACCAGCCCAGCGGGGAACATCGTGAAGTGGGTTGAACTGAAACTTGTCGACTTATTGTGTTTTTCACAAACTGGTTTATTTCCCGTTGAGGCGGACCACTCTCCTCCGTGTCCCTGAGCTGCTGCTTCAGATCCGTCACTCTGCTGTGCTGTGAGGGAGTTAGTGGATGAAGATCGGCATGAGGTCGCTGTAGCGCCATCTACAGGAGAAGTCGGGGAACTTTTCAAATGGTGGAACATTTTCAAAGTGAAACCGAGTCTTATTCTCCTTATTTCTGAAAATATCGGCAACAATCGTCGAGTTAGAGTCATGAACATGTTTACACTTCACATTCATAATCATTCATCATTTTCTCTACAATATTGAGTAATAACATTTTCCTCGTAAAGTCTCTTAAAGACATTTTCTCATTTCTACCGGACAGTCGACTTCCATATTTTCACTCCTTTTACAGACTCACTAGAATTTGAGTTTCTGAAATAATCCACAGCCTCTTCGGTTGTAATTAGAGTCCCTCAGTTTAAACAGGTTCATGTTGCGGTAAGGTTAGGTTTTTGTATTGTGGTTTAATCTACGAGGTCTTTAATAAATTTAAGGAAGTAAAAAGGGGATGAGTTTATTCATGTTAATGTTTATTGCAGATGACTCCTACAGCTCGCTTTTGTCAAACAAATACTGGGTTTGTGTTTCTCCAAATCTCAATACAATAAATCATGTACAGAGTTATCAGGGAACAGTTTAGAGCGGCTAAAACTCTTTCTGTGAAAGTAAATCTTTGGTTTTATACAGAACGGCGTTAGATTTTGATATTTTCTATGTAATATGATTTATGTGTGATTTCCAACTAAGTTTGTTATCTACTATGACCCCGAGGAATTTGTTCTCAGTTATTACCTCCATTTCCTTATTGTCTTTAGTTAGATTTCTACGTTGAATAACTTTCTTATTTCCAAATATAATACATTCAGTTTTGCCAAGATGGAGTGACAGTTTATCGGTGTCAAACTGCACATCGTGTCATCACGCATGCTTTTCTGTATTCATTAACACCAAGTGGATCTGTGGCCTCCATGCTTTAGGATCTGAGGATCTGGAGGAGCTGCAGGTGATCGTCAGCCTGCAGCGTCTGCAACAAAACCCTGGATCGATAAATACTTACAATGTTCTCTCAAATGTAACCCGAGATCATTCTCAGAGACAGAAAACCTTCTTTAGACTGTCAGAGCAGCTGAGGAGCCGTTCTGGTTCAGACCCGTTGAAAACCTGAACGAGGTCGTATTGAGTTTTGACCCTTGACTTGGCAGCGTTGAACAGCCTGTGAGTGACTTTGTGGTTTAAACCTCTTAAACTCCTCTGGCAGGTTTTAAAAACACCAGATTCCCTCTGAAGGACTTCTCCTTACTCTCACCTCATCAGGGAGTCGGTGAACGGGTCACCTCTGCAGACGCTCGAACTGATCTCCTCTGAGCGTCGTAATCAGATCAGCTCCTGGACAATACCCGCTCTGTCAGACTCTAATGTGTTTGTCCAGTTTGCTTTGGAAATCTAAACTTATCGTCCCACTGCGTCCCGCTGTCAGTCTGCAGAGTGGTACGATCCGCTCCTAATTACTGTTTGTCAAGCGGCCAATTGAGTCGTTTGGGAGAGGGATGTGTGTGTGTGTGTGTGTGCTTCCAGTGTTTCACCTAACTCTGTGTGTGTGTGTGTCTTTTTCTGCAGTCAGTATAGAGGCGGTGTGTGCGGACGACCTGCTGTCTGTCATCCTCTATCTGCTGGTGAAGACTGAAATCCCAAACTGGTGAGTAGGGAGGGGATAAACTGTGACCTTTGACCTCTGTGGCCTCAGCAGAGGAAACAAAAAAAAAGCTGATCCGTCATTTCTGGGAACTGCGAATTTTCCGACTGTCACTCCAGTCTGTCATCATTCAGCCTCCGACCGAGTCTGAGGAGTCTGACCGTACAGAGGTTCAGGAGGACCTGGTCCCGCAGTGATCCTCTTCTTAAGGAGAGCATGGTCTTGGTCTCCTCTTCAACACAACATGATGATCATTTTGTAAACTGTAATGTTTAGCGGCGCTCCTGATTGTAAAACAAGTAATGTTTTCGGGCCCAACCCTGTCGAACCAGTCCTGCAAAGTTAAAGCAAACAGCGTGTAAAGTGAGGATTTGTGCAAAGAGCTCATTGTCAAACCTGAAGGGAGATTAAGGATTCACTAAAATGTGACTTTTTAAGAGATGAATCTCCAAAACCACCTCTGCAAAGGTAAAGTAAGGAGGCCGTTAAGACAGTTTAATGACGTGTGTACACAAAGCTGATTTCCACATCTGAGTGTAAATCAAGGATCATTGAAAACTACTCATGTAAACCTAAAGCAAGTGTCCTGTTCAGTATAAAGTGTTTTTTATTTTTGTGTGTTAATTATGATTTATTTACAGTCACCCTCCCGTCTGTTTAAACTGGTGACTTTTGTCGTTGTTTGTCCCCAGGATGGCCAACCTGAGCTACATCAGGAACTTCTGCTTCAGCCACTCCAGTAAAGATGAACTCAGCTACTGCCTGAGCACCTTCGAGGCCGCAGTCGAGTACATCAACCTGGGGAAGCTGCAGGACACACACCATGTAAATCACACACTTTCAACAGGGAGGGAAATTCAATCTTTTAAACTCCGTCTCTTACTGGTTCTGACGCTGGTCTGTGTTTTCTCCCAGGGCTCAGGTGAGCTGAACGACAAGGCCATGTTCAAGGAGAGGATGAGTCTGCTGTCTCAGAGCTCCGCCACGCCCATCCACTGTCTGTTTGAGGTGAGCACAGGACTCTAAACCATCTTTACAGACATGGTTACAGACACGTCCAAGAGCAGGATCTGTGAGAGCTAAAATGAGGCCTCATTTGGATTAACTGTAATCAGTGTTCACATGATAGATTGGCATGTGTGTTTGTTGTCGTTGTGTGTCTATTATAGCACATCGCAAATGGAAACGAATCCGAGGTGGAGCGTCTGCTGAGTGAAGGAGAGAGCAACGAGGACGCCAGGATGTGCCACCCTCTCTGCTCCTGTGACCTCTGTGACCTCCAGTTGTCCGGGTCAGCGAAGCTCATTTGACTTTGTCAGTGCAAGGGCGAATTCCCGACAAAAATCACATGAAAAAGCAGAAAATACACATAAAATAACATAATGAAAACTCAAAATACAATAAAGATCCATAAAATATCATAATTATACTGAAAATACCACATTAAAGTCTTCGAATACAATACCAAAAGTGTAAAATAGCATAAAATACACATTAAATGCCATTATTAAGACTTAAAATACGATAAAAAATACATAAAATATCATAACTCTTAAAAGACAACAATAAAGTCTTCGAATTCAGTGAAAAAACATTAAATAGTAAAAAAAACACACTAAATGGCATTATAAAGACTTAAAATACTATAAAAATACAGTAAAAAAAAACATAATATATCATAATAACTCTTATAATACCATAGTAATAGCTTAGAATACAATAAAAATACATAGAATAGCAATAAATACACATAAAAATACCACAATAAAGGCTTAGAATACAATAAAAAAACAAAACAGTAATAAATATACATAAAAATACTATAATAAGTACTTAAAGTACAGTAAAAATACGTCATAACGACACTTAAAATACCACAATAAAGGCTTAGAATACAATTAAACAGCAATAAATACACATAACAGTACTATGATAAATACCATATGATAATACTTTAAATACCATAATTAATACTTAAAAGTACAATAAAAAAAACATAAAATATTATAATAACTCAAAATACCCAAAACTTAAAATACCACAATAAAGGCTTAGAATACTGTAAATAAAAACATAAAATTGCTATAAATACACATAAAAATACCATGATAAAGACTTAAAATACCATAATTAATACTTAAAAATACTTAAAATAGCATAGTAACACTTAAAAGACCACTATAAAGGCTTAAAATACAATAAAACAGCATTAAATACACATAAAAATACGATGATAAAGACTTTAAATACCATAATTTATACTTTAAAATACAATAAAAAAACATAAAATATCATAATAACTCTTAAAAGACCACAATAAAGTCTTTAAATACAATACAAACACACAAAACACACACAAAACACCATAATGAGACAGTTTTGAAAAAGTTGATTAATATTTCGTTCTTCTGTTTTTTTCACTCATTGACACTCTGGACTGAGAGGCAGCTATGGTGGGTGGTGGTGCTCATGGGAAATGTAGTTTTTATCCTGAAGAAACAAACTGACTAATCCAAAGAGATCACCAGACTCTCCTCTCGGTGCCTTTAGACCAGCAGCAGCAGGGCCCCAATATCAGCTGAGGTGGATTTAGTGTTAAAGTCCAGAGGTGTCACAGAGGCGGACTTTCTTCATGGGGGGGGCGGTTGGTCGCAGGTTTGAAGTGACACAGAGAACAGAGCCTTTCTCTGACAGCACACACCTGTTCTTGGGTCGTTCTTGTCCGGTTTTTACTTTTTTAGAAACTTCACCGTCTCATTTTCATTTCCATTCAAACTCAGTTCCCTTTTCGACTCGTGGTTTTACACCCGAGCCTTGAATCAGGAACTGAACATGTTTCACTTCCTGCTCAAAGACAAACAAAGGCTTTGTGTTGATATCTGCTGAACTCTGGGATTACATCATGACTGTGATCAGCAGGTGAATCTGATCCGTGACATTCGGGACAGTCTGTACTTCCTCTTGATGGACGTAAGAAGCTGCTGGTCTCAGGACAGGGCTCGACAGTGCGACCGTTTCACTCACATTTAGTTTTAGGTTGGATATATTTTCCTGTAAATACGGCGGTGAAGTTAGTTTTAGGTTGGATATATTTTCCTGTAAATACGGCGGTGAAGTTAGTTTCAGGTTGGATATATTTTCCTGTAAATACGGCGGTGAAGTTAGTTTCAGGTTGGATATATTTTCCTGTAAATACGGCGGTGAAGTTAGTTTCAGGTTGGATATATTTTCCTGTAAATACGGCGGTGAAGTTAGTTTCAGGTTGGATATATTTTCCTGTAAATACCGCGGTGAAGTTAGTTTCAGGTTGGATATATTTTCCTGTAAATACGGCGGTGAAGTTAGTTTCAGGTTGGATATATTTTCCTGTAAATACCGCGGTGAAGTTAGTTTCAGGTTGGATATATTTTCCTGTAAATACGGCGGTGAAGTTAGTTTCAGGTTGGATATATTCTCCTGTAAATACGGCGGTGAAGTTAGTTTCAGGTTGGATATCTGACGGACATTCTCTGAGGATCTACCGGTGTCTTCTCACTCTCCATAACCGGGAATAACAACAGCAGCGCGGTTAAATCTACTCGACACCCTCACTGTCAACGTCGGTGTTGAATAAGGGACCGTCAATAAATAACTTGTTGTTCTCAAAAAAAGCTGTTTTCCTTCAATAGGTTCCATGTCATTTGACCAATTGACCTAAAATTGATTTTGAATAATAATAATCATGTTGGACGATAAGACACGCCTCTTTATTTCCCTAATTTGTCCTCTAAAAAATTTTGTTTTGAATTAAAAGGAAAATTTTGAACATTTTCTTCAATAGCTTCCATGTCACATGACCGAAAGACGTTGTCGTTGACGTTGTAGTCGTTTTCTTCCGCTTCATCCGGGTCCGGGTCGCGAGGGCAGCAGCTTCAGACGGCCCTCACCCCGGCCACTTCCACCAGCTCCTCCTCCGGGGGGATTCCCAGGCGCTCCCAGACCAGGCGAGAGATATAATCCCTCCACCTGGTCCTGGGCCGGCCACGAGGTCTCCTCCCGGTGGGACATGTCTGGAACACCTCTAATGGGAGGCGTCCAGAAGGCGTCCTAACCAGATTCCCGAGCCACCTCAGCTGACTCCTCTGGACGTGGAGGAGCAGCGGTTCTCCTCTGAGCGCCTCCCGAGTGTCCGAGCTCCTTACCCTATCTCTAAGGCTGAGCCCGGACACCCTGAGGAGGAAACCCATTTCAGCCGCTTGTATCTGCGATCTTGTTCTTTCGGTCATTACCCAAAGTTCATGACCATAGGTGAGGATCGGCACGTAGATCGACCGGTAAATCCAGAGTCTCTCCTTACGGCTCAGCTCTTTCTTCACCACCACTGATCGGTTAAGCGTCCGCATCACTGCTGACGCGGCTCCGATCCGCCTGTCGACCACATGTTCAGTTTACGAAGAGGGACGTTTGTCTTTGTTTTGTGTGTTTTGATGTTTTTCTCTCTGCTGCAGGCGGCTAAACGACCCCTCCATCGTCACGCCGTTCTCCAGAGACGACCGCGGTTACACTCCGCTGCACGTCGCTGCCATCTGTGGTGAGCAGCTGTAAACACACACATACAAGGGCGCTGAAACTCTAACCTGTGTGTTTAAAACATCTGTGTGTGTGTGTGTGTGTGTGTGTATGTGTGTGTGTGTGTATGTGTGTGTGTGTGTGTGTGTGTGAGGCAGGTCAGTCCCAGCTGATCGACCTGCTGGTGTGTAAAGGAGCTCCAGTAAACGCCACGGACTACCACGCCCTCACGCCGCTGCACCTGGCCTGTCAGAGGGGATACCAGGGCGTCACGGTGAGGACACACACACACACACACACACACACACACACACACACACACACACACACACACACACACAGATCCACGATTGTTGTTGCAGATGAAAACACGGTAAAGAAAGAAAAGGTGGTGATGATATAAAATGAGAATACGACTTTGTGTCCTCCAGCTGCTGCTGCTGCACTACAAAGCCAACACGGAGGCTCAGGACAACAACGGGAACACGCCGCTGCACCTGGCCTGCATGTACGGACACGAGGACGTACGTCAAACTCTCACTTTGTCTTCACCGTCCAGATCCGTCTTTATAACGACCTCTGAGCACAGATGTTTTCTTTGGTTCTGACTGAGAAACTGTGTTTTGTGCGTCAGTGTGTGAAGGCCTTGGTTTACTACGACCTCCAAACGTGCCGCCTGGACCTGCAGAATGATAAAGGTGACACGGCGCTGCACATGGCGGCCCGCTGGGGCTACGAGGGAATCATCCAGGTGCTGCTGGAGAACGGAGCGAGCACGGACATCCTGAACAAGAACAAAGACTCGCCGCTGCAGTGTGCGCTCAACTCCAAGGTCAGGAGAAGTTCCCCGGGTCTCACACGACTGAATATATGTCCGAGTTTTCAGACGGGTCCAGATCCTCAGAGGGTTTATAAACTGATATAAGAAAGGCGACGGTCTGCAGACGTCACCTCCGCCTGCTGATGCAGAGAGTTAATCCGATCCGGCCTGAGGGTCTGGCTCTGAAAACCTGACCTGAGATCAGCTGACGTAGCTCTGCCCCGTCATCCTCCTGCTGCTCTGATCTCCTGACGTGTTTCTGTGTTTCGTCCTCCTTCAGATCCTCATGTTGTTGCAGTTGACTCAGAACGGACGACAGCGCAGCGGCAGTGGACTCGATGTGAGTCTGATCTCCTTTTCTTCAAGACCTGTGGGGTCAAAGGTCATAGATTCCAGACTTGATGAACGACAAATAATCATGTCCTTTAAAAAAAAAGATTATTCACTTAATTTATGCAAAAATTAAACCTGTTTTTACTCAGTGCGTCAAGGACTCGTGTTAAAACTGCATTTCTGCTTATTTTAGTGTCTGCAGCTTCTGAGAAAGACCTGCTCAGATTTATTTAGTCTCCTCCTCCTCCTCCTCCTCTTCCTCCCCTTCCCAGTCTCCCTCTCGCTCCCCTCAGGCCTCCGACTGCAGCAGCCGCCGCTCCTCCATCTCCAGCACCTCCTCTCTGAGCTCCGAGGTCAAACCGGAGGCTGAGCGTGTCCGACACAGAGAGGTGAGACCGCAGCAACACTGAGTCCTGTGGAAACTCAGTAAATGAGTTTTCTCCGTGTGGGAATATGTCAGAGTAGAGTGTGTGTGTGTGTGTGCACTGACAGTGTGTATATCTGTGTGTGTGTGTGTCTGTGTGTGTTTGCAGGTGGAGAAGCTGCTGCGTGCTGTGGCAGACGGAGACGTGGAGATGGTGAGAATGAAGTCATTTTTTCAGTCTTTGTAGGCCTGATAGTTCAGAGAGGTGGGCGGTCCAACTTCTCAGTTCACCTGTGTGTGTGTGTGTGTGTGTGTGTGTGTGTGTGTGTGTGTGTGTGTGTGTGTGTGTGTGTGTGTGTGTGTGTGTGTGTTCAGGTGCGTTACCTGTTGGAGTGGATGGATGAGGAGGAGGAGGATGAAGGAGAGCTGCGGTCTGAGGTTCTGCTCTGTCACCCGCTGTGTCAGTGTCCAAACTGCGCTCCCACCCAGCAGGTCTGCCGTCGCTCAGAGATTAACTACGTTCAATAATCAATAAGATGATTGATCTGTTTTAACTCTGACACTGTGTGTGTGTGTGTGTGTGTGTGTGTGTGTGTCACAGCTGTGCGTCCTGCAGGCCGGGGCTCTCAGCGTAAACAGCTCCAACGTTGACGGTTTCACGCCGCTCCACGTCGCCGCCCTGCACGGCCACGCAGGACTGACCGGCCTGCTGATTCGCCACGGAGCCAACGTCAACGCGCGCACCAACCAGAGCGCCACGCCGCTCCACCTGGCCACGCAGAACAGCCACATCCAGGTAGGAGGGGAAGAGTCCGACCAAGGATGAAAGGAGACAAGGAAGGAAACGATGAAAACAAGGCTAAAAAAAGAGTGTTTAAGTCTGTAGCAGAGGGTCCGAAGTTTGGCGTCCAGGGTCCGACCATCACCGATTTAAATGATGATGGATAAATAAAATAGAACAGAATAGAAATTAATTTTATAAACTAGAACAGAACAGAATAGAACTTAATTTAATGGTATAGAAAAAGAATATAATAGAATTTCAATATCTAATAATTTATAGTATAGGTTATAGTATAATAATCTATACTATATATATATATATATATATATATATATATATATATATATATATAATATGATATAATTATAGTATGATTTTATAGTATACAACAGAATAGAATTTAATTTATAGAACAGAAAAGAGTAGAACAGTATAGAACATGACTTTATAGAATAAAACAGAATAGAACTAAATTTATAGAATAGAACAGAATTAAACAGAATAGAATAAAACATAACTTTATAGAACAGAGTAGAATAGAACCTAATTTTATAAAATAGAACAGAATAGAATGAACTAGATTTTATAGAAAAGATCAGTATAGAATAGAACAGAATAGAACCTAATTTTATAGAGAAGAACAGAATAGAATAGAACAGAACTTAATGTTGTAGAATAGAACAGACTAGAATAGAACTTATCTTTATAGAACAGAACAGAATAGAACTTTATGGAATAGAACAGAACAGAACTTAAATTTATAGAACAGAACTTAATAGAACAGAACTTAATGTTGTAGAATAGAACAGACTAGAATAGAATTTATCTTTATAGAACAGAACAGAATAGAATTATAATAAAATGTTCAGAACTTCTGATCCCTCATGAAATGTAAGCTCGGAGCGGACTGAGACTCCTCGTTTTTTCAGGTTTCTTGATGGAGGTGATCGTTCACACTCTCTCCTCGCGCCGGTGATTAAAATATAATTTCACACTGCCTCATTATGTGGAAGTGGGTCAACCACCACCTGCAAAGCTCTCTGCAATGAGGAAGTGTGTGTGTGTCCATGCTGCTGGAGGTCTCACTGGTGCCACCCTGTGGTGCAAAGACAGACGTTCAGAAAATCAAACCCTGAAACGGTCTTTGTGTGTTTTCTGCTCGTTGTTCAGGTGGTGAGGATCCTGCTGGAGTGCAACGCCAAACTGAATAAGAAGGATCACTACGGCAACACACCTTTAGTCCACGCCTGTCTGTGCGGGAACGTGGAGACGGCCACCACTCTGCTACAGGTGAGACAAAAAAGAGGTGAAAGAGCCCTTTAACTTTGAGTCTGTCCACTGAAACTACGCCCGGAGGAGAGGGAGGACTCTCTGACAGAAGAGGGAAACGCTCAGTCTCAGCACGAATCTGTTTTCGTTAAACGCTTCCTGTCCAAGACCTTTCATTTGTGCTCTCTCCCTGCAGAGTAACGCTCTGGTCAACGTGGTGAACCTTCAGGGGAACACCGCCCTCCATGAGGCGGTTCGAGGCGGACACCAGGCGCTGGTGGAGCTGCTGTTGAGGGGCGGAGCTTCACCCGGCATCAGGAACAAGAGGCAGAGGACGCCCCTGGACTGCGCCTACGAGCTTGGCGGCAAGGTAGACGACGTTTCCAGTGAACTGCTTGATCGGATCTCTTAGTGAACTTGACTTTGTGAAAAGTTTGTGTGATGAAGAGGCTGACGGCACAAAAGCTTTGTTTGATGGATAAAACACATCAGGTTAATGAACGACTCAAACCTTTAGACACTGTCCTTATTCAATCTGCCAAACGTCTCCTTTTTATGATGTTTTGTTCTGTTGGATCTTCACCTTGAATTCAACAAGGTCAGAAAGTTCTTAGAAATCCCTGCAGAGACACAGTCAGAAACTCGAGACGACAGTTTAAGTCTCTGATTTTCAAAGACGAGCACTCACAGGTCGTTTTATTTCTCTGATTTCGCTGACGTCTGGAAGAAAAGTGGGTTTTTAAACGGCTCCAACAAAAGGCTGAATGTTTGTGTAATCTGGATTTAGACTCTCAAACAAACAAACATCAAAGGAAAAAGTCGGAGAGATTCGGACAATAAAAGAAAAACGTTCCTGCATGAGGCTTAGTTTACTCGCTAAGTCGGTGCAAATATTTCATCAGTTTAAGCTTTTAGGTTCTGGACCCTAAAAAATGAGATTTTTCTGAAAGACTGTTAACTCTTCAGACCAAAAACAGTCTGAGCAGCATCCTGATGAACTTCTGAACTTCTTCAATCCTGCAGAACACGGAGATCCTGAGAGCTCTGCAGAAAGCATCCGGACTCTCTCCAGACGCTGAACCGATCAAACTCCTCTCTGTGCCCAAAGGAGCTCTGGGTAACCGACACCATCCATCCATTCATTCATTCATCCATACATAATGCATTCATCCATCATCCATAACCCATTCATCTATTATCCAACCATTCATCATACATTTATCCATCATACATTCATCCATTGTACATTCATCCGTTCATCCATCCATCATCCATAACCCATTCATCCATTCATCCATCCATTCTTCATCCATTTATCCATCCACCCATCCATCAATTATCCATCCATCCATCCTTCCAACACCCATCCATTACCCATTCATCATTCATCCATCCATCATCTGTTCATCGATCAATCATCCATCCATAATGCAGTCATCCATCATCCATAAGCCATTCATCTATTATCCATCCATTCATCCATTCATCATACATTCATCCATCATACATTCATCCGTTCATCCATTGATCATCAATTCATCCATCCATTATCCATTTATCCATCCAACATCCATTCTTCATCCATTCTTCATCCATTCATCCATCCATCATCCATCCATCCATTATTTGTTCATCCATCCATCTTTTTATTCGTCCATCCAACCATCAATCATCCATCTTCTATTCATCCATCATTCATTTATCTGTTTATCCATCCATCATCAATAACCCATTCATCCATTATCCATCCATCCATCCAAAATCCATTGATTTATCACCCACCCATTCATCCATCCATCTATCATGTGTTCATCCATTCGTCCATACGTCCATCATCCGTTCATCCATACATACATCCCTCCATTATCCATTCATCCGTTATCCATTCATCTATTCATCCATCATCAGTTCATCCATACATCTCTCCCTTATCCATCCATCCATAATTTATCCACCATGCATAATCCATCTATCCATCCATCATCCATTCATCCATCCATCCATCCATCATCCATCCATTATCTTTACCCTTTATCCCTCCTTGGTTGTGTGGAGAAAACCAACAATTCTCACTAAATAACAAACATGTATGACGGATGATTTTAAACATCGTAAAACAAAAGTAAAAAACACACAGAGGTGCAAATATATTCCAGCAGCAGAATTCTCGTTACCACACAGTCGTTAGTTATTCTGTTTGTTTGCACTATTTCCTGGTTCATTTCTCTGTCGTTGCTCTGCAGCTCACTCATTCGTCCAGCGTCTGCGGCTGCAGGATCATGCGAACGGCAGGAGACAGAAGCTGGCCCAGTCCATCAGCAGGTGGGCTCTCTCAGCTGGTCTTAAGAGTCACAGAACTGAAGAGTCTGAGTTTTTGGTTTAACGGGGTTTGTTCTGGTTCAGGATGCAGCAGATGAAGAAAAGTTCCTCCGGTCCTCCACCCAGGTGTCCAGCGAACATGAACCAGGTACTCTTGCTTTAATTTCATGGCTGGTTATTTATAATGTAACAAGCAAAGCGAGAAAGACGGGAACAGAGAGCGTTCAATTCCAGAGTTCATGTAAAGCTTGTAAACACACAGGCGAGTGTAAACAGGTGAGTTCGATACAACCTGAGCCGCGCACAGCTGTCATGAATCGAAAACTGAGCTCCACACAGAGAGCTAAACTGGTTTTGTACCAGACTGTAAACATGTTTATTTCTGCTGTAAAGTTCAACATTTTAACATGGGGCTCTATGGGGATTGGCTCACTTTTGGACACAGCCTCTAGTGGATGTTTGAGGAACTGCAGGTACTTTTCCTGATATTTATAAATGCTTTACTAAAGGACAGCTGTAGGATATCAATGAAATTTATTGGAGTAATATAGAAGTGAGGACAATGGAGCTTTAGTCGACTTTGTACTCGCAGAGAAAAATGTACACACAGAATCCTGATCACACCAGAAAACGTGAAAACTGAGCCTTTGTAATTAGAATAAAATGGTCAGTCATAATAGTTATAATAATAAAACTGATATTTTGAGAGAAGAATTCAAATTATTATGAGGAAAAAAAGTTTATTTACAAGATCAAAAAGTGAAATTATGAAAAATAAATTAAAAAAGGTTGAAATGGGGCGATAAAAAGTCATAACTATATGTACTGAAGTCATGAACGTGGGATAGATTATAAATATTTAAGGGTAAATAAAGTTTTAAATATTGAAATAAATTGAAGAAATACTGAAAAAACAGAACTTTTTAATTTCATAGCTACGACTCACTTTTCCATTATTTTGATTTACATCCATTTTAAAACTTTTTATTTCCTAATTGTGATTTCTCATGTAATTACATTAATCTGATTTTTTCTTCGACTTTGATTTGTTTTCCTTTTATTTTATCTTTTTATATATTTTTCTTTTTATCTAATCATTATGATAAAAATGAGGCGGTTTCAATCATCAGTCTGATTTATAAAACTTTAAACCACATTTGAACAAATTAAAGTATCATCAGCTGTTACTGCCCCCCGACCCCGACTGTCCCCCCTCAGGTGAACCCCGACAGGAGGAGGCTGAGGCGAGGGGAGACGGTGGAGGTCAGCAGCCCCTCTGGAAGCCTGATGGCAGGACCCCGGCTGAGGGAGCGTCACCTGGGTCGCTGGCACACCCTAGACTCAGGTGAACACACACCTGAGCCGCCTCGGCCCAAACACACCCCCAAAACCTCCAGCCTCCAAGCGTACAGAGCCAAAACCCAGCCTGACCAAGGCGAAGCACACTCCTCGGACTCTAACTGCAGCCAAACCTCACCCTCCTCCTCCCCCAACGCCACATCACACTCACCTGAAGCCTTCCCCACACACACCTCCAACAACCACTCCACGTCGCATGACCCCGCCGAGCCATCAGAGACCTACGGGCAGGGTCTCCGCCCTCTGAACGGGAAGTCAGAGTCGCCCAAAGACCAGAATGCCACCGAGGCTTTTGAGGCTTTTCAGTCGGAAAGCGAGGACGGAGACTCCAGCTCCACGATCCAGACTGACGAAGGCCACCAGAGAGACACCAACCAAACCGGAGAGACCAACTACTCCACCGAGATGGAGATGTTGTGAGGCAGCACACAGAGAGACTAAACAGACCCCAGAGGTCACTTTCCTCACGTAGAACAAAAACACCAAATATTCACTGAGAGCGAGCGGAGGAGGGTAAAAAACAGCTGATGGGGAAACGAGTTCTTATTCTGCATTTCAGAATAAAGTTCAAGTTTAAGGTTTTAGTTCCAGGTAAAAGAAAAAGTTAAAGTCTTGGTTTTGTTTTTGGTCAGTTATGACAGATCTGTCTCTAATTTTCAGGAGTAAAACTCTTTTTTTCCAAATTTTTAACTTTTTTTGTAATTTGAACCAATTTTCCAACATTTCGTCTCCCATTTTTTTTCATTTATGACCTTCATTTCATATTTTTAACACCTGAAATCTGTCGGATTGGTTCTTTAAATCCAGAAGGCAGGTTTAGTTCTTGGTATTTCTATTTATTTCCTGATGATTTCAGCTTTTTTTTCCATCTTTATATTTTACATTTGGCCTTTATTTCCTCTAAAAACTACAAAATGTTGATTATTTCTTAATTTTTCACTTTAATTTGAAATTCTGATCCAGTTCCCAACATGTGGACTTTTTGACTTTACTTTGGTTCTTCCACCTTGAGCCTTAACATTTGAATTGACATTTCAGAGTTTTTTTAATTTAACTTTTTATGTTTCAGTTTTTATTTGCGACATTTTCACAGATGTATAAACGGTTATTTTTGGAAATTATCCTGAAAACTTTGGCCTAAACCAACCAAAGTTGCTTTTTCTTGTCCCTTTGACTGTGTTCTTGACATCTTAAATGTATTATCAATTCTTTGAAACATTTTTCAACATTTGGACTTCATCTAATCATTTTAACTTTATTCTAGAAATGCAAAATAAACAGAATCCCCCCCATGACCCCCTCACACTCCTCTGTAGAAACTAGATGTTTGCCTGATGTAGAGAGAAAAGCACACGCTCTGAGGTGTTATGACTCTTAGATGAAGCTCACCAGCTGCATGACTCTTTAGAAGAAAACACAAAGTGAAGTCACGTTTTAAAAGCTCATATTTCAGTTTTACTCTGAATTAAAAGAGTTGTCAAATCTAAGGGGCCGGTACACTCAAGATCCACAACGGTACTTCAACAGGTGTTCACAGAATTCTTCTTCTCTCCACGACAAACTGAACGTTCAAAACTGATAAGAACAACAAACGAAGCAGGTTCAAAGTCAGTGCTCTGTGGTAGACACAGGAGAGGCTGCGAGCTGAGCTACTGCTGCCTTCATTTACAGTTCAATCCACTGAAACTTCACACACTTTTAAAATGTCAGATTTAACAGCCACAAAAACATGAAAACTTGTCCCTACACAAAGTTTACAGATGGGCTTCGGGGGCTGTGAGCTGAGCTGGTGCTGATGAGAGCTAACAATAATTTTGCACCCACTTAAAAAGCTGAGTTTGCTGACTGAAAATGTTCAAGTCCCTCACCACAGAACAAAAACTCAAACTAAAACTCACGTTAACTTTGGAAGATAGTTTTGAAAATAAATGTCTGCAATCCCTGAAGTGGTGGGTTGAAGAGGCTGCGAGCTGAGCTGTCAAAAACCGTCCAAGTCCCCCTTTTCAAAACAATAATAGTCGTGAAAACCAGTATCAACATTTTGAAAGCCTCTAGATTTAGTAATTAGGACTCACTGTGAGTCTTTGGGGGGGCTGCGAACTGAGCTGCCACTTTCTTTTCCCTTTACAAAACAAAAAAGGTCCTTTTAAAAGCCACATCAGAGTTTTAAAAGATTTTTTTTGTCTTTAAAAGTGCGCAGGTCTTTAAAGCCTGATGTTTGACTATGGAGGCTGCATAGCGAGCTGTCGCTATCAAAAGATGACTGAAGGTTCACCATTAGTTTACTGGAAACAGTGCAGTACCCCCTCTAAAACATTAGACCCTCATTTTAAGAGACTTTGTTGTATTAGTTTTAATTTCTCAACGGTTTGGAGTGTAGGTTCAGGGGCTGCGAGCTGAGCTGTCACTACCTTTATCTCTGAAGCAAAAAAAGTCAGAGTAAAAACCATTTTTTCAGGAACATTCACTGGTGAAAAAAAATGTTTAAGTCTCTCTTTGCGGCATAAAAAAAGTCTCAAAACCCACATTTGTAACGTTTAAAGAGCGGATGTATTCTAAATTTGCTTTTCTGCCAGGCTCAGTGTGAGGCTTTGGGGGCTGTGAGCTGAGCTGCTGCTAGTTTGTCTCTGTATTTAACCAAAGTAATCCACTTGGTTTTATAATTCATCCTAAAAGCAAACGCCACCAGCTGAAATGGTTGTGTATGTCAGCTGAGAGCTGGTGCTGCAGAGAAACTCTGATGAACGTGCTTCTCTAAGATAAAGCATGAGACCAGTAAAAGCTGATAAAGGAGTTTTGTTCCGCACAGAAACCAAATCCAGTTCAGCTGACGGAAACGAGAACAGCTCGAGAACAAAAGTCCTCACGCTGTTCTGAAAGTGGTGCTGAGGCACATGGAGGAGGAGGAGCTGTTGTGCTGCAGTTACACATTCAATCCAAGTTTTATCAACAGGATGTGAGCGTTTCCTTTTTGATGGCGGAGGTTGCAGCTCCTGAAGATGGTAAAACGTGTGACTGTCAAAGTGGAGGGTGATAATGTTACACCTTTCACCTCCAAATTCTGCCGGACTCTGCTATGCAAGAATCCCATTTCTGGCTTTTTTTGCTTCCCAGATTTTCTTCAAATGATACAGGAACAAAATTTCACTAAAAATGTGATTTATACCAGCAGCTGACTGAAACTTTACATTACTTCTTTTTACTTTTCCTCCTCCTTTTCTCGCTTGAGTTTGAAGCACTTTTTTCTTCAAATTGTCACAAAAAAGGGATGCAAACTGATGTTAATCTAGTTTTATGTTGATTGTTGTCGTTTTATTTTTCAGTTGGAGTCACCAGAGTGTAGCTCTGATTTCACCACCAGGCTCCGTCTGAAAAACTGTTTGTTTTGTTCGGTTTTACTTGAATAGTTCTTATTTTTTGTTTGATAGATAAAAACAGATTTACAGTTTGGTTAACACAGTATTACTTCACTTCTACTCATGTAGGATTATTCTTTAAACTGGCGTAAATTGGTGTGTTGTGTGTTGGAGAGGTTGCAGCTTCCTCGTAATGTTAGAAAGTGTTTCCTCCAAATATAGATCCAACAGCTGCTGTGGTTTGTTTAGATTAAAATTCTGATATTTAACATCACTGCAACTGTTTTTAAAATCACTCAGAGTTCATTTAATTTTTTTTAAGAATTACCCAAAATGATCTGACATTTTAAATCAATCTCTTTTTGTGTTTAAATATTTAAAATTTGATTCATGTTGATTTTGGCGCCCCCTGTGGACAAAAAGAGTACCTCCCCTCTTCTTAGTTATGCGTATGTGTGAGCGCTGTTTCCGGACAAAGAATCTCTTTATGCTGTGTTTTAAAACTCCTAAATCTTAATAATGTAAAATGTAAAACAGGATCGTTTTGGTATCTTGCGGTGTATAAATTTATCCGGCGCCTTCCCCCTCAGCGTTTTTTTATATTCATTGAAAACACCTTTATAGAAATAGCCGAGCTTTTTCCTGATAGTCTGGTTTGCGTTTGTATCTCATAACGATGCATAAATATTAGTTTTAGCCTTTTTTTTAACCCGATAAAAACTCCTCATGAAAATGTAACTAACTGTCAAAACAGCACAGACTACGAGCGCTGTGATTGGTCCGCTGGACAGCATCTTATTTCGTATTTGCTACATTTGAAGTTTTGTCGTATATCTAGTACTATCACCCCGCCTCTTACCTTCTCTGTAAAAGCTGCAGTTCGATTAACTTCTGCACAGAGCAGGTGAAAGTAGCAGGACCAGTAACTGTTGCAGAAACCGCGCTGCCATCTAGTGTAGAAGCAGAGTATTGCAAAGCGACACACCAGAATGTGAAGCTGTTGAAGTGCGTCGCTACGATGTAAAGTTCGTACTTCAAAAGGAAAAGTCATAAAACTCTCCTCCTTCATGTCTGATCAGCATCAGCAAAGAAATAGTATGAACCACTTTGTCCACAAGGGGGCGCCATCATTGACATAAGAGTTACTCGCAGAAGCTTTAAATTACTGGAATATTTTGTTGCAGCTCTGGAGACCATTTAAAAAAGTACTGGATGTTAGAATTCAACAAAAGTGATTAATTTAGTGGAATTTAACGCAGAAGAGTCAGGGGGTTTGTTGTATTTAAGTTTGTCATAAAGATTTGTGTGATTTTGCATCGAGTGAATTTAAACAAAATGAAATGATCACTTTTTCTGAGTGATTTAAAACGGATGTTGTCATGGAGAGCCTGTTGGATGTCAGATTTCTGGAGACGGTTTTAAAAGTGGAGAAGTTCAATCAATCTTAGAAACTCGACTTCACCCTGATTATTTTCATCCATGTAACTGCGTTTTAAAACAAATCCTGCAGACTGTGCTGTGAGAGGATTATCAACTGTGGCGCCCTCTGCTGGAGGAACTCTGTCATTACACCACTTTGAGCTCACCTTGACTGTTGTTTTCCGTAAAAAAAAAAAGTTAATTATCGTTTAAAATTACAAATGTACACCCTGAAACAAACTTATGTAGATGTAAGGCCGACACTGGTGCGTTGTTGTGACTGTTAGCATGAGTTTAAAGTCAGTGTAGGTTGATTTTTGCAGCAAACTGATCTGAAATCTGAACTGTCTGTCTGCAGGTGCATCAATCTCAGAAACTGACTGTATTGTTGTAGAGATTTCTCAGCGGTGACGTCAAACACAAAAGAGTTTACGAGGAAAATGAGTCATGCAAAATTGCCGTTTTAGTCTTTAAATATTCATGAATACTCTGATCCATCCAACCATGATGGAACAGCTGCAGTACTGTATAACTGTCACCGCCAGGGTTTACTCCACTGTCCATGAACTGTGTGTGACTGCAGACCGCCTCAGTGAAGATGAGGCTCCGGTTTAAACTCTTAAACTCTCGGTCTGTCATGTTTTCTGATTTTTTTTTCCTCTCTGATAATCAGCCGTGTGTTTCCGATCTCCTCTGATTCATGTCGACACGCAGAAACACTCACAGCTTCAGGAAGGCGGCGTCCTGGTGTTTCAGTGTCTAATTTCAACTGAAAAGATGTCAAACCCAATCAGAAGTCTTAATTATTTTTGTACCACTGTTTTCTTTCAGGTTGAATGTGTAAAGATGATGTGAATGTGCCTTATTTAATTCCCACACAAATAACCAATAATAAACCTGTCATTGAGACCAAGCCTGTGACTGTCAGGGTTGTTTTTTTTCATGTAATACTGATGTGGTTTCATTTTCATTTTCTTTATTTTAATTATTACAGATGTCCTGAGAGAAATCCAAAAGTCTTCATGGCATCATTTTAATTTTAACATATTTATAAATAATCTGAAACCAACAAAAGAGGTCAGAAACAGAAACTTTTTCAAAAGATTATCATTATTACTACATCACTTGAAAATTGTGCTCTAACATAGACTTAGACTTTCTTTCTTTCTGTCTTTATTTGATTTCTCTCTGCAACCAAAAGTCATTGCTTGGCTTCCATATCACAGCTTGATGGATTTTAATTTAATGTACAAAAAGACAATAAAAACTAAGGGTTTATGTTCTTATTTACACATAATAGCTACAGCTGTGGTATGTTTTTACTACAATAGCCAGCACCTCACCTTTGTTCTAAGATTTGGTGTCTGAGACTCACTTCAGTGTGTAATATGCTCCAAAGTTGATAGTCTTTCATGCAGAAAACACACCGTCAAAATTTAGATCTAAATTTAAAAGCAGGGTCGGTTGATCAATAGAGGGCGCCGCACCCTCTGTCTCAACCATAGACTGTATATATTATGGACAACTTGGTTCTGCCTTCTGCCAGTATACAGATTTGAAGCCGAAAAGTTCTCTGTAATTCCGTGTTTTTTTTTTTTCCACTTCCTGAAACCAGCGTTGCGCAGTAGCGTTCTAATCATTCGGCGGGAGAGTCGCTGTGATGACGCTCGGCTCAAACAGCGTATCCTCCAGGTGAGCTACGATCATAGAACTCCTATTTCAGCTTCACTTCATCGGCTCCTGGTAAGTTTTAGAATTGATTTTTAATATTCAGATCCATCCAATAACATCATTAATATTCATTTGATTATTAGTAAGAACTAAACTGAGACAGCTGTTAGAATATAGATTTCTTTATTGAGTTCATATTTCATAAACGTCGTTACATCAATTCTTACACCTGTATTACTCCTCTTGAATTTTTCACCCTTCTTTTTTCATTCATTGTGATTTTTCTCTTTGATTTGAGTTGTAATGATTTCTAAAGCAGGTTTGTTGGTTAAGAGGTGACGTTCACTTTCTCTTCTGTTTACAGTCTGCTGCACCGGCTCCAGATTTTCATGTTTTCTGTCTTCACTTCTTTCTAATCCTCCTCTCAGCTTGGCTCTGATTTTTCTGTGTGTGTGAACCAGCCTGCAGTCTCATGAGGACATGACCTTCATCAGTTTAAACACAGGTATGAACACCTGTGCAGGTGAAGAAGAGTTTCAGGAGTCTGACTCTGACTGTTCAGACAAACTTTCTGATCAATACAGTGAAGAAAAATGTGCTGAATGAGGCGGATTTTTCCCCCATCGAGACAGAAATCAGTCCAGTTCAGTGAGCCAGTTTGACATGGAGTCCTGCTCTTTGATAACAGACATTCAGACTGATGTGACAGGATACAAACAGTCAGATAATCAGCTGAAGTTTGTGTTAGTGCAGAGGGTCAACTGTTCTTCAGCTGCTGTTTGTGTAGAGAGGAGGAGACTCTCCCTCCTACACAGAACACAAACTCACTGAGGAACCATAAAAGATCCCAAACCCAGGATAGAGAGGTTGAGTGAAGGTGGTGTTGAAGGTGTGGAGGTGGATCAGTGTGTCAGAGGAGACGCTGTAGAAGGACAGAGTACCAGCAGGACAGTCCACATACACTGCTACTCTGTGAGAGACAGAGGACGAGGGGAGACGGAGGGCTTTTCTATTGTGAAGAACAGAGTAACCTCGATCAGAGCAGAACAGACTCCAGGACTGATCATTAGATCCAAACACACAGTCATCACCTATTCCTTTCCTTCTGATTCCTCTGTAACTCACTGATACATGAACCTCTCCTCGCCACTCGACCTCCCAGTAACAGTGACCAGTCAGACCATCTCTACACAGAAACTGAGGATAGAACTCAAATCTGTCTGGATGATCAGGATATGACTGATCCTCTAACACACATGTCACCTTCCTGTTGTTTTCAGACAGTCTGAGGCGTCTGTTTACTGTGTTTGAGTCCAGTGTGAGTTCAGAGAAATCTGACAGAGAGAAAAAGACACAACACAGCAGCAGGTTATCATCAGACACACCTGAAGGCTTTCTTCTTTGTTAGCTGACAGTCTGCTGTTTGGTCATCAGGAGTCAAACTGATTCAACACTTACACTTCTTCACACCAGGTTTTATCCTCTGCTCTCCACCATGGTCCACCCTGGAGGAAGAAACACAGTCAGAATGATTGAGTGTCCAACATGAGTCCTACCTGCTGTCCAACATGAAGCAGAGTTCCTCAGTTTGTCCCTGTGACAGAGAAACAGGCTGAAACTCATCTGAGCCAACAGTCTCCATCACTCTGTCACTTTTTCTGAGTCTTTCTGACAGAAACTCACAGAAAAACAACAAGATTCAAAGAGCAAAGGCTGGCTGCTGGTCTGTCCTACAACATGGAGACTTGATTTGGACCCTGTGGAAAAAGACCTTCATTTCTTCTTTTAGGACAGCTGTCCACACTTTGGTCTGAAAAGCTCCATCTAAATAGACTTGAAAGCTTGTCTGCAGATAGAGAGATGAAGTAGTGGGCTCTCTTCTTCTAAATATGAATGAAGATGAAATGAAAGCTCTCAGATGAACTCGTGTGAGTGTGTGAGGCTCTTCTTGGATCATTCAGAGTCAGCTAGAGCAGAGGGAGTAGGAGCATCACACCTGGAACAGCAGGTGGATTTCCTGCAGTTTGGGATGGACAGGAAGTGGAGCAAAGTCAGAGCATGTCCTCAAACAGCCCCTCAGCTTACCTGATCATGACTGACAGGTCTGCTGCTGCTCTCACTGAATGTAGCTGTGCCAGTAAAGCAGTAGAGCTCAGCTGATGAAGCTCAATGAAGACTATCTGATCTCCTTTGAACCCACTTCTGCAGCCAGTACTTTGAGTCCATGTTTCTGACTGAGGGTGGATGTATGAAGGAGGTGTTTCTCTGTAGCTCTGAGGGTTTGTTTGATGGTTCACCAAACAAAGAGAGCAGAAAATCAAGAAGAGAAGACCTTCCCATGTCAGCCAGGAGAGTTGATCCTGGTCTGTATGGATGAATGAAATAAAGGATCTGGAGGAGATCTGAATGTTGTTCTGCTCTGATCATTCAACTAGATGTGAACCTTCATCTTGTAACATCAGGTGTAATAAAGCATCTTCTCTGAGTTCTGACGTGGGCTAAAGGACTGTCAAATGTGTTTGAACTTCAAATATGAGCCCATCTCTCTCCTGATCATCTCTGTTTTTAGTCTGTGTGTCTGTTCATCAATCAGGGAGCTGAGAAATGACCACAGAGTCACAATATCCAGGTTTGGACCTCTTTCCACCTGGAACACTGGATAAGGTCTATTCTTCCTCATCCTCCATCATCTTCACCTCCCTGCAGACATCTGTATGTAATAGGCCAGGTTATAACCAATCAGAGAGCTTGTTTCATGGCTCATCTGCATAGTTTTACCTGTTTTACCAGCTCAAGGCCCAAAGTGTGAGGAAAGGAAAAATAAAGAGTAGGAACGGAAAGATAAAAGACTTTGATAATCGATTAGCTAACAGGAAAAGGAAAAGCAGACAGGAAATGGAAATGAAAAGAGGAATTGTCCTTTAAATGTCTGATTAAAAGCTGTATTCTTACTTCAGTTTGTCAATTCACTTCTTTAATTCTCTTTTTTAAAAACTGCATTTTCAGACTGATTTTTAGACTATTGATTAGGGAATACATTCATGTTTTTTTAACCCTCGGTTCCTCCTCTGTCCGTTTTGAGGACATTTGTCTTTTTTTTCATCTTTATTTTGAGCTGACAGTCACATTTTTAAAGATTGGGGCATCAAATTTGGTGAGAGTTCTTATTTTTGTACATATATTAAAAAAAATTCAGTGTCTCCTGTAGTTCTCCGTCATTTTAGCTCCACACACCCTCCTTTGTCCACAAATCGGCCAATAGACTTCCATTAAAAACAGTTTTTTTGAGCGTGTGTTTACGGCTCCATAACAACATATTAAACCTTTTTTCTGCAGTCAGTCGATCAGCAGGGCTCTAAATTTGACTTTCCCACAGTGAGACAACAGACTGAGCCGCACATCATTTTAACCCCTTCAGAGTCGCTGAGCACGCAAGTCTTCATTCATGGACTGAGAGAGTCTGAAGATTCATCCACTAAACATCATCAGAAATGAAGGAAACTTTACATGACACTAGATATGGATGTCTAAGAGTGGGATATGTGTGGAAGGAGAAGTCTGTGTGCTCCTGCGTGTGTGCACGGGTGAGAATCTGCGTCCATGTTTAGAACCGGGCATGACGTCAGTTTTTACAGTCGAGAATCTGACGTCCAAGTTCTGCAGTATGAGACAAAGAGAGGGGGACATTTGGACAACTTCAACTTTGTCCTCACTTCAGAGCAGGTGGATGGACATGCATGAGGATGAACAGGTCCTTCAGATCATCAGGGGAGAAGATATCACGTCTCAAATATGCAGTTATTTTTATATCAGTGTAATCACGGTCATATTTTGGTTAGAGGAGGATAAACACTTATAAATGATTCCTATCTTACAGATATCTTCAGATTTTATATGCCTATATATAAAATTAATTAAATATAAACAAAATTGCATTTGATTTGGTAGAGGACGAGGCTCCAGAAAAGGAGGTGAAAATGTCGTGTTTTTCTGCTCCAACAGACTCAGCCGATTAGAACGAACACGTCATCAATAAATATGACATGCTGCACAAAAACTGGCATAAAAAGGGAAATACATGGAATTTTTTATTCATTACTTTTTTAATGGTTAGGGCTGAAGTTGTTCAAGAGATTTGAGTAAAAAAAAAGTAAAAATAAAAAAATATTATTTTATGAACACTTATCTGCATGTTTGTTTTGGAGACAAAGTCGGCTGGATGGAGCTTCAGATACGAAAAATTTGCACTACAAAAAGAATTTAAATGAGACAAAATCAGTTTTACTTCTCATCATTGACATGGCCCAGGCATATCAAGAAAAATATTTTCATCTAGGTCATTTTATATGGGAAATATGGTGATTTTGTGTTTTTTACCATTAAAAATAGCAGCAATATGGCGCACAAAAACTGGCATAAAAAGGGTCACACATCGAATTTTCTATTCGTTATTTTTTTAAATGATCAAGGTTGAAGTTGTTCGAGAGATATGAGTTGAAAAAAGTAAAAAAAAAATGTTTAAAAATGATTATTAAATCAACACTTATCTGTTTTGGAGACAAAGTAGGGTGCATGGAGCTTAAAATTAACCAGGACCAAGGGTTAAAGAATAAAGTTTTGTACAGTTTTAAGGATTCATTTGTAGACTCTTTTTATAATTCCTGGATTTGTTCATGGATGAACTCATGAATTTGGAAACCATCTTATGAATTCCTGTTTTAAAAGTACAATAACCTTTTCAATTAAAAATACTCTATTTAATTTCTGCGACCCTTGCGGTCCTCCATAAAGAGCATTTAAAAATGGTTCTTTATAAAGACCACTGACATCAAGACAAGAACGCTCCTCAAAATACTCAAATGGAAGTTTTCACCCTGAATCCAGAACCCTGAGGGTCTACACTAAGAGGAAGGAGGGATTCTGAGAAGTAATGAGCATCAGAGCTACTATCCAGGATGAAACTGTTCACATTCAAGAGTCCATCAGAAAGATGGTCCCCAATGATGACCTGCTAAGTGAAGACCTCAGGCAGCAGAAACCAAATATATCTGTAGTTGTCTGTGACCCAGTAACTGTCTGGTTATACCTCAGTGTATCCAGTCTCCATAGAGGATCCTTCAGTCCAGCAGAAAGCAGTTTTACTCCTGAGTCTCCTGGATGATTGTAGCTCAGGTCCAGCTCTCTCAGGTGTGAGGGGTTGGAGCTCAGAGCTGAGGCCAGAGAAGCACAACCTTCTTCTGTGATCAGACAGCCTGTTAACCTGGAGTCAGAAAAATATATGAAACAAGGAAAAGTGTACCAACTTTAGACAATTTCATTCAAACAACTACAAAACTCAATCAGCAGAAAACCTGACCTGAGAGTTTCTAGTTTACAGTGAGGACTCTTCAGTCCAGCAGACAGCAGCTTCACTCCTGAATCCTGCACGTCATTGTTACTCAGGTCCAGCTCTCTCATACTGGAGGACTGGGAGCTGAGGACTGAGGACAGAGCTCCACAGCTTCTCTCTGACAGGTTACATCCAGTAAACCTAAAAAAATAGGAAGACATTGAAAAATATATTCATTTATACAGGCTAAATACAAGTTTTAATGTTTGAAGGCTTTTTTACTTTTCAGTGTGGCCTTGTATTATTTTTGTGTCTATCTCATGATGGTACAAAACAGCCAACAAAAACAAAAATGACTGTCTTTTAATGCTCAGTCTTGTCCTTCCTACAACTTGAATGATTTTCAGTTTCTCAATTTATGTCATTTATTTTCTCTTGTTTATTTATTTACATATATATTTTTAATTCCTTACAGATCAAATTTCAATATTTAACGTCACACAGACCTGATAATTTCCAGTTTACAGTGAGGACTCTTCAGTCCAGCAGACAGCAGCTTCACTCCTGAATCCTGCAGGTCATTGTTACTCAGGTCCAGCTCCCTCAGACTGGAGGACTGAGAGCTGAGGACTGAGGACAGAGCTTCACAGCTTCTCTCTGACAGGTTACATCCAGTAAACCTGAACAGACATGAAGATATTTGAACAAATAAGATCCTCTGAATTTTCAATTATCATAAGGTCATGAATCTTTTTACCTCTCCCATAAAATTATCAAATCCTTTTTATTATATCTGTCTCCTTATTTCAATAAGACCTCTTAAGGAACTGAGAGAATTAGTTGACTCCTTCGACTTGACCCCACTAAAACTACAGAAAACTGCAGTAAGTAGCTCTCTGTTTTAATTGCACCTCTGATTTTTTGGTTTTGTGATCAGACAGGGTAAAGTTTGATGTTCAGCCTTGTACAGACCTGAGAGTTTCCAGTTTACATTGAGGACTCTTTAGTCCAGCAGACAGCAGCTTCACTCCTGAATCCTGCAGGTCATTGTTACTCAGGTCCAGCTCTCTCAGACTGGAGGACTGGGAGCTGAGGACTGAGGACAGAGCTTCACAGCTTCTCTCTGACAGGTTACATCCAGTTAATCTGGAAAAATAGGACGATTGTGGAAAAAAAAATCTTTACTCATGATAAATTACAATTTTAATCTTATTCTAAAGGCTTAATCCATCTGTAATTAGAGTGTTAGTTTCTTTTGTTCATCCATCTCGTAAAGGTATGAAATGGCAATCTTTCAAAAAACATACTGACTTTTACCATTCAAACTTATCCTTTTAAAAGTAAAATATTTATTAGTTTCTGAGTAGTCTGTTTTATTTTGCATCCTTTACAGATTAAACTTTAATATTTAACTTCACACAGACCTGAGAGTTTCCAGTTTACAGTGAGGACTCCTCAGTCCAGCAGACAGCAGCTTCACTCCTGAATCCTGCAGGTCAGTGTTACTCAGGTCCAGGTCTCTCAGACTGGAGGACTGGGAGCTGAGGACTGAGGACAGAGCTTCACAGCTTCTCTCTGACAGGTTACATCCACTCAGCCTGAAGAAGAATCAGTGATTAGCACAGACACAAAGTTTCATGAACAATAATGTTTCATCTCTCATGTGTCCACCTACAGAGCTTTGTTGGAGGCTTTGACCACTGGCAGCAGCCTCAGAAGAGCCTCCTCTGAAGCAGAGTATTTCTTCAGGTCAAACACGTCCAGATCTTTTTCTGATGACAGTAAGATGAAGACCAGAGCTGACCACTGAGCAGGAGACAGTTTCTTTGTGGAGAGACGTCCTGATCTCAGGGACTCTTGGATCTCCTCCACTAGAGAACGATCGTTCAGTTCATTCAGACAGTGGAACAGATTGATGCTTTTCTCTGCAGACAGATCCTCACTGATCTTCTTCTTGATGTACTGGACTGTTTCTTGATTGATCTGTGAGCTACTTCCTGTGTGTGTCAGCAGACCTCTCAGGAGATTCTGATTGATTTGCAGTGAAAGACCCAGAAGGAACCGTAGAAATAAATCCAGATGTCCGTTCAGACTCTGTAAGGCCTGGTCTACAGCACTCTGATGGAGATGTTTCAGTTTTGGTTTGACACTGAAGATTTTAGAGATTGAAGATGTTGTTTGTTGTTCTTCTTCCATCAGGTTGACTCCAGAGTTGGTAAAGGTCAGGTGGACATGAAGAGCAGCCAGAAACTCCTGAACACTCAGATGGATGAAGCAGAACACCTTGTCCTGGTACAGTCCTCTCTCCTCTCTGAAGATCTGTGTGAACACTCCTGAGTACACTGAGGCTGCTCTGATATCCATGCCACACTGAGTCAGGTCTGATTCATAGAAGATCAGGTTTCCTTTCTGCAGCTGCTCAAAAGCCAGTTTTCCCAGAGACTCAATCATCTTCCTGCTCTCTGGACTCCAGTGTGGATCAGTCTCAGCTCCTCCATCATACTTGATGTTCTTCAGTTTGGACTGAACCACCAGGAAGTGGATGTACATCTGAGTCAGGGTCTTGGGCAGCTCTCCTCCCTCTCTGGTCTTCAGCAGATCCTCCAGAACTGTAGCAGTGATCCAGCAGAAGACCGGGATGTGGCACATGATGTGGAGACTTCTGGATGTCTTGATGTGGGAGATGATTCTACTGGCCTGCTCCTCATCTCTGAATCTCTTCCTGAAGTACTCCTCCTTCTGAGGGTCAGTGAACCCTCTGACCTCTGTCACCAAGTCAACACACTCAGGAGGGATCTGATTGGCTGCTGCAGGTCTTGTGGTTATCCAGAGGCGAGCAGAGGGAAGCAGGTTCCCCCTGATGAGGTTTGTCAGCAGCACATCCACTGAGCTGGACTCTGTAACATCAGTCAGGACCTGATTGTTGTGGAAGTCCAGAGGAAGTCGACACTCATCCAGACCGTCAAAGATGAACACGACCCTGAAGTGTTGAAAGCTGCAGATTCCTGCTTCTTTGGTTTGAGTGAAGAAGTGATGAACAAGTCCCACCAAGCTGAACTTCTTCTCTTTCAGCACATTCAGCTCTCTGAAGGTGAATGGAAATGTGAAGTGGATGTCCTGGTTGTCTTTGTCTTCAGCCCAGTCCAGAGTCCACTTCTGTGTTAAGACGGTTTTCCCAATGCCAGCCACTCCCTTTGTCATCACTGTTCTGATTGGTTCCTGTCTTCCAGGTGAGCCTTTAAAGATGTCTTCTTGTCTGATGGTTGTTTCTAGTCGCTCTGCTCTCCTGGATGCTGTTTCAATCTGTCTGACCTCATGTTCATCGTTGACCTCTCCAGTCCCTCCCTCTGTGATGTAGAGGTCTGTGTAGATCTGGTTCAGAAGGGTTGGATTTCCTGCTTTAGCAATCCCCTCAAACACACACTGGAACTTCTCCTTCAGGTTGGACTTGAGTTTGTGTCGGCACTCTGCAGCAGCAGATCCTGAATGAACAAAAAGAAATGTGATGAATCATCTGAAGCTACAATCAGTCTGATGAATTTACACTTGAAGACATCAGGATGGATTTGATTTCCCTCCTCTCTGAAATCTCTTCAGCTCATCAGCTGTGATCAGTTTCTCTCAGTTCATAGATGTGATACAAATGTGTGCATCATATGAACAGCAGAGTCTGAACTCTAAACCTCTCCCATGTTGTCTCCATCATGTTAAATCTCTTTAAATCCTCTTACTTCTCTGCAGACAGTCAGCCAGCTCCTCCTGCTTCATTCTCCTCAGGAAGTTCACAGTGATCTTCAGAAATGCCTCTCTGCTCCTCCTCTGCTCTTCATCCTCATCCTCCCTCGGACTCTCTAAGTATTCTGGTTCATCTGGACTCAGAACTCTCTGGATCTCCTTCAGCTGCTCCTTTACAAAGCTGATCATGTTCTCCTGGAGCAGCTGGAACAGAACAAAATGTGAACTTGAACTTGTAGAACTGAACATCAGATCATCTGTGACAGACAGAAGGCCTGCTGGTCTACAGAGTCCAGCATGGAGACTGGATCACAATGCTGCTTCAGGATTGACTTTGTGGATGGTCCTGTCTTCTACAAATCCAGTTTCTATGACCTGACCTTCATATTGGAGAAACCTCCTGGTGTGGTTTCATGGAGAAAAAGTCTGCAGTGACTTTAGAGGTGATGTGTTTATTAGAATGAAGCTGAAAGCAGCAGCTGTCATCGACATGAACCAAAGTCTTTCTGTTCTTTAAACCTCAAACTGGACTCAGTTTGTGAACTCTGCTCTCTGCTGCCAAAGTCTGAGTCTATGTGAGACCACCATCCACCATGACCTCTGACCTCTGACTCTGTGCAGGTCATAAATGTGAGGCTTCATTCAATCAGTCAAACTGTGAGTGTGAAGATAATTCAGGCAGAGATGATGTTTGCAGAGTCATTAGGAAACAATCCAGAAACCTCCAAATATACTGAGTGTCTGCTCTGATGATCAGTAGGAGCTGTGTTTGTACATTTACACCTACCATAAATATGGAGTCCAGCTGTGTTTGATGCTGCTGGGCAGACTGACCAATGGGAACCTCTGATCTCTGCTGCTGAACTCTGTGGAACAAACAGAATCTAATGTAGTGGATATAATATAAGGAGACACAGGGTTACATGTGAGAGAGTCTATCTAGAGGATCCTGGTAGAAACACTGCTGGATCCTCCTACAGACACACATGAAGATACATGCAGAGTCCAGGTCTTTGTGGCTCAGATCCTGTTTACTGCTGTTGGATCCTGATAGAAACACAAACCCTGAAAAATCTTCACCTTCACAGAGAAAACACTGACCACAGTTAGGATGAAAAGTTTCACACACAACAAAAGAAAGTTCAGTTTGAAAGGCTCACCTTTGCTCATCACAAATCTCTCCTTCTTTGAAATTAATAGGTCTGTCCACAGACCAGTCACTCTTTAAGGACACACAGCTGGGTCCAGGTCCAGGTCCAGGAGAGTCTGGTCTCTCATGTTTGACTCTGACAGAAACACAAACACTGATGAAGAAACAAGAACACTGAAAATCTTTAAGGTTTGAGTGCTGCTGTTATAGATTATTACTTTTGATGATCAGACTGATGTCCATCTTTGAAATCAATATATCGACCCTTAGACCGGTCACTCTTGAAGGACATACAGCTGGGTCCAGGTCCAGGAGAGTCTGGTCTATACTGCTGTTCAGGTCTTAGACAGACAGACAGACAGACAGACAGACAGACAGACAGACAGACAGACAGAGGTCTGAGTGTGAATAATAGTGATGGTGGAGTGATGTGAGTGCTGAGCTCTGACATGGAGAAGAGTCATGGACAGTTGGAGATCCTCATCTCACCTCTGAGCTTTGGTCTGGCTCTCATGTTCCCCCCACAGAGTGGTTTTAGAGGGAGGGGCCCCCTCCTCTCTGTCCTCTCTCTGATTCATAGCAGAGCCCCCACCTTCACAAAAACACAACAACATCCTCAGTCAGTACAACAAGCTTTACACCACAGGACACTTCAGTTCTCATTCCTCTCAATAACACAAATATTCAGGACTGACAGAAACCTTGTTGGAGCCTCAAACAGGATCTGATGGGTCCAGAATGAGTTACAGCCCCCAGACTCTCCCATAAATAAACTGTGGTCATCACAATTATCTGTCACATAAACACTGTTGTTCAAATGAGTAAGAGTAAAATAAAAAAGTCTCTTTAAATCAACATGTTTGATTAGCTTGATTAAAAAAAATCTTTAGTTTTGATTATAAGTTTTCAAAGTTGGACAAATATCAAACACTGACATAGGATGGCTCATTTTCTGTCTTATAGGGGCCCCTGACAGCTGAGGGGTCTCAATCAAACACTGAGTCCACTTCCATCCTGGACTGGCTCTGGTCCATCTACAATTATCTGAAACTTCTGGAACCACTGAGACTTACACCCTGCTATGTCTCCAGTAAAACTCAGTCAGTCTTAGTGCTGGAAGTGATCTGACCTTTGAACCGTTCACCTCAGAGTATCAACCGTTTCAAAATAAAAGCACCTGAGCCAAGTCGATCCAGGCTGTCAGACCAGTTCAGACACTCCCTGCATTTTTCCCTGATGGTGTGACTCAGATTACTGTCGAACTGCTGCTGAGTCGACTCCACAAACACCAACTATAGAGCAGGTGGATCTGTCTGAAATCACTGCTCTTTAACTCAGAGAGAAATTCTACAACATGTGTCAAACAGCCAATCAGCATCAAGAAAGATTTCTACACTTCAACAGTGATCCAGCACCATGTGAGCACACAGATCCTGATCCTCAGACATGATCAGATTTCTCTGGAAGGATCCTCACCTGTTGAAGAGAGTTCAGGTCAGCTTACAGACACTTTCCACCGTCATGTGTGGAGAGAAGAAGCTGCTTGTTTGTCCCTCGTCAGTCCTGGTGTCTGTGAGCGTTTGATCTGAGGACGCCGTCACATCCTCATAACTTCAGAGTGACGTCAGAACCTGTCCGATCAAGAAACAAGTCAGTGCAGATTTCACAGAAATCACATGATGTAGTTCTACAATCAGACCACTAGATGGTCCTAATCACAGCCCATTATCATAGTGTAAATGGCTCAGACAACAACACTCCTTCAAACATGTACTTACTTGACTTTGGTGAGAGTCCTTGTTGCAGTCATATCCTTAGGAAGAGACATGCGCAGGATTTTAGAGGGGCAGGGTCTCAAACTCACAAAAGGGCAGTTTATCTTTAAACAAATAAATATACTTCTAAAATACTGACCTTTATGACACTGTTAGAGAAACTTTGAGATATGTATTCTGCTGATAAAGGTAGAAACCCTCTACCTTGTGGCAGGGAAGGAGAAGAACTACACAAAATGCTCTTCCTCTAGCAGCATGTCTGCCTATGTCCCTTCACTTTCATATCCATCTAATACCTTCTCAGTAGAAGGCTGATCTGCTCAAATAGACAAAATAGTCAAACGGTCAAAAACATACTGGTGTTGTACAGTGAACAAATACAAGCCAACAAATAAGACAGACAGACAGACAGACAGACAGACAGACAGAGGTCTGAGTGTGAATAATAGTGATGGTGGAGTGATGTGAGTGCTGAGCTCTGACATGGAGAAGAGTCATGGACAGTTGGAGATCCTCATCTCACCTCTGAGCTTTGGTCTGGCTCTCATGTTCCCCCCACAGAGTGGTTTTAGAGGGAGGGGCCCCCTCCTCTCTGTCCTCACACTGATTCATAGCAGAGCCCCCACCTTCACACAAACACAACAACATACTCAGTCAGTACAACAAGCTTTACACCACAGGACACTTCAGTTCTCATTCCTCTCAATAACATGACACAAATATTCAGGACTGACAGAAACCTTGTTGGAGCCTCAAACAGGATCTGATGAGTCCAGAATGAGTTACACCCCCGAGACTCTCCCATAAATAAACTGTGGTCGTCACAATTATCTATCACATAAACACTGTTGTTCAAATGAGTAAGAGTAAAATAAAAAAGTCTCTTTAAATCAACATGTCTGATTAGCTTGATGAAAAAAAATCTTTAGTTTTGATTTTAAGTTTTCAAAGTTGGACAAATATCAAACACTGACATAGGATGGCTCATTTTCTGTCTTATAGCGGCCCCTGACAGCTGATGGGTCTCAATCAAACACTGAGTCCACTTCCATCCTGGACTGGCTCTGGTCCATCTACAATTATCTGAAACTTCTGGGACCACTGAGACTTACACCCTGCCATGTCTCCAGTAAAATGAGTCAGTCTTAGTGCTCAAAGTGATCTGACCTTTGAACCCTTCACCTCAGAGTATCAACCGTTTCAAAATAAAAGCACCTGAGCCAAGTCAACCAGGCTGTCAGACCAGTTCAGACACTCCCTGCATTTTTCCCTGATGGTGTGACTCAGATTACTGTCGAACTGCTGCTGAGTCGACTCCAAAAACACCAACTATAGAGCAGGTGGATCTGTCTGAAATCACTGCTCTTTAACTCAGAGAGAAATTCTACAACATGTTTCAAACAGCCAATCAGCATCAAGAAAGATTTCTACACTTCAACAGTGATCCAGCACCATGTGAGCACACAGATCCTGATCCTCAGACATGATCAGATTTCTCTGGAAGGATCCTCACCTGTTGAAGTGAGTTCAGGTCAGCTTACAGACACTTTCCACCTTCATGTGTGGAGAGAAGAAGCTGCTCGTTTGTCCCTCGTCAGTCCTGGTGTCTGTGAGCGTTTGATCTGAGGACGTTGTCACATCCTCATAACTTCAGAGTGACGTCAGAACCAGTGTGACCAAGAAACAAGTCAGTGCAGATTTCACAGAGATCACAGGATGTAGTTCTACAATCAGACCACTAGATGGTCCTAATCACAGCCCATTATCATAGTCTAAATGGCTCAGACAACAATACTACTTTAAACATGTACTTACTTGACTTTGGTGAGAGTCCTTGTTGCAGTCATATCCTTAAGCAGAGACATGCGTAAGATTTTAGAGGGGCAGGGCCTGAAACTCACAAAAGGGCAGTTTATCTTTAAACAAATAAATATACTTCTAAAATATTGACCTTTATGACACTTTGAGATATGTACTCAGAGAAAACTCATGAGACTCAGGGTAGTTTATATACTGATACAGGACAGTTAATAATGATTCATCCATTTCATTTCTATGAGCCATTTCAGGAGTCAGCTAACTTTCCTCTTTACTGGGAGTCACTGCTGATAAAGGTAGAAACCCTCTACCTCGAGGCAGGGAGAGAAAAGAACTACACAAAATGCTCTTCCTCTGGCAGCATGTCTGCCTATGTCCCTTCACTTCCATATCCATCTAATACCTTCTCATGATCTGCTCAAATAGTAACAGTCAAAAAGATACTGGTGTTGTACTGTGAACAAATACAAACCAATAAATACTGAGACTTTATCTAGCTAACTAGCTACTGTGCTTTGGATCTATTCTTTCAGTGGCTGGGACACAATAACTCTGCCGTCCATCTTCTACCGATTCCTCCTCGGACACTAACCTACTGGCAGATTCAGGGTTGATGAGAGAGCATGCAGGACAGCTCTAAACTGCTAAATATTTCAAACATAGACAGACTCTCCTGACATACAGAGTAAAGCACTTCTTTCAGCCCAGAGTGAAAACTTATGACAGCTATGATCAAACTTTCCTCACTTACCTGATGTCCTGCCAAGAGAATGTATGTAAAATGGACGTCATCTGCCTCCTTGCTGGGTGAAGAAGCCTCCGTGAGAACAGCACCCCCTGGTGACTGGTTGTATATCAAGTGATAAACCCTGCCTTATTCTCAGAGCGGAAACATGAGAGAAGAGCTTCAACTGACACACAGGACTCGGAGGATATTTACGGCTTTATCAATGTAGCGCCTTTAGCCTGATTGAAAGAACAAACTATGACACCTACAGTCTCTCTAGTCCAGGAGAGCTGGTTATAGTTAATCATACACAATACCGTGAAGTGAAAAGTTTATTGCCACAGGTAGGTAGGAAATATTTTGCAGTGTATGAAAATGAAAGACAGAGAAAATAGAGCTCTTTTAAAAAGGTTGAAAAATCATACAATTAATAAAATCGTTATGTTTTCCAGGAATTGAGTCACAAAGTGGAGAGCCACGTCTTCCACATATTTCGCTTCTACACCTTCGGCCGTATGAGGAAGAGCGCTGACTACTATCTGCTCCGGTCCAATTCACAGTACATCAGCTGGTGGTCTACAGCCCTCAGCCTCCTCATCGTCACCTCGGGGTACCTGCAGCTCCTCTCCCTCAAGAGACTCTTTGTCAGCGGGCCGGGCAGCGAGGAGGAGAAACCCCGCTGCTGACCGAAGCAGAGGGGTTTACAGTGAGGATGGGCAGAAATAACCAGTCTTTGTAGAAGATGAAACCAGGACTCAGATGGCCGTTATTCTCTGGTATTTTATTTGTGTACTTGGATGTCTTTACGCAGCATGAAGAAACCTCACTGCTGGATGATGATGTTAGATATTAGAATAAAATAGAATAGAATAGAATAGACTTTATTTGTCATTGCACAAAGCAACAAAATTTCGTTGTGCCATCCTGAATGCAAAAAGAACAACAAAAAGTACAACAGTGCATACATTTGACAGCATTCATCCATGTTAAAAGACATATTTAAAACATAAAGATGTTGATCAACATTGACCATTGTGTCACTGTAGTAGTGCTGCATACGTGGACCCATACTGCACTGTTAAATGAGGAGTAACTGCGCTTAGTCCCGTATTGCACTGTTAAATAAGAAGTAATTACACGTAGTCTCATATTGCACTATTAATAAATAAATGAATAAATAGAGGGTCACATTATTGCATTTATTGGCCTGACATTAAGTTCAGTTATGGCTCTGTGAAAGACACTGTTTTTGAGTCTGAAGGTGCAGGCTCTCGGTGCCCTATAGCGCCTCCCTGAGGGTAGCAGGGAGAACAGGTGATGACTGGTGTGGTGGATGTTTTTCATGCATTCGTCCCGTTTCTTCTCTCACCTGTCTAAGGTGATTAATGATTAATGCAGGATCACACAAACCCTTCACATGTAAATTATGACTCATTTTGGTCATTTTTCAAAAAATCAAATTTCTCCTGAAAGTATTTATTTTTACAAGATTTTTTCACATGCCAAGTTGGTTGAAGTTTGCATTTCTTGTGGGATCACAGCAAGCAGTTATAGATTAAAAATCACTGTAAGCACCATTAACTGGTAATAACTTTGTTTATATCATGTTGAAAGGCAGAATATGTGTGAGTTCAGAGGGGAACGTATTTCTTCTTAGTCTTGAGAATTATTCAGTTTTTGCTCCTGTATTTTATTTTTTATTTTTGTATGAGTTGTTGCTGTTTTAGACTTGATTATTCGGCGGAAAGTAAAGGCTTTTTTTGTGAAGTTTCCTGACTTCATGAAACGAGCGCGGTGGCGTTACACGATCAAATGCAGTGCGACATTGGCCTGTGGATGTAGGATACTGAGCCGTCTCTATGAGTAAAGAAAGGTAGGCCTAAGTGTAGCGAAACAAGTCCAAACGCAGAGAACCAAAGACAGACACTTTTAATGATTGTGTCACCTAGCTTTCTTGCTAGTTAGCCGACCGGGAAGACGGTTATTTTAGTTCATATGCTAAATGATCAACGTTCGTCACACATCTCATTGAATCATTCCGCGGAAAATAGTTCCAGCACGTTATACTTCTCTCTGTTGGGCAGAGGTTTGATGGTTCCCACTCCAGTTCAGTTAGCATGCGAAATCTATCATTTAAGCCATAGATATAAATACAAACGGCAAATGGCTTATGCAAGCTGTTAGCCAATAGAGACGGACGTCCTTGCTACGAGACGCTCGTCCACTCATAACGTTCCAGTCTACAGTGCATGTAGCATTTAAATAATCATAGATTGATTAATTTTAAACTGATTTTCAAACGGTTTGGTTTGTAACAAACCTCAAGTTTTAGTTATGTTCCTGTATACTCAAGAATAATTTTAACCATGGATTTTTATAAATAAACATTAAGCAGATAGGTAGAGCAATCGCTATAGGCCTACACGCACAAGGCAGTTATATTAAATCATTTATATGTAAAACATTTCATAACTCCATGTATGTTTTATTAGTAATATTTCTATTATAGGGATAACTATAATAACATATGACAATAACATATATTTTTATTTTCTATATAAATTTCTGCCTCATGTTGCCATTTTAGATGTTTTTAACAAATCAAACAGCTTGGAAATCATGTGCAACTTAACTTTTGTTGAGTCCAAAGAGCATTTCTGTCTCTTTAACTGATGTAAAATTACTGGGTCAACTTTGTAATATGTACTTGGTCTCACTCACAGCGAGTCTGTTAGCCAAGTTAGACAGCTGATAAACACAAGACCATCCACAAAGACTGTCACTTAGACTAAATAAATAAAAATAAAAATAATAAATAATAGGCTGTCATACAAGAAATTAAAATCTTGATTGTGGTCTCAGCCTTGACAACTCATGCAAAGCGACTCAAAGTTAGCTCTTGCGCACAAATAGCTGTGAAACTACTGTGCTGCACAATAAAGCCTTTTTTTTCTAAAAGAAAATCTGCAGTTTTAATATGTCCAAGCATCCTGACTCATAGCCACGTTATTAAGGTCTGTAATAAACAAAACCATTTGTAAATCTGTCAAGATTTCAGCGAGTTAAGAGTGTTTTGATCATGCAGATGCACATAAGATGGCCGCCGTGTAGGGACGCCGGTGACTCCGCCTCGAGTTGTCTAGCCTTTCTTATGTCTATGCGCACACATCTTTCCCCATTGACGCTCGTTACAACTTTGGCACACGCAGTTCATTCCTCTTCATTACAACGGGGCGCAGTTGATCGTGCCTTCCTGTCTCCGTCTGGTCGCTTTTACTTTACTGCTTTTCACCACCGGCCATGGGGTGGCAGCAGAGAGCGAGCGGTTGCCTTTAAAGAAAACCACCAAGCGAGTGATGTAGAGCACAGAGTGTCGCCGGAGTCCCAGAAAGAGCCGAAAAAAGGAGAAAATGGAGAGAGAAAATTCAGTAAAGTCACTGAAAACAATGCTGTACGAGAGGAGAACACTGCAGGAGGAATGTAGAGTGAAGGAGCTCGGAACTGACCGGCCGGACGTATTAATTACACAGCAGTCTGAAGACAAAGGGAGGAGATTTTCGCGGTCTTTTTCACGGAGCTGGTATGAGAAGATATCTTGGCTAACTGGATGCTAACTCTAAACCTTGGAACTGATCAAGCCTGGATTCAGACAGGTATGCATATTTATCCATTCTTGATTTATTTATTGATGGAAAAGGAGATTTTAAGGGTTTGTGTGTACCAGTTATATCTTATCTGGAGCAAAAGATATCAAACACTGGGGAGATAAATGAAAATTCAATAACTGGTAACATTCACCTGCATTTAATTATCTATTTGACTCAGCAGAAGTGCTCAGATGTAACCTAGTTAGTAGTTATACATAGTCAAAGCACATAAAATGGTTGTGAACATAATGTACATCAATTCTTGTGTTTTGGCATTGCCCTCTCTGCTTTCTGGGGTGGTAAATAAGTGCACCCCCCCAAGAGTGACTTTGGTGAAATTTCAGTATTCATGTCTTGTATCTCCAGAGAAATCCAAAAGTCTTAGTGGCATCACTTTAATTTCAACATATTTATAAATAATTAGAAACCAACAAAAGAGGTCAGAAACAGAAACTTTTTCACAAAACGTGAAAATTGTGCTCTAAAATAGACTTAGACCTTCTTTCCTTCTTTATTTCTTTCTTTATTTGATTTCTCTCTGCAACCAAATGCCGTTGCTTGGCTTCCATATCAGCATATACAGCATGATGGTGTTTAATGTAATAAACAGAAAAACAATAAAAACTAAGGGTAAAATAGCAGCATGGTGAGAAATATTGCACTTTCTGGAGGTAGAGTGGTAGTGTAATAAAAACCAAATCAATAAAATATAAAAAGATGTTCTTATTTACACAAAATATGTATAGCTGTGGTATGTTTTTACTACAATAGCCAGCACCTCACCTTTGTTCTAAGATTTGGTGTCTGAGACTCACTTCACTATGTAATATGCTCCAAAGTTGATAGTCTTTCATGCAGAAAGCACACTGTCAAAATTTAGATCTAAATTCCAGAAGCAGGGGCGGCTGGTCAATAGAGGAGCGCTAGGATGCTGCCCCCTCTGTCTCAACATGTAGAATCACACCGTCATAGATGTATAAGAAAGGCATATCTATGCACACAGCCCTTTCTTTTAATAAAACATCTTTTTTATGACTTTTACATGCATAACCCATGTTTCAAAAAGGCAAATTGAATAATAAAGTCTGAGGAGAGGGAATTGAAAGGTATAATTTGCACTAAAAGTCAGTTTAGAAATGTTCTTCGTTGCCGACAGTTACTAATAGTTGACATATATGTCGGCCAGAGGCGAACACATCATTCCTCATTGACTCTTGTTACAACTTTGACATGTGCAGTTCTGGACGACTGCAACTCTTTGTTCACACGTCTGAACCAACAGAGTTTACACAAGTTACAGCTGGTCCTGAGTGCAGCAGCTCACCTCCTAACTAGAACCAGAACCAGAGATCATAGAACTCCTATTTTAGCTTCACTTCATCGGCTCCTGGTAAGTTTTAGAATTGATTTTTAATATTCAGATCCATCCAATAACATCATTAATATCTATTTGATTATTAGTAAGAACTAAACTGAGACAGCTGTTAGAATATAGATTTCTTTATTGAGTTCATATTTCATAAACGTCCTTACATCAATTCTTACACCTGTATTACTCCTCTTGAATTTTTCACCCTTCTTTTTTCATTCATTGTGATTTTTCTCTTTGATTTGAGTTGTAATGATTTCTAAAGCAGGTTTGTTGGTTAAGAGGTGACGTTCACTTTCTCTTCTGTTTACAGTCTGCTGCTCCGGCTCCAGATTTTCATGTTTTCTGTCTTCACTTCTTTCTAATCCTCCTCTCAGCTTGGCTCTGATTTTTCTGTTTGTGTGTGAACCAGCCTGCAGTCTCGTGAGGACATGACCTTCATCAGTGTAAACACAGGTATGAACACCTGTGCAGGTGAAGAAGAGTTTCAGGAGTCTGACTCTGACTGTTCAGACAAACTTTCTGATCAATACAGTGAAGAAAAATGTGCTGAATGAGGCGGATTTTTCCCCCATAGAGACAGAAATCAGTCCAGTTCAGTGAGCCAGTTTGACATGGAGTCCTGCTCTTTGATAACAGACATTCAGACTGATGTGACAGGATACAAACAGTCAGATAATCAGCTAAAGTTTGAGTTAGTGCAGAGGGTCAACTGTTCTTCAGCTGCTGTTTGTGTAGAGAGGAGGAGACTCTCCCTCCTACACAGAACACAAACTCACTGAGGAACCAGGACAGGACCAGAACCCAAACCCAGGATAGAGAGGTTGAGTGAAGGTGGTGTTGAAGGTGTGGAGGTGGATCAGTGTGTCAGAGGAGACGCTGTAGAAGGACAGAGTACCAGCAGGACGGTCCACATACACTGCTACTCTGTGAGAGACAGAGGACGAGGGGAGACGGACGTCTGTTTCTATGTGATTGTGAAGGACAGAGTAACCTTCATCAGAGCAGAACAGACTCCAGGACTGATCATTAGATCCAAAAATACAGTCATAACTCTCTCCTTTCCTTCTGATTCCTCTGTAACTCACTGATATATAAACCTTTCCTCTCCACTCGACCTCCCAGTAACAGCGACCAGTCAGACCATCTCTACACAGAAGCTGAGCCCAGAAGTCAAATCTGTCTGGATGATCAGGATATGACTGATACTTTCCCACATATGTCACCTTCCTGTTGTTTTCAGACAGCCTGAGGAATCTGTTTACTGTGTTTGAGTCCAGTGTGAGTTCACAGAAATCTGACAGAGAGAAAAAGACACAACACAGCAGCAGGTTATCATCAGACACACCTGAAGGCTTTCTTCTTTGTTAGCTGACAGTCTGCTGTTTGGTCATCAGGAGTCAAACTGATTCCACACTTACACTTCTTCAGACCAGGTTTTAACCACTGCTCTCCACCATGGTCCACCCTGGAGGAAGAAACACAGTCAGAATGATTGAGTGTCCAACATGAGTCCTACCTGCTGTCCAACATGAAGCAGAGTTCCTCAGTTTGTCCCTGTGACAGAGAAACAGGCTAAAACTCATCTGAGCCAACAGTCTCCATCACTCTGTCACTTTTTCTGAGTCTTTCTGACAGAAACTCAAGAAAAACAACAAGATTCAAAGAGCAAAGGCTGGCTGTTGGTCTGTCCTACAACATGGAGACTTGATTTGGACCCTTTGGAAAAAGACCTTCATTTCTTCTTTTAGGACAGCTGTCCACACTTTGGTCTAAAAAGCTCCTTCTAAATAGACTTGAAAGCTTGTCTGCAGATAGAGAGATGAAGTAGTGGGCTCTCTTCTTCTAAATATGAAGATGAAATGAAAGCTCTCAGATGAACTCATGTGAGTGTGTGAGGCTCTTCTTGGATCATTCAGAGTCAGCTAGAGCAGAGGGAGTAGGAGCATCACACCTGGAACAGCAGGTGGATTTCCTGCAATTTGGGATGGACAGGAAGTGGAGCAAAGTCAGTGCATGTCCTCAAACAGCCCCTCAGCTTACCTGATCATGACTGACAGGTCTGCTGCTGCTCTCACTGAATGTAGCTGTGCCAGTAAAGCAGTAGAGCTCAGCTGATGAAGCTCAATGAAGACTATCTGATCTCCTTTGAACCCACTTCTGCAGCCAGTACTTTGAGTCCATGTTTCTGACTGAGGGTGGATGTATGAAGGAGGTGTTTCTCTGTAGCTCTAATATCAGGTGTAATAAAGCATCTTCTCTGAGTTCTGACGTGGGCTAAAGGACTGTCAAATGTGTTTGAACTTCAAATATGAGCCCATCTCTCTCCTGATCATCTCTGTTTTTAGTCTGTGTGTCTGTTCATCAATCAGGGAGCTGAGAAATGACCACAGAGTCACAATATCCAGGTTTGGACCTCTTTCCACCTGGAACACTGGATAAGGTCTATTCTTCCTCATCTTCCACCATCTTCACCTCCCTGCAGACATCTGCATGTAATAGGCCAGGTTATAACCAATCAGAGAGCTTGTTTCATGGATCATCTTCACTGTTTTACCTGGTTTTACCAGCTCAAGGCCCAAAGTGTGAGGGAAGGAAAAATGGAGAGTAGGAACGGAAAGATAAAAGACTTTGATAATCGATTAGCTAACAGGAAAAGGAAAAGCAGACAGGAAATGGAAATAAAAAGAGGAATTGTCCTTTAAATGTCTGATTAAAAGCTGTATTCTTACTTCAGTTTGTCAATTCACTTCTTTACTTCTCTTTTTTTTCTCTGTTTTTTACTGTTAAAAATAACAGTGACATGTTGCACAGAAACTGGCATAGAAAATGGTCACATGTCGAATTTTGAAAGTTTTGTTTTTTAATGATTAGGGCTGAAGTTGTTTAAGGGATATGAGTAGAAAATAAAAAAAAAGTTTAAAAATGATTATTTAATCAACACTTATCTGTTTTGAAGACAAAGTAGGCGGATGGAGCATAAAATTTACAGAAACGAAGGGTCAAAGAATAAACTTTTGTACAGATTCATTTGTAGAATCTTTTTATAATTCCTGGATTTGTTCATGGATGAACTCATGAATTTGGAAACCACTTTATGAATTCCTGTTTTAATAGAACAATAACCTTTTCAATGAAAAATACTTTATTTTAATTTCTGTGACTCTTACGGTCATCCATAAAGAGCATTTAATAATGGTTCTTTATATATATAAATAAAGACCACTGACATCAAGACAAGAAAGCTCCTCAAAATACTCAAATAGAGGTCTTCACCCTGAATCCAGAACCCTGAGGATCTACACTAAGAGGAAGGAGGAAGTCTGAGAACTAATGAGCATCAGAGCTACTATCCAGGATGAAACAGTTCACATCCAAGAGTCCTTCAGAAAGATGGTCCACAATAATGATCTGCTAAGTGAAGACCTCAGGCAGCAGAAACCAATTATGTCTGTAGTTGTCTGTGACCCAGTAACAGTCTGGTTATACCTCAGTGTATCCAGTCTCCATAGAGGATCCTCCAGTCCAGCAGAAAGTAGTTTTACTCCTGAGTCTCCAGGATGATTGTAGCTCAGGTCCAGCTCTCTCAGGTGTGAGGGGTTGGAGCTCAGAGCTGAGGCCAGAGAAGCACAACCTTCTTCTGTGATCAGGCAGCCTGATAACCTGGAGTCAGAAAAAATATATAAAACAAGGAAAAGTGTACCAACTTTAGACAAGTTCATTCAAACAGCTATAAAACTCAATCAGCAGAAAACCTGACCTGAGAGTTTCCAGTTTACAGTGAGGACTCTTCAGTCCAGCAGACAGCAGCTTCACTCCTGAATCCTGCAGGTCATTGTGACTCAGGTCCAGGTCTCTCAGACTGAAGGACTGAGAGCTGAGGACTGAGGACAGAGCTTCACAGCTTCTCTCTGACAGGTTACATCCACTCAGCCTGAAGAAGATTCAGTGATTAACACAGACACAAAGTTTCATCTCTCATGAACCATCAAGTTTCATCTCTCATGTGTCCACCTACAGAGCTTTGTTGGAGGCTTTGACCACTGGCAGCAGCCTCAGAAGAGCCTCCTCTGAAGCAGAGTATTTCTTCAGGTCAAACACGTCCAGATCTTTTTCTGATGACAGTAAGATGAAGACCAGAGCTGACCACTGAGCAGGAGACAGTTTCTTTGTGGAGAGACGTCCTGATCTCAGGGACTGTTGGATCTCCTCCACTAGAGAACGATCGTTCAGTTCATTCAGACAGTGGAACAGATTGATGCTTTTCTCTGCAGACAGATCCTTACTGATCTTCTTCTTGATGTACTGGACTGTTTCTTGATTGGTCTGTGAGCTACTTCCTGTGTGTGTCAGCAGACCTCTCAGGAGATCCTGACTGGTTTGCTGTGAAAGACCCAGGAGGAAACGTAGAAATAAATCCAGGTGTCCGTTCAGACTCTGTAAGGCCTGGTCTACAGCACTCTGATAGAGATGTTTCAGTTTTGATTTGACACTGAAGATTTTAGAGATTGAAGATGTTGTTTGTTGTTCTTCTTTCATCAGGTTGACTCCAGAGTTGGTAATGGTCAGGTGGACATGAAGAGCAGCCAGAAACTCCTGAACACTCAGATGGACGAAGCAGAACACCTTGTCCTGGTACAGTCCTCTCTCCTCTCTAAAGATCTGTGTGAACACTCCTGAGTACACTGAGGCTGCTCTGATATCCATGCCACACTGAGTCAGGTCTGAGTCATAGAAGATCAGGTTTCCTTTCTGCAGCTGCTCAAAAGCCAGTTTTCCCAGAGACTCAATCATCTCCCTGCTCTCTGGACTCCAGTGTGGATCAGTCTCAGCTCCTCCATCATACTTGATGTTCTTCAGTTTGGACTGAACCACCAGGAAGTGGATGTACATCTGAGTCAGGGTCTTGGGCAGCTCTCCTCCCTCTCTGGTCTTCAGCAGATCCTCCAGAACTGTAGCAGTGATCCAGCAGAAGACCGGGATGTGGCACATGATGTGGAGGCTTCTGGATGTCTTGATGTGGGAGATGATTGTGCTGGCCTGCTCCTCATCTCTGAATCTCTTCCTGAAGTACTCCTCCTTCTGAGGGTCAGTGAACCCTCTGACCTCTGTCACCATGTCAACACACTCAGAAGGGATCTGATTGGCTGCTGCAGGTCTTGTGGTTATCCAGAGGCGACCAGAGGGAAGCAGGTTCCCCCTGATGAGGTTTGTCAGCAGCACATCCACTGAGCTGGACTCTGTAACATCAGTCAGGACCTGATTGTTGTGGAAGTCCAGAGGAAGTCGACACTCATCCAGACCGTCAAAGATGAACACAACCCTGAAGTCTTGAAAGCTGCAGATTCCTGCTTCTTTGGTTTGAGTGAAGAAGTGATGAACAAGTCCCACCAAGCTGAACTTCTTCTCTTTCAGCACATTCAGCTCTCTGAAGGTGAATGGAAATGTGAAGTGGATGTCCTGGTTGTCTTTGTCTTCAGCCCAGTCCAGAGTCCACTTCTGTGTTAAGACGGTTTTCCCAATGCCAGCCACTCCCTTTGTCATCACTGTTCTGATTGGTTCCTGTCTTCCAGGTGGGCCTTTAAAGATGTCTTCTTGTCTGATGGTTGTTTCTGGTCGCTCTGCTCTCCTGGATGCCGTTTCAATCTGTCTGACCTCATGTTCATGGTTGACCTCTCCAGTCCCTCCCTCTGTGATGTAGAGGTCTGTGTAGATCTGGTTCAGAAGGGTTGGGTTTCCTGCTTTAGCAATCCCCTCAAACACACACTGGAACTTCTCCTTCAGGTTGGACTTGAGTTTGTGTCGGCTCTCTGCAGCAGCAGATCCTGAATGAACAAAAAGAAATGTGATGAATCATCTGAAGCTACAATCAGTCTGATGAATTTACACTTGAAGACATCAGGATGGATTTGATTTCCCTCCTCTCTGAAATCTCTTCAGCTCATCAGCTGTGATCAGTTTCTCTCAGTTCATAGATGTGATACAAATGTGTGCATCATATGAACAGCAGAGTCTGAACGCTAAACCTCTCCCATGTTGTCTCCATCATGTTAAATCTCTTCAAATCCTCTTACTTCTCTGCAGACAGTCAGCCAGCTCCTCCTGCTTCATTCTTCTCAGGAAGTTCACAGTGATCTTCAGAAATGCCTCTCTGCTCCTCCTCTGCTCTTCATCCTCATCCTCCCTCGGACTCTCTAAGTATTCTGGTTCATCTGGACTCAGAACTCTCTGGATCTCCTTCAGCTGCTCCTTTACAAAGCTGATCATGTTCTCCTGGAGCAGCTGGAACAGAACAAAATGTGAACTTGAACTTGTAGAACTGAACATCAGATCATCTGTGACAGACAGAAAGCCTGCTGGTCTGCAGAGTCCAGCATGGAGACTGGATCACAATGCTGCTTCAGGACTGACTTTGTGGATGGTCCTGTCTTCTACAAATCCAGTTTCTATGACCTGACCTTCAAATTGGAGAAACCTCCTGGTGTGGTTTCATGGAGAAAAAGTCTGCAGTGACTTTAGAGGTGATGTGTTTATTAGAATGAAGATGAAAGCAGCAGCTGTCATCGACATGAACCAAAGTCTTTCTGTTCTTTAAACCTCAAACTGGACTCAGTTTGTGAACTCTGCTCTCTGCTGCCAAAGTCTGAGTCTGTGTGAGACCACCATCCACCATGACCTCTGACCTCTGACTCTGTGCAGGTCATAAATGTGAGGCTTCATTCAATCAGTCAAACTGTGAGTGTGAAGATAATTCAGGCAGAGATGATGTTTGCAGAGTCATTAGGAAACAATCCAGAAACCTCCAAATATACTGAGTGTCTGCTCTGATGATCAGTAGGAGCTGTGTTTGTACATTTACACCTACCATAAATATGGAGTCCAGCTGTGTTTGATGCTGCTGGGCAGACTGACCAATGGGAACCTCTGATCTCTGCTGCTGAACTCTGTGGAACAAACAGAATCTAATGTAGTGGATATAATATAAGGAGACACAGGGTTACATGTGAGAGAGTCTATCTAGAGGATCCTGGTAGAAACACTGCTGGATCCTCCTACAGACACAGGACACACATGAAGATACATGCAGAGTCCAGGTCTTTCTGGCTCAGATCCTGTTTACTGCTGTTGGATCCTGATAGAAACACAAACCCTGAAAAATCTTCACCTTCACAGAGAAAACACTGACCACAGTTAGGATGAAAAGTTTCACACACAACAAAAGAAAGTTCAGTTTGAAAGGCTCACCTTTGCTCATCACAAATCTCTCCTTCTTTGAAATCATGAAGTCTGAACATTGACCCGTCACTATTGAAGGACACACAGCTGGGTCCAGGTCCAGGTCCAGGAGAGTCTGGTCTCTCATGTTTGACTCTGACAGAAACACAAACACTGATGAAGAAACAAGAACACTGAAAATCTTCCAGGTTTGAGTGCTGCTGTTATAGATTATTACTTTTGACGATCAGACTGATGTCCATCTTTGAAATCAATATATCCACCCTTAGACCAGTCACTCAGGAAGGACAGACAGCTGGGTCCAGGTCTAGGTCCAGGGGAGTCTGGTCTATACTGCTGTTCAGGTCTTAGACAGACAGACAGACAGACAGACAGACAGACAGACAGACAGACAGAGGTCTGAGTGTGAATAATAGTGATGGTGGAGTGATGTGAGTGCTGAGCTCCGACATGGAGAAGAGTCATGGATAGTTGGAGATCCTCATCTCACCTCTGAGCTTTGGTCTGGCTCTCATGTTCCCCCCACAGAGTGGTTTTAGAGGGTGGGGCCCCCTCCTCTCTGTCTTCACACTGATTCATAGCAGAGCCCCCACCTTCACACAAACACAACAACATCCTCAGTCAGTACAACAAGCTTTACACCACAGGACACTTCAGTTCTCATTCCTCTCAATAACATGACACAAATATTCAGGACAGACAGAAACCTTGTTGGAGCCTCAAACAGGATCTGATGAGTCCAGAATCAGTTACAGCCCCCAGACTCTCCCATAAATAAACTGTGGTCATCACAATTATCTTTAACATAAACACTGTTGTTCAAATGAATAAAAGTAAAATAAAAAAAGTCTCTTTAAATCAAAATGTTTTATTAGCTTGATTAAAAAAAATCTTTAGTTTTGATTATAAGTTTTCAAAGTTGGACAAATATCAAACACTGACATAGGATGGCTCATTTTCTGTCTTATAGCGGCCCCTGACAGCTGAGGGGTCTCAATCAAACACTGAGTCCACTTCCAAACCTGGACTGGCTCTGGTCCATCTGCAATTATCTGAAACTTCTGGGACCACTGAGGCTTACACCCTGCCATGTCTCCAGTAAAATGAGTCAGTCTTAGTGCTCAAAGTGATCTGAACTCTGAACCCTTCACCTCAGAGTATTAACCGTTTCAAAATAAAAGCACCTGAGCCAAGTCGATCCAGGCTGTCAGACCAGTTCAGACACTCCCTGCATTTTTCCCTGATGGTGTGACTCAGATTACTGTCGAACTGCTGCTGAGTCGACTCCACAAACACCAACTATAGAGCAGGTGGATCTGTCTGAAATCACTGCTCTTTAACTCAGAGAGAAATTCTACAACATGTGTCAAACAGCCAATCAGCATCAAGAAAGATTTCTACACTTCAACAGTGATCCAGCACCATGTGAGCACACAGATCCTGATCCTCAGACATGATCAGATTTCTCTGGAAGGATCCTCACCTGTTGAAGAGAGTTCAGGTCAGCTTACAGACACTTTCCACCTTCATGTGTGGAGAGAAGAAGCTGCTCGTTTGTCCCTCGTCAGTCCTGGTGTCTGTGAGCGTTTGATCCGAGGACACTGTCACATCCTCATAACTTCAGAGTGACGTCAGAACCTGTCCGATCAAGAAACAAGTCAGTGCAGATTTCACACAGATCACATGATGTAGTTCTACAATCAGACCACTAGATGGTCCTAATCACAGCCCATTATCATAGTCTAAATGGCTCAGACAACAACACTCCTTTAAACATGTACTTACTTGACTTTGGTGAGAGTCCTTGTTGCAGTCATATCCTTAAGCAGAGACATGCGTAAGATTTTAGAGGGGCAGGGCCTGAAACTCACAAAAGGACAGTTTATCTTTAAACAAATAAATATACTTCTAAAATATTGACCTTTATGACACTTTGAGATATGTACTCAGGGAAAACTCATGAGACTCAGGGTAGTTTAAATACTGATACAGGACAGTTAATAATGATTCATCCAGATCATTTCTATGAACCATTTCAGGAGTCAAGATTTAGCAGAATCTGTCAGCTAACTTTCCTCTTAACTGGGAATCACTGCTGATAAAGGTAGAAACCCTCTACCTCGAGGCAGGGAGAGAAAAGAACTACACAAAATGCTCTTCCTCTGGCAGCATGTCTGCCCATCTCCCTTCACTTCCATATCCATCTAATACCTTCTCAGTAGAACGCTGATCTGCTCAAATAGTAACAGTCAAAAAGATAATGGTGTTGTACTGTGAACAAATACAAACCAACAAATACTGAGACTTTATCTAGCTAACTAGCTACTGTGCTTTGGATCTATTATTTCTGTGGCTGGGACACAATAACTCTGCCGTCCATCTTCTACTGATTCCTCCTGGGACACTAACCTACTGGCAGATTCAGGGTTGATGAGAGAGCATGCAGGACAGCTCTAAACTGCTAAATATTTCAAACAAAGACACTCTCCTGACATACAGAGTAAAGCACTTCTTTCAGCCCAGAGTGAAAACTTATGACAGCTATGATCAAACTTTCCTCACTTACCTGATGTCCTGCCAAGAGAATGTATGTAAAATGGACGTCATCTGCCTCCTTGCTGGGTGAAGAAGCCTCCGTGAGAACAGCACCCCCTGGTGACTGGTTGTATATCAAGTGATAAACCCTGCCTTATTCTCAGAGCGGAAACATGAGAGAAGAGCTTCAACTGACACACAGGACTCTGAGGATATTTACGGCTTTATCAATGTAGCGCCTTTAGCCTGATTGAAAGAACAAACTATGACACCTACAATCTCTCTAGTCCAGGAGAGCTGGTTATAGTTAATCATACACAATACCGTGAAGTGAAAAGTTTATTGCCACAGGTAGGTAGGAAATATTTTGCAGTGTATGAAAATGAAAGACATAGAAAATAGAGCTCTTTTAAAAAGGTTGAAAAATAATAAAATTAATAGAATCATTATGTTTTCCAGGAATTGAGTCACAAAGTGGAGAGCCACGTCTTCCACATATTTCGCTTCTACACCTTCGGCCGTATGAGGAAGAGCGCTGACTACTATCTGCTCCGGTCCAATTCACAGTACATCAGCTGGTGGTCTACAGCCCTCAGCCTCCTCATCGTCACCTCGGGGTACCTGCAGCTCCTCTTCCTCAAGAGACTCTTTGTCAGCGGGCCGGGCAGCGAGGAGGAGAAACCCCGCTGCTGACCGAAGCAGAGGGGTTTACAGTGAGGATGGGCAGAAATAACCAGTCTTTGTAGAGGATGAAACCAGGACTCAGATGGCCGTTATTCTCTGGTTTTTTATTTGTGTATTTGGATGTCTTTACGCAGCATGAAGAAACCTCACTGCTAGATGATGATGTTAGATATTAGAATAGAATAGAATAGACTTTATTTGTCATTGCACAAAGCAACGAAATTTCGTTGTGCCATCCTGAATGCAAAAAGGACAACAAAAAGTACGACAGTGCATACATTTGACAGCATTCATCCATGTTAAAAGACATATTTAAAACATAAAGATGTTGATCAACATTGACCATTGTGTCACTGTAGTAGTGCTGCATACGTGGACCCATACTGCACTGTTAAATGAGGAGTATCTGCGCTTAGTCCCATATTGCACTGTTAAATAAGAAGTAATTACACGTAGTCTCATATTGCACTGTTAATAAATAAATGAATAAATAGAGGGTCACATTATTGCATTTATTGGCCTGACATTAAGTTCAGTTATGGCTCTGTGAAAGACACTGTTTTTGAGTCTGAAGGTGCGGGCTCTCGGTGCCCTATAGCGCCTCCCTGAGGGTAGCAGAGAGAACAGGTGATGACTGGTGTGGTGGATGTTTTTCATGCATTCGTCCCGTTTCTTCTCTCACCTGTCTAAGGTGATTAATGATTAATGCAGGATCACACAAACCCTTCACATGTAAATTATGACTCATTTTGGTCATTTTTCAAAAAATCAAATTTCTCCTGAAAGTATTTTATATAAGATTTTTTCACATGCCAAGTTGGTTGAAGTTTGCATTTCTTGTGGGATCACAGCAAGCAGTTATAGATTAAAAATCACTGTAAGCACCATTAACTGGTAATAACTTTGTTTATATCATGTTGAAAGGCAGAATATGTGTGAGTTCAGAGGGGAACGTATTTCTTCTTAGTCTTGAGAATTATTCAGTTTTTGCTCCTGTATTTTATTTTTTATTTTTGTATGAGTTGTTGCTGTTTTAGACTTGATTATTCGGCGGAAAGTAAAGGCTTTTTTTGTGAAGTTTCCTGACTTCATTAAACGAGCGCGGTGGGGTTACACGATCAAATGCAGTGCGACATTGGCCTGTGGATGTAGGATACTGAGCCGTCTCTACGAGTAAAGAAAGGTAGGCCTCAGTGTAGCGAAACAAGTCCAAACGCAGAGAACCAAAGACAGACACTTTTAATGATTGTGTCACCTAGCTTTCTTGCTAGTTAGCCGACTGGGAAGACGGTTATTTTAGTTCATATGCTAAATGATCAACGTTCGTCACACATCTCATTGAATCATTCCACGGAAAATAGTTCCAGCACGTTATACTTCTCTCTGTTGGGCAGAGGTTTGTTGGTTCCCACTCCAGTTCAGTTAGCATGCGAAATCTATCATTTAAGCCATAGATATAAATACAAACGGCAAATGGCTTATGCACGCTGTTAGCCAATAGAGACGGACGTCCTTGCTACGAGACGCTCGTCCACTCATAACGTTCCAGTCTACAGTGCATGTAGCATTTAAATAATCATAGATTGATTAATTTTAAACTGATTTTCAAACGGTTTGGTTTGTAACAAACCTCAAGTTTTAGTTATGTTCCTGTATACTCAAGAATAATTTTAACCATGGATTTTTATAAATAAACATTAAGCAGATAGGTAGAGCAATCGCTATAGGCCTACACGCACAAGGCAGTTATATTAAATCATTTATATGTAAAACATTTCATAACTCCATGTATGTTTTATTAGTAATATTTCTATTATAGGGATAACTATAATAACATATGACAATAACATATATTTTTATTTTCTATATAAATTTCTGCCTCATGTTGCCATTTTAGATGTTTTTAACAAATCAAACAGCTTGGAAATCATGTGCAACTTAACTTTTGTTGAGTCCAAAGAGCATTTCTGTCTCTTTAACTGATGTAAAATTACTGGGTCAACTTTGTAATATGTACTTGGTCTCACTCACAGCGAGTCTGTTAGCCAAGTTAGACAGCTGATAAACACAAGACCATCCACAAAGACTGTCACTTAGACTAAATAAATAAAAATAAAAATAATAAATAATAGGCTGTCATACAAGAAATTAAAATCTTGATTGTGGTCTCAGCCTTGACAACTCATGCAAAGCGACTCAAAGTTAGCTCTTGCGCACAAATAGCTGTGAAACTACTGTGCTGCACAATAAAGCCTTTTTTTTCTAAAAGAAAATCTGCAGTTTTAATATGTCCAAGCATCCTGACTCATAGCCACGTTATTAAGGTCTGTAATAAACAAAACCATTTGTAAATCTGTCAAGATTTCAGCGAGTTAAGAGTGTTTTGATCATGCAGATGCACATAAGATGGCCGCCGTGTAGGGACGCCGGTGACTCCGCCTCGAGTTGTCTAGCCTTTCTTATGTCTATGCGCACACATCTTTCCCCATTGACGCTCGTTACAACTTTGGCACACGCAGTTCATTCCTCTTCATTACAACGGGGCGCAGTTGATCGTGCCTTCCTGTCTCCGTCTGGTCGCTTTTACTTTACTGCTTTTCACCACCGGCCATGGGGTGGCAGCAGAGAGCGAGCGGTTGCCTTTAAAGAAAACCACCAAGCGAGTGATGTAGAGCACAGAGTGTCGCCGGAGTCCCAGAAAGAGCCGAAAAAAGGAGAAAATGGAGAGAGAAAATTCAGTAAAGTCACTGAAAACAATGCTGTACGAGAGGAGAACACTGCAGGAGGAATGTAGAGTGAAGGAGCTCGGAACTGACCGGCCGGACGTATTAATTACACAGCAGTCTGAAGACAAAGGGAGGAGATTTTCGCGGTCTTTTTCACGGAGCTGGTATGAGAAGATATCTTGGCTAACTGGATGCTAACTCTAAACCTTGTCTGTTTGTCCAAACCAAGGGAACTGATCAAGCCTGGATTCAGACAGGTATGCATATTTATCCATTCTTGATTTATTTATTGATGGAAAAGGAGATTTTAAGGGTTTGTGTGTACCAGTTATATCTTATCTGGAGCAAAAGATATCAAACACTGGGGAGATAAATGAAAATTCAATAACTGGTAACATTCACCTGCATTTAATTATGTATTTGACTCAGCAGAAGTGCTCAGATGTAACCTAGTTAGTAGTTATACATAGTCAAAGCACATAAAATGGTTGTGAACATAATGTACATCAATTCTTGTGTTTTGGCATTGCCCTCTCTGCTTTCTGGGGTGGTAAATAAGTGCACCCCCCCAAGAGAAAAAACAGCCGCCACTGGTTAAGATTTAACCTTCATTAGTAGTATTTTATTAACAGTGAAAGGTGTTTTCTGGGTTAGCTGTTTTTCCTGTCCAAATCATAACCGGTGTTCTAGTGACTTTGGTGAAATTTCAGTATTCATGTCTTGTATCTCCAGAGAAATCCAAAAGTCTTGGTGGCATCACTTTAATTTCAACATATTTATAAATAATTAGAAACCAACAAAAGAGGTCAGAAACAGAAACTTTTTCACAAAGCGTGAAAATTGTACTCTAAAATAGACTTAGACCTTCTTTATTTCTTTCTTTATTTGATTTCTCTCTGCAACCAAAAGTCATTGCTTGGCTTCCATATCACAGCTTGATGGTTTTTAATTTAATATACAGGAAGACGATAAAAACTAAGGGTTTATGTTCTTATTTACACATAATAGCTACAGCTATGGTATGTTTTTACTACAATAGCCAGCACCTCACCTCTGTTCTAAGATTTGGTTTCTGAGACTTACTTCACTATGTAATATGCTCCAAAGTTGATAGTCTTTCATGCAGAAAACACACTGTCAAAATTTAGATCTAAATTTAAAAGCAGGGTCGGCTGGTCAATAGAGGGCGCCGCACCCTCTGTCTCAACCATAGACTGTATATATTATGGACAACTTGGTTCTGCCTTCTGCCAGTATACAGATTTGAAGCCGAAAAGTTCTCGGTAATTCCGCGTTTTTTTTTCCACTTCCTGAAACCAACGTTGCGCAGTAGCGTTCTAATCATTCGTTAGGAGAGTCGCTGTGATGACGCTCGGCTCAAACAGCGTATCCTCCAGGTGAGCTACGATCATAGAACTCCTATTTCAGCTTCACTTCATCGGCTCCTGGTAAGTTTTAGAATTGATTTTAAATATTCAGATCCATCCAATAACATCATTAATATCCATTTGATTATTAGTAAGAACTAAACTGAGACAGCTGTTAGAATATAGATTTCTTTATTGAGTTCATGTTTCATAAACGTCCTTACATCAATTCTTACACCTGTATTACTCCTCTTGAATTTTTCACCCTTCTTTTTTCATTCATTGTGATTTTTCTCTTTGATTTGAGTTGTAATGATTTCTAAAGCAGGTTTGTTGGTTAAGAGGTGACGTTCACTTTCTCTTCTGTTTACAGTCTGCTGCTCCGGCTCCAGATTTTCATGTTTTCTGTCTTCACTTCTTTCTAATCCTCCTCTCAGCTTGGCTCAGATTTTTCTGTGTGTGTGAACCAGCCTGCAGTCTCATGAGGACATGACCTTCATCAGTTCAAACACAGGTATGAACACCTGTGCAGGTGAAGAAGAGTTTCATGAGTCTGACTCTGACTGTTCAGACAAACTTTCTGATCAATACAGTGAAGAAAAATGTGCTGAATGAGGCGGATTTTTCCCCCGTAGAGACAGAAATCAGTCCAGTTCAGTGAGCCAGTTTGACACGGAGTCCTGCTCTTTGATAACAGACATTCAGACTGATGTGACAGGATACAAACAGTCAGATAATCAGCTGAAGTTTGTGTTAGTGCAGAGGGTCAACTGTTCTTCAGCTGCTGTTTGTGTAGAGAGGAGGAGACTCTCCCTCCGACACAGAACACAAACTCACTGAGGAACCAGGAAACCAGAGCCAGAACCCAGGATAGAGAGGTTGAGTGAAGGTGGTGTTGAAGGTGTGGAGGTGGATCAGTGTGTCAGAGGAGATGCTGTAGAAGGACAGAGTGCCAGCAGGACAGTCCACATACACTGCTACTCTGTGAGAGACAGAGGACGAGGGGAGACGGAGGTCTGTTCCTCTGTTATTGTGACGGACAGAGTAACTTTTATCAGAGCAGAACAGACTCCAGGACTGATCATTAAGTCCAAACACACAGTCACCACTGTCTCCTTTCCTTCTGATTCCTCTGTAACTCACTGATATATGAACCCATCCTCTCCACTCGACCTCCCAGTAACAGCGACCAGTCAGACCATCTCTACACAGAAGCTGAGGATAGAGGTCAAATCTGTCCGGATGATCAGGATATGACTGATCCTCTTCCACATGTGTCACCTCCCTGTTGTTTTCAGACAGTCTGAGGAGTCCGTTTACTGTGTTTGAGTCCAGTGTGAGTTCAGAGAAATCTGACAGAGAGAAAAAGACACAACACAGCAGCAGGTTATCATCAGACACACCTGAAGGCTTTCTTCTTTGTTAGCTGACAGTCTGCTGTTTGGTCATCAGGAGTCAAACTGATTCAACACTTACACTTCTTCAGACCAGGTTTTAACCACTGCTCTCCACCATGGTCCACCCTGGAGGAAGAAACACAGTCAGAATGATTGAGTGTCCAACATGAGTCCTACCTGCTGTCCAACATGAAGCAGAGTTCCTCAGTTTGTCCCTGTGACAGAGAAACAGGCTGAAACTCATCTGAGCCAACAGTCTCCATCACTCTGTCACTTTTTCTGAGTCTTTCTGACAGAAACTCACAGAAAAACAACAAGATTCAAAGAGCAAAGGCTGGCTGTTGGTCTGTCCTACAACATGGAGACTTGATTTGGACCCTTTGGAAAAAGACCTTCATTTCTTCTTTTAGGGCAGCTGTCCACACTTTGGTCTAAAAAGCTCCTTCTAAATAGACTTGAAAGCTTGTCTGCAGATAGAGAGATGAAGTAGTGGGCTCTCTTCTTCTAAATTTGAATGAAGATGAAATGAAAGCTCTCAGATGAACTCATGTGAGTGTGTGAGGCTCTTCTTGGATCATTCAGAGTCAACTAGAGCAGAGGGAGTAGGAGCATCACACCTGGAACAGCAGGTGGATTTCCTGCAGTTTGGGATGGACAGGAAGTGGAGCAAAGTCAGTGCATGTCCTCAAACAGCCCCTCAGCTTACCTGATCCTGACTGACAGGTCTGCTGCTGCTCTCACTGAATGTAGCTGTGCCAGTAAAGCAGTAGAGCTCAGCTGATGAAGCTCAATGAAGACTATCTGATCTCCTTTGAACCCACTTCTGCAGCCAGTACTTTGAGTCCATGTTTCTGACTGAGGGTGGATGTATGAAGGAGGTGTTTCTCTGTAGCTCTGAGGGTTTGTTTGATGGTTCACCAAACAAAGAGAGCAGAAAATCAAGAAGAGAAGACCTTCCCATGTCAGCCAGGAGAGTTGATCCTGGTCTGTATGGATGAATGAAATAAAGGATCTGGAGGAGATCTGAATGTTGTTCTGCTCTGATCATTCAACTAGATGTGAACCTTCATCTTGTAACATCAGGTGTAATAAAGCATCTTCTCTGAGTTCTGACGTGGGCTAAAGGACTGTCAAATGTGTTTGAACTTCAAATATGAGCCCATCTCTCTCCTGATCATCTCTGTTTTTAGTCTGTGTGTCTGTTCATCAATCAGGGAGCTGAGAAATGACCACAGAGTCACAATATCCAGGTTTGGACCTCTTTCAGCCTGGAACACTGGATAAGGTCTACTCTTCCTCATCCTCCATCATCTTCACCTCCCTGCAGACATCTGCATGTAATAGGCCAGGTGATAACCAATCAGAGAGCTTGTTTCATGGATCATCTTCACTGTTTTACCTGGTTTTACCAGCTCAAGGCCCAAAGTGTGAAGGAAGGAAAAATGGAGAGGAGGAACGGAAAGATAAAAGACTTTGATAATCGATTAGCTAACAGGAAAAGGAAAAGCAGACAGGAAATGTAAATAAAAAGAGGAATTGTCCTTTAAATGTCTGATTAAAAGCTGTATTCTTACTTCAGTTTGTCAATTCACTTCTTTATTTCTCTTTTTTAAAATTTCATTTTCAGACTGATTTTTAAACTATTGACTAGGGAATACATTCATGTTTTTTTAACCCTCAGTTCCTCCTCTGTCCGTTTTGAGGACATTTGTCTTTTTTTTCATCTTTATTTTGAGCTGACAGTCACATTTTTAAAGATTGGAGCATCAAATGTGGTGAGAGTTCTTATTTTTCTACATATATTAAAAAAAACTCAGTGTCACCTGTAGTTCTCTGTCGCCGTCATTTTAGCTCCGCCCACCCTCCTTTGTCCACAAATCGACCAATAGACTTCCATTAAAAACAGGTTTTTTTGAGCGTGTGTTTACGGCACCATAACAACATATTAAACCTTTTTTCTGCAGTCAGTCGATCAGCAGGACTCTAAATTTGACTTTCCCACAGTGAGACAACAGACTGAGCCGCACATCATTTTAACCCCTTCAGAGCCGCTGAGCACGCAAGTCTTCATTCATGGACTGAGAGAGTCTGAAGATTCATCCACTAAACATCATCAGAAATGAAGGAAACTTTACATGACACTAGATATGGATGTCTAAGAGTGGGATATGTGTGGAAGGAGAAGTTTGTGTGCTCCTGCGTGTGTGCACGGGTGAGAATCTGCATCCCTGTTTAGAACCGGGCATGACGTGAGTTTTTACAGTTGAGAATCTGACGTCCAAGTTCTGCAGTGTGGGACAAAGAGGATAGGGTTGGGAATCGAGAATCGAGAATCGATGGGAATCGGGACTAAAACTTCGATTCTTCCGGTATCGTTCAAATATTAAAATTTCGATTCCAAGTTTCGATGCCAGAGTCCGCCGACCGGAAGAAATAGCCGCCGAAAATCAATGAAGAAGAAGCCGCTTAACACCAATGAGGACGGAGCGTATGAGACAAAGCCACACAGAGAGAGGAGAGAGACAGAGAGAGAAAGTACATTGCAACCCACAGCAATACAGCCGCTGTGGGTTACAATCTCTCTCTGTCTCTCTCCTCTCTCTGTGTGGCTTCGTCTCATACGCTCCGTCCTCGTTGGTGTTCGGCAGCTTCTTCTTCGTTGGTCAAAAGTTTGGCTAACTTTAGCAGGAAGAATGAACTCTTATCTCAGTGCAACATTAGCAATACAGTTATATCATGTAAAGGAGGGTAAACAACCAACGTGATTAAACGCCTCAGGATTCATGGAGGAGAAATACCCGAGTGCTCGTCTTTGACGCGCTTCGCCGGTGTTGTGCCATAGAATGCACCCCTGCTGTTGAATGCACCCCTGACGGGAGCGCGGTTGAAAGTACACAACAAGGCGAAACAATCCAAGTTTTTCTTACCGTTGGACGGAATCTAAAGCGTGTGCCTTTAATGATTTCATTCAGGCTATTCAGATATGCCGAAAACAATAGCCCTCTGATTCGGAATATTTACTGTCCTGAAAATATAATGTTCTCTACATTAACAGCTTACTCTACAGTTTATATACCCAAGTACACCTTTATGTGTGCATTTTTGAGACACATACAAACAAAACGAAAGTTTACTGCTCCATTTGACACGTTTTCATGATCTAATACCCTTGTTTTATTAAATATGAGATCATATTTCTTCCACTAAGAAGCTAATCAGTGTAGGGGAGGCATTCTACGGCAGGGGTGCATTCTACAGCACAACACCTGTCTTCCGCTAACCAGTCAGGATCAGATAAGTGGAACAATAAATGACTTCTGTCCTCTGCTAACTTTGAAACGGTAAAGAAATTGAACTGTGTACGGTGGGTCAACTTAAATATGCAACTAACGTTAGCCCTTGTGCTTTTTCATAGACAAACGACCTGACAACAAAAAATGATATTTATATACTGGTTGAAAATGTGAGAAATCCATAGTAAAGTTCCTAAAAAGTTAATATGATTTAAAAATTCATGGAGAAGTTCAGAAATTTCATCCAAAAAGAAGAGCCCCGCTTAGCACCTTCATTCAAACCATGTTTTTTTTTCTTTTTTCTTTTTGATATCCTGCCTTTTAAAAGAATCGAATTAGAGAATCGATAGGAATCGGAATCGAAATGAGGAATCGAAATTGGAATCGGAATCGTTCAAAATCAAACGATACCCAACCCTACATTTGGACAACTTCAACTTTGTCCTCACTTCAGAGCAGGTGGATGGACATGCATGAGGATGAACAGGTCCGTCAGATCATTAGGGGAGAAGATATCACATCTCAAATATGCAGTTATTTTTATATCAGTGTAATCACGGTCAGATTTTAGTTAGAGGAGGATAAACACTTATTAATGATTCCTATCTTACAGATATCTTCAGATTTTATATGCCTATATATAAAATTAATTAAATATAAACAAAATTGCATTTGATTTGGTAGAGGACGAGGCTCCAGAAAAGGAGGTGAAAATGTCGTGTTTTTCTGCTCCAACAGACTCAGCTGTTAAGAATGAACACTTCATCAATAAATATGACATGCTGCACAAAAACTGGCATAAAAAGGGAAATACATGAAATTTTTTATTCATTAATTTTTTAATGGTTAGGGCTGAAGTTGTTCAAGAGATTTGAGTAAAAAAAAAGTAAAAATAAAAAAAATATTTTATGAACACTTATCTGCATGTTTGTTTTGGAGACAAAGTAGGCTGGATGGAGCTTCAGATACGAAAAATTGGCACTACAAAAAGAATTTAAATGAGACAAAATCATTTTTACTTCTCATCATTGACATGGCCCAGCCATATCAAGAAAAATATTTTCATCTAGGTCATTTTATATGGGAAATATGGTAATTTTGTGTTTTTTACCATTAAAAATAGCAGCAATATGGTGCACAAAAACTGGCATAAAAAGGGTCACACATCGAATTTTCTATTCGTTATTTTTTTAAATGATCAGGGCTGAAGTTGTTCGAGCGATAGGAGTTGAAAAAAGTAAAAAATAAAATGTTTAAAAATGATTATTTAATCAACACTTATCTGTTTTGGAGACAAAGTAGGGTGCATGGAGCTTAAAATTAACCAGAACCGAGGGTTAAAGAATAAACTTTTGTACAGTTTTAAGGATTCATTTGTAGACTCTTTTTATGATTCCTGGATTTGTTCATGGATGAACTCATGAATTTGGAAACCACCTTATGAATTCCTGTTTTAAAAGTACAATAACCTTTTCAATTAAAAATACTCTATTTAATTTCTGCGACCCTTGCGGTCCTCCATAAAGAGCATTTAAAAATGGTTCTTTATAAAAACCACTGACATCAAGACAAGAAAGCTCCTCAAAATTCTCAAATGGAAGTTTTCACCCTGAATCCAGAACCCTGAGGGTCTACACTAAGAGGAAGGAGGGAGGCTGAGAACTAATGAGCATCAGAGCTACTATCCAGGATGAAACAGTTCACATTCAAGAGTCCATCAGAAAGATGGTCCCCAATGATGACCTGCTAAGTGAAGACCTCAGGCAGCAGAAACCAAATATATCTGTAGTTGTCTGTGACCCAGTAACTGTCTGGTTATACCTCAGTGTGTCCAGTCTCCATAGAGGATCCTCCAGTCCAGCAGAAAGCAGTTTTACTCCTGAGTCTCCTGGATGATTGTAGCTCAGGTCCAGCTCTCTCAGGTGTGAGGGGTTGGAGCTCAGAGCTGAGGTCAGAGAGGCACAACCTTCTTCTGTGATCAGGCAGAATGATAACCTGGAGTCAGAAAAAATATATGAAACAAGTAAAAGTGTACCAACTTTAGACAATTTCATTCAAACAACTACAAAACTCAATCAGCAGAAAACCTGACCTGATAATTTCCAGTTTACAGTGAGGACTCTTCAGTCCAGCAGACAGCAGCTTCACTCCTGAATCCTGCAGGTCATTGTTACTCAGGTCCAGCTCTCTCAGACTGGAGGACTGGGAGCTGAGGACTGAGGACAGAGCTTCACAGCTTCTCTCTGACAGTTTACATCCACTCAGCCTGAAGAAGAATCAGTGATTAACACAGACACAAAGTTTCATCTCTCATGAACAATAATGTTTCATCTCTCATGAGTCCACCTACAGAGCTTTGTTGGAGGCTTTGACCACTGGCAGCAGCCTCAGAAGAGCCTCCTCTGAAGCAGAGTATTTCTTCAGGTCAAACACGTCCAGATCTTTTTCTGATGACAGTAAGATGAAGACCAGAGCTGACCACTGAGCAGGAGACAGTTTCTTTGTGGAAAGACGTCCTGATCTCAGGGACCGTTGGATCTCCTCCACTAGAGAACGATCATTCAGTTCATTCAGACAGTGGAACAGATTGATGCTTTTCTCTGCAGACAGATCCTCACTGATCTTCTCCTTGATGTAAAGGACTGTTTCTTGATTGGTCTGTGAGCTACTTCCTGTATGTGTCAGCAGACCTCTCAGGAGATTCTGATTGGTTTGCAGAGAAAGACCCAGGAGGAAACGTAGAAATAAATCCAGGTGTCCGTTCAGACTCTGTAAGGCCTGGTCTACAGCACTCTGATGGAGATGTTTCAGTTTTGGTTTGACACTGAAGGTTTTAGAGATTAAAGATGCTGTTCGTTGTTCTTCTTTCATCAAGTTGACTCCAGAGTTGGTGAAGGTCAGGTGGACATGAAGAGCAGCCAGAAACTCCTGAACACTCAGATGGATGAAGCAGAACACCTTGTCCTGGTACAGTCCTCTCTCCTCTCTGAAGATCTGTGTGAACACTCCTGAGTACACTGAGGCTGCTCTGATATCCATGCCACACTGAGTCAGGTCTGATTCATAGAAGATCAGGTTTCCTTTCTGCAGCTGCTCAAAAGCCAGTTTTCCCAGAGACTCAATCATCTTCCTGCTCTCTGGACTCCAGTGTGGATCAGTCTCAGCTCCTCCATCATACTTGATGTTCTTCAGTTTGGACTGAACCACCAGGAAGTGGATGTACATCTGAGTCAGGGTCTTGGGCAGCTCTCCTCCCTCTCTGGTCTTCAGCAGATCCTCCAGAACTGTAGCAGTGATCCAGCAGAAGACCGGGATGTGGCACATGATGTGGATGCTTCTGGATGTCTTGATGTGGGAGATGATTGTGCTGGCCTGCTCCTCATCTCTGAATCTCTTCCTGAAGTACTCCTCCTTCTGAGGGTCAGTGAACCCTCTGACCTCTGTCACCATGTCAACACACTCGGGAGGGATCTGATTGGCTGCTGCAGGTCTTGTGGTTATCCAGAGGCGAGCAGAAGGAAGCAGGTTCCCCCTGATGAGGTTTGTCAGCAGCACATCCACTGAGCTGGACTCTGTAACATCAGTCAGGACCTGATTGTTGTGGAAGTCCAGAGGAAGTCGACACTCATCCAGACCGTCAAAGATGAACACGACCCTGAAGTGTTGAAAGCTGCAGATTCCTGCTTCTTTGGTTTGAGTGAAGAAGTGATGAACAAGTCCCACCAAGCTGAACTTCTTCTCTTTCAGCACATTCAGCTCTCTGAAGGTGAATGGAAATGTGAAGTGGATGTCCTGGTTGTCTTTGTCTTCAGCCCAGTCCAGAGTCCACTTCTGTGTTAAGACGGTTTTCCCAATGCCAGCCACTCCCTTTGTCATCACTGTTCTGATTGGTTCCTGTCTTCCAGATGAGCCTTTAAAGATGTCTTCTTGTCTGATGGTTGTTTCTGGTCGCTCTGCTCTCCTGGATGCTGTTTCAATCTGTCTGACCTCATGTTCATCGTTGACCTCTCCAGTCCCTCCCTCTGTGATGTAGAGGTCTGTGTAGATCTGGTTCAGAAGGGTTGGGTTTCCTGCTTTAGCAATCCCCTCAAACACACACTGGAACTTCTCCTTCAGGTTGGACTTGAGTTTGTGTCGGCACTCTGGAGCAGCAGATCCTGAATGAACAAAAAGAAATGTGATGAATCATCTGAAGCTACAATCAGTCTGATGAATTTACACTTGAAGACATCAGGATGGATTTGATTTCCCTCCTCTCTGAAATCTCTTCAGCTCATCAGCTGTGATCAGTTTCTCTCAGTTCATAGATGTGATACAAATGTGTGCATCATATGAACAGCAGAGTCTGAACTCTAAACCTCTCCCATGTTGTCTCCATTTCCTCTTTCCATCATGTTAAATCTCTTCAAATCCTCTTACTTCTCTGCAGACAGTCAGCCAGCTCCTCCTGCTTCATTCTCCTCAGGAAGTTCACAGTGATCTTCAGAAATGCCTCTCTGCTCCTCCTCTGCTCTTCATCCTCATCCTCCCTCGGACTCTCTAAGTATTCTGGTTCATCTGGACTCAGAACTCTCTGGATCTCCTTCAGCTGCTCCTTTACAAAGCTGATCATGTTCTCCTGGAGCAGCTGGAACAGAACAAAATGTTGACTTGAACTTGTAGAACTGAACATCAGATCATCTGTGACAGACAGAAAGCCTGCTGGTCTACAGAGTCCAGCATGGAGACTGGATCACAATGCTGCTTCAGGATTGACTTTGTGGATGGTCCTGTCTTCTACAAATCCAGTTTCTATGACCTGACCTTCATACTGGAGAAACCTCCTGGTGTGGTTTCATGGAGAAAAAGTCTGCAGTGAATTTAGAGGTGATGTGTTTATTAGAATGAAGCTGAAAGCAGCAGCTGTCATCGACATGAACCAAAGTCTTTCTGTTCTTTAAACTTCAAACTGGACTCAGTTTGTGAACTCTGCTCTCTGCTGCCAAAGTCTGAGTCTGTGAGACCACCATCCACCATGACCTCTGACCTCTGACTCTGTGCAGGTCATAAATGTGAGGCTTCATTCAATCAGTCAAACTGTGAGTGTGAAGATAATTCAGGCAGAGATGATGTTTGCAGAGTCATTAGGAAACAATCCAGAAACCTCCAAATATACTGAGTGTCTGCTCTGATGATCAGTAGGAGCTGTGTTTGTACATTTACACCTACCATAAATATGGAGTCCAGCTGTGTTTGATGCTGCTGGGCAGACTGACCAATGGGAACCTCTGATCTCTGCTGCTGAACTCTGTGGAACAAACAGAATCTAATGTAGTGGATATAATATAAGGAGACACAGGGTTACATGTGAGAGAGTCTATCTAGAGGATCCTGGTAGAAACACTGCTGGATCCTCCTACAGACACACATGAAGATACATGCAGAGTCCAGGTCTTTGTGGCTCAGATCCTGTTTACTGCTGTTGGATCCTGATAGAAACACAAACCCTGAAAAATCTTCACCTTCACAGAGAAAACACTGACCACAGTTAGGATGAAAAGTTTCACACACAACAAAAGAAAGTTCAGTTTGAAAGTCTCACCTTTGCTCATCACAAATATCTCCTTTGAAATCAAGAAGTCTGAACATTGACCCCTCACTCTTTAAGGACACACAGCTGGGTCCAGGTCCAGGTCCAGGAGAGTCTGGTCTCTCATGTTTGACTCTGACAGAAACACAAACACTGATGAAGAAACAAGAACACTGAAAATCTTCCAGGTTTGAGTGCTGCTGTTATAGATTATTACTTTTGACGATCAGACTGAAGTCCATCTTTGAAATCAATTATTAGACTTCTAGACCGGTCACTCTTGAAGGACAGACAGCTGGGTCCAGGTCCAGGGGAGTCTGGTCTGTACTGCCGTTCAGGTCTTAGACAGACAGACAGACAGACAGAGGTCTGAGTGTGAATAATAGTGATGGTGGAGTGATGTGAGTGCTGAGCTCTGACATGGAGAAGAGTCATGGACAGTTGGAGATCCTCATCTCACCTCTGAACTTTGGTCTGGCTCTCATGTTCCCCCCACAGAGTGGTTTTAGAGGGAGGGGCCCCCTCCTCTCTGTCCTCACACTGATTCATAGCAGAGCCCCCACCTTCACACAAACACAACAACATACTCAGTCAGTACAACAAGCTTTACACCACAGGACACTTCAGTTCTCATTCCTCTCAATAACACAAACATTCAGGACTGACAGAAACCTTGTTGGAGCCTCAAACAGGATCTGATGAGTCCAGAATGAGTTACAGCCCCCAGACTCTCCCATAAATAAACTGTGGTCATCACAATTATCTATAACATAAACACTGTTGTTCAAATGAGTAAGAGTAAAATAAAAAAGTCTCTTTAAATCAAAATGTTTTATTAGCTTGATTAAAAAAAATCTTTAGTTTTGATTATAAGTTTTCAAAGTTGGACAAATATCAAACACTGACATAGGATGGCTCATTTTCTGTCTTATAGCGGCCCCTGACAGCTGATGGGTCTCAATCAACCACTGAGTCCACTTCCATCCTGGACTGGCTCTGGTCCATCTGCAATTATCTGAAACTTCTGGGACCACTGAGACTTTGACCCACCCAAAGGCTCTCCAGTAAAACTCAGTCAGTCTTAGTGCTGGAAGTGATCTGACCTTTGAACCGTTCACCTCAGAGTATCAACCGTTTCAAAATAAAAGCACCTGAGCCAAGTCGATCCAGGCTGTCAGACCAGTTCAGACACTCCCTGCATTTTTCCCTGATGGTGTGACTCAGATTACTGTCGAACTGCTGCTGAGTCGACTCCACAAACACCAACTATAGAGCAGGTGGATCTGTCTGAAATCACTGCTCTTTAACTCAGAGAGAAATTCTACAACATGTTTCAAACAGCCAATCAGCATCAAGAAAGATTTCTACACTTCAACAGTGATCCAGCACCATGTGAGCACACGGATCCTGATCCTCAGACATGATCAGATTTCTCTGGAAGGATCCTCACCTGTTGAAGAGAGTTCAGGTCAGCTTACAGACACTTTCCACCTTCATGTGTGGAGAGAAGAAGCTGCTCGTTTGTCCCTCGTCAGTCCTGGTGTCTGTGAGCGTTTGATCCGAGGACACTGTCACATCCTCATAACTTCAGAGTGACGTCAGAACCTGTCCGATCAAGAAACAAGTCAGTGCAGATTTCACAGAAATCACAGGATGTAGTTCTACAATCAGACCACTAGATGGTCCTAATCACAGCCCATTATCATAGTCTAAATGGCTCAGACAACAACACTCCTTTAAACATGTAATTACTTACTTGACTTTGGTGAGAGTCCTTGTTGCAGTCATATCCTTGAGCAGAGACATGCGTAAGATTTTAGAGGGGCAGGGCCTGAAACTCACAAAAGGGCAGTTTATCTTTAAACAAATGAATATACTTCTAAAATATTGACCTTTATGACACTTTGAGATATGTACTCAGGGAAAACTCATGAGACTCAGGGTAGTTTATATACTGATACAGGACAGTTAATAATGATTCATCCATTTCATTTCTATGAGCCATTTCAGGAGTCAGCTAACTTTCCTCTTTCTTGGGAGTCATTGTTGATAAAGGTAGAAACCCTCTACCTCGAGGCAGGGAGAGAAAAGAACTACACAAAATGCTCTTCCTCTGGCAGCATGTCTGCCCATCTCCCTTCACTTCCATATCCATCTAATACCTTCTCAGTAGAACGCTGATCTGCTCAAATAGTAACAGTCAAAAAGATAATGGTGTTGTACTGTGAACAAATACAAACCAACAAATACTGAGACTTTATCTAGCTAACTAGCTACTGTGCTTTGGATCTATTCTTTCAGTGGCTGGGACACAATAACTGCTGTCTATCTTCTACTGATTCCTCCTGGGACACTAACCTACTGGCAGATTCAGGGTTGATGAGAGAGCATGCAGGACAGCTCTAAACTGCTAAATATTTCAAACAAAGACAGACTCTCCTGACATACAGAGTAAAGCACTTCTTTCAGCCCAGAGTGAAAACTTATGACAGCTATGATCAAACTTTTCTCACTTACCTGATGTCCTGCCAAGAGACTGTATGTAAAATAGACGTCATCTGCCTCCTTGCTGGGTGAAGAAGCCTCCGTGAGAACAGCACCCCCTGGTGACTGGTTGTATATCAAGTGATAAACCCTGCCTTATTCTCAGAGCGGAAACATGAGAGAAGAGCTTCAACTGACACACAGGACTCAGAGGATATTTACGGCTTTATCAATGTAGCGCCTTTAGCCTGATTGAAAGAACAAACTATGACACCTACAGTCTCTCTAGTCCAGGAGAGCTGGTAATAGTTAATCATACACAATACCGTGAAGTGAAAAGTTTATTGCCACAGGTAGGTAGGAAATATTTTGCAGTGTATGAAAATGAAAGACATAGAAAATAGAGCTCTTTTAAAAAGGTTGAAAAATAATAAAATTAATAGAATCATTATGTTTTCCAGGAATTGAGTCACAAAGTGGAGAGCCACGTCTTCCACATATTTCGCTTCTACACCTTCGGCCGTATGAGGAAGAGCGCTGACTACTATCTGCTCCGGTCCAATTCACAGTACATCAGCTGGTGGTCTACAGCCCTCAGCCTCCTCATCGTCACCTCGGGGTACCTGCAGCTCCTCTCCCTCAAGAGACTCTTTGTCAGCGGGCCGGGCAGCGAGGAGGAGAAACCCCGCTGCTGACCGAAGCAGAGGGGTTTACAGTGAGGATGGGCAGAAATAACCAGTCTTTGTAGAAGATGAAACCAGGACTCAGATGGCCGTTATTCTCTGGTTTTTTATTTGTGTATTTGGATGTCTTTACGCAGCATGAAGAAACCTCACTGCTAGATGATGATGTTAGATATTAGAATAGAATAGAATAGACTTTATTTGTCATTGCACAAAGCAACGAAATTTCGTTGTGCCATCCTGAATGCAAAAAGGACAACAAAAAGTACAACAGTGCATACATTTGACAGCATTCATCCATGTTAAAAGACATATTTAAAACATAAAGATGTTGATCAACATTGACCATTGTGTCACTGTAGTAGTGCTGCATACGTGGACCCATACTGCACTGTTAAATGAGGAGTAACTGCGCTTAGTCCCATATTGCACTGTTAAATAAGAAGTAATTACACGTAGTCTCATATTGCACTGTTAATAAATGAATGAATAAATAGAGGGTCACATTATTGCATTTATTGGCCTGACATTAAGTTCAGTTATGGCTCTGTGAAAGACACTGTTTTTGAGTCTGAAGGTGCAGGCTCTCGGTGCCCTATAGCGCCTCCCTGAGGGTAGCAGGGAGAACAGGTGATGACTGGTGTGGTGGATGTTTTTCATGCATTCGTCCCGTTTCTTCTCTCACCTGTCTAAGGTGATTAATGATTAATGCAGGTTTAGACGAACCCTTCACATGTAAATGATGACTCATTTTGGTCATTTTTCAAAAAATCAAATTTCTCCTGAAAGTATTTATTTTTACAAGATTTTTTCACATGCCAAGTTGGTTGAAGTTTGCATTTCTTGTGGGATCACAGCAAGCAGTTATAGATTAAAAATCACTGTAAGCACCATTAACTGGTAATAACTTTGTTTATATCATGTTGAAAGGCAGAATATGTGTGAGTTCAGAGGGGAACGTATTTCTTCTTAGTCTTGAGAATTATTCAGTTTTTGCTCCTGTATTTTTTTTTTTATTTTTGTATAAGTTGTTGCTGTTTTAGACTTGATTATTCGGCGGAAAGTAAAGGCTTTTTTTGTGAAGTTTCCTGACTTCATTAAACGAGCGCAGTGGGGTTACACAATCAAATGCAGTGCGACATTGGCCTGTGGATGTAGGATACTGAGCCGTCTCTACGAGTAAAGAAAGGTAGGCCTAAGTGTAGCGAAACAAGTCCAAACGCAGAGAACCAAAGACAGATGATTGTGTCACCCAGCTTTCTTGCTAGTTAGCCGACCGGGAAGACGGTTATTTTAGTTCATATGCTAAATGATCAACGTTCGTCACACATCTCATCGAATCATTCCACGGAAAATAGTTCCAGCACGTTATACTTCTCTCTGTTGGGCAGAGGTTTGTTGGTTCCCACTCCAGTTCAGTTAGCATGCGAAATCTATCATTTAAGCCATAGATATAAATACAAACGGCAAATGGCTTATGCACGCTGTTAGCCAATAGAGACGGACGTCCTTGCTACGAGACGCTCGTCCACTCATAACGTTCCAGTCTACAGTGCATGTAGCATTTAAATAATCATAGATTGATTAATTTTAAACTGATTTTCAAACGGTTTGGTTTGTAACAAACCTCAAGTTTTAGTTATGTTCCTGTATACTCAAGAATAATTTTAACCATGGATTTTTATAAATAAACATTAAGCAGATAGGTAGAGCAATCGCTATAGGCCTACACACACAAGGCAGTTATATTAAATCATTTATATATTAAACATTTCATAACTCCATGTATGTTTTATTAGTAATATTTCTATTATAGGGATAACTATAATAACATATGACAATAACATATATTCTTATTTTCTATATAAATTTCTGCCTCATGTTGCCATTTTAGATGTTTTTAACAAATCAAACAGCTTGGAAATCATGTGCAACTTAACTTTTGTTGAGTCCAAAGAGCATTTCTGTCTCTTTAACTGATGTAAAATTACTGGGTCAACTTTGTAATATGTACTTGGTCTCACTCACAGCGAGTCTGTTCGCCAAGTTAGACAGCTGATAAACACAAGACCATCCACAAAGACTGTCACTTAGACTAAATAAATAAAAATAAAAATAATAAATAATAAGCTGTCATACAAGAAATTAAAATCTTGATTGTGGTCTCAGCCTTGACAACTCATGCAAAGCGACTCAAAGTTAGCCCTTGCGCACAAATAGCTGTGAAACTACTGTGCTGCACAATAAAGCCTTTTTTTTCTAAAAGAAAATCTGCAGTTTTAATATGTCCAAGCATCCTGACTCATAGCCACGTTATTAAGGTCTGTAATAAACAAAACCATTTGTAAATCTGTCAAGATTTCAGCGAGTTAAGAGTGTTTTGATCATGCAGATGCACATAAGATGGCCGCCGTGTAGGGACGCCGGTGACTCCGCCTCGAGTTGTCTAGCCTTTCTTATGTCTATGCGCACACATCTTTCCCCATTGACGCTCGTTACAACTTTGGCACACGCAGTTCATTCCTCTTCATTACAACGGGGCGCAGTTGATCGTGCCTTCCTGTCTCCGTCTGGTCGCTTTTACTTTACTGCTTTTCACCACCGGCCATGGGGTGGCAGCAGAGAGCGAGCGGTTGCCTTTAAAGAAAACCACCAAGCGAGTGATGTAGAGCACAGAGTGTCGCCGGAGTCCCAGAAAGAGCCGAAAAAAGGAGAAAATGGAGAGAGAAAATTCAGTAAAGTCACTGAAAACAATGCTGTACGAGAGGAGAACACTGCAGGAGGAATGTAGAGTGAAGGAGCTCGGAACTGACCGGCCGGACGTATTAATTACACGGCAGTCCGAAGACAAAGGGAGGAGATTTTCGCGGTCTTTTTCACGGAGCTGGTATGAGAAGATATCTTGGCTAACTGGATGCTAACTCTAAACCTTGGAACTGATCAAGCCTGGATTCAGACAGGTATGCATATTTATCCATTCTTGATTTATTTATTGATGGAAAAGGAGATTTTAAGGGTTTGTGTGTACCAGTTATATCTTATCTGGAGCAAAAGATATCAAACACTGGGGAGATAAATGAAAATTCAATAACTGGTAACATTCACCTGCATTTAATTATCTATTTGACTCAGCAGAAGTGCTCAGATGTAACCTAGTTAGTAGTTATACATAGTCAAAGCACATAAAATGGTTGTGAACATAATGTACATCAATTCTTGTGTTTTGGCATTGCCCTCTCTGCTTTCTGGGGTGGTAAATAAGTGCACCCCCCCAAGAGAAAAAACAGCCGCCACTGGTTAAGATTTAACCTTCATTAGTAGTATTTTATTAACAGTGAAAGGTGTTTTCTGGGTTAGCTGTTTTTCCTGTCCAAATCATAACCGGTGTTCTACTGACTTTAGTGAAATTTCAGTATTCATGCCTTGTATCTCCAGAGAAATTCAAAAGTCTTAGTGGCATCATTTTAATTTTAACATATTTATAAATAATTAGAAACCAACAAAAGAGGTCAGAAACAGAAACTTTTTCACAAAACGTGAAAATTGTGCTCTAAAATAGACTTAGACCTTCTTTCCTTTTTTATTTCTTTCTTTATTTGATTTCTCTCTGCAACCAAATGCCGTTGCTTGGCTTCCATATCAGCATATACAGCATGATGGTGTTTCATGTAATATACAGAAAAACAATAAAAACTAAGGGTAAAATAGCAGCATGGTGAGAAATATTGCACTTTCTGGAGGTAGAGTGGTAGTGTAATAAAAACCAAATAAATAAAATATAAAAAGATGTTCTTATTTACACATAATAGCTATAGCTGTGGTATGTTTTTACTACAATAGCCAGCACCTCACCTTTTTTCTTAGATTTGGTGTCTGAGACTCACTTCAGTATGTAATATGCTCCGAAGTTGATAGTATTTCATGCAGAAAGCACACTGTCAAAATTTAGATCTAAATCCAAAAGCAGGGGCAGCTGGTCAATAGAGGGCGCTAAGGTGCCGTCCCCTCTGTCTCAGCATGTAGAATCACACCGTCATAGATGTATAAGAAAGGCATATCTATGCACACAGCCCTTTCTTTTAATAAAGCATCTTTTTTATGACTTTCACATGCATAACCCATGTTTCAAAAAGGCAAAAGCTGAGTTTGCTGACTGAAAATGTTGTTTAAGTCCCTCACTACAAAACAAAAACTCAAACTAAAACTCACGTTAACTTTGGAAGATAGTTTTGAAAATAAATGTCTGCAATCCCTGAAGTGATGGGATGAAGAGGCTGCGAGCTGAGCTGTCAAAAACCGTCCAAGTCGCCCTATTCAAAACAAAAATAGTCGTGAAAACCAGTATCAACATTTTGAAAGCCTCTAGATTTAGTAATTAAGACTCACTGTGAGTCTCTGGGGGGCTGCAAACTGAGCTACCACTTTCTTATTTTATAACAAAACGAAAAAGGTCCTTTTAAAAGCCGCATCAGAGTTTGAAAAGATTTTTTTTGTCTTTAAAAGTGTGCAGGTATTTAAAGCCTGATGTTTGACTATGGAGGCTGCAAAGCGAGCTGTTGCTAACAAAAGATGACTGAAGGTTCACCATTAGTTTACTGGAAACAGTACAGTACCCCCTCTAAAACATTAGACCCTCATTTTAAGAGACTTTGTTTTCTAAGTTTTAATTTCTCAACGGTTTGGAGTGTAGGTTCAGGGGCTGCGAGCTGAGCTGTCACTACCTTTATCTCTGAAGCGAAAAAAGTCAGGTAGAGTACAAACCATTTTTTCAGGAACATTCACTGGTGAAAAGAAATGTTTAAGTCTCTCTTTGCGGCATAAAAAAAGTCTCAAAACCCACATTCATCAACGTTTAAAGAGCTGACGTTTTCTAAATTTGCTTTTCTGCCAGGCTCAGTGTGAGGCTTTGGGGGCTGTGAGCTGAGCTGCTGCTAGTTTGTCTCTGTATTTAACCAAAGTAATCCACTTGGTTTTATAATTCATCCTAAAAGCAAACGCCACCAGCTGAAATGGTTATGTATGTCAGCTGAGAGCTGGTGCTGCAGAGAAACTCTGATGAACGTGCTTCTCTAAGATAAAGCATGAGACCGGTGAAAGCTGATAAAGGAGTTTTGTTCGGCACAGAAACCAAATCCAGTTCAGCTGACGGAAACGAGAACAGCTCGAGAACAAAAGTCCTCACGCTGTTCTGAAAGTGGTGCTGAGGCACATGGAGGAGGAGGAGCTGTTGTGCTGCAGTTACACATTCAATCCAAGTTTTATCAACAGGATGTGAGCGTTTCCTTTTTGATGGCGGAGGTTGCAGCTCCTGAAGACAGTAACGTGTGACTGTCACCTCCAAATTCTGCCGGACTCTGCTATGCAAGAATCCCATTTCTGGCTTTTTTTGCTCCCCAGATTTTCTTTAAATGATACAGGAACAAAATTTCACTAAAAATCTGATTTATACCAGCAGCTGACTGAAACTTTACATTACTTCTTTTTACTTTTCCTCCTCCTTTTCTCACTTGAGTTTGAAGCACTTTTTTCTTCAAATTGTCACAAAAAAAGGGATGCAAACTGATGTTGATCTAGTTTTATGTTGATTGTTGTCGTTTTATTTTTCAGTTCGAGTCACCAGAGTGTAGCTCTGATTTCACCACCAGGCTCCGTCTGAAAATCTGTTTGTTTTGTACGGTTTTACTTGAATAGTTCTTGTTATTTTTTGTTTGATCGATAAAAACAGATTTACAGTTTGGTTAACACAGTATTACTTCACTTATACTCATGTAGGATTATTCTTTAAACTGGCGTAAATTGGTGTGTTGTGTGTTGGAGAGGTTGCAGCTTCCTCGTAATGTTAGAAAGTGTTTCCTCCAAATATAGATCCAACAGCTGCTGTGGTTTGTTTAGATTAAAATTCTGATATTTAACATCACTGCAACTGTTTTTAAAATCACTCAGAGTTCATTTAATTTTTTTTAAGAATTACCCAAAATGATCTGACATTTTAAATCAATCTCTTTTTGTGTTTAAATATTTAAACTTTTGATTCATGTTGATTTTGGCGCCCCCTGTGGACAAAAAGAGTACCTCGCCTCTTCTTAGTTATGGGTATGTGCGAGCGCTGTTTCCGGACAAAGAATCTCATTATGCTGTGTTTTAAAACTCCTAAATCTTAATAATGGAAAATGTTTTGGTATCTTGCGGTGTATAAATCTATCCGGCGCCTTCCCCCCTCGAGCGTTTTTTTATATTCATTGAAAACACCTCTATAGAAATAGCCGAGCTTTTTCCTGATAGTCTGGTTTGTATTTGTATCTCATAATGATGCATAAATATTAGTTTTAGCCTTTTTTTTAACCCGATAAAAACTCCTCATGAAAATGTAACTAACTGTCAAAACAGCACAGACTACGAGCGCTGTGATTGGTCCGCTGGCCAGCATCTTATTTCGTATTTGCTACATTTGAAGTGTTGTCGTATATCTAGTACTATCACCCCGCCTCTTACCTTCTCTGTAAAAGCTGCAGTTTGATTAACTTCTGCACACGAGCAGGTGAAAGTAGCAGGACCAGTAACTGTTGCAGAAACCGCGCTGCCATCTAGTGTAGAAGCAGAGTATTGCAAAGCGACACACCAGAATGTGAAGCTGTTTTTGTGCCTCGCTACGATGTAAAGTTCGTGCTTCAAAAGGAAAAGTCATAAAACTCTCCTCCTTCATGTCTGATCAGCATCAGCAAAGAAATAGTATGAACCACTTTGTCCACAAGGGGGCGCCATCATTGACATAAGAGTTACTCACAGAAGCTTTAAATTACTGGAATATTTTGTTGCAGCTCTGGAGACCATTTAAAAAAGTACTGGATGTTATAATTCAACAAAAGTGATTAATTTAGTGGAATTTAACGCAGAAGAGTCAGGGGGTTTGTTGTATTTAAGTTTGTCATAATGATTTGTGTGATTTTGCATCGAGTGAATTGATACAAAATGAAATGATCACTTTTTCTGAGTGATTTAAAACAGATGTTTTCATGGAGAGCCTGTTGGATGTCAGATTTCTGGAGACGGTTTTAAAAGTGGAGAAAGTTCAATCAATCTTAGAAACTCGACTTCTCCCTGATTATTTTCATCCGTGTAACTGCGTTTTAAAACAAACCCTGCAGACTGTGCTGTGAGAGGATTATCAACTGTGGCGCCCTCTGCTGGAGGAACTCTGTCATTACACCACTTTGAGCTCACCTTGACTGTTGTTTTCTGTAAAAAAAAAAATTAATTACCGTTTAAAATTACAAATGTACACCCTGAAACAAACTTATGTAGATGTAAGGCCGACACTGGTGCGTTGTTGTGACTGTTAGCATGAGTTTAAAGTCAGTGTAGGTTGATTTTTGCAGCAAACTGATCTGAAATCTGAACTGTCTGTCTGCAGGTGCATCAATCTCAGAAACTGACTGTATTGTTGTAGAGATTTCTCAGCGGTGACGTCAAACACAAAAGAGTTTACGAGGAAAATGAGTCATGCAAAATTGCCGTTTTAGTCTTTAAATATTCATGAATACTCTGATCCATTCAACCATGATGGAACAGCTGCAGTACTGTATAACTGTCACCGCCAGGGTTTACTCCACTGTCCATGAACTGTGTGTGACTGCAGACCGCCTCAGTGAAGATGAGGCTCCAGTTTAAACTCTTAAACTCTGTCGTGTTTTCTGATTTTTTTCCTCTCTGATAATCAGCCGTGTGTTTCCGATCTCCTCTGATTCATGTCGACACGCAGAAACACTCACAGCTTCAGGAAGGCAGCGTCCTGGTGTTTCAGTGTCTAATTTCAACTGAAAAGATGTCAAACCCAATCAGAAGTCTTAATTATTTTTGTACCACTGTTTTCTTTCAGGTTATGAATGTGTAAAGATGATGTGAATGTGCCTTATTTAATTCCCACACAAATAACCAATAATAAACCTGTCATTGAGACCAAGCCTGTGACTGTCAGGGTTGTTTTTTTTTCATGTAATACTGATGTGGTTTCATTTTCATTTTCTTTATTTTAATTATTACAGATGTCCTGAGAGAAATCCAAAAGTCTTCATGGCATCCTTTTAATTTTAACATATTTATAAATAATCTGAAACCAACAAAAGAGGTCAGAAACAGAAACTTTTTCACAAAGCGTGAAAATTGTGCTCTAAAATAGACTTAGACTTTCTTTCTTTCTTTCTGTCTTTATTTGATTTCTCTCTGCAAAGAAATGCCGTTGCTTGGCTTCCATATCACAGCTTGATGGTTTTTAATTTAATGTACAAAAAGACAATAAAAACTAAGGGTTTATGTTCTTATTTACACATAAGAGCTACAGCTGTGGTATGTTTTTACTACAGTAGCCAGCACCTCACCTTTGTTCTAAGATTCACTATGTAATATGCTCCAAAGTCGATAGTCTTTCATGCAGAAAACACACTGTAAAATTTAGATCTAAATTTAAAAGCAGAGGCGGCTGGTCAATAGAGGGCGCCACACCCTCTGTCTCAACCATAGACTGTATATACTATGGACAACTTGGTTCTGCCTTCTGCCAGTATACAGATTTGAAGCCGAAAAGTTCTCTGTAATTCCGCGTTTTTTTTTTTTCCACTTCCTGAAACCAGCGTTGCGCAGTAGCGTTCTAATCATTCGGCGGGAGAGTCGCTGTGATGACGCTCGGCTCAAACAGCGCATCCTCCAGGTGAGCTACGATCATAGAACTCCTATTTCAGCTTCACTTCATCGGCTCCTGGTAAGTTTTAGAATTGATTTTTAATATTCAGATCCATCCAATAACATCATTAATATCCATTTGATTATTAGTAAGAACTAAACTGAGACAGCTGTTAGAATATAGATTTCTTTATTGAGTTCATGTTTCATAAACGTCCTTACATAAATTCTTACACCTGTATTACTCCTCTTGAATTTTTCACCCTTCTTTTTTCATTCATTGTGATTTTTCTCTTTGATTTGAGTTGTAATGATTTCTAAAGCAGGTTTGTTGGTTAAGAGGTGACGTTCACTTTCTCCTCTGTTTACAGTCTGCTGCTCCGGCTCCAGATTTTCATGTTTTCTGTCTTCACTTCTTTCTAATCCTCCTCTCAGCTCGGCTCTGATTTTTCTGTGTGTGAGAACCAGCCTGCAGTCTCATGAGGACATGACCTTCATCAGTTCAAACACAGGTATGAACACCTGTGCAGGTGAAGAAGAGTTTCAGGAGTCTGACTCTGACTGTTCAGACAAACTTTCTGATCAATACAGTGAAGAAAAATGTGCTGAATGAGGCGGATTTTTCCCCCATAGAGACAGAAATCAGTCCAGCTCAGTGAGCCAGTTTGACATGGAGTCCTGCTCTTTGATAACAGACATTCAGACTGATGTGACAGGATACAAACAGTCAGATAATCAGCTGAAGTTTGTGTTAGTGCAGAGGGTCAACTGTTCTTCAGCTGCTGTTTGTGTAGAGAGGAGGAGACTCTCCCTCCTACAAAGAACACAAACGCACTGAGGAACCAGGAGACCAGAACCCAAACCCAGGGTAGAGAGGTTGAGTGAAGGTGGTGTTGAAGGTGTGGAGGTGGATCAGTGTGTCAGAGGAGACGCTGTAGAAGGACAGAGTACCAGCAGGACGGTCCACATACACTGCTACTCTGTGAGAGACAGAGGACGAGGAGAGACGGAGGACTGTTCCTCTGTTATTGTGAAGGACAGAGTAACCTTCATCAGAGCAGAGCAGACTCCAGGACTGATCATTAAATCCAAACATACAGTCAACACTGTATTCTTTCCTTCTGATTCCTCTGTAACTCACTGATATATAAACCCCTCCTCTCCACTCGACCTCCCAGTAACAGCGACCAGTCAGACCATCTCTACACAGAAGCTGAGGATAGTCAAATCTGTCTGGATGATCAGGATATAACAGATACTCTTCCACAAGTGTCACCTTCCTGTTGTTTTCAGACAGTCTGAGACGTCCGTTTACTGTGTTTGAATCCAGTGTGAGTTCACAGAAATCTGACAGAGAGAAAAAGACACAACACAGCAGCAGGTTATCATCAGACACACCTGAAGGCTTTCTTCTTTGTTAGCTGACAGTCTGCTGTTTGGTCATCAGGAGTCAAACTGATTCAACACTTACACTTCTTCACACCAGGTTTTAACCTCTGCTCTCCACCATGGTCCACCCTGGAGGAAGAAACACAGTCAGAATGATTGAGTGTCCAACATGAGTCCTACCTGCTGTCCAACATGAAGCAGAGTTCCTCAGTTTGTCCCTGTGACAGAGAAACAGGCTGAAACTCATCTGAGCCAACAGTCTCCATCACTCTGTCACTTTTTCTGAGTCTTTCTGACAGAAACTCACAGAAAAACAACAAGATTCAAAGAGCAAAGGCTGGCTGCTGGTCTGTCCTACAACATGGAGACTTGATTTGGACCCTTTGGAAAAAGACCTTCATTTCTTCTTTTAGGACAGCTGTCCACACTTTGGTCTAAAAAGCTCCTTCTAAATAGACTTGAAAGCTTGTCTGCAGATAGAGAGATGAAGTAGTGGGCTCTCTTCTTCTAAATCTGAATGAAGATGAAATGAAAGCTCTCAGATGAACTCATGTGAGTGTGTGAGGCTCTTCTTGGATCATTCAGAGTCAGCTAGAGCAGAGGGAGTAGGAGCATCACACCTGGAACAGCAGGTGGATTTCCTGCAGTTTGGGATGGACAGGAAGTGGAGCAAAGTCAGAGCATGTCCTCAAACAGCCCCTCAGCTTACCTGATCATGACTGACAGGTCTGCTGCTGCTCTCACTGAATGTAGCTGTGCCAGTAAAGCAGTAGAGCTCAGCTGATGAAGCTCAATGAAGACTATCTGATCTCCTTTGAACCCACTTCTGCAGCCAGTACTTTGAGTCCATGTTTCTGACTGAGGGTGGATGTATGAAGGAGGTGTTTCTCTGTAGCTCTGAGGGTTTGTTTGATGGCTCACCAAACAAAGAGAGCAGAAAATCAAGAAGAGAAGACCTTCCCATGTCAGCCAGGAGAGTTGATCCTGGTCTGTATGGATGAATGAAATAAAGGATCTGTAGGAGATCTGAATGTTGTTCTGCTCTGATCATTCAACTAGATGTGAACCTTCATCTTGTAACATCAGGTGTAATAAAGCATCTTCTCTGAGTTCTGACGTGGGCTAAAGGACTGTCAAATGTGTTTGAACTTCAAATATGAGCCCATCTCTCTCCTGATCATCTCTGTTTTTAGTCTGTGTGTCTGTTCATCAATCAGGGAGCTGAGAAATGACCACAGAGTCACAATATCCAGGTTTGGACCTCTTTCCACCTGGAACACTGGAGAAGGTCTATTCTTCCTCATCCTCCATCATCTTCACCTCCCTGCAGACATCTGCATGTAATAGACCAGGTTATAACCAATCAGAGAGCTTGTTTCATGGATCATCTTCACTGTTTTACCTGGTTTTACCAGCTCAAGGCCCAAAGTGTGAGGGAAGGAAAAATGGAGAGGAGGAACAGAAAGATAAAAGACTTTGATAATCGATTAGCTAACAGGAAAAGGAAAAGCAGACAGGAAATGGAAATGAAAAGAGGAATTGTCCTTTAAATGTCTGATTAAAAGCTGTATTCTTAATTTCGTTTGTCAATTTACTCTTTTATTCCTCTTTCTTAAAACGGCATTTTCAGACTGATTTTTAAACTATTGATTAAGGAATACATTCATGTACTTTTAAAGAATAAACTTTTGTACAGTTTTAAAGATTCATTTGTAGAATCATTTTATGATTTTCTCTATTTGTTCATGGATGAACTTGTGAATTTGGAAACCACTTTATGAATTCCTGTTTTTATAGTACAATAACTTTAAAAAAATCAAAATTATTTTATTTTAATTTCTGTGTCCCTTGTGGTCCTCCATAAAGAGCATTTAAAAATTTTAATATTCTAAAAGTTTCCGACTCCTGTCCTTCAAAATATCAACCACCATGTCCTACATTGAGACCAGAGGCAGAGGGACGAGTTTCTGCAGTTCAGGACAACGTGACAGCTCTCAGAAGAAAACTCAAAGCTGTTGAACAGAGGAGCATTCAGCCTGGAAGACAAACCTAGAGTTCAGCAACACATTTTAGAGCTGGGCCATTCAGAGAAGATGCTCATCCAGGTGCCCAGTGTTGCAGACAAATAGCTGCTGTTATTGTGTGGAGGAGGAGACAGAATGACAGACACACATCAGTCTGATTCAAAGTCATTTCTCATCAACTGTTTGAGGGTTTCTTTAATCAATGTCCTCCTCTACATGGATGACATCAAACTGTATGTCAGCTGGAACAAGATCCAAACCATCAACACCTACGCTCTGCCAGTGATCAGATACCCTGCTGGCATCATAGCCTGAACAAAAGAAGAAATAGAGACCACTAATATCAAGATAAGAAAGCTCCTCAAAATACTCAAATGGAGGTTTTCACCCTAAATCCAGAACCCTGAGGGTCTACACTAAGAGGAAGGTGCGATTCTGAGAACTAATGAGCATCAGAGCTACTATCCAGGATGAAACAGTTCAAATCCAAGAGTCCATCAGAAAGATGGTCCACAATGATGACCTGCTAAGTGAAGACCTCAGGCAGCAGAAACCAAATATATTTGTAGTTGTCTGTGACCCAGTAACTGTCTGGTTATACCTCAGTGTATCCAGTCTCCATAGAGGATCCTTCAGTCCAGCAGACAGCAGTTTTACTCCTGAGTCTCCAGGATGATTGTAGCTCAGGTCCAGCTCTCTCAGGTGTGAGGGGTTGGAGCTCAGAGCTGAGGCCAAGGAAGCACAACCTTCTTCTGTGATCAGACAGCCTGATAACCTGGAGTCAAAAAAAATAAATGAATGAAACAAGAAAAAGTGTACCAACTTTAGACAATTTAATTCAAACAACTACAAAACTCAATCAGCAGAAAACCTGACCTGAGAGTTTCCAGTTTACATTGAGGACTCTTCAGTCCAGCAGACAGCAGCTTCACTCCTGAATCCTGCAGGTCATTGTGACTCAGGTCCAGCTCTCTCAGACTGGAGGACTGGGAGCTGAGGACTGAGGACAGAGCTTCACAGCTTCTCCATGACAGGTTACATCCAGTTAACCTAAACAGGTATGAAAATAGTTGATTACTTTTAATTAACTATCTTAACAAGATCTGATGAACCTAATCAACTCTCTTGACTTGACCCAACTTATAATTTCAGAGAAGAGCAGTAAGTAGCCCTCTTTTTTTATGATGCCTGTGTTTCTGTGGTTTTGTGATCTGACAGACTAAAGTTTTATGTTCGATCTTATACAGACCTGAGAGTTTCCAGTTTACATTGAGGACTCTTCCGTTCAGCATAAAGTTGATTCACTCCTGAATCCTGCAGGTCATTGTTACTCAGGTCCAGCTGTCTCAGACTGGAGGACTGGGAGCTGAGGACTGAGGACAGAGCTTCACAGCTTCTCTCTGACAGGTTACATCCAATAAATCTGGAAAAATAGGACGATTGTGGAAAAAAAAATCTTTACTCATGATAAATTACAGTTTTGATTTTATTCTAAAGGCTTAATCAATCTGTAATTAGAGTGTTAGTTTCTTTTGTTATTCATCTTGTAATGATATGAAATGGCAATCTTTCAAAAAACAGACTGACTTTCACCATTCTAACTTGTCCTTTTAAAAGTAAAATATTTATTTATTAGTTTCTGAGTAGTCTTTTTTATTTTGTATACCTTACAGATTAAACTTTGACATTTAACTTCACACTGACCTGAGAGTTTCCAGTTTACAGTGAGGACTCTTCAGTCCAGCAGACAGCAGCTTCACTCCTGAATCCTGCAGGTCATTGTGACTCAGGTCCAGCTCTCTCAGACTGGAGGACTGGGAGCTGAGGACTGAGGACAGATCTTCACAGCTTCTCTCTGACAGGTTACATCCAGTAAACCTGAACAGACATGAAGATATTTGAACAAATAAGCTCCCCTGAATTTTAAATTATCATAAGGTTATGAATAGTTTTGCTTCTCCCATAAAATTATTAGATCCTTTTTATTATATCTGTCGACTTATTTCAATAAGACCTCTTAAGGAACTGAGAAAATAAGTTGACTCCCTCAAATTGACCCCGCTAAAACTACAGAAAACTGCAGTAAGTAGCTCTCTGTTTTAATTGCACCTCTGATTTTTTGGTTTTGTGATCAGACAGGGTAAAGTTTGATGTTGAGCCTTATGCAGACCTGAGAGTTTCCAGTTTACAGTGAGGACTCTTTAGTCCAGCAGACAGCAGCTTCACTCCTGAATCCTGCAGGTCATTGTTACTCAGGTCCAGCTCTCTCAGACTGGAGGACTGGGAGCTGAGGACTGAGGACAGAGCTTCACAGCTTCTCTCTGACAGGTTACATCCAGTTAATCTGGAAAAATAGGATGATTGTGGAAAAAAAAATCTTTACTCATGATAAATTACAATTTTAAAGTTATTCTAAAGGCTTAATCCATCTGTAATTAGAGTGTTAGTTTCTTTTGTTCATCCATCTCGTAAAGGTATGAAATGGCAATCTTTCAAAAAAACATACTGACTTTTACCATTCAAACTTATCCTTTTAAAAGTAAAATATTTATTAGTTTCTGAGTATTCTGTTTTATTTTGTATCCTGTACAGATTAAACTTTGACATTTAACATCACAGAGACCTGAGAGTTTCCAGTTTCCAGTGAGGACTCTTCAGTCCAGCAGACAGCAGCTTCACTCCTGAATCCTGCAGGTCATTGTGACTCAGGTCCAGGTCTCTCAGACTGGAGGACTGAGAGCTGAGGACTGAGGACAGAGCTTCACAGCTTCTCTCTGACAGGTTACATCCACTCAGCCTGAAGAAGAATCAGTGATTAGCACAGACACAAAGTTTCATGAACAATAATGTTTCATCTCTCATGTGTCCACCTACAGAGCTTTGTTGGAGGCTTTGACCACTGGCAGCAGCCTCAGAAGACCCTCCTCTGAAGCAGAGTATTTCTTCAGGTCAAACACGTCCAGATCTTTTTCTGATGACAGTAAGATGAAGACCAGAGCTGACCACTGAGCAGGAGACAGTTTCTTTGTGGAGAGACGTCCTGATCTCAGGGACTCTTGGATCTCCTCCACTAGAGAACGATCGTTCAGTTCATTCAGACAGTGGAACAGATTGATGCTTTTCTCTGCAGACAGATCCTCACTGATCTTCCTCTTGATGTACTGGACTGTTTTTTGATTGGTCTGTGAGCTACTTCCTGTGTGTGTCAGCAGACCTCTCAGGAGATTCTGATTGATTTGCAGTGAAAGACCCAGAAGGAACCGTAGAAATAAATCCAGATGTCCGTTCAGACTCTGTAAGGCCTGGTCTACAGCACTCTGATGGAGATGTTTCAGTTTTGGTTTGACACTGAAGATTTTAGAGATTGAAGATGTTGTTTGTTGTTCTCCTTCCATCAGGTTGACTCCAGAGTTGGTCAAGGTCAGGTGGACGTGAAGAGCAGCCAGAAACTCCTGAACACTCAGATGGATGAAGCAGAACACCTTGTCCTGGTACAGTCCTCTCTCCTCTCTGAAGATCTGTGTGAACACTCCTGAGTACACCGAGGCTGCTCTGATATCCATGCCACACTGAGTCAGGTCTGATTCATAGAAGATCAGGTTTCCTTTCTGCAGCTGCTCAAAAGCCAGTTTTCCCAGAGACTCAATCATCTTCCTGCTCTCTGGACTCCAGTGTGGATCAGTCTCAGCTCCTCCATCATACTTGATGTTCTTCAGTTTGGACTGAACCACCAGGAAGTGGATGTACATCTGAGTCAGGGTCTTGGGCAGCTCTCCTCCCTCTCTGGTCTTCAGCAGATCCTCCAGAACTGTAGCAGTGATCCAGCAGAAGACCGGGATGTGGCACATGATGTGGAGGCTTCTGGATGTCTTGATGTGGGAGATGATTGTGCTGGCCTGCTCCTCATCTCTGAATCTCTTCCTGAAGTACTCCTCCTTCTGAGGGTCAGTGAACCCTCTGACCTCTGTCACCATGTCAACACACTCAGGAGGGATCTGATTGGCTGCTGCAGGTCTTGTGGTTATCCAGAGGCGAGCAGAGGGAAGCAGGTTCCCCCTGATGAGGTTTGTCAGCAGCACATCCACTGAGCTGGACTCTGTAACATCAGTCAGGACCTGATTGTTGTGGAAGTCCAGAGGAAGTCGACACTCATCCAGACCGTCAAAGATGAACACGACCCTGAAGTCTTGAAAGCTGCAGATTCCCGCTTCTTTGGTTTGAGTGAAGAAGTGATGAACAAGTCCCACCAAGCTGAACTTCTTCTCTTTCAGCACATTCAGCTCTCTGAAGGTGAATGGAAATGAGAAGTGGATGTCCTGGTTGTCTTTGTCTTCAGCCCAGTCCAGAGTCCACTTCTGTGTTAAGACGGTTTTCCCAATGCCAGCCACTCCCTTTGTCATCACTGTTCTGATTGGTTCCTGTCTTCCAGGTGAGCCTTTAAAGATGTCTTCTTGTCTGATGGTTGTTTCTGGTCGCTCTGCTCTCCTGGATGCTGTTTCAATCTGTCTGACCTCATGTTCATCGTTGACCTCTCCAGTCCCTCCCTCTGTGATGTAGAGGTCTGTGTAGATCTGGTTCAGAAGGGTTGGATTTCCTGCTTTAGCAATCCCCTCAAACACACACTGGAACTTCTCCTTCAGGTTGGACTTGAGTTTGTGTCGGCACTCTGCAGCAGCAGCAGATCCTGAATGAACAAAAAGAAATGTGATGAATCATCTGAAGCTACAATCAGTCTGATGAATTTACACTTGAAGACATCAGGATGGGTTTGATTTCCCTCCTCTCTGAAATCTCTTCAGCTCATCAGCTGTGATCAGTTTCTCTCAGTTCATAGATGTGATACAAATGTGTGCATCATATGAACAGCAGAGTCTGAACTCTAAACCTCTCCCATGTTGTCTCCATCATGTTAAATCTCTTCAAATCCTCTTACTGCTCTGCAGACAGTCAGCCAGCTCCTCCTGCTTCATTCTCCTCAGGAAGTTCACAGTGATCTTCAGAAATGCCTCTCTGCTCCTCCTCTGCTCTTCATCCTCATCCTCCCTCTGACTCTCTAAGTATTCTGGTTCATCTGGACTCAGAACTCTCTGGATCTCCTTCAGCTGCTCCTTTACAAAGCTGATCATTTTCTCCTGGAGCAGCTGGAACAGAACAAAATGTGAACTTGAACTTGTAGAACTGAACATCAGATCATCTGTGACAGACAGAAAGCCTGCTGGTCTACAGAGTCCAGCATGGAGACTGGATCACAATGCTGCTTCAGGACTGACTTTGTGGATGGTCCTGTCTTCTACAAATCCAGTTTCTATGACCTGACCTTCATATTGGAGAAACCTCCTGGTGTGGTTTCATGGAGAAAAAGTCTGCAGTGACTTTAGAGGTGATGTGTTTATTAGAATGAAGCTGAAAGCAGCAGCTGTCATCGACATGAACCAAAGTCTTTCTGTTCTTTAAACCTCAAACTGGACTCAGTTTGTGAACTCTGCTCTCTGCTGCCAAAGTCTGAGTCTGTGTGAGACCACCATCCATCATGACCTCTGACCTCTGACTCTGTGCAGGTCATAAATGCGAGGCTTCATTCAATCAGTCAAACTGTGAGTGTGAAGATAATTCAGGCAGAGATGATGTTTGCAGAGTCTTTAGGAAACAATCCAGAAACCTCCAAATATACTGAGTGTCTGCTCTGAGGATCAGTAGGAGCTGTGTTTGTACATTTACACCTACCATAAATATGGAGTCCAGCTGTGTTTGATGCTGCTGGGCAGACTGACCAATGGGAACCTCTGATCTCTGCTGCTGAACTCTGTGGAACAAACAGAATCTAATGTAGTGGATATAATATAAGGAGACACAGGGTTACATGTGAGAGAGACTATCTAGAGGATCCTGGTAGAAACACTGCTGGATCCTCCTACAGACACAGGACACACATGAAGATACATGCAGAGTCCAGGTCTTTGTGGCTCAGATCCTGTTTATTGCTGTTGGATCCTGATAGAAACACAAACCCTGAAAAATCTTCACCTTCACAGAGAAAACACTGACCACAGTTAGGATGAAAAGTTTCACACACAACAAAAGAAAGTTCAGTTTGAAAGTCTCACCTTTGCTCATCAAAAATATCTCTGTCTTTGAAATTAATTAGTCGCCACTTAGACCGGTCACTCTTGAAGGACACACAGCTGGGTCCAGGTCCAGGTCCAGGTCCAGGAGAGTCTGGTCTCTCATGTTTGACTCTGACAGAAACACAAACACTGATGAAGAAACAAGAACACTGAAAAATCTTCCAGGTTTGAGTGCTGCTGTTATAGATTATTACTTTTGACGATCAGACTGAAGTCCATCTTTGAAATTAATTAATCGACCCTTAGACCAGTCACTCTTGAAGGACAGACAGCTGGGTCCAGGTCCAGGAGAGTCTGGTTTGTACTGCCGTTCAGGTCTTAGACAGACAGACAGACAGACAGACAAACAGAGGTCTGAGTGTGAATAATAGTGATGGTGGAGTGATGTGAGTGCTGAACTCTGACATGGAGAAGAGTCATGGACAGTTGGAGATCCTCATCTCACCTCTGAGCTTTGGTCTGGCTCTCATGTTCCCCCCACAGAGTGGTTTTAGAGGGAGGGGCCCCCTCCTCTCTGTCCTCACTCTGATTCATAGCAGAGCCCCCACCTTCACACAAACACAACAACATACTCAGTCAGTTCAACCTGAGCCACATACTGTCCTCTACCACAGTGTCATTCCAGATTCTACCACAAGATGGAGCCACAGTTTTTCCTGTTTTCTAGAGAGCTCATCTGGATCCATTCAGAGTCCAGTTCTGTTCAAAATGAAGACATGTGAAAACTTTCAGTTTGATGTTTGACAGAATGAAGAAAATACTCACCAGGTGAATTTTAGAAAGACAAAGAGAGAGACTGCAGCTGATCGTCCTTCATCAGTTCATCATCATCATTAATCTGAGGACGCTGTCACACTCTCATCACTGAACAGTCAAAGTCTACAAACACAAACAGACATGAAATCACTGACCAACACCCAGGAACCAGAGTCCAGCTCCAGTCACACTGCAGGACCCTGCAGAGACCTGCTGTCAGGACGAGACAGAGAAACCTCAGAGTGATCCAGGATAATATCTGATGTGACTGAGAGTCAAACCTGCGTACATGTGGAAACATTCAAGTTCTCCTTTTGTCTGCTCCAGAAAGAACCAACCATGAGAGATCTTCTGATAAGGAGTCCAATTCAACTTTGACTCAACTCCAAATCAGTGGAACGGACTCAGAAAAATGACATGAGGTTCACCTTTGAAATGAAGGACACCAAATTTAATTCACTCTGAAATCTTTCAAACTTGGACTTTGTCACATTTATGACACTGAATCAAACTTTGTGTTATTTTATTGGTCAATAAAAGTTGATCACGTCTCACACCCAGAGACAGGTCCTGCTCTATCAATGATTTACTGATCATAGTCATAAATATATCACTTATATATATTTGTTTATCTGGTTATCTGAGAGCAGATCAAAGTAGTTTTCAGCTTTGTCCCTGAGCAGTTCTCTCCTTTTTATTCCAGAGGAGATCAGACAGCAGAGAAAAGCTTTCAGAAATGACAGACATCATGTTCCTCTGTTGTTATTGATCGATCAGGTTTAAAGGAAAAGGTCAATACTCTGCTCATGTTTAGGATCAGAAACCTTTCAAAGACAGAGAATGGGTTTAGTACCACATGAAAGCTGCCAATCAGAGCTCAGCTGATGGATGATGGTCATTTTAAAAAGCAGCAGACAAAGTTGAAGTCTTTGTTGAAATTGGAGCATTTGTTTGAAACATCAGAGTTTTTCTGAAACTCCTCAAAGTTCAGTGTTGGATTGAGTTTGCTGATGTGCTTCTGTATTTCAGTGTTGTATGAAAAACAGTAACTGGAGCATGTTTGATAGAAATTATCTGTATATTCATGTCTTGGCATCTCTGCATGGTATGACTGTATTTCATATATCAGGTTTTTAGTTACGTATATGGACGTTTCATATCTGGTGTTATCTGGTCTGGAGTTTGACCCTCTAATCAGATTGATCAGGATTGTAAATCTGAAGTTTTGAATGTTTGATTGTTGAATGAATTCAACCTTGATGTTACTCATTAACAACAACTCAAATCTGAGAGACTAAATAAGAGGAAACAAGAAAGAGAGTAAAACAGGAGCAAAGAAATAATCTGGACATGCTGTAATAGATTTCCTCCATGACTCCAGAAACAGATGATTGTCCGATTAATAACAGTGATTTATTTCATATTTATTATATTTATACACATTTTCAGCACAAGGACCCCAAAGACGGAGAACCCACAGAACCAGGAAAAGCAGAGCAACATATGGACCCAACATCATAAGAACTGAAGCAACACAAGACGTGAACAACATGACTGTGACCAGAAGAATAAAAAACAATGAAACATGTTCAGGCCTGAAAGTCTAACAAAGATGATTAAAACACAGCAAAGAGGTTCAAGCTCTATAAATAACAACTGCATAAATAAAGAGACAAAGCCATCAAAGAAATGAGTGCAATGAAATTCACTAATACAAGCCAAGAAATCGTCAAAGAAAAGCAGAGCAACAGGAAGAAAGAAGTTGGTGACGACAAATGTAGAAACTGAGAGACCTCAAACTTTTAGAAGAATATACAAAAATAAGAGAGGCCGTGATCTTCAGCTCTCACTGGATTGGTTCGCAGCTGAGTGTGAAGTGGCTGGGATGAGAATCAGCACCTCCAAATCTGAGACAACAGTTCTCAGCCAGAAAAAGGTGGAGTGCCTTCTCTGGGTTGGAGATGAGATCCTGCCTTAAGTGGAGGAGTTCAAATATCTCGGGGTCTTGTTCACTTATGAGGGAAGAATGGAGCGGGAGATCAACAGGTTGATTGGTGCCATGTCAGCAGTGATGTGAAAGCTGCACAGATCTGTCATGGTAAAGTGGGAGCTGAGCCGAAAGGCAAAGCTCTGGATATACCGGTTGATCTACCTACCTTCGGTCACGAGCTGTGGGTTAGTGACCGAAGGTGAAGATCGCAAGTACAAGCAACCAAAATTAGTTTCCTCTGCAGGGTGGCTGGGCTCTTCCTTAGAGAAAGGGTGAGAAGCTCGGTCATTGGAGAGGGGCTCGGAGTAGAGCTGCTGCTCCTCCGTATTGAGAGGAGTCAGATGAGGTGGCTTGGGCATCTAATCAGGATGCCTCCCGCACGCCTTGCAGGTGGCTGAGGAGAGGGAAGTCAAGGCTTCTCTGTTCAGGCTGCTGCCGGCCCTGTGACCCGATCCCGAATAAGCGGTGGAAGATGGATGGATGGATGGAAAAAGTCAGAGTAAAAAAAGGCCAATTAAAGGAGGATTTCACCTAAAACAAGTCTAGAAAAATGATTTGAAGAAGTGGTTTTAAAGATAACACTGATTCTGTAAACCTGATATCCTCAGGCAGGTCCTTTCAGAGTGGAGGGGCCCTGATGGAAAAACATGATCCCCGAAGTCTTCAGTCTTTTTGGAACAGCCATATGGGCCTAAGGGTCTCAGACTGCAGGATGGCCTCATGGGGGGGTCAACATTTCAGATCTATGAGCCAGACCCAGAGGAGCTTTGAATCTTCAAGTCAATCCTCAAAGGAAGCTGGGATGGAGGTGATGGGATGTTGTCTGTTCAAACCAGTGAGAAGCCCAGCTGCTGCTTTTTCAAGGACTCAGACAGGGGAAAAGTGTTTTATGGTCGATGCCGTCAAAGAGTGAGACTGGTCTGGAGAGGATGAGTGTGTGGATTCATTTTTCCATATCTGAGTGAGGATTAATTATTGGTTTTCACCTCAGAGATGGTGAGTAATTGGAGGAAACAGGGAGGTCAAAGGTTTTTGATCAAAGGACTTTTTGATTTCAAAGGACTGAGGACAATCAAATGTGAGTCCTCCGTTTCTGGATGATGGTTGGATATCAGCTGATTAAGCACCAAAGCTGCTCTCACTGAGATGGTCGGGCTCTGAAAACTGAACATGATTTCTGATTTTTAGCTGAAGACAATTCTGTGCCGATCTATTCAGAGTCTGTATGAAGGAAACCATGAAAACCAAAACAGATAAAAATACTGAGAATTTGAGACACATTGAAAGAGCTTTTCTTGGAGCTTTTTCTCCACTTCTTTCTGAGCAGCTCCTCACTAACCATTGCTCCTGTGAATGGGTTCAAACTGTTGCTGCTGTACAGTGGACACTGACTGAAGTTTATCACACTGGTTGTTGACTGTGCTCAGCTTTAAAGAGAGCCAATGACTGACCTTTCATACCATCATAAACTCATCAAATCATAAAGTGCTCAGCACACAAAGACTTTTACGATCACTAAAACAAAGTGTTTGAAAAGTTTAAGTCAAGTTTTGTTCAGTCTGACTTCAACCTGTTCCTGTTTCTTCTGCTTTCACTGAGTAAATACACAGACTATGACAACAATACATCAGCACTCCTGTATTCAATCTGATCCCTGTGATTGTGTTTGTTGGTAGAAGTCTGAGGTTCATAGTCTTGACTTATTTCTGCTCCTACATGTACATCAGACTTTAAACAGAGATTTTCTCCTTTCCTCTGTGTTCGCTCTCTTCTACCAATGCAGTCACAAAACAACATGTCAGATCTGCAGAAGCTTCACATGTGCTGTCCTCAGATCAGTTTAACTCACTCAAACATGATGAAGTGTGTTAGGTTACCTTCTGATGGGGAAAATGATCTGCATGAAGACCTCGGGTAAAATGAATCAGCAGCTTCAAACAGGAAACCAAGCAGAGAGAGAAGAAGATAGAAGTGACAGCAGGAGGTTTTCAAAGGCCCCACCATTCACATCCAGTCCAGACTCTCTGAGTTCATCTTCACACTGAAGTCTTCTGGAAGGAAATGTGACACATAGCAGCTCTCAACTTTGGACTCAACCACCTGAACACCTGCAGTCAAACATTGACAGACACAATAAACCTTCTCAGAGAGATAAGAGAGGTCTCATGGTGCACTTTATACTCCCTGACTATCATTGAATGCAAGAAATAACACAGATATAAGCTGTGAAACAACTTTGCTGCATGATTCAGTCTTTTTTTCTCTCAGAGAAAATCTGCCATTTCAATATGTCCAAGCATCCCGACTCACAGCCACATTATTAAGGTCTGTAATGAACAAAACTATTTGTAAATCTGTCAAGATTTCAGAGAGATAAGAGTATTTTTGATCATGCAGATTACTCACTTTCCTTCAGCTACCATAGAGTGTACCAGAATGGAATACTGGAGTAAGATGGCCGCCGTTTAGGGACGCCGGTGACTCCGCCTCGAGTTATCTAGCCCTTCTTATAGATATCTATCCGCACACATCTTTCCCCATTGACTCGCGTTACAACTTTGACATGCGCGGTATTGACATCTTCAATACAGCGGGGCGCAGCTTGACCGTGCCCTCCTGTCTCCGTCTGGTCGCTTTTACTTTACTGCTTTTCACCACCGGCCATGGGGTGGCAGCAGAGAGCGAGCGGTTGCCTTTAAAGGAGACCACCAAGAGAGTGATGTAGAGCACAGAGTGTCGCCGGAGTCCCAGAAAGAGCCGAAAAAAGGAGAAAATGGAGAGAGAAAATTCAGTAAAGTCACTGAAAACAATGCTGTACGAGAGGAGAACACTGCAGGAGGAATGTAGAGTGAAGGAGCTCGGAACTGACCGGCCGGACGTATTAATTACACAGCAGTCTGAAGACAAAGGGAGGAGATTTTCGCGGTCTTTTTCACGGAGCTGGTATAGAAGATATCTTGGCTAACTGGATGCTAACTCTAAACCTTGTCTGCTTGTCCAAACCAAGGGAACTGATCAAGCCTGGATTCAGACAGGTATGCATATTTATCCATTCTTGATTTATTTATTGATGGAAAAGGAGATTTTAAGGGTTTGTGTGTAGCAGTTATATCTTATCTGGAACCAAAGATATCAAACACTGGGGAGATAAATTCAAATTCAGTAACTGATAACATTTACCTGCATTTAATTATCTATTTGACTCAGCAGTTGTGCTCAGATGTACCCCAGTTAGTAGTTATACATAGTGATAGCACATAAAATGGTTGTGAACATAATGTACATCAATTCTTGGGTTTTGGCATTGCCATCTCTGCTTTTTGGTTTGGTAAATAAGTGCCCCCCCCCCAAGAGAAAAAACAGCCGCCACTGGTTAAGATTTAACCTTCATTAGTAGTATTTTATTAACAGTGAAAGGTGTTTTCTGGGTTAGCCCCCCCCCCCCCCCAAGACAAAAATTCACCAGCCGCCACAAGTTAAGACACAACCTTCATTAGTGGGTTAGCTGTTTTTCCTGTCCAAATCATAACCGGTGTTCTAGTGACTTTGGTGAAATTTCAGTATTCATGTCTTGTATCTCCAGAGAAATCCAAAAGTCTTAGTGGCATCAATTTAATTTTAACATATTTATAAATAATCTGAAACCAACAAAAGAGGTCAGAAACAGAAACTTTTTCACAAAGCGTGAAAATTGTGCTCTAACATAGACTTAGACTTTCTTTCTTTCTTTCTTTGATTTCTCTCTGCAACCAAAAGTCATTGCTTGGCTTCCATATCACAGCTTGATGGTTTTTAATTTAATATACAGGAAGACGATAAAAACTAAGGGTTTATGTTCTTATTTACACATAAGAACTACAGCTGTGGTATGTTTTTACTACAATAGCCAGCACCTCACCTTTGTTCTAAGATTTGGTGTCTGAGACTCACTTCAGTATGTAATATGCTCCAAAGTTGATAGTCTTTCATGCAGAAAACACACTGTCAAAATTTAGATCTAAATTTAAAAGCAGGGTCGGCTGGTCAATAGAGGGCGCCGCACCCTCTGTCTCAACCATAGACTGTATATATTATGGACAACTTGGTTCTGCCTTCTGCCAGTATACAGATTTGAAGCCGAAAAGTTCTCGGTAATTCCGCGTTTTTTTTTCCACTTCCTGAAACCAACATTGCGCAGTAGCGTTCTAATCATTCGTTAGGAGAGTCGCTGTGATGACGCTCGGCTCAAACAGCGCATCCTCCAGGTGAGCTACGATCATAGAACTCCTATTTCAGCTTCACTTCATCGGCTCCTGGTAAGTTTTAGAATTGATTTTTAATATTCAGATCCATCCAATAACATCATTAATATCCATTTGATTATTAGTAAGAACTAAACTGAGACAGCTGTTAGAATATAGATTTCTTTATTGAGTTCATATTTCATAAACGTCCTTACATAAATTCTCACACCTGTATTACTCCTCTTGAATTTTTCACCCTTCTTTTTTCATTCATTGTGATTTTTCTCTTTGATTTGAGTTGTAATGATTTCTAAAGCAGGTTTGTTGGTTAAGAGGTGACGTTCACTTTCTCTTCTGTTTACAGTCTGCTGCTCCGGCTCCAGATTTTCATGTTTTCTGTCTTCACTTCTTTCTAATCCTCCTCTCAGCTTGGCTCAGATTTTTCTGTGTGTGTGAACCAGCCTGCAGTCTCATGAGGACATGACCTTCATCAGTTTAAACACAGGTATGAACACCTGTGCAGGTGAAGAAGAGTTTCAGGAGTCTGACTCTGACTGTTCAGACAAACTTTCTGATCAATACAGTGAAGAAAAATGTGCTGAATCAGGCGGATTTTTCCTCCATAGAGACAGAAATCAGTCCAGTTCAGTGAGCCAGTTTGACACGGAGTCCAGCTCTTTGATAACAGACATTCAGACTGATGTGACAGGATACAAACAGTCAGATAATCAGCTGAAGTTTGTGTTAGTGCAGAGGGTCAACTGTTCTTCAGCTGCTGTTTGTGTAGAGAGGAGGAGACTCTCCCTCCTACACAGAACACAAACTCACTGAGGAACCATAAAAGAACCCAAACCCAGGATAGAGAGGTTGAGTGAAGGTGGTGTTGAAGGTGTAAAGGTGGATCAGTGTGTCAGAGGAGACGCTGTAGAAGGACAGAGTACCAGCAGGACAGTCCACATACACTGCTACTCTGTGAGAGACAGAGGACGAGGGGAGACGGAGGTCTGTTCTTCTGTTATTGTGAAGGACAGAGTAACCTCCATCAGAGCAGAGAAGACTCCAGGACTGATCATTAGATCCAAACACACAGTCATGACTCTCTCCTTTCCTTCTGATTCCTCTGTAACTCACTGATATATCAACCTCTCCTCTCCACTCGACCTCCCAGTAACAGCGACCAGTCAGACCATCTCTACACAGAAGCTGAGGATAGAGGTCAAATCTGTCTGGATGATCAGGATATGACTGATCCTCTCTCACAGTTGTCACCTTCCTGTTGTTTTCAGACAGTCTGAGCTCTCTGTTTACTGTGTTTGAGTCCAGTGTGAGTTCACAGAAATCTGACAGAGAGAAAAAGACACAACACAGCAGCAGGTTATCATCAGACACACCTGAAGGCTTTCTTCTTTGTTAGCTGACAGTCTGCTGTTTGGTCATCAGGAGTCAAACTGATTCCACACTTACACTTCTTCACACCAGGTTTTAACCACTGCTCTCCACCATGGTCCACCCTGGAGGAAGAAACACAGTCAGAATGATTGAGTGTCCAACATGAGTCCTACCTGCTGTCCAACATGAAGCAGAGTTCCTCAGTTTGTCCCTGTGACAGAGAAACAGGCTGAAACTCATCTGAGCCAACAGTCTCCATCACTCTGTCACTTTTTCTGAGTCTTTCTGACAGAAACTCACAGAAAAACAACAAGATTCAAAGAGCAAAGGCTGGCTGTTGGTCTGTCCTACAACATGGAGACTTGATTTGGACCCTTTGGAAAAAGACCTTCATTTCTTCTTTTAGGACAGCTGTCCACACTTTGGTCTAAAAAGCTCCTTCTAAATAGACTTGAAAGCTTGTCTGCAGATAGAGAGATGAAGTAGTGGGCTCTCTTCTTCTAAATATGAATGAAGATGAAATGAAAGCTCTCAGATGAACTCATGTGAGTGTGTGAGGCTCTTCTTGGATCATTCAGAGTCAGCTAGAGCAGAGGGAGTAGGAGCATCACACCTGGAACAGCAGGTGGATTTCCTGCAGTTTGGGATGGACAGGAAGTGGAGCAAAGTCAGAGCATGTCCTCAAACAGCCCCTCAGCTTACCTGATCATGACTGACAGGTCTGCTGCTGCTCTCACTGAATGTAGCTGTGCCAGTAAAGCAGTAGAGCTCAGCTGATGAAGCTCAATGAAGACTATCTGATCTCCTTTGAACCCACTTCTGCAGCCAGTACTTTGAGTCCATGTTTCTGACTGAGGGTGGATGTATGAAGGAGGTGTTTCTCTGTAGCTCTGAGGGTTTGTTTGATGGTTCACCAAACAAAGAGAGCAGAAAATCAAGAAGAGAAGACCTTCCCATGTCAGCCAGGAGAGTTGATCCTGGTCTGTATGGATGAATGAAATAAAGGATCTGGAGGAGATCTGAATGTTGTTCTGCTCTGATCATTAAACTAGATGTGAACCTTCATCTTGTAACATCAGGTGTAATAAAACATCTTCTCTGAGTTCTGATGTGGGCTAAAGGACTGTCAAATGTGTTTGAACTTCAAATATGAGCCCATCTCTCTCCTGATCATCTCTGTTTTTAGTCTGTGTGTCTGTTCATCAATCAGGGAGCTGAGAAATGACCACAGAGTCACAATATCCAGGTTTGGACCTCTTTCCACCTGGAACACTGGATAAGGTCTATTCTTCCTCATCCTCCATCATCTTCACCTCCCTGCAGATATCTGCATTTAACAGGCCAGGTTATAACCAATCAGAGAGCTTGTTTCATGGATCATCTTCACTGTTTTACCTGGTTTTACCAGCTCAAGGCCCAAAGTGTGAGGGAAGGAAAAATGGAGAGGAGGAACAGAAAGATAAAAGACTTTGATAATCGATTAGCTAACAGGAAAAGGAAAAGCAGACAGGAAATGGAAATAAAAAGAGGAATTGTCCTTTAAATGTCTGATTAAAAGCTGTATTCTTAATTTCGTTTGTCAATTTACTCTTTTATTCCTCTTTCTTAAAACGGCATTTTCAATTTGATTTTTAAACTATTGATTAAGGAATACATTCATGTACTTTTAAAGAATAAACTTTTGTACAGTTTTAAAGATTCATTTGTAGAATCTTTTTATGATTTTCTCTATTTGTTCATGGATGAACTTGTGAATTTGGAAACCACTTTATGAATTCCTGTTTTTATAGTACAATAACTTTTTCAATCAAAATACTTTATTTCAAGATCTGCGACCCTTGTGGTCCTCCATAAAGAGCATCTAAAAATGTTCATATTCTAAAAGTTTCCAACTCCTGTCCTTCAAAATATCAACCACCATGTCCTACATGGAGACCAGAGGCAGAGGGATGAGTTTCTGCAGTTCAGGACAACGTGACAGCTCTCAGAAGAAAACTCAAAGCTGTTGAACAGAGGAGCATTCAGACTGGAAGACAAACCTACAGTTCAGCAACACATTTTAGAGCTGGGCCATTCAGAGAAGATGCTCATCCAGGTGCCCAGTGTTGCAGACAAATAGCTGCTGTTATTGTGTGGAGGAGGAGACAGAATGGCAGACACACATCAGTCTGATTCAATGTCATTTCTCATGAACTGTCTGAGGTTTTTTAAAGAATGTCCTCTACATGGATGACATCAAACTGTATGTCAGCTGGAACAAGATCCAAACCATCAACACCTTTCTCTGCCAGTGATCAGATACCCTGCTGGCATCATAGCCTGAACAAAAGAAGAAATAGAGACCACTGACATCAAGACAAGAAAGCTCCTGAAAATACTCAAATGGAGGTCTTCACACTAAATCCAGAACCCAGAGGGTCTACACTAAGAGGAAGGTGGGATTCTGAGAACTAGTGAGCATCGGAGCTACTATCCAGGATGAAACAGTTCAAATCCAAGAGTCCATCAGAAAGATGGTCCACAATGATGACCTGCTAAGTGAAGACCTCAGGCAGCAGAAACCAAATATATCTGTAGTTGTCTGTGACCCAGTAACTGTCTGGTTATACCTCAGTGTATCCAGTCTCCATAGAGGATCCTTCAGTCCAGCAGACAGCAGTTTTACTCCTGAGTCTCCTGGATGGTTGTAGCTCAGGTCCAGCTCTCTCAGGTGTGAGGGGTTGGAGCTCAGAGCTGAGGCCAGAGAAGCACAACCTTCTTCTGTGATCAGACAGCCTGATAACCTGGAGTCAAAAAAAATAAATGAATGAAACAAGAAAAAGTGTACCAACTTAAGACAATTTAATTCAAACAACTACAAAACTCAATCAGCAGAAAACCTGACCTGAGAGTTTCCAGTTTACAGTGAGGACTCTTCAGTCCAGCAGACAGCAGCTTCACTCCTGAATCCTGCAGGTCATTGTTACTCAGGTCCAGCTCTCTCAGACTGGAGGACTGGGAGCTGAGGACTGAGGACAGAACTTCACAGCTTCTCTCTGACAGGTTACATCCACTCAGCCTGAAGAAGAATCAGTGATTAGCACAGACACAAAGTTTCATCTCTCATGAACAATAATGTTTCATCTCTCATGTGTCCACCTACAGAGCTTTGGTGGAGGCTTTGACCACTGGCAGCAGCCTCAGAAGAGCCTCCTCTGAAGCAGAGTATTTCTTCAGGTCAAACACGTCCAGATCTTTTTCTGATGACAGTAAGATGAAGACCAGAGCTGACCACTGAGCAGGAGACAGTTCCTCTGTGGAGAGACGTCCTGATCTCAGGGACTCTTGGATCTCCTCCACTAGAGAATGATCATTCAGTTCATTCAGACAGTGGAACAGATTGATGCTTTTCTCTGCAGACAGATCCTCACTGATCTTCTCCTTGATGTACTGGACTGTTTCTTGATTGGTCTGTGAGTTACTTCCTGTGTGTGTCAGCAGACCTCTCAGGAGATCCTGATTGGTTTGCAGTGAAAGACCCAGGAGGAAACGTAGAAACAAATCCAGGTGTCCGTTCAGACTCTGTAAGGCCTGGTCTACGGCACTCTGATGGAGATGTTTCAGTTTTGGTTTGACACTGAAGATTTTAGAGATTGAAGATGTTTTTTGTTGTTCTTCTTCCATCAGGTTGACTCCAGAATTGGTAAAGGTCAGGTGGACATGAAGAGCAGCCAGAAACTCCTGAACACTCAGATGGATGAAGCAGAACACCTTGTCCTGGTACAGTCCTCTCTCCTCTCTGAAGATCTGTGTGAACACTCCTGAGTACACTGAGGCTGCTCTGATATCCATGCCACACTGAGTCAGGTCTGATTCATAGAAGATCAGGTTTCCTTTCTGCAGCTGCTCAAAAGCCAGTTTTCCCAGAGACTCAATCATCTTCCTGCTCTCTGGACTCCAGTGTGGATCAGTCTCAGCTCCTCCATCATACTTGATGTTCTTCAGTTTGGACTGAACCACCAGGAAGTGGATGTACATCTGAGTCAGGGTCTTGGGCAGCTCTCCTCCCTCTCTGGTCTTCAGCAGATCCTCCAGAACTGTAGCAGTGATCCAGCAGAAGACCGGGATGTGGCACATGATGTGGAGGCTTCTGGATGTCTTGATGTGGGAGACGATTCTGCTGGCCTGCTCCTCATCTCTGAATCTCTTCCTGAAGTACTCCTCCTTCTGAGGGTCAGTGAACCCTCTGACCTCTGTCACCATGTCAACACACTCAGAAGGGATCTGATTGGCTGCTGCAGGTCTTGTGGTTATCCAGAGGCGAGCAGAGGGAAGCAGGTTCCCCCTGATGAGGTTTGTCAGCAGCACATCCACTGAGCTGGACTCTGTAACATCAGTCAGGACCTGATTGTTGTGGAAGTCCAGAGGAAGTCGACACTCATCCAGACCGTCAAAGATGAACACGACCCTGAAGTGTTGAAAGCTGCAGATTCCTGCTTCTTTGGTTTGAGTGAAGAAGTGATGAACAAGTCCCACCAAGCTGAACTTCTTCTCTTTCAGCACATTCAGCTCTCTGAAGGTGAATGGAAATGTGAAGTGGATGTCCTGGTTGTCTTTGTCTTCAGCCCAGTCCAGAGTCCACTTCTGTGTTAAGACGGTTTTCCCAATGCCAGCCACTCCCTTTGTCATCACTGTTCTGATTGGTTCCTGTCTTCCAGGTGAGCCTTTAAAGATGTCTTCTTGTCTGATGGTTGTTTCTGGTTGCTCTGCTCTCCTGGATGCTGTTTCAATCTGTCTGACCTCATGTTCATCGTTGACCTCTCCAGTCCCTCCCTCTGTGATGTAGAGGTCTGTGTAGATCTGGTTCAGAAGGGTTGGGTTTCCTGCTTTAGCAATCCCCTCAAACACACACTGGAACTTCTCCTTCAGGTTGGACTTGAGTTTGTGTTGGCACTCTGGAGCAGCAGATCCTGAATGAACAAAAAGAAATGTGATGAATCATCTGAAGCTACAATCAGTCTGATGAATTTACACTTGAAGACATCAGGATGGATTTGATTTCCCTCCTCTCTGAAATCTCTTCAGCTCATCAGCTGTGATCAGTTTCTCTCAGTTCATAGATGTGATACAAATGTGTGCATCATATGAACAGCAGAGTCTGAACTCTAAACCTCTCCCATGTTGTCTCCATCATGTTAAATCTCTTCAAATCCTCTTACTGCTCTGCAGACAGTCAGCCAGCTCCTCCTGCTTCATTCTCCTCAGGAAGTTCACAGTGATCTTCAGGAATGCCTCTCTGCTCCTCCTCTGCTCTTCATCCTCATCCTCCCTCTGACTCTCTGAGCCTTCTGGTTCATCTGGACTCAGAACTCTCTGGATCTCCTTCAGCTGCTCCTTTACAAAGCTGATCATGTTCTCCTGGAGCAGCTGAAACAGAACAAAATGTTAACTTGAACTTGTAGAACTGAACATCTGATCATCTGTGACAGACAGAAAGCCTGCTGGTCTACAGAGTCCAGCATGGAGACTGGATCACAATGCTGCTTCAGGACTGACTTTGTGGATGGTCCTGTCTTCTACAAATCCAGTTTTTATGACCTGACCTTCATATTGGAGAAACCTCCTGGTGTGGTTTCATGGAGAAAAAGTCTGCAGTGACTTTAGAGGTGATGTGTTTATTAGAATGAAGCTGAAAGCAGCAGCTGTCATCGACATGAACCAAAGTCTTTCTGTTCTTTAAACCTCAAACTGGACTCAGTTTGTGAACTCTGCTCCTGGACCACCGTCCACCATGACCTCTGACCTCTGACTCTCTGCAGGTCATAAATGTGAGGCTTCATTCGATCAGTCAAACTGTGAGTGTGAAGATAATTCAGGCAGAGATGATGTTTGCAGAGTCATTAGGAAACAATCCAGAAACCTCCAAATATACTGAGTGTCTGCTCTGATGATCAGTAGGAGCTGTGTTTGTACATTTACACCTACCATAAATATGGAGTCCAGCTGTGTTTGATGCTGCTGGGCAGACTGACCAATGGGAACCTCTGATCTCTGCTGCTGAACTCTGTGGAACAAACAGAATCTAATGTAGTGGATATAATATAAGGAGACACAGGGTTACATGTGAGAGAGTCTATCTAGAGGATCCTGGTAGAAACACTGCTGGATCCTCCTACAGACACACATGAAGATACATGCAGAGTCCAGGTCTTTGTGGCTCAGATCCTGTTTACTGCTGTTGGATCCTGATAGAAACACAAACCCTGAAAAATCTTCACCTTCACAGAGAAAACACTGACCACAGTTAGGATGAAAAGTTTCACAACAAAAGAAAGTTCAGTTTGAAAGTCTCACCTTTGCTCATCACAAATCTCTCCCTCTTTGAAATTAATTAGTCGCCCCTTAGACCGGTCACTCTTTAAGGACACACAGCTGGGTCCAGGTCCAGGTCCAGGTCCAGGAGAGTCTGGTCTCTCATATTTGACTCTGACAGAAACACAAACACTGATGAAGAAACAAGAACACTGAAAATATTCCAGGTTTGAGTGCTGCTGTTATAGATTATTACTTTTGAAGATCAGACTGAGGTCCATCTTTGAAATCAATCCATCCACCCTTAGACCGGTCACTCTTGAAGGACAGACAGCTCGGTCCAGGTCCAGGAGAGTCTAGTCTGCACTGCTGTTCAGGTCTTAGACAGACAGACAGACAGACAGAGGTCTGAGTGTGAATAATAGTGATGGTGGAGTTATGTGAGTGCTGATCTCTGACATGGAGAAGAGTCATGGACAGTTGGAGATCCTCATCTCACCTCTGAACTTTGGTCTGGCTCTCATGTTCCCCCCACAGAGTGGTTTTAGAGGGAGGGGCCCCCTCCTCTCTGTCCTCACACTGATTCATAGCAGAGCCCCCACCTTCACACAAACACAACAACATGATCAGTCAGTACAACCTGAGCCACATACTGTCCTCTACCACAGTGTCGTTCCAGATTCTACCATCAGATGGAGCCACAGTTATTCCTGTTTACTAGAGAGCTCATCTGGATCCATTCAGAGTCCAGTTCTGTTCAAAATGAAGAAGACATGTGAAAACTTTCAGTTTGATGTTTGACAGAATGAAGAAAATACTCACCAGGTGAATTCAGATCCACTTCCTGTTTCACCTGTAGCAGAAAGACAAAGAGAGAGACTGCAGCTGATCGTCCTTCATCAGTTCATCATCATTAATCTGAGGACGCTGTCACACTCTCATCACTGAACAGTCAGAGTCTACAAACATGAACAGACATGAAATCAGTGACCAAAACCCAGGAACCAGAGTCCAGCTCCAGTCACACAGCAGGACCCTGAGAGAGAGACCTGCTGTCAGGACGAGACAGAGAAACCTCAGAGTGATCCAGGATAATATCTGATGTGACTGAGAGTCAAACCTGCGTACATGTGGAAACATTCAAGTTCTCCTTCTGTCTGCTCCAGAAAGAACCAACCATGAGAGATCTTCTGATGAGGAGTCCAATTCAACTTTGACTCAACCCCAAATCAGTGGAACAGACTCAGAAAAATGACATGAGGTTCACCTTTGAAATGAAGGAGACCAAATTTATTTCACTCTGAAATCAATGTCGCTCTTTCAAACTCTGACTTTCCTGATATCACATGTATTGTCAGGGCCCTTAATGTGTCTTATGTCTAGCCAGTATGACTGTAACAACAATGACCATCTTATCAGTCTCTGATTGGGGCACTGCAACGAACACAGGAAAGTCAGAGGTTTATGGTTGGTGTAGACCACCACGGGTACAAAACCAGAACCAACACACAGATCAAAATATCTGAAGGCCCAAACCAATGCCAACACTTCCTTTTCTATAGTGGAATAATTAAACTGATAGGAGTTACATTTCTTAGAAAAGAGGCTGACTGGTTTTTCAAACCCAAAGTCATCGGCCTGCAAGAACCCCACATGACTGGTGTCTACCTGGAGGGGCAAAAGGACAATCAAACCTGGTGGCAGCCTACACTGGTGCCCTACACAGCAATAACTTTACGATTTCAAAAGCCTTTTCGCGCACCAGAGACCAAGCAAAGGTCACACTTGATTTAAGCAGGTCAGTAAGTGGAGCTAAAACCCCAGAGAAGTTTCTACAAAAACTCACGTGATAATCAGGAAGTAGCCAGACTATGGTGTCAGGTTTCAGCATGGAGCGATAAGATTTGAAAGAAGCAGTGGAGCTTTGCCAAATTTGTCTCAGTGACTTGTGAGATAATATAAAAAAAAGAAGTAATGTTAAGTATAACTGTGGAGTGGAGCGGAAAAGAGAAAGGAGTGAGAGAAATGAGAGAGGAGTGGAGAAAGAGGAGATTTTTGAGCCTTTTAGTTGTGACCAAAAACAGAAGAACCAGCCAAAAAAGAGTAAAAGAAAAGTAAATGTTCTTTATCTGTTGTGTATGTAAATTAGTTTTAAGTGATTTTTATTGTAAGACTACCTTTCGTTTTTGTTAATACTGTCTATTGTTTATGAAGTCTTATTTTAGGTTCAAATTTATTGGAGAATGAGACCATCCAGTTAAGTGGCAGCAGATGTGCTCCTGAAACAACTGCTCCAGCCACTTTCACACCACATTAACCAACCCCCCTGAGGTCCTCCAAAGAGAGTCCTTCCTAAGCCTGGCAGGGCTAGAACTACAGGGCCCCACTGCAGACCATGTGGACTCTGCTGATAATGCTGCGGTGTGGAAACACCCACACCCACAAAACTCACTCTTGACATGTAGTTACTGTCAGACTGGTTTGTGCTCAAGTCCTCTTTTTTTCTGTACAGCTCCATTTTTAAAAGTTATTAGGGGGTTCATGTTGTCTATGATTGACGCTTGATACAGCCTATGGGCGTACAAAGATTGCGTAGCTCGTAGCACCCGGGGAGACGTATTTTGGGGGTTTTTATGAAAAATTGAGACATGGACAAATTTAAGCCCCTCAAAATATCAAGGACAGTTTTAACAGCTGGAGAGAAATAGAGAGAGAAGCTGTTACAACAAAGTCTATCTTCTTTATCTTTGTCGTTCTCTGCGTTTGTCTTTTAACACAAGGTGATACTGAGCCTTAGTGAGGTTCCTCTGCTTCGCTGACTTCCTGCTCAAAGCCACAAACAGGCCAGGAAATGGTCCGTCTGCTGAGTGGGTGTAACTGCATTCAGACAGACATGAACTAACCCCATAGTTCGTCTCCCAGGGAGACATATTTATCTCCGGGGAAAGCAGTCACTTTGGCTATTTAATCTGTTATATATCTTTTTTGGGGACAAAACAGTTTCGAGTTAAACAGGAGTTACAAAAAAGAAATGTCGATTTGAACTAGAACGGAATTAAATCTTTAGTTCAGGCATTTTATCTCTGTGGGTCGGTCACTCACCAGTGATGGAAAGAGATTCTGAGAAAAACTCGATGATTTCAGTAAAATTTGTCCTCAGAGAGAAACAGCGACCTAACTCCACTGCAGCTCCGCTTGGACTGAGAACAACTTTCGGTTTTATTTCAGGAAATGTGGCGTCAAATTGCCTCTCAGTCGCTCCTCCTCTTAGTGCAGCTCAGTAAGTTAACACAGGAAACATTGGACACTTCCTGATATTGGCTCGGCTTTCTTTAAAGCTCCTTTGTGGAGTTTTCAGCAGGCGATGAAACACTGAACGTAAAACTGATGCTTCTTTCTGATCTTTAGAAGCAAGCACCATCAACATGGTTATTTCTCTGTCCTATTCTGTTTCCTGTGAGGAATAAAAATGGCTCATACAGGGACAGAATATTGATTAAAAAGTTTTTAAAGAGTATTCTGAATGTTGATCATTAAAAACAGTTATTTTCTGATTGCAAAATATCAATTTGAGTCAATTGGAGGCCCCAGCCAAAGAGCGCTGTGAGTTACAGATGAAAAACATTTAAAGGCATGTTTTCAGGAAACGAAGCCGCACCGTTCAGGACAAAGCTGAGTGTGAATGTTCTCATAAATGTAGGTTTCCAAAGATTGTCACAGGAGTCTGCTGCCCCCAGTCAGCACAACAGAATTACAACAAATACAGTTATCTTTGTTGGAAAGCATAAAAAACAACAATTCATAAAAGTGAGGCTACAGGCTACAGTACCTATAAAGGTGCTGAAGAGCCTCTCTATTATCCATTATTAGATAGGCTTCATTATAATGATGTGGTTACCTTCTGCTCTCTGGTTTCTGCTCCTAAACATGAAAGATAACAGATCTGACTCTCAGAGATCTCTGCAGCGCCACCTTAATCATGTGGCATGTGGTGTTATGCTGACCAACACATGACTGTCATTCCCCTGTCGTCCAGTCTTGAGAGTTTTCAGTTTGTCTTTGACCCTTTGATATGCGCAGTTCGTTTCTCTTCAATACAGCGGGGCGCAGTTTGACCGTGCCCTCCTGTCTCCGTCTGGTCGCTTTTACTTTACTGCTTTTCACCACCGGCCATGGGGTGGCAGCAGAGAGCGAGCGGTTGCCTTTAAAGAAAACCACCAAACGAGTGATGGAGAGCACAGAGTGTCGCCGGAGCCACAGAAAGAGCCGAAAAAAGGAGAAAATGGAGAGAGAAAATTCAGTAAAGTCACTGAAAACAATGCTGTACGAGAGGAGAACACTGCAGGAGGAATGTAGAGTGAAGGAGCTCGGAACTGACCGGCCGGACGTATTAATTACACAGCAGTCTGAAGACAAAGGGAGGAGATTTTCGCGGTCTTTTTCACGGAGCTGGTATGAGAAGATATCTTGGCTAACTGGATGCTAACTCTAAACCTTGTCTGTTTGTCCAAACCAAGGGAACTGATCAAGCCTGGATTCAGACAGGTATGCATATTTATCCATTCTTGATTTATTTATTGATGGAAAAGGAGATTTTAAGGGTTTGTGTGTACCAGTTATATCTTATCTGGAACCAAAGATATCAAACACTGGGGAGATAAATGAAAATTCAATAACTGGTAACATTCACCTGCATTTAATTATCTATTTGACTCAGCAGAAGTGCTCAGATGTAACCTAGTTAGTAGTTATATATAGTCAAAGCACATAAAATGGTTGTGAACATAATGTACATCAATTCTTGTGTTTTGGCATTGCCCTCTCTGCTTTCTGGGGTGGTAAATAAGTGCACCCCCCCCAAGAGAAAAAACAGCCGCCACTGGTTAAGATTTAACCTTCATTAGTAGTATTTTATTAACAGTGAAAGGTGTTTTCTGGGTTAGCTGTTTTTCCTGTCCAAATCATAACCGGTGTTCTAGTGACTTTGGTGAAATTTCAGTATTCATGTCTTGTATCTCCAGAGAAATCCAAAAGTCTTAGTGGCATCACTTTAATTTCAACATATTTATAAATAATTAGAAACCAACAAAAGAGGTCAGAAACAGAAACTTTTTCACAAAACGTGAAAATTGTGCTCTAAAATAGACTTAGACCTTCTTTCCTTCTTTATTTCTTTCTTTATTTGATTTCTCTCTGCAACCAAATGCCGTTGCTTGGCTTCCATATCAGCATATACAGCATGATGGTGTTTAATGTAATAAACAGAAAAACAATAAAAACTAAGGGTAAAATAGCAGCATGGTGAGAAATATTGCACTTTCTGGAGGTAGAGTGGTAGTGTAATAAAAACCAAATCAATAAAATATAAAAAGATGTTCTTATTTACACAAAATATGTATAGCTGTGGTATGTTTTTACTACAATAGCCAGCACCTCACCTTTGTTCTAAGATTTGGTGTCTGAGACTCACTTCACTATGTAATATGCTCCAAAGTTGATAGTCTTTCATGCAGAAAGCACACTGTCAAAATTTAGATCTAAATTCCAGAAGCAGGGGCGGCTGGTCAATAGAGGAGCGCTAGGATGCTGCCCCCTCTGTCTCAACATGTAGAATCACACCGTCATAGATGTATAAGAAAGGCATATCTATGCACACAGCCCTTTCTTTTAATAAAACATCTTTTTTATGACTTTTACATGCATAACCCATGTTTCAAAAAGGCAAATTGAATAATAAAGTCTGAGGAGAGGGAATTGAAAGGTATAATTTGCACTAAAAGTCAGTTTAGAAATGTTCTTCGTTGCCGACAGTTACTAATAGTTGACATATATGTCGGCCAGAGGCGAACACATCATTCCTCATTGACTCTTGTTACAACTTTGACATGTGCAGTTCTGGACGACTGCAACTCTTTGTTCACACGTCTGAACCAACAGAGTTTACACAAGTTACAGCTGGTCCTGAGTGCAGCAGCTCACCTCCTAACTAGAACCAGAACCAGAGATCATAGAACTCCTATTTTAGCTTCACTTCATCGGCTCCTGGTAAGTTTTAGAATTGATTTTTAATATTCAGATCCATCCAATAACATCATTAATATCTATTTGATTATTAGTAAGAACTAAACTGAGACAGCTGTTAGAATATAGATTTCTTTATTGAGTTCATGTTTCATAAACATCCTTACATCAATTCTTACACCTGTATTACTCCTCTTGAATTTTTCACCCTTCTTTTTTCATTCATTGTGATTTTTCTCTTTGATTTGAGTTGTAATGATTTCTAAAGCAGGTTTGTTGGTTAAGAGGTGACGTTCACTTTCTCCTCTGTTTACAGTCTGCTGCTCCGGCTCCAGATTTTCATGTTTTCTGTCTTCACTTCTTTCTAATCCTCCTCTCAGCTTTGCTCTCATTTTTCTGTTTGTGTGTGAACCAGCCTGCAGTCTCGTGAGGACATGACCTTCATCAGTGTAAACACAGGTATGAACACCTGTGCAGGTGAAGAAGAGTTTCAGGAGTCTGACTCTGACTGTTCAGACAAACTTTCTGATCAATACAGTGAAGAAAAATGTGCTGAATGAGGCAGATTTTTCCCCCATAGAGACAGAAATCAGTCCAGTTCAGTGAGCCAGTTTGACATGGAGTCCTGCTCTTTGATAACAGACATTCAGACTGATGTGACAGGATACAAACAGTCAGATAATCAGCTAAAGTTTGAGTTAGTGCAGAGGGTCGACTGTTCTTCAGCTGCTGTTTGTGTAGAGAGGAGGAGACTCTCCCTCCTACACAGAACACAAACTCACTGAGGAACCAGACCAGGACCAGAACCCAAACCCAGGATAGAGAGGTTGAGTGAAGGTGGTGTTGAAGGTGTGGAGGTGGATCAGTGTGTCAGAGGAGACGCTGTAGAAGGACAGAGTACCAGCAGGACGGTCCACATACACTGCTACTCTGTGAGAGACAGAGGACGAGGGGAGACGGACGTCTGTTTCTATGTGATTGTGAAGGACAGAGTAACCTTCATCAGAGCAGAACAGACTCCAGGACTGATCATTAGATCCAAAAATACAGTCATAACTCTCTCCTTTCCTTCTGATTCCTCTGTAACTCACTGATATATAAACCTTTCCTCTCCACTCGACCTCCCAGTAACAGCGACCAGTCAGACCATCTCTACACAGAAGCTGAGCCCAGAAGTCAAATCTGTCTGGATGATCAGGATATGACTGATACTTTCCCACATATGTCACCTTCCTGTTGTTTTCAGACAGCCTGAGGAATCTGTTTACTGTGTTTAAGTCCAGTGTGAGTTCACAGAAATCTGACAGAGAGAAAAAGACACAACACAGCAGCAGGTTATCATCAGACACACCTGAAGGCTTTCTTCTTTGTTAGCTGACAGTCTGCTGTTTGGTCATCAGGAGTCAAACTGATTCAACACTTACACTTCTTCAGACCAGGTTTTAACCACTGCTCTCCACCATGGTCCACCCTGGAGGAAGAAACACAGTCAGAATGATTGAGTGTCCAACATGAGTCCTACCTGCTGTCCAACATGAAGCAGAGTTCCTCAGTTTGTCCCTGTGACAGAGAAACAGGCTGAAACTCATCTGAGCCAACAGTCTCCATCACTCTGTCACTTTTTCTGAGTCTTTCTGACAGAAACTCACAGAAAAACAACAAGATTCAAAGAGCAAAGGCTGGCTGCTGGTCTGTCCTACAACATGGAGACTTGATTTGGACCCTTTGGAAAAAGACCTTCATTTCTTCTTTTAGGACAGCTGTCCACACTTTGGTCTAAAAAGCTCCTTCTAAATAGACTTGAAAGCTTGTCTGCAGATCGAGAGATGAAGTAGTGGGCTCTCTTCTTCAAAATATGAATGAAGATGAAATGAAAGCTCTCAGATGAACTCATGTGAGTGTGTGAGGCTCTTCTTGGATCATTCAGAGTCAGCTAGAGCAGAGGGAGTAGGAGCATCACACCTGGAACAGCAGGTGGATTTCCTGCAGTTTGGGATGGACAGGAAGTGGAGCAAAGTCAGAGCATGTCCTCAAACAGCCCCTCAGCTTACCTGATCATGACTGACAGGTCTGCTGCTGCTCTCACTGAATGTAGCTGTGCCAGTAAAGCAGTAGAGCTCAGCTGATGAAGCTCAATGAAGACTATCTGATCTCCTTTGAACCCACTTCTGCAGCCAGTACTTTGAGTCCATGTTTCTGACTGAGGGTGGATGTATGAAAGAGGTGTTTCTCTGTAGCTCTGAGGGTTTGTTTGACGGTTCACCAAACAAAGAGAGCAGAAAATCAAGAAGAGAAGACCTTCCCATGTCAGCCAGGAGAGTTGATCCTGGTCTGTATGGATGAATGAAATAAAGGATCTGGAGGAGATCTGAATGTTGTTCTGCTCTGATCATTCAACTAGATGTGAACCTTCATCTTGTAACATCAGGTGTAATAAAGCATCTTCTCTGAGTTCTGACGTGGGCTAAAGGACTGTCAAATGTGTTTGAACTTCAAATATGAGCCCATCTTTCTCCTGATCATCTCTGTTTTTAGTCTGTGTGTCTGTTCATCAATCAGGGAGCTGAGAAATGACCACAGAGTCACAATATCCAGGTTTGGACCTCTTTCCACCTAGAACACTGGATAAGGTCTATTCTTCCTCATCCTCCATCATCTTCACCTCCCTGCAGACATCTGTATGTAATAGGCCAGGTTATAACCAATCAGAGAGCTTGTTTCATGGCTCATCTGTATTGTTTTACCTGGTTTTACCAGCTCAAGGCCCAAAGTGTGAGGAAAGGAAAAATAAAGAGTAGGAACGGAAAGATAAAAGACTTTGATAATCGATTAGCTAACAGGAAAAGGAAAAGCAGACAGGAAATGGAAATAAAAAGAGGAATTGTCCTTTAAATGTCTGATTAAAAGCTGTATTCTTACTTCAGTTTGTCAATTCACTTCTTTATTTCTCATTTTTAAAACTGTATTTTCAGACTGATTTTTAAAGTATTGATTAGGGAATACATTCATGTTTTTTTAACCCTCGGTTCCTACTCTGTCCGTTTTGAGGACATTTGTCTTTTTTTTCCATCTTTATTTTGAGCTGACAGTCACATTTTTAAAGATTGGAGCATCAAATGTGGTGAGAGTTCTTATTTTTCTACATATATAAAAAAAAACTTAGTGTCTCCTGTAGTTCTCCGTCATTTTAGCTCCACCCACCCTCCTTTGTCCTCAAATCGGCCAATAGACTTCCATTAAAAACAGGTTTTTTGAGCGTGTGTTTACGGCACCATAACAACATATTAAACCTTTTTTCTGCAGTCAGTCGATCAGCAGGGCTCTAAATCTGACTTTCCCACAGTGAGACAACAGACTGAGCCGCACATCATTTTAACCCCTTCAGAGTCGCTGAGCACGCAAGTCTTCATTCATGGACTGAGAGAGTCTGAAGATTCATCCACTAAACATCATCAGAAATGAAGGAAACTTTACATGACACTAGATATGGATGTCTAAGAGTGGGATATGTGTGAAAGGAGACGTCTGTGTGCTCCTGCGTGTGTGCACGGATGAGAATCTGCGTCCATGTTTAGAACCGGGCATGACGTGAGTTTTTACAGTCGATAATCTGACGTCCAAGTTCTGCAGTGTGGGACAAAGAGAGGGGGACATTTGGACAATTTCTACTTTGTCCTCACTTCAGAGCAGGTGGATGGACATGCATGAGGATGAACAGGTCCTTCAGATCATTAGGGGAGAAGATATCACATCTCAAATATGCAGTTATTTTTATATCAGTGTAATCACGGTCATATTTTGGTTAGAGGAGGATAAACATTCATAAATGATTCCTATCTTACAGATATCTGCTGATTTTATATGCCTATATATAAAATTAATTTAATATAAACAAATGAATTGAATTGCATTTGATTTGGTCGAGGGCGAGGCTCCAGAAAAGGAGGTGAAATTGGCGTGTTTTTCCGCCCCAGTAGACTCAGCTGTTTAGAACACTTCATCAATAAATATGACATGTTGCACAAAAACTGGCATAAAAAGGGAAATACATGGAATTTTTTATTCATTACGTTTTTAATGGTTAGGGCTGAAGTTATTCAAGAGATTTGAGTAAAAAAAAGTAAAAATAAAAAAAATATTTTATGAACACTTATCTGCATGTTTGTTTTGGAGACAAAGTAGGCTGGATGGAGCTTCAGATACGAAAAATTTGCACTATGTTACGGCTGTGTGTTTGTTTTGCATGTGTTTTTCCCCTTTTGTCTCTCCATAGCTGCCCAGGTGAAATCACTTGAGTGACAATCAGACTCACCTGGTGCTGGGAGTCTAAAAGCCCAGAGCTGCCTGCAGTCTGGAGAGGCATTTGGTGGGGAGCTGCTGCCCTGCTGCCTCTCATTTGTGTTGTGGGTGCTTTGTGTTTAGTTTGCAATTTTGTTGTTTTTTCACAATAAATCACGTGTTAAACTTTTGAAGGTGTTTTGGTTAATTTGATGGGTAAAAAGTTGAGGATAGTTGTTAGCCCCATAGGGCCGCCTTCAGGTGGGGCGTAACAAATGGGGGCTCGTCCGGGATCGAACATCCATGAGGTTCTTTGAAGTTGTTTTTTTTCCTCTAGTAACTAGTGACCATAGTTTGGGTTTGTTAGTCTTCTGTTTCTGTCACGATCATTAGTAGTTGCTTTTATTTGTAACTTCTGAGCACCCTGATTATTTAGTCGCCGGGCAGGGAAGAGCTTGCCACTTTTTTATTTTGCCTTTCTTATTTTTGGTGGTAATCCTGAGGAGGGGGCACACTTAGGTGATGCCTCGAGCTCGGCAAGCCACTGAAGACTAGTTAGGTAAGTCAGACATCTTAAGCAGGTAGGGGTTGGGGTGACTCATTTTGCTCTGAAATTGTTTTGTTCTATAGTACTGTTTTTGTTTTTGTGTGTTTCAGAAGACTACCCATTTTTGCTTGGTCACTCTGGGTGATAACAATTAGGATTTTGTGTGCAGTAACTTGTGTTGTGTGACCATTCGTTGGTGGTAACTGCTCTCCACATTTGGTGGGTCATGTGTGAGTTGCATCTTAGGTGTAAGGTGGCAACAGTTGTGTAGTAGTGACTACTGTGTGACCATTTTGTGTAGTGGTTTGCAGTCCACATTTGGTGGGTCACTTGTGTGTTACTGTTTCGTATACCTAATTGTATGTTCCGTTCGTTTGGCTTGTTGCCAGCCTTCTCACAGTAACTTGTGTGTCTTTTGAAGACTTGTGTCCATTTGTGTTGTGGTGGTGGCAGTCACCTTTTGTTGGATCTCTGTGTGCTGTTTGTGAATGACAGCAGTGTTGTAGTTTTACTACTTTTGTTGATCCGTTTGTGTGTGACTGCTCACTCCACTTTAGTGTTGGACATCTGTTACTGTGTGTGGTATTGGCAAATTTAGTGTTTTGCTCTTTGTGTTTGTGTTAACCTCATGGTAGTAGCCATTTTGCTTTGTGGGAGTGGCACCCACTTAATTGGCTGCTTTTGTGATGGATGCTCTTGAATTTGGTTGCAGCATCTTCCTTGGCCCTAATTTAAGATTGTATTCCTCACGACCCATTTAGCACCTTTTTGTCAGCAGTGGTTGTCTTCAGTTTTGGTGAACAGTTAAGGTTTTTTTTAAGCTTGTGCAGTGGTGTGTGTTTTGTGACAAACAGCCTTGGTGAGTAACACCCATTTAGTTAGTTCTTGTGTTAACATAGTTGACGCAATGCACTTTAATTCAATGAATAAATGTTTGTATTATTTGGGATTTACGGTGTGCAATTGTGGTGTTTATTTTTGCAGTACAAATGATTTATTCATTGTTTTAAGGGTGGGGGTGTTACGGCTGTGTGTTTGTTTTGCATGTGTTTTTCCCCTTTTGTCTCTCCATAGCTGCCCAGGTGAAATCACTTGAGTGACAATCAGACTCACCTGGTGCTGGGAGTCTAAAAGCCCAGAGCTGCCTGCAGTCTGGAGAGGCATTTGGTGGGGAGCTGCTGCCCTGCTGCCTCTCATTTGTGTTGTGGGTGCTTTGTGTTTAGTTTGCAATTTTGTTGTTTTTTCACAATAAATCACGTGTTAAACTTTTGAAGGTGTTTTGGTTAATTTGATGGGTAAAAAGTTGAGGATAGTTGTTAGCCCCATAGGGCCGCCTTCAGGTGGGGCGTAACAACTACAAAAAGAATTTAAATGAGACAAAATCAGTTTTACTTCTCATCATTGACATGGCCCAGGCATATCAAGAAAAATATTTTCATCTAGGTCATTTTATATGGGAAATATGGTGATTTTGTGTTTTTTACCATTAAAAATAGCAGCAATATGGCGCACAAAAACTGGCATAAAAAGGGTCACACATCGAATTTTCTATTCGTTATTTTTTTAAATGATCAGGGTTGAAGTTGTTCGAGAGATATGAGTTGAAAAAAGTAAAAAAAATATGTTTAAAAATGATTATTTAATCAACACCTATCTGTTTTGGAGACAAAGTAGGGTGCATGGAGCTTAAAATTAACCAGAACCGAGGGTTAAAGAATAAACTTTTGTACAGATTCATTTGTAGACTCTTTTTATGATTCCTGGATTTGTTCATGGATGAACTCATGAATTTGGAAACCACCTTATGAATTCCTGTTTTAAAAGTACAATAACCTTTTCAATTAAAAATACTCTATTTAATTTCTGCGACCCTTGCGGTCCTCCATAAAGAGCATTTAAAAATGGTTCTTTATAAAGACCACTGACATCAAGACAAGAAAGCTCCTCAAAATACTCAAATGGAAGTTTTCACCCTGAATCCAGAACCCTGAGGGTCTACACTAAGAGGAAGGAGGGAGGCTGAGAACTAGTGAGCATCAGAGCTACTATCCAGGATGACACAGTTCACATCCAAGAGTCCATCAGAAAGATGGTCCCCAATGATGACCTGCTAGGTGAAGACCTCAGGCAGCAGAAACCAAATATATCTGTAGTTGTCTGTGACTCAGTAACTGTCTGGTTATACCTCAGCGTGTCCAGTCTCCATAGAGGATTCTTCAGTCCAGCAGACAGCAGTTTTACTCCTGAGTCTCCTGGATGATTGTAGCTCAGGTCCAGCTCTCTCAGGTGTGAGGGGTTGGAGCTCAGAGCTGAGGCCAGAAAAGCACAACCTTCTTCTGTGATCAGACAGCCTGATAACCTGGAGTCAGAAAAAATACATGAAACAAGGAAAAGTGTACCAATGTTTGACAATTTAATTCAAACAACTACAAAACTCAATCAGCAGAAAACCTGACCTGAGAGTTTCCAGTTTACAGTGAGGACTCTTCAGTCCAGCAGACAGCAGCTTCACTCCTGAATCCTGCAGGTCATTGTTACTCAGGTCCAGGTCTCTCAGACTAGAGGACTGGGAGCTGAGGACTGAGGACAGAGCTTCACAGCTTCTCTCTGACAGGTTACATCCACTCAGCCTGAAGAAGAATCAGTGATTAGCACAGACACAAAGTTTCATCTCTCATGAACAATAATGTTTCATCTCTCATGAGTCCACCTACAGAGCTTTGTTGGAGGCTTTGACCACTGGCAGCAGCCTCAGAAGAGCCTCCTCTGAAGCAGAGTATTTCTTCAGGTCAAACACGTCCAGATCTTTTTCTGATGACAGTAAGATGAAGACCAGAGCTGACCACTGAGCAGGAGACAGTTTCTTTGTGGAGAGACGTCCTGATCTCAGGGACTGTTGGATCTCCTCCACTAGAGAACGATCATTCAGTTCATTCAGACAGTGGAACAGATTGATGCTTTTCTCTGCAGAAAGATCCTCACTGATCTTCTTCTTGATGTACTGGACTGTTTCTTGATTGGTCTGTGAGCTACTTCCTGTGTGTGTCAGCAGACCTCTCAGGAGATCCTGATTGGTTTGCTGTGAAAGACCCAGGAGGAAACGTAGAAATAAATCCAGATGTCCGGTCAGACTCTGTAAGGCCTGGTCTACAGCACTCTGATGGAGATGGTTCAGTTTTGGTTTGACACTGAAGATTTTAGAGATTAAAGATGTTGTTTGTTGTTCTTCTTCCATCAGGTTGACTCCAGAGTTGGTGAAGGTCAGGTGGACATGAAGAGCAGCCAGAAACTCCTGAACACTCAGATGGATGAAGCAGAACACCTTGTCCTGGTACAGTCCTCTCTCCTCTCTGAAGATCTGTGTGAACACTCCTGAGTACACTGAGGCTGCTCTGATATCCATGCCACACTGAGTCAGGTCTGATTCATAGAAGATCAGGTTTCCTTTCTGCAGCTGCTCAAAAGCCAGTTTTCCCAGAGACTCAATCATCTTCCTGCTCTCTGGACTCCAGTGTGGATCAGTCTCAGCTCCTCCATCATACTTGATGTTCTTCAGTTTGGACTGAACCACCAGGAAGTGGATGTACATCTGAGTCAGGGTCTTGGGCAGCTCTCCTCCCTCTCTGGTCTTCAGCAGATCCTCCAGAACTGTAGCAGTGATCCAGCAGAAGACCGGGATGTGGCACATGATGTGGAGGCTTCTGGATGTCTTGATGTGGGAGATGATTGTGCTGGCCTGCTCCTCATCTCTGAATCTCTTCCTGAAGTACTCCTCCTTCTGAGGGTCAGTGAACCCTCTGACCTCTGTCACCATGTCAACACACTCAGGAGGGATCTGATTGGCTGCTGCAGGTCTTGTGGTTATCCAGAGGCGAGCAGAGGGAAGCAGGTTCCCCCTGATGAGGTTTGTCAGCAGCACATCCACTGAGCTGGACTCTGTAACATCAGTCAGGACCTGATTGTTGTTGAAGTCCAGAGGAAGTCGACACTCATCCAGACCGTCAAAGATGAACACGACCCTGAAGTGTTGAAAGCTGCAGATTCCTGCTTCTTTGGTTTGAGTGAAGAAGTGATGAACAAGTCCCACCAAGCTGAACTTCTTCTCTTTCAGCACATTCAGCTCTCTGAAGGTGAATGGAAATGTGAAGTGGATGTCCTGGTTGTCTTTGTCTTCAGCCCAGTCCAGAGTCCACTTCTGTGTTAAGACGGTTTTCCCAATGCCAGCCACTCCCTTTGTCATCACTGTTCTGATTGGTTCCTGTCTTCCAGGTGAGCCTTTAAAGATGTCTTCTTGTCTGATGGTTGTTTCTGGTCGCTCTGCTCTCCTGGATGCTGCTTCAATCTGTCTGACCTCATGTTCATCGTTGACCTCTCCAGTCCCTCCCTCTGTGATGTAGAGGTCTGTGTAGATCTGGTTCAGAAGGGTTGGATTTCCTGCTTTAGCAATCCCCTCAAACACACACTGGAACTTCTCCTTCAGGTTGGACTTGAGTTTGTGTCGGCACTCTGCAGCAGCAGATCCTGAATGAACAAAAAGAAATGTGATGAATCATCTGAAGCTACAATCAGTCTGATGAATTTACACTTGAAGACATCAGGATGGATTTGATTTCCCTCCTCTCTGAAATCTCTTCAGCTCATCAGCTGTGATCAGTTTCTCTCAGTTCATAGATGTGATACAAATGTGTGCATTATATGAACAGCAGAGTCTGAACTCTAAACCTCTCCCATGTTGTCTCCATCATGTTAAATCTCTTCAAATCCTCTTACTGCTCTGCAGACAGTCAGCCAGCTCCTCCTGCTTCATTCTCCTCAGGAAGTTCACAGTGATCTTCAGAAATGCCTCTCTGCTCCTCCTCTGCTCTTCATCCTCTTCCTCCCTCGGACTCTCTGAGTATTCTGGTTCATCTGGACTCAGAACTCTCTGGATCTCCTTCAGCTGCTCCTTTACAAAGCTGATCATGTTCTCCTGGAGCAGCTGGAACAGAACAAAATGTGAACTTGAACTTGTAGAACTGAACATCAGATCATCTGTGACAGACAGAAAGCCTGCTGGTCTGCAGAGTCCAGTATGGAGACTGGATCACAATGCTGCTTCAGGATTGACTTTGTGGATGGTCCTGTCTTCTACAAATCCAGTTTCTATGACCTGACCTTCATATTGGAGAAACCTCCTGGTGTGGTTTCATGGAGAAAAAGTCTGCAGTGACTTTAGAGGTGATGTGTTTATTAGAATGAAGCTGAAAGCAGCAGCTGTCATCGACATGAACCAAAGTCTTTCTGTTCTTTAAACCTCAAACTGGACTCAGTTTGTGAACTCTGCTCCTGGACCACCGTCCACCATGACCTCTGACCTCTGACTCTGTGCAGGTCATAAATGTGAGGCTTCATTCAATCAGTCAAACTGTGAGTGTGAAGATAATTCAGGCAGAGATGATGTTTGCAGAGTCATTAGGAAACAATCCAGAAACCTCCAAATATACTGAGTGTCTGCTCTGATGATCAGTAGGAGCTGTGTTTGTACATTTACACCTACCATAAATATGGAGTCCAGCTGTGTTTGATGCTGCTGGGCAGACTGACCAATGGGAACCTCTGATCTCTGCTGCTGAACTCTGTGGAACAAACAGAATCTAATGTAGTGGATATAATATAAGGAGACACAGGGTTACATGTGAGAGAGTCTATCTAGAGGATCCTGGTAGAAACACTGCTGGATCCTCCTACAGACACACATGAAGATACATGCAGAGTCCAGGTCTTTCTGGCTCAGATCCTGTTTACTGCTGTTGGATCCCGATAGAAACACAAACCCTGAAAAATCTTCACCTTCACAGAGAAAACACCGACCACAGTTAGGATGAAAAGTTTCACACACAACAAAAGAAAGTTCAGTTTGAAAGTCTCACCTTTGCTCATCACAAATCTCTCCTTTGAAATCATGAAGTCTGAACATTGACCCGTCACTATTGAAGGACACACAGCTGGGTCCAGGTCCAGGTCCAGGAGAGTCTGGTCTCTCATGTTTGACTCTGACAGAAACACAAACACTGATGAAGAAACAAGAACACTGAAAATCTTCCAGGTTTGAGTGCTGCTGTTATAGATTATTACTTTTGACGATCAGACTGAGGTCCAACTTTGAAATCAATTATTAGACTTCTAGACCGGTCACTCAGGAAGGACAGACAGCTGGGTCCAGGTCTAGGTCCAGGGGAGTCTGGTCTATACTGCTGTTCAGGTCTTAGACAGACAGACAGACAGACAGACAGACAGACAGACAGACAGACAGACAGAGGTCTGAGTGTGAATAATAGTGATCGTGGAGTGATGTGAGTGCTGAGCTCTGACATGGAGAAGAGTCATGGACAGTTGGAGATCCTCATCTCACCTCTGAGCTTTGGTCTGGCTCTCATGTTCCCCCCACAGAGTGGTTTTAGAGGGAGGGGCCCCCTCCTCTCTGTCCTCACACTGATTCATAGCAGAGCCCCCACCTTCACACAAACACAACAACATACTCAGTCAGTACAACAAGCTTTACACCACAGGACACTTCAGTTCTCATTCCTCTCAATAACATGACACAAATATTCAGGACTGACAGAAACCTTGTTGGAGCCTCAAACAGGATCTGATGAGAATGAGTTACAGCCCCCAGACTCTCCCATAAATAAACTGTGGTCATCACAATTATCTATAACATAAACACTGTTGTTCAAATGAATAAAAGTAAAATAAAAAAAGTCTCTTTAAATCAAAATGTTTTATTAGCTTGATTAAAAAAAATCTTTAGTTTTGATTATAAGTTTTCAAAGTTGGACAAATATCAAACACTGACATAGGATGGCTCATTTTCTGTCTTATAGCGGCCCCTGACAGCTGATGGGTCTCAATCAAACACTGAGTCCACTTCCAAACCTGGACTGGCTCTGGTCCATCTGCAATTATCTGAAACTTCTGGGACCACTGAGGCTTACACCCTGCCATGTCTCCAGTAAAATGAGTCAGTCTTAGTGCTGGAAGTGATCTGACCTTTGAACCCTTCACCTCAGAGTATCAACCGTTTCAAAATAAAAGCACCTGAGCCAAGTCGATCCAGGCTGTCAGACCAGTTCAGACACTCCCTGCATTTTTCCCTGATGGTGTGACTCAGATTACTGTCGAACTGCTGCTGAGTCGACTCCACAAACACCAACTATAGAGCAGGTGGATCTGTCTGAAATCACTGCTCTTTAACTCAGAGAGAAATTCTACAACATGTATCAAACAGCCAATCAGCATCAAGAAAGATTTCTACACTTCAACAGTGATCCAGCACCATGTGAGCACACAGATCCTGATCCTCAGACATGATCAGATTTCTCTGGAAGGATCCTCACCTGTTGAAGAGAGTTCAGGTCAGCTTACAGACACTTTCCACCTTCATGTGTGGAGAGAAGAAGCTGCTCGTTTGTCCCTCGTCAGTCCTGGTGTCTGTGAGCGTTTGATCTGAGGACGCCGTCACATCCTCATAACTTCAGAGTGACGTCAGAACCAGTCCAACCAAGAAACAAGTCAGTGCAGATTTCACACAGATCACATGATGTAGTTCTACAATCAGACCACTAGATGGTCCTAATCACAGCCCATTATCATAGTCTAAATGGCTCAGACAACAACACTCCTTTAAACATGTACTTACTTGACTTTGGTGAGAGTCCTTGTTGCAGTCATATCCTTGAGCAGAGACATGCGTAAGATTTTAGAGGGGCAGGGCCTGAAACTCACAAAAGGGCAGTTTATCTTTAAACAAATGAATATACTTCTAAAATATTGACCTTTATGACACTTTGAGATATGTACTCAGGGAAAACTCATGAGACTCAGGGTAGTTTATATACTGATACAGGACAGTTAATAATGATGCATCCATTTCATTTCTATGAGCCATTTCAGGAGTCAGCTAACTTTCCTCTTTCTTGGGAGTCATTGTTGATAAAGGTAGAAACCCTCTACCTCGAGGCAGGGAAAGAAAAGAACTACACAAAATGCTCTTCCTCTGGCAGCATGTCTGCCCATCTCCCTTCACTTCCATATCCATCTAATACCTTCTCAGTAGAACGCTGATCTGCTCAAATAGTAACAGTCAAAAAGATAATGGTGTTGTACTGTGAACAAATACAAACCAACAAATACTGAGACTTTATCTAGCTAACTAGCTACTGTGCTTTGGATCGATTCTTTCTGTGGCTGGGACACAATAACTGCTGTCTATCTTCTACTGATTCCTCCTGGGACACTAACCTACTGGCAGATTCAGGGTTGATGAGAGAGCATGCAGGACAGCTCTAAACTGCTAAATATTTCAAACATAAACAGACTCTCCTGACATACAGAGTAAAGCACTTCTTTCAGCCCAGAGTGAAAACTTATGACAGCTATGATCAAACTTTTCTCACTTACCTGATGTCCTGCCAAGAGACTGTATGTAAAATAGACGTCATCTGCCTCCTTGCTGGGTGAAGAAGCCTCCGTGAGAACAGCACCCCCTGGTGACTGGTTGTATATCAAGTGATAAACCCTGCCTTATTCTCAGAGCGGAAACATGAGAGAAGAGCTTCAACTGACACACAGGACTCAGAGGATATTTACGGCTTTATCAATGTAGCGCCTTTAGCCTGATTGAAAGAACAAACTATGACACCTACAATCTCTCTAGTCCAGGAGAGCTGGTAATAGTTAATCATACACAATACCGTGAAGTGAAAAGTTTATTGCCACAGGTAGGTACGAAATATTTTGCAGTGTATGAAAATGAAAGACATAGAAAATAGAGCTCTTTTAAAAAGGTTGAAAAATAATAAAATTAATAGAATCATTATGTTTTCCAGGAATTGAGTCACAAAGTGGAGAGCCACGTCTTCCACATATTTCGCTTCTACACCTTCGGCCGTATGAGGAAGAGCGCTGACTACTATCTGCTCCGGTCCAATTCACAGTACATCAGCTGGTGGTCTACAGCCCTCAGCCTCCTCATCGTCACCTCGGGGTACCTGCAGCTCCTCTTCCTCAAGAGACTCTTTGTCAGCGGGACGGGCAGCGAGGAGGAGAAACCCCGCTGCTGACCGAAGCAGAGGGGTTTACAGTGAGGATGGGCAGAAATAACCAGTCTTTGTAGAAGATGAAACCAGGACTCAGATGGCCGTTATTCTCTGGTTTTTTATTTGTGTATTTGGATGTCTTTACGCAGCATGAAGAAACCTCACTGCTGGATGATGATGTTAGATATTAGAATAGAATAGAATAGACTTTATTTGTCATTGCACAAAGCAACGAAATTTCGTTGTGCCATCCTGAATGCAAAAAGAACAACAAAAAGTACAACAGTGCATACATTTGACAGCATTCATCCATGTTAAAAGACATATTTAAAACATAAAGATGTTGATCAACATTGACCATTGTGTCACTGTAGTAGTGCTGCATACGTGGACCCATACTGCACTGTTAAATGAGGAGTAACTGCGCTTAGTCCCATATTGCACTGTTAAATAAGAAGTAATTACACGTAGTCCCATACTGCACTGTTAAATGAGGAGTAACTGCGCTTAGTCCCATATTGCACTGTTAATAAATAAATAAATGAATAAATAGAGGGTCACATTATTGCATTTATTGGCCTGACATTAAGTTCAGTTATGGCTCTGTGAAAGACACTGTTTTTGAGTCTGAAGGTGCGGGCTCTCGGTGCCCTATAGCGCCTCCCTGAGGGTAGCAGAGAGAACAGGTGATGACTGGTGTGGTGGATGTTTTTCATGCATTCGTCCCGTTTCTTCTCTCACCTGTCTAAGGTGATTAATGATTAATGCAGGATCACACAAACCCTTCACATGTAAATTATGACTCATTTTGGTCATTTTTCAAAAAATCAAATTTCTCCTGAAAGTATTTTATATAAGATTTTTTCACATGCCAAGTTGGTTGAAGTTTGCATTTCTTGTGGGATCACAGCAAGCAGTTATAGATTAAAAATCACTGTAAGCACCATTAACTGGTAATAACTTTGTTTATATCATGTTAAAAGGCAGAATATGTGTGAGTTCAGAGGGGAACGTATTTCTTCTTAGTCTTGAGAATTATTCAGTTTTTGCTCCTGTATTTTATTTTTTATTTTTGTATGAGTTGTTGCTGTTTTAGACGTGATTATTCAGCAGAAAGTAAAAGCTTTTTCTGTGAAGTTTCCTGACTTCATTAAACGAGCGCGGTGGGGTTACACGATCAAATGCAGTGCGACATTGGCCTGTGGATGTAGGATACTGAGCCGTCTCTACGAGTAAAGAAAGGTAGGCCTCAGTGTAGCGAAACAAGTCCAAACGCAGAGAACCAAAGACAGACACTTTTAATGATTGTGTCACCTAGCTTTCTTGCTAGTTAGCCGACCGGGAAGACGGTTATTTTAGTTCATATGCTAAATGATCAACGTTCGTCACACATCTCATTGAATCATTCCACGGAAAATAGTTCCAGCACGTTATACTTCTCTCTGTTGGGCAGAGGTTTGATGGTTCCCACTCCAGTTCAGTTAGCATGCGAAATCTATCATTTAAGCCATAGATATAAATACAAACGGCAAATGGCTTATGCACGCTGTTAGCCAATAGAGACGGACGTCCTTGCTACGAGACGCTCGTCCACTCATAACGTTCCAGTCTACAGTGCATGTAGCATTTAAATAATCATAGATTGATTAATTTTAAACTGATTTTCAAACGGTTTGGTTTGTAACAAACCTCAAGTTTTAGTTATGTTCCTGTATACTCAAGAATAATTTTAACCATGGATTTTTATAAATAAACATTAAGCAGATAGGTAGAGCAATCGCTATAGGCCTACACGCACAAGGCAGTTATATTAAATCATTTATATATTAAACATTTCATAACTCCATGTATGTTTTATTAGTAATATTTCTATTATAGGGATAACTATAATAACATATGACAATAACATATATTCTTATTTTCTATATAAATTTCTGCCTCATGTTGCCATTTTAGATGTTTTTAACAAATCAAACAGCTTGGAAATCATGTGCAACTTAACTTTTGTTGAGTCCAAAGAGCATTTCTGTCTCTTTAACTGATGTAAAATTACTGGGTCAACTTTGTAATATGTACTTGGTCTCACTCACAGCGAGTCTGTTCGCCAAGTTAGACAGCTGATAAACACAAGACCATCCACAAAGACTGTCACTTAGACTAAATAAATAAAAATAAAAATAATAAATAATAAGCTGTCATACAAGAAATTAAAATCTTGATTGTGGTCTCAGCCTTGACAACTCATGCAAAGCGACTCAAAGTTAGCCCTTGCGCACAAATAGCTGTGAAACTACTGTGCTGCACAATAAAGCCTTTTTTTTCTAAAAGAAAATCTGCAGTTTTAATATGTCCAAGCATCCTGACTCATAGCCACGTTATTAAGGTCTGTAATAAACAAAACCATTTGTAAATCTGTCAAGATTTCAGCGAGTTAAGAGTGTTTTGATCATGCAGATGCACATAAGATGGCCGCCGTGTAGGGACGCCGGTGACTCCGCCTCGAGTTGTCTAGCCTTTCTTATGTCTATGCGCACACATCTTTCCCCATTGACGCTCGTTACAACTTTGGCACACGCAGTTCATTCCTCTTCATTACAACGGGGCGCAGTTGATCGTGCCTTCCTGTCTCCGTCTGGTCGCTTTTACTTTACTGCTTTTCACCACCGGCCATGGGGTGGCAGCAGAGAGCGAGCGGTTGCCTTTAAAGAAAACCACCAAGCGAGTGATGTAGAGCACAGAGTGTCGCCGGAGTCCCAGAAAGAGCCGAAAAAAGGAGAAAATGGAGAGAGAAAATTCAGTAAAGTCACTGAAAACAATGCTGTACGAGAGGAGAACACTGCAGGAGGAATGTAGAGTGAAGGAGCTCGGAACTGACCGGCCGGACGTATTAATTACACAGCAGTCTGAAGACAAAGGGAGGAGATTTTCGCGGTCTTTTTCACGGAGCTGGTATGAGAAGATATCTTGGCTAACTGGATGCTAACTCTAAACCTTGGAACTGATCAAGCCTGGATTCAGACAGGTATGCATATTTATCCATTCTTGATTTATTTATTGATGGAAAAGGAGATTTTAAGGGTTTGTGTGTACCAGTTATATCTTATCTGGAGCAAAAGATATCAAACACTGGGGAGATAAATGAAAATTCAATAACTGGTAACATTCACCTGCATTTAATTATCTATTTGACTCAGCAGAAGTGCTCAGATGTAACCTAGTTAGTAGTTATACATAGTCAAAGCACATAAAATGGTTGTGAACATAATGTACATCAATTCTTGTGTTTTGGCATTGCCCTCTCTGCTTTCTGGGGTGGTAAATAAGTGCACCCCCCCAAGAGAAAAAACAGCCGCCACTGGTTAAGATTTAACCTTCATTAGTAGTATTTATTAACAGTGAAAGGTGTTTTCTGGGTTAGCTGTTTTTCCTGTCCAAATCATAACCGGTGTTCTACTGACTTTAGTGAAATTTCAGTATTCATGCCTTGTATCTCCAGAGAAATTCAAAAGTCTTAGTGGCATCATTTTAATTTTAACATATTTATAAATAATCTGAAACCAACAAAAGAGGTAAGAAACATACTTTTTCACAAAATGTGAAAATTGTACACTAAAATAGACTTACACTTTCTTTCATTAGTTTTTATTGTTTTTCAAAAACAATAAAAAGTAAGGGTAAAATAGCAGCATGGTGAGTAATATTGCACTTTCTGGAGGCAGAGTGGTAGTGGATTAAAAACCAAATAAATAAAATATAAAACAATATATGTTCTTATTTACACATAATAGCTATAGCTGTGGTATGTTTTACTACAATAGCCAGCAACCACCTTTGTGCTAAGATTTGGTGTCTGAGACTCACTTAAGTATGTAATATGCTCCAAAGTTGATAGTCTCTCATGCAGACAGCACACTGTAAAATTTAGATCTAAATTTAAAAGCTGGGGCAGCTGGTCAATAGAGGGCGCTAGGGTGCCGCCCCCTCTGTCTCAACATGTAGAATCAGACCGCCATAGATGTATATAAGAAAGGCACAGCCCTTTCTTTTCATAAAACGTCTTTTTTATGACTTTCACATGCATAACCCATATTTCAGAAAGGCAAATTGAATAATATAGTCTGAGGAGAGGGAATTGAAAGGTATAATTTGCACTAAAAGTCAGTTTAGAAATGTTCTTCGTTGCTGACATTCACTAATAGTTGACATGTATCCGGCTAGAGGCGAACACATCATTCCTCATTGACTCTTGTTACAACTTTGACATGTGCAGTTCTGGACGACTGCAACTCTTTGTTCACACGTCTGAACCAACAGAGTTTACACAAGTTACAGCTGGTCCTGAATGCAGCAGCTCACCTCCTAACTAGAACCAGAACCAGAGATCATAGAACTCCTATTTTAGCTTCACTTCATCGGCTCCTGGTAAGTTTTAGAATTGATTTTTAATATTCAGATCCATCCAATAACATCATTAATATCCATTTGATTATTAGTAAGAACTAAACTGTGACAGCTGTTAGAATATAGATTTCTTTATTGAGTTCATATTTCATAAACGTCCTTACATCAATTCTTACTCCTGTATTACTCCTCTTGAATTTTTCACCCTTCTTTCTTCATTCATTGTGATTTTTCTCTTTGATTTGAGTTGTAATGATTTCTAAAGCAGGTTTGTTGGTTAAGAGGTGACGTTCACTTTCTCTTCTGTTTACAGTCTGCTGCTCCGGCTCCAGATTTTCATGTTTTCTGTCTTCACTTCTTTCTAATCCTCCTCTCAGCTTTGCTCTCATTTTTCTGTTTGTGTGTGAACCAGCCTGCAGTCTCATGAGGACATGACCTTCATCAGTTTAAACACAGGTATGAACACCTGTGCAGGTGAAGAAGAGTTTCAGGAGTCTGACTCTGACTGTTCAGACAAACTTTCTGATCAATACAGTGAAGAAAAATGTGCTGAATGAGGCGGATTTTTCCCCCATAGAGACAGAAATCAGTCCAGTTCAGTGAGCCAGTTTGACATGAAGTCCTGCTCTTTGATAACAGACATTCAGACTGATGTGACAGGATACAAACAGTCAGATAATCAGCTGAAGTTTGTGTTAGTGCAGAGGGTCAACTGTTCTTCAGCTGCTGTTTGTGTAGAGAGGAGGAGACTCTCCCTCCGACACAGAACACAAACTCACTGAGGAACCAGGAGACCAGAGCCCAAACCCAGGATAGAGAGGTTGAGTGAAGGTGGTGTTGAAGGTGTGGAGGTGGATCAGTGTGTCAGAGGAGACGCTGTAGAAGGACAGAGTGCCAGCAGGACAGTCCACATACACTGCTACTCTGTGAGAGACAGAGGACGAGGGGAGACGGAGGTCTGTTCTTCTGTTATTGTGAAGGACAGAGTAACCTTCATCAGAGCAGAGCAGACTCCAGGACTGATCATTAGATCCAAACAGACAGTCATCACTGTTTCCTTTCCTTCTGATTCCTCTGTAACTCACTGATATATCAACCCATCCTCTCCACTCGACCTCCCAGTAACAGCGACCAGTCAGACCATCTCTACACAGAAGCTGAGCCCAGAAGTCAAATCTGTCTGGATGATCAGGATATGACTGATCCTCTTCCACATGTGTCACCTTCCTGTTGTTTTCAGACAGTCTGAGGAGTCTGTTTACTGTGTTTGAGTCCAGTGTGAGTTCACAGAAATCTGACAGAGAGAAAAAGACACAACACAGCAGCAGGTTATCATCAGACACACCTGAAGGCTTTCTTCTTTGTTAGCTGACAGTCTGCTGTTTGGTCATCAGGAGTCAAACTGATTCAACACTTACACTTCTTCACACCAGGTTTTAACCACTGCTCTCCACCATGGTCCACCCTGGAGGAAGAAACACAGTCAGAATGATTGAGTGTCCAACATGAGTCCTACCTGCTGTCCAACATGAAGCAGAGTTCCTCAGTTTGTCCCTGTGACAGAGAAACAGGCTGAAACTCATCTGAGCCAACAGTCTCCATCACTCTGTCACTTTTTCTGAGTCTTTCTGACAGAAACTCACAGAAAAACAACAAGATTCAAAGAGCAAAGGCTGGCTGTTGGTCTGTCCTACAACATGGAGACTTGATTTGGACCCTTTGGAAAAAGACCTTCATTTCTTCTTTTAGGACAGCTGTCCACACTTTGGTCTAAAAAGCTCCTTCTAAATAGACTTGAAAGCTTGTCTGCAGATAGAGAGATGAAGTAGTGGGCTCTCTTCTTCTAAATATGAATGAAGATGAAATGAAAGCTCTCAGATGAACTCATGTGAGTGTGTGAGGCTCTTCTTGGATCATTCAGAGTCAGCTAGAGCAGAGGGAGTAGGAGCATCACACCTGGAACAGCAGGTGGATTTCCTGCAGTTTGGGATGGACAGGAAGTGGAGCAAAGTCAGTGCATGTCCTCAAACAGCCCCTCAGCTTACCTGATCATGACTGACAGGTCTGCTGCTGCTCTCACTGAATGTAGCTGTGCCAGTAAAGCAGTAGAGCTCAGCTGATGAAGCTCAATGAAGACTATCTGATCTCCTTTGAACCCACTTCTGCAGCCAGTACTTTGAGTCCATGTTTCTGACTGAGGGTGGATGTATGAAGGAGGTGTTTCTCTGTAGCTCTGAGGGTTTGTTTGATGGCTCACCAAACAAAGAGAGCAGAAAATCAAGAAGAGAAGACCTTCCCATGTCAGCCAGGAGAGTTGATCCTGGTCTGTATGGATGAATGAAATAAAGGATCTGGAGGAGATCTGAATGTTGTTCTGCTCTGATCATTAAACTAGATGTGAACCTTCATCTTGTAACATCAGGTGTAATAAAGCATCTTCTCTGAGTTCTGACGTGGGCTAAAGGACTGTCAAATGTGTTTGAACTTCAAATATGAGCCCATCTCTCTCCTGATCATCTCTGTTTTTAGTCTGTGTGTCTGTTCATCAATCAGGGAGCTGAGAAATGACCACAGAGTCACAATATCCAGGTTTGGACCTCTTTCCACCTGGAACACTGGATAAGGTCTATTCTTCCTCATCCTCCATCATCTTCACCTCCCTGCAGACATCTGCATGTAATAGGCCAGGTGATAACCAATCAGAGAGCTTGTTTCATGGATCATCAGCATTGTTTTACCTGGTTTTACCAGCTCAAGGCCCAAAGTGTGAAGGAAGGAAAAATGGAGAGGAGGAACAGAAAGATAAAAGACTTTGATAATTGATTAGCTAACAGGAAAAGGAAAAGCAGACAGGAAATGGAAATAAAAAGAGGAATTGTCCTTTAAATGTCTGATTAAAAGCTGTATTCTTACTTCAGTTTGTCAATTCACTTCTTCATTTCTCTTTTTTAAAATTTCATTTTCAGACTGATTTTTAAACTATTGACTAGGGAATACATTCATGTTTTTTTAACCCTCAGTTCCTCCTCTGTCCGTTTTGAGGACATTTGTCTTTTTTTTCCATCTTTATTTTGAGCTGACAGTCACATTTTTAAAGATTGGGGCATCAAATGTGGTGAGAGTTCTTATTTTTGTACATATATTACAAAAAAATTCAGTGTCACCTGTAGTTCTCTGTCTCTTCATTTTAGCTCCACCCACCCTCCTTTGTCCACAAATCGGCCAATAGACTTCCATTAAAAACAGTTTTTTTGTGCGTGTGTTTACGGCTCCATCACAACATATTCCAACCTTTTTTCTGCTGTCAGTCGATCAGCAGGGCTCTAAATTTGACTTTCCCACAGTGAGACAACAGACTGAGCCGCACATCATTTTAACCCCTTCAGAGCCGCTGAGCACGCAAGTCTTCATTCATGGACTGAGAGAGTCTGAAGATTCATCCACTAAACATCATCAGAAATGAAGGAAACTTTACATGACACTAGATATGGATGTCTAAAGCCGCGTTCAGACCAGCCGCGACCTGACGCGACTTGGCGACCGCCGGCTTCCTGCGACGCGACCATGCGCGACCGGGCGACCGGTCGCCAAGGCGCGTCCCCGAGGTCGCAAGGTTCAAATATTTGAACTTTGGGAGCGACTTCGTGCCGCGACAGCCAATCAGGGCTCTGCTAACGTCAACAAACCGGCGAAACAAGGAAGAGGAGAAGAAGAATCACAATGGAGGAGCAGTTAATCACATCCGTTAGCTACCACCCAGCTAACTGCCCCTGCTTGCTAGGCTACATGTTTCAACGTATGTGTGTGTGTGTCTTTGCAGTGGATGTGTGCCGCAAGCGGTGGAAGGGGCTTAGAGACGTTTATATGAGGGACAGACAGATAGACAGGCGCTCCGAAGCTGAGATGGAGCGCCTGTATTTCGTGTCCAGGCGGGAGATGCTGCTTCCCACCGGGGCGAGGAGGTCCTTGAACTGCGCCGTCGACACACGGAAATACCGCTGGAAGCGGCCGTCGTCCAGGCGGAGTTCCTGGAGCAAGCGGTGAAATTCACCCAGCTCCGTCCTCCTCCGGATGGTTTCATGCACCCATAAACGCCGGCGGCGTCTACTGCGGATGTACAGATATGCGGCAGCACTGATGAACTGAAAACTGAGCTAGTGACATGGATGACGTCACCGGCGACCAGCCGCGACCTGCGACTGCAACTTTGGACCCGGTGTGAACACACCAGAGCACCACGCGACGCGACCTGACCGACCGACGCGACGCGACGCGACCTGGTCGCGTTTGGTCTGAACGCGGCTTAAAGGGGTGTTCAGACCAAACGCGACCTCGGCGACGTCGGCGACGGCATCCAATGCAAAGTCTATGGCCAGCCGCGACCTGACGCGACCGCCGGCTGCCTGCGATGCGACCTGAAGCGACTTGGCGATCAGGTCGCTAAGTCGCGTCGCCGAGGTCGCAGGACGCCAAGTCGCGTCGCTCCCAAAGTTCAAATATTTGAACTTTGGGAGTGACTATCCGCGACTCCGTGCCGCGACAGCCAATCAGGGCTCTGCTAACGTCAACAAACCGGCAAAACAAAACAGAGAAGAAAAGAAGAAGAAAACAAAACAGAAGAAGAATCACAATGGAGGAGCAGTTAATCACATCCGTTAGCTACCACCCGGTGCTATACAACGTGGGTTGCGGGCTGTACCGGGACCGCAACGCCAAAGAAGAAGCATGGGGGAAGGTGGCCTGTGATGTCGGGCTTTCTGGTAAGCTTGTTTGTTTATTTATTTATTTCAGTGAGCGGACTGTTTTATGAAAAATCATCTAGGTCATTTTATATGGGAAATAAGGTTTTGGTTTTGTGTTTTTTACTGGTAAAAATAACAGTGACATGTTGCACAGAAACTGGCATAAAAAAAAGGTCACATGTCGAATTTTGGAATTTTTATTTTTTAATGGTCAGGGCTGAAGTTGTTTAAGGGATATGAGTCGAAAATAAAACAAAAAGTTTAAAAATGATTATTTAATCAACACTTATCTGTTTTGGTGACAAAGTAGGCAGATGGAGCATAAAATTAACAGAAACCAAGGGTTAAAGAAAAAACTTTTGTACAGATTCATTTGTAGAATCTTTTTATAATTCCTTGATTTGTTCATGGATGAACTCATGAATTTGGAAACCACTTGATGAATTCCTGTTTCAATAGTACAATAACCTTTTCAATTAAAAATACTTTATTTTAATTTCTGTGACCCTTTCGATCCTCCATAAAGAGCATTTAAAAATGTTTTTTTATATATAAATAAAGACCACTGACATCAAGACAAGAAAGCTCCTCAAAATACTCATATGGAGGTTTTCACCCTAAATCCAGAACCCAGAGGGTCTACACTAAGAGGAAGGAGGGAGGCTGAGAACTAGTGAGCATCAGAGCTACTATCCAGGATGAAACTGTTCACATTCAAGAGTCCTTCAGAAAGATGGTCCACAATGATGACCTGCTAAGTGAAGACCTCAGGAAGAAGAAACCAAATATATTTGTAGTTGTCTGTGACCCAGTAACTGTCTGGTTATACCTCAGTGTATCCAGTCTCCATAGAGGATCCTCTAGTCCAGCAGACAGCAGTTTTACTCCTGAGTCTCCTGGATGATTGTAGCTCAGGTCCAGCTCTCTCAGGTGTGAGGGGTTGGAGCTCAGAGCTGAGGCCAAAGAAGCACAACCTTCTTCTGTGATGAGACAGCCTGATAACCTGGAGTCAGGAAAAAATAAATGAAACAAGGAAAAGTGTACCAACTTGTGACAATTTCACTCAAACAACTACAAAACTCAATCAGCAGAAAACCTGACCTGAGAGTTTCCAGTTTCCAGTGAGGACTCTTCAGTCCAGCAGACAGCAGCTTCACTCCTGAATCCTGCAGGTCATTGTTACTCAGGTCCAGCTCTCTCAGACTGGAGGACTGGGAGCTGAGGACTGAGGACAGAGCTTCACAGCTTCTCTCTGACAGGTTACATCCAGTAAACCTGAACACACATGAAGATATTTGAATAAAATAAGCTCTTTTGTTTCATAGATAATTAAAGTTAGTAGATGCTTTTGCTTCTTCTTTTAACATTTTGTAATCTTGAACAAAAATCTCTCATTACTCTTAGTTAATCATCTTAACAAGATCTGACTGAATTAATAATGTCTCTTCACTTGACCCCACTTATAATAAAAGAGCAGTAAGTAGCTCTCTGTTTTATTGATGCTTTTGTTTCTGTGGTTTTGAACAATGACGGGTAAAGTTTTATGTTCGATCTTATACAGACCTGAGAGTTTCCAGTTTACATTGAGGACTCTTCAATCCATCAGACAGCAGCTTCACTCCTGAATCCTGCAGGTCATTGTTACTCAGGTCCAGCTCTCTCAGACTGGAGGACTGGGAGCTGAGGACTGAGGACAGAGCTTCACAGCTTCTCTCTGACAGGTTACATCCAATAAATCTGGAAATATAGGGCAATATTTAAAAATAAATCTTTACTCATGATAAATTTCAATTGTATTGTTATTCTAAAGGCTTAATCCATCTGTAACTAGAGTGTTAGTTTCTTTTGTTATCCATCTCGTAATGGTATGAAATGGCAATCTTTCAAAAAAACAGACTGACTTTCACCATTCAAACTTATCCTTTTAAAAGTAAAATATTTATTAGTTTCTGAGTAGTCTTTTTTATTTTGTATCCTGTAGGGATTAAACTTTGACATTTAACATCACAGAGACCTGAGAGTTTCCAGTTTACAGTGAGGACTCTTCAGTCCAGCAGACAGCAGCTTCACTCCTGAATCCTGCAGGTCATTGTTACTCAGGTCCAGGTCTCTCAGACTGGAGGACTGGGAGCTGAGGACTGAGGACAGAGCTTCACAGCTTCTCTCTGACAGTTTAGATCCACTCAGCCTGAAGAAGAATCAGTGATTAGCACAGACACAAAGTTTCATCTCTCATGAACAATAATGTTTCATCTCTCATGAGTCCACCTACAGAGCTTTGTTGGAGGCTTTGACCACTGGCAGCAGCCTCAGAAGACCCTCCTCTGAAGCAGAGTATTTCTTCAGGTCAAACACGTCCAGATCTTTTTCTGATGACAGTAAGATGAAGACCAGAGCTGACCACTGAGCAGGAGACAGTTTCTTTGTGGAGAGACGTCCTGATCTCAGGGACTGTTGGATCTCCTCCACTAGAGAACAATCGTTCAGCTCATTCAGACAGTGGAACAGATTGATGCTTTTCTCTGCAGACAGATCCTTACTGATCTTCTTCTTGATGTACTGGACTGTTCCTTGACTGGTCTGTGAGCTACTTCCTGTATGTGTCAGCAGACCTCTCAGGAGATTCTGATTGGTTTGCAGAGAAAGACCCAGGAGGAAACGTAGAAATAAATCCAGGTGTCCGTTCAGACTCTGTAAGGCCTGGTCTACAGCACTCTGATGGAGATGTTTCAGTTTTGGTTTGACACTGAAGATTTTAGAGATTGAAGATGTTGTTTGTTGTTCTTCTTTCATCAGGTTGACTCCAGAGTTGGTGAAGGTCAGGTGGACATGAAGAGCAGCCAGAAACTCCTGAACACTCAGATGGATGAAGCAGAACACCTTGTCCTGGTACAGTCCTCTCTCCTCTCTGAAGATCTGTGTGAACACTCCTGAGTACACTGAGGCTGCTCTGATATCCATGCCACACTGAGTCAGGTCTGATTCATAGAAGATCAGGTTTCCTTTCTGCAGCTGCTCAAAAGCCAGTTTTCCCAGAGACTCAATCATCTTCCTGCTCTTTTTATTCCAGTGTGGATCAGTCTCAGCTCCTCCATCATACTTGATGTTCTTCAGTTTGGACTGAACCACCAGGAAGTGGATGTACATCTGAGTCAGGGTCTTGGGCAGCTCTCCTCCCTCTCTGGTCTTCAGCAGATCCTCCAGAACTGTAGCAGTGATCCAGCAGAAGACCGGGATGTGGCACATGATGTGGAGGCTTCTGGATGTCTTGATGTGGGAGATGATTCTGCTGGCCTGCTCCTCATCTCTGAATCTCTTCCTGAAGTACTCCTCCTTCTGAGGGTCAGTGAACCCTCTGACCTCTGTCACCATGTCAACACACTCAGGAGGGATCTGATTGGCTGCTGCAGGTCTTGTGGTTATCCAGAGGCGAGCAGAGGGAAGCAGGTTCCCCCTGATGAGGTTTGTCAGCAGCACATCCACTGAGCTGGACTCTGTAACATCAGTCAGGACCTGATTGTTGTGGAAGTCCAGAGGAAGTCGACACTCATCCAGACCGTCAAAGATGAACACGACCCTGAAGTGTTGAAAGCTGCAGATTCCTGCTTCTTTGGTTTGAGTGAAGAAGTGATGAACAAGTCCCACCAAGCTGAACTTCTTCTCTTTCAGCACATTCAGCTCTCTGAAGGTGAATGGAAATGTGAAGTGGATGTCCTGGTTGTCTTTGTCTTCAGCCCAGTCCAGAGTCCACTTCTGTGTTAAGACGGTTTTCCCAATGCCAGCCACTCCCTTTGTCATCACTGTTCTGATTGGTTCCTGTCTTCCAGGTGAGCCTTTAAAGATGTCTTCTTGTCTGATGGTTGTTTCTGGTCGCTCTGCTCTCCTGGATGCTGTTTCAATCTGTCTGACCTCATGTTCATCGTTGACCTCTCCAGTCCCTCCCTCTGTGATGTAGAGGTCTGTGTAGATCTGGTTCAGAAGGGTTGGGTTTCCTGCTTTAGCAATCCCCTCAAACACACACTGGAACTTCTCCTTCAGGTTGGACTTGAGTTTGTGTCGGCACTCTGGAGCAGCAGATCCTGAATGAACAAAAAGAAATGTGATGAATCATCTGAAGCTACAATCAGTCTGATGAATTTACACTTGAAGACATCAGGATGGATTTGATTTCCCTCCTCTCTGAAATCTCTTCAGCTCATCAGCTGTGATCAGTTTCTCTCAGTTCATAGATGTGATACAAATGTGTGCATCATATGAACAGCAGAGTCTGAACTCTAAACCTCTCCCATGTTGTCTCCATCATGTTAAATCTCTTCAAATCCTCTTACTGCTCTGCAGACAGTCAGCCAGCTCCTCCTGCTTCATTCTCCTCAGGAAGTTCACAGTGATCTTCAGGAATGCCTCTCTGCTCCTCCTCTGCTCTTCATCCTCATCCTCCCTCTGACTCTCTGAGCCTTCTGGTTCATCTGGACCCAGAACTCTCTGGATCTCCTTCAGCTGCTCCTTTACAAAGCTGATCATGTTCTCCTGGAGCAGCTGAAACAGAACAAAATGTGAACTTGAACTTGTAGAACTGAACATCTGATCATCTGTGACAGACAGAAAGCCTGCTGGTCTACAGAGTCCAGCATGGAGACTGGATCACAATGCTGCTTCAGGACTGACTTTGTGGATGGTCCTGTCTTCTACAAATCCAGTTTCTATGACCTGACCTTCATATTGGAGAAACCTCCTGGTGTGGTTTCATGGAGAAAAAGTCTGCAGTGACTTTAGAGGTGATGTGTTTATTAGAATGAAGCTGAAAGCAGCAGCTGTCATCGACATGAACCAAAGTCTTTCTGTTCTTTAAACCTCAAACTGGACTCAGTTTGTGAACTCTGCTCCTGGACCACCGTCCACCATGACCTCTGACCTCTGACTCTCTGCAGGTCATAAATGTGAGGCTTCATTCAATCAGTCAAACTGTGAGTGTGAAGATAATTCAGGCAGAGATGATGTTTGCAGAGTCATTAGGAAACAATCCAGAAACCTCCAAATATACTGAGTGTCTGCTCTGATGATCAGTAGGAGCTGTGTTTGTACATTTACACCTACCATAAATATGGAGTCCAGCTGTGTTTGATGCTGCTGGGCAGACTGACCAATGGGAACCTCTGATCTCTGCTGCTGAACTCTGTGGAACAAACAGAATCTAATGTAGTGGATATAATATAAGGAGACACAGGGTTACATGTGAGAGAGTCTATCTAGAGGATCCTGGTAGAAACACTGCTGGATCCTCCTACAGACACACATGAAGATACATGCAGAGTCCAGGTCTTTGTGGCTCAGATCCTGTTTACTGCTGTTGGATCCTGATAGAAACACAAACCCTGAAAAATCTTCACCTTCACAGAGAAAACACCGACCACAGTTAGGATGAAAAGTTTCACACACAACAAAAGAAAGTTCAGTTTGAAAGGCTCACCTTTGCTCATCATAGATCTCTCCTTCTTTGAAATCAATCAATCCACCCTTAGACCGGTCACTCTTTAAGGACACACAGCTGGGTCCAGGTCCAGGAGAGTCTGGTCTCTCATGTTTGACTCTGACAGAAACACAAACACTGATGAAGAAACAAGAACACTGAAAATCTTCCAGGTTTGAGTGCTGCTGTGATAGATTATTACTTTTGAAGATCAGACTGATGTCCATCTTTAAAATCAATAAATCCATCCTTAGACCGGTCACTCTTGAAGGACACACAGCTGGGTCCAGGTCCAGGAGAGTCTAGTCTGCACTGCTGTTCAGGTCTTAGACAGACAGACAGACAGACAGACAGACAGACAGACAGACAGACAGACAGACAGAGGTCTGAGTGTGAATAATAGTGATGGTGGAGTGATGTGAGTGCTGAGCTCTGACATGGAGAAGAGTCATGGACAGTTGGAGATCCTCATCTCACCTCTGAACTTTGGTCTGGCTCTCATGTTCCCCCCACAGAGTGGTTTTAGAGGGAGGGGCCCCCTCCTCTCTGTCCTCACTCTGATTCATAGCAGAGCCCCCACCTTCACACAAACACAACAACATGCTCAGTCAGTTCAACCTGAGCCACATACTGTCCTCTACCACAGTGTCATTCCAGATTCTACCACAAGATGGAGCCACAGTCATTCCTGTTTACTGGAGAGCTCATCTGGATCCATTCAGAGTCCAGTTCTGTTCAAAATGAAGAAGACATGTGAAAACTTTCAGTTTGATGTTTGACAGAATGAAGAAAATACTCACCAGGTGAATTCAGATCCACTTCCTGTTTCACCTGTAGCAGGAAGACAAAGAGAGAGACTGCAGCTGATCGGATTGTAAAGCTGAAGTTTTGAATGTTTGATTGTTGAATGAATTCAACCTTGATGTTACTCATTAACAACAACTCAAATCTGAGAGACTAAATAAGAGGAAACAAGAAAGAGAGTAAAACAGGAGCAAAGAAATAATCTGGACATGCTGTAATAAATATCCTCCATGACTCCAGAAACAGATGATTGTCTGATTAATAACAGTGATTTATTTCATATTTTCATATTTATTATATTCATGCACATTTTCAGCACAAGGACCCCAAAGACGGAGAACCCACAGAACCAGGAAAACCCGAGCAACATATGGACCCGACATCATAAGAACTGAAGCAACACAAGACGTGAACAACATGACTGTGACTAAAAGAGTTTAAAACAATGAAACATGTTCAGAAATGATGAAAACAGTGTGTTAGGTTACCTTCTGATGGGGAAAATAATCTGCATGAAGACCTCGAGTGACGGTGAAATGAATCAGCAGCTTCAAACAGGAAACCAAGCAGAGAGAGAAGAAAGATAGAAGTGACAGCAGGAGGTTTTCAAAGGTCCCACCATTCACATCCAGTCCAGACTCTCTGAGTTCATCTTCACACTGAAGTTTTCTGGAAGGAAATGTGACACAGAGCAGCTCTGAACTTTGGACTCAACCACCTGAACACCTGCAGTCAAACATTGACAGACACAAGAAAACTTCTCAGAGGGATAAGAGAGGTCTCATGGTGCACTTTAGACTCCCTGAGAAATAACACAGAGAGAAATATAATCACCAGTAAAACAGTGACACCTAGTGGACAAAGACACATGGGACGAGACAAGTGAAGACAAACACAAATCCTTCTCTGTTTTTCACAGAGATGACACACCTGCTGAAGACAGTTAAACTCATGAATCACCTTCTGCTCTCTGGTTCCTGCTCCTAAACATGAAGAATCACAGATCTGACTCTCAGAGATCTCTGCAGCGCCACCTTAATCATGTGACACACAGTGTTACGCTGACCAACACATGACTGTCATATGTTCTTTTTATTCAGTTTTCTTCTGGTTTTATTTGAGTTCATCTTGAGTAGTTTCCCCTGTTGGTTCTGTTCCCCTGTAGTCCAGTCTTGAGAGACAAACTTTCAGCCTTTAATGTAGGTTCCTTTTGTTTGTTGTCCATGATAAAGTAATGTGACTCTGTGTGATCAGACGTTTTCTCCCTCAGTCTCTCTGTGGGACAAACGGTCACTTCTCTTTATCACAGAGACTCCATCTGTGAGGACAGACCTGTTTTCCCACAGATCCAGGAGTCAGTTAATTATTTCCCATCTCCCCACAGACCCTGCAGGAGCTGCCTCTGTCATTAACAGTAGACTTCTACATCTGTTCAGAAATGGTTTCCATGATTCTCAGCCTATTTCTAATCCTGATGTTTGGGGGTCTGGTTCATGGCGGCCCCATGATAGAACCGCATCCCAACATCACGGACCAGGAGCTGTTCTGGGGAGCCGATCAGTACGACTTTGCCGTGGTTCTCCGGGCGTCGGGAATGGAGTGTTTTTGGCACTTTGCTCACCGAGGAGAGACTTTCTACCTGAACTACATGGTGAGGAGAAACACTCAGACTTGAAGTCGTCTCCTTGAACATTTGGGACTTTTTAATTTACTCTAAAAAAGTGGTTTTGAATCTTTAGGTATTTTCCTACAGCTGAGCAGATCGAAGGTAAAAATGAAATGATAGTTTGTACAGATAAAAAAGTATTCCTTTTGATTCCTTTGTAGCTAATGCAAAAGTCTTTTTACACATAATGTAAGTGTCATAAAGAAGGAACAGCATGATCATGATAATCGTCTGATCTTAGTTCGACTTATAGACCATTCAAGCCAACAGGTCTAACTGGTCCAACAGCATAGCAGTGAAAGCATTTACTCCTCTGAGTATTGTCATTGTCCTCATCATGATATACACTCACCGGCCACTTTATTAGGTACACCTGTCCAACTGCTCGTTAACACTTAATTTCTAATCAGCCAATCACATGGTGGCAACTTAGTGCATTTAGGCATGTAGACATGGTCAAGACAATCTCCTGCAGTTCAAACCGAGCATCAGTATGGGGAAGAAAGGTGATTTGAGTGACTTTGAACGTGGCATGGTTGTTGGTGCCAGAAGGGCTGGTCTGAGTATTTCAGAAACTGCTGATCTACTGGGATTTTCACGCACAACCATCTCTAGGGTTTACAGAGAATGGTCCGAAAAAGAAAAAATATCCAGTGAGCGGCAGTTCTGTGGGCGGAAATGCCTTGTTGATGCCAGAGGTCAGAGGAGAATGGCCAGACTGGTTCGAGCTGATAGAAAGGCAACAGTGACTCAAATAACCACCCGTTACAACCAAGGTAGGCAGAAGAGCATCTCTGAACGCACAGTACGTCGAACTTTGAGGCAGATGGGCTACAGCAGCAGAAGACCACGCCGGGTGCCACTCCTTTCAGCTAAGAACAGGAAACTGAGGCTACAATTTGCACAAGCTCATCGAAATTGGACAATAGAAGATTGGAAAAACGTTGCCTGGTCTGATGAGTCTCGATTTCTGCTGCGACATTCGGATGGTAGGGTCAGAATTTGGCGTCAACAACATGAAAGCATGGATCCATCCTGCCTTGTATCAACGGTTCAGGCTGGTGGTGGTGGTGTCATGGTGTGGGGAATATTTTCTTAGCACTCTTTGGGCCCCTTGGTACCAATTGAGCATCGTTGCAATGCCACAGCCTACCTGAGTATTGTTGCTGACCATGTCCATCCCTTTATGACCACAATGTACCCAACTTCTGATGGCTACTTTCAGCAGGATAATGCGCCATGTCATAAAGCTGGAATCATCTCAGACTGGTTTCTTGAACATGACAATGAGTTCACTGTACTCAAATGGCCTCCACAGTCACCAGATCTCAATCCAATAGAGCATCTTTGGGATGTGGTGGAACGGGAGATTCGCATCATGGATGTGCAGCCGACAAATCTGCGGCAACTGTGTGATGCCATCATGTCAATATGGACCAAGCTCTCTGAGGAATGCTTCCAGCACCTTGTTGAATCTATGCCACGAAGAATTGAGGCAGTTCTGAAGGCAAAAGGGGGTCCAACACGTTACTAGCATGGTGTACCTAATAAAGTGGCCGGTGAGTGTATGTACTCCGCTCTGCTCATCTACCTGTAAATACTGTCACATAATACTTTCATTCCTGGCTTTATATTTTAATTTTTACAGGCACCACTGCTGTTTTTTACTTTCAGTTGGAAAGCACAATAGTGTTTCATTCTGTATTTGGGGAAATGCGAAGTGTAAATACTGCTGTATGTATTTCTTTTATAATTTTTCTTTAACGTCATTTCTTGATGTGCGTCTTCTTATATCCCATAATGTTTTGGCTCAGTAGGAAAAAGCTGCTGTAACACCACAATCTCAATAAAGTGATTCTGATTTATAATGGAGGAGGAGTTGTGTTATAAATGATCAGACTGAGGCTAAAGGTTGAAGCAGCTGGAAAGCAGGCAGGTCCACAGCAGCAGGACATCGAGATGATGATGATGATGATGATGGCGATGATGACGATGATGACGATGGAGCTCAGGGACTCCCAGAAGAGACCGGATCAGTGACTCTAAAGTCCTCGTGTTCTGAGGATTAAGTGTTGATAAAATGGTCGTCCTGGTTGGCTTTCATATTACATATTCTGTCCACCTGTGTGTCTGTAGGTCCAGTGGGTGACGGGTGTCGGCCATGACAGACACCTGTCAGTATACGTCAACGCCCCCAGCGGTCTGTTGGTGTCCAATGTGGATGACGCACAGGGTCAGATCAACTTTGAGGCAAAAGAGACAGGTCTGTCTGTCTGTTTTCTGTCTTCACCATAATGTGTCCACAGGGAGGCGCCAAAACCGACATGCACTGAAAGGTTCTCACAGCTGGTTTAAAGCCCCCATGAGGAACTCTAGGTTTGTGTTGATTTTGGCGCCCCCTGCAGACAAAGTTCCTCCTCTTTTCTCTTTGGTCTTTCTTTTAACGATCAGGTGTGTCACCTGCTGCGGATGATTACTGAGGAACAAGTCAAACGCCCGGTGTGACATCAACCCCTCACCTTATTTACAAACATTAATATGAGATTATCTCAGTTTTCAGTCTCGTCTCTGTGGGTTTCTTTGCTTTTTTAGATCAGAAAAAGACTGTCAGTCCGTTTACGATCACCTGAAAGACCTTACGGAAGCTCTACACTCAACATTTGATATTTTTCCTCTCCTTGTTTCTTTTTCCAGGTTTCTATCAGATGTGTTTCAGCAACTTCCACAACCGCTTCGGCACCATGCAGGTCTTTCTCAGCTTCGGCGTTTACTACGACAGCTTTCAGGACCCCGCCAAGCAGCAGGAGGAGGAGAAGAAGAGGAAAGAGGAAGTCAGGAAAGACCTGAACAACACACTGAACATCATCGAGGTTCACCACACACACACACACACACAGTCGGGTTTCTGACAGTATATCATTTGTCTGGATAATACTCGTTATGTTTTCCAGGAATCGAGTCACAAAGTGGAGAGCCACGTCTTCCACATATTTCGCTTCTACACTTTCGGCCGTATGAGGAAGAGCGCTGACTACTATCTGCTCCGGTCCAATTCACAGTACATCAGCTGGTGGTCTACAGCCCTCAGCCTCCTCATCGTCACCTCGGGGTACCTGCAGCTCCTCTTCCTCAAGAGACTCTTTGTCAGCGGGACGGGCAGCGAGGAGGAGAAACCCCGCTGCTGACCGAAGCAGAGGGGTTTACAGTGAGGATGGGCAGAAATAACCAGTCTTTGTAGAAGATGAAACCAGGACTCAGATGGCCGTTATTCTCTGGTATTTTATTTGTGTACTTGGATGTCTTTACGCAGCATGAATAAACCTCACTGCTGGATGTTGATGATGTTAGATATTATGGATGTTCTTCATGCATTAAAAACCTGTAATCCTAAAGAATTATTTCCACCACATCCGGAACGGCTCTGATCTGGAACGGCTGCGATTTTCGCCGTCTGCGAATTTCTACCAGATCCGTTGGGGAGGCGAATTTCGTGGCGGATTACGGACAGCGTTAATCGCGAGAACTCACAAGAATTCCCATGCAATCGTGTGATAACAAGTTGTCCCTCTAAAGACAGACACATAGACATATAAGCAGTAGATTGTGTCCTTCCAGAGGAGGAAATCTACTTCTAGACTTCTAGAATCAGCATCTCCTCATCCATGGTGTCATCGGGGTGAAATGACGTCTAAAAACCTTTCACTTGTTCGTCTCCGCCCGTTTGCATGGTGTGAAATACGATCCTCCTGAAACACGGAGTGTTTTATTTTGAAAAGAAGCCGGATGTTTTATTTTGAAGTCTGTGCCCGGCTTCCTTTCCAGCACGGGTTAATCTGTGCTGGAAAAATAGACCTCTTGCGATCAGCTGCGGAGTCCGGGGATCCGCGGAGGATCGGAAAGAAGCCGGTGGAAATTGACACGTTAACAGGTTGACACGGGTTGAAATTGACACAGGTTTAAGCGTCTGCCTCACAACCAATCAGCACTAAGGAGCAGCGTCTGCTTCACAACCAATCAGGTTAGAGGAGGTGGAGAACGGCTTTGTTTACAGTCAGAAAGAGCGGACCGCTCAAAAATGTTCAAATGTTGACGACACAGACATAAGAGAACACAGAGATATCGATATATTACCAAATGTCATCAATAACTAATAACTATTGACTGATATTAAAAGATTTTTTGTATATAAACCACAAAATAAGATGTTTCTCTAACGGATTCCTGCTCACCCCACCTTTAAGCAGCTGATCAGACTCTCAAAACATTGCAGAAGCCACGTCACAAAAGCCAGCGGAGCACTTTCTGCAGAGTTTGTGAACAATGATACACCTCCAGGTGAAACTAAATGGAGGAGGTTAAAAACAAAGATTGCTAAATGGGTGGCAACTAGTTTCAGCCGAGTCAACATGGTGGAGGACTCAGATCTGGGGAACTTCCTCTTGTTGGCATGGTATGACCAGTCTGGTGGCGTGGCGCTGCAGGGATCAACAGTTTTAAGCACACAGGACCTGAATGAAAGAGAGAAAACAACCAAACGGGAACTCTGGAAACTCTTAATCATACCCCTAATTATGGATTTCTTTTTCTTACAAACAATCTGCAGTTCTCCGAACAAAAATCCATAACCCTGAACAGGAAAATCAAGTTCAACTAAACAACAGATGAGAGGAATGAGGAAGTTCGAGTGAGGATAAAACGAAGATCATTTCGTTTTCTCTCTCTTGTAACTCAAGACTCCGAGGCTGCACATCAACAGGTAAATAAGGTTTTTAAAATGCTTAATATCCACTTCTTTAAGGTTTTACTTCTTTACTGTTGTCCTGCAAAAAAGAAATTTGATGACTATGCAGATATTAGATTTTTATTTTTTTTAAACTCACTCCATAAGAGATCTTTTTAAAGGATGGTTAAAGATGTTATCTTCTGTTATTTTTCGTTCCAAATCTCCAAAATGTTAAAAAAAAAAAACTGCCTATATTTGATTTTTTTTTTGTCATTTAGAAGATTATTGTGAATTTTTTAAGTTAGTTTTTGATGCTTTATGTTGCTCAGGAAAACTTCCCTCACTATTTTTTTTTTTGCAGTTTTAAACGTCTGATTTAAAAATGTTTAAATTCTTTTTTAACATTTTCCTTTTTTCAAGTTTAAACTGAGGATTACAGCGGTTAAAATAGATGTTAAACTGTTACCTGAAGGAGAGGTGACACTTTTTATCCTTCAGCACTAAACATCAGGGGTCATTATTAATATTGAAGAAAAGGAAGAATGCTTACAGGAAACCATTCACCTTCAGTTCTAGGAAACCACAGAGAGCAGACATACCCTCTTTTCACATAAGTGGGCAGGCAACGCCCTTTCTGCACGCCAAGGTACCACAGGAACCTGTTTGATGCCAGAGTGATGCTTCCTCATGTTATCATATGTTGATGATAAAGAGTGATGGTGGCGTGGTTACATAAGAAAAAGAAGAGATATTTCCTCATTAGATAACAGTCACAGAGCTGGTTTATACGGACCAGGGAACAGTAGTCAAAGCTGTAACAGTACGACAGAGTTTCAATTCTGTATTTAAAAAACAACAACATATAAATCTGACACTACAGCACAAGAATAAAGTTTTGATGATTTGTACTTTTCTCATGAAACTCAAACGACTTCATTATCTTTATTTTTTTCTCACGTATTGACTCTGTTCTTTGTCATTCTAAGACGTGACCCTTTGTGTCTTTTTACTTCACTTTATTCAGATATCAACTTTATTCTAAGAAAACTTCATTTTTGTACATTTTTTTCCCCCTGATATGACTTTTTTTTTTACTTTTCTCTCTACATATTGATCTTGTCTAATTATTTTCTAGTACAACTTTAGTCTCTCCAATTAACACCTATATCCCTGTTTCCTTTGGGAGTGCAGTGGCAGTTAGGGCAGCACGAAATATCGTTTAAGGATCGTCATCACGATGTACGTGTGAGTGATAGTCACATTTCAGAGCCTGGGTGTCGGAGACGAATGAACTCGTCTAATTTCACAGGTAGCTGACTGAGATACACTGCATGTGACTCTGCATGTGCTGTGCAGTGATCCACCAATCACATTCGTTCTTTACTCAGTTGTCAATCAGACTACCCTGCCAGCCGTCAATCAAAATCAGAGAGGGAAACCACGCCCCTGCACATGGAGAGAGTCGCTGGCGGTGCCGGTGTTGTGCCGAGAAACTCGTGTCTGCTGAGAAATACTTTGGGAACATTCCTCATCACTGTTTAGCCCATCAAATAAGAACTGTGTCACAACGCGGTGAGGGGTGTCTTGTCCTGGTTTTTCTGTCTTGTCATTTTCATGTTTTATTTTGAAAAATAACTCCCCTCTCGTTTCAGGTCACCTGCCCTTCCTCTTGTGTTTCCTGTCTGACTCTCCCCTGATCCCTGATTGTTTACACCTGTTCCTCATTAACCTCATGTGTCTTATAGTCGGCGTCTCCCTTTGTCCTGTGCCAGAGTCTCTCATTTAGTCGTGTTCCTCCAGCCTTCATGTCCACAGCCTTGCTTGATAACCACGTTTGTATTTTGGATAATCCTTGTTTCCTCTTTAGAAGAGTGATTTTCTGTTGTAGTTTTTTCCCTGTTTAGTTTCTAGATCCAGCTTCTGTTGCTTTTTTCCTCCCTTTTAGAGTAACTTTAATTTCTTAGTTTTTTTCTAGCTTAGGAGTGCAGTGTAGATAAGTTTGTAGCCTCTTTTTGTTTCCCTCCTTTTGGAGCGTTTTTTTGTTCATAAATTTTCATAGTTATTCCTCTAAAGATTAGAGAAGATCAGTTTACTAATTTGTCCTCCCTTTTGGAGTGAATTTTTGTCCAGTCTTGGTTTGTTTTGTTTTAGTATTTTGTCTGTTTACCATTAGAATAGATATAGAAGGTTTTCATAGCCTATTTATTTATCACTCTATCTCCTGAGTAAAGAAGACGATTTTTCAAAATAAAGCGTTTGTTGATCTTGGAACCTCTGCGTCTGAGTCCTCCCTTCAACCCAGGCCTGACAAACTGTATGGATTTTCAATGGTACATTTCCGTGGACCACTCTACGATAAGCGGTGCGCGTTATGCGAGGTGCATGCAGTTTTCGGCAGACGTGTTTCTTGGCACAACACCGGTAACAACAACAACGATTGAAAAATGAGCAACGAACAAGAGAAAACCACCGAAGATGAAAAGAAAAGCAACGTCAGTTATCTGGAATTATTTCCTTATTCAGGTCATCTGGTGAAAATTCGCATTATACATCGCAGGGTTGAAAAAAATTGCAGTTAGTTTATTCCAGTATCATGCAGCCTTAGTGGCAGCAGATTTTTGTCATTTTGTTTCAGTTTAGATCACAGTAACTAAACAAAATTAATACAAATGGATAATTTTCCAACATTTGTTTTTCACACGCTGCATCTTAAATATTTCACACTCTCTTAACATGACTCTGTCCAACCTGCAGAACTTCAGCGTGAGGTCCTCGGCCTTCAACACCGTCATTGTCACGTCATCACCGAAGAGGAGATAGACTGCTGCTCATGAGGGAAAGATGAACCAAGAGGTGAAGGAGGATTTCTTCTCGGCAGATGAAGCCTTAAATTCAGAAGTTCAGGACTTGGTTGGAGAACTGAGGCATCCTTCAGTTTCCTTATAAACTAACAGCCTCTCTGTCTTTACAGGTGGTCCACACGCTTATTGAAAGCCTCTTCTCCTTATTCAAAATGATCTACCGCATGGCTGAGAACGTGAAGGCCAACAAGGAGCGCTGTGGAGAAATCGCCCAGAGAGTTCGATCCCTGGAGGGATTGATCCTCAAAATCCAACAAAGGGGTTCTGGTCAAATCTGTGTCTCCGTGGAGGACGCTCTGATGGATCTCTGCAGAACTCTGGAGAGCACCAAAGAGTGGATGATGAAATTCACCAAAACCAAACGTGTGGTGAGCTTCTTCAAGTCCGGCAGCCATGAGGAAAAGTTCAACAAGTTGGACAAGAAGCTCACAGAAAACTTCATCCTGCTGTCCGGAGCTCTTCTGATCGAGCAGGGGGACAAGCTGGACAGGGTGTTTGACACACTGACACAAAGGGGATCATCTCAGTATGGATTCAGAGCCCCCATATCCTCCTTCGTTCCTCCTGATCCAACACCAAGCCCTCCAGCTATAATGCTGCCAAACTCTCCAACAACCCTAATGCCTCCAGTGGGACCATCCAATTTCTCCCTGGGCTTGTGCCCCGGTCCTCTGAGTCCAAATCCTGTGATGAATCCAGCCGTCCCACCAACCCAACCCTATATCTTTCCCCCCATCGGTTTCTCCAACACTGCTGTCTACAGTTCGCCGGTATTCTCCTCGGCTGTAAATGTCTCCAACATGGCGCCATTGAACATCAACGGTCTGTTTGGCTCGACGGTCTTTCCACAAAACACTGGAGTAATGTACGTCCTCAACAGGTCTGTTTACTTTTACAAGTAGACCGCCATTAACGACAAAAGTGCTTAAAATAACCGAACATAAACCTACTGATCAGATACACGTGGAAACTATGTTCTCCAATGACTGTTGATTATTGAAGGTTCATGTTTTTTGAGGTAATTTGGCCTCATTCAGTGCCATTGACCGATTTTGATGGATTTTTCAGTTTTTTTGTTTCCCGCCAGAGGGCGCTCCTCATCACCGCGCAACTAAGTTCGGGGTCGTTCTGAACGCAGAAAAGCCGACAAATATGTTGTAACCATGTTACAGTAACAAAAACAAGTACTCCCCAGTGAGACATGTGCGATCAAGTGTGCCCGTCAGCCTGGATGTGAAGTGTTTTTTCTCTGAGTAGGAATTCAGCGACAGTCCCGGCGAGGAGGACGCGAGCAGATGATTGTGTTATAGTTTCAGTGAGTTATTGTTCGTATGTTTGTCAAGCCTGTCATTACGCACATTTAATGAATTTAATAAAGTGAATTTTCTGAAAGCTGGTGATAGTTTTTTTTTTATTAAACTTTAACATCACAGGACATCAGAAAACTGCTGAAATCTTCATCTCGACCAGAATGTGACGGTTATGTTTTCCCTTTTTAATAATAACAAGAGTCCAAAAAAATCCCAAAACTGTTTTTTGCTGCACACAAATTTTAGCATGCTAACATTAGCATTCAGCTGAGGCAGGTACTGAGCAGATCCCCACTTGTAAAGTTATTGATATAATTAAATATATCAAAATAAAACTACAATTATCATTATCGTAAGTCCTTTATTTAAAATGTGTAAAAATAAATCACACTGAAATGATCGAAGTCTGTAAAAAAAAAAAAACCACACTAGATTCATGCACGTGTTGGAAAACCGGGATTTGACTGTAGACATGTGTAATCTGTGCTTCCTGTGGACTGGTTGGCTAAAGTCAGCGAAGGCAAAGATGGAACGCCGTTATTGCGCTCTGTAACAGTCCAAGTCTCTGCGTGGGCTTCATTATATTCCAGCTCCTGGTTTATGGTGGATCTGGGGGGGTCACAGGACTTAGCCTCAGTGGGTTACCGCTGTGCTCTGTGGACAAACTGTGAGACCTCTACATGAAACACATGAGCGGATCTCTGAGTGTCAGGTGGAAAAAAAATAAAACTAACCACGCACAAATCTGTGAGTGTGGTTCTACGAGACGTATGCCGTTTGTTACTCTGAAAACATGTGATAATATAAACAGGTGACACTCTTTAAAAGGTATTTTTATTTTTCATTTGTATTTATTCTTGATTTACAGGAACACAACAGTCAGAAGCAAGAGCAGATTCTTCTCGTACCTACAAGAATAATTGAATCAACAGGAATATTGGTGAAAGCTGGAGAACAGGTGAATTTTTTAGCGACTGACTTGAAGTTGGAGTTTACATAAACCTTCTCGCCTGCTCCTTTCAGAGGGTCTGGAGTTCACATCACTGCAGGACACAGTAGTTCCATTTCATCTGGTGTGCTAGCTTTGTCTGGACTCCCTGCAGTATGTCCTCCTGCCGCTCCAGCCCCTCCTTGTGCTCGGTCAGCTCCCTCTCCCGCTCCTTCAGCCTCTCCTGCAGCTCGTTCAGTCTCTCCTGCTGCTCGCTCATCTTGTTCTCCTGCTCCGTGAGCCTGATATCCTGCTCGTCCAGCTTCTGCCCCTGGTAGATATGCAGGGCCGCAGAGAGCGCCACAAAGGCATCGCTCAGACTTTTGTTCAGGTCGTCAAACTCCTCACTGTAGTTGGTGGATTTCATCATCTGGTTCAGCACATGGTTTTTGTTAAACCTCTGGATCAGGTTCTCAGCGGTTACCAGCACTTCGTTCAGTTTCGCCAAAGCATCCTTCACGTTTTGAGGGATTTGATGGATGTCCTCCTGTTCCATGAAAATGGCCAGTTTCTCCAGAGCCTGGAGTCTCTGGAGAACGTGGGGGCATTGCTCTTTGTTTTTCTTCATCCTCTCGATTAAGCAGTAGATGTTCCAGAAGGGTTTGTAGAGCTCCATGATCAGCCAAAGGGACAAAAAGCTCCTGCAGCAGTCAGACAGTAACACAACTATGATCTGCTCATTGATTCAGAGGGTTTATTCACAGGAAAACATTGTTTTGTTTGAGCTGACCGCCCTGTAAATGCAGACGTACAAACTTACTGTGAAGTGGACGCGGGTGCAGCAGCCTGTTGAATGCAGATGTGTGTGTCTGTTTGGGAGCGTATATGAAAGTTAAACTGAGATTTATCACACGTCTGAGCGTCTGCTGATAAGTTATCATCTGTCCCTCCTCTCAGTGTCTTAAGAGTCCTCAGACACATTTCAGATTTAGACCAAAGATACGTTCTAACATCACACCCTCCTCACTCAACACAAACAGGACCTTGGTCTGTGCAGGTGAGTCCAGGTGAGTCCTAAAGGTCACTGCTGCTCCCGCTCCATTGGAGATAACACACAGTTACACAACTCAGAGGTTTGGTTATCACTTTGTCCTATAAAACTTTAATATCAGAGTCAAGAGTCCTTTTCAGTTGAAGTTTGCCCTGTGCAACACCATATCTGATTTTAATATTCAGACAATCATTGAAACACTAGATTTAAAGTCAAGGAGTGCACAGACAATGAATCAATGTTGAATCTGTTAAAGGGATATTCCGGCAAAAAATTAATTTAGGGTCAGAACAGCAGCTAACTTCATCAACAGGACATATAGGGTCACAGACATAGTACTAGACACCAAACATCTTTTTAACTTTGACTCATTTCTTTAGCAAAGAGACTAAACACAACTCACCTACTCTCTTCCAGCAGACGCTTGTTTGTAGAGAGACCTCAGGCCAGTCCATTACAGACTACAGCGGGGTGCCGCAGCTCAAGGAAGAACATTTATGATCATTTCTTCATGGAAATACAATCAGACCGAGACGCTAAGACAGAAGAACTACCGCGTCTGTAAAATGATTAATATGGTGATTATTACTACAAGGAAATGATAAAGAAATGATCATAAATGTTCTTCCTTGAGCTGTGGCACCCCGCTGTAGTCCGCTGTATAATGGACTGGCCTGAGGTCTCTCTACAAACAAGCGTCTGCTGGAAGAGAGTAGGTGAGTTGTGTTTAGTCTCTTTGCTAAAGAAATGAGTCAAAGTTAAAAAGATGTTTGGTGTCTAGTACTATGTCTGTGACCCTATATGTCCTGTTGATGAAGTTAGGTGCTGTTCTGAGCATTATTTGTGGCTATAGAGTGGCGTTTTGGTTGAGGGCGTGGCTCTCTGTATTTCTATCCTGCGGTCGTTACTAAAGTTGGTATAACTAGAGAAGGAAGCGGTCGACAACATTCATCTCTGGAGGGGGGGGTCTAACTCTGTGTTACGGTGGGTTTGACCCTAAACTTAATTTTATGCCAGAATATCCCTTTAAGTTATATTGTTTAACAAAAAAAACATTATTTTAAATTTGATAGAAGCTTCATGTTTCACACGAAAATTTACAAGATCAACCAAACAGGTCAAAAGTTGAGCAATTCCTAAAAGGTGAATTTTTGTTCCTTTTATTTTGTTTATTCTTCTTTATTTGAATTCATTTCTTCACGTTTGTATCCTCCGTTCTCCTCCACTCTGACAGATCCTCCATCAACATTTCATCAGGAGGCCTCCAGTCCTCCTGCGCCGCACCTCTGCCTCCCACAGGTGAGTTATGGCTCTGCTTCAAGGTTTGAGAAATAAATCCTGGGTGTGTGTCTCAGCAGAAGAGGAAGTGATTCATACAGGAACTGTTGAGCAGCAGAGGGAGGAGGGGACAGCTGACAGAGGCTAGTTTCATTTCCCCGAGCTTCAGCCCTCAACGTTGACCTGCAGAGCTTCACTAACAGGTAAATCTGCTTAAAGTTGGTGTTTCTCTTCTACAGTGAACTCCTCGGCAGACAGAGAGCTTCCTCATGTCTCCTAAAGATCAGCTGTAGATGACGTGTAGTTCTGCTGCTCTTTTAAACACGCGTGTTACAAGTATGTTGTGTGTTTAGAGAGAATCGTTTCACGCAGAGACCCACCCTGAGGTCTGATCAGTGTCCCTGCAAACCTGAGAGGAACCTGACAAACACACAGAGACCAGGTCGACCCTCCAGGGCATCAGGGACAAAAAGAGAGTCTCAACCTCAAACTGGAAAATCAGAGAGGAGGATCCGTCTTCATTTAGGACGAGTTTAACTGCTCATGTGTAAAGATCACACAGCTCAGACGAGTTTGGACCTGCTAAAGATGAAAAAAAGAGAAAGTTTGATATTTATTTAACTCACCGCTGTGTAACATGATCAAATCTGTCTGATAGTTTAAAAAACATTTAAATTTCATGGAAAATCCTCAAACTGAGATTGAAAACGTGCAAAAATATTGAAACTGACGTATTTTATCGCTTTGTGAAAGATACACTCTCTTTAAAACTCGATACCAGCAGCTTATTTCATGACCTGAAGAGTCCTGAAGTAGGGGAGACTGGGTCAAGTTGAGCCAAAGGGTAAGTTGAGCCCCCCCTGTTGCTTGGAAATGGTAACAGAAATTGATCATGTGACCAAATATTTAGGAGATGGTCATCAATTCATGGAGTCTGTGAAGGTTCGAGGCACATGGGTGAAGAGGTTAGACATTTATTTATAAAAAAAACATTTTTCACTCTGTAAAGTGAATTTAGTCTTCAGTCATCAGTTTGATTAGAATTGTGTTCAGACTAAAAAAGATCATTTTAAATTAGTTTTGTGGTTTCTCTGAACTCCAACATGAGGTCAGAAACATTAAAGTCCACCATTTTATCTTAGAGGACTAATAAAGTCATCATAGTCGTTCAGGGGGAACAGAGAAAGTAAAGGAGTCTGAGGAGAGGATCAGAGTTTACCTTCAGACTGTTGAAATGTTTGACCTTTTCTCAAATACAGATCTGTGAATGTTCTCAATCACTTAACTCTTATTTACCCTTTTTACACCCGTTTGTCCTCTTCCGGCTGTTTTTGTCCTCTAACTTTAGCTGCTGTAAAAACATTTCAGAGAGATTTTTATTTATTTTTCTTCTCACATCTCTTCATCAAGATCAGTCCTGATACAAAATACTGAATTTCTAAAAATAGATAGTGGTTTTAACCCTTTAAATGCCAGTTCCAGAGGCGATGTCCCTGATTGAGGGAAAAATAAAAAACACAAAATGACTGATTTTCATTAAAAAAATTATCAGAGGCTGTAGATTTTTTACATGCTATCACACTCTTGGATATGTCAAATATTAGTAACAACATTGAGTTTGATGCATTATTATTTTTTGCGCAGCATCAGATTTTAAATTTTACACCCTGTCGTCCTCTTCCGGCTGTTTTTGTCCTCTAACTTTAGCTGCTGTAAAAACATTTCAGAGAGATTTTTTTTAACTTTTTTTTCTCTTCTCTTCATCAAGCTCAGTCCTGATAAAAAATACTGAATTTTTCAACTTACCCCAAACATACACGGGGTAAGTTGACCATAGGAGACCACTTTTTTTGTCCTGCTATATTCTGAAGATGACAGTTCTGTTTACACTCATTCTGTTGGTTTGCAGGGATGAACAACATCCTGAAATATCTGCAGAGACACGAGTTAGAGACAAAACTAGGATTGACTTGATGTAGAGATCTGAAATATGAAACATGGATCATCTTACCCCGCTCTCCCCTACGTCTTCTGACCAGCTAAAAGTGAGTCGACCGTCAGGAGTGAAAACAGTCGACTCTGCAGCAACAACTTTTACTCACAGCAGGCTTTTTAAAAACCTGTTTGTTTGTTTCTGTTTCGACCTTCCAGAAACACGTTGGTTTGGTTGAATCTAAAATGAGCAGATATATACATATATATTTATTTATTTTTACCGCAGCAGAGAAAGAGTTAGACTGAAATCGTTGGAGTTCAGAGAGAGTTTGGAGTTATTGGACCGAAGTGTGGGAGTGTCAACCTCAGGGGGACGCAGTGATATGTTACACCGTCTTGAATTATTGATGCAGCGTCTCCTCTCTCACCTGAGAGCTGACTCAGCGTTACACACCTCCCTGATTGGATCGGTGGAGACAGCCCTGTGGGAAATTTTCTTGGTGTGTAACATCGACTCGGCTCAGTGTCAGCAGAGCAGGGCGGGTATTTTCACTAAACCTGTTCTGGATCCTTCCTGTCTCTTCCAGTTCTCTCTAATTTACTTTATCCCTGATTTTTCCTCGTGTCTGAAAACGTTCTTGTCTCTCCAGCTGGTCATGGACTTCATAGACCCCATCCTGTCCCTGGCCTCAGAGATCTACGGCCTGGTGGAGAAGGTGAAGGCCAACAAGAAGCGCTGCCACCGAGTTTCGAAGCGAGTCCAAGCCCTGGAGGACCTGGTGAAGTCCATCAAAAAGAGAGGAGAGGGGAAAGTCTCCCCTGATGTGGAGAAAGTTCTCCGGGAACTCTGCATCACCCTGAAGTCGGCTCATGAGCTCATCAGGAAATACACCACGGCCAGCTGGATGGAGCGCATCGTGAAATCGGGCAGCCACCAAGACGAGTTCGACAGCGTGAATGAACGGCTGAACGACGCTTTCCAGGTGCTGTCAGGAGCGCTGCAGGTGGAGCAGAGCAACATCCTGTGCAAGATGTTTGAGGCGACCTCCAGAGAGAAAGAGGACGAGGTGGACGGGAAGGAGGACGACACAGAGATGAAGAAAAGTGAGAGAAAATGATGCTAACTGAAACTGAAATGTACTTTAAAATGCTTGGATGAGTAGGATTATAAAACATGTTTAGATAAAATCACTTCAGGAGCTCCAGACGCCGTGTAGGACTTCCAACAGTCCTCCTGTACATGTACGCTCTCATTAAGAGTCCATTCAAACAGGGGTAACTAAAATGAAATGTGGGTGTATGTTAGTTGGATTATTAGAGGGATATTAATTAATTTAGTCAAACACACCGTAACACCGAGTTAGACCCCCCCTCCAGAGATGAATGTTGACGACCGCTTGCTTCTCTAGTTATACCAACTTTAGTAACGACCACAGGAAAGAAATACAGAGAGCCACGCCCTCAACCAAAACGCCACTCTATAGCCACAAATAATGCTCAGAACAGCACCTAACTTCATCAACAGAACATATAGGGTCACAGACATAGTACTAGACACCAAACATCTTTTTAGCTTTGACTCATTTCTTTCAAATATGATCATAAATGTTCTTCCTTGAGCTGCGTCACCCCGCTGTAGTCCCTAATGGACTGGCCTGAGGTCTCTCTACAAACAAGCGTCTGCTGGAAGAGAGTAGGTGAGTTGTGTTTAGTCTCTTTGCTAAAGAAATGAGTCAAAGTTAAGTCAAGTCAAGTCAAGTTTATTTGTATAGCACATTTCAGCAGCAGGGCAATTCAAGGTGCTTTACATGAAACAAGCAGGCAAAACATTCAACACAATTTGAAAAGTAAAAACAGCGTAAAAGACATTTAACAAATTAAAAGTTACATTCAAAGCTAAAATAAGGTTGGAGATAAAAGAAGACAAAAAGATGTTTGGTGTCTAGTACTATGTCTGTGACCCTATATGTCCTGTTGATGAAGTTAGGTGCTGTTCTGAGCATTATTTGTGGCTATAGAGTGGCTTTTTGGTTGGGGGCGTGGCTCTCTGTATTTCTATCCTGCGGTCGTTACTAAAGTTGGTATAACTAGAGAAGCAAGCGGTCGACAACATTCATCTCTGGAGGGGGGGGTCTAACTCGGTGTTACGGTGTGTTTGACCCTATATTAATTGTACGCTGCAATATCCCTTGAACAGGTTCAGGTGTGTGACAAGCTCTCGAGATTTCAAATGTGGGAATATCAGTCGGGCTTTTCTTTCATAAATCTTTCTTCTCTGAGGTTGAGGTGGGAGACAAAGCACAAAAACACACAGAAGCTCTGAATCTGTTCACCCTCTGGTACAGGAACACTCTTACGGTCTTTATCGGTATCTGGATGTGTGACCTAACCTGGTTCTGTTTGGCCCCTCAGTGCTGCAGGATTACATGAATGAACAGCAGGAGAAAACCAACAAGATGCTGGAAGACTTCCAACAACTCAAAACCAACGTGGAAAAGGTTGTGGAGATGTGTGAGTATCCATCAGGATGAGATATTTAGAAACACCACCAGGTTTGTTTGGATTATGTGCTGAAGGAAACTGATGCTCATTTCATCAGAGTGTGTTTAATCTGCACCAGTTCTGGTTAAATTTACCCTGTAAAGCTTAACTAAGTGACGTTTCATGACTGACTTTCCTCCTGAAGCTGGTCCAGCTGCTGACGGTGGACACGGTGAGTCTGGCTGCTGTGGTTGACGTGTTGAACTCTCCATTTCCTGCTTCTTCTCAAACACACTCGGTGGCTGCTGTGTTGATAACTGAGCAGCTGCAGAACCTTCGTGCAAGAGTTTGGTGTGTTGCAGTGAAATATCCCAAGAGTTAGTCTCTTTGGTGCAAGATTATAACCCTCAGTTTCCACCGCATCTAGAACGGCGGCGATTTTCCCACCCGCCAATTCCTACCGGATCCGTTTGTGAGGCAAATTTGTGGTGGATTTTGGACAGTGGTAATCGTGAGAACTCACAAGAACCCGCAGATTCAATCAGGCGATGACAAGTTGTCTCTATAACGACAGACAAGTAGACATATAAGCAGTAGATTGTGTCCTTCCAGAGGAGGAAATCTACTTCTAGACTTCTAGAATCAGCATCTCCTCATCCATGGTGTCATCGGGGTGAAATGACGTCTAAAAACCTTTCACTTGTTCGTCTCCGCCCGTTTGCATGGTGTGAAATACGTAATATTTACTTTTTTATACTTTTCAAAATGTTTTGAAAAGAAGCTGGATGTTTCATTTTGTGTCTGTGCCCGACTTCCTTTCCAGCACGGGTTAATCTGTGCTGAATTTATCCGCCATGCTCCGGCGTCCAGAAAAAATAGAACTCTTGCGATCAGCTACCGAGTCTGCTGAACCGCAACGTAACGGAAAGAAGCCGGATACAGCCTTTTCGGAGCCGTTCCGGATGTGGTGGATTTTGGGGCTAATGTGCACCGAGGTCTGCAGAGTCCGGCAAACAAACTCCCCAACCTTTCAGGCCTTCCTGGCCGCGCCTTTACCTTCGGTCAGCTTCCCTTCCCTCCTTCTGATGCTCAAATAATTCATTCCTCGTTTTCCGAAATTTCAAACGATGAAGAACCGGAAGCTTAATTTCTCAAACATCACGTCGTCTTCGGTCCCTCCATACAGCCTCCGTTCCTGCAGTCGGTGTGTTTGCTTTCACTCTGCACACCTGCGGCTGCTCTTGACTCCAGGAGGTAACAAACTGTGTGTTGGTTTTGCTGCCTCCATGTCTGCTCAGGGTTCATGGACTGGGTCCTTCATGAATCTGCTCACAGCCGTGTTGTTAGTGATAAATATTTATTTTAACCTAAACCCAGAAACAGTCCGTGATCGTGTGTTTGTCTTCTGCTGACAGTGAACAAACCCAGCGCCACAGATGTGGCCATCCGAATGATCAAACCCGACGAGCTCAAGTACCAGTATCCCAAAGAGCCCTTCATGACCACGCCGACCTCTGAGGTCTACAAAGGGGAGTACCACGGGTTCAAGGTGGCCATCAAGAGATACACCGAGCCCGTGAGCCCCACCCCCAGGTCTGTGACTCTTATAGATTCATCCGTGAGTTGGTCCTCGTGGGTTTTTCTTTTACCTTAGTTCTGCCTGCAGGTGTGAAGTCTAGATTTGTTTCTCACTCCATCTGGAAAAGAGGGATCGTGTCTTTTTAGTTTGAATCTCTTTTTTTGGACTTTTTGGGAGCCTTTTCTCAGTCGGTGTCGAGGTAGTTGGTGTTGCATGCTGTAAAAGTCGGTGAACTCTGTGTTTTTGGGGTTCAGAGGAAAATTGGCTTGACCGGACTAAACTGAGAAACAAACCAGGTCAGTTCCAGAGCTGCTTTTTGGATGGTGAGATCTCACGTGTCCACTGTGAGCGCCTCAGATTGAAGAGGTTAAAAAAAGATGTGGTTAGTGACTCCATCATCATGCCAGGGTAATCTGAAGAGTTGGAATGATGGTTGACGAAAGTCCGTCCCTCCTCCTGTCACATCGTCACTGAACAGGTTTGGAGGAAGGGGGCGTGCAGAGCGATTTAAACCATCCAATAAGCAGCTCTGACCGAGGATGGTAGAAACGTGTGTCCATCAGTGTTTGTAACTTTGCAGAAGTGTCGACTCAACAACAGTCACCGACTCTTCAGGCAGCGACTGGTCCGCTCTGCAGAGGTGAGAAAATCCACTTTCAAGTCTTCAAACCGAGCTCCACCTTTACAGCTGCAACACTGAACAACACTCAAGGGCATAAATGTGACATTTAAGATAAACATATATATTTACCAATGAGGAATGAAGCGGGGTGGGGGGCTGACTTTGAGTGAGTTTCTGATATGTTTTTCTGCTGCTGGGACTGCGACCACAGTCAAACCTCCTTTCACACATGAACTCCTGATCAATTCTGGACAATGTCTGGACATTCAGGTCCTGAGATTTCCCAGAACTTCTTCTCATGCACTTCTACTTTCCTCAAACGGAGATGGTTAAAGGTATGGGGTGTAGAAATTCTCCCTTGCTCACCCCTCCCGTTGGTGAAGCGCCGTGGCCTTTTGAGGATAAGACGTTCCTGTCCCGCATGATTAGTATGATCCTCCATTTGTCACGTTTTTACCATCATCACATGGAAGGGCATGTTTTTCTTGCACTCCCTCCTCAGCAGCCGTTCATCAAATACCAAAAGTTCAACGAAGTTCACGTGTAAGAGGACGAGGAGTCTTTGGTGAAAATGAGCTTGTATCAGTTGCATGTCTCCGATGAGGGTTTTAGCCTCAGTGGATGCTGGGAACTGTTGGGGAGCCGGCACGCAAGCTAGGCTACAGTTTTCTGCATCACCGGCGGAATAAATCGTGTAACATAGCTGATTTTGAGGGGCATTTATCTCGGTTGAAGTTTTTGCTCTGCAGAGAATTTCAATCACACTTTGTCATCAGAGGGCTGATGTACAAAAACACGCCCTCCTGCTTGTTTGTTCTCCAGCAGCTAACCCCGAATTTTCACTGCATCCGGAGCCTCTCCGATCCGGAATGCCAATTCCTACCGCATCCGTTTGTGAGGCGAATTTCGTGGCGGATTTCGGACAGCAGGAATCACATAAGAACCTGTGGATTCAAGTGCAATCACGCAATAACTAGTTGTCTTTAGCCACAGAGGCTAACCATATAAGCAGTAGATTGTGTCCTTCCAGAGGAGGAAATCTACTTCTAGACTTCTAGAATCAGCATCTCCTCATCCATGGTGTCATCGGGGTGAAATGACGTCTAAAAACCTTTCACTTGTTCGTCTCCGCCCGTTTGCATGGTGTGAAATACGATCCTCCTGAAACAGGGAGTGTTTTATTTTGAAAAGAAGCCAGATGTTTTATTTTGTGTCTGTGCCCGACTTCCTTTCCAGCACGGGTTAATCTGTGCAGAATTTAATCGCCATGCTCCGGCGTCCAGAAAAAAATAGAACTCTTGCGATCAGCTGAGGAGTCATCATCACCCTGCTGCATCCACACATCATTTTACCCCGAACTCACACAGACTTTTCACTGAGAGCTGTCTGGATCTAAAGGATTTGAAGGTTTGCATTCACACATGCAGCTCTCCTGGGAAATATCTGAACATTTTCAGGAGTGCACTGTGTGTGAACGGAGCTTCAGAATCAAACTCTGCCTCTCTCTGCTGTAACCAGAATGAAAAGTGAATATTTGAAGATGAGTCAGCAGTAAATCATCTGAATGCTTCGTCAGCTTTGTCATCATATGTGCACAAACATGTACAAACTACACTTTGTGCTTTACGTGCAGAAATGTTTGATTTCCTCGGCTCACGTGAACTTCTTCTCCTCTCACAGGGAGGTGCGCTCTGTCTTTAATAAGGAAGTGGAAACAATGAAGCGGTTTGAGTCTCCTAACATCCTCCGAATGTTTGGCATCTGCGTCCAGGACGAGGAGGGTGAGAAGAGCGAGTATGTCGATTAAAAACATGATGAATATGGTCGCATTAAAGCCTGAGTTTGTGTCCAAATGTCAGGACCCAAGCCTCAGTTCCTCATCATCATGGAGTACTGTGAGAAGGGGAGTCTGCGCGAGGTTCTGGACTCCACCTGCAGACTGTCCTGGACCAGGAAGGCTCGCATGTGTCTGGACGCAGCAAAAGGACTCTACAGGTCAGTCTGTGATGATTACTTTTGAAGTCTGCATCAGGGTCCTTGTACCTCAACACCCCTCTGGGTTCTGGCTCCTCTTACCTCATAGACACCGAAGACTAAAACAAGTCTGGGTTCAGAACTTGAGGGACCCTCTCTCTGGAGTAGATGATGAGAATGATGATCATTGTCTGCTCGTTTCAGGCTGCACCAGACTGAGAAGAAGTCCAAGGTCCATGGATGCATCAACAGCAGCAAGTTCCTGGTGGCGGAAGGTTACATAGTCAAGGTACTGAGCACAATGCATGCTGGTTGCAAGCGCTCATTTAAGGGATGTTCCGGCGTAAAGTTAATTTAGGGTCAAACCCACCGTAACACCGAGTTAGACACCCCCTCCAGAGATGAATGTTGCCAACCGCTTGCTTCTCTAGTTATACCAACTTTAGTAACGACCGCAGGATAGAAATACAGAGAGCCACGCCCTCAACCAAAACGCCACTCTATAGCCACAAATAATGCTCAGAACAGCACCTAACTTCATCAACAGTACATATAGGGTCACAGACATAGTACTAGACACCAAAGATCTTTTTAACTTTGACTCATTTCTTTAGCAAAGAGAATAAACACAACTCACCTACTCTCTTCCAACAGACGCTTGTTTGTAGCGAGACCTCAGGCCATTCCATTACGGACTACAGCGGGGTGACGCAGCTCAAGGAAGAACATTTATGATCATTTCTTGATCATTTCCTTGAAGTAATAATCATCATGTTATCACAGACAGCAGTAGGGCGGCAGTAGCTCAGGAGGTAGAGCAGTCATCCAACAACTGGAAGGTTGGCGGTTCGATGCCCCCCTATATAGGGTTTGTCCCTTGTGTCCTTGGGCAAGACACTTAACCTACCTTCCTCCCAGTGTGTGTTCTCCACTGGTGTATGATTGTGAGTGTTGTGTGGTGGTAGTCGGAGAGGCCGTAGGTGCAAACTGGCCACAACGTTTCTGTCAGTCTGCCCCAGGTCAGCTGTGACTACTAAGGTAGTTTACAACCACCAGGGTGAGACTGTGTGAGTGAATGCATGATGTATCAAATGTAAAGCGCTATATGAAATCTAATGCATTATTATGTTAATCATTTTACTCTGCAGACGTGGTAGTTCTTCTGTCTTAGCGTCTCGGTTTGATTGTATTTCCATGAAGAAATGATCATAAATGTTCTTCCTTGAGCTGCGGCACCCCGCTGTAGTCCATAATGAACTGGCCTGGATAGGTGCATTATTTGTGGCTATAGAGTGGCGTTTTGGTTGAGTGCGTGGCTCTCTGTATTTCTATCCTGCGGTCGTTACTAAAGTTGGTATAACTAGAGAAGCAAGCGGTCGACAACATTCATCTCTGGAGGGGGGGTCTAACTCGGTGCTACGGTGGGTTTGACTCTAACTTAATTTTACGACGGAATATCCCTTTAAGGAGCGACACCAGGGCAATGGGCTGGGAATCTTGCAGATCCTTGGCTCTGGTTTTTGTTGGCAAAAGGAGTAACCGTTGATATTTACCAGGTTGTCAGAGCAGAACTTGTGGTTTTTAGGATTTGGGAGAGTAAACAAGGTCATAACACTGTCGTTGTCGTTGTCTTTCTTCCAGCTGGGAGGTTTCGAGTTGGCGAAAACAGAGACGTCCCTGAAAAGGTCAGCAAAGGACAAAGAGAGCCGGTCGGTGTGTTACTCGTCCCCACAGATGCTCAGCGACATCAACCACGTCTACAGCAAAGAGTGTGAGATGTACAGGTCAGAATCCCGGATGTTGACGAGTTATGAGGCTGTGATCCACAGTAGAAGTGAAACAACATGAACTTTGGTAGATTTCAAAATGTCTCATCTCAACATCTTTGTCTCTCAGCTTCGGGATCGTCTTGTGGGAAGTCATGACCCGCAAGAAACCTTTTGACGGTGAGTATCGGCAGACACACAGATCCACATCAGGAAATTGATAAAAGGTTAGCGTTTGGCCACAGGGGGCGCCAAAATCCACACAACAACAAAGTTTCTCACAGGAACTTAAGGTCTGATGAACATTTTAAAACTGTAATACACCAGATAATTATCAATTTGTGGGGGTTTTTTTATATATAGGTTGGAGCAGCAAGCAGATTTATCAGAAAGTGTGCAAAGAGCAGTACATGGAGCCGCTCCCTGACGACTGTCCTCAAGAGCTGGGAAGTCTGATCATCGACTGTCGGGCTTACGACAGCTTCAAGAGACCGTCTGCTGGATGTAAAACACCATCACTTAGATCTGGTCATTGAGTAAATTCAGACCAGCTTCATTTTCATGATGCGCTCAATAGTTATGAATAATAAAACTGTGGCTGTCTTTTGTCTCCTGCAGTGCTGGTGGATAAACTGCGCAGCGTGGTGGCTCAGCTGGAGGAGCAGGACAACTAATAGGTCTATGATCATCATCAGGAGGTGGTTTTATCCAGGAAAAAGACAAAAAAAAAATGAAACAAAATAATCATGTGACAGTTCCCTGATGTGTTTTTTTAACTGCCTCTATAATTTCACATTTTCTTTCAAATTTTAAATAATTCAAAAATAAGCAAAAAGTTTGGGTTCGGCTTCATGCGATGGTTTCTGGTTCTGACTCTCGATGTAAACCGCACAAACATTTAAGGACGAGAAGTTTTCACTGACCTTCAACAACACTTTACTAAACTCAAAAACTTTTCATCACAGAGATTATTTTGTGAGACAAACACACACACACACACACACACACACACACACACACACACACACACACACACACACAAAAAGATTTTTGATGAACTGAAATATTTCATAAAACATGAAAAAACGTAAAATTACAAAAAATATATCTCATGAAATACAAAAATGCTACAAAGTGCAAAATGATTTCATTGAAGAAAAACAGAAAATTCATAACTTTTGCAGATGTAAACAAGTTTTGTTTATGATGTGATTGAATTCTCTGAGAACATAATATGGCTGAAGAGCAACAGCCAACAGTTGAATATCTGGTCAAGAGTGAAGTTACACGAGGGGGAGTTTATGCTGCCTTGGGGTGTTTCCCAGGGGTATCTTGAGAGTCTTGTTTGCTATGTGTTTGTTGTATCTCTTTTATGGTTCCTGGTCTAAATGGTCCAGCTGTCTGGTGCCCTGCAGGTCTCATTCCAAAGTTAGTTCCAAACCAGATGGTTTAAGTTTAAGAGATGATGCTGTAACAGGAGCTACACCTCTAAACCCTATATAACAGGAGCAGAAACTGGGAGAGTTCTGGGAGGTGGACATTATGGGCAGTCGTCTCCCAGTATCTGCAGAGCTGTTTTGATACTGGTGTTGTCTTTGTAATAAATATCTATTATACAAGCAAGCCAGTTTCACAAAGCCTCCTTCTGCATCTACACCATAGACTGTATACAGAATAGATGCACTCTGCCTCCTCGCTGGGTGAAGCCACTCTGAGAACAGCACCCTCTGGTGACTGTTTGCAGTATAGGTCATAAATCCCGCCTCCACCAGCAAAGTTTATGGAGCTGTGGACAAACTAAAGAAATTAATGACACAGAATATAAATGTTTCTTCCCCCTGGTTGTGATGTTGACATGTAGTTACTGTCAGACTGGTTTGTGCTCAAGTCCTCTTTTTTCTGTACAGCTACATTTTTAAAAGTTATTAGGGGGTTCATGTTTGCTATGATTGACACTTAGTACAGCCTGTGGGCGTATGAAGACTGCGTAGCTCACGGGGGATACACTGTTTGAGCCGAGCGTCATCACAGCGACTCTCCTGCCAAATGCGTACAACTACTACTACGCAATGTTGGTTTCAGTAAGTGGAGAAAAATCACGAAAAAACTGAGAGCTTTTCAGATTCAAATCCCTCCTGCTGTGCAATGTGCACTGAGTATCCAAAGTGCAGGTAGTTGTGGGTCAAAACAATGTCGCAAAAAAGGACAAATCCTTCAGGAGCAGAGAAAAGAAAGTGGAAGAAGAGAAAAAACGCCAAAATAGAGGTATGTTTGCATGTCAGGGAATGTTAATCAAAGAGATTTGTAAAGGTGTGTGAATGATCAACAATCAATATTATTGGCAGAAACAGAGGCCCCCCCAAATTAAATTTAGCTTAGGGCCCCATTGAGGCTTGGGCCGGCTCTGGTCCGATCTATCTTCTGACTGAGTTCTTCGTTCGTCTTTTTTTTTTTTTTTTTGGTTCGGGTGATCCATCTTCTCACTGAGTTCTTCGTTCATCTTTTCTTTTTGGTTTGTGTGATCCATCTTCTCAACAAACGATCTCCGGCTGTGACGTTCCAACAGGATGGGGCGGGCAGAGGGAACTGGCGCCGGGAGATTCGAGCCTCGACCCGCGGTTCTGACCGCTGTAACACATCAGTGTGAACCGAAACCGACCCGCACACCCACCGCATGTAGAGGCTGCTTAATGTTCATGTATGTAGCAATGTTGTCACCGTGTTTTACCTCTCCGAGCGGGAACCTCAGCTGCTGAACCTCCACGTCCGTACAGGTAGGATCATCCCACCGCGATGATGCTAACGCTGCTACCCGGGCAGCGGCGAGACATGTCGGTTACCTAACTGAGCTAGCTGTGCTAACCAGCGGAGCAAACAGAACCATTCACTGAGTATTTTTTAATAACAACAACAAAACGTTTTCTTCTTTTGTCATAACTGTAAAGTATTCTGACTTTGATGAAAACTTGATTTTTACCGTTAAACGCTTTTGTCACCTACATCACCTCACCGATGTGAGCTAGCTTTTAGCTCAACTGTCAGTGGTTATCGGGGGTCAGAGGAGACATTTGTAGCTCAGTTTATTTTATTTTTAATATGAGGCTCCAGTCCGTTTTTATGTATGTATAACGAGTTTTTAGTTCCGATGATATTCCGAGCAGTAAGGCTACAACAGCTGCAGTTTAGCACCGAGGCCTCGGTTCCCTCCTCGGTGTCGATTTGGGGGTGAAGTCGAAGAACGTAGCACCCATTCCGGGGGATAAGTAACGGGTGATTTAAACAATCCCAGTTGACAAACGAACAAAAGACACAGGTTATTTTTCTGCTAGGCTTTTATTTATTGATGTAACAGGGGTAGCAAGAAAAAAACTAGACAGTGAAAGAATAAAAATAAGTTTTTATGTAACCTTTGGTAACCAGGCTGAAAAAAGCTCCACATGGTTTTTCATAAAACATCACGGACAAAAATTAGTAAAATGGCATAAACATGAGAAAAATAACATACATTTTTATAAGGTAAAATCTGCATTGAATTGTAATTTATTGAAACTACTTTATTCTTCTCTTATTTTTGCTCTGGTGTCAGAGTTTAGGGACGTACATATTTCACAAGGATAAGACCACTGATTATGTTACAAAACAAGGCAGTAAGAATGATTCATAATGTAGGATACAGAGAACATACTAACAGATTGTTTATTAAATCAGGAATACTGAAATTCAAAGACTTAAAGCAAAAAATAGAATATTTGCAGAAAGTAAACAACAGCTGTTTGATATCAGATCAGATGATGGAGAACCAAAGAGGACATTTCATATTAAACATCCGTTTGAAGCAGATGTGTATCTCTGTAGTGAGAGTTAAACTATGAAACTGTCCAAGTAATGAATTAAAGACCTGTACAAATGTGTAACAAGCCAAGAAAAGGTTAAAGGAAAATGCAATTAGAAATTATGATAAAAGTGACCGATGATTGTTGTAGAAAAGTCAGCCTGAAATGCTGTCTTTTATTTATATTTAGTATTATGCTTGTTTCATTTACTTTATGGTACGACTACATTATAGCTCAGTGACCGATAAGTCCATTTGAAACTCTGTTCTGTTTGTTTTGTTTTGTGAATGTTGCTCAGTGATCGATTATTATAACAATTAGACATTGAGTGAAGGGTTAGGTAATATACAATGTTTCTTCTCCCTGCTCCTGTCCAACCAACGGATAAGAAATGTTGCGATGTGACATGATATTGTCAAATTGAGAAATTGCCTTGGCTGGAATAAATAAAGAAAGCAAGAAAGAAAAAAGTATCCCAAGTCCCTTCAGGCTAAGTTTGTAACTATTGGCAGAAATAAAAAGATTCAAGATTCAAGCTTTTTATTGTCAGTTTCTGCCATATGTGAGGACATCCACGGGAATAAAGAAGATAGTAGTAGTAATAATAATAATAACTGTATTTGTAGAGCACTTTTAAAAACAGACGTTTATAAAGTGCTTTGACAAACAGTCAAAAAAGCACATGGAAATAAAGACAAATAAAAACAGAAATCTCAGATAAAACAGAATCAAAGGTCATTTTCATTTGTCATAAGGAACCCAGACAATATAAGAACCATGCAACATAAAATGAGAGCATGAGGACCAAAATAAAAACATAAAATAGTCAAGAAAAAAGTGGAAAACAGGATAGTAAAAATAAAAGACAATATCAGCAATGATAATAAAATAAAAACAGGTAATACTGCTAATAATAGTAATGATAAAATAGAGCAACAGAAATGAGGGAGAGATAAAACAATAAAAGGCCTAAAAGGTTAAAGAAGAAAAGAGTACAAGTTTAACAAAAGCTAAAAAGACAGTAAAACTGATATAAGATAAAAGAGATAAAAGATGTTTCTCGGTGCAAAAAAACAGAGAATGATAAAATAATAATAAAAAGCATTTCCCGCTAATGTTGAGGAGGAGGACACAACGTTCACGTCAATGATTCAGTTTTCTCAGCTGACAAGGAGAGAGGTCTGACTTGGTGAAAAAAACAATTATGAGTTTAGTTTGATTTAACTGTGATTGTAAATTAATGGGCGTCTTACTGCTCTCATCAGTGTTTCCCGGTGTTTTTAAAGCATCCTCTACCTGCAGTGACTCCTCTCTGACTCCTCTCCTCCAGGTGAACGCTTAAAAAACTGTCACTGACGAGAGAGGTGGGAGTTCAAACCATCAGGGCTGAAATCAGTGTGAATAAAGACCGGTCATTTCTCTGTGTCTGCTTCAACAGCGCAGTAGAGCAGTAATAACCGCTCTGTAGAAACAACAGTGAGGCTCACTGCTGTGTCGTGGTTTGTGTCTTGATCAGATGAGACCCAAAAAACTGTGCCGACCCTTACACTCATCTCCTCTGCTCCTGCACAGATGGAGGCCATGGAGGTGGACTCCCCTGTGGAGCCACAGGGTGGAGGCAGCGGGCAGCCCGTTGTTGCTGCACATGGGGACGTGGGCGCGCCCGCCATCATCCTAGATTCTGGCAGCAGCACGGAGGTGGATGAGGATGAGGATGATGACAGTGACAGACAGACGGCAGCCGCCCCGCCCCGTCTCATCTCCACCTGGGCGTTCAGTCAGAGGGCAGTGGGCGGAGCTGCAGCCTCACCTTCAGCAGCTCAGGGGGCGCCCATACGGAGGAGAGTCAGGTACACACAAGAGCGACAAAACAAAGTTGAAGACATAAGAGGAAGTGTTTTTTTTATTTTAACCCTTTATGTGCTTCTTTAGACAAGGCCTTAGGGTTCACTACCCCAGCCAGACCGCAGCGCCCTCTAGAGGCTTTCCAGACTTCCTGCTCCGGGCGCCGGCTGCCAGTGTGGCTGAACCGGAGTCTGGCAGCACCACCGAGGTCAGTGAGTCTGATGAAGAAGAGGAGGCAGAGGGGGGTGAAGCAGGAGTGTCTGCTGCTGTGGAGCCCGTCAACCCTGTGCAGCCTGTTAGCCCTCGCCCCAGTGCCTCCATCCAACACACGCGACCACAGGAAGCTGCTCCAACCAGTGAGTCTGAGGACAGGCCTGACATTTTACTCCAAAATCACCACTAATTTATGAGCTGTTGAAGTCAGAGTGAAAACCCCGTAGTTTCCGATGTTTAGACGGTCTCTTTTGTTTTCTGAGGGTTCAGTTTGATTCAGTTTCTCCGTCTTTTCAGGCTCCAGTCCGGCTGCAGACGCTGAGAGGACAGACGCTCCAAATCAGAACGTCCAGGTACCAGTCAGACTCTCCCTCATCAAATATCCTCCTCGCTCTTCAAAGATATCTAACTTTGAAAACATCAGAAAGTAGTAGAACACAGATACAGGAGAGGTAGTGATTTAAATCTGGTCTTTAAAATGTTTCCATGTTTGAAATTCTCTCCTCGTGTTCTCATCCAGCCCGCCCCGGCAGCCTCAGCGCCTGCACCGCCTCCGCAAACCGAGGAAACAGGAGAGGGCGACACCTGCTCCATCTGCTTCGAGCCGTGGACGACGGCGGGCGATCACAGACTGTCTGCTCTGCGCTGTGGACACGTCTTCGGCTACACCTGCATCCAGCGCTGGCTGAAAGCTCAGGGCTCGGCCGGTAAATGTCCTCAGGTCAGTGAAGGACGGGAGCTTCAGTCACGTCTCCGTATCTGGTGTCGCGTCCCACATTTTAGTCCTGGTCCTGACGGGTTTTTGTTTCCCTTCAGTGCAACAAGAAGGCGAAACGCTCAGACATCTTTCTGCTGTACACGCCGAAGCTGAGAGCGCTGGACAACTCCGAGCAGGAGAGTCTAAAGAAGTGAGTGACGATCCCTCTGACCCTCCAAAATAAAAGCTCTCTAAATGTCCCCCTGCTGCACCACTAACATGCTGACCTTCCAAAATAAAAGCTCTCTTCATGTCCCTCCGCTAAACCACTAACACGCTGACCCTCCAAAATAAAAGCTCTCTTCATGTCCCTCTGCTGCACCGCTAACACGCTGACCCTCCAAAATAAAAGCTCTCTTCATGTCCCTCTGCTGCACCGCTAACACGCTGACCCTCCAAAATAAAAGCTCTCTTCATGTCCCTCTTCTGCACTGCTAACACGCTGACCCTCCAAAATAAAAGCTCTCTTCATGTCCCTCTGCTGCACCGCTAACACGCTGACCCTCCAAAATAAAAGCTCTCTTCATCTCCCTCTGCTAAACCACTAACACGCTGACCCTCCAAAATAAAAGCTCTCTTCATGTCCCTCTGCTAAACCGCTAACGCGCTGACCCTCCAAAATAAAAGCTCTCTTCATGTCCCTCTTCTGCACCGCTAACATGCTGACCCTCCAAAATAAAAGCTCTCTTCTTGTCCCTCTGCTGCACCGCTAACATGCTGACCCTCCAAAATAAAAGCTGTCTTCATGTCCCTCTGCTGCACCGCTAACATGCTGACCCTCCAAAATAAAAGCTCTCTTCATGTCCCTCTGCTAAACCACTAACACGCTGACCCTCCAAAATAAAAGCTGTCTTCATGTCCCTCTGCTGCACCGCTAACATGCTGACCCTCCAAAATAAAAGCTCTCTTCATGTCCCTCTGCTAAACCACTAACATGCTGACCCTCCAAAATAAAAGCTCTCTTCCTGTAAAAACCTGATTTCACTCTTAAACGCTGAAGAACAAGAAGAAAAATCTGAAACTTAGCCGTGATAAAGACAAAGAATAATACTGTGTACATGTGTGTGTGTGTTTGTGTGCGTGCGTGTGCAGGTCTCTGGAGCAGGAGCAGTCTCTGAGGAGGAAAGCTGAACTGGAATCAGCCCAGTATAAACTCAAACTTCAGGTGGTCACCAGTCAGTACGGACAAGCACAACAGGAGCTTCAGGTACGAGAGCCGAGTGTTTGTGATTTCTGGAATCAAATCAGAGATTCAGTCACGGGGAAGTTTGAAGAAGTTTGATAAGACGACAAATTTTAGGAGATCAAAGTGAAAGAAAGAAAGAAAGAAACATCTCCGTCTGAGGACTGAAAACATGAGAGTACAGACCAATGATTTTCCCTTCAGGGATCAATAAAGTTCTTCGTCCTCCTCCTCCTCCTCCTCCTGCTTCTTCTTCTTCTTCTTCTTCTTCTGTTATTTTTGCTCATTTCTTAAATTAAAACTTCATATTTTTTAATCTTTGGACGTCGTCTATCTCTTCGGACTTCCAGCACGAACACAACATTTGACAAAACTCCGACAAAGAGATGAAACAAGCGTCATCACTTTGGTTTTAGCCTCCCGTCTTCTTGGTTCTTCGATCACAGTTTCAGTTCAGTGGATTCTGGTTCTGCTCGTTCTGGTTCTTGGAGATCCTTGAGTTTGATCCTGTTGAGTAAAAAAAAATCATCCAAACTCCTCGTTTTCAGTTTTCCTTAAACCGAGTGAATCATCAGCTCAGAGCCTCTGGGAGGTTTGATGATGATGATCGCTGAATTGTCCCTTCTCTCTTTCTGTCCCTGCAGGAGTTGAGGTCTCTGATGGCTCAGGCCGGCAGGAGCTCCCTCCCCTCTTCCTCGTCGTCCTCCTCCTCCTCCTCCTCGGCGTCGACCTCCCTGTTCCTCAGAGCGTCTCAGCGGGCCGACGGCTCCAGGTCGGGTCAGTACGGCTTCTCCAAGGCGGTGCTGGTTTCACAGAACGGAGGCTCCAGAGTTTTATCCTACTGCGAACCTCTGAGCTGCCTGCTGGCCTCGCAGCTCTCCCAGCACGCCACGCTGGTGCCAGGTCAGACCCCGCCCACCTTTGCTTTGTCTCTCTCTCTCTCTCTCTTTCTCTCTTTCTCACCTGTCTCTCTCTCTCCTCCTCCTCCAGGTTACGGGGTGAAGAAGGTGAGCGTGGTCAACATGAAGGCGAGTCAGTACGTCCCCATTCACAGCAAACAGATCCGAGGTCTGGCCTTCAACAGACAGAACGACAGTCTGCTGCTGTCCGCTTCTCTGGACAACACCATCAAACTGACCAGGTAACACACGCACACACACACACACACACACACACACACACACACACACACACACACACACACACACACACACACACACACACAGCCGTACAAAGTGCTCGGTTTTATATTTTCGTTTTATTTCTTGGTTTGTCCTGATAAAATCAAATTCTGTCATGTGACTCTTGGGCTGACTGAGTGTGTGTGTGTGTGTGTGTGTGTGTGTGTGTGTGTGTGTGTGTTCTGCAGTCTGCTGACCAACACTGTAGTTCAGACCTATAACGCAGGTAAACCCGTGTGGAGCTGCTGCTGGTGTCTGGATAACAGCAACTACGTCTACGCCGGTCTGATAAACGGCACCGTGCTCGTCTACGACACCAGAGACACCAGCACACACGTGCAGGAGCTGCTGCCGCTACGCTCCAGGTACACACACACACACACACACACACACACACACACATGGGGACATGCAAAGGGCTCGAGTACACACGTTTAACATCAACCTTGAATTCCTGGTGTCTCCAGGTGTCCGGTTGCATCTCTGTGCTACATCCCGCGGGCGGCGTCCAGCTCCTTCCCCTGCGGCGGGCTGATAGCCGGCTCTCTGGAGGGCGGCTGTTTTTGGGAGCAGGTCAATGAGACCACCTACAGGCCGCACATGCTGCCGCTGGAGTCCTCGGGCTGCACCGACATCCAGGTGGAGACGGAGAGCAGACACTGTCTGGTCACCTACAGGCCAGGTGAGACCAGAACCCAGATCACCGAAAGATTTGAAAACACCAGAAGAGGACGAACCCCCAATTTTCACCGCATCCAGAACGGCTATGATACGGCGATTTTCGCTGTCCGCCAGTTCCTACCAGATCTATTTGTGAGGCGAATTTTGTGGAATCGTGAGAACTCACAAGAACCCGCAGATTCACGTTCAATCGCGCGATAACTAGTTGTCTCTATAAAGACAGACACATAGACATATAAGCAGTAGATTGTGTCCTTCCAGAGGAGGAAATCTACTTCTAGACTTCTAGAATCAGCATCTCCTCATCCATGGTGTCATCGGGGTGAAATGATGTCTAAAAACCTTTCACTTGTTCGTCTCCGCCCGTTTGCATGGTGTGAAATACGATCCTCCTGAAACACGGAGTGTTTTATTTTGAAAAGAAGCCGGATGTTTTATTTTGTGTCTGTGCCCGACTTCCTTTCCAGCACGGGTTAATCTGTGCTGAATTTATCCGCCATGCTCCAGCGTCCAGAAAAAATAGAACTCTTGTGATCAGCTGTGGTGTAAATTGACACGTTAACTTGAATGTTTACGATCAGCTACGATCGGAGGATACGACCTTTTAGTAGCCGATCCAGATGCGGTGGAAATTGGGGGTAAAGGTGTCAGTCTTGCATGACGTGTGCATTGTCTCCTGCAGGGCGCTCGAACCCGTCTCTGCGCTGTGTCCTGATGGCTCTGAACCGGACCCCTCAGCAGGACTCCAGCCAGCTGCCCAGCTGCTCCTGCTCTCCGGTGCAGACGTTCAGCGCCGGCCCGTCCTGCAAACATCTGACCAAGAACGCCGTTTTCAAGAATCCAGGCGGAGGAGGGATGCTTGTTTGCGCCGGGGACGAGGCCTCCAACTCCACCATAGTGAGTCCGGACTTAATGGGAATGTGTGCTTTTATAGTTGTGTGTGCGTGTGTGATTAAATCAGCTGATCTGTTGGTTGATTCACACTTCCCACATGAGTTTTATGTATTTTGGGATGTATTTACTCCATGATCAGATGTTGCTTTCATGGAAATGCACCATTTAACTCCATTTACCTTTAGATATTCATTAATGTTAACAGATCATTGCTAAATATATGTCAGCAAAAGAAAATAAGGGCTTAGTTTTAGGGTCGAGAACATTTGCAAGAGTCACAACTTCAGTGCAAAAGCAAAAAAAAAATTATCACAGTTGGATTATTCACTTCAACTTTTTGGCTTTTGAGAGTCTGCAGACAAAAATCCTAATAAATCTCAACTGTGTTCAAACTACCGCAAAAATGTCTAGAGAGAAGCAACTGAGTGAAGAAACAAAAGTACAGATTTGTACATCGAGGAAAGAAGGATACACAGGAAGAGAAATTGCAAAACGCCTATTAGGAGAATTGTTTGAAGTAAAGGGTATCATGAAGAAGGAACAGTACCACTCCATCCTCCAGCACCATGCTGCTCCATCTGGACTCAGACTTGTGGCTCATAAGTTTGTTTTGGAGCAAGACGATGACCCTAAGTACTCTGCCAAGCTCTGTCAGGGTTACCTCAACAAAAAAGAAGAGGAAGATGTTCTTCAAAAGATGGTTTGGCCCCCTCAGTCTCCAGACCTTTCTCCAATTGAGCTTGTGCGGGATGAATCGGATCGACTGGTCAGAAAAACGCGTCCCACGAATCAGCGTCTCTTTTTAATGAACTTAAGAAAGCTTGGAATGCAATCCCTGAAACATACCTTAAAAAACTTGTGGAACGAATGCCTGGTATATGCAAAGCTGTTGTTAAAGCCAGAGGAGGTTACTTTAAAGAAAGTCTAAGCAACAATAACTCAGATACCTCATAATTATAGTCAAAATGTCTTCTGATAAGTTTTTCTTTAGATAATTATCAGGGTTTTTTTGTTGCAAAGTATTACGATCTTTTTTTGTTCAAATTTGATCTTGCTTCCAAACTTTTGGCCTGTAGAGTAAACTGTGTTCGGCTATAGAGTGTCATTTTGGTTGGTGGTGTGCCCCAGGATTTGGTCAATGTAAAAAATGTGCCGTGGCTCAAAAAAGGTTGAAAAACATTGATGTAAAGGACAAGATAAGCAAAGACAGATCTGTCCACAGGGGGGCGCCAAAATTCACACAGGTCTAAAGTTCCTCACAGGGGCTTTAAAAAACTATAGAAATCTTAAATGATCTTTTTCAGCCTCACTAATCCTGCTGTTCTTTTTCTCCTTTGCTCCCTCTTTTTGTCGTACCTCCTCCTTCTCCTCCTCCTCCTCCTCAGGTGTGGGATGCAGGTAGTGGCTCCATGCTGCAGAAGCTCCCGGCTGACCTGCCAGTGTTGGACATCAGTCCGTTCTCGGTGAACGGCGAGCACTACCTGGCTGCTCTCACCGAGAAGATGCTGAAGCTCTACAAGTGGGAGTGAAGCATCCAGACTTTGAGAAACCCTCTCCCACAGTCTGAGAGCACGAGGAGAGTCTGTGTGAGGCTGTGGAGAAACAAATGCTGCTCAACTTTTTATCCTTTCAGACACGCAAAAACAAAAACAACTCATGATGAGGGGTGATGCTTGAAGACACGTCTAACCTGAACCATCATCTCCAGTTTTTTTGTTTTTAACCTAACAGCTGTGAGGAAGCCAAATGAAGCCAGTCCAGTTTGTTGTTGTTGTTGTTGTTGGAAGATCCCCTGCAGAGTCACAAGATCAGGTTCATGTGAGTCTTAAACTATCGCAGACCTGTTACTGCAGCAGCTGCATCTCTTCAAGTTCAGAGCCACCAAACCCCTTTGACAAAAACAGTGATTTAACCTGTTGGAGTACAGGAGTGCCCTCTATCCTGCTACCTGAAAGTTGATCTTTATTGTGTGTTTCGCTAGTTTGGGTTTGAACTTGCTGATGTTATCTTCCAGTAATAAATATGAACTAAACAGCTGACTGCTGTGTTCCTCAAGGTAAAAATGACAGTTTTATTAATGGGGTTTGGTGGAGAGATGTAACCACTGCTCTCATGTTTCCCTTTAAGCAGGTTTGTTTTATTCCTTTTGAATGTTTTCTCCTCTCCGACTTAATTTATAACATCTTCTCTCAGTTTTCTCTCATTTCAGTTTCTTTTTTATTCAACTTCGAACATTAAGTGCCAAAAGACTCTGCCGATGTACGTTTCGCTTTCCTTGTTCTCTTTTTAAAGATGTATATATGTATATTTGGTACAAACTGTTTGTGTACGACTTCAAAGTGAATAAAAACTATGACTTATTTTCAGCTAAACTTCTCTGAGTCTTTCAGGTGTTTTATGGTGTCATTTGCAGGAGTTAGTAACTTTATTTTCCTCGTTTTTTTCCCCCATTTTTAACTTCTGTCGTGGCTTTTTAAACATTTTTAATCTGCACTGTTTCTTTTTTAATTTGCAGCAGGCTTCAGTTTCTTTTTACATCGGTCACTTCCTTTGTGACTCCTTTTTTTTGTATTCTTTTTTATTTGCAGCAGTGGCGGTTCTCGGCCACCGTTATATTTATAAAAATGTTTACATAGTCCGAGCTATTTTGGAATTAGAGCAGCGCCCGAATCACAACAAGATAGCTCGAGGAGCACGGATGTGATGATGTTGGTCAAAGACCAGCTGTTATCAATTCAATTCAATTCATTATATCTTTATTCATCCCCTAGAGGCAACTGAAAAGCAGCAGCTGAACAAACATTAAAATAGAATAGAGAAAAAGGGGAAAAAAGTATAAAATCAGTATAAACGGAATAAATAAATAAATACAGCTGCTCAATATAAAATACACAATATCAACAATAGAATGTAAAATATACAAAATGTACAATAAAATGACAGTATTACAACGGTGCCAAGTAGTCAGGGGGGAGGGCATATTGGTGTGGTGATGGAATTAGTAACGGGAGCTGAAAAGCAGAGCGGCTTTGGTGACAAAAGTGGTTTTCCTTCTTGATGCAGCGCAGACGCCGCTGAAATGCGGGGTGAAGTATATGAGAGGGGTCGTTAATGATTTGAGCCGCCTGTCTGAGGGCTTGTTGGATAAAAACGTGGGCCAGAGTTCTGACAGGCACGCCGATGATAGGCTGAGGGAGTGAAACCAGCAGGTTATGGAAAAAGTCATGACGCTTTCAATGGAGGTGTAGTGGAAGGTGGTCATGATGGGTGTGCTGACTCCAAAGGAGGTACAGCCGTTGGTGACACCTCTTGAGGATCTCCTCTGTGTTGGCAGAGAATCTCAAGAGGTTGTCAAAGATGGTGCCCAGGTATTTGTATTCCTCCTCCACCGGCTTCCCGTGGATGATGGTGGTGACTGCAGCAGCCGGGTCCCTCTGCCTACTGGAGAAGGTCAAGGTTATGTGAACATCTTTAATCTGGCCAAAGTTTGGAATTAATAAATTATCCTCACTATACAAAAGCAAGTTTTTAATCAGTCAGTGTAGACCAGGACCAACTAATTTTTACATGGGGCCACATGAGAAACCTTAACTGTGAGGGCCGAACCAACAATGATTTAACTTCAAATCAGGGGAGTTCACACATACAGAAAAGCAATCCCAAATAAGCAAGAGTTTTACAAGTGACTTCTGAGAGAAACAAGCCTAAAGTCGTTTATAATAATCGGACTTGACAACTATAAGGCGTCTACTTATATTTTGCCGATGTTTAAACTTGTCTCTGTTCACGAATGCAGATTTAGGATGTACGCATGAGCGTCCAAACAGAAATAAAACAATGGCTACGTTTTCAAAATAAAGAAAATCACTTGCATAGCATGTTGATAATTTGTTTGACAGATCTCACGAAGGGCCGGGCAGGGACATCCAACGGGCCGGATGTGGCCCTCAGGCCGTAAAATGCCCAGGTCTGGTGTAGACCATAGACTGTTTATAAAAAAGTATATAGGGGAGAGTGGGGTAAGTTGATCCACCTCCTGTTGCTTGTAAATTGTCAAAGAAATGATCATGTGACCAAATATTTAGGAGATGGGCATCAATTTCGAAGCACATGGATGAAGGGGTTAGACATTTATTTACAGAAAATTTTTCACTCTTGAAGGTTAATTTAGTCTGTCTGAAGTTTGATTAGAATTGTGGTCAACTTACCCCAAACATACACGGGGTAAGTTGACCACTGTGTTATGTTCTGTTTACACTCATTCTGTTTGTTTGCAGGGATGAACAACATCCTGAAATATCTGCAGATACACGAGTTAGAGACAAAACTAGGATTGGCTTGATGTAGTGATCAGAAATACGAAAAAATGGATCATCTTACCCCACTCTCCCCTATTCCACTGAGATGTCTGTAAACATTTAGTGTCAACATGTGTAGATTCTGAATGGAACATCATATCCGCCTTCAACACTTAGGACCACCGTGAAAATTACGTTTCCATGGTGACCGTGTGATTAGATGACTCAGAGCATGAATCTACACGCGCTCATTAATTATTCATGAGAGAGAGAGGGAAAAAAATCCGTTTGCAACTTTACTCCTAGTTCCCATATTTCCGACAGGTCGTGAACGCAGCAGCAGGCTGACTGGCTCTGTGAAGATGGCGGACTGTATACGTGTTCCTCTGCTCCTGCTTCTCATGTGCATCTTATCGGTTTTGCATCCCGTTCAAGGACAAATCAACGTTGCCGCAAAACTCGCCGCCAAAGCTGATAACCTACAGAACCCAGCCGGTGGACCGGGGCCGGCTGCGGTGATCCCCGGAGCCGCTGAGAGGAACCCGGGGGCCGGGGCCTCGCTGCCTCGGAGGCGCTCTGCCGGCTGGAAGTTGTCTGAGGAGGCGGTGTGCAGGGAGGACCTGACCCGGCTTTGCCCGAAACATTCCTGGAACAACAACCTGGCGGTGCTGGAGTGTCTACAGGACAGGAAAGAGGTAAAGAACCGTGACACGCTCCTCTGATAGCAGGGAATTAAGCAGGGTGTGCCTGATGAACGGACGAGCTAACATTAGCTGCCACGGTTAGCCTGTCGCTAGCTTTTGCGTTGAGAGAACGTCAAACCAAATCCCGGTCAAAAAGATTTGCGTTTTTCGTTCATATGGGAGTCTTTAAAAGTACACGCTCTGTTACAGAACAACAAAGATTTCAAACATTTAACAAGGATCCACTCTTGAGTTCGGCATTATGTATTCCCCTGAATAGTTTTTGCTTCTTAAGATGTGACAGGTTTCTTAATCGTGTCGCCTCATATTACGTGTCGTGAACGTCTCACCTAAATACATCAAAATTGGGGCAGTGTTACGTTAATAAACAGAATAAGAAGTCTTAACAGTAAAAAAAACATAAGCCATCTGAGCCGAATTAAAGGAAACGCATTTTATTAGACGATAAGAGAAACTTTTACTCGGTTGGTTATTAATGATATAAATGTTAATGAACACAAAAAATTGATGGATTACAAATGCAGTTCTGACCTAATGGGACGTTTTTCATCTGGATGTGGATTTTGCCAGCTCAAAATCTTAACAGTTTATGTCCACAATTTATTACTGGATGTTTTTGTTTTCTAATATATTTGATAACTTTAAAAAACGGTTAATAAACATGTAATTAGCAATTCTCCAGCCTTGAATGCTGCTAACTGTCAAACGCTACCCTGTTAGCAAGTGTAGCATCATGAAGCTGTTTAAGTCTGTGTTTTTAATCCGTCGTTTTTTCTTTCAACTGTTTAATTACCCGTTTTTTATCACTTGGATCCTGTTTTTATCAGGCTCGGTGAACTTATTCTAACTAAGGTGGTTGTTGAGTGTGTGTGTTTGTGGGTTAAAGCTGCTCTCTCCCAGTTAGCTAACGTTAATGATAGGCAGACGGAGCTGTTAAAATGTATTTAGTCTGTTTTCTCCTGGAAAAGACCGTCTGTGGCCTCCCTCACAGCCCGGGGCAGCACCACGATGAGCGGTCTCGGAGGCTGGAAGACTGTTCCGACATGTTTGGTTGACACATCACCTGAGAAACAATAAGACAGATGTATCACTCTCTTTCCCCCTTTGTTATTCAACATAGACCTGGGCGATATGTTTCGTCATATCGTCCGATCTCGATTATTAAAACGATTTTTTTAAACTGCCAGTTTTAAAGTATCTGTGCTAAAAACTAAAGAAACTAGAGATTAGTTCAACATTTTATTAACGTACAAAGTAAATAAAGAATAAGATACACTTAGAAAAAAATATAAAAAACATCTTATCTCAACAGAACAATAAATGTAAATAAATACTAAATAATACAGTGAACTAGTTTACAGTCCTGATTGTTTTTGCAGGTATGAAAGACCCAAAATAAACAAATCGCCCCCTTAAGAATAATGAAGACGCCCTCAATTGTAAACATGAGACGTTGTAAACGTAGATGATACAATTGATCGCTTTGGTCTGGTGGCAGCACCGCTAGTTGTGGCTAAACTGCTAATGCTACTAGTGCCGTCAGCAGTGACAGGCTGTGCAGACTCCGTCGTATTTTCATGCTTTCCAATCACTCGGAAAGTACTTCTTCAAGTGATTAAACAGATTTGTTGTGTTGTCCGTTTTTGAGGCACCAACCGCTGACATAGTACCTTGCACATCGGCTTAATAACTAGATGTCACTTTGGAGATACCCGAACCCCTGCCACACAACCGACGTTGAATAACTTCTCAACAATAACATCTTCGGAGGATGACTCAAACTCACGGCTGACATCTATTTTGCTGCCCTCAGCTCAGCGTTTAGCTCCACGTTCGGACATTCTGTTTACTTCCTCAGCAATGTCTAGAAGTGAGCAGGAAAAGCTCGACTCTGATTGGCTGTTGTGACGCACATTTCCGCTATGTTTGATTGAGTAAATATGCTTTCAGCTGATCACCGTGATCGAACTGAAATTTATCACAATCATCGATCACTATCATGCAATTGCCCAGTCCTGATTCCACAGTCATCTCTTCCTGTCCTGTGTTACCCACGGTTTCTGCATTTGCACATTTTTTTGTGTGTAATTTTAGAAGAAGTCACCTGTTAGTTTCCCAAGTATTGGGTTTATTTTGATTCTTTGTTAAATCATTTACAGTAGTAGGTGTTTATCATTTACTCAACATGAAAGTATCTCACAAAATCTCTACTGTTGGTCTAAATTGTGGCATTTCCACTTAAAACTGCTGTTAGGAGTTTTTTGCCACCTTCAAAACAGACTGATATCAATACTGGTGCCACTTTGACCCACAAAAACAAACCAGACCACCAAGGATAAGGCTGATGGTTTCAGTAGAGGTGTTTTTGTTGTCAAAAACTGCTGGCAGGGGTAGGTGTCAGATGAACTGATTACCTGCAACCAGCCTAAGTGATCTTTTTTACATTTATCAAGACAAAGATTTGCAACGATCTTTAAAATAAACCAGTCTGAGATTATTTGTTGGAAAAGTATGTACAGGTCAATTTCTGCAAAGTAGAAGTAGTGCCCCTTTTGTCCACAGGGGGCGCCAGAATCACCACACTGTAAAAGCTGCTCACGAAAGCTTTAATAATCTGCAACGGACAATTTAAGTGCACCAACAAAGAGCTTTAACACGTTGGCTGTACTGCAGTATTTCAGAGTGTTGTAACCGACATAAAACCAGCTGTTCACGATGTTTACGAGCAGAACACTCCTTAGTTTAACCTTTCATCCCGAGAAAAACTGTCGTTCTGAACAACAGCGCCAAGATGTTATTCAAAATATGAATCAATAGGTTTTGGTGCCAGTGAAAAGCTCTCTGCAGACTCTGCTTTATGAAGATATAGAGCAGTGACAACCCAAAGATACAGGAGATTAACAGGAAGACCACTGGAGCCGATGCCTTTCAGCTCAGTAGAGGATGTGATCTTCTGCGGAGTAATCCTGAGCTCAAGTGTCGGCCAGAATGAGTTAGAAAAAATCAACATTTTGTGTCCATTTATTTAGCTGGAGTCAAACCTTTTCAAAGCAGATTGAATTTCTCTGCAGAGGTGTTGTAGCTGAATGCTTTTACGTCCCGCCTGACAAATGTTACAGGAATGTGACGATGGATCGACTCCTCTTTGATTGTCTCATTGTGATTTAGTTTCAGCTTCGAGACTCCAACAGTTTATCAACTTCTTATCGTTGCATTTCAAACTTTTTGTTTCTACTCAGTATTCAGCAGCATTACGCCGCAAACACCCTTATCAGCACACACACACACACACACACACACACGTATAAGAGCCGCTGTTCATCAATCGTTATGACACCAAGGATGTTATGCTGTCAGAAACCTGTTGAATGAGCTGAAAACTGACATTAAACTTTATTGTGCGTGCTTGGTGACAGATATGTGGCTTAGAGGAAACTTATAAAGAGACCGATCTAATATATGACCTGAACTATTTCTGTGATTACAGACAAAATGTCGTTGTTATCAGCGCCACTCCAGGTCATGAGGTGGTGATGCAGCGAGTCAGCGTGGAAAGGAAATCTGCTCAGAGAGTCGTATTATTTCTGAATTAAAAATCAATATTAGATACCAGCCTTATTATAATGGTACAGCACAAGTCAGGATGATGTTATATTACCGTATCGATATATCGATATACACCCTGCCCTTTTAAAATATCCCAAATAAGTTTAAAAGTCAATCCTTTCATGGCCAACTGTCAGGACCCAAAGACATGCAGATGTCTGTCTCATCAAACCCTCATGTATGTCTCATCTGCGAAGGTTAGATAATAGGGATGCACCGATCCGATATTTGATTTTGGTATCTGTCCTGATACTGAAGAAAATTCTAGATCCGGTATTGTGACAGTGTTTTCAAACTGGAGCGAGCAAAGGGGTCGGCTATCATGAACTTTATCACGATACCTCAGCCTACAAACTCAACGACCACTTGCAATACCTGTGCGGTAAACATTCCAAGGGGCGGTGGAAAACTTCAGGTTACAACAAAAAGTAATTCAGAGCGGCTTTTGTGTATCGGAATTGGATCGGTGTTGGCCGATACTTAACTGTAGATATCGGTATCGGGGGTGAAAAAACTGGATTGGTGCCTCCCTGTTAGATAAACCAAAGTTTCCCACACAGATGTCTGTTGTGTTTGTTTTTGGTCATTCTTTGTGCCGGACTTGTAAGGAGCTCTCAGATTTAGTGAATTTGAATAGTTGCTACTTCCTCCTTTACAGTCGTTTTTGAAACGTCTCAGGAACATGTTGAACAAACATCACGTCAGCGATCTTCCTCACAGACTCCAACAGTCTCACACTGTCGCCCTTTTATTAACGTTTGAGCGTTCAATCAGTTCGTTCAGCAGAGGACTTCATCTGCAGGATGAAAGACTTTCCCGAACTGAAGTTAGAAGCTGTTAAAGATACAGACAAACATTAGTCAGGGACGTGTGTCAACAGGGCTGATGTTTACTGATGCCCGTGTTCAGCTGATTTATCGGTGCATCTTTAACCAGGAAAGTTCTTTATAAAGCAAACAGATCCAATTATTAAAACAACTTCAACTCGGTAAACACGGATGTCTCCTTCCTTATAACTCTGTAGCAGACAGAGGATGTCGGGGGGCTGTGAGCTGAGCTGTCATTGATCGGGGTGTCCTCAGTTTTCATCCATATAGGTTTTCCTCTCCGGAACAAACAAATTCAGTAATTACAGCCTTTTCAAACTCAAAGTGACGTACTGTATGGGGTCATCACTCTCAGGTGGGACAGAGGATACCGAGGGGGCTGTGAGCCGAGCTGCTGCTAGTGTCAGCTAAGTTTCTTTGTCTGTCAGAGTCTTAATCCGAGGAAGTCGTCTGGCGGTAAACAAAGCAGTTACAGGTTAAATATTAGACTTTGACTGACCTGCTTCCACAGAAAAAGGATGTTTGGGCGAGTCCTCACATCTGAGCTGTCGCTGACATCCTTGAAATCGACCTCATGTTGTTTTTTATTTTTCCAGCAGTTGCTTCATTTCTGTGGCGGGTCCAGTGAGTCTTGAACTGGTTTTCTGGATCCTGATGAGCGCAGTGCTTGTAGTTTTAGGGGAGTAGTCAAAGTTTTAGACGTGAACTGAGGGTTGTTCCTGCAGCTGAAGTTTGAGTTCTGTTAACTTCTTTGCTGCTTTGAAAATTGCTCTGAAAATACGAGGTATTAAATCTGACTACTGTGCTGAAAGGAGGAAGTGAAACACGAGGAAAGCAAAGCCTGGACTTTCTCGGCCTTATAGTCAGAACTTCCTCTGCCATTTTCCCATTTTTAAGAAAATGCAACCTCTCTTATCTTGATCATGTCTATTTTTCTGTGCGCTTTCTTCCTTAGCAGTGCAAACAAACGCTCTCCAGTCAACAGTGAGCATGTTGTTTAATCTGCGAGTTAAAAACCTGCTTGTTACTATTTCTGCATCAAATTCGCTCCCTGTCAGTCCAAATCCAATCAAAGTGTCCAGAGTTTATCTTTCATCTTATCTAGCTCATTAAATCTCCAAGCTTCATCTGCGTGGCGCCTTCTCCGCTCATTCTCAGACTGAACTGAAGCAGGTAAAAGGTGAAGACCAGCAGGAGCTTTTTGGGCTGGATGAGGGTGAATCACATCCGACGACCCGCTTCGAGTTAGTGTTCAGTAAGAAAGGTGGAGGATTACTTCTTCCCCTCGCACACGCTCACATAGGGAACTTTCCCTGCGCTGGTCAGTAGTTGAACCCGTGTTTTTCCAGGTCACTTGGTCTCCATGGTGACCTTCGGGCTCATTCAGGTGCGTCCTGTCTGAGCAGGACTCCGGCTGTTTCTGGCTGGGTGGCGGCTGACTGCTCACTCACTTCTTTAAGCTCATTAGCTTCTTGGCAAAAAGCAGAACAGCAGCAGCAGACTGAGAGATCTCTATACGCTACAACAGGAGCTTACAGCGGCTAAGACAATCCTCGGTTTGTGCCCATTATCAGCTTACTGAAAAATCACAAGACAAGCCTCCTCTTTAGTCGGGGAAAGAGCTGCTGGAAAAGAAAGGAACATTGGCGAGGTGTGACAGTCAGTAAAAGATTCAATTGTGAGCAGCTCAGACTTTACAAAAGTGAAGAAATGGAGATTAACTCATTCAGTACCAGGTTCAAAAAATGCAATTTTCACCCAGTGCGACAATTGACCGCTATAGTAATTTCTGTATCTTTCAGCACCCACAGAATATCATGTGTTTGGACTAGAATTAAGTTCAATATCTCAAAAGAAAGAGGTGATTCTCTTCTTTTACCAGAAAGAAAAGTTAGTCTCTGACCCGCTCCTGTGTTAAGTTATTTCCTGCTCAATGCAGCGTGGTCATATCATCTTTGCCGATCTGGAAAAACACATTTTTACGAAGGAGAGACTTTTGAGCAGAACTCTGATCGTCTGTTTCATTTCACTTCAAACTACTTTACCGATGGCATCAAGCTCCTCCCTCCTAGAGATCCGATCGTGATAGGTCACTTTGTTGTGACGGCTGGGAGTCGTATTGGCTCTCGAGAACCTCAATTGTTTCTTTGATTGTCTGCGATGATGTGAAGGTCCGGTTCCGGGATCTCCACTGGATCCAGAGACGGTAGCACTGTGCCAACAGGAGCCGACGTGCCGAGACCGTTTGCTTCGCTAAAGACTTCGGCATTTTCCTATTCTCCTCATAGAGAAAAAAACACTCCACAGCTAGGCTAATCGGCACACTTGATGGCGCACTTCTCACTGGCGAGTTCTTGTGTTCGTTACTGTAACATGGTTATGACGTATTTGTCGGCTTTTCTGCGTTCAGAACGACCCCGAACTTAGTCGCATGTCGGGGAGGAGCGCCCTCTGGCAGAAAACAAAAAAACTGAAAAATTCGTCCAAATCTGTCACTGAATGAGTTAATATCGCCGACAAGACAACGTGGTCACAGTTTTCTGTCAGCTCCAGGTCACATGGGCGGGGAGGAACACGACCAGAGCTGGAATCAGCGTGAGAATCAAACGATCGATCATCCAGCTAAAGAACCAAACAGAGTTTTTGCAGCTTTCCTTTGTCGTCTGTACGTCTGTTGAAACTCGCAGCTGTTCCTTCACCATTAGTCGGCATGAAACAGCAGATCTGGTTCTGTTATCTCTCTGAGAAATGAGACGACAAAAAACACCAAAGTTCTCTCTCTGATGAAATACACTCAGACTTGTTCCTTTGTCTTTGTCCGTTAGAGACTCAGAGGTATTGTTTTTTTCATATCTAAAACTTTGAACAACAGAAGTTTGTGACATAAGACCTGAGGAACTGAATGAAAGTCATCTTTCTGTACATTTAAACCAGCTACTGACGAGTGTGTTTGTGTAAAATGGATGTTAGATCACAGCGAGTTTTTGTCATATGTGTTTGTAGCTGAAAGATCCTAATTTTATGTACGATTATCAATTATCTGAGCCTGAAATAAAACACTGAAACTCTTAGTCTGTTAGTTTTTTAGTCATCCCGCAGACCGACGTTGTTGTAAATCAAAGATACTGTCAGGTGAAGAGCTAAATGCCACCCTCGAATGTAAACTAACCGTTCTGACATTTCAGGCGTCAGGGTTTGAAAACAAGTCCAGAGAAGCAGGAGTAGATTACATCAGTCAAAAGGAGAGGTTAGGCAGCGGTTCTTCTGGTTTGGGTTTCCTCATTCTTCTCATATCGATCGATCTGCAGACCGGCATCTGATCTGTGACGGCTGCGGGTTTATCTAGACCTTTACAGACCTTTACAAAGCTTCAGCGGTGACCACTGTCTGTTCTTTGTGCTGCGGGTTTAAGACCTAATGGTGGTCGTGGTTTGTCTTTTTTTTTTTAACCTTAAAGAGTTTTTTATTTTTTTATCTTATCTCGTGTTAAAACCTCCAAACTTCCTCATTCTTGTCGTCACAGCCTCTTCAAGTTTGAACGACACAGTTCAACCAAAATAAATCTACTTTCTTCACGTCACCACGACCTTTGTAGGTTTCCAACTGAAACTCAGGGAGTCACATTAGTCATCCTCTCCGGCCTTTCTTTCCTCTGTTGTAACGCTGTGACAAATCTGCAGCTTCATGCTGAGCGATCACAGCTCCTCTTAGCGTGTGATGTTCCTCCCTCAGAGCAGCTACCGTGGAGCTCCTCCACCTTCTGTGCGGAGGCCCCGAGCTGCCCCGCTGGCACTCTGCTGCTGCTGCTGCTGCTGTCTGCTGGTTGGTGGGTGACATTAAGAGCTGCTTTTAGACTCTTGAGCATTTTTGTGTGTCTCCGGCCTGCCCGCTGTCAGTCCTGCTGCTGGCTGTGGTTTTGTGTACGTGGTGCGGAGCCTGAGAGTCCAGGAGGAGGAGGAGGAGGAGGCTCCATGATTGAAGGTTTCACGTCGGACACCCAGCTACATGAGGTCTCCTCGTGTCTGCCGCTCAGATCTGCCATGTTTGAGAAATCACACAAGAACTAACCTCTCAACCAAAGCAGTGACGGTCCCTTCGTGTTAGCTGTGTTCACACACGTCCTCCTGATATTTTCCGAACTTTTCCTCGCCAGCCTCCTGGTAAAATTTCCGATTTAAGTCGGGAAGAGCCGATGTGTGAACACAGCGGGAAATATCCACCGGGGCTGACAATATTGACATCATGTGATCGGTGCAAATCTTGAAGAACAGAGAGGAAGTCGCTGCAGCGATACAGAAACACAGAAACGCTCCTCAGACTGTTTTAAAGATTCATGCTGTTATTTTTTATACTGGCAGCGCCCTCAGGGATGAGAATTTAAAAGGTTTCATTGATACGACTGCAGTTATCGATTCTGCTTGTCAATCAGACTCTTTATTGGTTCCCTTATAAACTCCTGAGCAGCTTTCTGTCACCACAGACTTCATCACAAGTTCATTATCTTCACTCCCTTTCACTCCTTTAAAGGCCAGCTGATCGTAGATAAGGCCTCTGATTAGTCACTAAATAGTCGGTATCGTCACTAAAACGGAGGCGTAAATCACCTCAGATGAACTTTGTTTTTAGTCTCTGACTAAACGCCGATCTTCTCTGTGGGTTTCCTACTTCAACCTGCCGGTCTCAGGAAGCGAGTGGATTTTAAAGTGAGTCAGTTTGTCCGCAGGTCATAATAGTTTTGGATTTTTCATTACAGTTGAGTTTTATTTCATTTTGACTTTTATTTTCTCTAATTTATTTAGTTTTCAAAGCGGGTTTGTTTGTTTTATAAATGATTAGTTTTACTTCAGTTTTTATTAGTTTTAGTTTTTCATACACGTGCTTTTGTCTTTCTCACTCACTCATTTTTCCAGATAGAATCGTGACAAGAGGCCAACTGTAAACTAGGGCCGACTGATTTATTGGCAGGCCGATTAAATCAGCCAATTTTAGCCTTTTTGAGACGAGTTTCAAACGCTTTTCTGGTTAAAAAAAAAAGCGATTAAAAATGGCTCATTAGCGCCCCCTGCAGAGCACCACGAACATCAACTTTGTCTTTGGTTGAAATTTTTACAGTCACATATATCTTAACAAGATCTTTGATCTTGCGCTCTTGGACTTTTCTCTCAGACGCACGGTTAAAGAGTTATTTCGCTGTTTTCGCCCCATTTTGGCGTATCTTGTTTTTTTCTTTTATTTATAGTTTTCATTTATTTCAGTCAATGAAAATGTTTTTATAATTGTAGTCTATGTCAATTCATCAGTTTCATTTAACGATAATCACCCTGGTTTGTCGTCCTATTCCGTTTTTGTTAACACAACAATAAAGTGAGTTTTAAAAACGGCGGTCTGCACCACGTCTGTCCACCATGGTCACTCCCTTAGGTCTCGTTGACACTGACCTCATCTCTACATCTCCGTGTCGTTGTTTTGCAGGGTAAGTACAGTGAAGTGGGAAGCAGTGGGAGCTGTTGATGGTTGAATGAGATGAAACTGGTTTTCTATTTTCATCCCACAGCGCTCTCTCGATCTTGACTTGAGAGCTCTTCTCACGGGCGCCTACTGTTGCTAGGCTGTGAAAGTTATCCTGTCGCCCTTGGTGGTGATTGTTCCGTCTGTTTTAATACGCTCTCCTCCTCTCCAGCTGGAAGGACTTTATATTGTGAATTTATGAAATGCAACACTGGAGAATTCCTCGACATTTTCAGGGCTACGTCGTGTTTGAGAGGCTGCCTGGCTTTGGTCGGACTCCTGCTCTGTGTGACGGCGCTGCAGCTCAAACAAACCCTCCCTGGGCGTAAACCATCAGAACACACGTGAATGTCTCTCCGTCGGGTTTCTCACTATCTTGATAAATTTCAGAGAGCCTGAATCCATGTGACGGGAGGTTGTGAAAGTCCAACGCTGCTAACGTCACTTTACATCCTGAGATTGAAACAGAGATGGTATTTGGTGTCCGTCAGAGAGATCCTGGTTCTGATTCCAGGTAACAGAACCACAAAATAATGGGCTGGAGGGTCATCCAGACGCAGGGAGGATATCCCAGCTGTGAGCCGGTCCGTGTTATAAACCAGAGCGTCTTATGATTGTGGTAATAAAGTACTGTGACGAGGAATCATGTGAGTGAATGCTGAGGGTACGAGTATCCGAGTGTCCTGATAATAAAGGAGTAAAAGGAGCATGTCAGCTGCTCTCCGGAGTAAGTCCTCACGAGTCAGTCTTTGTACCTTCAGGCTCATACAGTGTCCTTAACAAAGATGAGAGGTTTGAGTTTCTTTGGAGAAAAAAAAAGAAAAGAGGACAGAAAAAAAAAAAAAAAAACGCTCCTGGTTGCTAAGCAGCGTCCTTTTGTGTCCTCCCAGCATCCACTGATTGTCTGACGGTCCACTCGGCTTGTTGTTGACATTTATCCAGCGGTGTTCATGTGACAGCGGCTCTGATGCTGCTGTGTGTGTGTGTGTGTGTGTGTGTGTGGGAACAGTGACGATACACAGATTACAGCTAACTCAGACTCTTCCCGTACTGTGGCTCATCCCCCTCTCCCAGATTTATTGATTATGAACCATCCGCTCCGTTTAATAAAGATGGATAATGTCTCTCCGCCTCCTCCTGTTTCTGCCTCGTGTTATGGAGGCAGATTGATGAGTGATGCTCCGCCCCTTTCTTCGACCAAAACGCGGATTTACTCGCCGATCAAACACCAAAGTCACGTTTACAGAAAGTTTAATGACTCTTGTATCAGTTTTCGCCTCTACTCTGATAAATCTTGAACCTCATTCAACAACATTACTGCTAATTAATCGTCTTTTTACGATTAAATATCTACTTCAAACTAGGGCTTCATGATTAATCAATCTTAACTACTAATCAGATTATTTGATTATAAGGATGTTAAAAATTAAATCGTCAAATCGATTTTCCTCTCTATCTTTTCTCGCACCTCCAGGCCACCGTAGGCTCCCCAGTTCCCACACACGCCAGTGTAAACAAATACGGCGTTTGAAAAAGAAGGCGATAATTTCGTGGTTAAATAGGACAAGAGCGAGTCAGTCATGTTGAATTGGTACGACTTCACAGTTTCAGATGAAGAGGAAACCACTCCCCTCTGAAAAGGCGGTATCAACCCGTCACCACGGAAACGAATTCAGGAGGAAACGCTAAAGTTTTTTGACGTATCAGAAACGGCGTTTCAGGTGACTGTAAACGGTACTTTTTGAAAACGGGTCAGAGAGTGAATAAATGTGTAAACGACGACCATTTCATCTCCGTGTGGATGTCTATCTGCATCTCTGGAAACGATCATGTGACACACAGAGTAACTCTTTTATGGCGCCAAAACAACCTTTATACACATGCTCTGTACTCTTCTTCTGTCTTTGGTGCATTTCCTGTGCAGCGTTACAGCGCCACTTGCCAGGTTGGCGTATGAACTACATCGTTTTAGTGGTTTTGTTTTGAGAGACGATAGAAAAAGTTTTATTTTTAAAGTGAAGTTTGGTGAAGTCGACACTGAAAATCGAGTTTTAAGAGAAAAAAATCTGGATTTTATTTTTGGCCAAAATCGTGCAGCCCTAGGATCGTACGAGCAAATCCGTTTGTCCAGGAGATACGCCTCAGCTCCAACACCACACACAGCCTGATGAAAGTGCGTCCTGATACAGCAGGAGCTGGTCACGCTGCAAATCTATCAGCCAATCACAATCTGATCTGAGAAGACTTACACGTCAGCAAAAGAAGCACTTTCTGACCACGTTGTCAGGCCTCGGATCAGCGTTAACTGCACACTGTTTGTTTAATTGGAGCTCCACCCAGAGAACATGTGAACGCCGCTCTCTGTGCAAACAGCTGCCAGAGCAGATCTCAGGTCAGGTGTGTGCCAGATGTTTCACAGCTACTTACAACTCGGGGAAACAGACACTGAAGACATCGAGCTGTGAAAGAAACACTCTGCTGCAAGTCTCACACACACACACACAGACACAGACACACCTTTTCACCTGATTCACCTGTCAGTAAGACGCTGGCATGGCTCCCTGAGGGTGTGTTTCATGACATGTTTACATTGGCTAGTTTTGTGGTTTTCTGACGATTCATGTCGTGCGTCACGGAAGCTGCGACGGCAAAAACAACTCAGGATCCAGACTCCTGAGGGTCCTATCAGCTGTTGTCTGACAAATGTTTAATAAATGATGGGGCTGGGACGATATGCTTGTTTCCTGATTCGATTCTTCTACGATTTTTTGGATGCCGATTCGATTTAAATTGCGATTCTACAATTTTCTTGATTTTCTTGATTTTTAGTCTGAATTTCTAACTCCAGTGAAACTGTTGAACAATTATGATTGTCTATTGATTATTCCATGAACCACATTTACCCAGAAAATACACCTCACATGTAAGTCAGTTTTTAAGATTTAAGGTCCTTACACACCGAGAATGACGCAAATATACGCCGGGAAATTATTCGGATATAATTTATAAAAAAAAAAAAAATAAGCAAACCCCACAGACAGCTCTCGGATCCAACTGTCTTCTCTCTGCATGTTCCTCAATAAGTGTGTGGAGTTTAGACGGACGTAAAAACTCCGGTACTTGGTCAGTTAGCGTGTTTAGTGACGTAAAAGTGTCGACTATAAAAATGAGACAAACCCTCTTCGGTACTGTAACATGAAAGTGAACTTTTAAAGTTTGATATGAGGTGACGAGCAGCAGGTATGAGTGGATGTAAAAGGAGATCTGTTATAGATGTTAAACTAGAGCTTGTAGCTGATTCATGAGCAAAGACGTGCAGAGTTTTCAGTCTGAGGACTTTACATTTGTCGGGTAAAATCTTCTCTTTTTTTTGTTGTCTTCATCAAACTAAGTGTTTTCTGGATTCAGGGCTCTTGGTCGTTAGAAAAAGCCAATTAAAGGAGATGACATTGTCTCTTTTCCTTTTGTTTTCTGGCGTTTTATTGTCCACGAGAAAATGAGTCGATGCTACATTATTCCAATCATGCTAAAAAAAAAGGTAATCAGGAGGTGGCTTTGTGTTGAGATGATTTAGTGATCAGTGCTGAGGTTTTTCTGAGGTTTAGACGGTGGTTTATGGAGGTCAGATACTCAACCCTTCATGAGGTGTTTAACGACAGGCTTCCCTCTCTTTCCATCTCTCCGTGTGCCGTTCGCTCTCTCCATCTCCTCCTCTCACCTATTTCCAATTATAGCTCAACCTCACTCCAGTTTCCCCCCAAGACACAGCGAGGAGAGCTGATTAAGTCTAATTTAGCTGCAGCTATTAAGCGATAGAGATGAGGTTTTCACACGTTTCCACCGTCAGCGATCAGAGAGCAGGAGCAGAGAGCAGGAGCAGAGCAGGAGCAGGAGCAGAGCAGGAGCAGGAGCAGGAGCAGAGAGCAGGAGCAGAGCAGGAGCAGAGCAGCGTTTCTGAGAGAGCCTGAATGTTTCAGTCTGACCAAAGTATGTGGATGATGGGTGTGTCGGACGTGTTGGTTTTATTCCCTGCTGTTGTGTTAGATTACTGCCCTGTTGGCCTCACACACACACACACACACACACACACACACACACACACACACACACACAGAAGGTTTGATCTCCCTGATTATTTCAGACTTTGATTGAAGGCGAGTTTGGCTGTTTTTTTTTGGTCATATTTCTCCTGTTTGAGTTACTAAAGTTATGGAGCCGCTCCAGCCGATTACTTCAACCAGCAGCTATGAAACTGGCTGTTATAGCTGCTCTCTGCCTGACGACATCAGCGGGCTGATAAACCTTTGAGTTCGGGTTTATGAAGTTGGATTTTAAGTCATAAAAAGCACCAACAACAGCAGTGTGTGGGAATATGAGTCCACTTGTCCTGCTCTCCGTCTTTTGTTGGTTGTTCGGTCACAGTCCACGGCTCACTTTACGGGTTATTTGTCTGTTTTTTTCTGAGTTTGCAGATAACCCAGTTTATGAGCGTTTCCAGTTTGAAACTGACCTGATAGATTCGGTTACATCTTTTCTTCTCAGTGCTGAGAATGTGTGATCTGAGTTCCTCTGAGCCGACACTGATAAGAGATAATAACCCCCCCCCCAAGATGGCTGATCATAAGGTGTTACCTTGTGTGTCTTGTGTATTTTTTCTTTTCTTACTAATTTCAGATTAGAGATGCACCCATCCATTTTTTTACAATTTGATACCGATACCTGGGCTGAGTGTATCGACCGATATCTGATACCGATCCAATCCTACCGTTGAATGGATGATCTGTATACCTTACCCTGTGAGTGAAGGTATCAAGCTTGACATTAGCCTTGTTAAAAAAAATAATAAGTTACACAGATATTAATATTAGGCTATGATCATAAGGTGTTACCTTGTGTGTCTTGTGTATTTTTTCCTTTCTTACTAATTTCAGATTAAAGATGCACCCATCCATTTTTTTACAGTTTGTATCTGATGTGACTGCAGTGTGGACGCTCAGGTCGCATTCATCCAACCTTTACGTCATCAATATGCGACAAACGTCGTAATGTGAACAACCGCACAAAAAGATCGGATTTAACAAAAAATCTGAATTGTGCATCAGAACCGTGTGTGAACGTAGCCTATAGAGCGAACAGAATCGCTGTGTTGCTGTGTAAAACAGACTGGTTCTTAACACTGGATCGGCGTCATTCATCAGATATCCGATCCAGTTAGGCTGTGTTCAGACTGCAGGTCAATATCTGATCCAGATATCAGATCAGTGCATCCCTATTTTAGATCACTGGACAGAAATCCTGAAGTCAAATATAACTGAGCCGAATCTTTATCAGTCTAGATTTATTTAATAGTCTCCTCTCTGAACACCCATGGCGTAGGGCCGGGCGATAAAACAATAACGATATATATATATCCAAAATTAATTTCCCTCAATATCGATATAAAACACGGTCAATATCCTTTTCGATAGTCGGCGTTCTGCCATGTTTTGGTCGACTAACCAATCATGTTCTGAATTAGAACCAAGTATCAAACAACTGCGTCGTAGCAGACAGCAGCTACACCCAACCAGCCCTGAAAGACGACCATTGTCTGCTTTCTGGAGCGCAACGTCTTTCGACAAAACGTCTAAGAGACACAATTTTTTTATATCATGACATATATCGATATCGACTGATATGAAAAAATATATTGTGATAAACTTTTTCCCATACCGCCCAGCCCTATAACGGCGCGAGGATTAATCTGTATCCATGAAAAAGCAGCAAATAAATTATCTGTTTTTATTGAACAGTTTATTGACTGATTTCTATCTGACATCCTTTTTTTTTTGTTCTCATTATTCAAACAAAAAACATATTTTTTCAGTCAAAACTAGAAACAACAAACTCTCTTAAACCGAGTAGAAGTGGGTCAGTAACTGCTGCTGTCTGGAGGATTACGTTTCATTTCTGCCTGCAGATATTTGTGAGACAGTCTGACTGCAGACCTCCACTGAGACGACCGGAAGGTGTTTGAAACCTTTCAAAATAAAAGCAAATATACTAGAAGTCGTTTCTTTTTTTACGTGTGAAGTTGATCTGAAACCTTTCAAATTAAAAGCGATTACACCGGGAAGTACGTATTTTTTGTCTAATTTCTTGGGGCTTTTTTAATGTTTATAACGTTAACATGATTTTTTGTGAATTCATGTTTTCAACAAAGAGAAAATACTAAACTGGATGACCTTCAAACAAACTGGAGTGCGGTCCTCTCAGTAGAGGTATCTCGATATTTGTGGGTTTGTCGAAAGCGATTTCTCGTCTGTTTCTGCTCAAATATCATTTTTGTCTCTGAAAGGAAAGGCCTCAGACTTTCTTGAAGTGTTGTCAGATACTCAAATCGACAATCTGAGGCTGTCGGTCACAGAAACAGGACCTGTTGAGGGGTCGCAGTGAGACTGAGTGAGTTTTCTCTTCGGTGTTATTGCAGGAGTTCAGCCCCTTCACGTTTTGTACGTATTAGACTCTCAAAAACTGAAGAACCACGACTAAAACTAAGAGTAACCTCTGTGGCTGGTCTCCGATCTGTCGGTGTGTCTCATCTTTTAGAGCGACGCTGGATTGAACAGAGGAGATCTTTTGGACATTCAGACCCTGACAGAGAAGGGATCGACGCTCACATGAGTCACTTTGGACTCTGCGGCTCTGTGATGTGATGTTACTGCCTTCAGTCCAGGGCTGACAGAGCGAGTGTTTGCAGAGGTAGAGCTTTGTTGAAACTGAGAGAGCCGAGTAACAACGACTGAAGGAGAAGTGCCAGGAAATGATGGAGCAGTATGATCCCTGAATGTCTGACTTTCTCTGTAATCTAGAGGATTTGAGTTTATCGAAGGAAGACTGTAAATATCACGTTTCTGTTTATGAATAAAGCATTGAAAGGTTGAAAGGAGACAGCAGCTCTCGGGGGTTTGTGAGCTGCTGGTTGAATCCCCTCCTCCTCCTCCTCCTCCTCCTGCAGGGTCGGCCCCTCTTTGTCAGCCGGATGTTTCTGTGTTTCATTCATCGTCGTGTTCAGACTGAAAGGATCACCTGAGGTGAACTTTACAGACAAACATAGAGGAGCTGTTTTCAGGTGCAGGTTAGAGACGCTGGAATCAGAGATCAACAAAAACCTCCATGTGGAGCAAAGATGTTTTTGTAGAAGTTTGTCAGACAGCTTCAGTCCCGTCCTCTCTTTGTTGGATCCAGAGTGTCTTTGGAGTTTTTTGTTGATATTGTAAAATAATGTAAATTTTCAGGTTAAAGGAAATCTCTGTTATAATTTAAAGTATCTTATTTAAATCTGGAGTTTAAATCCTCAGAGTAAAAAAACTCAAAGTTCACCTGAAGTTTAGTCTTTTAGAAATCTGAAGTTTAGATTGAGCTAAAACTCACTGTTGACTTCAGAGAGAGTTTGAACTCCATTCTCCTCCCTCTCGCCTTCTCTCTTCTCTCCCCCTCCGTCTCTCTCCTCCTCTATCTCTCTCGTTCTCCTCTCTCTCCTCTCTCTCTCCCCTGTCCTCTCTCTTCTCTCTCCTCTCTCTCCCTCACTCCTCTATCTCCTCTCTCTCCTCTTTCCCCTCTCTCTCCTTTCTCCTCTCTCCTACCTCTCCCCCCTTTTCCTGCTCTCTCTTTCTCTTTCTCGTTTTCCTTCTCTCCGCTCTCTCCTTTGCCTTTCTCCTCCTCCTCCTCTCCTCTCTCTCTCCTGTCTATCTCTCTGAAGTCCCTGCAGGCGAAGCTCTAAACAGTAAAGGAGGCTGCTCCTCCTCTCTTCTGCTCCTCTTCCCTCTCTCTCCTCTCTCAGTAAAGGAGGCTGCTCCTCCTCTCTTCTCCTCCTCTCCCCTCTCTCTCCTCTCTGCTCCTGCTCCTCCTCTCTCCTCCTCCTCTCTCCTCTCTTGTCCTCCTCTCTCCCCTCTCTCTCCTCTCTCCCCTCTCTCTCCTCTCTGCTCCTGCTCCTCCTCTCTCCCCTCTCTCTCCTCTCTGCTCCTGCTCCTCCTCTGGACTGTGTAGAGACGGGCTTCAGTCCAACCCTCTCAGCTTTTTCTCATAATCCAGAGGAATGTGTGTTTTTGAGAATCCATCAGTGATCATGTCGAGTCTGAACGGTTTCCTCACCGATCACAAAGAGTCCAGGAAGATCCAGAACTCTGGACCTTCAGGAACCAGAAGAGAGCTGGTCTGCTGGTCTGCTGGTCTGTCGGCGTCGACGGGTCAGTCTGGGTCGTATTTCCACAACCGTTTATTTTTCTTCACCCCCACAGGACCACTGAGTCGGAGCAGATCTCTTTACAACCAGACCCCCCCCACATGTAGTTTACGTCTGTGTACAGAGCGCGGTGACACGGGTGTGTGAGGTCCACCGTAAATAGAGCACACCAACATATGAACACACACACACACACACACACACACACACACACACAGGCGGCCTATTCTCGGCCCACACTGCGGCTGCCATGTGGAAAACAGTCAGAAACTCTCCGACCATCTGCAGAGCTGGGATTTCAAAGACACACACACACACACACCCTTAAACACACACACCCTTACACACATACACACACACACAGAGTCATTCCTGCAGCAATGATTGGGTTTCTCTGGTTGGAGCGAGGGGGCGGAGTCAGTGTGCAGGCGTTTGGCAGCTTGTCAAGGCAGGAAGTCGGACGGGTCACCTCAGGTCAGCCCAGCAGGAAAATAACTCGGTGGCCACACGACGGCCCCAGAACCGGCGTCCAGAGTCAGGGGCCACCTCGCTGGATGGAGGCCACCTCCAAAGGTGTGTCCTACTGAGAGCTGGTGGAGCAGAACCGCGTCCGTCTTATATAAGAGCGGAGGTCTGCGGAGGTTTAGAGGGGAATTCTGAGGCTGAAGAATCCGGGACGGGTTTTTAAAAATGTGTTTTCTGACCCTAAAGACGAACCGGGACTAAGAAGGTTTGAATCGTTAAAGTCTGCGGCGGTAAAAACGGTTTCAATGACCACAGAAGTTTGAGTTTTCACCGCTGACACGCCGAGGCTGTCGCACATCACGACGGCGGTGACGGTTTGATATCGTGTGGAGAAAAGTGACTCTGAATCCTTCGTTGTCGACCACAGAAAGAGTCTGTGACACGTGTTGTTATATCCTGAGCTTCTGTATTGTTTTGCTGTTGTTTCTCTTTTTGACCACAGGGGGCGCCAAAATCAAAACAAACCCAGATCTCAAAAAAGGCGGTATCGGCAGTGGGAGTGGTTTATTTCTACGTTTTACAGTGTCCGACTCTGTCCTAGTCTGAACATCAGCTGAGAGTTAGTCCGAGTCAGCATCTCCACCTCCGCCCGACCTCACTGAGACCACGCCCCTTTTTGGTGTCAATAAAGTTATTTTTGTCCTCTAATCTCTCTTTTTTTCTTCTTTTTCAGGAAACCGAGATCGCTGCAGAATGCAACCATGTGAGTTTCCTCCACAAAACACCACTTCCCAGCATGCACCACGTTAGCATGAGTTTTGACCCAGACATCGAGACTTAATGTGGATCGTGTTTTTTTTTTTCTTGAATACGTAAAAAGATGTTTTTGTTGATTTCTAATGAAGGTGAGAAGGATCTAAAGAGTCTGCAGAGATGATGTTTTCACAGATCTGATGTCTCTGTCTTGTTTCTCTGCAGCTGCTGTGGAACTACAAGCTCAACCTGACCACCGACCCAAAGTTCGAGTCTGTAGCCGTGGAAGTCTGTAAGACCACCATCTCTGAGGTCAGTCACCAGCACCACACCTCTTACCAAAGTGCTTTCTCCTTCACACCAGTCCTCTGCTTCAAATTAGAATATTTGTAAAGTCTTGGAAAGCCGGCAGACCTGAAACCTTCTGGAGTGAGCTGGTGGATTTGAGGTGTACCTGTTTTCGGAGGGCACAGATGTCTCTGTAATCTCATCTGTGTTTTCTCACCTCACTCCTCCGGCAGCCTCCTTGTTTGTTTTCAGCGCACACAGCTGCTGGAGAGAGATTACAAGAACAATCCTGCTTCTCCTCCCAGAGAGTTTCAGACCCGGCGCTCGGCTCTTTTATCATCTCTGTCCACGTCGGAGCTTTTCAGTGCGTCAAATATCGAAGCTGCGGTATTTGAACCCCAGTTAAAAGCAGACACGGATGCTTGTCGCAGTCCAACAAATCTCTAAATCTTAACAAAGAATTACAGCCGAGATAACCAGAGGCATAAACCATGATTCAGCTGCAGCGCCGGTTCATCTTCGCTCCTGCGGCGCCACGTCAGAACTAACCTAAAGTGCGGTTACAGGATCTCCGTGGTGTCGAGGAGCTCAGTGCACTCCAGCGAATCCACACCGAGAACCAAACATGAAGAAGTCACACGCAGATTCAGGATACAGCAAACCTGGAGAGTGCAGGCGTGAGGCGTGAGGCGTCAGCGCGTCTCTGCAGCTCCTCACGGCGTCTCAGCTGTTTGGTTGCTCACCCTCTGATGCAGACCAGTAGCAAACCACGAGCAGATGTTTACAATCTGTGCTACATGTATTTAATATGTAAAAACATACTGAAGAGTAAAATCACCATGACAACCCAGTGAACATCAGCCACATGTTAAACATAACCGCCTCCATCTTCTTCTCTCAGATTAAAGAATGTGCAGCGGAGGAGCTCGGGAAGGGCTACCTGGTCTCCTGCCTGGTGGATCACCGCGGCAACATCAGCGACTACCAGTGCAACCAGTACATCACCAAGATGACCACCATCGTCTTCAGCGACTACCGGCTGATCTGCGGCTTCATGGACAAGTGCCGCGAAGACATCAACGCCCTGCGCTGCGGCAGCATCAGCACCGGAGAGAAGGTGAGACTGAAGCAGGGAGAGAGAGAGAGAGAGAGTGTGTGAGAGAGAGAGAGAGAGAGAGAGAGAAAGTGAGAGAGAGAGAAAGAGAGAGAGAGAGAAAGAGAGAAAGAGAGAGAGAGAGTAAGAGAGAAAGAGAGAGAGAAAGAGAGAGAGAGAGTAAGAGAGAAAGAGAGAGAGAGAGTGAGAGAGAGAGAGAGAGAGAGAGAGAGAAAGAGAGAAAGAGAGAGAGAGAGTAAGAGAGAAAGAGAGAGAGAAAGAGAGAGAGAGAGTGAGAGAGAGAGAGAGAGAGAGAGAGAGAGAGAGAGAGAGAGAGAGAGAGAGAGAGAGAGAGAGAGAGAGAGAGAGAGAGAGAGAGAGAGAGAGAGAGAGAGAGAGAGAGAGAGAGTGAGAGAGAGAGAGAGAGAGAGAGAGAGAGAGAGAGAGAGAGAGAGAGAGAGAGAGAAAAGAGAGAGAGTGAGAGAGAAAAGAGAGAGAGTGAGAGAGAGTGAGAGAGAGAGTAAGAGAGAAAAGAGAGAGAGAGAGAGAGTGAGTAAGAGAGAAAAGAGAGAGAGAGAAAAGAGAGAGAGAGAGAGAGAGACGTCCCTTTAAGACGCTGTCCTACGTCAGAGACGTGACTCCACCCCATCCAGTCTGCAACAAAGAGGGAAAGACAGGTGAGGAGATGGAGGACAGTTCAGAAGTTGTAGCGGCTGAAGTAGACGAAGTTAATGTGGGAGGTCACTTGTGGTCACTCCCACATCCTGAGTGACTCTGTCTTTGTGCAGCAGCAGCATGGTTCAGGTTCCTGCGAGTGTCGCCGCCTTAAAACAGTCAAAACGACCTCAGTCCACCTCTCCTGCTCACGCTGCGCCCTCGGCAGATCTGCTTTTCAGTAAATAATAAAATAACCAAGACTGCATCATGTAGTGGCTGAAGGGTCTTTTTCTGCAGATCTTGTGAACTTCATCTCTGCTCACATTTGATCTAATAAAGCCCTGAAACGCCGTGAGGAGTCTGACTCAGCTGGAAGAAGAAGAGAGAGAGTTTGACGGGCGGCTCTCAGCCAGCGCGGCGAATCGATCTCCTCTGAACGCCTTTCCCCGCCGCCGAGCCCAGCCCGAAAACTCATAAACCTGTTAGACATGCGGTTATTATGGGATGTTCAGCGCCACAATTAGAACTCGGAGCAATTTATTTATTCGTCAGAGGAGAGGAAAGTCAGTTTCATTATCAGGAATTTGTCACGGCGGCTCATTTTAGTGAAGATTGGACTGACCGTGTTTACTCCGGCAGAGCTCCTTCCTCATTACGCCGAAAACAGAAACAGAAGAGTCGCTCGGACAAAGTGATTTCTGGAGTGAAAGAAAAGTCATTCTGGGGGGATTAGAGATGTTTTTAAAATCCACATAGTCATTACTCTAAACTGGAGACGTCTGCGATTACGAATATTTAAAGAGGGAGTTTGTTTTTCTCTCACCTGAATGTGGACGGATGACTCCGTTTTAAGGGTTCATTCCCGGTAAAAGCTGCTGTTGAAATGTGGCAGATAAAACATCTGGACGGATGAATCGCATCCAGCAGCAGAGGCAGGCTGCCAGTCAGGTGAAAGGCCACTTCAGGTAAATATGAGGAGAAATATGAACGGTATCCTCAGTACAGATGAGGCGGGCTGCAGTCATATTCTAGTAACTGTGTGTGTTGAGACAAACAGACTGAGCTCTGAGGGTTACAAAGATTTATATCCTGACACTTCTCTGACAATCATGAGACAAAGACACGTTTGTAAGATTAAACAAAACCTCAATTCTGAGTTAAAATCAAATCCTGAGAAAGTCGGTCCTCCTTGTGGGACGAGAAGTCGTGATTATGAGTAAAAAAAGTCGATATGAGGAGTAAACGTGAAGAAAAACCGACACTGGTATCTGTTCACCAACACATCCAGGTAAAATCCTTCTCCTCACCCTTAAAGGGATATTCCGGCGTAAAATTAAGTTAGAGTCAAACACACCATAACACCGAGTTAGACCCCCCCTCCAGAGATGAATGTTGTCGACCGCTTCCTTCTCTAGTTATACCAACTTTAGTAATGACCGCAGGATAGTAATACAGAGAGCCACGCCCTCAACCAAAACGCCACTCTATAGCCACAAATAATGCTCAGAACAGCACCTAACTTCATCAACAGGACATATAGGGTCACAGACATAGTACTAGACACCAAACATCTTTTTAACTTTGACTGATTTCTTTAGCAAAGAGACTAAACACAACTCACCTACTCTCTTCCAGCAGACGCTTGTTTGTACAGAGACCTCAGGCCAGTCCATTACGGACTACAGCGGGGTGACGCAGCTCAAGGAAGAACATTTGTGATCATTTCTTTATCATGTCAGAATGTGGTTTGGGATCATATGAAAGTCTTTGTCTGGATGGACGCAGATGTTGCTCCTAAACCTGGAGATATTGTTTAAAACTGAAAACGCAGCATCTATGATTTCCAGTTCTACGTTGAAATGACAACCCAAAAGAGTGTTAGATTTCTTGCTAATTTCTTTAGCAAAGAGACGAAACACAACTCACCTACTCTCTTTCAGCAGCCACTTGTCTGTGGAGTGCAGTGGAGTTTCGCAGCTCAAGGAAGAACATTTATGATCATTTCTTCATCATTTCCTTGAAGTAATAATCACCATATTGATCATTTTACAGACGCGGTAGTTCTTCTGCCTTAGTGTCTCGGTCTGATTGTATTTCCATGAAGACTCTGACCTGGCGAGACTGGACTTCCTCCACAGCCCCCCAAACACATCCAGGACTGTCCTGATCCCTCATTAAAACCCACCTGTTCCGACCTGCTCTAACTGTAGTCTAGTCTTGGATTAGCTTCATTGTGTCTTTCTTGATAAATTACGATCAGATGTTCTTTTATACAGACAGGTTTTTTTAATTACCTTTCTGACATGTTTCGACGTGCTGACAGCAGTCTTCCTCAGAGTGTCACGTGATGGTTGTGTGACGCGTCAAACTGACAGAAAGGTCACGCCTTCGGAAACGTCAGCTGTTTTAAGACGCGTCACACAACCGTCATGTGACACTCTGAGGAAGACTGCTGTCAGCACGTCGAAACATGTCAGCAAGGTAATAAAAAAAAAGAACATCTGATCATGTAATTCAGTCTGTTGTTACCGTCTCTGTAACGTGTTTATAAGCGCTAAATAAATAAAATGATTATTATAAAGTCGTGAAATATGAACAGAGGTCAGAACTGTGAGTTAAAAATGTCCAAATTACAGGAGTACAAAGTCCAGATTATGGTGGATTAAATCTGAGTTTTGAGTCGACTTAGTTTGAGCTGTTTCCTGTAGAGCTGGACGATAAACCGAAAATTTACCAATAACGAAATTTACAACAATAACTGATGTCATTTTGCTCGAATTGGTATATTCGGTGTCAAAAAACTAAATAAATCAAAGTAGTTTTTGGATGTGTGTAGGTAGGCTATGGTCTACATCAGAGACGTGACTCCACCCAATCCAGTCAGTAACAAAGAGGGAAAGACAGGTGAGGAGATGGAGGACGGAGAGAAAGTTAATGTGGGAGGGGCTGAGCAGCTTGTGGAGTAGTCCATTTATCGTTATCGATGTGAACTGATCAATATATGGTGATATTGATTTGAGGACATATCGCCCAGCCCTAGTTTCACGTCTGCAGCCGAGTCTGGAATCCTCCGTTTTCTTTCTAAAAATCAAAATCAAAAACCGTGTGACCTCTGACATCTCTCCGCAGGACATCCACTCTCAGGGCGAGGTGATCGCCTGTCTGGAGAAAGGTTTGGTGCGGGAGGCCGAGGAGCAGCCGGGGGCTCACGCCATCAAAGACGACTGTAAGAAGTCCATCATGAGGGTGGCAGAGCTGTCCTCAGACGACTTCCACCTGGACAGATACCTGTACTTCGCCTGCCGAGAGGACCGAGAGCGCTTCTGTGAAAACGTGAGAATATCGACCATCGTACACCGTGGTACACGTTCTCTGAGGACAGACCCCGAACAGGCTTCTTTTGGACTCCTCCTGACGGTGGTGTTGTTGTTTTTGTTTTCAGACGCTGGCCGGAGAAGGGCGAGTTTATAAATGTCTCTTTAACCACAAGTTTGAGGAGGCGATGTCCGAGAGGGTGAGTGCCGTCCTCTTTTCTGTGCGCTCAACTTCCTTCTGATTTTGCACCTCCGTCTTTGCATTAGTTGTTGAAATACTCACTTTGACCACTAGAGGTCGAAGTCTAAACTCATGTGTGAACCTCCTCTCCGTCTCGGTGCGCCCGCAGTGCCGTGAGGCGTTGACCACCCGGCAGAAACTCATCGCTCAGGACTACAAGGTGAGCTACTCGCTGGCCAAAGCCTGCAAGTCAGACCTGAGGAAATACCGCTGCAGCGCCGACTCCAACATGCCCCGGGCTCGAGAGGCGCGCCTGTCCTACCTGCTGCTGTGTCTGGAGTCCGCCGTCCACAGAGGTGAGTCACGAACCGACGGAGAGCGAAGCGTTAACGGGATTAACGGGATTAACGGTAAACGGGATCTAACACGAGGGGAAGAAGAAGTGGATCTTTAACAGTTATGAACGTCTTTGTGACCTCACTGATAACTGATCGATCACAAAGTAATCAAACACGTGAACTGTGTGTGTGTGTGTGTGTGTGTGTTTCAGGTCGCGTGGTCACCGGCGAGTGTCAGGGCGAGATGATGGACTACAGGCGGATGCTGATGGAGGATTTCTCTCTGAGTCCGGAGATCGTGCTTCACTGTCGCAGCGAGATCGAGGGTCACTGCGCCGGTCTGCACCGCAAAGGCCGGACGCTGCACTGCCTGATGAGGGTCGGCCGCGGGGACATGGGCGCCATCGACCCCAACTGTCAGAAAGCGGTGAGTCAGCGTTTGTACGACCTCCGTCATAAAACACGGAGATCTTTGAATGGAGGTTTTTCCTGATGGTTCTGGTGGTTCTGGTGGTCTGTCTCTGTACCTTCAGAGGCAGAAATGTTGATGAACAGAATCTGTACTTTTAAAATCTTCTCACTTTACTTCACAACAAAACCCCGAGTCCCGGTCCAGTTCTCTGAAAACCCGACTTTGGAGCCCGTGAGACCTCTTTGTGTTTGTGTTTTCTTTACGCTCTCTGCTTTTTCCTCCGCAGCTTCAAACTCTGATCCAGGAAGCCGACCCCGGGGCCGACTACCGCATCGACCGAGCGCTCAACGAAGCCTGTGAATCCGTCATCCAGACCGCCTGCAAACACATCCGCAACGGAGACCCCATGTGAGTCCTCCGACCCGATAGTTACCTCGGTGTTTTTGGAAGTTTATTTGATTCAGAAAGTTTAACGTGATTCACCGACTCTGATCTGCAGGATCCTGTCCTGTCTGATGGAGCACCTGTACACGGAGAAGATGGTGGAGGACTGTGAACACCGCCTGCTGGAGCTGCAGTACTTCATCGCCAGAGACTGGAAGTGAGTCTGACCCTCCTGGTCCTTCTCGGTCCAAGAAACCAGAAACGCTGCTGCTGGTTTTTCAGTTTCTGTGAAAATTCAGACTCAGAGCGTGACTCCTGGTCTTCTCTCTCCCTCTCTCGCTCGCCCAGGTTGGACCCCATCCTCTATAAAAAGTGTCAGGGCGACGCCTCCCGGCTCTGCCACACTCACGGCTGGAACGAGACCAGCGAGATGATGCCGCCGGGCGCCATTTTCTCCTGTCTGTACCGACACGCGTACCGCTCCGTGGAGCAGGGACGGAGGGTGAGTCTTTCTGAATTTGAATAAAGGAACAGTTCACCCAGTTTTTGGCCTCATTCACTATAAAACGTGACTTTCTTTCCCGGGTTTAGACGCGTTTTAAGAAATCTGAAATATTTCTAACTAGTGATGCACGATATGAAAAATTTCAACCGATACCGATAACCGATAATTTTCTTCTTCTCATGGCTGATACCGATACCGATAGCTGATAAATTCATATTTTTACATTTATTATAATCTTCATATAATCTGCAGTTTGTGCAGGATGCAGCGATTGAAAACGGATGTTTTTGTTGCTCTGGCCTATCTAGAACAACAAACAAAAGTTTTTGGCTCTTCAAATGTGGTCATTTGCTATAAATAACAATAACAGAGCAAAAAGCAGAACTTCATTTGATCCCCTGAACTGTTCAACAGAACTGTAAACTGTAAAGGAGCTATTATGAGACGTTAGGCTTAGCATGCTGACCGGACTAACATCTGACGTCCATATGTCTGTGGTAAAACTCACGTGTAGTCCCTTTCTGTCGATCAGGTTGTGAATGTATGTGGCGACAATATCATAGAGTGCAGGAAGAGACACATCCGAGAAGAAGCGGCGGCTTGGGAGAGTGTAACGTGGCTCCAAGTGTGCTAATAACTTACGAAAACCCGGGTTCTCAACGACGGAAAAAGGCTGGTCGTCGACCGCTATGAACTCCATCACTTTGTCGTTAATGGCTTTAGCCTTTTCGCTGTCTCTTGAGAAGCTTTTGCAGTTTTTAAACGCCCGCTGAATGGGGACATCGATCCTCCGTAGTGTTGTTGTCTTAGCTTTAGTACCGCTAGCGGCTTCGGCGGCTGTCTCATATTCTTTTACTACCGCTTCGCCGCGATGGCGACTTTTCAGATGAGCTATCAGATTCGTTGTGTTAATACTTGACGTCTTCTTTCCTCCTCTCGGAATCCTCGCTGAACAGGTTTTGCATATAGCAGCTGTTGTCATCTTCTGCCACTGAGAGAAACGACCATGCTGGTGAAGACATTTTATTATCTGTCAGGTAGTGACAGGGTCAGGCTTGGGACCTGCGAGTAAGGCGCGATAGATGACGTGACCAGCGCGTCTCGGACGGGCGGCTACTCCGCCTGCAAACGTTACTCGTAATTTCATTAATATATCGGATCTTTCTATCGGAAAAATGCACCTATCGGACCGATAAAAAATGACGTAATTTCCCCCCAAATGGGACGATATTTTATCGGTCCGATAAATATTGTGCATCCCTATTTCTAACTTATATAAGTTCCTTTAAGAGTCTGATGCAGATAAGTGAACTTGTTCCAAACAAACCGAACTTTTTGAACCTCTCCTATCTAAGCGACCCGGCTCTACAGCTACCTCTCTGACTCTCATGTTGACCCTGGTTTAACTCTGAAATTCAAACATAGATGTCGTGTTTATTTTCATATATAAAGTGAGTTTCTATGTGGTGAAGTTGTTAGCGTTCAGCTTGTGAACACTCTCACTGACCGGAGGATATCCTCGTAGCTCCCTGTAGGAGCGTCTGACACAGAAAACCAGCCCCAGACTGTGAGTACGTCCTGCAGCTGAACTCCATCACCACATTCACACAGACCCAGCCTGACCTGCTGGTTATTATGGGATGTAATTCTGCTCTGTAATCCTTACCTGTGCATGTGGGGAGCTCGTCTGTGATGAGAAAAATCATCGTGAATCTGAAATCATAAAAACAGGAGTGAATCTGAAATCTTCTTCGTGTGTCGTCTGTCTTTAAAGTGATCGTCCGCTCAGACATCTATGCTCATGAAAGTGCATCTAGACTTTACAGTTCATGTGATTTTACTGTAATTCTCTTTGTGGTGAATAAAGAAACAGGATCAGCCGAAGAGGGAAAGACTTAAAGGGATATTTCCGTATTTTAAAGGAGAGCTGGTTGGAGTTTCGAAAGTGTTTCAGATGTCGGTCAGCCCGATCTTTAATCCTCCGATCCGGATATGCCAATAAGTCCTCAGAAAATAATCAATTTTTAACATTTTTTAAAACTTTTTTCAACTCAAATCTTTGAAACAACTTCAGCCCTGACCATTAAAAAAATAATAAATACAAAATTCGATGTTACAGCCTTTTTATGCCGGTTTTTGTGCAACATGTCACTGCTTTTTTTTTACATTAAAAAAACACAAAATCGCCTTATAAAAGAGAAGGAGAAACTGCTGACCGACGTCAAACACTCCGACTGTGAAAGCTCCTTTTAAAAGAGCGGAATATCCCTTTAAAACTCGGCCAGGAGAGAGGAGAATCAGTTTAAGCGGCTGTTATCGTGTTTGGACACGATCTTCATCATCATCATCATCTCTGGCCGTTCTCTCCTGCAGCTCTCCAGGGACTGTAAGGTGGAGGTGCAGAGGATTCTCCACCAGAGGGCGCTGGACGTGAAGCTGGACCCCGAGCTCCAGAGACGCTGCATGACCGACCTGGGGAAGTGGTGCAGCGAGAAGACGGAGGCGGGCCAGGAGCTGGAGTGTCTGCAGGATCACCTGGAGGACCTGGTGTCCGACTGCAGGGACGTGGTGGGGAACCTGACGGAGCTGGAGTCAGAGGTAAGAGCGGAGGAGGAGGAGGAGGAGGAGGAGGAGGCTCCTGACGTCTCTGCTGATCAGAGTCTTCTAACCCGGACTGTAATCTCTCTCATCAGGACATTCAGATCGAGGCGCTGCTGATGAGAGCCTGTGAGCCCGTCATCCAGGCGCACTGCCACGTAAGTCTGCACCCAACTCCACCTGGGGATGGGAATCGATAAGATTTTATTGATATCGATGCCATTATCGATTCTGCTTATCGATTCAGTTCTTTAACAATTCTCTTATCGATGCCTGATGGAGTCTCTGATAACAGAAACAGATGTACGCCACCTTCTTGTTGAGAACCGGTTCAGTCCATCGACATCATTTACATTTTATCGTAACGATTCCTTTCTTCAGAGTGCGTTTAAAAACGGTCTACGCGAACAGGAACAAGGACAGAGGAAATAACATGGCGGACGAGATGAAAAGTCGGCAGAAACGATCTAAAGAGTGATTTAATTTTACTAAGAAAGACGACAACAGTGCAACGTTTGTCGAGCAGTGATAGAAAACAAAAATGGAAACACCAGCAAGTTCTCGATTCCCATCCCAGATATCAGACGAGGTTTCAAGAAAAGGAGCTTGAACTTTAAAAAAAAACAAGAGGATTCACCTCTTTTCTCTCTTCTTCTTCTTCGTTTTTTAGGAGGTGGCTGATAATCAGATCGACACCGGGGACCTGATGGAGTGTTTGGTTCAGAACAAACATCAGAAGGAGATGAACGAGAAGTGTGCGGTGGGAGTGACGCACTTCCAGCTGGTGAGCAGACTGCGCTCGAACAGAGATCCAACGAATGACGATGATTTCTATTTAAACGAGATTTAACCCGAGAGGAGACAAAAACAAGTCTGAGGAAGTCCTGAAGAAACAAAAACGAAAGACTTTTCAACATTTTTTAGATCAACAAACATCCGCTCCAGCACGCCGTCATATAATCAGCTGTTTCTTTCTCTCTGTTTCTCTGCGTGTCCTCAGATTCAGATCAAGGATTTCCGTTTCTCCTACAAGTTTAAGACGGCGTGCAAAGAGGACGTCCTAAAACTGTGTCCCAACATCAAGAAGAAGTGAGCAGACACACAAACACAAACACACACTCTCCTGGTTGGGTTTGATTCAGTCTGATTTGACCGTCCCTCCGTCTCTCAGGGTCGACGTCGTGATCTGCCTCAGCACCACGGTGAGGAACGACACGCTGCAGGACGCCAAAGAGCAGCGAGTGTCGGTCAAATGTCGCAAACAGCTGAGGGTGGAGGAGGTGGAGATGGTAGGTCACGACAGAAACGCGTCAAACTGAGGTGTTTGTGGTCTCTCCCGCTCTTGTTTTTATCGCTCTGAGTTTCTCCTCCCTCGCCTGCAGGGATTAAAAAAAGTTTCCGTGTTTTCTGTAAATCTCTAAATCCTCTCTGAATCTCTGCAGTCGGAGGACATCCGCCTGGAGCCCGAGCTCTACGACTCCTGCAAGCAGGACATCAACAGACTGTGTCAGAACGTGGCCTTCGGGAACGCTCAGGTCAGCAAAACTACGACCACAAACTTTCCAGACAGCGAGACAAAAAACACAACCTGTGGGATTTACGGTAGTCTGTTCAAACCTGCAACGCCTTTCTGGAAACTCTGCGTTTTTGGGGGGTTTGCACAGTTTTTACAATACTTACGGTAGTCTGTTTGAACCTGCACCTCTTTTCTTTCAGTCTTTTTTTTTACAGTATTTACGGTAGTCTGTTTATACCTGAAACTCTTCTCTGGAAACTGCGTTTTTTTTTTTTTTTGGTTTGCACAGTTTTTATAGTATTTACGGTAGTCTGTTTACACCTTGAAAGCTTTTCTATCAGTCTGGGTTTTTTTTTATCTGCACAGTTTTTATAGTATTTATGGCAGTCTGTTTAAGACTGCACAGCTTTTCTAGCAGCCTGTTATTACAGTATTTACGGTATTTTGTTTACGCCTGGAAAGCTTTTCTATCAGTCTGTTTCTTTGTCTGTCCATTTGTACAGTATTTATGGTAGTCTGTTTAAATTTGCACAGCTTTTCTACCAGTCTGGGGTTTTTTTATTGCACAGTTTTTATGGTATTTACGGTAGTCAGTTTACTTTTGCACAGCTTATCTATCAGTCAGTTTTTTATCTGCACAGTTTTAACGGTGTTTACGGTAGTCTGTTTACACCTGGACAGCTTTTCTATCAGTCTGTGTTTTTTTTATATGCACATTTTTTATGGTATTTACGGTAGTCTGATTACGCCTGGAAAGCTTTTCTATATGCGCAGTATTTATGGTATTTACGGTCGTCTGTTTTTTATCTGGAAAGCTTTTCTATCAGTCTATTTTTTATCTGCACAGTTTTTACAGTATTTACGGTAGTCTGTTTACACCTGGAAAGCTTTTGTATCAGTCTGGGTTTTTTTTTTATTGCATAGTTTTCATGGTATTTATGGTTGTCAGTTTACTTTTGCACAGCTTTTTTATCAGTCTGTTTTTTATTTGCACAGTTTTTACAGTATTTACGGTAATCTGTTTACACCCAAAGCTTTTCTATCTGCACAGTTTTTACGGTGTTTACGGTAGTCTGTTTACACCTACACACATGAGCAGACGTCCAGGAAAGGTTCAGGAACTCGAACCCTCGTCTGTTTTCTCTTTAGGTGACCGAGTGTCTGAAGGAGAACAAAAACCAGCTGACTCAGCGCTGCCACCAGAGGATCTTCAAGCTGCAGGAGGTGGAGATGGTGGACCCTGAACTGGACTACCAGCTGATGAGGGTCTGCAAACACATGATCAGGGTAGGCCGGCTGAACCCGCATCATGTGGTCTCTGTAGTCCCAACATCAGACTCGGGACTCTGAGCCTCGGTGTGTTTGTAACGTCAGTGTGTGTGTGTGTGTGTGTGTTTCAGCGTTTCTGCACAGAGTCGGAGGGAAAGAACATCCTTCAGTGTCTGAAACAGAACAAGAACAGCGAGCTGATGGACCCCAAATGTAAACAGATGATAACCAAGAGGCAGATCACCCAGAACACGGGTAAGCACACGCGTGAACGCTCATGTGTTATACTGAGGACGTCAGAGTGTTACTGCAGCTCAGGTCTGTGTGTGTCTGTGTGTGTGTGTCCAGACTACAGGCTGAACCCGGTCCTGAGGAAAGCCTGTAAAGCCGACATCCCAAAGTTCTGTCAGCCCATCTTGAATAAGGCGACGGCCGACAGCGAGCTGGAGGGTCAGGTGATCGCCTGCCTCAAACTCAAATACGCCGACCAGGTGAGACGCGCACCGCAGCCGCCGATTAAAAACATTGAAGACGCACTTCAGTTTGGATCTGTTCAAACCTGCACAGCTTTTACAGTATTTACGGTAGTCTGTTTAAACCTGCGTAGCTTTTCTGGAAATCACCGAGAACACTTTCACCTGTGTAACCTCTCATACATTTATACCTGCACATCTTTTATGGTAATTTTGTATTACGCAGACATATTTTTATCCTTACTGTTTTTACAGTATTTACGGTAGTCTATTGAAACCTGCACAGCTTTCCTAGAAATAGTAAAATAATAATGATGCATCAGATTTCATGAAGTCCTTTATCAGAGACCCTCAAAGCTCTTTACCTGTGTGACTTCTCATGCTTTTCTACCTGCACATCTTTTGTGGTAATTCAGTAGTCTATTTTTAGTTGCACAGCTTTTATAGTACTTACGGTAGTTTGTTCTCATCTCTACAGCTTTAGTTTTTTCTTTCTAAATTTTGTCTATCAGCCTTTTTTAACCTGCAGAGCTTTTAGTTCGACCTCTCAGCTTCTCTTGTCTTTGCTGTCGTCTGTTTTAGAGTGACCATCTTTTCTAACATTTACGGTGTTTTATTTCAACCTGCTCAGCGCAGATATTCTGGTGTTTTCAGTGATTATTCACACCTGGAAGGTATGGTCTTTACTAAAGCTGCTTCTGTGTGTGTGTGTGTGTGCGTGTGTGTGTGTGTGTGTGTGTGTGTGTGTGTGTGTGACAGCGTTTGTCTCCAGACTGCGAGGATCAGATCCGGGTCATCCTGCAGGAGTCTGCGCTCGACTACAGGCTGGACCCTCAGCTGCAGCTCCACTGCACACAAGAGGTTTGAACACACACACACACACACACACACACACACACACACAGTGTCACACAGAAATGGAAAAAGTCGTTTTTAAACATTTATTTCTCTAAATCAGTCAAACTGAGAATCTGCTTCGACCTCATATTGTTTAGTGTTAGCTGCAGTGTATCCTCTTGGCCAGCAGGGGGCAGCAGTGGTTAAGCAGTTATGGGCTGAGGGGAGGACAGAGTCAGCAGATTTTAGTGGAAGTTCAGGTGAAACTCGACGACTCTTGACAGCAGATGGCGCTCTAACATCAGTCTGGTTCTGCTCGAGGTTTCTGCCTGTTAAAGGATTCAGATGTTTCCCATCCGGAGGTCGAGTCTTTGTCATTAGACTTAGGACTGCTGGGATTTGGTGTTGTATAGATAAACATTGATTGATTGATTGATTGATTGATTGATTAACCCTTCCTGTGCGTGTCGTCAGATCGCCACGCTGTGCCCAGAGGAGGCGGCGGCTCAGGAGCAGACGGGTCAGGTGGAGGAGTGTCTGAAGGTGAACCTGCTGAAGATCAAACAGGAAGGATGTAAGAAGGTAAAAAAAAAAAACTGATGAGTGACGATTCTTCAAACTCTGAAAATCCCTTCAGACTCTTTTTTTTTTGATTCTTCTAAATCTTCTCCCTCTCTTTTTCTTCTTCTCCTCCTGCAGGAGGTGTTGAACATGCTGAAGGAGAGCAAGGCGGACATCTTCGTCGACCCCGTCCTCCACACCGCCTGCGCTCTGGATATCAAACACCAGTGTGCGGCCATCCCACCCGGCAGAGGGCGCCGTGAGTCCACAAACAAACACACCTCAGACTCAGACTGAACAAAGACAGACAGACAGAGAGGACGACATTTTTATCCACTTTATTCTCAATTAGACAAAAGAATTTATTTTAAAGTCCTAAAAGTGAGAATTAATGAGGAGAATCAGAATAATTAATATCTTTATGGACATTGAGATGAAAACTCCTGATAAAAAGTGTGAATAAAGACAAAAAAATCAAAAAAGTGCTGTAATTTTCGCACTATAAAGCAGCCCGGATTATAAAGCACATTAAGACAAACAAAACAGTCAGATAAGTCAAACTTTATTGAACTCATTCAGTAACTCTGCGAGGCTACGGTAGCTGCGGCGCTCCGACAAGCCAAAAAGGTTTTAAGTGCGAAAAATACATTTATTTTTTTCTTTAAATTTGAGATAAAATCTCAGAAAACTGAGGCGGTCGTGTTTAAAACAGTCAGAGGAAGAACAGGCAGACTTCAAAACCATCGTTTAGTTTTTTATAATTTGACCTGAAGATGTCGGAGTCAAACCTTCGCCATGTTTCCTCAGAGATGTCGTGTCTGATGGAGGCGCTGCAGGACAAACGCGTCCGTCTGCAACCCGAGTGCAAGAAGAGACTTCAGGACCGTATCGACATGTGGAGCTACGCCGCCAAGGTACGAGAGCCGCAGAGTCACGCTGTCTGGAAAACGCACACACACACACACCTCACCTGGACTTCCTGTCTGTCTTTCCGTCAGGTGGCGCCCGCCGAGGGCTTCTCAGACCTCGCCATGCAGGTGATGACGTCGCCGTCCAAGAACTACATCCTGACCGTGATTGGCGCGGGCGTGGCGCTGCTCTTCCTCATGGGGCTGCTCTGCGGCAGGTTCACCAAACGCGTCACTCAGGAGCTGAAGGACAGGTAGACCCCGCCCACTCCGGGGTCAGGACACGCCCACACAGGAGAAACGACCATGTCTGAATCGAAAACCTCCCCCCTTGATTCTCCCCTCCTCTCCCTCCCCCCCGTCCTCTGAGCTTTTTTTTTCCTGTCATCACCGGAAAGACATTACCCACAATCCTCCAGGAGGAAGTGGGCGTTATCAGCGACTCATCTGCTCCGCCTGTACCAGAGCCCCGCCCACTTTTCTTCTTCTTCTTCTTCTTCTCTTCCTGAACAGATGCAGATGCAGTATTACTCCACTCCCCCCCTCCACTGTTGATAAGAATCGAGGGGGTGAGGAGAGGAGAGGGAGGGGGAGGCAGGAGGGGTCAAAGGTCAACGTTCAGGGAGGCGGCGGCGGCGGCGGATGAAAACAGATTCAGTGTAAATGTGTAGAAACGGGGGTGGGAAATGCTCATGTATAGAGCTCTTTAATGACTCCAGTATTTTAATGAGTGTGTGTGTGCGTGCGTGAGTGTGTGTGTGTGCGTGCGCATGTGTGTGACCTAAATTGTGTTTCTACCACCGTTGTTTTTTCGTTGGTGTCGGTCCTCCTGCTAAAGCGTTTTTGTTTTTTTTTTTCGAGGGTTCGTTCGACTCTGGATTCGTCTTTATTTCCTGTTTTTTTTTTTTTTTTCGCTGATGTGTGTTCGTTTGATTTTATCGCCATGGGACTGCCAGGCGGGCGGTGCCAACCAGCCGGCCCCTCTCCATCACAAACACTCCTCCAACCGACCGCAGGGACGACTCTGTATCTCTCAGCCGCTCCACGTGCCATAAACGCACCACGCCGTTCGGCCTCACCGCCGTCTTTGAGGAGCGCTGGTTTTGTTTTTTTTCGGGGGGGGAGGTGTTGGTTGGTACGTTTAAAGCTCCGAGTAATGCAGGAGAGAAAACGATTCTAGGTTCTTGTAGAGATGTGAAGATTTTGTGTAAAGATGATACTGGAATCATTGCACATTTTTGGTTCTTTTTTTATATCTATAAATATATATATATTGTTTTGTCATAGCCTTATTTATTTGTTTACTAATGGTCAAAGTTTGTTTCTTTTTTTCTATGATTTGAATGTTCTCTGGTTGCCTTTTTCTTCAGCGAGCGAGCGAGCGAGCGAGCGTCCCTCCTCCCTGCGGAAAAGAGGGGCGAGGAGCGGGGGGAGAACCTCCTCTGGGAGTCAACCTGCTTCAGAGGCTGATGGTGTTTGTAGTTTTTAGATCAGGTCAAAGAGAGAGAGAGAGGTGCGTTCATGGATCACTCCAACCAAACTCCATTCAAAAAAACAGCGTTTTAAGCCTCCTGCAGAACAACCTGACTAAGCTTGAATCCAGACTTTGTTCTTTTTATTCCAGCTCCTCGTTTTTGTAATGAACTCTTTTCTGTTTTGGGTTCATCAGGCTGCAGCAGGTCGGGGTGTTTTAAACAGAAACTTAACGTCTTGTTGAACACGGTGGCACAGAGGTGAGGCGAACAGATTCATCTCTCTGCTCTGGTCCAGTGATTAGATTCCACTTTAATAAACTTCGTCATCAAGTTTTAGATCAAAATTCTGACAAACAGAAAAAACACGAGCTGTCAGCAGAGATTGTTCACACTGTAGGTGAACTTTATGTACATTAACCTAAATTTACTGGCAGGTAATAATGAAAACCCAGACGAGCTGGTGACTCCTAAGGGTGACGACGATCGATGGTTCTGTAGGCGAGAATCTTTCTGGATGCTCCACAGCCAAAGTGACACGATCTCACCAAAGTGTAGGACACCAGGAGAGGACGGAGAAACGAACTCCAACAGTCAGGAAACAAACCAGTAAACAAAACTAATAAAAAAGAGAAATAACCTTGAAAACCTGAAAAACAAACATCGACTTTACAACTTTGAAAAACTTGATTCAAACTTTTGCACAAAGAGTTTCCTACGACGTATTTTTCTGTTCTCATCCTCCTCCGTCAGCTCCGTCGTAGACTCGTCCTCGTTGAAGATAAGCTGTTAGCATCTCCTCTCTCAACTCCAGACGGGAGACAAATTTCACTTTTTGGAGCAGAGAGTAATCATGGGCAAAAGTCGAACTCTTGTTGGTGTCTGTCTGTTTACATAGAAGAGAGAGATTTGACTCCAAATAAATATAAAACAGGTTTTTGAAATCGTCCCAGAAGCAGGGGGCGCTGTTTATCCTGCTGCACAGTCTGTGGTCCATCAGGAGGTTTTCGGTCTCTTTGGCGGGCGGAGAAGACGCCGCACAGTCCACTGATGTCATCTTGAATCTAAAGTTCCTGAAGTCAAACATGATTTTTCTGGACTCAGCAGATTTTCCTTCGTATCAGTTTTTAAAAAAAAATCAGATTAAAGAGTCAAACCGACACGCCGCAGATTTGACCTGCTTCTCTGCGCCGCCTCAGTCTCTGATTGGTCGATCGCTCTTCTTCTTCTTCTCTTCAGCCTGCAGCAGGTTCTTACCAGAGGAGGACAGCAGGTCAAACGTTTGTGGTCTCCTAAAGGAAGTGCCCCCTTTCTCCTCGAACCCCCTCCCCGGCTCGATCATGTGTACATGTGTACTATACTGAGTGATGACATACTGTAAAAATCTGTGCGTGCAGTCGGCCTGTACTCTTTCTTTGTTTCCGAACTGTGGAAGCTTGCTGTGGTGAGCGCTGCCCTCCTGCTTGTAAATCAGACGTCCTGATTCGTTCAAAATGCCTTCATGTTTTTTTTTTCTCTCCATCTGACGTCGTCAAAGCGTGCCTACTCGCCGTCCCACCGAGGGATCCCGCTGTACAGACCATCAGCAGAGGAGCACTGGGGCCTGTGAGAGAGTGTGTGTGTGTGCGCGAGAGTGTGTGTGTGTGTGTGTGTGTGTGTCGCCCACAGATGCTGTGCGATCTCCGCTCGGTTCTTCGCTGTTCCTGTCGTCTCGAAGCGACGACGACTCGAACGTTTTGGTTTCAAGTTTGTGATGATTGAAGATTTTTTTGTAAAGGATGTTTTGTGTTTGGATCGGCGGAGCTCCTGATCATCAGATTTGTTTGTTTTTTTTCTTTCGGTTTCTTCTCGTTGTTCTGTACAGATGAAAATTGGACAGTTTGTTAATAATAATAAAGTCTGCAAGGTTTCTATCCAGCCGTCTGATCTGGTTTTGTTTTTTTAAACAGATGAAAAATCTGAATCGGAAAATTTAATGTGTTTAAGAAAAAAAAACATGGAGACGCTTTAGTACAGATAAGAAAACTTGATGTGTAAAACTTTCTCAGGAACTTTTAAAAGTTTGTTTGAAAAACTTTTCCCAGAATTTTTCATCAAAAGGCCTCAAACCGCTCAGAAGTTCAACAGTCTCTTACCAAACTCTGAGTTTTTAAGTTTCTTGGTTCCTCTGAGAAAACTGAGGCTCAGGGAGAGAGACTTCTATCAAATCTGAAAACCCGGTCCTTAATTCCATCAAACCAGGTAAAGAATCTGGGCGCCATCTTTGACTGTGAGCTGACTTTTATCCCACATATTAAAAACACAAAAACAGGATTTTAACATGTAAAGAACATCGCCAGAGTCCACGCTCTCTCTGCTGGTGCGTGCTTTTCTCTCCAGTCCTCTTGACTATTGTAACGCCCCGCTTTCTGGTCTTCCAAAACGAAACATCTCAAGTCTACAACTGCTCCTAAACCCCGCCTTCTGGCACGTGTGGGCCAGAAGGCGGGCACATACTACAGCAGTTTTAAAATCACTGCATTGGCTCCCTGTGTGCTTTAGGATCAGTTTTAAGGTCCTTTTAATGGTTTTTAAATGTATTAAGGGTTCCTGATTTGACTCTGATGGGGGTACGAGGTTTTTTTTTTTCTGCATCCTGCTAAAGTTTATTTTGATCCTGAAAGAGTTGTGCAGATTATTGCGAACATTTCTTGAGACCTTACTCTCTCTCAGGACTTTTCTGGGATCTTTGAAAAGATCTCTAAACCCCGGGAACTTTCAGAAGTTTTGAGATCTTGTAAAGACACTAAAACTTTCTCCAGATCTTAATGGTTTCTAAGATCTCAAAGTTTTATGGGGACCTTGTAGTTCCTCAGGATCTTGCTCAGTTATCCTCGATCATAAAACAGTTACCCTGTTTCCCTGTGGGAGGACGGGGTTGTGTTGAAAAAATCTGGATCATACAGATTTTTTTAAATCTTAAAACGATTGTGAAAGTTTCTACAGAAGTTTAACAGCTTTAAGGAATCTGAAAGACGTTTTTCTCTCCGTCTTCAAAAAGTTTCCACAAATCTTTGTAAAGCCGCACCAGGATCTTGACTTGATTTTCGTGGATCTTGCGAACGTTCACTCAAACCTTGTGAAAAATGATCGTTTGAATCTCTGAAAAGTTTCTCAGGATCGTTCAAAAGTTCGTTTCAGATTCCTGCATTTCTAATCCTCCTCACTCAGGTGTGAACATGAAAGTGAACCGAGTCTCGCTGACGGATGACTCTGTGTGTGTTTTCTGTCTTGTACTTGTGTGTGAGTCCCACAGTGCGTGTCTGCGTGTGTGTGTGTGTGTGTGTGTCCTGTCTCCTCTCCGTCTGACAGCTCGGTGTTAAATTCTTCGCTCACAAACACGCCGGCCTCGCTTCAGTTTACGACTCGAATGTCTGAAAACATCCAAAAGTTTTTTCTCCTGGTTGAGTTAAAGTTTCTTTTAGTGCGGAGGTGAAACCTGGAGGAGACGAAGTTTCAGGGTAAAAATGTTTATTATGTCTCAAAGAAATCAGACAAAAAAATCTTCAGTTTCAAACACAAACGTATAAAATCAGAGAGTGGGTCTGAATCTGTTAACAGAAGAATGAAGATTTAAACTTCCTTCACTGCGGCTCAATCTCCCGTCTTGATGATATCTGTACATGATCAAAAATCTTCAGAAGTTTCTGCAGCTCGTCTGTAAAAAATCATCAAATATTCTGTTTAATTTGACATTTTATAAACTGTAGAAATCTGCTTTTTACAGTCGAGATTAAGGGGCCAGAGGATTCAACGTTGTGCAGCAGGTTTAACAAAGTCGAGCTGCAAGTTTCTAGATATCATCCCCGTTTCTGTTTTTAGTTTTGCTTCGAGAGATGTGATGCACAAAGAGCGGAGGAGATCAAAAATCTGCAGAAACTTCTTCTCCATCTTTTATAAAACAAACCAGATCCCCAGAATCAGGATCGGACGGTTTCCTTGTATTAAAAGGACTAAAACTGTTTCGCTCTAAAAAAACCTGAACAGTTCTTCACTCACATTAAGGTTCAGATGATTAATTGCGCCCCCTGCTGCCTGTTTGAACATCCTAATATCCTGCAGAGACTCTGACCTCCTGATGTAATCCTGTCAAATCAGGACACTGAACTTTTTCACCCTGAAGACTTCGGAGGGACTTGAACTCAGACAGTAAAAACCCATTTCAGCTCTATGAAGCCTTGGACCAAATACTGCAGTACCACGGACTAACTGTGGGGGCAGTAGAGCCCATAATTGACTCCCCCATCTAGTTATTAACTTTACACATCTCTTCTTCTTTTTCTAAAGACAGTGAAGGAAGCATGAATGAGACTTTAGCCGTCCAAACTCGGCGCTCTGAACATTTCTCCGTCCTCTCTTCGTTTCTTTCCTCTGGTTTTGCGTCCTGCTCTCATCCATAACAAACAAACATTTAATCTTGTTCTTCTGTACCATCAAACATGACCTTCTTCTCCCAACATTTTCCACATACTTGACCACAAAAACACAAACAAACCCGTCTTTGTGTGTTCCTCTCAGACTTCAAAATTGTTCCAAGTTACAGTAAAAACTTAATGACTGAGTCCAAAGATCATTTTTTAAAAGTTAAAAGTCATTAAAAATAACTTCAGATAAACTGGTGACATCCAATGCGAAGTCCCATAAACTGCAGTACCTAGAGTGTCCACTGGAGGCTGTCCCAAAGTGAGCCAACCCCCCATAGAGCCCCATGTAAAAATGTCTAACTCTAAAGCAGAAATAAACACGTTTACAGCGCGGTACAAACAAACAGTTTGAGGGTCTCTTTAGCTGATTTTTACACTCATGACAAATACGAGCTGAATCTGAATAAACATCATATGATTGGTTCAAAGTTAGGGGTGTGGCCTCTTTGTCTGCTGGGTGTCCCTTCAGCTAATCCAGTCACTAAATTTCACTTCTATGTCCTGTTGGTGCTCTTTTGGAGATTTTTTTCATGTAAATATCGAACCAATCTGACGTTGAGGACGTAACCGACGAGACGGTTTTTCTGACTCATCATGTCTCCGTTTAGCTCTTCTAGCTAAATTCGCAGTTTGCAGATCCCTCGCTACTCTCCAGCTCCGCCCTCTTGACCAAATATGGTCACTTCCGTCTCCAAAAACATAAATGAAGTTGTAGTTGTAGCAACAGTTGGAGCCTCAGTTCCTGCCAATCAAACATGTGAAGTTACCCAATCAGTGTCATGTTTGGAGACTTAAGCCCCTCCCCTAACAGAAATATTTCAAATATATCCGAAAAAAACCTTTAAATACAGAAATAAAAAACACTGGAAAGACACACTTTTGATCTTTGTCGGCCTTTAAAAGTTCATGTCTCGCTCTCAGGAAGTGCTGGTGTCAAAAAACAGCCAACCAATGAGAACCCTGCTGGGCCTGATGTCCCCGCCCATCAGTCCTCCCCCTAAAACTCGTACGGGGAGACAAACAGGGTGACCTTGGTGAGGTAGCGGCCCAGCAGGGCGTTGCGCTCCAGCTCGCTCATCTCCACCTCAGCCTCCAGAGTGGCCGGACCCGTGATGGGCGTCACCAGGAGGAGCGTCCCGGTCTGCCGGCCGGAGCGCTGCACGCTGAAATGACCCCGCCCGTGACCTCCTGCCAGGCCGAACCGAAGCGTGTCACCCAGCACCCGAGCCGCCGACACCCTGAAGAGGACGCGGGGTGCTGACATGTTGGACACCACGGACAGGAAGTGGAAGGAGATGGAGCTTGGCGCCTGAGCGCAGCCGGTATCTCCCAGCATGCACGGGTTCCTCTCACAGCGCCTGAGGAAACACAGAAAGAGTCAGGAGTTAACGCCTCCTCAACACCTCAGAGAGACATTCTCCAATAATACGTCTACTCTAGACGCCATCAGTGGGCGTCTTGTCCCACAGAGAGGATTCTGGGAGTTTTATTTGATCAGGATTTGTCCTTCAGCTCCCACATTGACAGTATTGCGGCTTTCCTGGTACCTTTAAAAAAAGTCGCTAAAGGCAAAGGACAGGTCCTGTATATTTGCGTCACACGCCGCCGCTGCTGTTCCAAAGAAGAACCCGCAGTTCATCGAAGTTTTCGCAGCTTTAATCACAGAAAAAACGCTTCTACAGTCGCCAATGATTTACACGTGCACATCAGATGGAATATGTGACGTGTATCACTGCAAACAAAAGAACATAAAGCGCGGTCAACAAAAATGACAGCTACCTAGGCTCACCTCTCCACCCCGGTGCAGGTAAGACCGCCCCTTATATAACCTGCCGGCTCTCAAACACAGTGACCACGTGACCCAAACCCAGCGAAACCAACGGCAACCAGACAAAACTGAACACAGGAGAACCGATCAGCAAAGCGACATTATGGCTCCTACATTGACAGCTTTTTCCCACCTACCCTGTATCTCAAAAATCCGCCCCCTCCTGTCTTATCAGGCTGCTCCGATGCTGCGGACATGACCAAACTACCATCAGCTCTCATTGTCTCTTTGTGGTTTGAGTTAAAATAGTTTCCCTCGGTGAATGTTCCCTCCTCCTCCTCGTCTTCATCATGTGTTTGTTTTTGAACACAATGGAGCGAGCGATCGAATCAAAACCAAGTCCCTCAGCGGTTCCGCACAAACCCTCGTCTCTCCATCAAGTCTTCGTTTAAAGACCTGTAATTATCCTCAACGATGACTGAGCGGATGAGCTTGTTGTGTTTCTCTCGTTCAGCTGACTGTTTTTTTTGTGAACGTTGGAAGTAAAAATCTGGACAATGATGAAAACGACCCGGCTCCTCAGGGATCCGTGTTTTACGAAGAGGTCACCCACTGAAGGTGCGGTTCATGACCCCGCTGACCCTAAAACGAGGCGCCCACAGAGAATCGACTCTTACTCTCTCCACAAACCAAGTGCAAGTAAAATCATTTAAGCAAATGATTATACTTTCGCCCGGCGCCGTTCGTGGATGGCGCGCGCACCTCGGCAGAGAGCAGAGGTGTTTATGCTTGGCGTGTTCTCCGTTGCAAGAAGAAGTAGCTCCGCCAGTCTTCCCTCAAATTCATCCAGTTTGAACTGAGTGAGACTTGTGCACGCCAAATTTCTAAATCCTGAAGGTGCGATGCCGTCTCGAGGTGGGCGTTTACGTCATTTGTGGCGTGTGAGCCTCGCACACTCGCGACTGCATCTAGCATAAACATGTGTGCTCAACGCAAAGACGCGTTCAGACGCTCCCTCTTCTCTGGAATGACGCGAACTAGGCGGAAGCTGAAAATGTCTCAACCTGAACGGATATTTGGGTCGTGATAACCAATCATAACAGACGGTTGTTCACTGGTCTCTAAAATGGAGGACAAACTGATCGTGTTGGTGCCCCGAATTATATGATACCTTTACTTTCAATTACCGGAACGAGAATAGAAACGACCTTGCCTGGAGGAAAGTGAGTGAGGAGGTCGGATTACTTTGTCTATCACTTGATCCCACCGGTGGAATCGGCAGGGCTAACCGTTGAAATCACGTTAACGCGCGAATGAAGCGAGTAAACACTTTCCATTCAGGCGAGTAGATGATTTTTCTCGAGCGCCCCATCAAGCCTAGTTTATGCTCGACGCAGCCGTGAGTGTGCGAGGCTCGGCGTCCGCTGATGAGCTGTCCGTTCAGATCGATGACAGTCATGAAGACGTGTTTCACTGCGTTCATGACTGTTTTTAGCAAACTCCTCAGTGTCACATCTGAACATCCTCAACATGACTCGTCCTAAAGAAAGGTTCGTTCTCCTCCTCCTCCTCCTCCATCCCTGTAAAGTCCTGACACCCCAACAGTCTCTCCTTCAACATGTTATTATGATAAATCTAAACTCTGTGAACGTTCATAAACAAGCATCAGCTGTCTGCAGGGCGTCTGAAGCCAAACCTCAGTCTGACAGTGAGCCCGGCTGTCATCGTCGGAGGAGGAGGCGGCGGAGGAACGCTAACTGTCGGGTGGAGAGAGGAAGTGGGTGATATGGAGGTAGCAGCCATTGTTCTCTGCTCTCTGTCATTAACAGGAAATCGGCCTCCGTGTCTCCAGAGGTGACAAACTTTGTGGTTTTCTTTGTCTCCTCCGTGTTTGCTCCGTCTGCAGTTTCATTGTTGTCTTATTATAAATTCTTTCGTTAGTTTTTTAACGACGTCTGGAAGCTGAAAATAAATGATGTACTGCTCTAGAAACAATACAGTCAAGTCCTGCAGAGTAAGACGAAGGAGTCGTGACAGACCCAGGTGAACTGGATCTGAGGATAAACCTCCAGGACCTGAGACCGAATGCAGGAATTCACCAGAGTTAGTTCGTGTTTGCAGGAAATCGAGGAAGGGGACCCCGTTTCTGTCAGGGTAAAGCTCGCTCATTAAACATTTGTGATCATCAGAGGTTGGCGTTACGCTCTTACATTGGTGACGTCTTGATGTAGGTGGCGTTCTTCAGGTAAGGGCACTCCACGGACACACACTGGAAGCCTCCGTAGGTGTTCACACACACCTGCTCTGCTGTGCAGTTGTGCATCCTGGTCTCGCACTCGTCGACGTCTGGACACAAAGGAAGAAGAAGAAGCGAGGGTTACTAAAGTGTCTCTGAGCATCCCTGATGAAGATGACCCCTGACCCCTGACCTCTGACCTGTGCAGCTGCGGCCATCATTGGCGAGGTTGTATCCCAGAGGACAGAAGCAGTGGAAGCTTCCAGGAGTGTTGACGCAGCGGTGGACGCAGAGTCGACCGGGCTGACCCAGAGGGAAGAGACGACACTCGTCGATGTCTGAAACACACACGGGACCTCGGTCAGAGCTCCGAGTGTGTGTGTGCGTGTGCGTGTGTGTGTGTGTGTGTGTGTGTGTGTGTGTGTGTGCGTGTGTGAGACCTTCATACCTGTACAGATGTTGTTGTCGCGGCCGGAGATGGTGAATCCCACGTCACAGGTGCAGCGTGTGGAGCCGAGGAAGTGAGTGCAGTGAGACGGGCGAACTGAGGAGGAGGGGGACGACGTGGGGGAAAAAGAGGAGAAGGAGGGAAGAGGAGAGGAGGCGGAGGAGGAGGAGGAGGAGGAGGAGGAGGCTGACAGAGCAGCAGAGCCGGAGAAAGAGGAGGAAGGAGCAGCGGAGGAGAAGGAGGATAAAGAGTTCCCCGAGTTGTTCAGACCTGGACAGAAAAAACAAAAACATGAGGTAAGAAGCAGAGACTGGATCTGGATCGGTTCTGGGTTCTGGTTCAGTATCAGGTCTCACGTCGGCACATCGGTTGCTGCCCACTCCACCTCAGAGAATCCAGACACACTCGAGTCCGTGGGCCAATCAGCTCGTAGCCCGGTTTGCACAGAAAGTGGACCTCGTGACCGACGCCGAACACCCGGCCCAGTCTGCGTCCGTGAAGAGGGGGTTCTGGTTTGGGACAGGTAGCTGAAGGAGAAACACGAAACCATCATCTGTATCACAGCTGTCGAGTATCCCTCTGAGTTTAGGGAATGTAGTCAGTCATGTTGAATATTTGGCCTTTCTCTCATCGCTCTACGTTAACCTTTAAGACAAACATGACTGTCCAGTTTGGACTGATTCACCGAACAAGAAGCACGGCCCAAACCGATCCAGCATACAGACTCTACCAATCGCACTTGGATCACATTTTAACGGAGTTAGGATCTTATTCAATTTTTTTTTTTCAATTTCAATTATTTTATTCGATTAGCATTTAAAATCCACCCACAACAGATACATAGTAAATTTCAAAAGCATCATAAAGCTAATCGAAAAGGTGTAGGCTGAAGCTCATGCTTATTTTGCCTACCCTTTTTACAAAAAAACAAAAACTTTAGCAAGGCGACTCTTTAACTACATGGTCTGAGTTACACCACAAGTCTTCTAAAGAAAAGGGAAAAAGAGAGAAAGAAAAGATAAATTCTCAAAAACATGTTAGAAAATAAATAAACCAACAATATTCCGTAACAAGTATACAAACAGACACAACCAAAAATTTCAATATTTTGTTATTGCTCTTCTTCATACCGGATTTACATATTTTCTTATTGCTTTAGTTTTATACATGTTCTTAAATAAGGAAAGTGAACTACACATTCTTAATTCATCATCACAGCTATTCCACAAGTTAACACCTCTAACAGAAACACACCTCTGCTTAATATTCGTTCTTGTCTTAGTTTTTTTGAGGAAACCTGTTCCCCTCAAATCATATTGACTCTCTCTGGTTTCAAACTGCCTCTGAGTACTACGGCAAAGTAAATTATTATGTGCTTTGTACATTATCTGAGCCATTTTAAATTCAACTAAATCATAAAATTTAAGGGTATTTGAATTAAGAAACAGTGCATTAGTTGATTCAAGAAAGTGGGATCGATTTATAATTCTTATAGCTCTTTTTTGTAACCTAAAAATAGGATCAGTATTGGTTTTATATGTGGAGGATCTGACTCAGTCTGTTTCCATGACACTCGAGAAAACCGAATTATCGCCTTATTCCGATTAAGACCGGACAACTGAAGGTCATGTAAACACCTTAGTCCAACTATAGTCAGAGTTTTAGAACTCTGATTAAGACACTCAGATAATCTGATTGGAATCCGATTTTCTCGACCATGTGACCAGCGTAGTCGGAGTATGATCGGAGTAAGAGTAGAGGAGTAGCGTTGGTCTCATCTTTAGAAAAAGTAGCGCGTCCATCATGTCGGACAAAAACAACGCTGTACGATGCTCCATCTTCTTGTTTCTCCAAAATGCCCAGCAGCAGTTGTAGACACTTCTGACGTCTGACACCGACCTGCTGTTTTTGTTGACGGTTGTATGGGGTCGGAAACAGCGCCTCTGAAAAGACACATATCGCCCCCTAGTGTTGGGGAGGAGGACACGTTCACGCCAATAATTCGCGGACAAGGAGAGAAGTCCGATTAAACTGTGCATGTAAACGTACTGAGTGTTGACGTCTCTATGGTTAGTTAGTTAGAATGAGTTTGTGATAGAGAGGTTTTTTTTTTTTTGCAGCCCGTTAATCAAAAGTGGTTTAACTGCACAGTTGCATCATGTCATAATTTCAGTATTTCGGTTCCTGTCTTTCGTTTCTCGTTGTTTTCCATCAGCGTTTATGAATACGGTTCGCGTCTTCACACCTGTCTGACCTCGGCACAGACTCACCTCCCGTCTTAAAGATGGCCATGGTGCTGTTGTGCAGCGCGCTCATCTTCTTCCTCAGCGAGCGGAGGCCCTGCTGGTACGACGCCTCGTGCACCGCCAACATCTTCTCCACCTGACGCAGAGAGTTCAGCAGGTCGTGGGTGGACGGACACTCCTGTGGGCGGGGCAACGACAAAGACAAAGAGGACAGGTAAGAGGACGGACTCTGATGATGCTGATCAAAAATGTTCTTCCTTGAGCTGCGAAACTCCTTCGCACTTGGTGATTGACTCGTCAGGGCTCCCACAAAAACAAACGGCTGCTGGAAGAGAGTAGGTGAGTTGTGTTTAGTCTCTTTGCTAAAGAAATGAGTCAAAGTTAAAAAGATGTTTGGTGTCTAGTACTATGTCTGTGACCCTATATGTCCTGTTGATGAAGTTAGGTGCTGTTCTGAGCATTATTTGTGGCGTTTTGGTTGGGGGCGTGGCTCTCTGAAGTCGTTACTAAAGTTGGTATAACTAGAGAAACAAGCGGTCGGCAACAATATCCCTTTAACCTTTAAGGAACCTGTTACCTGGTGTTTCTGTGAAGAGTGAAATCTTTACCCACACTCTCTGAAGATACACATGTCAGTCACACGGAGGAAGACCACACCAGCCTGCTAAAAGCCGTCTGTCTGCTGTCTGTTGTGTGTTTCAGGTGCGAGGTCTATACATAGAGGTGAGGTTTCCAGAGCCGCGGCCCGCTGAAGTAACACCCGGGTGAAAATTGGACCCGAGCCCTCCGCTGACCTCATACTGACGGCTAAAACATGGAGCTGACTGTAACACGGCTCGAAAACACAGCCCTGGTGCCACATCACGGAGCTGCTGTGGGTTTGGAGGCGTCTCTCTGGGGTTTGTTTCAGGCAGTGACCCGATGAGGAGGCGGCGGCGGCGGAGGAGGGTGAAGTCGAGTTCAACATGTCAGAGTGAAAAACATGGAAAACATCTGGTAAAAGACGTGTGTGTGTGTGTGTGTGTGTACAAAGAAACAAACAGGAAAGCAGCAATTAGTTTTTCATTAAGTTTGATTAAATTAAACCTTTATTAAAGTCAGCGTTTGAGTTTGGACGTCCACAAACAGAAAATTCAGGAAGAAATTAGAGAAAAAAACTCGATCTGAAGACCGAAAGATAGATTAAATATGACGACTTGATGACTCTCAAACTTTTTTTAAACTGGCTGGTTTTTAACTTTCTTGCAATGATTCTGCAGTGAATATAAGGAAACAGCCTGTCAAAGATGTTATCTTTAGTAAAGCAGGGAGTAAAATGGCCTTTTTTGTCCCTTCAGTGACACCATACCCTTCAACATCAGGTGGCTGCTGTGCTGATTAAAGATGTAAAGAATAATCTTGTCTTTATGGTTTTTGTAGCTCTGCTGTTTCGACACGATTCGAAAGATAATCTCAAGATAAACTTTGTGCACATGGTCAAGATTATTAATTAATTATCAACCAGTTAAAGGTGTTGTAGTCAGGATCTGAGTTAGTTCCAGTTTTTAGGAGAAATCTTGAACGTAAACTCTACCCCTCCCTCTCTGCTCCCTCAAGCCCCGCCCACAAACAGACGCTCCTGCTCGCTCGTATCGTTCCAATTAAATTCAGATATAATGCAGATAAATACTTCAGATCATTACAAATGGGGCCCAGTCAAGGTGAAAGTCAAAAGCATTGGTGCTACTGTAGATGCCAACAGACTACCAGCAAACACAATGTTTGCAGGACTTCTACAACGAGGATAAAGTGACATAGTCCAGGACCCGAGGGAGGACAGTTTAGCGATGGAGCTACAACACGCTACAGCAGGTCCGTTTGACAAGAAACACTTCTGTTACAGACACTTGTCTTACTTTGTTAAAGCGGTTTACCTGTCCAGCAGAAAGGTTACAGGGTCACCAAGATCCCCAAGCGTCCCCCATGGTTTTTGTTGACCCGGCTTTTTAGCTCTTGTCCGGTCTACCTCCGTTTTAAGCGCCCGTTATTCCTCCAGAGTCTCCGGTATTTACTTTGTTTTCTTGCTTGTGTCGGCAGTCGTGGCCAAAGGAGGATTCAGACAATTTTCCGAACTTTCTGGTTGGTTTCTACTGTCCGATATTGTAGCACGCTAACTTTGTTTGGGCTCCTGAACGACACGGGGAAACAGCATTTTCTTGCTGACTGTTTTCTTGTTGACTGTTTTCTTGCTGACTGTTTTCTTGTTGACTGTTTTCTTGTTGACTGTTTTCTTGCTGACTGATTATGGTTGACCGTTTTCTTGCTGACTGTTTTCTTGTTGACTGTTTTCTTGTTGACTGTTTATGGTTGACTGTTTTTTGCTGACTGTTTTTTGTTGACTGTTTTGGTGTTGACCGTTTTCCTGTTGACTGGTTTGGTGTTGACTGTTTTTTGCTGACTGTTTTCTTGTTGACTGATTATAGTTGACATTTTCCTGTTGACTATTTTCTTGTTGACTGTTTTCTTGTTGACTGTTTTCTTGTTGACTGATTATGGTTGACCGTTTTCTTGCTGACTGTTTTTTGTTGACTGTTTTGGTGTTGAATGGTTTGGTGTTGACTGTTTTCTTGTTGACTGTTTTCTTGTTGACTGATTATGGTTGACTGTTTTTTGTTGACTGTTTTGGTGTTGAATGGTTTGGTGTTGACTGTTTTCTTGTTGACTGTTTTCTTGTTGACTGTTTTCTTGCTGACTGTTTTCTTGTTGACTGTTTTCTTGTTGACTGTTTTCTTGCTGACTGTTTTCTTGTTGACTGGTTTGGTGTTGACTGTTTTCTTGCTGACTGTTTTCTTGTTGACTGGTTTGGTGTTGACTGTTTTCTTGCTGACTGTTTTCTTGCTGACTGTTTTCTTGCTGACTGTTTTCTTGCTGACTGTTTTCTTGCTGACTGTTTTCTTGCTGACCGTTTTCCTGTTGACTGTTTTGGTGTTGACTGATTATGGTTGACTGTTTTATTGCTGACTGTTTTCTTGTTGACTGATTATAGTTGACTGTTTTCTTGTTGACTGTTTTCTTGTTGACTGTTTTCTTGTTGACTGTTTTCTTGTTGACTGTTTTCTTGCTGACTGTTTTCTTGCTGACTGTTTATGTTTGAGTGTTTTCTTGCTTGTGTCGGCAGTCGTGGCCAAAGGAGGATTCAGACAATTTTCCGAACTTTCTGGTTGGTTTCTACTGTCCGATATTGTAGCACGCTAACTTTGTTTGGGCTCCTGAACGACACGGGGGAGCAGCGTCTGCCTCACAACCAATCAGGTTAGAGGAGGTGGAGAACGGCTTTGTTTACAGTCAGAAAGAGCGGACCGCTAAGATTTTTTTTGTATATAAATAAACAAAAAGAAGCTTCTTTAACAGATTCCTGTCTACTCCACCTTTAATTGAGGAAAAAAGACTTGAAACCTTCAACAAGAAAACAGGTAGCTCGAAGTTTGTCTCGAGACACAAAAATCATAAAAAACCATGATATTAAATCACCATGGAGAAGCTGATATCTTAAACTGATTCATATTTTGCTCATGACTTCATTACTCCAGTTTTTTTTAAAGACATATTTATAAATTTCTTCTCTTTAGGTCAACTTGAGAGTCTGGATTCAGGTCTTCTTCGTCTCTGTTTTCCTCATTAGGGTTTACGGGATTCTTATTTATTATCAGGCTGTGCCGAATGCTTGTCTCTGATTGGTCCAACCTCTGTAAAAAAAAAGGTGATTTATTCCCAACAACTAAAGCAACATCTGGTACGAACAGTCGAGCTCGTGAAGGTGAACATGAAGGTTGGATCTGCAGAGCTCGGAGGGCAGAGAGCCGAATGAGGACAGAGACGTCAGCATGTGTGGGGATCCTGTTCAAACATGAACTTCAGATTAACGCTCACCTTAACGTCAATCTGTACAGTCAGGAGGAAGATAATCTGTTACTATAGAAACGTAACAGTCTGATCTCAGAGGGACACATTAGTCTATGTGTGTAAAAAAAAGTCATTTTTAAATCAATATGTGTGTTTTAATAATGTATAAAGAACAGTCGGTCATGCAGATTGGAGTTCTGATACTTTGCATCGAGGTGTATTTCTATCTTTGGTAAGAGTCTGAGTAACAAACAGGATCATGTGAAGTGAAGAGGTGGTTATGCGTATTAAAACACTCTGACAGCGTGAGCATGTGGAGGTATTTTACTCAGTTTGTTAGAATCTAAATCTGAATCATTTTACTTCGGTCGCTTTCACACCAGAGCTGTTCGGTCCGCTTTAAACGGACCAGAGTTCGTTTCCTCCGATAGTCCGCTTCGTTTGGGCAGGTGTGAAAGCTGATCCGATCTCTGGTCCGCCTGAAAACGTGGGTCTCGGTCTCGGTTCGTATGCAGTGTGAAAGCTCACCAGACCAAACACAGGACCGAATGTACGTAATGACGCTATACGCAGCGCAACACGTGACCGCTGACATTAGCAGTTGCTAGCTAGCTTAGCTCAATTGTCTGAACAACAATAACCCATAAATTCACAATTTGGCAAATTTAAACAAAATCAAATCACAGCTACCAACAGTCCCAGTCCTTAAACTCTGAGCTCATATGTCGTCACGTGTTTGATCGTCAAAGTTAGAAGAATAACAGGATCAATCCCTGACGAGCTACGATAGCGTTATAGGAACAGTTGCGTTCACTAACGATGTAGCGTTCCATAAAACAATGTGATGAAGGACGATACAAGATGGCGAGTCCACCTCTGTTTGTAATCCGTGAGGTTACAAACCCCTCCTACTTTGTCCAATCGACGAGCGCTTCTTTCAACCACGTGATGCTGCTCGGAAACTTCGGTGCGCTTTAGAAATCACAGCGTGAAAACAGAACCGAAACAAGTGATAAATGCAACAATGTTGAACCGAGTCCGCCTGGTCAGGAGTGAAAGCGACCGTAATCTCACTGGTTCTGAGGATTTTCCCGCTGCTGCCGAACACACGCTCAGTTTCTTAAAGTTAACCCTTTCATGCTCAGTGGTCACTACAGCGGACAGCTCATCAAAAGGTGTTCTTTTGTGTAGATTTTGTTGTTGTAGATTCAGGTCTTACTGTTTTCTGGTTTGTCTGTTTTAATCTTTGACGTTGGAGTCAGAAAAGCAGAAATATTGAAGACTGTGTCGCTTCCACAGAAAGTGTTTGGAAGGTTATTGACGATATTTTTCTGTCTTTTTGTAGAAAATCTCAAGAAATCTGCAGTTTATTAGTTCAAAACTAACTTTGACGTTTTTGCGTTGCTTTGAATATGTGTTAGAGTGAGTTAAAGTCAAAGAGGACGTTAAATTAGCTGCATTAAATAAGATTTGTTTGTTAAATTCATATTTAATTGTTAAAAAACTCAAACATGGTGTCCAGCTGAACGGACGTTTTTGTAACTCCATGAAAAATTTCAATTGCATCATTTTTTATGTGTCTAAAGAGGGAAAAAAAATCTGAAGACCTCCTAATTCATGCATGAATTATGTGTGTTGATTTCTGCTGTATCATGTAATTGTTGGAGCTTTTGTAACAGAAATAGTTAAATAAGAGGAATGAAAATCTTCTGATGTTTCAGAGTAAAAGTGTTTGTTAAAAAGAGGGTCTGTAATGGACTGACCTGAGGTCTCTCTACAAACAAGCGGCTGCTGGAGGAGAGTAGGTGAGTTGTGTTTCGTCTCTTTGTTAAAGAAATTAGCAAGAAATTAAACACTCTTTTGGGAAGGACAACTGGACTTACTTTCAACATAGAACTGGAAATCATAGATGCTGCATCCTCAGTTTTAAACACTTTAAAGACTTTCGTATGATCCCAAACCAGATTCTGACATGATAAAGAAATGATCATAAATGTTCTTCCTTGAGCTGCGACACCCCGCTGTAGTCCCTAATGGACTGGCCTGAGGTCTCACTACAGACAAGCGTCTGCTGGAAGAGAGTAGGTGAGTTGTGTTTCGTCTCTTTGCTAAAGAAATGAGTCAAAGTTAAAAAGATGTTTCTCTCCGGCTCTGCAGTCAGATCATGAAAGTGATTTATTCTGAAAACTGGAGTCAAAGTAAAGATTGTTTCTGTCAAACTTTAAATGAGAGTTTATTTAGTTTTAAAAATCCAGATATCTCAAGATCTCATAATTCCTGCATGACAGGGTTAAGAGGAAGAACCAGAGAAAATCAGGGTTTGAGATGATGATGATACGGACAGAAGCAGGACCTTAAATATCGACATCAGAAAACATTTATGCAGCTGTGATGACTAAACAAACGAGAACTTATTTATTTCTGTCGTTTTAGTTTTGGAGCTGAACTTGCAGAAGAGTATGTTCGGTGTTTTTCTGCAGAGAGACAGGACGTCTGTAACACATGCATGTCTATTTTCTCTTTCATCGTTTTCAAACCTGCAGATGTCGTCGTTTCAAACCCCCCAGGCTCAGATTATCTGTTGAAATTGATGATAAAGAATCTCTGTGACTTTCTATCTTGTGTCCTCACCTGTGCTGAAGTGAAGGCCATGATGTGAAAACACAGCGTTGAAACGACGACCCCAAAGATCTTCATCTTGAACAAATCCTCCGTCCTCATCCTCACAAAGACCTGCAGCTCCGTCTCCTCAGACCGTCTCTCCTAAACTGAATCCTCTCCTCTGCTCCACTTTCTTTTCGAGGGTGCTTGCCAAATTTCTCCTCCGCTCAGTCACACAATCAATCCTCCTCCTCCTCCTCCTCCTCCTCCACATCTGGAGCACACTTTCACTTTTTGATCCATCAGCATCCTCCAGAAATAGACCTTAAATTAGAAGGAGCAGTCAGCTGGCTGTGGCGTCTTTTAATCATCCTGGTCGGACACGAAGCAGCGACGATCTGGTGAATATTTCCACTTCGCTCCCGGCTCAGGAATGTGACTCCTGCTCCAGTTACACAGATCATAAAGCCTCGTTTTGTGTTTTTTTTTGTTTGAAACCCTAAACCTGCACTCTCTGAGGATAATGTGGTGCGGCTGCTAAATGACAGGGCGGCAGTATCTGCTGATAGCGTGGTCGAGATTATCGCCAACCAGGGAGAAAGCTGCAGGGACCCTCAAAGTTTGGGGAAAAAAAGACCCTAAACTTTGACTTCCATAAAGTCATATAGAAAGAATGATAATAGCAGAGTGTAAAAACAGGCTCTGATCTCTCTGAAGAGGTCTGAGAAACAAAGTGGTGGTTAGAAATGTACAGAAAAGGATCAAACGAGGTTTTAGAAGTCAGTGAGAGCTCCTTATAGTCCCTGTGGAGTTAGTCTGCTTCTATTTCAACTATATCCTGATGCAACCCTGAGTCTTCATATGGAGACTTTATATTACGAGTCTATAAAATCTGAAAAATCGAGAACAGAGGACTGAACCTGCACTAAGAAGCAGAAATGTTCATGTTCATATGTTATAGTCGTAGCTTTAAAGGGTTTCTTTGACTTCCTGTTGGTGATAATCGTCACTAAATAAGATGTCGGACCTTCACCTCGATTATTCTGACTCTGATCTGATCAGAGCTCAAAGACCCGGGCTTCGTTTGATCATCCCACACGTCCTTCAGCCTTTTCAAACCTTCACTTTATTAAAGATAAGAACTTTATAGGGAAATTAGATACTTTTTATATTATTATATTATATTTAATTATTGATATATTTGATATATAAATATTACAGACAGACTGAGACCTTTATTTTACATTCAAAATGCTTCCCCATCCAGTCACTGTACTTCCCACAGTGTCCACAAGGTGGTGCTGCAGTCAAGGAGTTTGACACAGAAGTTTAGATGTACAGAAAGTAGGAGTAAAGAGCTCAAATAGAGCATCAGGTCATCTGAAAGGTTGTAAATTTAAAGTCAAATTAGACGGTTCAAAATATTTGTCCACTAAAAGCTCCAAAAATCTGAACTAACCCTTTAAAATTCACTGAGCTGTAACAGATATAACTCTGGAAAAATGTCTTTGTTTAAACTTTTATGTTGTTTTTGGTTTAGATTTTAAAATAATCATAAATAAAACCAAAATCTCCCATTTGTTCTGATGTTTTGAAACATTTGGACCGATGGTAGAACAGCGCCCTCTGCTGGGCTTCTGTGTGTTGATCTGCTGTTTTACATGTAAATGTTGGAGCTTTTTGAACAGAAATGGTTTAATAAGAGGAATGATAATCTTTTAATGTTTCAGAGTGAAGGTGTTGTGGATCTGCTCGGCTCTCCGGCTCTGGAGTCAGATCATGAAAGTGATTTATTCTGAAAACTGGAGTCAAAGTAAAGTTTGTTTTTGTCGAACATTAAATGAGAGTTTATTTTGTTTTAGAAATCAAGAGAGAGAATTGTGACGTTCTCGAATTTAAAAAAACAGCTTCAAGAGAAAAAAAAGTTTCTCTTCAAATTTTTTATCAGAATATTTAACATTTGATAAAAATCTGACGGAGAGTTTTTCTGAAAGTTGATAAAGAAAACAGAACATTTGTCTGAGTTTGGATCGGTCGATTAAAAACTGTTTAATCAGTGTTGATAAATTAGGGGGGGGTCTGCTGTTCTGTGGTTGAACTCAGTTTTAATTATAAAAGCCATGAAATGATTGGACTTTAATTAAAGCTGTCCTCTCTCATTAAGACATGACGAGGAGGAGAGCTGGCGGTCTCCTGGGCTCCTCTATTTATCTCTGAGTTAACCTCTGTCAGCAGCTGGCCGCCACACTCCCAGCATGCATTTCAATGAGGGTTTATCATCAGAGCGGGTCAGTACACACACACACACACACACACTGAGCTTCGAAACACTGATCCACACATTTATGTTAGAGGGTTTTAAAGTCTGCAGGTGTTTTTTTTCTTTTAACCATCCAGTCGTTTTCTTCAGTTTCTCCAGGATGAGGTCTCAGCAAGTGGACCCAGACCAGCAGACTCTGGGTCTACCGTGAGTCCTCCACTCAAACGTTTTTCTTATTTTTTAAGTTCTAAAGAGGTTTTATGTTGAGTAAATGTAGATGTCAGATAACACATCACTGTTTTTAACATTTATGATCATTTCTTCATCATGTCAGAATGTGGTTTGGGATCATATGAAGGTCTTTGTCTGGATGGACGCAGATGTTCCTCCTAAACCTGGAGATATTGTTTAAAACTGAGGATGCAGCATCTATGATTTCCAGTTCTATGTTGAAAGGACAACTGGACTTACTTGAGACGTTTCGCCTAAGTCCAGTTGTCCTTTCCAAAAGAGTGTTCAATTTCTTGCTAATTTCTTTAGCACAGAGACTAAACACAACTCACCTACTCTCTTCCAGCAGACGCTTGTTTATAGCGAGACCTCAAGCCAGTCCATTACAGTGGGGTGCCGCAGCTCAAGGAAGAACATTTATGATCATTTCTTTATCATTTCCTTGAAGTAATAATCACCATATTAATCATTTTACAGACGCGGTAGTTCTTCTGTCTTAGCGTCTCAGTCTGATTGTATTTCCATGAAGAAATAAATAGACAGGATGGAAAGAAGAAACATGTTTTATCTGGATGTATACTTTCTTTTTCTACTTTATCAAAAGTGAACCGATTTTCACGTTGTTACTTCTACTGTTACGGTGGCCCTGAAGGAAAATTACAGGAACACTGAAATATCGAATAAAATCTGTGTCAAACTAAAAAACTTTTATTTGAAATAAACTATTCACTGGGTGCTAAAACTTACCATGAATCACCAAAAACATTTAGGAAACACTAAAAAGTAAAACTTAATTCAAAATATTAAAATACAAAATATTTTATGACACATTAAAATGAAAAAAACATTTAAGAAGACGCTCTAACATTTTACAGAAACATGAAACAGTTTATGAAAAAACCCAAAGAATTTCTTTGAACACTAAAAGAAATCTCAAAAACATTTTTGTCGTTTCTAAAATATTTCATGTTTTCTCTAAAATGTTTTAAATGTTCCAGAATTTTTTGTTTTGATAATTATTTTTTTGTTTTGTGTATTTTATGAGTTATTCTAAAAGGTTTTGTCTTTCAGTGAAATGTTTGTGCGTTTGTCCCTCTGAGCCTCCGTAGAATTCTCCTCTTTTCCCCCCAAATGGGTCAATAATCCAGCAGCCCTCCATCTCCCCCCTCTGTAGAGTGAGAGATGGTACGACCCGCCGCCTCACTCAGCGGTCACCCCTCTCTCTCTCTCTCTCCCTCTCTCTCTCTCTCTCTCTCTCTCCCTCTCTCTCTCTCTCTCTCTCTCTCTCTCAGTATCAGTCAGACACTCCGAGGCGTCAGTCTTCATCCTCCTCCTCCTCGTTTGCTGCCTCTTCTTCTTCTTCTGTTGTTATGACCCATTTCAGGAGCGACTGCCACCGAGACAGATGTGAGTACACACACACACACACACACACACACACACACACACACTGACAGTGAGTTGGCTGTATTTTGGAGGCTCCTCTCTGGTTGAACTTGTTTCTCTGAGTCTGTTTTTGTGTTTTTGCTGCAGATTAAAGATAATTCAAGTTTATTGATGATCTCTGATTGATCATAAACGCCTCTTTGAGACCGCTCAGATGTGTGAGGATGAGATCAGCTCACATGTGGAGGATAATAACATTTCATTCATTAACGCAGGTGCATGGAGGTGTTTTTAAGGACCAGTTTGATCCGTCCTGAAATCATGAGGGTTACGTTTGAGTTTATGAGTTTGATACGGACTAAAAAGAGAAAAGAAAGACAGAAGAATCAAGAAGATAAAAAGAGTGTAAAGTCTTATTTATCACCCTCTTTACTGCTCCTCTCAGTTATCGGTATCAATGTTTCTGTTGATCAGAAAACTGTCTCTTCTCTCCTCTTCACCAAACTGAACATTTGGAGTCGAGAGAGAGAGCGTCTCCAATCCTGACTAATTCACTCTAGACTTTAGAAATGGTCAGACAGTGGCGTGTAAAAGGGTCAAAGGGCAAGCGTAGGTCCCCCGTTAGTAACTGGATGAGCGCTGACTAATCGGGTTTGATCGGGGTTGGGGTTAGGGTCGGGCAGAACACGGTCCACGGTACCTCCTCAGTTATCTCTGCGAACAAAGACGTTAACTCTGACGTTAAACACCGTTCAGAATCAACTGAAGTCGGCGTCATGTTAGCGTTAGCGCTCTACTTCTCAGTTTGACAGAGGAGACGCCGATTAACGTCAAATCTAGCAGAGCTGTACGATCGTGCTCAAGCTGTCTGTGATCCATCTTCGCTCAAAAACAGGGTTTGGATCAGTCTTCAGTCTCAGGGTAACAGATGAAAGTCTGACTCTCTTCATTCCTCCGGGTCGTTCAGTTTTAGAAGAACCGTCTCTGTTCGCTCCATCAGCTCTAATAACCCGACGTCTACAATCATGATGCGGTTTTAAGCCGAGTTGTTAAATATTAAGGTTTCAGTTATCGTTTTTTTAATTTATGTTCATGTGAGGTAAAAAAGACGTCCTGCTGATAACTCACAGATGGACCCATCACCCATAATTGCTCTTCATCACCGTTTCATCTGAGCGGGTCTTTAATTTTCTCGAAGTGGTTTATCTCAGACGACTCTCGGGTCGGTTCTCTGATAAAAAACTGAACTGACCTCGATGACGATCAGCCTCCGCTCTCATCACCAGGAGTCGAGTTCGAGGTTCTGTTTGTTCATCCGTAAAATCAGGGAAATGTCAGCGCTCACATCCTCGCCGCTCTCAGGTGAGGAATATCATCAGAGTTCCTGTTTGGTCAACCGGGGAAAAACCGACCCTGAAACTCTGGAGGAAGTTCAGGAGGCGGATCTGATTCACAGGGGTCAGCTGTTCCACAGGTGAGGGGGAAGGTGATGCAAAGGCGAATCCCACCTGGGTTTTAGAGCAGCTGATTGGTTGACCTCAGCGCTCTGACCGCGGTATGAACATGGAGAAGCTCAGCTAAGTAAGATGGCGCCGGTTTACTAACGGCCTTGAAGGTCAATAAGAAAAATTTAAAACTAGAAACAAGTGTTGAGGTTTCTGTTTCTCGCCAGTCGGGAGGCGAGCGGCGGCGGCGGAGGCATTTTGAAGGAGCTGCAGCCGCTGAGTGGATGACGTCTCTGAGCGAAAGAGTTAAAACGACCCGGACCAGATCAGCAGATCATGACCCGCCCTCTCTAGAGCTTCAGGGAGCAGATACGTCTTTACTTCACTGCTGTCCGTCTCCACTCTGAAGGTCCTCACACACCGGGAACGACGCAGAGATACGACGTGGAATTACGATAAATTCAGAGGTGAATTTTGACTCGCCTGACTAAACACATCAAGCGCGATACGATTTTACGACTTACCAGGGGAAAAACTGTCGCGACCCTCATTCACCTGTGATCGGAGAATGAGGGCGGTGGTCGCTGTCCCAGGGCTGGTTTGGCGGTTAGTGAGCGGTGGGCTCTGTCACTCTCTGCGGTGGGGACTCGCACACTAGCCCTCGTAGACGTTGTCCAGCTCTCTGAGACGTTGGCTGAGGTTGTCGGCCGCCAGCTCGAGGGACCGCAGGCGTTGACCACGGTCTTCCCCTTTAAACCAAACTTGGTCAAACTTAGCCTCCAGCAGGCTAAAAGACTTTTTAAAGTCCGCCGCTGGCGCCTCGCGGTGTTGCTCCAGTAACACGGAGACAGCATCAACTGTGAAGCTAGCTGCCGACGATGAATCGTCCTTTTTGGAAGATTTGCCGCTCTTCGCAGTCATTGGTGATAATAAACACCAATAAATTACAGCAAGTTTAGGTCGTAGAATGTCGGAGTGAAATGTTGTAAGATGAAAACACGCAGGAGCCGATCTTCGTTGCTTCTACTCCATGTAGCCGCTAAACCGAAAGTCTCAAACAGACGATTTCTTAAAAGCTTTTTAATTTTAATCAAATGAAATTTTTACACAAACACTGAAAATGTCAGAGGAGGCGTTCAGATCACGTTCAGATCAGCTGTGAGATGTTTGGCGTCTTTGTCCTGGACCCGTTTTAAACAGTGAAGACGGATCATCATCAGGGATAATCGAAGGTTAGAGAGAGCAGCTCTGATCGATCTTTAATGCTCTGATCGATCTTTAATGCTCTCCGATCGATTTGTCCTTAAAGATGAAAGAAAGAAAAAAACAGGAGCAGAGCGAGATTCCTGTTGGACCGCCCCTCTGACCTTTGATCGATCTGATCGATCAGAGTTTTGCACAATCATTCGACGATGGTTTAACCTTCTGTTGTTTCTGTTCACACAAACACGGCCTCAGACACCGGCTGAGAAACGGTTTCAAACACAAACAGAATCGCTTGTTCTGGTCCGGTCCAGCAGGCGGCCCGGTCTCGGCTCTGATTTCCTGCCAAACCCTGAAAAGCCTGTCCCTAAAAACCAATAAGCATGAGGGCGTGAAATTGTGCTGTCATCACTCTTTCTTCCTCTCCTCCTCTCTCATTTTCCCCTCCATCTTTCCCTCCTCTCTAAAGCCGATGTGTCGTGCAAACAATGCGAGGCAATAAGCAAGCAAATAGCTGTAATCACTCAGTCGATGATGCACAATCACCCGCTCAGCACGCCGCGGGAGTCGCTGCGACCTGGCAGCCTTATCGATCTCTGAGGGGGGACGATTAAAGGCACCCCAGCAGTTAACAGATGGTGAGTGACGGCGCTCATAAACCCCGCTCTGAAAGACTAATGTCCTACAAGCTGCAGCCGGCGTGGAGGCCGTAAACAACGCTGCGAAGACTGTCAGCGGGCGCCCTGGGTGTGCGGAGGAGGGTGATGGTGGGCCGCTGCCTCGCCAAACACACCCCGACACGCAGGGGGGTCCGTCGAGCTGTGCACCAGCTCTGATGGAGGTCACGCAGAGACAGACCGGTCTCTGTTTTCAATTACAGCGAGCGAAGAGATCTGAGCGGAGACGAGAGGAACAGAGAGGACGAGAGTTTGACTTTAGAGAAACACTTTCTGATCCAACAAAGACGAAGATTTTACTTTAAAGAAAACGTTTATTTTATCTCAATCAAAATCATCCTAAACTTTAATGATCAGATTATCGTTTGTTTGTTCTTACGAGGGCGGGGCGATAAACTGAAAATTAACGACAAAGTTAGGATCATTAAAACCCACCTGTTCAAATCGGCTTTAACTAACTTAAGTCTGTTTTTACTGTCTCTGTAACGTGTTTGTAAGAGCTATTTAAATAAAATGTTATGATAATTATGAAGTGGTGAAGTATGAACAGAGGTCAGAACTGTGAGTTAAAAACAGGGTTGGGTATATCGATTGATTTTGAACGATTCTGATTTTGATTCCTCGTTTTGATTCTTTATTCTGATTCTTTTAAAAGGCAGGATATAAAAAAAAAGAGTTCTTTTCTGAACTTCTCCATGAATTTTTCAATGATATGAACTTTCTAAGAACTTTACTGTGAATTTCTCACATTTTTAACTAGGCCTGAACGATATATCGTTTGACTATCGTCATCGCGATGTACGTGTGTGCGATAGTCACATCGCAGAGCCTGCGATATTGGAGGTGAATGAACTCATTTAATTTCAAGGGTAACCGACTGAGATACACTCCATGTGACTCTGCATGTGCTGTGCAGCGATCCACCAATCGCCTTCGTCCTTAACTCAGTTGCCAATCAGACTCACTTCTCAGTTGCCAATCAGACTACCCTGCCAGCTGTCAATCAAAATCAGGGAGGAGAAAACCCACCCCTGCACATGTTCTGCACATGGAGGGAGACGTGTGTCCGCTGAGAATTACTTTCGGAACTTTACTCATGACTGTTAAGCCCAACAAATAAGAACTGTATGGGTTTTAAATTGTACATTTCCGTGGACCACTCTACTATAAGCAGTGCGCGTTTTGCGAGGTGCATGCAATTCTCGGAGGACATGCGTTTCTCGGCACAACACCGCTAACAACAACAACAACGATCGCAAAATGAACAACGAACAAGAAAAAAACACCGAAAATGAAGATTTGTTGCCAAAAAGAAAAGGAAAGTCAGTTATCTGGAATTATTTCGGTTAAAAGAAGGATGATGTCGACCAAAACACGTCTTCTGTGTTCATCTGTTGCCACAATAACGTCCCAGCACAATAAAAGCTAAAAATATCTCTGAGACAGACAGAAGCCGTTCTACTAACATTCACAAAAAGAGGTAAGATCAGAGCAGATTAACTGTCCTCAAGATTTCAGCAGTGCAGCATAACATTAAGTGCTATTCAGGTCATCTGGTGAAAATACTGTATTTTTAATATCGCAATATATATCGCAGGGTTTAAAAAATCGCAATATTATTTTTTTCCAATATTGTGCAGCCTTATTTTTAACCAGTATATAAATATCAGTTTTTGTTGTTGGTCGTTTGTCTGTGAAAAAGTACACGCGCTAACGTTACAGTGTTGGAAAAAAGTTTGGAATATTTGTCACTTCAACCCCAGCCTCGTGTTTAACGCGGTCTGCTGCTTTCTGGAGAATTATTCAAAGACTTTTGAGTGTTCCCTGGTCTCTGTGATATGTTTTTGAAATTCACATCAAACTCTTTTGTTTCTCAAAAAATTGTAGGGCGGACACCTCATGACTCACAAAAAGCCATAGAAATAACGCATAAAATCATGAGTCGGTATTTAATAAATAAACGGCTGTAATTTTAAATTGCCACAAAATACGTGGACCATCTTTGAAAGCAACATCAAACATAACAAGACGATAACAACAATACAGTCAGTACTTTGTGTGACCGCCTCTAGCATTGTACAATGCGCGTACACGTCTGGGCATGCTGGTCACTAGGTTGGTAAGAGTTTCAACCGGGATTTCTCGCCAGCATTGGATCACAGCCTGAGTCAGATCAGCCACGTTTGTTGGAGGATCATTCACGTTACAGGAAACACTGAAGAAAATATTCCAAACTTTTTCCAACACTGTAGTTGGTTATTTAAGTCGACCCCCCGTACACAGTACAGTTTGTTAGAGAAAGACCGGTGTTGTGTCGTAGAATGGATCCCCTCCACTCATGAGCTTCTTAAAGTGGAAGGAAATGATTTCATATTTAAAAAAAAAACACGAGTATTGGATCATGAGCACAACACCGGCAAAGCGCGTCAAAGAGGGGAACTCGGGTGTTTCTCCTCCATGAATCCTGAGGTGTTTAATCATGTTGGTCGTTCACCCTCCTTTACAGGATGTAACTGCGTCGCTAATGTTGCTCTGAGATAAGAGTTCATTGTTTCTGCTAAAGTTGGACAAACTTCTGACCAACGAAGAAGAAGCTGACGAACACCAACGAGGACGGAGCGTACGAGACGAAGCCACGCAGAGAGAGGAGAGAGACAGAGAGAGCATTTCAACCCACACTCGATGGCTTCTTCTTCGTTGGTGTTCGGTGGCTATTTCTTCCGGTATCGAAATTTAAAAATTTGAACGAATTTAAAAAAACATCATAAGGAGGTAAAAGTCAGAGTGAAGTTCAGACTGAGTCTGTGTGTGTGTCTGAGTGACAGAAACATGTTTGTCAGAGGAGCTTCATGGACGAGAGAGGAGAGTCTGACAGATGGAGGCCAATTAGACTCTCAGGATGCTCGTTAGAGTGTCCGGCTGAGCCCGCTGTGTGTGTGTGTGTGTGTGTGTGTGTGTGTGTGTGTGTGTGTGTGTGTGTGTGTGTGTGTGTGTGTGTGTGTGTGTGTGTGTGTGTTGTTGTCATGGTACTCAGTCGGGTTTTTCGCTCTATTTATTTAGTTTTGGGAGTTGTATCAGTCACAGGGGTGTGTGATGGTTTAGTGTGTGCGTGTGCGTGTGTGTGTGTGCGTGTGTGTGTGTGTGTGTGTGTGTGTCAGTCAGTGTTGCCTTCATCGTCGTCTTCCTCACATTAGCCGCTCAGACGTGTCGGTCCGTCTCGAACCTGATCCGATGGTTTTTGTTTTCAGACGTCGGGATGAACGGCGAGCTGAGAGTCGGTCGCACCATGGCGGCGAAGAGAGGAAACAGCGCCCTCGACAGGTGAGTTTGCGCCTGACTTTTCTTATGATCGTCTTGTCATATCGGACCCGCTCAGAGCTGACTGCGTTTTCACGTGGTCAAACTTCACCGCCATCTTTATCAGTCAGAAAAATGTAAAATCACCAGGAACAACGACAGAGAAGCTTAAAGTCGACGATCTGAGAAGTCGTTAAAAACAAACTGAACCATTGAGGCAGATTTGAAAAAAGCCAGAACTACGGGAGAGGGGTGTGTCAAAAACAGCGAGATGATTGGATGGAGAGGTGGAGCAGGAGATTGACCAATAGGAGCTGTCTGGGACGGATGGCTCCCATTGGTCGATGTTTTTGCAGCCCTGCACCTGATAGGGTGAACGGATTTTCTCTGTTCTTTTTTCTCTTCACTTTGTGGAGATCGCACTATAGGACCATGATCGCCATAGAAACGAGGGTCATAATAATTAACAACCTCTACAATCGTCAACCATGACATGTTACTGTCTTGTTGCTCAGCTCCATGTAAACAAAACCTCGTATTTATCAGCTTTTAACTCCTGTGACGTCTTTTCGCTCGTTAAAACTTTAATAAAACCAAAAGTAAAAGCTTAATTAGTCGTCAGAGGTGGACAGAGACACGCTCCGTCTGTAGAGGATTTCAAACATGGACGTTTGTGTCATTAGCAGCAGAACGAGTGTCAGTCCAGTCCAGTTTTCAGCTCTGCTCCTGTGGTCCTCCTGTGTGAAACAGACGGTGAGTGACGGTCCAGCTGTCCCCAGTTTTCACCTCACTCTCTGTTTACATGGAAACAAGAGCCAAACCGTCCCCCAAATCCCCACCGCCGCCCGCCGCTGGACGGATTAAAACCGAGAGAACAGGACTCGGCGCCGTCCAGAGTCTGGATTTAGAGGCGGGCAGCCTCACAGAGAGACTCTGGAGAGACGGTGAGGGTCTGAGAGGAGAACCAGGGGGGGACAGTTCACTCCTCAGACTTTAACAATAATTCACTTCATCCAGCTCTGTGAGGATTAAATGAGGCTCAACGCCTATTTCCTCCACCTTACTGCGAGAAATGAAGCCGCAGGGTCAGAGGTCGCGGGCTGCGCCGAGGAAGTTATGCAAATCCTCTGCAGCGGGAATCAGAAGAGGCGAAAGCCAAACAGAACTTATCTTTCCGCTTTAGTGAAATTAACCGGATTAAACTGATTCGAAGCAGAATTACACGCTGCAGTGGATCCACACTTCCTCAAATATAAACCGGGATTAAAAAAATTAAACTATGAATCTGAAAAGGAACAGAAACTTCCTCAAACTCAGTCGAGTCCCGAGAAACTGACAGAACTGTGATTTCAGAACTGTCTGATCCAGATGAGACCAGGTCTTCAGGGTCTCTGTGTCAGTATCCACGTGTGTTTGTCATCAGTGAATCCTCGCTCAGCTCAGCTCAGGGCCGTTTTTCACGCTGCTTCTGGAGTTTCCTGTTGTTAGTTTTGATTAGCAGACAAAGAAGGAGGAGGAGGGACCCATCTGGACCGCAACCTGCTGAGTTCAGACGAGACGGACTGCAGGACAAACACACACTGACACACACACACACACACAAACACACACAGGTGTATGTGAAGAATAAAAGGTTCAGTAAGACAGAAATAAAATTGATAGATTATTAATTCACGGCCGTCAGACAATTTATCAGTCTATGAGTCAGGATGGGACGATATGTTTTTCTCCTGATTCGATTTAAATTGCGATTCTACGATATCGTCAATTTTCTCAATTTTTAAGCTCCTTTCACACCTGCAGCGTTTTTTTCCTGCAATCATTTCGGACGTCAAGATTTTTTTTCGAACCTGTATCCTGTCTTTTCAAGCGTTCACATCAGCAACGTTTTCCCGTCCTGCGATATTGCAGCATTTATTTTTTGTATCACGGTCGATTTAAAGTTTCACAAACTGTGTGTCCACTTCTGACCAATCGGCACGCCTACGGCGAAACGTCTCAAGTAAGTCCAGTTGTCCTTTCAACGAGGAACTGGAAATCATAGATGCTGCATCCTCAGTTTATAACAACATCTGCGTCCATCCAGACAAAGACCTTCAGATGATCCCAAACAGCACGGCTCTGTAGGAGAAGAGTCCTGGACTGAAGTAACAGGATCTGATCTGATCCTGTCCGGCTCGGCTTTTTATTTTCAAACCATCAGATTCTGTTTTTACCGACATTTACATCGTCTCACAACTCTTACAGTTTATTCTGCATCTAAGGAACAGAGAGCAGACACAGAAAAATCAAAAGAGAGAGAGAGAGAGAGAGAGAGAGAGAGAGAGAGAGAGAGAGAGAGAGAGAGAGAGAGAGAGAGAGAGAGAGAGAGAGAGAGAGAGAGAGAGAGAGAGAGAGAGAGAGAGAGAGAGAGAGAGAGCACTGTAATTATGTCTTCTTGTCCCTCGATCGTCCTGCTGAGACGAGCGTTTAGAGCAAAGAGATGAATCAGCGTTTCCTTTGAGGAGAAAAATAACAGCTCGATAAAAAAACAAGACAACAAAAACCATTTAACCTTACACACACACACACACACACACACACACACACACACACACACACACACACACACACACACACACACACACACAGTAAGGAGGATAAATGGAGAAACTAAACTGCGTCCTTGTTTAAATTCAAAGCTGTCTGTGATTGCGGTCGCTGTTTTCTTTCTGTTTCACCTCATCAGCTCAGATCGAGGCGGACGTGTTTACACGCTGACAAAACAGTTCACTTTAAATTTAATTAAGATTATAATGCAGATAAAGAAAGAACGCCACACTCGCTGCGGCGTTTACTCGCTTAAAGAAACCGCAGGAAGATTAAAAAGTTTATCGGGAAAGAAAACCAGACGAGGTCGAAGTTCCTGGAGATGATTTTTTTTTTTCGCTCGTTCAAAAGGTTTTTAAAAGATAAGCCGATGAGCGGACAGAGGTCGAAGTTAACGCCTCAGCGATGGTCGTTAAATGAGGGTAGTTGTTGAAGCGTTTGTTGACCTACTTCTACTTCCTACGTATAAACCAAGAAAAGACCAAAGCCATGACCGTCGCACAACGTCAACACCTTCCACCAATCACCATCGGCGAACAAGACATAGAGTACGTCAAAAACTTCACAAACCTCAGGAGGAACATCTCAAACACTGGAGAAAGACGCACAGACCAGAATCGGCAAAGCTGCAGGAGTCCTCCAACGACTCCGGAACATCTGGTCGTCGAAATCCATCACCATGGTCACAAAGCCACGCCTCTATATGTCAGCGGTCAACCCTACAGCGACCTACGCCTGTGAGACGTGGACGAAGACAGCCACCATCACCAACAAGTTGGATGTCTTCCATCAACGGTACCTCAGATCCTAAAGATCTCATGGAGAGACCACATCACCGATGAAGAGGTGATGAGATGGACAGGTGTAGCGCCCTCTTCTGACATCGTCTCTGACAGGAGAAAGAGAATGACCGGACATGGACTCCGACCGCCAACAGAGGGAGGCCAAAGAAGACATGGAGACAAACCGCCGAGGAAGACCTGAGCGAGATGGGAGTCAGCTGGTACAGAGCAAGAAGGGTCGCTACAGACCGGAGCAAATGGAGGGGGCTCGTCGCCCGATGGTCCAACAGGAACGGGAGGAACTAAGTCTAAGTAAGTGACCTACTTCAGGGGTTGATAGGAAACGGGGTCACCTGATCAGGGGCCTCATTCATCAACCGTTTTAAACATTCCCACGCAAAATCTGAAATTGATCGACCTGGACTTGTTCTTAGGAACGTGAGTAAATTTAAGCCCAACTCTGAGCATGCTTACACACAAACCCTAGTGGTAGAACAGTGAAACTACAACTAGAACCATTAAAGGGGTCACAGCGTTCAGCAGTCTCAGACTTCACACATGTTCTCTGTTCCCTCTGTACAAAATTGATCAATTAGTTATTGATTGAATCAGCTGTGACAGGACAACCTCAGAAGAAGTCTGACAAGTACAAAAACAAATACAAAAACAAGAATCATGTCTTATTTTGGACCATCGGAGGACTTGGAGAACCGCGTTTCCAAAGAGCGTGCTGATCTGTTCGATGAGAACACAGTCTGTGTTTGAATAGATTTATGATCCGTGATTTATAACCATGTTGGAGCGAGAGACAAAACGCACCGACGCCATCATCCCAGTGACCATCCAGCTCCTGTCCACCCTAACCCGACATTTCAGCCTCAGATCAGAGACATAGACGACATTTCACAGACAACGCTGACAGAATCATGTCGGCAGAGTTGATCAATAATTTCTCTGACCTCGACTTACATCCAGTTCCCAAACACACATCAGCAACACGCCGAAATAAAACCAGGATTTCACACCATCGCTGGATTCCCAAACAAAATTGGAGCCGTCGATTTCATATTTACCATATATGGTCAATCGGAGGCGTTTCTGAGTGTAAAGGACCCTAACCATGAACGAGCACGGTAGGAAAGAACAGGTGGGATTTATCATCACTGATTACTTACGTGTGTGCGTACGACCGTGTCCACATGTTTGAGAAATACAGATTTTTTGTTCTTACACAGATTCGACATTTCATTCCTACGACAAAATTTAGAAGTTTTTCTACGCACGGTTGAGAAACGAGGACCCTGGAGCTGTAAATTCAGAAGAGTCCATGAGAGTTGGCGTTCGTGTCTCCGCCTGCTGTCAGAGGTGATTGTTCAAACTTGTAACTGTAGGTCATGAAGAGCATGTGACACCCCTCCCCCGTGAAGTTCCCGACTTTTTTGATTCAGAGACCAAAATCCTCCTCCATCGGGCCGCAGAGATGCAGCATCATCGTCTTTGCGGACCTCTGAGGTCACCTGACCCGACCCGACTCTGGGTCCGAGCCCAGCGAGCTGAGGAGGCGGGAACACGCCGAAACGGCCCATTAACCGCCGCCTCACCGCGCCACGCTACAGTACGCCGCTGCTGATTTATGGGACTGCAGCAGGCCGGTGAGGGTGAGCGGTAAATCAGAATAAATGGATGTGGAGGGGAGTGTGTGTGTGTGTGTGCGTGTGTGTGTGTGTGTGTGTGTGTGTGTGAGTGTGTGTGTTTGTGTGTGTGAGGAAGATGAAACCAAACAGCTCAGCATGCTCTCACCTGCTGCCAGAAACACATGAATATCGATGAACACACACACACAAACACACACACACACACGTGTGTGTGTGTGTGTGTGTGTGTGTGTGTGTGTGTGTGTGTGTGTGTGTGTGTGTGTGTGTGTGTGTGTCTTGGGGTTTTCTAATCGTTAGTGTCAGAGAAAGGGTTAGCGTTAAGTAGCAGCTATATAAATGCTAATTCCTCATCAAGTGCTGGGCTCTGATTGGTTATTCTTTATGGCTATGAAACGTCATCGTCTGTCGGGTTAGGAGATTTAGAATTACGATAATGTTCTGTTCGATGTACAGAGCCGACAGCTCGCATTTGGCTTGAGCGCTAGAAGACGTTTCCAGCTTTTCTAGCCAATCAGAGGCGATGGAGGCGGGACTTTGCCCTACCATCCAACAAAAAAATATATCTCGGCCGGGAGAGTGGGAGGGGACGAGTCGGAAACACGGGAGAGGGGTGTGTCGAATACAGCGAGGTGATTGAATGAAGAGGCGGAGCAGGAGATTGACCAATAGGAGCTGTCCGGGATGGATGGCTCCTATTGGTCAATGTTTTTGCAGCCCTGCACCTGATAGGGTGAACGGATTTTTTCCGTTCTTTTTTCTCTTCACTTTGTGGAGATCGCACTATAGGACCATGGTCGCCATAGAAACGAGGTTCATAATAATTACTAATCTCTACAATCGTCAACCATGCCTTAAAAGTCTACCTGTATAGATTTACAGTACACACCTGATGAGGACATTCAGGGGTGTATAAGATGATTTTTAGGGGAATAAAGTCGAAACACGAGTTAAACGTCACCTTTTGTTTTTACAGGTTGGTTTTCGCAGACGTGCAGCAGCAGAGACTGAAATAAGGTCAAAGAAAGATTCTGCAAAGATCTCTCAAGTGTCGCTCCTGTCGACATAAATCCAGACCCGCCTGCAGCTGATTTCCGCCGTCGTCATAACAGCCAAACTCACTTTGTGTTATTGCTCATAATTGCGGCGGGAAGCATCACGAGGAGCATCCTCTCAGCCGCTGTGGGTGTAATATCCGACCTAATTACACAGATAAAGCAGCAGTCTGAGCCGTGAACGAGTCATTTAGAGGATCAATAGTCCTGTTTAAGGGTTCGCTCCTACACTGCTCGATAGGAAACGCACCGCTGAGCTGATGCCCTGAGTCGATAACGCTGTTAAACGCTGATTAATACGCGTCACGGCTGATGAAGACGAATGAGACGCCGCGGATGTTTACAAACAGACGGGGAAAGGATTTGTCTCTCCGTCAGAGGGGTTACCTTTTCTATCTGTCCCTCTGCTTCTTTATTAGTCCTGTTAGGAAGGCCCGTGTGTTGTGTGTGTGGTTATTGATCCTCCTCCTCAGTGGATAAAGAGTGCCCCACTCTGGAGTTTGGTCTCCTTTATTATCCCTCCAGCTCTCCTCTCTCGTCTTTCAGAGTTCACTCCTTCAGGTCTTATTTACACCTGAATAATATCGGGAAACATCAACGAAGATCGGAGACGTACCCCGGCACCGGTCTGGTGTGTCAGCTGGTCCGATTTTCTTGGACTCCTGTGTTTGTCTCTGTTTGCTTTGGCCTCCCCGACACAAGGTGGAGATACGGTCCATTTCAGCTGGTTCCTTTTGGGCCATCTCCCTGTGGACCTGTTGTGCCACAGACCAAAGCAATCAACACCACCCTCTGGAGGGAGCTCGTTTCTGCTTCCTCAGAGAAGAGAGACCCGGGGCTCCAGTTACCCGGAATTTCCACCGCATCCGGAACGGCTCCGAACGATGGCAATTTTCATCGTATGCCAATTCCTACCAGATCTGTTTGTGAGGCGAGTTTCATGGTGGATTACGGACAGCAGGAATCATGAGAACTCACAAGAACCCATGGATTCACGTGCAATCACGTGATAACGAGTTGTCTTTAGCCACAGAGGCTAACCATGTAAGCAGTAGATTGTGTCCTTCCAGAGGAGGAAATCTACTTCTAGACTTCTAGAATCTTCTAGAATCTTTGCCCAACGTGAAGGAGCTCGGGTATCTTGAGATTGAAAGGTGGATCAATGCATGGAAAGAAATTGACTAACGCGCTGTGGTGAGGAGGAAGCTGAGCTCGAGGGAGAAACTTTCGGTTTACCAATCGATCAACTAAAGTCGTGGTTAAGGTCACAGGAGCAAACATTTAGGTCTGTTTGAAGGTGTCTCGGTCCGTTTCAAGGTGTCTTGGTCTCTTTCAGGTGTCTCGGTCTGAAGGAGTCTTGGTCTGTTTCAGGTGTCTTGGTCTGTTTCAAGGTGTCTCGGTCTGAAGGTGGCTTGGTCCGTTTCAGGAGTCTTAGTCTGAAGGTGTCTTGGTATGAAGGAGTCTTGGTCTGTTTGAAGGTGTCTTGGTCTGTTTTTATGCGTCTTGGTCTGAAGGTGTCTCGGTCTGTTTCAGGTGTCTCGGTCTGTTTGAAGGTGTCTTGGTCCATTTGAAGGTGTCTTGGTCTGAAGGTGTCTCGGTCTGTTTGAAGGTGTCTCGGTCTGAAGGAGTCTCGGTCTGTTTCAGGTGTCTATGTTTTCAGTTGTCTTGGTCCGTTTGAAGGAGTCTTAGTCTGAAGGTGTCTTGGTCTGTTTTTATGTGTCTCGGTCTGAAGGTGTCTCGGTCTGAAGGTGTCTCGGTCTGAAGGTGTCTCGGTCTGTTTTTATGTGTCTTGGTCTGAAGGTGTCTCGGTCTGTTTCAGGAGTCTTAGTCTGTTTGAAGGGACCCTGAAGCGTCTGATAAAAATAATCCTCCTGTAACAATCAACCACCTGACAGCGTGGACCGTGAACTTGTACCTTCTCCCTGCGGTCTTGCTGACCCAGTTAAACTCTGTCTGGGGGAGCTGTGTTGCCAGTTTGGGTGCCGACTCTGCTGCCTTGCCCACAGGCTCTTTGGCACAGTAACATGTAGGTCTGACAGCCATCTGCTGTGTCCGGCTCGGCCTGTGGAGCAGCTCCAGAGGCAGCAGATGGCTGCAGTGTGACAGAGGGTTTAATTTGATTCAATTATTGATCATTTCAATCATTATTTACATAAATAATCCTGCTGTTATAATCCTCTCTAATCTGGATTTAATGTTCTTGTTAATTAGTTTTGATGAAAGTTTGTTTCATTCAGAAAAATAAAGAAATCTTGGCTTTTAGTCCGCTCTGATTCAGACGGTGATCTCCTCTCCTTTCTTTTTTGAGAGCTTTCACTTTCAGTTTATTCAGGTCCTCCTTTTATCATATTATATCCTCTCAGACCCTACAGTGTTTTTATGCTCACTAAAACAAACCAAATCAACCAGAATGAACACCAACCAAAGAGCAGCAGACTTTTTAAAAACTCCACATCTCAAAGTAGGGCTGGACGATCAACCAAAAATTTACCGATACTGAAATTTACGTCAATAATGTCAATAATAATTATACCCGTATCGGTATATAAGGTGGGAAAAAAATCAATAAATCAAAGTAGGTTTTGGATGTGTGTAGGTAGGCTATGGTCTCATGTCAGTAACAAAGAGGTAAAGACAGGTGAGGAGATGGAGGACGGAGAGAAAGTTGTAGCTGCTGAAGTAGACGAAGTTAATGTGGGAGGGGGTGAGCAGCTTGTGGAGTAGTTATCGTACATTTATTGTTATTGAGGTGAACTGATCAATATATGGTGATATTGATTTGAGGACATATGGCCCAGCCCTATCTCAAAGCAAACCTTCGATTATAATCTTTTTAACTTTTCCACCAAAATTTATATTTTGATAAACATCAGAGTTCGTTGAAGAAGACGTGAAACTGGAGTCATGAAGTCTGATCAATTGTTCACAGGGGAATAAATCAAGTAAAGAGTTCGTGTTTTGTTTACTTTTACAACTTTTGACGTCTTTTTGAAACCAGTAGAGTCGCCCTCTGCTGGACGTAAAAACAGAGCAGCTTTAAGCACTGAGATCTTCCTCTCATAGCTGGGCTGAAGTCTAACCTAGCTCTCTTTCTCTTCCTCCTCAGATCTGACTATGAGATGGAGTTTGACAGATACCCTGAGGATCACTGTAACAGGTACCGAACATCCATCTATCTTGTTGTTTTTGGCAGGATTGATTATTGATACCAGAAGGTCGTGAACACAAACATTCGAAGGGCTTTAGATGTTTATTCTAAGGGCATCCTGACACGTCCATGGGTGGAATCAAGAGATCGCTTTGTCACTTCATAGTTACAGGAAAAACATCCACAGAGAACTTTCCCCAGTTTATTTACTCTAAGGTCATTTTTTCATGTCGGTTTGACTGGAAACGTTTTCAGAGGACACGGTTTCTACGACCTAAAACTGGAGAGGAATCCTCTGAGGTGTTTGTACTAAAGAAGTTGATCTTAGAACGTTTTCCTCGACTTGGATGAAAAACTTTGGACATTTTCACAACTGGAACAATCAAACTAAGAAGACGTGAATTCAATTTGATTTATTTTGGTCCTGATCCCTCAAAGTGTTTCAGGCAGCAGCTCTGGATGTCATCTCAGCGTCTCAGAGTCTGAATTTGTTTCCTGAGTGACTCACGTCGCTCATTTTCAGCCGAGAGCAGGAAGTTGTTCTCCTCTTCCTGTTCGGAGTCAGCGTATGATCGAGGTAAAGGTTAGGAATGACCGCCCTCCTCTCAGAGATGTTTACAGCTCCAGGAGGAGATGAAAACCGTGAGAGGATCCATGTTTGACCTTTTCGTCTCTCAGCTTTCAGACGGTTAGAGACGAGCACAGCTGCTGTCTGAGACTCACATGAAGAGATAACATCCATCAAAGAGGAGGAAGGAGGGAGAAATCACAGCTCTGAGTTAGAGAGATTAGATCCAATCAGTCAGATTTATGGAAACAGAGAGAGAACGAAGTCGAGATCAAAACGATGAGAGGCTGAAAACAAATGAAACAACAGATCCAAAGAGAGAGAAAGTAAAACGAAGGAAGATTGAGAAGGAAACAGCAAAGATGAACAGAAACCTGCAGAGACAATCCAGGAACCAGGGTCAGGTGATCCACAAAGAACTGGATTCATCTGATTCTGTGATTACCTGAGCTGTAAACAGGAGTATGCGCCAAATTCTCTGTCCACAGGGGGCGCCAAATCCAAGCAGACTGACAAATCTCGACCGAATATACGTTTAAAATTTTGTGTTTGATGTTTGACTTTAATTTTTGCATCTTTGCTGAGTTGGTAAAATTTGACAGTTGAGAAGCACTTTTTGAATTTTTGGCATTTTGGACTTTTTAAAGGGACAGCTGAAGACAGGTGGGGAAGGTGGGGAGTAGAGAGGTCTTCTAGAGCTTGTTCTTCTGAACCAGCAGCTTCTAAGATAGAGAAAACAGACGGTGATAAGAGGAGCTTCACAGCTGCACACAAACTGCACATTGCGGAATTTAAAGAGTTAAGGTCCTTTCACACCTGCAGCGTTTTTTTTCCTGTGATTATTTCAGACGTCAATATTTTTTTCTAACCCATATCCTGTCAATACAAGCGTTCACATCAGCGACGTTTTCCCGTCCTGCGATATTGCAGCATTTATTTTTTTGTATCACAGTCGAATTTTCTATTTCACCGGTTCACCGGTATATCCAACATGGCCGACCGGCTGATTGTTTACATGTCGGAGAACAGAGTGATTTTTGATAAAAGACACAAACATTACAAAGATAACGACCTGAAGGACGACTTATGGAGAGTCATAGTGTCAGATTTCTCATATGACGATAGTTTGTGAGCTTTAACAGTTTGATAAACGTCTTTGTTTCAACTTTCATCTGTGCTAAGTAACTTTAGCTCGTAAGCTAACCTGTTCAGATACAACATACCATATTTTCTGTCACAGCACCATTAGGTTTCAGTTGTTACCTTACGTTTATGGATTATAGTTTAATGCTCTTATCTGGTACTGACCCTGACTCAGTACATGCTATCATGACAGACAGACATCTCAACACTAGAGTCTGATCAGAACAGAGAAACACTCAGTCTGCTGTTGGGTCAGTCTGCTCACTTCCACCCACGACGTGTCTTTTCCCCCCCTGGAAAGTCGCAAAATCGCATCGGGCTTGATGTGTATAGTCAGGCGTGTCAAAATTTGCCTCAGAATATTTCATAATTTCGTGTCCTATATTTGCGTTGGTCCCGGTGTGTGAGGACCTTTACAGAGACATCAACCAAATTAAAGAAAACAGAAACGATTATCAGTCGTAAAAGTTTCTGGGTTGGAGACATGGAGTTTCAGGGATGCAGAAGATTATCAGGTAAAGAGGTAAACTGGAGCAGCAGAGCGTCTGACCTGAACCCTGGATGATGTTTTTATTACCTCCAAACATCTCAGCTGGAAAAAAAGAGAAGTGAAAAACAAAAACAAAAAGGTTTTTCCATCAGTTTAAATGAGAATCCCATCTGTGAGAGAGAGAGAGAGAGAGAGAGAGAGAGAGAGAGAGAGAGAGAGAGAGAGAGAGAGGGGAAACAGGAAATAAGGCTTTAGACAGAATTAGCATTAGTCTGATGGAGAATACAATCACACCAACAAACCTTTTTTAACTAAATGACAATTAAAGCGGCTCTGCTGCAGGAAATGGGAAACGAGAGAGTGAGTTTGTTCTTAATGTGAGAAAACCACCTCCATTAGTCTGAAGTGACTCCGTGTGAGTTTCTTTTCCTCCGTTTTACACGTTTCAACGTTTAAAGTAAGAGTAAATGTTTCTAAGAGGCCTAAATTTTTGTTTTTGTCCGTTTGTATCTCTGGATTATTCGATTCTTCTCAGCGACGAGTTAAAACAGGCGTCAGAAAACGATCCGAACCCGTTTTTGTTCGAGCCGTTCTGCTTTTTCACCGCCTGTAAAACCTCCTGACAGCTCTGAAGGTGACACACGGAGGACTCAGCAAATTCATGACAAGAGAGGAAAAACAACAAACACTCCGACTCTGTGTGTGTGTGTGTGTGTGTGTGTGTCAGGGGAAATGTGCCACTACAGCAACTTAGAGTGAAAACGTTCACACAAACTCAGTGAAAGCAGTTTATTATAAATCAGCCGCTCTCCTCTGTCAGCCGCTCTGAACACACCTGAGCTCACACTAAGGCCTGCAGGTAAACAACCATGTGACGGACGGTTTTCAGTCCACCTGTGAACGAGGCCCTCACCGCTCCTCGCCATGATTGGGATTAAAAAAAACCACCAGAGCTGACCTCCTCTCTCATGAGCATCTGTGATGAATCGACGTGGGTTCACTGTGGGATTACAGGATGTCAGAAATAATGAAAATCTGTCGCTCTGAGTCCTCCCCTCTCCTAAAGAGCGCCGGTCTGGATGTTAGGAGGAGGATTTGACTCTTCCTCATGAGTTCCTGTCTCCCCTGAAATCCTGCAGGAATGATCCCGAGTGTTTAATTTTACACAGACGGAGTGTGTGAGGGGAAACTCCATCACACAGCGGCCTGTAAATATTTACAGGTGTTTATCTGCTGGGCTGAGGATTATCAGCTTAGTGAGGTACAGTAGCCCTCATCGTCCAGCACACACACACGCACACACACACACACACACACACACACACACACACACACACACACACACACACACACTGTATCCTGCTGTGTGTGTGTGTGTGTGTGTGTGAGGCTGCAGGGACAAACAGCAGGAGGTCTGAATGTGTGTGTGATGATCACTCCCGCTCACAAATCTAAAGTTGCTGACGGTATGTTAATCCTCGGCTCTGCTGCTGCTGCTGCTGCGGTAAACTGTGAGCGGGACACAAAGAGCGGCACAGGAAGACAGAAAAACGTCAAAGTCTAGAAGAAGAAGAAGGAGGAGGAGGAGGGGAAGGAGGAGGAGACGAATATAGAGTCTGAGGAAGAGGAGGCGGATTCAGAGAAACTTTGATTTTCTTTGAATGAACAGTTTCTGTATTTTTAGCTTCTCTCTCGTACCTGGAAAACACGCCGTCATGAGATCGACGAAAAGTTTATTTTTAAAACGTCTTTTCCAGAAATTAGTTTTTTTTTCACCACATCTACTTTAAGATCAACAGTCAAGAGTCTGCAGGAGCACAGAAACGTGCTCGCTCTGGGTTCTGGTTTTCACCCGTCAGCTCCGCCCTCTGTTAGGTCAGTTAAAGGTGGTGTAGTCAGGATCTGAGTTAGGTCCAGTTTTTAGGAGAAATCTTGAATGTAAACTCTACCCCTCCAGACCAGTTTTCCCCTCAGCTCCTCCTCTCCCCTTAAGCCCCGCCCACAAACAGACGCTCCTGCTCGCTCGTATCGTTAATTAAATTCAGATATAATGCAGATAAATACTTCAGATCATTACAAATGGGGCCCAGTCAAGGTGAAAGTCAAAAGCATTGGTGCTACTGTAGATGCCAACAGACTACCAGCAAACACAATGTTTGCAGGACTTCTACAACGAGGATAAAGTGACATAGTCCAGGACCCGAGGGAGGACAGTTTAGCGATGGCGCTAAATAAATAAGATAAGATATTTAACATTCATGATAAATCTCATATTGTTACGGCCCTAATTAAAAGAAACAATCAGTGGTTTTACCTGACGGGACACAGGAGTTGTTGTTCTGTCCTGCTTTGGTTGGTTAGTTAGTTTTGTCAAAGTGGAGGTGGTTTCCTGCGCTGAAGAAAAAGGCTGAGAGATAAAATCTGTGAATGTGATTGGTTAATAAAATTACATTATTATTATTATAATTGCTCCGGTTGTTTGTTACCTTTGTACAACGGAGTATCAGGGCCACATTGAGCAAAAAAAAAATTTAGGACTTCGAGATTGAAGTCGTAAATAAATGATATAAAAACATTACTAATCATCACTAATGAGAATAAAGTTGAAATAAAATTCTTACAAGAATAAAGTAAAAAAAAAATCAGTCAAAATCATTACTAATGAAATTACAGTTGTAATAAAATTATTATGAGACTAAAGTCGTGAAAAAAATTTACAAAAAAAGTCGTAATAAAATTATTACTAACGAGAATAAAGTAATAAAAGTATTATGAGAATAAAGTTGTAATAACACTATTTCAAATTAAGTCGAAATAAAATTATTACGAAATTAAAGTTGTAATATAATTATTCAGAATAATGTCATAATAAAATCATTACTAATGAGAATAAAGTTAAAATAAAGTCCTTATATTCTAAGCTGTTGTTTAAGATGACAGTCGAAGAATTTAGTGAAAATGTACTTTAATTTAGGTTTATTTAATAAGGAGATACTTCATGTTTTGGCACATCAGCACCACACTATCATGAGTATCATGATGACTTCATTCTTTACGACTTTATTCTCATAAATTAACGACTTTAATCTTCAAGTCTTATTATTTTTTTCTCTTAATCTGGCCCTAACACAAAAACGATGAAAAAATCCAAAAACATGTTTTTTTATGAGGTTCACAGATATAATCTTCCTCCGGCTGTCGAGGTTTAAATGTACTTTTAATGCTGCTGAGGCGGCGTTGGAAACAAGTGTGTGTGTGTGTGTGTGTGTGTGTGTGTGTGTGTGTGTGTGTGTGTGTGTGTGTGTGTGTTGGAGGTGGAGTGTACTGCAGTCACTCCTCCTGCAGCTGCAGATGGATGCTGTGATAGACAGCAGAGGTTGGCAGAGAGACGAAGAGCTGCTCCTCGTCCTCCTCTATCGCCGTCTGCATCAAATTGGAGCTGTCAGTCAGCCGCACAACACACGACCAGAGCGAAACAACACACACACACACAACAACATCAGCACCTGTTCGGGGGGCGCTGAGAGAAGAAATGAAACCAAATCAGCGCAGGTTATCGCTTTGATAAGATAAATTGTTCCGTCCTTCATAAAGTTGGAGCAGGTAACGGCGGCGGCCGGCGGAGGAACAGCTGTGCCGCGGCTTTAAGAGCAAATTCACTTTGAGTTGACTTTGAGCTGCAGCTCCATCATCATGCAGGAGCTTTCCTTCTTCATTAACATCCTTATAAATCATTTTAATACTTTTATAAGAACCAAGAGGACTTTGTTCAAGGTGAGCAGGATCAGGATCACACTCTGAAGTCCGGGGAACATGGTGCTGGGCCTCGTTTCTAACATACTGAGAGTCTGAATCAGTCCAGCTGCCTGGAGGATGGTTAGACCTGGACCTTCATCGACCATCATCCAGTCTGTTCTAGGGCTGCAGCGATCGATTGTTTTAGTAATCGAGTGTTCTACCGAATATTCATTGAGTAATCAGACCCAAACCACAGACTCAGACACAGTGAGATTTCCTACATCACAAATCCAAGCTCCTCCCCCAGAACCCCACTATGAAGGCCAGACTTGGAGAAATAGAGGACGATTGCGGAACAAGCGTGTGCGTTAGCGGATTGCAATACTCGTGAGAAATTTAATTATGATATTAACTTTCATCATGTCCCCAAAGACATTAGTGTCAGAGAGCTGAAAGCTCCATGTTACCTGCTACTCCTTCAACAACAGCAATGTTTGGCTGCAAGCTAGCCTGAAGAGGAGTGTGCAAATTAACGCTGTCTCCGCCCACAACCCAGAGGGGAATTGCTAATGATCTACTGGAGCTCTGTCTCATTATTCAATTTTTCGGCTCCAAAAAAACCAAAACCAAAACCAAAACCACGCTAACTCCTCCTTCTACCATGCTGACGTAAGCGCCTTGTGTAAACCTTGAAAATAATCTGTGTGAACCAGTGACGATTTGAGTTTAAAAACAAGTACTTGAAAATGCCTCGATCATTTTTTGTAGTCGAGGTACTCGAGGAATCGTTTCAGCTCTAGTCTGTTCGGTCACGTCCACATCCTGTTTCTACACCGCCAAGAAAACAGACTAACTCTGTGTTGTAAAGGTAGGGTAGTCAGGATCTGAGGAGGTTCCAGTTTTTTGGAGAAATCTTGGATGTAAACTCGACCCCTCCAACCAGTTTTGTGGGGTATATACAAACCTTTTTTTTGTATTTACACCACAAAAAAAGATGTTTCTTTCCCAGAATCCTGCCCACCCCACCCTCAACACCTAAAAAAAGGTTGTTGTTGTGCAGGTGAACACGTGTTTTCACCAGGACATCAATACTTACTCTCTCTAACGTTTGTTTTAGTGACTTTTCTGAGCTCAGAGCAACAGGAGGAATAAAAACAGGAGTCAAAAATTTGAGTGAGAATTGAAGGAAAATGTTTGATGTTCCTGTTTAAACTTTAATTAAACCGCCTCATCCATCCATCCCATAATATGCTCTTCAGTTTGTTCAGGAACATAAAGTGAAAAATCATCGATCACCCTCCACTTCATGACGCTCATAAAACAGACACAAACAGCAGCCCCGGGGCAGTGGTGCATCATGGGATTTTTCTACCTGTGTGTGTGTTTGCAGGGTGTTTGATTATCAGCGCGTCCCGTCCTCGGTCCCGGTGGAGCCCAGTCCAGTCAAACGAGCCCGCCCTTCCTCCTCCTCCTCCTCCTCGTCCTCCTCCACAGCGGCTCTGAAGATGAAGAGCAGCAGAGCGACCAGCAGGAGCAACAACACACACACCTCCTCCTCCTCCTCTTCATCTTCATCTGACAGTAAATGTAAGAACGAAGCTGAACACACACACACACACACACACACACACACACATTTTATTGATTAATTTTATTTATTTATTTATTTTTTATTAATTTGATTAAATTGCCATGAGGGGACCTGGATCCTTGGGTGGGACCTCCATATGAGGCAGTAGAGCTGTCTGAACCCGTCCACACTGCTGCTGATGAGAGCTCGTTCACCACAATGACTGTCTTTGTTTCTTTCAAGAACGGCCGATCAAACCAATATGTGATAATTATTTAAACATTTCTCTAAAATATTTCTTTAAAAATATTTAGAAAACATTTGGGCCCCGTTCATTAACTCTATGGATCATATTTTCTGTTAAAGCTGCTCTAATAATTATTATTTGGAGAAAAACATTTTCCAGTCTTTGGCAGATTTAGGTTTGGTTAGGTTAGCTTTGGTTTAGTTTAGTTTAGTTAAGAGTGGTTTAGTTAGGTTTGGTTTGATTTGGTTTAGTTTAGTTTAGTTTAGTTTAGTTTGGTTTGATTTGGTTTAGTTTAGTTTAGTTTAGTTTAGTTTAGTTTAGTTTGGTTTAGTTGATTTCGGTTAGGTTCGGTTAGGTTAGGTTTGGTTTTGTTTTGGTTTCGGTTAGGTTTGATTAGGTTTGGTTAGGTTTAGTTTAGTTTAGTTTAGTTTGGTTTAGTTAGGTTTGGTTTTGTTTTAGTTTAGTTTAGTTTAGTTTAGTTTAGTTTGATTTGGTTTAGTTTAGTTTAGTTTGGTTTGATTTAGTTTAGTTTAGTTTAGTTTAGTTTGGTTTGATTTGGTTTAGTTTAGTTTAGTTTGGTTTGGTTTAGTTTAGTTTAGTTTAGTTTGGTTTGATTTGGTTTAGTTTAGTTTAGTTTAGTTTAGTTTAGTTTGGTTTAGTTTAGTTTAGTTTAGTTTAGTTTGGTTTAGTTGATTTCGGTTAGGTTCGGTTAGGTT